TTACTCTTGGGCTCTCCTTGGTCTCACCGCGAATGTTCTCCTCGCCTTACTCTTGTGCGGGTTCTCCTCGCCTTACTCTTGTGCGCTCCTCGTTCCACCGCGAGCGTTCTCCTCGCCTTACTGCTGGTGGTCCTTTCTGCAAGGAACGACGGGGCCGTGTCGAACAAGCGGCATAACCTTGGTCTGCCACTTACAAATTCCGGTGACTTACCACTACGACCGGGGATTAACGATTTATTGACGATTAACGACTAATAACTAACGGCTGACGGCTGACGGCTGACAACTGACGACTGACGATTGACGACTGACGATTGACGACTGACGATTGACGATTGACGATTGACGATTGACGATTGACGAAATCTAATGTATCACTACGAGCGACGATTGAAGATTACCGAAGCATGATCTTCTCCAACCAATATAACTGGATATCCATGAGTCGCGGCGCGCAACCATTGGGCAATACTAGTATTTATGGAATGTTGAATGACTTGATAATTCTTGATGTCACTGTACATACGATGTATGATATGATAGGAAGGACGAGTATCTGTGACTTGGGAATGGAACATCTGCGATGCTCAGAACTCATGAAAAAAGCCGACGACTTACGAGGTGTCTGCGTACCTTAGGATACACAAATGCCGATCTGCCAACTTGGAATAGAAGGCCTTGCTGGTTTGGCGTGTTCGAATATACTCTACAATTTAATTTCTTACACAGTCCCAAGATACCCTTGAGGTGCTGGCCAGGCAGAAGAGTGCAGACTCGGTCCAACTGTAGTCTAATATGGGCAATTCATTCTCAATATGGAATACTATCATTGCTATGTTAAAGTACAGAGCCAAAGGAAACCACAGCACATCCAGTGCAGGAAACGCCTGAATGGCATCTCCCTTCAGCTCATTCACCATCGATTGTGGAGCCATTTCGGCGTCGTGCTGTAGCACTTTCAGTGATCCATTCGCTGTCGCCATTCTCCTCACCCAATGTGCGATTGGTGGAGAGCCGCCTCTGGATCAGGAATAGACAGGAGCTCATCCCTGTCTCTTGGGCGCGGAAGGAAAGCTCTCGCCATTGGTGCAGTGAGTGGACAGTCTTCGACGGCCCGCGTGTAGGTGCATGGGCGAGCAAGGTTGAGGCAACGCTCACAGGTATCTCGCTTGTTCGGATCGTTGTAACTGATCCTCTGACACTGCGTTCGCAGCTTTGGAGCGAAGACTTCGGTGATATTCTATTCTCATGTGAGCAGGTGCTGAACGATGCGGTGCATAGAACTTACCCCAGTCCTCGGGTCTCTAGTTCGATTGTCCAGGTTGTGGAGGTAGCATGAATCGCATGCTCTTTCGGGTTTACGGACTCGGGTTGACTCTCGGTCACTCTGGAAGGGTGCTCCAAAAGCATTGACACCAACCGCCGCAAGCTCGCTCTGCATGTCCCATTGCGACTTCATTCGAGATGCTCTGACAATGTTACCGGGAGGCTGGACGTCCACGATCGTGCCCGTCTGTTTCAGCCAATCCATCTTCTGTTCTTTTATTCTTGCGATCCCGTAGTCGCACATCCACACAGGTCGGCCCTGGTGAGTGAGTACCGCTTGGTTGAAGAAGCGGCGCCTTGCAATGCCCTGCGCATAGGCATTGAATGCTCCTGGCCAGCTCAATTGGGCAGTCCTGGGTCTGAAAGGATAAGCGGATACGAGTTCCGTGCTTTCCCAGTTACCATTTTCCCGCTGAAATTCGATTCTCAGTGCCCAAGAATTCGCCGCGTCCCAGTCGTACCAGGGGCCCTTGGTGGGCAATCTAGCCCAAGATCTGGGGTGTGGACAACCATTTTTGGTCATCTCAATCACTGGCCATACCCAGGTACCCAAGGGCAGCTTGAGTTCAGTTGGGACGGTAGGCTCGAAGGATCCCCGTGATGCTAGTGTCGCTGATCCTTGTTGCTCTATGGTGATGTAGATCCGATCGTTGCTGTCGCGAGATCCAGAACGAATTTGTACCGGAGTTCTCTGGAGCTGCAGAAGGTTGTTGTCGGGGAATGCAAGCTGTGTCCAGATCACTCTCTCGCCTTTGAGCCATTCAGTGATGGGACTGTTCCAGTTGCACCCATCACCGGCACCGTACGACTGTCTCGACCTGCAACCCGGCCAATCGGCCTTCTTGAAAGCGGATCTGGCCAGTTGCATCAACAACAAAGATGCCTCCCTGTCATTGTAGTATGAATCAACGTCGCTGATCTTTTCAGATTGGCTCTTGCCAGATCGATCCTGATAGTTCATGACTGCATCTGTGTACGTCTCGAACAAGCATGTGAACAGTTGCTCCGCAATAGTTCGAAGTTGCTCCTCATTGAGCAAGCAAATCGGACCCATGATGTAGTGATTTGCAGCACGGCTGGTTCTGTAATGATTGCTGTTTGTCTCGATATGCTTTACGCCTTCATGGCCACTATCGCGTGCAGCGAGGTTGTTTGTCGTGCCCGTATATTGTGATGGAAGGCGCTTGCGATCCTGGAAGTCGTAGTAGATCCGTGTGTAGACAGCACCTCTGTCATCATTTGACTGGACAGGCTCTAGGGCTGACATGAGTTGCTGGATGCTGAAATTGCCTCCACTGTTGAGAATATCGAGGACTCGAGGCCGCATACCTGCCATGATGGAGGTGACCATGGCGTTGAACTGTTCCTGGTTGCAGAGTCTGTCACGAAACCAACGGGGCAGAAAGTGGAGTTCATGGACATTTTCTTTCAGTTCATCTACATGACACGTTAGTACTGCTTTTCGAGCAGGATCATGAGTACTCACTGAAGAAAGCAGTTATGACTCGTCGAAGTCTGCCCTGCTGATTCATGGCAGCTGTGAGTTGATGGGACCGCAGATTTGGCAGGCGGATCTCGATCTTGACATCGCCATACAAGCGAGTGTCTCCGATGACCAAGAAGCTCATTGGAACCCAGCCTTTTTGTTGAGGTTTCTGAAATGGCATTGTCACATGTACCCATTCGCCGTTGCGCCTGTAACTTTGCCTTTGCAGCCTTCTGCCATGTTTGTGTTGTTGTTCACATTGTAGCTCTGCATTGCGATGTATGGATAGCCAACCGGCCAATCTTTGGGACGTTGAGGACTCGCCATGGCTGCAGCTGTCGGATGATCGGGTTGTTTTTGAAGGAATATGACTTGATGTGGTATGGAAGGTATGAGTATGCAGAAGGGAGAACAGGAAAAGGATAGGGAATAGGGCTCTATATATATGCGGGAGATGGTAGGCAAACACGTTTGCTACCGTTGACAATGGGTGACACTGATTGTCACCCATTCAGTGTTCGCTGCTATTGTTGCAGGCCTATTGTTGCATATTCAGGATCCCTATTCATTGCCCATGTCATACCCCTACTGGAATTGCGTTCCACATTGAATAACGATGTGAATGGTGAAGGCCATTGTTACCTGTTCAGAACCACTGCCATTGTTGCAGGTCTATTGGTGGATACTCAAGATCCCTATTCACAGCCTGAGTCATGCATCGATTTATATACGCTCTATATTGAATATTGTAGTAAAGTAGAACGCCATTAACACCTATAAATACTCGCCATTGCGGTATGCTGCTACTATTGTGTGCCCACTATCCCTATTCAATGTCTTGAGTCACAACGGTCGTTCGAAAGCGCCCTCTAGGGTGACTTGTGAACGGGCAACCGCGGCTTTGCGTAGATCGATAGCGCGGGCTGCGATTTATGGCGCTCCTGTCGTGAGTTGAGTCGTTCTGCTGACCTTGTTTGAGGCAAACAATCGAATTCCCGGCAGCTTTGCCAACGGACTTTCCTGGTGTCGAATGACCTCGGTCAATCCTGTTAGCCAGGCGCAGGCAGAGCAAGTCTCCGCAACTCCGTTCAAAGAAGCCAGGAAGATACGTCTCACACCTATATTGCGTCCATGGGATCGGATTGCTGGCACTGAGACGTACAAGCTCTTATTTTCAGGCACCATTGGGTATCGAGCAATCTCAACATCGTCATGTTCTCTTCGACCTTGTTCTGTCCTTTAGAATGTCAGGCTCGAAGTGTCCTCGGAATTTCCCGCACCTAAGTCATATAACAAGTTTTCCAAAGCCACCGATCTTGGTAACGACAAGATCAACGAGCTGATTTGGCAACCCTCGTCCACTGCGTAGAAAAGCAGCATGGAAATCTTCGCCCCTAATCGCGACTCAGGCTCCTCCGAACTTGGTGTTCCAACCGTAACTGTCCCACCTACTGTTGGTGGCGTATACGTTTGACATGACTGCTCCCTATGAACAAGGTAACGCAGTTTTCGTGGCTGACTGTCTCGCTGTCTCGAAGGGAAAGCTCTCGGCACTTTCCCAAAATCAGGGGTAATTCAGCCTTGCATTAATCACGTGATTGCATAATCTTCGCCGTCGTCGCAGCTAAAACGGGCCAATCGATCAAAAGCTGCTGGCAGTACGCTTTCCGTCAAGAGCGGGCGGCGAGGACAACACAAGGGGCAACAATCTTGGGAGGCAGTGCGTAATTGATTGAGCTTGGATCGGGGATCTACAGATGTGATACAAACTGCAATCTTTTGTGCTCTTCCAAAACGTATATCTTGTGCGCATGCCGAGGAGGAAGCACTTCCAGCAATTGCGGTCCGAGCGTGTCGGCCTGCCTGGGCACATAACAAACCCAATATAGACGCCGTCATACATGTTGATACCAGCGAGTCCACCAATCCCATGAACAGTGACACTGCTAAGGATCGCCAATGGCATATCGGCTAATCTCTCGACGAGCTCGAGTAAACCGAAGCCACACATGAGAAGGCGACGAGACCGGATCCCATCTTATCCTTTACGCCAAATCTGGCTAACATCGATGTCTTCTCGTACGGACCAGAGCCATCAACGCCGACCAGCGCAGACGGCAAGATGCTCACCACACAAAAGCCAGAGGAAGCCAGCCCCAAGCGGAGGACCGCCGGACAACACCGCCCGGAAAACAAGCCTCGTATTACAACCACTCCCTACGCTGGCGCTAGGCTAAGAGAGAGGTACGAGTATAAAATCATGATGGAATAGGGCATGGAGTAGAGCGAGAGCTGTTGACCTAGAAATCGACAATAGAGGGATTAGAGACTAATTCGATATTCGAGAACGACTATAAGCGCCTAACGCAGGTTGATAGAGAGAATAAACGGGATTTCATCATCAGCTAGCGTCAAAGGCTCTTCAACGCTCGTCGATCCGCATGACTATGTCACAGCCGTTGTCTCAATCTACAAAGCTGCTCGCCGTTTTCCAATTGGGAAGACATAGGCTGGCTACGAGCATGCTTGTATCAATGGCATAGTAACGTGACGGGACGAGAAAACGATGAGAGTCTTGCTACATTTCTGCAGCGGACTAGGTGAAGCGGCTTTCGCCTGCCGACTCAATGCTGCCACTAATTTTTGGAGACCTGCTGTGCAGTTTGATGGTATGAGTCCGGGGTAGGCGGAGCCAATAACGGTTGTCTAAGAGTTCTTCACATTTCAACCCGCCATCGGGTTCAAGCGCTGTCCTATGCTCTGCCGAAGCAGATATTCCTGCGTGTGCAGTCTTATATCAATCCTATGAGAGCGCCGACCTGCAGTAATTGAGCTCGATGACCGTAAATATCTAGTTGGCTGCGCGCGACCTTCCAATTGATCAGCTGAATTCCGGTTCGGATGTGTCACGGTTGGGACGATGGATGATGTTAAAGATAAATGAAGGTCTCATCACTAGCCTGGTCGGATACCTACTAGCTGCAGCAAAGTTCCTTCTAGCGGCTGGGTTCTCAATGTCCTTGAACCCTCTCCACCTGGCTCGTAAGACTCCATGGATATGGAACACCGGCTATCTCATGCACTGATAGTGGTCGACGCGTGACGCTTATCAGGCTCATACTTTTCGAGGTCTTCAGCTGGTGGGTACCGACTTTCGGACCCACAGCAGCGGTCGTGCCGAGCTACTATATCGCCTAACGGCAGGCTACTTGCAAGTGGTCGGAGAAATGCAAGCCTATCTGGAAGGGAAAGAGCCTCAAGCAGGCCTCGGACGTGGAGACCGTCCCTAGATCGCGATTATGTCGTGTTGGAAGACAGCATGTTTAAGGCCGACAGTGCCAAACATTCCCTGCTACCGCTTCGAGGCCAAGAAGGCCACCTGTTGAATGCGAGCTCTCATATTAATATGGTGGACTAGGGAGGAGGGGAAGGTTATCGAATATCAGCTGTTTTGTCCCGTAGTGGAAGTCAATCTCTAAGGATCCTTCAAATATCTTCTACAATATTATAATAAGCTACAGCTCGCCACGATTTTTCCAGTAGCAACCCCCGTTTAATCCTAAAGGGCATTATTCATAGGCCAGCCGCAAGTTGGGCAGTCGTGGAACGTTTCGTAAGATGAACTCTTCTAGTTACTCCTTTCTCTAGAGTTTTAGGATAGATTATAGATAGGCGTGAAAATATACCAGTTTAAGCTCGAGATCTAGGTTTATGTTAGTATAGCCTACAACGGCCTAGATAAGACTTATAGTTCGATGCATCAACGCGACCACGAACTATGTCTCCGCCTGTTCTACGCTCGGAAAGGTATCCTTGATCCCATACTTTCACCCCGCAGAATCCAACTCTTACAGAAATTAGAGAGTTAGAGAGACAAGTAGGATATGACTGTAAACAACTGTCAGTCCCTACGGAACCGCTGTTTTAGTGAGCGGGAACTCAGTATGTACATGATATACCAAAGAGACCGGAGTAATCGAAATCCAGTCACCAGAAGCGTTTATCAGCTCTCAGGTCGCACACTGACCAGGTATGTCACCTGCTGGGCTTGTAGGCAATTCCTCTTCCCTCGGTAGGACGCTTGCGAATTTGATAGGGATGTTGCGGCTGCAATTATTGGAGCAGGAATGCACATGAGATGACTTGCTCTTATTGTACTTCTTCCACCAACTGTGACTTCACGGCAGTACCATCTTCAATGGCGAAAGACGATCTCGACAGTGGCAATGCACTAACACGCGCGTTGACGGAAGCAAGGAGAACAAGGTGCACACGTCACCACGGCGGCTAATGACCAACCACGGGGAGATTGGACTATCTGAGCATCGGTATCATGATTGTGTGTAGGACAGTATCTGTCGATATTCCAAGACATATCTATATAAACGATAATGGCGCGTTTGATCTGCTCCGCTGCGAAGAGATGTGAAGACCCAAGCAAGCTGTCATACCAATGCGACCTCTTTCCCATTCGCCAAATGAACATCGACCCCATTCTGACTGTTGCCGGTACACCTGCCAGTCTCAATATTGCCGGTACTCTTGCCAGTCTCAGCCTTCCCTACTATAGCGACTAACAGTCGCAAAGGAATGTACACCTGGTAAGACCACCAGAAGGGTACAGGGTCTTGGGAACTATATATCTCGTCCTGCCACAGGAAAAGATGCTGGAGGAGAGATAGCCAGCTCCTAAGCAAATCAGCCACACCGATCTGCAGCCTGACCACCTTCATGAGCGGCTCATATCCGAGTTTCAGCAGGTCTCGACCAAGACAGTACACGCCACTCGAGAGAACGACTGGCGTAGCCACTTGATGATGCGAGGATTGTTGGGGAGCTGACAGAGCAGGCAGGACGTGGTCGTTGCAATTTTTGATAGGTTCCGACAGAAGGGATAAGTAGGCGTGACATATTTGAGCCGAAGCTTCTGCACCTTGGAACAGCAACACGCCAGCCAGAGAGCCAGGGGAGGCTTGCACAAGCAGGATATTCTGCACAGTTCCAGTGTCTGTGACTTGCTCTTCAACGCAAAAGTCGATTCCGATGTGAGTGGTGAAGTCATCACCTTGCTTGTCCGCAAATGTCTGCACAATGCGAAGCAAGGACCGGAAAAGAGCAGAGCCGGGATCCGCTGCTTCGATGCACCCGGTGTCTGCTTGCCGACTTGCGGAAAAGGCTGTGACAGAACCTTGGACAATAACGGCAAAGGTGGAATACCTTGGCATCCATTCTGTGATCTGCTCGAGCCTCCACGACTCTGAGCTGGTCTTCTTGATGGGAACAAGTGAGAGTGTTTGATAGGTCTGACTCAACGTTCGACGTGGGAGCATTGTCCTGACGGAGGTAACTTCGACTCCAGCTTGGCCGGGGCTGTAAAGCATGTACCTCCTAGTACCACGTGATCTATTCAATACGCTGTGGACTTCGTCCCTGGATTTCACCTGGTGTAGTTCCGGTACAGAAAGGCCCATGCCTTTGACCAGGGCCAAAAACGCCTCTCGCGATGAAAAGTGAGGAAGATCGTCCATACGAAGCGCGAAGCAGCGACAGTTTGTGGCCGTTTCAATGACCGTCCTCGCGTGGCCTTCGACGCTGGGATCGGCGCCGCTGGTACAGTTGATCCAAAGGTCGACGTGCTCTTCCTCGATGACGCGGACCAATGTTCGGATGTAGGCAAGAGCTTGTCTCTCCCCAGATCCGGCGGGTAGGCGGTAGAAGCTGTTCAAGACTCGAGAGAATCGAGAATACGTCGGAATACCCCCCGGCTCATGGTCTGCCCCGACCACTCTGTGGCCATTCTCGTGGAATGCTCGGGCCAGTCGAAGTCCTTGGGGAGTGTTGATCCCACTGAGTAGCACCGTCTTTGAGCCCAACTCAGCTTGTTCGTGAGGCCGCCGCCGGAGAATGTTCCGGTCGGTGAATGAGATGTACAGGTAGTTCATAAAGAGCAGTACTGTCGACAGCGGTATGAAGGCAACGGCTAGTCCCGCAAAAAGGAGGGACTGTATCCTCGTCGACTGTTGCACACTGTATTGCGAACTGTTGAGGAACTGGTTGAATGACATGATCGCTCTTGATTTCGACATCGATGCAGTTTGATATAACGAGCCAGTCCAGCCGCTGATGAAAGATAACGCTTTCGCTAGGTCAAGCAGGCGGCGTATGAAGCCTAGCCTTGCGACAACAACGACTTTTGCATTGCGCGGTGATTGGATTGCCCCCTGTAGCTTCGACTAGAAGACGAATGTGCGATGGATAAGAATATTGGATGGTTTGGAGGAGGTCCTGCCAGTATGACAATGCCCATGATGGGCCCATCGAAGTATGACGGGGAGAGGATGATGACGATGGACGGTAGCGACTGTTGGGGGGTGGAATATAGCTGTCTGACGTGTCATAGAGCCGCTGAAATGCAGTGGAGTCCAGCGGAAAAGGCTGCACATGTGAATGCACTTTCGGCTGTCAGACAAAATCCTGCTAATCCCCCGCTATAACGACATGGGGTCACTATTATTGGTCAGATTCCCGATCATCCAAGATCTAAGCTTGTTTAAAACATGAGTAGCTCGCGAATCCGCCAATGATAATTCATATCACGTAAATAAAGTTACATGAACAGCATCATGGCGAGCTGAAAAATAGTAAATACAAATCAAAGACGAGCCTGGAACTCTTGTCCGTTGCGGGTTGCCGTTTTTCTCGTTGTCCTGTCCTACCATCGGCGGGAGAGCACTGTCCCAGTGTATCTCGATTCTTCTGCGCCCTGCTTGATTTTCACTCAAACTTCTACCTCGTTGCCCCCAATAATTTCCATCGCCCGTCGCGCTGTTCTTTTCTCCGATCGAAGGGACGAGGCGACTCAAGTACCTGCACTGACACGGAGGCCAACAGGTGCTCCGCATTCCCCATCGACGACATGGCGCATCAAGGACAAGCAGCCGACTACTACAACAATCAAAACTACAACAGTGGTCCGTATCAACAGCAGGGTTACCAGCAGTATCCTCCTCCTCCTCAAGTGCCCCCTCAAGGCTATCAGCAATACCCTCCTCCCCCGAACGGTCCTCCCCAACAGCCACCTCAACCGCAAGAGTCAAAATACACCCAACAACCCCCTACTTATGGCGCTCAATTCGTTCCTCCCCAAGATGACAAGCAAAGCTTTCAGGATACGTTCAAGATACAGAAGCCCAAATTCAATGATTTGTGGGCAGGTCTCCTGGTAGGTCAACACAGGCGCATAAGAGCAATGGGATCTGGGAGTTGACAAGATCTAGCTGATTGCAACCTTCTGTGGATTCGTGGCAGTTTCGGGCCTCACCCTCTATCGCTACTCGAAATATCACAAGTTCAATGGCGGAGGCATCTATGGTTCCAGCAACGACTTCTCCCTCAACACGAACACCATCATCCTTTTCGTCTTCGTCCTTTGTGTCGGATTCGTGGTCAGTTGGGCTTACTTTCTCGCCGCACGCGCATTCACAAAACAATTCGTCTGGCTCACTGGCATCTTGAACTGTGCGTTAGCCGTCGGTACAGCCATATATTATCTGTATCGCCACTTGTGGGGAGCGGGCATCGTGTTTGCCATTTTCGCCGTCTTCGCCATCATCTGTTTCGTCAGCTGGATCCCGCGCATCCCCTTTGCGGTAGTTATGCTTCAGCAAACGATGGACATTGCCAGGATGAAACGAGTCCACGTTTTCTTGGTTAGCCTCATCGGCGGTATCGCCAGCGTGGCATTTGCCGCATGGTTCTCCATCACTTTGGTTGCCATTTATGTCTCATATGAACCCAGCAATTCTGGCTCCAACCCTAACCCATCTTGTGACGACGGCGGCTGCTCCAGCGGTAAGGTCATTGGTCTTGTGGTGTTCACAACATTCGCCGGATACTGGATCTCCGAATGGATCAAAAACACCATCCACACCGTCGTTGCTGGCGTGTACGGAAGCTGGTATTTCTGTGCTGGAAAGCCAGGGGGGATTCCCAAAGGAGCCACAATGGGCGCCTTCAAACGAGCCACCACATATTCCTTCGGGTCAATTTCATTCGGCAGTTTGATTGTCGCAATCATCAATATGCTTCGTCAAGCCTGCAGCATCGCTCAGCAGCAAGAGGGCTCCCAAGGCAACATCATCGGTTCCGTCATGTTCTGTATTCTTGGTTGCATGATTGGGATCCTCGATTGGCTTGTCGAGTTCATCAACAGATACGCATTCTCCCATATTGCTCTTTACGGCAAAGCATACATTCCGGCGGCCAAAGACACTTGGAAAATGATGAAAGACCGTGGAATCGACGCATTGGTCAATGACTGTCTTGTCGGTCCGGTTTTGACCATGGGTTCCATATTCGTGGCCTACCTTTGCGCACTCTTGGCTTACCTTTATCTCGAATTCACCAATCCCGCATATAACGATGGCCGGACATTTACGCCTGTCATCATGGCTTTCGCCTTCCTCATTGGGCTGCAAATCTGCCAGACATTTATGACTCCTATCGGATCAGGAGTTGACACTATTTTTGTGGCAATGGCATGGGATCCTCAGGTGGCAATGACGGACCATCCCGAATTTTATGAGCGCTTGGTGCATGTTTACCCACGAGTTCAGGATGTTATTCATGTTTGAGCGCCGGGGTCTCCTTGGAGATGGCAGGTTGGTGATCGGGTTGATCTGGGAGACTAAGCGTCTGCAGCGATCTCGCACTACAGTGTATCAGTTTGAACCCGATACCCTACCGGAATAAATGCCTATCTTCATTCAATACCATTGGTGTTTTTCCAATGTTCCCTGCACCTTCTTGAATCGCCCCTATCTCAGCTGATCGGCATATCATCCGACATTTGCCAAGCAGGAACAAAGGGCGTCTTCCCGTGGAATTGTATGGACGTTGACCAGAGCCTTTAAGCGATATCTTTCCTGTGTTTCGGCGGAGACAGGCTAATGCAGCATTGCAGAGACCATAGGATCTCGGCTATACGTTTTGCCAGGTATGCTCCAAATATTTGGAGCCTACTTACGGAGGTGTGCATCAAATGTAGTTGCCGCGCTAAAGTTGGATGACGAGGACGTCAAAAGACCATTAATTTTCTTTTCCGTTGCTCCGGGCGACAGTCCCCGGAGATATCGGAGCTCACTCTCTACCCCTAAAGCTCGCCTATCCTCTAGCGCTAAGCTACCTAAAGTAGATGATCTTTAGTTAAGAGCTTAGTTAAGGCTGCCTAGAACAAGAGAAAATCAATTGTCAGTTATGATCCTTCGTCATTCAACTTTAGCGCGGCAACTACATTTGGTGCACACCTCCGTATCGTCGCAGCCATCCCGAAGCGGCAGCTCGTCAACCCTTCTATCAATCCTTTCTCCATGACGACACGCAACGGCAGGGGTTTTGCACCGATAGTCACCGTTACTTCAGACATTTGACCAATACTGCTGTCTGCTTCCAATCTCCCCTCGAGCTTGTCCATGATCGCCCTTTCAATCTCTGCATGCAACCGTGTATCGGCACATGGATGCGGTGTTCTCCTTCCAGAAACTATTCTGGCCTTCTGAATCAGGACGTGATTGTCGCGATAGCGCCAGTCTGCAGGAAGTTGCGGCCAAACATTGCAGTTGATATGGCGGTCACAGCGATTTTCACTAACCACCCGGCGGCTCGCCTTCGAGTGTATAAGACTGCATCACCACCCTCAGTACCGTCCAGCTTGGTTTACAGTATCGGCTTCCAAACAGCTCCTATCAACGCCTTGAGTAATGGATATCAACACGGACAAGACATTTCCAGCGGGTGAAATTCCGGAGAAGACGCCCAATGAGTTCGCCAGACAAGCCAGTATTGCCACAAATGCCTCGCTCGACCAGGCATTGGGTGAACTCGATATATCAACCAAGGATGCGGACGAAGCATTCACGTACCTGAAAGATCACCCGAATGCCGATGGAGTGCGTCAAGAGGCCATTGCCATATTGTCGGACCCGAAAGCAACCAAGCGGCTACTGCGCAAGATTGATCTTCAAATAGTGCCATGCATGATTGCCGTGTACTTCCTACAATACCTGTAAGTGGCTGCGAAGATGAACTTGGGGATGACAGAACTGACATTCGCCTCAGCGATAAAACCACGATTTCCTATACGGCTGTTATGGGACTTCGTGAGGACACTCATTTGCATGGTCAAGACTATTCGAACATTGCCATGATGTTTGTAAGTGGCTCTTCCTAACGTTTGCGTCCCTATGGACCCTAACATTTGAGTCCTGCAGTATATCGGCTTCCTCGCTGCAGAGTTTCCAACGCAATACTTGGCGCAACGCATCAGTCGGCTCGGAAAGTATCTCGGCGCAAATGTGATGCTCTGGGGAGTCGTCCTGGCGTCAATGGCCGCTTGTACATCCTACGCCGGGCTGATGATCACCAGAGTGCTTTTGGGAATTTTTGAGGCTCCCGTTGCACCAATCCTGGTCTTGATCATTGCCATGTGGTACAAAAAGGAAGAGCAGGGCAGACGAGTCAGCTACTTTTACGTCTGCAACTCGATTACACAGATCTTCGGAGGTGGAGTGGCCTATGGCGCCAGCTTTTCCAAGACGGGATTTGCCAGCTGGCGCATCTTCTTCTTGATCATTGGCTTGATGACCATCCTATTGGGTTTCCTGGTCTTCATGTTCCTGCCCGACTCGCCGGTCAAAGCCGTCCGTTTCACCGATGCAGAGAAGATTGCTGCCTTGTTGCGGGTCAAGGAAAACCAGTCAGGCACTCAGAACGCGACTCTCAAGAAGGCACAGGTGATTGAGTCGTTGAAGGATGTCCGAGTTTGGCTCGTATTCCTCTCAGTGCTTCTCACGTCAATTCCCAATGGTATGTGACCCGTCCTTGTCTCCACATTCTAGAGAAGCGAGACCTTGCTGTGTTGTTACCCTCGGACTGTTACTGACATTGGACAAACAGGCGGCCTCTCAAACTTCTCCTCGATCCTGCTTACCACGTTTGGCTACAGCAGCCAACAGGCTCTTGTCTTGAATATGCCCGCTGGCGCGGTAGGGATTTTTGTCGTCCTCCTCTCCGGCTATCTCTCGGACCGCTGGAACGATCGTTCACTTGTCATGCTCATTTGCCTCATTCCAACGATCATTGCGGCGGGGCTGATGTACGGGCTTGATCCGGAGGGCATTCCCAAGAACAAGGGCGTGCTGTTGTTCGCTTCCTACTTAAGTGGCACATTTGGTGCTGCTTTCATGCTCCTTCTAGCTTGGAACGCTAGCAATCTCGCCGGGCACAGCAAGAAGGTCACCGTCAATGCCTTGACTCTGGTCGGCTTCTGCTTAGGCAACATCCTGGGCACTCAAACTTTCCAGCAGAGTGAGGCTCCGGGCTACAAGAGCGGGAAGATTGCAATCGTGGCATGCCTAACGGCGCAAGTTTGTGTATGCTTTGTTCTGAGATTCTGCAATGACCGTCTCAACAAGAAAAACAAGCAGACACTTCAGGGCATGAGTGAGGAGGAGAAGGCATTGGCACGTGAGAAGCTGGCGTACAGTGACGAGACGGACTTGCGCAACCCGTTCTTCGTGTACACTCATTAAGCGAGGGATATGCGATTGGGCCATGTGTATGGATCGGTCAGGCTGGCGGCACTTGGGAACCTGTTAGCATATGGTGGCTGTGGTAAGGCCGAAGCTGGCGGCAAAGTTGGTGTACTATGTAGAGCACGATCAAACAAGCGCTTAGCGAATATAAGAGACATCTGCAATAGCTCGCAGGTTAAGCTCGTTTCCGGGTTTCTAATACTAGATCTGATCGCTGATTAACCGCGCAAGCCATCACCAGTCGCACGGTCAAGAAAGTGGCGTCGGGCTGTATGCAGACTAAGGATGCATATAAGCAGGGGGCATAATGCAGATCGACCGAAATTCAACGTCAACCCATACAGTCCTCACTCCATGAGTTCTCCTATACGATATAAACTACATATATCTGGATTCCAACCCCTTCAACATCCGAAACGCGTGGCTCGTCCGGATCTTGCGGTGTCCGAGCTGTCGCGTCACGAGTCTGGTCGAACGAAGCGTACGTACGGCTGACCACAGCCTTATGATCAGCAGGACTGCGCCTCTATCTTGCGAAGCCTTCTTACGGTCCGAAACCATGCCCCCAAACCACCAATCTGGAATCAACGTTGCTATGATTGGACCCATGGCGGCCCTGTAGCAGCTACAAGCTCCTGGAAAGGATGGTGCTCAAGGATTTTGACAGGCCTCTGTCACTCCCGAGCCACCGAATCAACGCCTGGGAACCAAGAAAATCCTCTCTTCCCATCGGAGTCGGTGACATTATTTATGAAGTGGCCTTGCGATTCCAAATCCCACGTATAATTCCTTTGGGTCCAGCTGCGCCCGTTTTACCGGAGCAGTGCCTTTGGTATCAAGTATGGAGGGGTTCCCCAGAGACGACTGGGCCGCGGACAGGGAAGGGTAGCTTATCGCCCAACCTCTGGAGCAGCTCAGCCATTCACCGAGTTCGATACGCGTTTCATCGCCCATGACCAGAGCCAGTCACGAGCAATGACTCTTTCCAGGTTGAGTCACAAGATACATGCGATTGGTATACGAGCCGAAGCTCCTTTGACACGAGAGACGATCACATGCTCCTCGTCCTGAAGATGGAGTGCTTCCCGCCACTCAATCCATGATCCGAGCACGACTAAAAACTTGGGAACCACGGTCCAGGCTTCCGCCATCAGGCACCAGTCCGCGACTTATTTGGCCCTCCTCGCGCGTCAGATTGATGAGCAGCACACAAGTAGACATACGTTGCTAGCGCCCAAAAGGTAACGTGGTTAGCCTCTTGGATCTTTCCTTTTTTGCCCGAGGTGGCGGTGCGCATGACTAGATCCTTGCCTGAGCCTTGCCTGAGCCTTTCAAAAGGCCCTTTGCGCGCCCGCTTGAGAATTAGGCACATGTCTAACCTGGGTGAGTCTATGCATTCAAGCACAGCCTTGCAGCGAACGCAAAGCAGGCAACGCTTCCTATCTGAACCACTACCTTGACTTCATATATGACTAGTATCCAGCGAATATACCTTTCACCACCTCTTTTTCCGCCTGGGGATACTTTCATCACGCTTTCCTGAGTCCGATCGTGTCGAGCGAACTTTCAATATGAACATGAACATGAGCCATGCTTTTCCACCATCACCACCAAGTGATCACGATTCAGCATCGATAATTACGACATCGAAAACGAAGAGACCGAATACCATGATGGCCGACCAAACCCTCGTTCCATCCAGCACAAATCCAGGCAGGATGCCTGGAGCACTGCGTCGAGCTCGTGCACCTGCTCGCAATAAAGACGGCGAGATCATTTGCGACCACCCCAACTGTCGAGATGCAAACGTGACCTTCAAGAGAGTATGTGAATGGAACAAGCATATGGACCGACACGAGAGACCGTACAAATGCCACGAAGCCGGATGCGACCTCAACCCGGGATTCACTTACTCTGGCGGATTGCTGAGGCATCAAAGAGAAGTTCACAAAATGCATCTCTCCACCAAGGAACCGCTATTCTGTCCGTTCCCAAACTGCAACCGGAGCTCCGGAAGTGGTTTCACTAGGAGAGAGAACCTCGAGGAGCACAAGCGGCGGCGGCATATGGACGACCTGGCAGAACATCCTTCCAACCGAGCACCGTCACAGCCCCCGGCAGCGGCACTCCCGACTGCTGCAGGTCCGGACGAGCCACCGTCCGCCAAGCGACGACGTACGCAAACACCTGCAGCGACGGCGACAGCGACGGCGGCAGTGGCGGGAGGGAGTCTGGGCCAGAGTAACAGCAGCCAGAATGTGCAGGCGCTCCTCAGGCAGACCGGAATGACCGAGCACCAACTGATTGAACATCTACAATCAAGGCTTCGGGAGAAGGAGGAGTGCATCCGACGCCAGGCAGCCGAACTCCAGCAATACCAAACCTTCTTCCAAGCATTGCCACCTCAGGCGATATACACTGTGGTCAATTCACAGATCCCCCAGATTCCACAACTATCGCAGCTGCCTGGCACTGGTGGCGGTGGTTGATATTGGCGAATTGGGTTAACGGTTATCTTCATTCTTCTTTTTCGTGGTCTTGGGCGAGACTGCTCTGCGGGAACAGGCAGCAACGAGGACGCAACGGTCGATGATGACGATAACGATGGTGATGATACCCCTTTCGTGTACTATTGGTATTGTGTCGCTACTCATGATGTTATAGTATTAATGGATCATCTCCAAATGCCTTTAGCATAGTAGTAGAAGGATGGGATTTAACGAGCAATGATGGCCACTCTGAGACAGGCAGCAGCAGGGTGTGGACACCTGGGTTTGAGGTGTACCACACACAGTTGTTGCAGACCTTTCCCCCCAGTATTGGTTGGCCAGGCAGGATGGTGGCGAGTCATCGCTGCAGGCAAACGCGGCCACAGACGCATAAGGCAGCCAAGCTACACAGTGAGAGTGCGCGTTATTTCTTGTCCCGCCTCTCACCTCGGGCTTCCCGCCTCCCGCCTCCTTCTCTGGATTTCTTTCGCCTCCATGCCTTGACTCTAGCTCCGGACAGAGTAGAAGGCTCAGCGCTTGTTTGCCACCAAAAACATTCCGTAGAGAAGGGGAAGGTTAGCCGAGTAGATGCCAAGAGGCTAGCACAGATAGTACGTAGTCCCCGTGACCAACCGGGTGTCGAGCTTCCACGGACCAAAATTCTTGACCACGTGACCTTCTCTTCTCTCATCTCCTCCTCTTACTACGTATTCCCTTGGCGTGTGCCGTTCGGTGTTCTTTGCTTGAAACCAGCAGATAAATTACCAACTCGTACCAAACAAAGGTAAGATACTGCCGTACTTCTTGTCGGTTTCGTTCATTCACTCCTGGATCACATGGACGCGTCATCGTCGTCATTTCTTCCCACCCCGCTGCATGTTTCGTTTTCTTGCAGCATAATGTGTGCTTCAAGAAGAAGCCTCTTGAGAGCCAGCTCGACTTATCGAAAAAGAAGTCCGAGTCATTCTGTGATTACCTGGTAGTCGAAGCTGCATCGATAATGCTGCAGCAAGAGGAAAAGAATCCCTGAAGGATCTCAACTTCAGAGCAGCTCATGCGGCTGGATTTTGAACCGTTCAGCGTTGTGTGGGCATGGCTGCACCGTTTCATCCACGGGTCTTGGTCATTGTTCTCCTCCTCTCTCTCTCTGTGTGTGTGTTTGTGTGGGTGTGTCTTTGGTTTCAAAGAATTCGAAAAAATTGCCTCCTCACCAGGCCGTTTGTCATCACGTCGTTTCATCAGTCGTGTATCCTGATCTTGCCTATGACTTCAGGAAAAGTCTCCAAGAAGGTGCTGCCGACACTCCAATTGTCATAATCAGTCACATGATGTATGAATCTCGATGTCAAAACCGTCGCTCCGGTGGTTTGACTTCGTTCGACGGCAGCATCCATGCCATGTTGCCAGTTCACGCTCCAATTACAATTGATTAGCGGTGTGAGCCAGTCTCTCAGATGGTAAATGTTGGCATCTCGGACTGGAGGGCTAATGCAAGTACCTTGGGTTAGCTTCCGACTTCGATTTCCAAAGTTACGCAAATGCAATTTCATGGACGTACATTGGTATGGTCTCGATGGCTCCGATGTGTGGGATCATGCACTGAGACGGTGTCGGCTTCATCATATCCGGGACCTTCTGGTAGTTCTCGACTGTTGGAACCAAAAGCCACTAATTGAATCCCAGGTGGTTAGTAACTGTGCACATGCCGGAGCCAAATGCGATTCGGATTCATAACTCACCCGCATCATGAACGTCAACATATACGCGGTGCCCAGTCGAGCAAACACTTCGGTTTCATAACTCCGAAACACCTCGCACGCCCAGGATGAACAGTCAAAGTGGTCCCTGTCTGTACGACTTCGGAAAAACAAATCCACGGGCACCTCGTCACCCACGCCAAGAACGTTCGACCGTGGAACTCCGGATTCTAGCATCTGTCGAGCACCTTGCAGGTAGTGAGTGTAAGTCCGACTCATGTATGAATCGTCGGGGATGACCAAAGGTAGGACAAGGTGTCTGGGTATTCGAAGCCTTGTCGACCGATTTTCTTGCGCCACGGTCAGGTCCCAGCCGTTCGGCGCCGAGTTTGAAGATTCTGGCGTCAAGGCGGGCTCGAGGTAAGGCGACATCGGTGAAATTTGCTGCTGCATCGAAAACATTGGAATGTCGGTGTTGATCTGTTGAGGCTGAGACTGGCGGAAAGACGGGCGTCGTGATCCGGGCCGCGAACGCTGCTTGGATTGCTCCAGCCTGACCATCGAAGCGCCAGCCTCCGAAAACCGGCGCTGGTCGCTGTGGTCGGATTGTCCTGTTTCCTGCCAAAAAAATTATTGACACCATTGCCAATGATTGATGATTTATTGCATAGGTGCATGCATCAAGACGCAAGAATGACACGAGGATGGCTTCAAAAGGAAGACGCCAAGCACCGTGTAGGGTTACCGCTTCCAAAAAACCAAAATCAACAAGACCAGGACTTGGGACTCTCAAAACTCACCTGTGACTTTTCTTCATCAAAAGCGGTTGGTGATCGTAATTGCAGGGCTGGATGCCACTTGGAACGTTCGACCATCCCGACTTGGACTATTCTGGGTGAAGCTGTCTCGAGGAGGCTTCTTCCGGATGCGGTCGACCATGGTGACGATGAGCCCTTCTCCGCTATCTCGGAGGCAACAAAGCGCCGCAGCATCTCTTCTCCCTCGGATATGGAACAACTCTTAAGCGCCGCGAGTAACGACTCGAAGTTTGTAGTTTCCGATCTATGCTTCCGTTTCGCAAGCTGCAATGGCACAGATCCGACGCTGGATGGAGGTTCCATTTTCTGATTGTCGGCGTCCTCGCGTTTGAGCGATGGTGCGCTGGCGCCGCCCGTATCGCCATCAAGATTCATTCCCTCTCCTGCTTCATCTGGGGGCGGCGACTCGACAATATCTCCATTCGAGATCATTGTATGGTCGGAACTTTGTTCATCACTATCTCTCAGGTAGTGTTGAATGGCTGCTGCAGTGTCCTGATTGCTGCCGCTACTTTTTATTATATCATACAGCGAATTCAGCCGAGGCGAGGGACCTTCTCTTATGCTATCCATCAATCGATTGAGAGTCTCCTGGTACGACCTCGACTCGTCGATCGTGCGCTGGAGCGCCGCGCGACGCCGCATATCGAGCGAAAGGTCAATGACACATTCCGTGCCTAGGCTTTCGCAAAGCTGACAAGGGGGTGGTCCGCCAGTGCATTTCGTCTTTCGCTTCTTGCATGCCTCGCAGGCGGCCGAGATTCTGGCACTTGTTTGTCGCTTTTTCGCATTCGTGGGCTTGAATGGTAGGCTCTCTTTAGCCGATTTGATCGGCCGTGCTTTTGGCGGCGAGGGCATTTTGGGTCAATGGCAACATACTTCCTCGGATTATCGCATCATATGGGAGGGGACCAATCTGACGCTGCTAAGGGGAAAGTTGTTTGTTTTGCTGCAATTATTTCCTGGCTCTGTTGACAGATTTGCGAGAGCCGGGCTGCTGGCTTGAGGCTGACTGTACCGACACCGACACCAAAAAGCAGCTACGATGCGAGACGAGACGTGTTGTTATGAAAAGAAAAACAAAGTTTGGTATTATTTGCAATGAAATGCGGGATTGCTGCCAGGGCTCGCAGGCCAACACAGGAGGGGAACCCCTTCGGGGCGGCCCAGAATTACAGAGGCAAAAAGGTGAGAACCTGGAAAATGGAAGAAGCTGGATATTTGATCCGACGCGGTTTATCAACAAGTCTGTCAGGATCGGATCTGCCATTGGAATTGGACATCCGCGGCTACTGATTGGTTGAGAGCGCCCCAGTGCCGAAGAATTTGCGATCCCAGCAAGCCCAGAAAATTGCCCATGCTGGCTCATCAGCGAGAAACACAACACCCACTTCCCACTCGTCGATGACGCACAAAGGGTCGTGTTAGCGGCACCGGCCACGCCACATGCGGGTCCAAGGGGTCACTGAGCCGAGCAAGGCCCCCCTTTTACTGTGGTAGCCTGCGGATCTGAGTGGCCAGTCAGCTCCAAGATCTGACGCAGGAAGATTTCCCCGGGTTCAATAATCCCATCTGGACGCTCGGTCTGGATTGTTCGACTGGCAGGGCTCAGGACCCTATCCAGGGAGCCACGGAGTCCAGGGGGAGCACTTGGAAGGAGGGGGTTTGTGTTGCTCGTTCGGGAAGGTCAATACTCGTATGAGTAATATCAACTGTTGGCGAGTGCGAGTTGGCGAGTTGGCCAAACCCTGCAGGATTTCCCGACGGTTTCCGCGTGGTCCACAAACCAACGAGCGCCAGAGCCAGGTTGCCAGAGAGGTAACGAGAAACGAGTTGGTGTGCAACCCCGATTCACACCTCGAGGCCCCAGAATGTGTTTTCTGCTCCAAGATCTTGTGGTGATTGACGTACGCGACGAAGCGCCACAGCGATTGAAATCGGGTGGGCTGACCATTCGCAGGTCAGGCTGAGTTCCAATATCCGTCGCAGCCGCAAGGTTCGTATTCTGCACTGTCACTAACTCCATACTGTCTACTGTATACATTTATCCGGAATGACGACCCTGCCGAGCCAAGCGCTGCCCTTTCAATTTCTGGCTTTTGCGTTAACTTTGGCATATTTGTGGGTGCTTTTTCGAGGCCCACCGTCATGGTCGCACCAATAATGGCGTACACTTCAAGGACTTGTCGGACGCCACCACTGCCACAGACGTTGTTGGTGGCAAATCTCGCAGGGGTAACAAAGAACTCATAGTTTATCTTGGAAGCCCACGAAGCCCACGAAGCCCACGAAAGCGGGAACAGTGGCTTGCGGCGATGTGGCATAGACCCTGGTCGATTGGTTCGTGGTGACGTAGAAGGCTTTTTTTCGAAAGCCAGACAGCCTCATGGCGGGGCATGATTCCTTTTGCTTCGGTTACTACTGTGCAAGACTGACGACTTGACTTCCTCTGGTAAAGATGGTTTCTCGGGGGCTCGCGTTACTCGTAGTTCGAGTACGTTCTCGTAGAATCTCGGATACGACAAGATGGAACTTCACGGAAAATAATCCTTGCTATGAATTGCCGAAAAGGGTTTGAGCTGTCTGTTCTTGGTTTCCCAAGTGTCGCGATCTGCAAAGATGTTGTCGTGGAGGCCACCTAGGGGGTGTTATTCCTTCCCTCCAAAGACACGGTAGTGACAGTCAAGCTTGGGCTGAGTCGACGGACCCCGGAGAAACTTGCAGGTCCCCCACAGTACTTACTTTTACTAGTAGGGGTTCCGCCGCGACGGTAGTCAACCCGGGGGAATGGAAGTTGTCTACCGGAATACTAGTACGTGCTAACGTTGCAGGGCCTCGGTTGGCTATCAAGTGTCGACAATCCCCGACAATCCCTACATACTACCTCGTACTTTACGAGTCAGTCCAAAAAGAAAAACACGTGGGTGGTGGAGATCGAAGCCCTTACACTACTGTACCCTAAGGCAAGGTAAGGTAGGGCTGGGTAGGGTAGTAATGGCTTGTCAAACTGCGAAGCCTCAATCCGAGATTCTTGGTGTGCATACCTGATGTCCACAGTGCACAGTAACCCACGGTAAGGTAGGTATTCCCAGGGCGTGCCAGGCTAGCAGAACATCGAAGTTTGTAAGACTAAGAATAAGAGTAAGAGTAAGAGATCTGGTTTGTCCTCCTGAAGGCTTTACACGTACAACGGAAGCCACTCGAGCCGAAAGAGTAGGAGCGGAATCACATTGCACAGCACAGCACAGCACAGCACAAGATTGCGATAAGTCACAAAGAATAACTTGGCTCATTTACGAGCTGATGCTAGGTATTGCTACGAGTACTGAGAAAAGTGTTATGTTCACGTCGCTCACCAGGATTCAACATCTGGCCCGACATTATAGGCCTTGTTCACAGGCCTTGAACCGCTGTCTTAGAAAAGTTCTGGCTTGGATCAAGCCAACCTACGTAACCACTTTTCAGCCTTTAAAAAAAGACCCCCAAATTCCAGTCATGTCCGGCATCAGGGAAGATGCGAGCCGCCTGGAGAATGACGAGCGGGATCGATTAATGGAAATCCTTCCATGGGTGTCAGCAAGTCCTAGTAGCAGTCGGGGGAGGTTGTAAAGTTCACTTGACATTTCCGTGTTCACTGATCCCGTCACCAGGGAATAATGGGCGTAAACATAGATGATGATGATGATAATGATGGCATTTCAAAGTCCAGCCCTGGCCCAGATTGCCGGATCTTATTTCCCATGCTAGATGCGAGATGATCTAACCTCCTGTTGTCTCCTATTTGTCTTGTAATGACGAGGGAATAGGAAATTGGTCAGTTCAGAACGACCAGCGCTTGGGAGTCAATGCCGGAGGGTAGTAGCTCGTATTCGGTGGAGAGGTTGGGACCTAATATATCTGCCGACGGTGTGGTTCCGAGCGTAGGTAGGATGCATGTGCGTTTTGTGGATTGATTCGACCATCTGGACCTTCCTTCTAGTGCTTCTCTTTTGGAGACGGACAAGGGTTCGGATTATGATCGGCACGGCGTCGACATGGCGGTGTGGGTGTTTGATTGCCTCTGCTCTGGCCCAGAACGTTTCCCATCATTGTCCTCGTGGAGAAGATGATGCTCCTGCTGGCCTATCCATTTGTCCACGTTTTCAGGTGTAGTCTCTGCTCCAATGATGGAGGGGAATCTCGTGACTTAGCTAATGGAGAAAGCACCCGTCGTTGAACCCGGAAACAACAGCTTGGGTGTTCGGACGGATGAGGTGTACGCAGTAGTCGCGAGATCGAGTTGAGTGGATTGGCCCTTTGGGTATATGTATGATGCTGTCAAGTAGAATCAACGCCATAGGCACGGACAGGTGTCCCTTCCATAATCTGCCCCAGCCGGGAAGGATAGAAGCTTCCGTTATCTGTCGAGCTGTCTTCAATGAGCTTAGCGATAGTGGTCACTATCTGAAGGTTCCAGCATCTCCGGTTCCGAACTTTTGCTTTGCTTCTTCCGATCCACGACATAGTGGCTAGAATCACCAGATATTCCACAATGGTTTCTTGTCATGCAACTCCACCTGCATCTGAGGGGCCAACAGGCGTAGCAGTATAGGATGTCGTTCTCCGTCGCCAGAGACCTGATCCCGCACCGTCGTAGGCCCACCACTCCTGCAGCCGGGCTGTCAGACTGTCTTCGAGCGTCTTACGTACTGCTTCAATTTGAACATCGGCCATCTGCAACTCTTGTAGGTCACCCTCCATGGTCAGGTACACGACTGTATGAGCAATTAACATCCAGGACGTCTCGCACTCGTTCCACGGGTCATTGACGTCCATGTGGCCTCCAGCTAACTCAATCTCATCACGGAAAATCGTGGTATGAGGATCAGGACACAACTTGACAAATAGGTGCTGGAGAAGTTTCATTTTGCGGATACATTTCAGGATCTCATCGACATGATTGTAGAAGGGAAAGATGGCAACAAAGTCCAAGCTAAGGAGGTTCGCGAACAAGGCGTCTCCTGCAACGGAATTGTTGAAATGCAGCGCCGTCAGAAGCGAGGGGGTACGTCGTAGGAAGAACTCATATGTAGTGTAGGCCATTAGACTAGAGCCTTCGTTGACGGTCATCTGTGACCAGGGTTTAGCAGCCAAAAGATTAGGGAGATTGTCGTAGTCGAGTTCCTGCTGAGCGTAATCGGACGATAACCCAAGGCGGAGTATTTGTAAGGGCATATCAAACGCCCAGGCATCGGTGCTCCAGGTATATATGCCCGCGAGCGCATCTAAGATTTCGGGAGGCGCGACTATGGCGATCTGTGTGGCGGATGGTAGGGCGTTGAGCAGCCGGGCCCACCATGCTGGATGGAGATGGTTGTAATGCGTGTGGACGTGGGCGGTCAGGCTTGAGACCTTAGAGCCCAGACCGTGTAAGGCCGCAAAGGCGAGGAATGCATCGAGTTCTAAAGGTTGGAGGGTTGAATGTTTGAAGAGTTGTGGGAGAGTAAGGGTACGGAGGAAACGGGTTGTCGAGGAGAGGGTTTTGAGCGGAAGATCGCGGCAACTGGAGTTTGCGAACGTATAGTGTTCCGCAATAGAAGATGAATAACTCCGGTCAGACCCTGGAGCTTTTGGCTTTTGGAAAACAACGGCTTCGAAGGGGTTTGGTGTATCGAGGAAGAAGATGACCCGGTCAAGGATTTCGGTCGGAAGAGTGAGGAAGCTTGTCATGATGATTTCTGAGAAAACGGGTCAAGCTCGCTGTTGAAAACCCTAAGACAAAATTGCGGATTGAGCGGCTATCTTCAGTAGGATTGATGAGGTCGAGCTCGGAAGACGATCTGGCGATCGGATGGAGGCAATATTGCGATTGTCACGAATCTAACGGGAATCGACAGTGACTATCGACCCCTTGGCTGCTTCAGATGTTTGTGGTCAACGCCCAGAGACGCTGAAAGGTCATCCGGACCGGCGTTTTACTGAGCCAGTCTCGATTTTGATACTGCACAAGGTGGTCTCCTCGTGTCTCTCTTACATCAAGATGGAGGTGGAGGGCCGTCGATCAGGGTGCACGTGATTGAGTTGCACGTGAATGCCAATATGCGGGGTAAAGTTGCTGCATCCAATCACATCCACATGCCTACTGCTAGCTTCGTGATCTTCTCTCCACCACTACTCGTATAGTCTACGGCGAGCCATGGAGCCTACAGCAGCCATAGCAGGATATTCGCCAGCTCCAATCAATCCAGGATGTGTCCCAGCAGGACGAGAAACACCTTGACCCCCGCCATCCTTGGAAGTCAGCAAAACGTCCGCTACGGGCCTGAAGAGGTCGAGATGCAGATATCAGGGACGCTGTGAGACACGGCTCGACCTAGACGGTTCAGATATACGGACTATTACTAAGTTGGACTATCTCTGAAAGAAGGTCCGTAGGGAAAGGAAAAGTTTGATTCACTTGAAAGCCACCTATTGGAAAGGAAGGTATTTTGTAAGGCCTCTGAAACCCGAAAGAAAAGTAATGTCCGTTCCCAATAAGAGACCGCAACCTCGAGAGTGGGATGCACTCAACGTCCAGCGCTAAGAGACCCAAAATCGAATGCGTTCGACATCATATCACCATTGTCTCGTGCCGTCATTGTCATAAAACTGTTTTTAAGGGGGGTTCAATCTGGCTATTGCCATGCCCGAAATGTAAATAGGGTTGGGGCGTATGCTCACCCAATGAAGTTGCTGCCCAGCTTGATGGCCATCATTGCACTTCTGGGCGCAACATGCCCTGCTCGGTGTTCGGTTGTGATCGATCTCGATACCAGAAGGCGAGGCAGGCCTGCCGGCTGCGGCCTTGATCTTTCCAGGCACTGGCCCTCTTGCAGCCAACTGGACCATTCAACCACAAGGCGCACCATCGGGTGCACAGGGCGTCGCTGGGGTTGCTCCCCCACAAAGGTACCCAGCCTCCTGGGTAAATGTGACATCAGGGAACGGCAAGAAAGAGAAAGTCATCCGCTCTTGCGTCCGTGTTAATTTCCCGTTTGCAAATAACGGCTCGCCCGCACCAAGGTCATACATGGTAGTCCCCGCCATATCTCGGAGCAGCCAGCGGGCCAGTTGGACTATCTGACTCGAAGGAGAGCTCTCACTGGCATGGATAGCCCAGTGTGTGATGTACGGATCGTCAGAAGGAATCGTGTCGAGACCTTCACGGAGAAGGAGGGATACAAGCCGCGCTGTCAGATTGGGTCCTGGATGATGGTGTTTAGGTCGTGCGCAGGCGAGGTGGAATAGGTGCAGCGGCAATGGGTGCGCAAAGGGGCCGACCATCCCGCGATTCTTCAGAGTTGTGGTGCCATCAGCTTCAGGTTCGCCCATCGTAGTATAGTCCAATTTCATCGTAGCATAGTGCAGTTCCAGCAATACCAACAATGCAACTTCGTTGCCTTCGTGAATGGCTGTAGCCATTCCCTTGAAGAGCGCTTCCGCAGAGATCACCAGGACATTCGCACACCTCCAAAACCGTAGTCCCTGCCGTAAAAGTTGAACGAGGGTAAGCCGCTCTTCAGTCCAGGCCGGCACAGCCAGGACGTGGTTTGGTATCGCGTGGACCGCCATGGTACTCATACCTAGATATAGGGTCTTTCGCAGTCGGCCAGTCTTATCAGCCGAGGACTGCCACAACATGATTCGCGGAAGTGTTCCTGCGTCGCCGACAGGACCAACTGGGAGCCTTTCAGTAGCATTAGACGGATGTGCTTGGCCTAGCGGTGGCGGTGGCGGAAGGAGGGCTGAGATGTCATCCGGCGAAAAAGACTTCGCAAGAAAATGTGTCTCCATGCCGACATCGTCAGCTAGCTCGGGCAGAGTTGCGGATAGTCCGAGATAGGTACTGAAAACGAGTGGGGATGAGAGTGCTTCGGGCTCCAGTTGAAATCTCTCTTCAGCATTGTGCTCGCGGTGCCAGGCCTGCACCATTTGAAGACGACTCAGGGCTGGCATGCATGACTTCAGCCGCGCCAGCGTGCACCACCTGCAGCTCAGAATGCCCTGCTGCAATTGGATTTTATCGAAGAGGTTGACATGTCGATATTCAGCTGGTAAGAAGTGTCGAGTCTCGACAGGACTCTCTTCGTCATCATAGAAATAAGCGAATAGAATCAAGGCGTTGTATATGGAAGGATTTGAGAGCGCGTGGGCCAGGTATGGCGAAGCACGCGGCATATTGACCTCGAAGGAATGGAAAAAGATCTGCTGAATAATTTCAACAGGAAGTGACTCCAGAGTCGACAGCTCAGTCTGGCGTGTGCTACTCATGTCGGCAGTGGCTTGTGCGTGCATGATTTTGGCTCGCTGTCTTCGTGCTCCCAGTGATGGCTTCAGCTCAGAAGTTCGTTTCATAGGTCGCCCTCTAGAATGGCTTGAGCTGTCAGAAGTATCTGCATCCGCTGTCCGCCGTTTCGGTTTGTATGAAGGCATCAACATGGTGCAGAGCTTTCGCCACGTCGATTTTCCTTGGCTTGGAACTTTGGTACTTCAGGTATGCAGTCGAGCTGAAATCGAAGTGCTCGTCACAGTCGCGATATGACGCCGGGGTTACCCCGGCAGCCAGCCGGCCTGCGCCGCTTTTAAACATGTAGGTCCCACCCAGCAGAGCAGCGATGCAGCACTTCGCACTTGGATGGAGACGCTGTAGGCGTGTGTCTGTTGAGCTGCCAATATCGACTCCGCTGGGCGTTAGGTCTTGTCGTACTGGACAGCGCGTGGTGATGCCAAAAAGATAAAGTCGTGTCTCTCGAGCTTAATAGCACCTAAACAGTAGCACTAAGTTCAAAGAAGGCAGGTTTGACGAGGGGGTCACATGTCAGGCTTACCTGTCGCGAGGCTGGATCTTCAATCCACGTAGCTGTTATCGCATAAACATGACGGCAGCGGGTGGAATGCAGAGGACCCGTATAGTCCTCCAGCGCCGGAGCCAAGATTGGCAAAATGGACGAACGAGTTGCCTTTTGTACGTTTGGCATGTTTATAATCGGTCCGCTCCCACCAGACCGAACGATATGCGCAAATTGACTTGCAGCAGACCAAATCGAATACCTCAACGGGCGCGTACCAGCCGAGAAGATCCTTGGCGGAGCCGGCACATACGCTGCTCTTGGAGCTCGCCTTGCGGCTGGCGAAGCGAACTCCAGATATGTCTCCTGGATCGTGGATATGGGATCAGATTTCCCACCAGAGTTCAAGGTCTTGATCGATACCTGGCAGACTAGATGCACCTTCAGACTGGATATGAGCCGGCTAAGTACCACTGCTTGGAATGGGTACGGTCCAAATGAGTTCAGAGGTAAGCTTTCAGTTCACATCTCTGGTTGGTCATGGCTGATATGGGAAAGCATTCAAGTATTTGACGCCGAAGCTACGACTTGACGAGACATCATTGTCCGACGAGCAGGCTCTTTCCCGATCGTTTCATATGGTCTGTTCGCCGACGCGATGTATTTCGATCATCGAGGGCATCATGGCTCGCCGACGCAGGCTTGCGGAAGACGAGCTTCGTCCGATATTTGTCTGGGAACCAGTACCTGATCAGTGCACACCAGCAGAGCTTGAAAGAGTGCTAGAAACAGCTACTCATGTGGATGTTGTCAGCCCGAATGCCGAAGAGTTTGCAGCATTGTTCACGGGTAGTACCGAGCAAAATTCGCGGCAAGCTATGGTAGAGAAGCTGCTGGGTCTGCGAGGATTAAGGCCATTGAGCACAGCACTTGTGGTAAGGGAAGGTGCCCAGGGATGCACTATGTATCGAGGCTCGAGATCCCTACATTTGCCGGCATACCATCAGAGTGCAGAGCGTGTGGTCGATCCCACAGGTGGAGGAAACACATTCTTGGGCGCTTTGGCAATTGCCATGACGGGGACAGTTTCGCCCTCTGAGACTGATGTGCACGAAAGGCAGATTCCGGACGGCTGTGCCCAACAGCAGAGGCTTCTGTTTGCTCTTCTGCATGCCACGGTAGCTGCTAGTTATGCTATTGAGCAGGTCGGAATGCCGGTTCTGGCAGCCCGAGGGATCGACGTTTGGAATGGCGAATCGTATCAGCAGCGGTTCATGTCTTACCTGCATAGAGAGACGACATATGTATCTGAGCAGCTCGAAGAGTGGCAATTACCGAATCCTTGACGCACAAACTTCCGCTGGAACAGCGTTTTGATTCTGGTCAGTCTTTGTAGTATTTTGGGATTGGTCAAACGTTTCCTTTCTGAGAAGATCTTATTTCTAGGACTCAAACGGAAGGCCCGAGTCCGGGCATGACCTCTCGAATTGAGGTCTTGCAACTGCAATATTCACAGAGGATGACCATTTATGGCCTGGTGTTGTTCCATTCTTCTCATTTGATGGTCATGTCCTGTCCTTTGCTCCTATCGCCGCTCACTGTCCCCATTTCTACCGCGGAAAGGTATGTTAGGTCCGTTTGATGCATCATGAATCGAGTATGTACAGTGTATGCTGCGACCTTCTACTCTGGAAGGTCTTCCGTTCACAAGGTCCTGCTTGCGTCCGTCGAAGGAGGTATCTATTTCTGGGCTTTGTCGTGTTCAAGTATTTGCTTGCTCCAACTAGTTCAAAATTAGCTTGTGGCCACTATTAAGACACGTTTCGCAATTTTGAGACCGTGGTTTCCATCTCTTGACTTGGTTTGCTGCGCTCCTGAAGCCCTGACACCTTAAGATCGCGTCGTGCGAGAGAGACTTACTTCCGACTGGGAAAGAAACCAGTTCGCTCCGGCATCTTGTATCTGTGCTCCCTGTTTGCTGACACGTTCCAAGCAATAAGTGCACACCCCGCAATGACGGCCCCGAAGATCATGGTGTTCGACTTCCAATTGTGAGGTTGCGCATACCAACCACCGGCGGGTGACCAGACGTGCTTGGGGTAGGGTACTTTTCCACCGCCACCCATCTTCGCAGGCGTTCGCGGTTCGACGATAGTGGTAGGGAGGTGGCAGGTCTCGCTGATGATGTTCACAACCTGGGTGGCAGCAGGACAAGGACGTGAGGGTTCGTCGCAAGGTGCAGCTCGTAATGTTGAACGATCATTGGCTTTGGGAGACATGAGCTCTGCACGTGATTCTGATCCTTGGCAAAATTGGGATTGGCCTGCAGCTTCCGTGCCGTAGATTTTCTCGCGTGGTCTCGTGTTGCAGGAGGAAAGTCCTGGCAAGGCTTGCATTCATTTGTACATTGATTTGGTATTTTATTCTTCGTTCAAGCGGCTTCTGATACACGGCGCATCCGCCAACGTATCGCAGAGCTATTGTAGCTCTAATGAAGAGGCTGAAGCTCCTGCGATGGAGCGGTAATGTACTTTCGCCTCGGACGAGACCCGAATCTTCTCAACTCCCTTTCTACAATTTTCGAAGATGTCAAGCTACGGCCGCCATCCCCTCCGAATCTCATGACCAGCTGGTCGACAACATCGAAGACACTCGTTATCTCCCTGAAGAGATACTCACGAGACTGCCCTCGCCTCCGGTCACAGCGGCGAAGACTTCTGCCAAGCTTGCTGCTCTGCACGCTCGACTTTCTCTGCCTTCACGACTTCCTCTTGAGACGTTAGCGAGAACGCTGGTCGACGAGTCCGCCGATCCCTCAACCCGATTCAACAACAAGTCATTCGCTGTGCTTGGTAATGATTTGCTTGGATACTACACTTCTGAATACATATTAAGCCAATACCCGAGATTACCGATGGCCGTCGTGTTTGCAGCGATGTATGCTTACCATGGTCCGGCGACACTGTCAATGCTCGCAAGAGAATGGGGTGTAGACGCAGCGGCGGCGCCGGGTGGTGAGGTGGATCCAGGCTTGCTCCAGTTCAAAAGGCTCCCGCCTCAACCAAACCCCGATCACCGGACACCGCAAATAATCGAAACGCGGGAGCAAGGCGAGTCATTCCGGCGAACAATGAGCTCAAGAACGGTCTACGATGATCAGTTTGGTGAACGCAAAGAGCGCGGTGAGGATCTGGCGCAGAAAGGCGTCACTCTAGAAAAGGCCGCGACCAACTTTGTTCGGGCAGTATTTGGTGCAGTATATTTACATGCTGGAAGGGCAACTGCGAAACAATTCTACAACGATCACATAACCTCTCGGCAAGTCAACATGGCTAGCCTTTTCCAGATCAAGACTCCAACCAAGGACTTGAGCCGACTTTGTGCTAGAGAGGGCTTCCAGGCGCCGGTGGCCAAGATTCTCAGTGAGACGGGTCGGAAGAGCAGGACACCGGTCTTCGTAGTCGGAATCTATTCCGGCGGCGACTTGCTTGGAGAAGGGGCAGGCGCCAGTCTGGATGAAGCCAGAACACGAGCGGCAGTAACAGCACTCAAAGGATGGTATCTTTACAGCCCGACCGAGTTCCGGTTGCCTAGCGAGATGGAAGAACCAGGAGCTAAGCCGTGGACACCGATGATGGTCGACGCGGGGGAGATCGCCAATTGAGGTCAATCTTTGACTTGTAATTTACGGAGTACCTCATTGTCATTCGAGGTGTACTTTTATCATCTGCTGCCCGGCTGCGGCGACCAAAGCGTGGCATTTCCGGGAGTGTGGGGGAAAAAGGGCCAACAGGAGGTCCAGTGACTATTGTGTAGGTCATCGAGTTTCAATGCACATATGGTATCCATGTCCTCTCAAGAAGGCTTTCCCGGGTGCTCCACCAGTGGCCATGTGGAATAGCGCAGAACTGGACGGCCTTCTAGATGGTGCCCTGTTGTTCGCGCGAACCTGAACCCGGATTACGTTAATGAAAGTGTTCGCTTCCAATCTTCGCTTGGATCCCATGTTCCGAGTGATGATATTAAGTCTAGAAGAAAGGCGAGAACGTGACGGAGTACTAGACGCGGAAACCACTCAGGGTCATCTGTTCGTGTGGAATATTGACTTTGTGACCGGTCTCCGTCTGTATATGTCAAGCCAATCACCACATTCACACGTGACAGCTTGGCATGGAGCGGCGATGACGTCGAGGATCTGCCTGAGCCTGGAATTTAGTCTCTTGCAGCGATTGTCTTCACCCTGCTCGTTCTCGTACAGGCGTCTGGCCGGCAATGTCGCAAAGTCTTGTAGCAGACCTGTGAGAATTCGATTGGGCAAGTGTTCAGGGGAAAATCGGTCTCACAATGATCGGGCGTTCCGCAGCCGAAAAATCGACAATTTCCAATGAAACAGAGAACTTTATGATGGACAAAAGTCCTCCCCTACCAAAGGTCGCCCCTGCGCCACGGAATGGTTCGCACTGCCCCACGAATTAAGTTAGCGACATGACATGCTAATAACGTGGAAGTCCCCCGTGGCCTACCGACTGGAACTCGGGCTGGATGGGTGGCCTCGGTTCGTATCCCCACAAGATCGTTGCCTTGCCGGGGGCGCATGACTTCAACCTGTGACTCGTCTATCACAACCTGAGGATGGCGATACAGCGATTTAGCCTTGCTAGGCACTTTTTCCAGGAGTCAGCCACTCATAGAGGCTTCAGCTTCCGACCTGTGGCCAGGATTCTCTTATAAGCTTGCACTAACTCGTGCCATTTCAACACCTGTTTCTTTCCCACTATTGTGTACTCATTTCCTGCTACAGCAGCTTTAACTGATCTACTTCTAATGGCAGCCGCAGAGTACTTCCAGCCCGGCGCCAGACCGCCGTTTGAGCAACAAAATAGTCTACACCACCCTCCGCAACCGCAGAGGGCGAGTTCCTCACAGCCGGCTTTTGGATGGAACTCATCACAACAGGGCCATCCCAGCCCGCAGCATCCAGCTCAGACTTCACACTACCCTCCGCCTCCTTATCACGCGCTCAACCACGAACAGAAACCTCAAGCTGCCGTGCATTTCGCACAGGCTCCCTCACCTGGCGAGCATGATCGGCCTTCTGTTGCTCAGCCGCGACCCCAGTCTTACTCTACGAATCAACCCATCTATCATGCACACCCAAGTCAACAGCTCGCTCCGTGTCAGCAAAATCCTTATGTGCCGCCAGAATACCAGAGCCAACAGCCTTTCTACCCGCCACCACCTCAGCGCCCTCGTCCAAGCCTCTCGAACACTGATCTAGCACATGGGGGTGGCGGGTATCTATCAGACCCAGAGCCTCACAGGAGGAAACACAAGAACCGATCGCGGCGGATATCAGACAATTCACGGTCTACGAATGCAGACGCATTTCTGGGAGCCGCTGGTGGTGGTCTCATAGGCGACCTGATCTTCCCGGGTTTGGGTACAATCGGTGGTGCTGTGGTCGGATGGGTCGGTGGCAAAGACTATGGCAAACACAGAAAGTGGCGAGAAGATAAAAGAGACCGGGAACAAGAGAGATGGGAGAAGCAGTTCGGAGATCGGTCTCGGTCGAGGAGCCGCAGTCGGGGCAGGCGACGCAGGAGTCATGAGTAAGATTCGTACTGCTCACGTTTGGTGATGATTTCTCGATATCTCACGACGCTTACGACAGGTTTGGTATTGACTTGGTGTGCCTATCTTAGGAGGGTTCGCTATGTACAAATTCCTGGAGAATGGTGATAGACGATATTGTTGGCCTCATGGGCCGACATACGAGACCACAGTACTCGTACACAGTATGCGATGGAGTCGTATCTTCTCATTTGTCAAGAAATTCCCTTGTGCTGCAAGATCAATGTGGCGCGAATCAGGCCTGCAGCATTCTCATGCAGTGACGGTGGCAAAGGAACTGTATCCGTTAGTGTGCTTCTACCGACACAGTGTGTCATGCATGGTGACATGATCCCCGGTCCGTCTATCCGTTAGACAGCCGTGACAGTTCCAATTTTAGGCGCCAACCAGAAATCGTTTTGGGTGGCTGGTCCTGGAGTGTCCAGGTCAGTTGTTGCCACTACATACGAGAACGAACATCGTTAAGCGTCGTGGTACGGTACAGCATCGTCGTGACGTCTTTTTCTCTCCGGCACCAACATCGATTGCACATGAGGCTCGTTTTTCATACCTAGGTATATCTCCTGACCGGCAAGCGGGTATCTGTCCCGATTATGCGGAGCATCATGGGAGTACTCCGTAGGTACCCTAGCTCGCTAGGTAGGCAGCCAGGATAGTATGCAGCCTGGAGTCCCAGTCCATCAATCGCCCCCTCGCGAGACAAGAACAACGAGAGACACGATATCCAGGGGCTCCAATAAGCAAGATATTTGCTCGTCTTCCGTGACCTTCGTGCCAAATTACGGCATGCATAAGGTACTAATCATCACCGCCGTCCCGTATGGCTAGCATATCATCCCATCTGTCGAGGCTCGCCGTCTAAGGCAGAGCGTCTTCCTTTCTCCTCGTGCCTGTGCCTAGAACGTCGCGCGTCGTATCTTCCCGCCCAGCCCGGAGAACATCTTCCGAGGTACAAGATGCCCGATCCGACTCATGCGCGCGATGCCGCAGCGTGATCCAGTCGGAAGTTGAACATAGTTTCCGCATGCTGGCAAGAAACAATGCCTTGATGGAAGCCGTATGACAAAGAGCTATCGCAGGAAAATTGTAGGGCATGGTTGGCCTGGCAAGAATCGATATTTGGCCGCCTTCGTCAAGCATTAAAGCGACTCTCAACAACCCTTACCACTTACAGCTCGGTTCCCATCTCGGCATCAAGTCAACATCAAGTTCCAGTCCCAATCCTGTACGCCCGTCCCAACCTCGGTGCCATTGGTACTGAACATTCCGGCATCACCGCCAAGGGGAGGATCGAGATTGCCCATTCCGGCCATTGCGGCATTGCTCAAACGATTGATGTAAATGTCGTACCCGTCGATGGCGGTGTCGATCTCCGTGAGCCATGGATTGATGCCGGCATCACTGGACTCGGCCGCAGACAGAGGAAACCCGTGCGCAAAGGTTCTCTCGTTTGGATAACTGGCCCAACTGTCTTGCCTGGGGTGCGGTTGTGGCTGCGATGAGGGCGGTTGTGCCATCAGAGTATCCCCGCATAGTCTGTGAATGATATCCCTGCATTTCGTGGCGCTGGAATTGAGGTTCGTCATGGCGTTGATCACATTCAACGCTGTAAATACTTGCTTGCGCCACGACGGTGCATCGGTATGCATAGGGTTTCGTCGAAGACAATGAATCGGGATCAGGGCGGCTTGAAGGAGGAAGTATCTTTGAAACGTGAGTGAATAATCATGGATGGGTCGTTGGGAGGCCAAAGCGAAATCACTTACAGTACATACCAAGCTGCCAGCCTAGTATGAGTTCCGGTCGACCAAAATTGGAAGATGCAGGAAATGCATTCGTCCGCAGCTCTGAAACAGCGTGTGGTGGCGATCCTTTCGGGAGTCGGTGCTGACATTGGTGGTGAAGCAGACATGTTTTCTGTCGCAAGCCCGTCTTGCGTCCATCGGATCAGAAATGGTCGGTACATTATGATTCGCAGGAGTCGAAAACGCCAACGACTGATTGAATGGCCAAGCAGGTATTCGTTGCCCAGGGGCAAGTCTCTGTCGTTGTAATGCTCTGGGAGATTGGCAAGCCAGCTTCCCACAAGTTCGTCATCGAGTGCAATGAGCTCGGCTGCTGAGGGGAGCGGGCTAGAGATGAGTCGATTATAGATTCGAATGGTGCGGAGATGATACTGTGATTGAGTGCTGATGTAGGTGTAAAGTGTGGTCTCGTTCAACTCTGGCGGGAAGGACGTCGAGGTGGGTTCAAGGTCCTGTCAAGATAAAATATCAGTCTTCTGATTTGTGAAGCGGTACATGGTACCGTGTAGACGAACCTTTTCGTGTATATTGAGTGGGAAGGCGGTCTCGACGCCTACCAGGGGCCAATTCAATGGACGCCCATATGTCACCGTTGCCCCAACGTCCAGAACACAGAGCGACCACCATACTCTCCGCCGCACTTCCTTTTTGAAAGGCGTCGCCTGCCAACCGTGAAATTCCTTGTGTAGTCCTAACGAAGTAGCCATCCGCAAAGCAATGCCTCCGTAGTTATATCCGCTATTCGGTCTGTTTCTCTTTTGTAGATAGGTTGCAGCCATAGCGAAGGCTTGGACGAGACTCAGACTTCCCGTTTCCAGCGAACCAATGGTGAGGTTTGCTTTGACAGCGTTGAATAGGGTGGCATGGGTGTCATCAGTGCCGCTACTCGATACAAAGGCGCCCAATGTGGCGACAAGGTTCACAACGATATGGAAGGTGCTACCCCCAGGACGACTGTTCAATTTCAGGTACTCCTGGCGGAAGGACGGTTGATGAAGGATGGGAAAGGTCGGATGATAGAGCGCGAAGTAGGCGTCGACCATGCTATCAACCACTGCCCGTGTTATCAGCGGCTGGGTCTGAAGCCATGAAGAAGGTAAACGGTCTTCATCGGGGCTATCCTTGAAGAGCTGTTCCATGGTCTGTCTGCGCTCGATCCTCACTGCGCCTTTGTCCTCTGATCTTTCCGCAGTATTTCCCATCCAGATGAGGCGGAGAAGTGCAGCTCCAGAGACCGAACCATAGAATCCAGTGTGAGAATCATCGGTTGTAAGTGTCGCCATACCATCCGTTATCTTGGGCATGTCGGCGTCCGCGTCATTCTCAGAGGTGGAAGTGCCGCCTGCCACATCCCCGAAATTCCAAGAGGGATCCCTTTCGTCCCATTCGAAGTCATCGTCCGCGGCTGGAAGATTTTCAAAAGGCGCGCTGCTCTCTTCGGCGGGGCTTCTGGATGATTCAAGCTGTTGAACATCGAATTTCTGGTCCGGATCAGCACTCCGCATGGAGAAGGATTCTTGTCGTTGTAAGGCAATCGTGTCTTCACCGGGGTGGCTCCTCGATCTCGTGAGTATATCATCATTCGAGGCCGTCACCTGGTTGATGGGCCGTGATGGCGCAAGATTGGTTCCGTTGGAGACCCCATGAGCAAGCATTTGCGATAATTCAGCATCGGTGAAAAATGTCCTCAACAAGGCTTCAGCCTTCTCTAGTCGTTCTTCCACTTCAGTGAGGTGTCTGTCGTGATTTTAGCTTTGTTCATTCCGCGCTTCAAGGAAGACTACAGTATCCAACATACTTTCTTGTCAGCGATGACCTACTGTGTTTATCGTACAGACAGTGTCGATTGTATCTCTGGCAGACAGAGCATACTGGCATTTTTCCATCACACTTTCCTTTGCGACGTCTGCACTCCCGACACGATTGGCCGGCATTCGATGATGGCTTGTCATTTTTCTGGGCGTCAGCCATTGCAGGCGCATCCAGGCGACGGGGTCGCGTGCATATAGTGGAAGTTGATGCTGAAGAAAGTGAAAACAAACTTTCTGGCCATGAAGACGAACAACATTTCGTTGCCCAACCCCGCAACGACCCCTATTGGGTTAGCCTGGAGCAGCAGAAACGACACCTGGAGAGTGGCTCGCTGGCTTTTTAGCGACCCCATGACGCCCCCGGACTCTTAAGCGGCCGCCTGCATCCGAAGTTGAGGAACACCTGTCAATCTAGATCTCGTGCCTGCCACTAGGCCGATGAGGCTTTTCCTATGATGCTCGACAGTGGCGGGAATCGGGTGTATGAGACCCTCCGCTGTGACAGCCCTGCAGACAGAACAAGTGCTACCAGCGACATACCCTTGCAAGCCAAAATTCGCTTACTATGGGTGATTCATCTCAAAGACCTACAATATCTCACTCCAGCAACTTAGACCCTAAAAGCAAAGCCGGCCGATGAATTTCGCTGGACCGTACCCTGTTATATGATATTGATATTGATAATAAAAGGACTGGCGAAATGCAAATTATTCTTTGACTTTGACAACGACCTTGCCAAAATGACCACCACTATACAAATACTGGAATGCTTCTTTCGTTTGCTCGAACGAGAACGTCCGGTCCACGACTGGCTTGATCTTATGGGCACCGTAGAACTGTAGCATCTCCTCGAATCTGTCCTTCGGACCATTCAGAATGCCTTTCAACGTAACGGTCCTCCTTAAGGCTAGGACATTAGCATTGACGCGGTCACCTGGTTCGTCCTCTTTGCCCGACAGGTAGCCGATACAGTTGATGAGACCGCCAAACGCTATACAGTCGAATGATTTGCGCAAGGTTTTGGCACCACCAGCCTCGAGAATGATGTCGACTCCTTTGTCATGGGTGATCTTCATGACAGTGTCTTGCCAGTCGGGATCGGTACGGTAGTTGATGGTGTGCGTTGCGCCTAAGGACTTGGCTCGCTCGAGTTTGGCGTCTGAGGAAGATGTTATGATAGCTGTTTATTGCAGGCCAGTCAGTCTCCAAGCAATTGTTGCCGCGCTGACAAGGTGGCAGCACTCACTTTCTGCACCTGCAGCATGTCCGATTTGCAAGCCAGCAATCGCCACGCCTCCGGTCCCTTGCAACAGAATTGTTTCCCCCTTCCCGCCAGGCGAACCCATGGGTCTAGTGCCGTTGATAGACATCCAAGCTGTGACTGCAGCAATGGGTAGTGTACTGGCCTCTTCGTCACTAAGATAATCTGGAGTTTTGACTAGGCCAGTGACTGGAAAGACTCGGTATGTCTGCAGGACACCGTCGAGAGGTAAGCCGAGCCCAGACGTCATTTCTTTAGGTGTAATTTGTCCAGTGAGATGTGTTTGGTTGAATGTTGACAGGACGCGGTCACCGATATGCCATGGACTGGGGTTCGTGCCTTCGCCGATTTCGACTACGACGCCGCACATATCTGAGCACGGGACGATGGATGAAGCTTCGCCAACCGACTTATGGTGCTTATAGGTCCCCATAGCCACTATCGCGAACAACTGTGTCTCAGCCCAGAGCTCGGAGGGTGTAAAGGGGAATATTTGTTTGCCAGACTCACCTTCAGTATCACGGTAGTTCAGCGAGACCGTATATATCTCGACGAGCACTTCATCCTTGCCTGGCTTTGGCATTGGCCCCCGGGACCTGGTCAGGTTCTCAAGCCCATCTTGTGATGCTTGCCATTTCTGGACTTCGCCAGGTAGAGTCATTCTGCCACAGGTGAGGAACCAAGGGGGAGTTAGAAATGAAGGATGGCACGTTCGCAACTTTTGCAAAAGGAATTGGATGTTCAAATCGATCAGACGGTACCTACTAGGTGCCTGCATTCCCATACCACCGGTTCTCGGCCTGGAAAATGTTGGCCGGGTAACTTCGCCGACGCCAGAAAACACGATGCCAATACACCGTTGATCTGGAATCTCTGTCCGAGTGGCTTTGTGGGGGTCTCGACACTGACGCTGTTCCTGACATGTCTCTTGAGGACTTGGCCGAGTCCAGGCTAATTTCGATGACATAAGCACCGGTCTGTAAAATTATTTCTCCGGGTATTTTCTCAACTAGTACTAACACGGCTTAGCGTTCCTTGGGAACGAGGGGCATGATGCTTGTGCATTTTCTTTTTGTTCCGGGCCACCCAGCGGGCCACCGAGTCCCGAGTCCCCTGCATATCAACCTCATATCAGCCTCTTTTTCGCCTCTTCTACTGTGTATGTACGAGATTATCAAGATACTTGACGATGAAGCAAAATGAGCAAATTAATCATACTTCTCATACAGTTTCTAGCCTTTTATGCGCTTTGACCGGTTGGCCAACTCTTCGCGAGTAATGCCGAGACGCCTAGGCGCGTCGAGTCCTTCCAAAACTTTACATTCATCCGATCCGTTCCTGACTTCTCCATGCCCGAGGTGGATTACTTTTTCTCCCTCACACCATCCTTTGGTCCTCGTTTTCGCATTCTCGCTGCTTCTCCTCGTGACCTTTTGTTCAGTTCGACCGTCTGTTGCTGACCAATTTCCTTTCCCTTTCTAATCTCCAGTAGCCATCTGGTCCTTCGCAGCCGTCTTGACTGTTGTCTTCCCACCAGTCCAGCCTCCCAACCTACAGCGACTTCAACTATCAACATCCACCTAGCTCTCAAATCCATCCTAGCACCAGACTACTTGCCACACCACAGGAGCTGGTTCTCCTGCTCTGTGCCGTCCAGCGAGATGCTGCCTCCCGTCCCCCGACTCGAAGACTACGGGGTCTCTCCAGACAGAGGCTTCCTCCCTCCCGAAAACCCGCTACAATGTCTTCCCCATCCTGTCTACGACCGCTGGGAGCGGATCATGAACAACTTTCAATCCCTACTACTCTCCAAGAGACTCCGAACTGTGATCGACAGACTGCCAATCATGCCAGCAGCCCATCTCGAGACCGAACCCGAGTGGCGAAGAGCATACAGTATTCTTACATTTATGGCGCATGGGTACATCTGGGGCGGCGACAAGCCCTCTGAAAGATTGCCTCCTTCGATAACATATCCACTTCTCCAGGTATCAGATCACCTGGAGTTACCCCCGGTCGCCACTTATGCCGGGTTGTGCTTGTGGAACTTCAAACCCATCTTCTTGTCCGAACCTCTCGTCCTCGATAACCTCTCTACCCTCACCACATTTACCGGTTCGCTGGACGAACAATGGTTCTATCTAGTCAGCGTGGCTATGGAAGCAAAAGGTGGGCCTTCCATACCCATCATGCTCCAGGCAATTCAAGCTGCAAGAGATGATGATGCGCAAACCGTGACAAAGAGCCTTCAGTCCTTTGCCCAAACGCTGGACGAGCTTGGCACTTTGTTGGTGAGGATGTACGAGAATTGTGATCCACACGTCTTCTATAACCGGATAAGACCGTTCTTGGCTGGCAGTAAGAACATGAAGGATGCAGGCTTACCACACGGCGTCTTCTACGATGACGGAAGCCGTAATCGCTCGACGTGGCGGCAATATGGAGGTGGTTCGAATGCACAGAGCAGTATGATCCAGTTCTTTGACATCGTCCTCGGTGTCGAGCACAGACCGACAGGGTCGAAGAAAGACGAAACATCCGAATCGGAAGCCGAGCCAGGAGCTGCGCCGAAGCCTCGACACAATTTTATTCACGAAATGAGACAGTATATGCCTGGACCACATCGGAGGTTCTTGCAAGCTGTTGAAAGTGTTTCGAATATTCGAGATTATGTCCAACTCAACAAGTCCAACCTAGAGCTGTGCGTTGCATACGACGCTTGTTTGGCGATGCTAAGGACCCTGCGGGACAAACACATCCAGATGGTGTCCAGATACATTATTGTGAAGAGCCGAGAGTCTCGCAGTCTGAGCAGAACAAGAAGAGAAAGTAGTTCAGACCACGCTCCCATGACGAGAGGGAAAGGAATCGCTTCCATTCGCTATGACCAGTCCAGTGCTGGCGAACAAGCTCAAAAGAAGAAGAAAATGCGTGGCACGGGAGGAACGGCTCTCATACCCTTCTTGAAACAAGCTAGAGACGAGACTGGCGAACCTGCCATTGATGAGTGGGCTAGGAAGCTCCTTACGGGTGGCCGGCGGACGGCTGCGGATGCCGAAATTGCATATGAAAGCAGACTTACAGCTGCTGACTTGGATGCAGACGAACCCCAGATCGTTGGTTTGGCTGGTGCCTGGAGTATGGAAGATGCAGGCGGTGGTCTTTGTGCTTACTAGACCTGTAGCGCATTATATCTTTTACTTCGGAAGGCTTACTGCTTTGGTCTTTCAACCGGGTGGATATGCTAGACCAGACAACGCTCAACTCCTACCACAATGCATCTACAGACATCAAAGACATACGAACGAGGACCTCTCCTGGAAGCTGGTGACTTGTATTCGGACGAAAGTCCTTCCGTGCGCTAAAGCTGACAAGCTTAGTCCAACTCAGTTTCTAAGTTCTCATGTACTTCCCGGCGAACGATGACCCGGCGAGGTGCTCTCAAACGTCTTCGACAAGGCTGCCGTGGAGCTGGAGCCGAAGTACATTGGGAGCCGCCAGCTGTTCAAAGCGGACTGATCATGAAAAACGGAGGAGACTACTGTGGCTATACAGCAGTTTGTGATGTCCTCATGGCAGCAGACCAGCCTCAAATCCGAACCAGATCGCGACTGTGACTTCATCAAAATCTCGAGTACGTTGAAGGACGGCCCGTCGTCTGGCTCGGAAACGCCGACCCTGGCGAGAGCCCTTTGCTGAAGAGGATGTCAGGTGAGACTCACTGGTAAAATTCCCGAGATTCGGGGCGGCTCTGGAGGAGGTAATTGTGTCTATGGCAACGTGGGCGTTCAGTGTGCGCAAAAGACTCCTAGCATTTCGAAGTGGACTACGGACATTTGGCATTCAGAAGGAAATGAGGGTGGTGCTGTACCAGATCGCCCTCAAGCTGACACCGTACTTCTCTTCGACACCGATGTGAAAATGAGGCGAGCAGAAAGATGGTACGGACAATTCATTTCAATCGCTCATAGGTCTCTGGAATCCTATCGACGGAGATTACTGATGCTATCTCGACTCTGGATGGCTACATCACTTTGCAGGATTGACTTCCCTCGTTCTCTACGGTCAATATGACTCGGAATAAAAAGCGTTGCACGATCAATCTATTCGACAATCATCAGAGCTTCATTCACTTCACTTCACCTCCCACTCGTTTGTTCTACTAAAGGGGCTGGGCTAGGTCCGGCAATATCAACAACTGCCAACCTATCACCCCAAACGCATGAAAGAGTTTTCTACCGCTCAAGAAGAAGTGAAGAATCACCTCTGTCTTTCCGCATTTCAATTTCTCGCTTCATCTTCTTCTCATCTCTCATATAACCTTATCACTTCCAATGCCTCCTGTCCACGGGTTTCCCTCAGTGTCTTGAATACGTTGGTGTACGGATCTTTTTCATCATCTCCTGGTCGCAGTTGACTGGCTACAGGCTTGTTGCGTCCGTCTGCTGCTCTGAAAATGGAAACTCCAACAGGAAAGAAGCGTCGCCGTGAAGACACGGGTGAACTCAACCATGCATTCAACCCTGACTCGTCCTCTCCTCTAGGTCCAAGACAAGCCCTCACTACCTCATCTTCGAGTGTCATGGATGGTCCCTTCACCACTCCTGATGACCTGATCGACCCCTCGCTTTTCAATTCGAGCCCCTACCAATATGTCAGCGAGATGACAGACACGAATGCCTTCGGAGGTGGCACGGGTGGTCTTCAAGAGTTTGACTCTTCTGTCTTGGAAGATCCGTTCGGTGCCTTTGACAGTGCTGGTCCGTCAGATTTCGTCAGCTTGATGAAGTCTGCTTCTGGCAACAATGCAACTAAGATGGGCATTCACAACAGTACTTTCGATAACAGCTTGCTTCCTCAAGTCAGTCAAGCCACGACCCAACCAGAACCCCTGGCTTCTAGCCTCCAAAAAACTGGTCCTACCTCATCTACCTCACGACCACCTGTCGTTACAAGTGAGGGCCTTATTCTGGACGATTGGCCTGAAGACCACATGAACCATGAGGACTTCATCAAGGACTGCTTCAGTGTGCCATTCACCGATCCAGACGAACCTGCCAACAAGGTCACCCAGTCTGGGCCCCCTTCTTCAAAGAAAAACTCTGCACAACCCAGGGGAAAGACAAGCAAGGAAGGAGAGAAGAGCTTCAACGGTAGCAATCCTGAACAACGATCCACCTCTACTGTCAAGACTCCAAAGAACAAGCCTGTGGGTAACATTGGCCGAGCTCCTGCATCTGCGCCTACGCGAACCAAGAACCCTACTAGCACCAATTGGTATGGGCTCGGCTTCCCTCCTACCTCAGGTTCAGCCCAGCGTCGTCCATTTACCAATGTCTCCCCAAAGTCTACACCAATGCGTGGGCCATCAGGTTCAGCAAGAAATACCTTGTCCAACCCGACACAGAGAAAACCGTCCATGAACACAATACCGCTGGACTATACCTTGAACAATAACGGGGTGAGTCCACCTCCAGCCAAACGAGCAAGGTCCAATACGACAAACGGAAATGACCTCCTCACCAACTTCAACGCTCATCAGGACAACCAACATGACGCGACAGATGATTTGCTTTCCGGCTTCCGGGCTTACCTCGAAGAGAAAGCTGCTAACCCACCAAACATAGACCAACTGGTTGCCAACATCCAGACTCAACAAGAACGCCGACCTCCGCGCGTAGTCGGAGTGGGTGTTGTGTACCCGTTGTCAACCTACTTTTCGGACCCTGCCAACTACGCAAACTTCAAGTGGCTTGGTCGCAAGTATGGCGACCCTGACCCACCTCCATCACTGATCCGTCAACAGACTGGCTATGACTTCCCTATCCCCAGTGTCAGCGGCATCCTGTACCCGATGGCGCAGGCACATGAGATGATGGAGAAGCGGAGAGCGAGAGCCACGGCAATGGGAATGGGAATGGACTATCAGTTCAATGGTCAGATGGGCGTGAATAACTTCGATCAGTCTTTCGGTCCGGGCCCAGTCAACAACCACAATCAGTTTCACGACCAGGGGTTCAACCCAAATGCAGGATACTTACACCCGCAGATGCAGGCTCAGACTCACGGGCATGTCCCCCCACAAATGCGGTATCCAGGACGAACTCCACCACTACAGCCTTCGCCAATGACTCCGGGTACTCCACACACTGGTATGGGATTTCCAAATTCATTCAGCGGACGGCAGGTGACTCCAACACCCTCCCAACGTCGCCCTTCTCTCATGAGACAGTGTGCAACCATATCTCCTATTCAAGCACCGGTTGAGGATCTCGGCCAATATCAAGGACCGCGCCCGTCTCTGCCAAACATGACCGCTGCCCCTAGCACCAATACCATGAATGGCATAGGTCAATATCTTCCAAACGAGCAGACCAACCCGATCCCCCCGCCCCAGACTCCGGCCAATGGCCCATACCAGGTTCATGCAGGATCTCCCCCAGGTTCAACTTCCAGTCAATATTCTACCGGCAACACTCCTCCAGCTCGGCCTGGTAAGGACCTCCCAAATCTCAGCACAACACCTACCGGTCTAATTCCAAACGTCAATCCTTTCGACAATCTCGAAACAAACACCAACCCGAGCATGGGCATGAACAACCTCGAGTCTCCCTCGAAAGAGACCTCAAATCAACTCGAAGCCAATACTGAAGCCGCCTTGCTTGCAGTGGGCGCAGATGTCATAGACTTTGCTCCTGCAGCCACCAACAACAACCCCGTGCCTTCCAACGCCGACGCTGCCACGACAAGTGCCCCCGCCACCACAACTGCCACCACTACCCCACCCCGTTCCATCAGCGGCTATGACGGCGCGAATTCCGGCACTGATCGACATACGAAGGTGACCACGAACATGAACGTTACCGATACAGATGAAGGCCATGGCCTCTTCAACTTCAACCCCTTCCCCTTCGACGGCGAGGGCGAAGACGGAATCGACCTCGACGGCTGGAGTTCAGATGGTCTTTTGTTCGACGAAGGACGCCCTTTCAATGCCGGAGATTGGGGATTTGATGTCTGATCGTTGACCTTCCTTGCCAACCTCTCGCTCGATGCTTGCTCCCCGCTCTTTTTGTCTAGGCGTGGCTTGGATGAGTGGCGGTGTGTTTTTGCATTGGGATTCGTGCGTCGGCTGTCTGCGACTAAACGATCAGCAAAAGGGGAGACATGGACCTGAGAAAAATGAACCATGCAACGACTTGTGGATCGCAATCGGGATGGTGCTTGACATCGAGGGCGCAACTGAATTGACTTGGGTTTCGCGTTGGTATGCATGCTTGAACAGTGCCTGCAGCATCGCATTGGACACATGGGAAGGCGAGATGGCTGGCGTTGGAGCTCAGAGCTGAGGTGATTGGGTTTCCTTTTTCTTGTTTCTTGTTTGTTTTCTTTTTTATGTCAATTCACAAAACAAGTAAATGAGTGTGGCATCTCAACGAGGATTGAGAGCGGCATACTAGTTACTAGTTAGTACTGCCCGAGCACAGATCGTGTGCCCTGCTATACCGTGCTTGCAAAGACTGAATAACCAAAAGACAATTGAACATGATCAGACTTCCACTGAAGAGATTGGCACGCGTTAAACAGAACTCGTTCATGACATGTACGATAGTACTCTAGCCTTTGCCATCCTCCGAATCTGACCCCCTTTCCACCTCCCCGATGTGCTTATTGTCTCCGTCAATCCCATTGTCTATCCGACACGCAACAAGAGCCTCATTAGAGCCATTTAATGCGAGGTCACGATCCATAGAGACTCAAATCCAACCCCATCCCCTTTGCTACCTTCCGTTCCATCCACCTCCTCTTGAACTCTTCGCGTGCCAGCTCCCTCGTCTTCCTGCTCCAGACATCCGCGCCGACCCGGCCTCTCACGAACCCTTCCTGCAACGCCAGTATAGCAGCTTCAATCCCCCTCTCCTCGCATGCCGCGTCGTATAGCTGCCGCGCCACTACGGTCGGCGGGACGAGCATTTCGTCGACGTGCGGAATGTCGTTCTGACTTGCGCGCTGGCGGGCCGAGGATATTACACTGTCGGACTTGGAGAGCGACGTGGAAAGAAGAGACAGGTTCGAGGTCAGAGTGGAGTGGAGCGTTTGGAGGTTGGATAGTTCGGAGCCAAGGCTGTGCAGGGTGGACTGGAGGGCGGCGTTCTGGGACTGGAGAGCGGGCAGCGCGGATGTTGATTGGCTGATTTGGTTGTGTAGTGAGGACGTGATTTGGTGCGAGAGGTGTGACAGGAGGGCTTCTTTCTCAGGGTTGACCGGGATTGGGGGAGCAGGGATGTTCGTGTTCGAGGGGTGCGAAAATGTCGACGTAGGACCAGGAAGGGAGATATCGAAGGGGGAGTCCATCAGGTCGGGTGCAGAGGCAGGTTTAGATTTCGATGGGGTCTGTCGAGGGTAGTATTGCGGGTGTGATTGTTGAGGCGCCGGCTGTTGGCTGGGCGGGTAGTGTTGAGGAGGGTACTGAGGTTGGCCTTGTTGATGGGGTATCTGGCGATACTGGTCGGGTTGAGATCTTGTGTCATAACCTTGGCCCGGTTGTGGGCTCATCGGACCGGGGGGCTGCTGGGGAGGATAGTGCTGGCCGTCTCCTGGTCTGGAAGGCTGAGGTTGATATTGAGGTTGCTGTTGCTGTTGCTGCTGTGAAAGCATGGATTTTCTGAGACTGCTAGTTCGTTGAGGCATGAAGTTCATGCCGCCAGCTGACCTAGGATCATCACCATTTCCATATGGCTGCTGCTGATGTAGTGGACCTGGACTTGGTGGATGTGGCGGTAGCGGCGGAGGAGCGTTATATCGGCTCAGCGGCTGACCTGGACTTCCTGATGGCGGACTCGACACGCCTTGTGATGGTTGCTTCGGAGGAGGTGGCGGAGGTCCTTGATGCGGTGGTGGTGTACTCGACATCGGCATAGTCAGAGGATGCGGTTGGATTTCCCTTGGTAAAGGCGGGACGGGTGGTGGTGTTGGTTGAGACGGTCTTTGTTGTGGTTGACCCCTGGCTACAACGGGTGGTTCTTTTGCAAAGACATCAGAAAGTATGGATAGGAAATCGACGATGTTGGATCTCTGTCGTGCCTTCCATTAGAACGCTGTGCTCGAGCCCAGGGATCCAACTTACCTCCCAAGCTTCCCTCCAATGTGCCAGGTATGGATGATATACCTTTCCATCTCCACTCACATGTTGTCCCGGACGGATCATCATGTCCTCTGTTGGTGTGACATACCATATCGGCGGCTCATATGGGTATGTATGTGGCACCCATAGCGAAATCGGAAACCGATAGATGTTCCCTCGAAAGTTGACCGGGATTGTTCCTCTGAAATGTACTAGCAGCGCTGAGGCTCCATTCTCGAACGCTAGTTATGCTGTCAATCACCCCAGCCTACTCTTTATATCCTACCAACTCACTGAAAACATCTGTTCGAGGTGCAAACCCAGGGTTGCGGGCGAGCACATGGGCAAGGTCGGAGTAGGTTCGATTTGGATCTCGGTATTCCTGCGCCAGTCAGCGCAAACGCACGCAAAATTTGCAACAGGGGGTTTTACACGCTTCAAGACATCATACAGCCAGTTCAAAGTCTTTTGCGGCACACCGGCCATTTGTCACAGTTGTGATTGTTATACTCGAGGTCTTGCAGGCGCAGTCAAATGTTCAAGGTCATTTCTTATTGGCCAAGACTAAGTGACCTCGTTGCGGTCAAGATATCCCGCCGCTCTAACCTATGCCCTCTACCTAGCGTCGAGGGCGCGCCTACTCGATACCTTAGGTATCTTGGAAATCGCTTAAAGGAACGATGATATGGCAGAACCGGAGATGCTGATCTTCCTGATAGATCCTCACAGGGCGTCACCATCTAAGTCCATGCTACAACTCCGGCCAAACGGCGCTAGTTGGGGAATACTATGGCGGCGCACGTAGCGTCGTTCCTTGTCCGACGAGAACAAAAGAGCACATTGATTGCGCGAAAGTACACTGCAAAGGGGCTTTGCGTGTCAGTCGACCAACCACAACCAGGTTGTGGGCGGGTGTTGCAGTTTTGGTCAAATGAAAGACTTTCTCTCGTATGCACTTGAGTCGCCTGTAGCGGCTGAGTCGACCATTAGGACAACAGGGCTGAATCCGAGTCGCACAGCCCACCATCGATTCGACATGCAACCCCCACGGAGCCTGAGCTGATTGCTGACTGGACATCTATCACACGATCTTATCCTCAGATGAAGCCTTCGTCTGGTCTTCTCAAGCGCAAAGGATTGACCTTGGAACACTTCCTCTTGCACAGTGATCGGGTACGCGGCAGCAAAACAAACTTGACTGGTTGTGCAATCTGCTTTTTGAAACCATGGCAGAGCATCAGGCTGAGGAGTATGTTCAAGGCTCTGAACGAACCTTGCATCGGTGTACTAACAAGTCAAAGCCCGAACAGCATCTTCGCAGCGGTGGTTGAGACTTACCATGCATCACTATTACCCTCGGAAAGAAAAGAGCTCCGGAAATTCCCATCGAAGGAGGCCATGCTCCAGTCTTTGACCGACTTATGTTGGACACACAAAGAGACCAGCCGCCTTGGTCGCTGTTCCGCCAAAATCGCAAAGTTCTCCAACGCTTTCGCACCGTACTTCGATATCATCAATATCTTTGTTCAGGTGAAGCCCGAATACATGGGTATCGTGTGGGGCTCTCTGCGATTATTATTTCAGGTTCGATTTTCACTGTTGTCTCTGCGCCTATGCACACTCATCGCAATCTGCAGCTTGGGGCAAACCACGTTACATTTCTGGAAAAGCTGACAGACTTATTCGAAACGCTGTCCTTGTCGTTACCTCGCTATCAACAGCATTACGAGTCTTGTATGCGACGCCAGTTCGTATCAATGGACAAGGCTCGCGTGGTCAAATTGATGACTTTCGTCTACGAAGACGTTGTTAATTTTTGCTCTGAGGTTTACAAGATCTTCCGTCCGAGGCCGCAGGGTATAGCCTCTTCCCTCGGTGCGGTGGATCATATGGATGCTGACAGGTGTTGGTAGAAAATGACTTCAAGCGTGCTATGCGTATGATTCGCCACACGGTATGGAGACCATTCGACTCCCGCTTCGAAAGCTTGCAAGACCGCATGCGCAGACATCAAGAACTGTTCGACCGGGAAATGCGAGTGTTTGACCAACAGATATTGATTCAACATTTTGAAGAATTTCAGCAATATGTGAAAGACGGTGAGGAATGTGAGGAGCAGGAACGCGCGAAAGTACAAGCAGCTCAGAAAAAATTGGCAGGTGAGTGGTTTATAACCATCGAAGAATAAAGACTGAATTCCGACCCAGATGCAAGAATTGGCGACCTGAAAAGGTGGATTTGCAACACCGAGTACAAGGACACATTTGAACAAGCTCTTCGTAGGAGGCATCCCGAGAGCTGTAGCTGGATGTTGGCAAATTCTCGCTACGTGGAGTGGCGCGACAATGCTTTCGAAAGGGCCGAGAGCGATCAAGTGACTGAGAACAAGACTTCTTGGAATTCCAGACTTCTCTCTTTGCATGGTAACGCAAAACAAGCAGCTTTACTCGCTTCCAAGCGCTGACTACCTTCAGCAAAACCAGGCTTCGGCAAGACGATTCTCTCTAGTGCCATCATAGAAGACCTGATGGGTCATGCCCAGACAGCACGAACGGGAAACACAGGCTTCGACAGTCTGGCAGTTGCCTTCTTTCATTTCGACCAGACAACACGTATGGGTGGGAGGATTTCAGCTGAAGCGTTCCGGGCTCTCGCCGCACAGCTGATTCACATCCATCGTAACGCAGAAGCAGTCATGGACGCTCTATACATATTATTTGACGAACAAGCTGGTGGTCAGCGACAGGCTTCTGCAAATGAGGTGGAAGCGGTCCTCAAGATCCTTTTGCAACAATGGCCGGCCTTCTTGGTGATTGATGGTGTTGACGAATGCTCGGACAGCACAGATTTTCTCCGAAACTTGTGGGCCATACTCAACGAGTCGGATTGCAAGATCCTCTTGCTTAGCCGGCCAAACCTGGAGTTTCCACACTCCTACCAAACGCATTCTGGGCTCACAGATTCATGGCAAATCCACCTCAACCGGAGCCAGAACACTGAAGCAATACGATCATGTTTGCGATACGACTTGAATGTCTTGACGAGCCTTTCCCTGTTCAGCCGAAATATTGATGACGGATTGGTCGCTGAACTCGCACAAAGGTCGAACGGCATGTTCCTTTGGGCTAAGCTCTTGGTCAACTACCTTGAGTGTCCGGCCTTGACACGACGGGAAAGGATGGTGGTGCTAGAAGATGCTAACCTCCTTGAAGGTCTGGAGACACTTTACAACACTATTCTTAATACCCTGGAAAGGTGCTACGCCAGACAGAAACAAGTTGCTGCCGATCTTTTCAAATGGATGACGTTCTCATTGTATCCTATGGGATCGGAAGAGCTTCATGTGGCTTTAGCCATCGTGCCTGGCGAACCCACTCTCGACCATCATCTATTGGGCAACTGGCCAAGATGCATTCGACAGATTACTTGCGCACTTGTTGATATTGATCCGCAAGGCCAGGTCAATTTCATCCATCTCTCCTTGAAAGAGTTCCTGGAGCGAAGCCCCTTCTGCAACTGGACTTTCTCCCTCCGGAACAAACGACCCATCCATGAAAGAATAGCGAAGAGGTGTCTCTCGTACTTGAAATATGATATTCCAGAGAGGCCCCTCCGACGGCTGGATCGCAGCATATCCCTGGAAACTGGTATCACATCTTGCGGCGTTGAAGCTTGTCTGGAGGAACGGCTCACGCCGGTGGAAAATCGCGCAGTTCTTTTGAAGAAGTACCCTTTCCTCCAATATGCCGCGTTCTGTTGGGCTACTCATCTGGCCAGAACCTTGTCACTTCCAGACATATCCTGGCATGCTCCGAGCTCAAGGGAGCATGATCGACACCTGAAGAGAAACCACTCGAGTGCATTGAGTGAATGGCCAGAGTACCAGATTGAGTTCTCTAGGACAAAACGTCTACGGCATGAGACTGACACTCGGCTGGATTCAACCCTGGATTCAACCTGCGATGAAAAGCTTCCGTGGGACCCTGAACACAACGATGGTGGCATGGCTTCCACGTTCCAAAATTCATCCTCACAGGTATACCGTGAACAAGGAGGGCGGTCTCAACCACGGCAATCTGAACAAGCCATGGAGATAGATTGGACGTCTATCCTGGCCGAGTTTCTTTTGCGCCGTCACTCGGTAACAGCCTGGGTTGAATCCTGCTGGACATTCAATTTTCCGCCAAACCTCTCTCGTCTCGACGGACTATTGCAAGACCTGTGCACCAGACACTCCATCAAGGATTTAGAGGGGCGGGAGATGTGGTGGATCTCAACAGGTGTCCATCAACTGTCCGACGCCCTGAAAGAACTGCCCCGTGAGACACTCCTCCACAACCCCACGTTGATTTGGCAGAAGCATTTCACCATGGCCACGGATCAAGAGTATTGGCCCAATTGGGAACTGGAGCCAGATGAGAGAAATGTTGATGAAAACGAGTCGCTCATTGTACGTGCCGGCTTCCTATCGCGTGGTGACGCCCCGTGCGTCGGATTGGCATCTGCTCTTATTGAACAGACATAGATTCCCCTTACAACTCAACAATGGCTAGTTTACAACAGTTCGTCGGGATGTACTAAATCTAGGTCTTAGGTACCTAGGTACATGCTATAGAAAGTACCATCTCGAAGCTGGAGAGTCAGTCGGATGCCACGATGCCAAAAGCGGCGGCAGCGACCGTGAAACCTGGGGAAGTTTCTTAGGAACTCACGCTCCTCTGCAACTCATGAGGACACGTACTGCACACGGTGAATTCCCGAAGGACGCCTCATGTTGTCCGCTGGCATAGTCTGATAGGGTTGACCTTGCAATTGTTGTGCAATGAAGGAAGCATGGTCGCTCTGCTAACAAAGGCAGGATCACCCTTCCTGGATTCACCTCATTCTCTAGGCCAGTCAGGAACATGCAGACGAAGACGACAAGGATTGACAACTTCCTCCGTGTCCGTTGTCACTATTCCTATCTCAAGCGACGGTTGGATTAGCCAGAGCAGTATCGATGCATGGTTTTCCATTCGATGAGTACGCGATGTCGGAAGGATAGGTAAGGCCAGATATCGCCGCCGCCATACTATCGGGCTGGTCCGATCCACGATGATAACACGTCAGTTTAACAACGATATATCCCAAGAAGCCTCCATTCTCGGTCGATCTTCCTACAATGCCACAGATCCAGCCGTATGGATCACACTGATCTCCGAGTCCGAAGCCCGAACTCGCGCACAAGCTTTGATCACACAGTACCAATCACTCCCTCCCTCCAAGCTTCCACAACTCTACGGCATACCCTTCTCTGTCAAAGATTCAATCGACATCTCCAACCTCCCAACGACCCCTCGCATGTCCTTCCTTCACCTACAATCCCAGTACCACCGCGTTCGCAATCAACCGCCTTCTCACCGCCGGGGCCATTCTCATTGGCAAAACGAACCTAGACCAATTCGCTACAGGCACAACAGGTCTGCGCTCACCACACGGCATTCCTCGCTGCGTGTACGACCCCACGTACATATGCGGTGGCAGCTCGTCGGGCTCCGCCGTCAGCGTGGCGGCCAACCTTGTCAGTTTCGCTATATCCACCGACACGGGTGGATCAACACGTGTTCCCGCGTCCCTCAACGGGCTCGTCGGGCTGAAACCAACACTCGGTACGGTGAGTACGACAGGCCTGTTCCCTGCGTGCAATAACATTGACTGCGTGTGCGTCATGAGCAAAACCATAGACGATGCAGAGACGGTGTACGAGGCCATCCGGGCCTTCGATGAGACCGATATCTTCTCACGGCGCGACCTTCCCACTTGGGACCATCCATGGCGTGATCCCGTGCGCTTTGCAATCCCGCCCAACGAGCAGCTGGCGCATCTATCCCCTGCGTACGCGGCGCTTTTTGGACAGTTTGTCACCGGACTAAACAGTGATTCGGCGAGTTGGTGCGTACAAACCGAACAGGATAAGTTTGACTACACGCCGTTCGCCCATGCGACGCAAATACTATATGATTCCTCGATCGTCGCGCAGCGCTTACTCGCGTTCCAGCCAAACATCTCGACTCACGGCCTCGACGCGTTACACCCGGCCATACGTGCGACGTTCCAGGAGGCTTTGGATCGAAAATTCACCGCCACGCTGGCGTACGAGGATATTTTCCAGCTCGCCCAGTGCAAGAGGCAATCCGAGAGGGCCTTCCGCGAGGATATGGACGTGTTGATCGTGCCGAGTACGCCGGCACATTTTACGATTGCAGAGGTCCAGGAGGAGCCGATGGTGCGGAATAAGGCGATGGGACGATTTACAAATTTTGTGAACTTGCTGGATCTGGCGGCGGTCAGTGTGCCTGTCGGATGGTGGACGGGGGAGAATGGGAATGAGTTGTCCTTTGGTGTGACGATAATTGGGCAGGCTGGACGGGATACAGAGTTGACGGAGCTGGCGAGACGGGTGATGGGAATGGAGAAGGTCAGAGTCTGAAGAGATGGATTGGTGGCGTATAGATTAGGTAGCGAGACGAGGTAATGAGAAACGCCACTCACGGCCACTGTAGCGGCAGTTTGTGGACGGAAGGATCTTGAGGTGTTGTTGGATAAGGTGGAGGGTATCGCTATTGAGTCTAACGAGTATTTGTTTCGACGGATACCTAAAGAAGAGAACAGAAGGAAAGGAAAGGATTGCCTCGGGCTTACATGCTGATGCCTTTGAATCCTTGATCGAGTAGCCTTCTTCAAATTCTTCTGCACGGCGTCCGTCCTTCTCGGTCAACGAGCTTCCTTCATACCACAGTATCCAACACGAACCCCTTCTTTTCACTTCCTCTCCCACTGCCGTCTTCATTGTTGTGGACATGCTCCTCCCTCGCTTCTGCACCAGCAATGCCCTCAGTATCCAGTCCATCGATCAAGTACAGCTTTCCAAAATCCTCGTCGTCTGTCTTGACAGGAACCGGCGAGATGGCGGTCAATCCGGCGTAAATCAGCGCGGAAAAAGTGACAACGAGGACATAATTCCACGAGTACAAATTGAGTATGCCCTTATTCGTGATCTTGACGCCCATAGTCTGTACCATGCCGGGCAACAAGGGCGCCAGCGCGACGAACCAAGAGACGAAAGCCCGCCAATTGAAGCCGTGAGTGTACCAATAAATGCCGCTGACGCGCGGCTTGAACAGATGCGAGATGTTGATGCCGTAGCCGCGTCGGACCCAGAAGTAATCGGTCATCATGACGCCCGTCGTGGCACCCAGAAATAAAGTATATGCGCCCATGAAGGCCAGGAAAGTCGTGGCTTTGGCCTCGATCTCCCAGGGACAAATGGCGAACCCAATCACCGCACAGATGAACTGTCCACGGCGGATGTTGATGTACTTGGGGAACAGGCCGGTGAGGTCGTTGGCGAAAGGGATCGAATTGCCCGTGACGTTGGTCATGATGTTGAAAAACACAAAGAGTGCTCCCGCGAAGAACTTGCCGCCTCGGGCTTCGAAGTTGTTGATCGTCACCAGCGGGTTCCATTGGATCCCGCCGTAGACGACGGAACTCGCCACAGCCATCGTGCAGCCTAGGAGCTCGGTGAGTGTGACGAACACGGGGAGCGCGAAGAGCTGGGTCATCCAGGCGGCCCGGTCGCTTTTCGAGTGGCGAGAAATATCCATGATGTTGACCGCGAACGTCGCGTTGCCGGAGATGGCGGCGTTGACGCAGATGCCGAACAAATACCCAACCGACATGCCGTTCGTAGGGAGGCTCGGTTTCTTCCAGATATGCGCGGGCCATCCTCCAGCTGCGGTGATGGACCAGGTGAACAGCGCGGTCCAGTACAGCGGGACCATGATGCTCTTGACGACGAAGAGGAAACGCAGGGTTTTGATGGGCAGGTACAGAAATGGCAGTGACAGAAGCCAGAAGATGACGAAACACAGAAGCTGTTGGGCCGTGATGTTTGCGGACGCTGGAAACGCATCGACTTGCCAGTGCTGGAAGGATGGCCACATGGCCGTGACGCACGCCTGTACGGCTTGGCCGGCGAGGCTGGTCTGAATGCCATAGTAGATCAAGCAGGGGACTGCGCGGACAATCATCGCCCACTTGGATCCCCAGAGCCCGAACGAGGCTCGCACGGTGCCGGGAAAGTTGGTGCCCAGCTTGCTTCCCAAGTAGCCTGAAGCGGCGCATGGGATGGAGACGATGATGTTGCCGAGCAAGCAGGCGACCACGCACAGTCCTGGATTGAGGCCGAGAGAGAATGCCGAGCTGGAGACTTGTAGCTGAGCGGCGTTGAATCCCTCGGCGATCCAGAACAGTCCCATCTGGTACCATTCGTATGTGCGGTCTTTGCGCTTGATGGGATCCATGTCTTCATTGGTGTAGGCGGCAGCATCTGGGTCGTCGATGGCGAAGGACCCTGCATGAGGTTTGAGGACGACATATTCTTGCCAGATATGCTTGAAGTCCATGTTTGGCAGACACACAGGTAAGGCAATATTGTCCAAATGGTCAGGATGTTGCTCTCGATTTTGGGCTTCAAGTGGATGGGAGTATCAAAAGTCCACGAAACACCACACATGGCGGTGTTTACGTTTCCCTTTTATGTTCATGCTGGCCTTAACAGACGAGGGCATATCATGGGTTGTCACCCCTTGGTATCATAGTATAGCATGTCGGAATGTCTCCGATGATATGTTGGCGTCCATATCCCTGCGAACCGAGGGATATTCTGATTGGACACATCCCAACATGCAGATAGGAGATTGGTATGGACTGTCCGTACAAGGCAGGCAAGATAGGAACTTGCGATACTAGATAAGATGCTGGTTCAACAGTTCGGTACGGAGGTACGTACTCGTAGATGATGGGCGAATCTTACCACACTACAGTCCTGCAGAGCGCTTTTCTCCTTCGTTGATCGCTTCCCAAAGAAGAGAGTCGTCAACGACATACTGGTCCAATGACAGCCGCAGGTATGGGGAAGAAGACAAGCCCGGCATACGAGTATGAGACACAATGCTCTTTTGTTGCTGTACAGTATTATAGGAGATTATTTCTCGGGAGGCCAGGCGGGCGAACAAATCCTTGAAAGCCACTGACAATAGCAGTACTTGCTCTATCAAAAACAGAAGAAGCGTCAACAGACGTGTTCAACCTTGCTTGAACAGCTTGCCCCAGCCCTCAATACCATTTGTATCAACTCCGGCTATCCTGCACATATCCCACAGCACCGTAGCCACCGTATCTAGGACAATGACTCCCGACTTCTGCTCCCAACCGTCCACCAATTGTGCTGCCTTGAGTCCAGTACAAAACACGGTAACCGCAGATATCCTATGCTCTGTTCCCACAAGCTCCCAGAACCCTTCGTCCAGCGTCTTCTCCGAGATGTAGCCAAAGCTCTTGTTATCCGACTTTCCCAGGTGCTTTTCCACGGTACAGTCGACCCCAATACTACGGTAATTCCGGGTGATGGCCTCCTGAACGTCATTCGTGTACGGCGTGAGCAGTCCCATCTCATTGATGCCCATATGCGAAATGAGCCTGTTCAGCCCAAGGACCGAGGTCGTCGCAGGTATACCCGTGGCAACTGTGATTTCGTTGCACAATTTCTCGTCGGCTTCGAAGCCGAGCCATCCTGAGGACGTCCCGCTCCAGCCGATCACATCAACCTTGGCGTCTGCGAGGAGCTCGGCGGCTTGCAGAATAGCACTATTGTCAAATTGTGCCAGACCAGCGTTGTCGAGCGCAATCTTCAGTACTCGGAAGCGTGAGAGGTGGACTGAAACACCGGGTATTTGAGAGACGATCTGTTGCGTAAGGGGTTCGAGCGCCGTGTTGGAGGACGGTGTTATCATGCCGAAGCGGAGGCTCCTTGGATTCAAAGTGGCTGTAGTGATCATGATGGCGCGAGTTGTAGCAACGTAGGAGTACGGATGTCCGATGGTCTTAACGTGGACCTTCAAAGAGGCTTCTTGAACTGTAAAGGTGTCAACATGAACTGACCGGCCTCAGCAGGCGCGGCCTTCCTTGTGAGCATTGATCTATTCATTCCTTAGCGATCAGTCACCGGAAGGAAGCATATCGAGAGTGAGGTATGACCCGCGGCGACAGCATGGACGGAGATAGGCGCGTGAAGAAATCTTTGGATGTCGTCGGGCTGTCCCTATCGAGCTGGGCCAGCCCGAGTGTATTGCCTACGATAACTTCTCTCGGCCTGTTCAATTTTCCTGGCGGTGAGATGGAATTCGTGGTATATTCATCAGGATGATGTCTTTGGAGCGAGGTCTGTAGGAAATATCGACCGGTTGGTCACGAAGGGAAGAAACAGAAAAGATCTGTTAGAAATGAGCAGGAAAGCGTCTGTATTATGGTAAAAGCGGCGCCCACTTATTGTTCGAGCAGCACTATGGCAAAGACTGGTTCTATCCCTCTCGCAGGAAATTGATGCTAGAAGATGTTTTCAATTCATTATGATTCAATTCTTGGGGTATCATCTAACGTTATGGAGCTGCGTCCACTCTAAGAAAAATGGGTTGCGCGTCCGAGCAGTGCCAGACTTGCCAAATGTTAAGGCACAGCTTACTTCTGAGCAGCAGCCTGTTTGTCCAAGTCAAGCTCGACACCACGCTGCCTCGTCTTTCCCTCGTCATGGACATCGGCATATCTCTGTTGCTCGGCACGATCGCCAGTCAAGGCAGCGGCGGCACCGCCAACGGCACCTTGAACTCGATCGCTAACACCCTTTCCAAGGTCACTCAATTGACCCTTGGCTTCCTGGCTCTGACCCTGAAGATTCTGTTCGCGGCCTTGTTGTTTGAGGTCGGCACTGCCGACGAGGTTGCCGACGGTTTCCTTGGCGCTGCCCACGGTCTGATCCCATTGACCTTGCGTGCGCTGGCTGTTGTCTTTGGCTGGAGCACCGGACGAACTGATGGTGAAAGGGCCAGCTTTGGCGGCGGTGTGAGAGAGGTCAGACTCGGCCTCGCCCTTGGTCTTGTACTGGTCTGCTTTGGCCTGGTCACCGGCACTGCCCGTCACAGCGGCGATGCCAGAGTTGATGTAGCCGGTGGCAGTGTCCATCACCGACTGAAGGCTGGAGGTGTTGTCGTTGGAAGACATAATGATGGGTGGTTGTTGTTGTGGATGTAATTGGATTTGATGGATCTTGTTGGTGATTTGGGATTGTGAGATTCGGATTGATGAGGTGGTAATTGGTAAGGGAGGATGATCAAGCGGTATTTATAGAGGACGATTGAAAGGGTTTGTTGATAGTGAAGCTGAAGCCTGGCCACGCATCACCCACAGCAAAGTGAGAAGAAGAAGATGATGTCATGGCAGCCACACCGAGGCTGGAATGTTCTCTAGGCGCTTTTAGGCTTCCTCACTGGCCCTCCAGGCTCCTAATAGGTCCTTTTGGGCTCCTTTGGTGGGGAAGCACAACCCATTCCCTGCCCCCGTCACGCCCCTAAGCGTCTTTCAGATCTGAATCGAATCGCCAATCGACGTCATCGCCTTCCACAAGATGCCACCCCAAAAAATGCCACCATGGCCACATGATTGAGACGCGCAAGCCCGAATGAAAGCTTCCATCATGTGAAAGTCTGGCCGCCGCCGGTCCAGGATTCACCGAAGATCTCGTGGCCACTCTGGCTCGACGATTGGCACATGCTGTTGTCACTCGGCCACATCGAGGAGGCACATCATTGCCGATCTTCAGGTACTCGCGCGCAACAACCAGGATTCGGGACAAGGGATGCCTTGCCAGCGGAAAAGCGTTGCCGTGATCGTAGCGGAAGACTTCGAACGGCGCACTTTGTTTCGATATCAGCCGACCAAGATGCCATTCTTTCAGGACAATTTCTCCATAGACTTGTAGCAATATATGCTGGTAACCGAGCAGAGTGTGATGTGCATCTCAGAACCTGATCTTTGGACCAACAAACACCAACAGAAAGGCAAAAATCCACATGCCAAATATCATGGCATATAATTTCATCCTTCCTAGCCAACCCTCCCCTTCACTCATTCGCGTCAAGAAGGCCAGATTCTTGCTGGCCGCTTCCATCGAGGTGACACTGGCGTCCAACCCTTCCAATGCTCGTCCAAGGATTCCTTTGTCCTGTTGCAGAGAAAATTGCATGGCCTGCGCTTGCTGCTTCAACTGAACCGCAAGATTGACCATCGACGACGAGATGTCTTCCTGCGCCCGAGACGAATCCAATAAGGACCGCTCCGTAGATTGTATGTTCGAGAACCCCGTCGTCTGCGCCTCCGATTTCGTGGCCGACTCTGGCTGTTCTTTCCCTCTTCGCCGCACCGTAGACGAAGCAAACAGTGCCTCTCGCTCATCTTTTTGTATTTTCTGCCTTCCTGATGCCGGTTCTTCTTCCACGTGTACAACTGGCTTTCCTTCTCGTAGCATGTCGTCCTGCCTGGCCTGGTCTCCCTGCTCACCACGACCACGGGCCTGCTCTTGGAGCAGATCAAATAGAGTCTCGCCCTCCTCATCATCTGCCACAGGCGCCTTCCAGGACTCAGTATCCATCAGTTCGACCTCGCTCCCAATCTCTTCAATTCGGCTCTTCAGTCTCTTTATGATGGCTCTTTTCTCCGCTAAGTCCTTGATAGCTTCTGATTTCGTTCGCTGGACTCTTAATGCTTGCGCCTTCCGCTCCAGCTGTAACAGCAGAGTCCGCGCTCCTTCTACGTTATGCAGCCATTTCGTGCGGTGGTAGGGCAGCGGAGACCAGAGTTCGGCTTGAATCTGTCTTTGTAGAGGCGTCAACTCGGCGGAGCCGTGAGAGTACGGCGAAGGAATGAGAAGGATCAGATGCTGGAAGCGAAGGAGGGTTCGGTGCAGGTTGAGGTAGCTGGTTTCATGTTGGAATCGCCGCGTCTGCTGGCTGTTGGTGAACGCATTCTCCGGTTTCGAGCCTGCGCCAAATGTTAAGTTGACGGGACGGAGCGCAGAAGTCAGTGACATGTCGTGGTCGTCTGTTGGACTCGAGAGAGTCCAAAGACTGACTGGCTGAAGTTGATGCAGCGCAAGGACGGGTCTTGAATCTTGTGAATACTTGGTGCGCAGTACCTCCCTGCATGACCTTCGTGTCCTGGACTCGCGAGGCGATATTTCCCCGGACTTTGGCGACTCAAACGAAGTGCCACCTGCTCGGACGTCACGTGGCATTGCTGCCGCTTTAAACCCTACATGCTGCTACTCACCGAGTGACCAAGTCACCCATTCACCTTCTTCTCGTCTCTGCCCATCCGTGCCATCTTTCTGCTCATCTATCTACTTACCCTGAAGAGGACAAATTACATTCATAGTCGTAGTCTTGCGCCGCAACTACTTCACTCTTCATCAAACTCACCCAACTTCTCCGGAATCAATGTGACGATTTCAAGATTCTCGTCGTCGGGCGAGAATTGATATTCCAACGTTCCGTACTTGTTTCCCTCGCCTAGGAACTTCTTCTGTTTGGGCTTTTCTTCCGTGGGTTTGATCTTTTTGCGAAGCAGTTTTGGTCGCCAGTACCACCCACTCATGAAAACAACGACGCCATCGTCCTATTCTTAAGATCAGAATCCTTGCATCGAGAGAGCATGGCATGGATATTTGGTCGCGTCGACCACTTACATTTTGGTGGAGCTTCCACACCTCCTCCTTCTGGCTTCTCCACCAGCCGACCTCCGGTGCGATTTTGCCGATGCTGGCAAGGTCGACATCCACTCCAAATGAGACTGAAATTTCCTTGGACATCAGGAGAGCCACAGCACGCTCTTTAGCAGTATAGGTTTTGGTAACCACAAAGATGCCCTTCTTCTTGGTCGTTTCGTATCGCTGCAAAATCATCTCGGCATTGGTTATGAACCAGTTCTTCGCTTTGGTGGAGCTCAGGGGATCAATTTGATGGTGCATTACTTCGCCTTTGGTGACAAGAATTCCGCCAGTGTCTTCTTTGTGATCATAGCCGACCTTGAAACCCACTCTCGCAGGGGTATTCGGGACGCTGGCGGGGGGAGATCAGCCTAGAAAGATTCCTTAGAAAGACCTTGGGAGACTTACTTAACTTGAACGTCGACCTTGATCGGGAATTTGACTATACACTCCGACACCATGGCTCCCCAAATGTCCTTTCCAGGATCGGGACTGACTTTTACAGTGCCAGCCGGTTTCCAGCCATCCCGCACGACTTCATCAGGGTTTTCCAAGTCCACGATGATCTGCCAATCTCCATTGTGGTCAAAATAGCCGCACACTCCCGGCTTCAGCTTCTTAGCGGACACGGGCTTGTAGAGCGCAAAGCCCTCTGGAGCCGCTATAAATCGCTCCAGATACAACACGTCGTACCTTTCGTTGTATGCCATCAAGCTGCTCCCGTTTCTTGGAAGCCCGGTTGATTATCAGTTCTTGCGAGACAATGGTCGTACGCGGACAGGACTACGCGAGAAACTTCAGCAGAATAGAAAGAAAGGCTTGAATAGTGCTTATCAATGCCGGATTCGCCGAGTAGGAGCTGATAAAACACCTGCCAATGCGTTCTAGGGAAACATGGTGAGGCTGATTTGTACAGCATCTGGCATAACGGCTGCACTCGGATAATGTCGGTCCTAACAGAAACCCCTCTCCCAGGATATGAGAGCTGAGGATTCTGTCGGGGCCCGCCTTACGGGACACGAGCACCGCGTCAGAAGCAAGATCGACCACTGGCTCAAAGAGCGTGAAAAGACAGCGAAGTGCAAGCGCAGCTCGTATTCACGCTGCATACCAAGCCAGACTAGCCTCCTTTGTACTGGTGAGCCGACTGAGCGAGCTCCAGACCCTTCTTGCCTTCCAGTGAAGGAGCCTTTGACACCCAAGGGATTTTGGTAACAGAGTATTCGCACAGCCTGGCATTACGTGGGCCGATAGAGGGTTTTCATCGCGGTTACAAATAGCAAGAGGGTGTTGTTGCTCCGTCAACCCCAGCCTCGGCACATTGACAACGCAGGAAAGTGGCATGCAACTTACCCTTCTCAGCACGGGTCCACGTCTATGATTGTGGTCTGCTTCGAATCATCCTCGAACGCCCATGGCCTCAGCATCTGTGGCAGATCTCTTAGACAGGACTTATCAGGATGGACCGATCGGTGAACACTCCCTTCGGATGGATGTGGGCATTCAAGTTGACCTGAGCTCACAATCCTTCAAAGGACGTCCGGTCAAGATCGAGTTGCTCCCGCCCAATCGTAGGCTTCAAACCCTCCAAGAGCTGGGCAGAGAGCTGACTCAAGCGGCACCACGCATACTCTACGAGAGACGGACAGATTACCACAGCGTCAAAGTTCTCTCGGTATTTTGGGAGCTGGGGGAATACCCAGAGATGGAGGAGAACGCTAGAAGTATGCTCACAATCTTCCGAGAGGCCTACAACTTCGATAGTGAACTCGTGCCACTCTCAAGCGAGCAGGGAGATGTTAGCTTGCTAGCCAAGTTAGGGCAGGCCATGTTGCAACTCAGCAAGGCTCACGAGCAGAATTTGCTCATCTTCTACTATTGCGGTCACGGAGTGTGGGATTCGAATGGCAAGACCTGGTTGAAACCTCATATGGATGCCACTGTGGCTCTAGAGTGGGACAGATTTCAAAGCATTCTTCAGCTTTGTGACTGCGATTTGTTGTTGCTCTTTGATTGTTGTCATGCAACGGCGATGATCAAAGAGAGAATGAAATGGAAAAGGCGCTGCGAAATCTTTGGAGCGACCAATCCATTCGATGAAGCTCTCGCAGATACGGATAAATCCTTCACCGTGGCACTTCGATCCGAACTCGGAAAATTCTCAAAGACCGGCATAAGTGTTGACAGATTGCGATGGCTCTTGACGAACAAGGACACTGTCAAAGGATACCGCATGGAGAGGCAACCAGACTACCGCTTGCACTCCGACTCGGAAAGATACCCATCAAGCATATACCTCCAGCCTTATCATGAGTTGGTCCCGGACTCGAGCTCTGACACTGGAGGAACACTACAAAGGAGTCTTGACGCTTTAAATGCGATGACCGATGCCGTCATGCTCTTTGCCGTTAAACTTGACAGCACTACCGGACCGCCTCGTCTCATGGAGTGGAAGAATATGATCAAGGCGGCGCCGCATGACGTTTCATCGGTTGAGGCGTCAGCAATCACCATCGACCAATACCGGGCTTTGCTTCCGCTTGCTCAAGTCCACGGAGTGTTTGCTGGCTCCTCCGTTCTAATCATGTCATTGCCGATTTGGTTTTGGGACCATCTTGCACCCAATCCATCCTATAAAGAGATTGGTATCATACGATCAGACAATTTGTGGATGGCCGAAAGCCAAGGTAGCGAGGTGATGCTAGCCATGGAGAAGACGCCGCGGAGGTCCATGCGACCAGCTCCTTACGCCACAGACCCCATCCTCTCGATGATGAAGGACCTCACGCTGTTCATTCAACTAGCTTTTACGTGGCCCGTTGCCGCTGGCTTGCCTGGCATCATTCTACCGTTGGTTCGAACGAGATCAGGCTTTCTTGATGAATTGGCGTTGACCATCGCTAACCTCTGGGCTGTCCTCCTCAATGTCTTTCTCTTTATTGTACAGAACGCTTTTTTGATCTCTCTAACTCTGTTGGCATTGCCTGGGATACCAGTATTCTTCTTTCTTTTGTACACTATCGGGTTTATCGTTGGGAATCATTTGTTGACATCTCTGTTGAATGGTCCAAGCAAGGGTCTCTTCCAATCGAACCCAGCTTGTGTCGAAAACTGGGGGGTACATGAACATGAGAAGTGGGTATTCATGAACGGAAGTACTATAGGGTAAGTCAAGTCTCCATCCTATGGCTAGCTCTACCATTTCACTTGCCATTAGCATGATTGGTCGCAGCAGCTAAAGCTGTATAGGGACCATTGGCTGCAGTCAAATCTCGACCGTCTTGCAATGACGTTCAGACGCCCTGTATTTGGCATCCACAATCAAACGTGAGTGAAGCGTCTAGCACATCCGGGCTGCTTCAGCTCTCCTTTGTTGCTATGATTATTTCATAACCTCCCTTATCTCTCCCTATCTCCGTTCAAGCTAAGCGGCGTATGCTTTCAGACGCGGCATCATATTCGATATGCTCGAAGGCATCGTTCAGCGAAATCTGGGTTTCGCGACTACGGATGTCCGGACAGCATACGGAGCCCTGGCCGAGATGATTGCCGACCATAATATTACCAAGGTGATCCTGGTTCTGCATGGCCAAGGCTGTATCAAAGGTGGAATAGTACTTGACTGGCTATATGCCACATTACCTGTCGAACAGCTCCGCAAGCTAGAGCTCTATACATTCGGCAATGCAGGAAACCACTGGAGTGCGCCTACCATACTATCTGAAAGTACGAGTAAACGAGGTCAAGCGGCAACGACCTGGTCTAACGACGGAGGAGGAAACAACTCACCTGAACAGCGGATCGTGCAGCACATTGAACATTACGCCAACGAAGGTGACTTCGTGGCCAGATTCGGGATCCTGCATTTCCGCCCTGATCGGGAATTACTTCCCACTTCCACCCGCAGAGCAGGTAACGAAGCTACTACATACAAGGCGCAGCTCAGCAAGATCATACGGTTCATACCCACGGTTATAGCCTCGATCTGGACAGCTCATGAAACGCTGGTTAAAGATTCCGAAGAAGAGGAGGAAAACCTATTCTACGGGCGCCTCTTCAAGCGAGTCGGCTCTGGCCACCTATTTAACCAGCACTATCTCGACCATTTCTTCGAGCTGGAAGACCTCGACATGAATGACCCTTCTAAGGGTAGAGTCAAAGACTATCAGAACAATTATATGAACGCCGAGGTCGACATGGACGTCTTCAACAAATGGAACACTGTACAGGCTGTAGCAGTTGCGAAATCTCAGACCCAGAATGTCACCGAGAGAGCCGGTGCCGGAAAGAAGCGGATCAAGGACTTGTGTCGGTTGTGGGCCTATCGAAATGGAATGAGTCCCTTAGAATAAGTGCAAGACATGATGGAGCGCAAAAAGAAAGCAAGTCATTGATTGCTTTGATCTCTCAACTTTCGTCCTATACTCCAACGGAAAGCGTTTTCCTGCGACGACCAATACGTTCTCCAGGGGTACGCGTTGGCAGCTGAAGCAATGCCCGCAGCAAGTTATGCCGCATCCCGTCTTTGAGGCCGATCCGGCGTGGGGTTTCCGCACTGCATGAGACAAGGCGATGGAAAGAAGACGACACCCATAGACTGTCAAGGAACGCCACATGCTGATACCCTCATCCTGCAGCTTACGAAGCCAGCGGGAGAACTGTCTGTTGCAGTAGCCGAGGTTTGGAAAGCTCGAAAAGCTTGTAAAGTCGTGGTACTGTTAGGCAGCGAGGCAGTTCGCGTGGTCGATGCCTCACATGCCTCTTAAGTTGGCGAGCTGAATTCCAAGATTCTAAGCCATCATTAGCCTCTTGGCGTCTTGGCGTCTTGACATCTTGGCTCGCTTATTTTTGAAGCACGACTACAGTATGATACTCCGAACGCAGGCACCAGAAAGGGCTTCTTCTCAAAACGAGTCATGGCATGGCACCAATATACAGCATGTCTTTCCAAGTCATCGGCGCGGACCCTCCGTTGACGAGCAGTATCATCACCAATCCCCCCTCCTTCCGCGATTGATGTGCCCTGGACAGACATGTCTCGAGCATTTCTCTCAAGAAATGCAGGGCATCGGAATACGAGGCTTCGCTTACTGGCTGAAATCTAGGTCACGCTTGAGCGCTCTGGAATGCCTCTATGATTTCTTACCAAGACCTTTTGGTTCAGCCGCGCTCGTATCTGGCGGGCGCAAGGCGGCTTGAAAGTCAAGGCTTGATGAACTGAGTCCAATGGCCATGCCCAATTCCATGTTCTGCAGCCCAGGGTCCCTAGAGCAAGAGATTCCAGCCGATGTTCGACGATATGATAAGTGCTTCATCTTGTCGGCATCCGCCCAGCGTCTTCCACCCTTTTGACCTGCTCCTCTTATTTCTTTTCCCAAGCCGAGTTCAAACCTCAATACTGACTGTCTTTTCCTTGAGAAGATGAGGCTGTCACACATCCTCAGCCGAGATCAATGGCCAAGTCAACTGAGCTACCGTCAGCAGCTGCCGTGGATCGTGTCGCCTCTGGACCTTGACACTGCACCCACGAGTTCAGAGCACGATCCTGCTGGGCCAGGTACCAAGCATGCAAGTGCAACAACCGCAGTACGGCCAGAACAGCTCCAACCCCATATTGATCCAGATCTACCGCGGTTCAAGCATCATCACGAATCGAGCACTGTCGAATTGTTCTACGACTTGTTTTTTGTTGCGAACTTGGCGACCTTTACCGCGAATCATGAAATCGTCAATACAGACTCCTTGAAGAACTACGTTGGCTTCTTCACTATTCTTTGGTTCACCTGGCTGGAGACTTCCTTATTCGATGTCCGCTTCGCCACCAACTCGGTCTTCACTAGACTGTGCAAAGCCATCTCATTCGGCGTCATGACAGGCTTCGCAGTGTGTGGCGCTAGCTACGGCCGGCACGATATCAATGTACTCCGCTTGCTATCGATTCTCCTCATGATCTCCAGGCTCACACTTGCTACGCAATACGGAGTCGTTCTCCTCTATGCCCGCAAGTATCCACGGACACTACTGCCTCTGCTACTGACCATTGTTATTCTGTCTGTCTCGGCCGTGGCTTTCCTTGGAACTTTCTGGGTGCACGATCCTGAGGGGGTCAAAACCAAAGCGTACATTATACACTATGTCGTGTCTTGTGTTGAGGCGACAGCTATCATTACAGTCTCCTGTACCTGGCGATTTGTTAGTTTCAGGCATACGCACCTGGTGGAGCGTATTGGGCTACTGTCGCTCATAATCATGGGGGAAGGTATCCTCGGTATCACCAAGAGCCTCTCGAAAATCTTCCAAAATGTCAATTCGGTGGCAAGTGATGATGTGGGAGTGCTCGTGTCTTCGGTTCTCCTGATCTATTTCATCTGGATCCTATATTTCGACCAAATCGACCATGACCGTTTTGGAACGATACGTCAGCAAATTTGGGCTTTGATTCATTTCCCTTTACATGTGGCTCTTGTTCTGACGGCTACTGGTATTGCTACCATGATCCCCATCAACATTATCATAGGGCTCAGTAACGAGTGGTACCATCTGTGGTACGATCTCTACTCTTCGGAAGATGACAACGGGCAGCTGATTATCAAACCTACGGTCAACGCGTCTTCTCCCCAGGAGTTCATTGATCTCATCACGCCCAATATCACAGAATTCGAACGCCACTTCAAGAAGGCCACCTTCAAGGAGGATGCATTCGATTATAGAGAGCACATTCTCAATATCAAATCCGAATTTGGATCCCAATCGTGGAGTGATGAGGCGAGCAGTATCCTCTATTATTTCTGGATTGACGTCGGAAGCCTCATCTTCAAAAAGTGCGGTATTGAACTGCCCGACGAGGAGTCCTCCAAGAAGGATATCTTCAAGGAAAATGACGCGCTGTTCAATGTTTTCGACATTGCCATTACTTACTTTTACATCGCAGCTGGAGCACTCCTCGTGATACTTGCCATCATGTACTGGTTCGGCAAGACGAAAAAGTCCCGTGATGAATGGGCCAGTATCGCTCTGAGGCTTCTGGCGGGTATGGCCCTCTGGTAAGTGTTGAGACCTTGAGACCATTCAACGAAATCACTGCTTACTTGACCACCTAGCATGGTTCCGATCGGGTTTTGGAAACCCAAGACCATCTCGTCGTTCTTTATCTCGACTTGGCTCATTCCAGTCGTCATGTTGAGCTACTTGGTCGTCATTGTCTTGGACAACTTGCTCATATGGCATGAAAACAGGCGACTGACAAAACAAGGCTCGAACAATCTGGACAAAAGCTCAACGGTTTACGGTGGTGAACAGCACGATATGGAACAGCACCCGCTTGTGGAAAGGGCGACGTCCGGCCATCAGTGAGAGAGGTTGATAGAGATACTATACAGCAGTATACTTATCTGAGGGCCACCGATCAGTGCCGTACCATCTAACGGATGATGTCCACCATATGCCAATATTTCCGCATGCCTGATCTGGGCGTACGCTGTCGGTACTGTAAGAGATCGCTTGCACCTGCATGTGACTGTCGAGGCGGTTGCCAGGCTATCATAGGTAACTCTGCCAAGGGCGCACCTGTTGAGTGCATCGGGCCCTGCAACAGTCATCGATAAGCCCCTTGTATTATCATCCAGCCTATTGAGGTCGTGATACTGTCGAAGTGTAAGAGTTGTAATATCGAAAGCGCCTAGCCAGTAGGTAGGTCCAGTAGGCTCGGTAGGAGCCAACACCGACCACGTGAACGACCAGCGCGTCATGGGCGCCCAACCTTGGCACCATCAGCACCATCATGCACTCTGAACTTAGTACAAGTATAAAATGTCGTGAAAATCGCTTCTTTTCTCTCTTCGTAGAAAAACGGATGACAGTGGTCTTCGGGGGGTTGGCGTTTCAATTTGCCGATGATGAGTCCAGGTTCCTGAGATGCCTTCGAACGCCGGTCCACACGGCCAGTTCGTTGGCTTCTGATGGTGGACCATTTCTAAGGCACCTCAACTTCTGATTCCTTACCGCTGAAATCCAGGCATGCACCATAACCAGCAGCCAGGATGATCACCACGAAGGGCCAGAGGAGGATGAATATCCGCGTGACGACGACCATAAAGATGGTCATTATGATTACGATGGCGAAGACAAGGTTTATTATCGCGATGATCCTTGGTACGGTGGTAACGCCTAACTCTGGGTTGGCGTGTGAGTGAATATGCCAGAGATGTTGATATCGTTTTTTGTCTCTACGACTGGCAGCGACTAGTCACGGTGCAAGCTGCTAGAGTTCCACCACGCACGCACGCCTTCAATCAAAAGGTGGTGATATACAACGGCTGAATTTTGTTCGCTGTGGAATTCTAACTCAAGGCGGCCCCTTTTCATAGCCCAAACCGTAGCATCTGTGAACAAGCTCCTTCCTTTTCGAGTTCAAGCATTCAAGCATGAAGAAAAAAAAATATACATGGCCTCGCTGCCTGTTGACAGCACATGATTCGTACGAGAAACAGGAATGAGGTGCCGGGTACAGAATCTCATTGTCGACAGGACAGTTGAGAACTGTGATGAACCACAGGCCCAAAACTCACCCCACCTCCAAGAATCAATCGTGGTAGGGGAGGAGGAATCTAGACTCTGGAGATTGTCGTTGGCGACACAGACCCGAGGCAGAGTCACTAGTTGATTGCGCCAAAAATGACGACGCTTTCCTAAAACTGAATTTGGAAGAGAATAAAGGTACCCCTAAACGCCGGTGGTATATGCAGTCGTGGATCAATCGAGGGCTCGGAAAAAAGAAACGCCAAAGCTGTCGTGACAGTCATCATATCAGACCACACATTCGGAGGTTTTCCTGGATGATAATGTCTGCAAAACGATTAGATTTGGGTTGCTCGCCTGAAGTGGGTGTGGAACTTACCATTGACGGCACCCATGACGAACCGTATCTGGGTGGTATCGGTGGCGCAGGTGAAGTGAGTGTAGATTTGCTTTGTTTCGGCCTGATTGAGAGACACGAATCTGTTCAGAATGTAGTCGCATGCTGCGGCATAATCAGGGCCACCTAATAAGATCGAATCAGCACTTGGTCGCTTCTCGCGGACGTACTGCGAACAAACCTTCGTAGTCGGGGAAATAGTTCTGCATTGGGCTCACAGGGAGCTTCTCCTTGAACCTGTCAATCTTGTTCAAGAACAGGATAATGCTGGTCTTGATGAACCATCTCGAGTTGCAGATGCTGTCGAAAAGTGTAAGAGCTTCTTGCATTCGGTTGACAGTCTCGTCTTCGAAGAGCAGTTGATCGTATTCGGAGATGGCGACCAAGAACAGAATTGTTGTGACATTTTCGAAGCAATGAATCCACTTCTTTCGCTCGGATCTTTGGCCACCAACATCAAACATACGATACGTAAGGTCTTGAATAATGAAAGTCGTCTCCGTGATACCGGTAGTCTTGACTCGCGATCGGAGGACATCTTGGTCGTTGGGAAGGTAATCGTGCGCAGCAATGCGGTCGATGGAATCGAAATAGCTGGGAAAGAGTCAGCAAAGGTGGGTCCCGGCCAACTACGGTAACTCACTATCTTGCAGAATCGTTCAGCTGGTATTCTCGTGACCGTTTGAAACATTCTTGAACACCAGCATCCTGCCACAGCGCTTTGATGGCAGCTCCAACCTCAGGAGGAAGGCTTTCTCCCTCTATTTGTGGTGGTTGCATGAAAATCGTCTGGACATGGTACTCGGCGCGTTGATCGTCAAGCGGAAGCTCGAGAGACTCCATAGCCTCTAGTATAACCCGCATCGACTGGACCGTATTGGAGTAGATGATTTCCTTGAACGATTCGCGCTCGTCGCGCGAATATCCTCCCTCATGAATGAGCTTCATTTGCTTCAGGATGGTGGATTTTCCAGATTCTCCAGCGCCTGCAGTCTTGTTCAGCCCCGGATCCATGAAGAGTGTAGTGACATTAACCTACCGAGCAAAAGCATCTTGATCTCGTTGCGCTGGGCCATCTTATCTCTCTTCAGCTGGTTCTCAATCTCATCATTTCTTGCCTTTCCGGCTGAATCTTCCTTGCTTGCACCGCACCCCATCCTGCCGTTTGTGCTAGAATCGACTCTAAAGGTTTTAGTGATGCGACGAGGAAGAAAGGACGGATGGTGAGGTGCTATGGAAGCTGTGAAAAGTAAGTCAGCTATACTCGGTTCTCGAGACTCTGGCGACGCGCATGGAGGTATTGAGAAATGGTAGGATTGTGCGTCGAGGGTACTTCTTGCTTTCGACACTCACCTGTGAATGTATTGACTCGGAAGCTGGTATCGACTCGTTTGCCAGCCTCGAAGTGACGACCTCCCAAGTGACAAAAATGGTGGTGGACGGAAGTGATAGAAGTCCGCAGAGGGATCGACGCGGGAGATGGCGAGATGTGGAAATTTTGGCGTCGATCAGTAACTAGCTGGATGACGGGTGTGATGGATCGGGACCTGGCACAATTGGGATGTCGCCGCCGCCGGTGGTGTGTGGGTGCGTTTTGGCAGTCGAGCTCTGCTCTCGAGATGAAGGTGTCTGTACAAAACTCGCTGCAAGAATGGAAGAAACCCAACTGCGAAGAAGTAGTGCTCTGGTAGTGTACAGGGGCGGACGAAAGAAGAAAGACGGTAATGAGATCGGATGGATCAAGAGATGTGGACGGGATGGCACAAAAATTGAGGAATGGGATTGGATATGAGGCCGGCAGAGCAAGCGAGGCAGGGAGAAAATCGAGTGTTGATGGAGAGGAGAACCACCTGCAGCAAGACCAGCCGGGGTTCGTTTTGGTTAAGTTCTGGCTAGGGAACTTAGCGTCCCAGCGGTGGCTTTACCCCGAAGGCCCCTAACCAGGTCTTTTAAGGGACAGTCACCAATTCTTGGGCTCACCAGGCTGGCACTGGCTGGTCGCTGGGCACCTGCATGCCCGCCGGACAGGCTAATGCGGGATTAGCTAGCAAAGAGTCAAAGGCAGGACATCAAAGGGGCCTGGCTTCGTGTCTCGACTCTCCAACACTGTCAAAGCAGATCCTTGTCCTGGACCAGTGCCTTGACTTGTCTCTTTTCTGTCTGCCCCAGCGTCATTCCCAGTTCCTGTCCCTCCTGACTGGCTCATGCTCCTCTTCTACCCTGGCCCTTGTTGGTTAGAGCTTGGCTTCATCGACCGACACTTGAGATTGTCCACCCGGGTGCGCTAGCGACGGCTGTTTTGGGGTGGTCGTCCCTCTTGTCTTTGCGCAGGGGGCAATATGGGTTCCGAGTCCAGGTCCAGCTGAAGACTCGCATCGAGCTCCCATTCAAGGTGTAAGGTACGTGAATCAAACAATCTAGGCGGTGTACAAACGGTGAGTGGTGATGCTTGTTCGTCTGCATGCATATGATCACAATAGAAGACGTCGATCTGCATTGGAATACCTACCTCCTCACCCTCCTATGTTTGTCTGGCTGACACTACTTCATCCTGGAGCGAAATCAGAAAGACTGGTTCTTCGCGCAGCAATCGAGTGGTCTACTATGTACTGTGTATGACCCCTTTTGCAATCCTATCTCGGCTTAGCAATCATCGTTTCTACCCGTTCAAAAGCCATGGATCAAGGTCCCCAAAATTTCCAGGACCATGCGCAAATAGTGCCTCTTAGGCGAGCAATGGCGAAACAAATCGAAAGCAGAGATTGTTTGAATATCCGGTTTACCCTTCATCAGCTGACAACGTATCATCTGTTGCTCGTCTAATCTACGGCGAACCTGTTTCTCGAACACGTCCAACTCTTTAACTTTAACAAGGTCCTCCATGTCTCTTCAATGATTGCTTTGTTTTATGAGAGAAAGCGCCTGTCATTTCCAGCCACTGCAGGACCTGGCCCGCCCGGCAGCGCGTATTGCTCGGTGCCCAAAGTCAAATGCTTCAGGAGCGGATATGTTGCGCTGTTCTTGTTATGCGTGATAGGTGAGCTGCATCTCCAATTCACTCCCAGATTTGCGGAAATGACTTTGATGACAGCCGACGGAACTGTCGATCTAGCTCTATTTTGGTGGTACAGAACCATCCACTGCTTGCGTTTCACCGCGCTCTCCTCAGGCTGCAGCACAGTTGCAACGTAGCGTCCGGCTATACATGCTCGCTATACGGAGTACCACCATGTCTTGACTTTTTGTGGAGTTGCATGTCAAAAGGAGTCTGCCAACCTGGAAGTGTGCCCGACACACTTCGGTATCGCTATGGGAGGGGGCCTCTTTCGTAACCATCAAGGTATCAACTCGTCATTCGTCCACGACATTAGCGTTTCGGTGTTCTGCATTGAAGATCTCAACGCCACAAAAGTCCTTGTCTCATACGAGGCCGTGGCCGGCCTTCGAATCATCCACGGCAAGACGCCGCCGCTCCCGAACTTCGGTCTGATCCCCTTTCTGAATCATCATTTAGACCCCGGATCCTTATGCATCCTATCATCGGTTCCAGCCCGGCATGCTGTCGGCATTTGGCAGCTCTCTTCTAAAGAGGTAATGATCAGCTGAGAAGGCTGCAGGTATTCACGAAATGAGAAAACATGACGCTTATCGCACGCCCGAAACGGTCATCCTAGGCATTGGCCGCCTGTCAGAAGCGACGCACAAAGTACTTGTAAGCGAACAGTCTGACCACAGTTGCTGATGCACCAATGCCGTTTCTTCGACTCATTGTTCCCCGAGGTGCAGGATACTCTCGGATGATCCAGAGCATCGGTTACAAGCGTCCATGTCTGTTAGCCTCCCAACTGGTACGGGTAGCGACTTGCCGAAGATTCTCGACCAAGAGCATGTTGATGAGCAAGCATAAGGCTCCTGCTCGACATCATCAGTCCCGGACAACATTTCACAAGCTTTGAACTTGCACAACCTTACTTACAGAACACCCCTTTAGGAATTTTTTCTTTTGTAGATCGTCAGCAAGAATTCGAGTCTCTACAAGGCGACTGATTAGAGGTAAGGATGCTCTAATATGATACCTCGCGGAGGCGATTCACACACGAGCGAGCGCGCTTTCGACACTACGATACCTCCTCAGATTGGCTTGACTGCGCATACCCATGCATCTTTTGAGTCTGCCAGCAGCAATTTGACGCTCGTCTTCTGTGCTGTTGCCGTCACAACCCGGGCTCGGGCAGCCTTTGCAATTCCCAGGTGACTCTCGACTCTTCACTCAGCATCTGCATATCCCCTCAACTGCTCATCCAACTACATTGCACTTGATAGACAAGAGCCTTGCTTGATCCAAGCAATGTCTGATCAAATGGCCCCACTTCCGTCTCGCCATCCGCCTTTCTCCTACTGAAAGTACCCCCTTCTACCGGTTTAGGATAATGTGGGGTCAGACAGCTATGATCGTTGAGGACTAGTTCAGGTCACCCGGTATGAGGAGGTACTCCAGTCGTGGGGCTTGAGATAGGTCCGGTGTAAGCCTATTTCTGTGCGCTTTACATGACCTTCGAGGTCCGTCGTTGGTGAGCCCTTCCTGCCTGAGAAGCAGATCGACAAACAAAGCCATGGCTCTCGTCTCCGGCCTCTTTGGTGTCGGCGTTGTATTTCTGGTGGCTTACATTGCTTTCATCCAGCGTAAGCGACCTCCTAAGGGATTGCGCCTCGTCCCAGGGCCGAAAGGACTACCAGTGCTTGGCAACCTGCACCAACTCCAGCCTTATCCGCAACGACGACTTCAGCAATGGGCACGAGAATACGGAGAAATGTTCCAAATCCGAATGGGATGGGAGAACTGGATCTTCTTGAATGACCCTGCCGCAGTCAAAGAACTTCTAGACAAACAATCTGCCAACACATCCGGTCGAGCACCTATGCCAGTGGCATCTGACATCGTGTCAGGAGGCAAGCGGTTCCTGCTTATGACCTACACTCCCGAATGGCGAAAGTTACGGACCATTGTGCACAAGCTGTTGACTCCTAAGATGTCCGCAACCTTTAAGCCGAGTCAGGAACTTGAAGCGAAGCAGCTGATCAACGACATCTACGCCGACTCATTGAGGAACGACCAAGAGAGCTTCTATATGCACTGCAGGAGGTATTCTACTTCGGTAATCATGACATCGACTTATGGACGCAGGGTGCCGCAATGGGTAGGACAGTCCCCTAATCACACATTGTTTCGCACCATCTGATGGTTGACTTCAGGACTGCGAAGATGTGAGGGAGATTTATACTCTCATGAACGATTTCTCAGAGCATGCGGCTCCGGGCGCGTATCTGGCTGACCTCATACCACCTATGGCAAAGATTCCTGTGTCATTGCAATGGTGGCGTGGGCGTGCCTTGAAGTGCTACTATCGTCAGCTAAGAATATGGTGGAAGTACTGGACAACCCTGAAGCAGCAGATAGCGGAGAAAACCGCCCCTGAATGCTTCGTGAAGCAATATGTGGCGACAGAGTATGAAAAAGAGGGTATAGACGAGGAACAATCGGCCTTTGTGGCAGGCTGTGAGTTCTGACCCCTTGTGCGAGGTTGATGGTCTGGAGCTAATGATGTCTTAGCAATGATAGAGGCAGGCTCTGAGACCACCAGTTCGGCACTGAACACTGCGATCAAATACCTCGCAGCATTCCCAGAAGCGCAGGCACGCGCACATGAAGAAATCACGAGAATCATCGGAGACAGCCGGTCACCTAGCTTTGATGACGAAGAAAGTCTTCCCTATATTCGCGCTATGGTCAAGGAGGTGCTGAGGATCCGACCTGTGACGAATATCGGCACACCCCATTATACCACGGCGGACGTCATTTACAAGGACTATTTCATTCCCAAGAACACTGTACTGTCCATAAATCAATACGCAATCCATTTCGACAATCGATACGAGGATCCGGAGAGCTTCAAGCCCGAGAGATACCTAGACCACCCGCTCAAAGCTGGAGCGTACATTGCACATCCAGATCCATATGAAAGAGACCATTTCGGGTTTGGAGCCGGTCGGAGGGGGTGTCCTGGTTTACATTTGGCCGAGAACAGCTTGTTCATCACGCTGGCCAAGATACTATGGGCTTTTGAGATCAAGTCGCCTATTGGAGGGGATGGAAAGGAAGAGCCTGTGGATGTTTCCGATGCAGCTTATGAAGACGGCGCGAATACCGTACCAAGGAAGTACAAGGTGCGATTTGTGGTGAGAAATGCAGAGAGGGAGAAGGTCTTGAAGGATGAATGGGCGCGGGCTTCGGCAGCTCTTTCAGCTTGATCAAAGAGGCTCCCGAATCATCTTTAGACTCTGCATATCAAATTCTGAAGATCCGCCGTAACGAATAAGAAGTTGAAGTCGTCCGGTCATACCGGGTGGAACCTGGCCAGCCATGGTGGTCCAGCCATACGACCACCTCCAGCGAGCGTCCATCACGTCCTTTTGACATCTTCCTCAAGACATGTATCTCGATACTATTCAGTTACTCAGCGACTGCGCGACGTGATTCTTGTTCGTCAAGGGCGTGTCATGGGATGCGAACTGCTCCGCACAGACTCGACTCATCTCTCGGCTTGACTGGCAGGGTCCCACGCTTTCCCCAACTCCTCCTCCACTGACAGGGGTGTATCTGGGTAATATGAGCACGTATGGGTAATTTCCCCAAGGCAAGACCCAGCCGAAGCCTCCATGATGTTCCTCTCCGCAAATCAAATGCAACCGAAAGACGACATACTCCGTACTCCGTACGGTTTTCTGCACCATGTGCCGTCCCCCGCAAGTCTGGCCCTAAGTCCTACGTGGTCCTAGTGGTGGCCACCTCGTTGAGTGTTGACGGGCGAAAACTGGCGTGGAAGCTTCTCTGGGAGTTGAGCCTCTGCCCTTTGCCTCCCACTCTCTCTTCCCAAGAGTTCAGCACGGAGAAGTAACTACAGAGTTTATCACACCACCTAACTCTCCCTGAAACCACGTCCTAATACCACTCGTTCACCATGACTCTTCTTGGAGGATCGGTCATTGTTTTTCCCAAGCTCGATCCCGCCAAAGACGCTTCACAAAAGGGCAAAAGAAATCACGTTTGTAATGTATGCTCTAGAGCTTTCAAGCGAAGTGAGCACTGCATTCGTCATCAACGTGGACGTAAGTCAGAAAAGCGAGATGCACAGGGGTGGCACGACTCATCTTCTTGCAGATACTCAAGAGAAACCCTTTGGCTGTCGAGTATGTCGTCGACGGTACAGTCGGAGGTAGGCGTCTAAATTACCCTGCAACTTCTGAATCATGAATCCTTAACGCTTCCAGGGATCTTCTGGTCCGACACGAGAGGACTCTGCACACCCCGGAACAACTTGCCAGTGCAATCGAGGAACAAGAACAACCGTCCAAGAAGCGAAAGTCCCAAGCACTGCCATCTCGTAGGTCTTCTCACAGTGCGCCAGATGATTACTGACGATTCGTTAGCAGTTAGTAGTCCTTCGCGAAACTCGCTCCCTGAATTAGAAGACGACCCTTCTCTTCCACTGAGAAAGAGTTGCGCTGCCGGTCCAAAGACCAACCAAGCATCAACACCATCCAAGGTTTCGACGATATCAAATTTGCTCACTGCCAATTCACCGACCACGAATTCTGGTAGCCACCAACCACAAATGAAGCGCAGATCGGCATCGCAGAGCTTGTCAGATCAATCCAGTTCTGTCGGTACCATGCCGAACATTGCCACTCCTCCGGCACAGGAACCCACCATGATGGGAGTCAACATTGCAGATTTCAGTGTCAGCCTGCCCGACCTCGACAAGATGCGTACGTTTCCGACCTCGGTCCCTTTACCAGATCTCGATGGTGATCTGGAATTTCTTGACTTTTTCGATCCATTTCTCGGAATGGAACCGAAACAGATGGGAAATTTCGCCATTCCGCCTGTGAGCATGAGTTTAGAGAGCTGGTCGCCCTTGGAACATTTTTCTTGTTCAAGTCAGACGTCGATGCAGGATTATGGTTTCCTACAAGCCACCGAACATACGTCCACAGAGCCTGTCATGATTGACGGGGGCGAAGCGGCCTTAGCACATGTGCCGGAGCATGATTCAATCCACGAGCAACGGCCGAGCTTCGAAACTGCTTTTGAAGACATCAATCCGGGAATGGTTCCGACCGAGCCTGGGGAGCAATCGGCACCCAAACTGGCTCGAACTCCTTTTACCAAACCTCCGGCTCTATTGTTCACCGAAGAAATGCGCTCCAACCTGCTCAAAGACCTATCAACGCGACTTCCACACGAGCAAATGTCCAACTTCAGATTGCCTAGTGCACCTGCGTTGCAGAAGTGTATCCGGACGGCCGTCGATGCTTTCCATGTCCATGTACCGATCTTCCACCTTCAAACAATGGACTTTGCATCTGCACCTTCGCCTCTCCTTCTGGCAATCTGCGCCATCGGTGCCCTTTATCGGTTGGAGCGGAAGATTGCGGCGGCTTTGTACTTGAAAGCTGAGCAAGCCCTTTCTGCCTCGAGCAAGCGGGGCAGGGACCTCCATAACAAACCACGCTTCCTGGAGGATTGGAGCAGGCCGCCGCAGCAAGAGCTGAAAACACACCCCGAGACTCTTTGGCAAAGTCAAGCGCGTCTTTTGCTCAAGATGTTTGCCACATTCAGTGGAGATCCCGAAGTCATTTCCAATGCGATTGCTCATCTGGGTGACTTCCTCATCGTAAGTATTGTGTGCTCCTGATTCGACCCAAAGTGCTGACATGTTCCCAGGACTTTCGGCAATTGGCGCCTGGCGTGAAGGCTGGAAAAGCCGGCGTGGAAGACCTTACCTGGCAAGAGTGGATCAACAGAGAGAGCATCAAGAGGTCTGTTCACCACGACCTTGAGGACCCAGTTCCCTTTACTGACATTCTCGGCAGGCTGCTTTACGGACACGTTCTGTACGGCAATCTTGTGACGATGACATTCGGAATACCACCGGGCTATTCAATTGTATCAGATGGGTACATCGAGATGCCGTGCGATCAGAGTCTGTGGGATGCTCCGAACGCCGAACAGTGGCAAGCACTTGCAGCCGTCAAAGGCAAGAGTTCACCGCTATCGCTAAGAGATGCGGTATCTCGAATCATGTACGGCAACACTCCCAAAGCCGTGCCAGAAGAATGCTGGTCGTGGTCACCTTTCGCCGTCAATGTCGTCATCAACGCCGTTTCCATCCAACTGTGGCACATTGCACAAGGCTCATATTTTCTGGGTGAACTGTCTGGCGTCGTGGGCAAGCCACAAGAGGCGCAGAAGTCACAGATCTTGACTCAAGCCGAAGCCGCATTGTCCCGATGTCGAGCGCTGATCACTCAAGCACGCACCGACGCAGACTATGCATGGACCGAAGCCGAAGGACCGCTGCTGTTCAATTGTCTGGCTCTCCTGCGAGTCAGTTACTGCCGGGCCTTCACCGGTACAGGCGGGGCGGACTCGACAATCCTTCTGAAAGAAAGTCACGAAGAGCTCATGGCGTCGATTGAAGATTTTGTCGCCATGCCACAGGAACGGAGCGAATTGATCACGAGAGCCGTCAGTCGGGCGTTTGAAGGCATGTTGATTCCCTATAAGATGGGCACTTCTCTGCTCAAAAAGACGGCTGCGTTGACTTGGGCTGTCGAGCATGCTCTTGCTGGTTGGGATGCTGGTAAGTTTGTCATTGACTTATTCCTTATTCCTTTTGCCCTTTTCCCTTTTCTCAATATGGGACTTTTATCTTTCAGGATTAGTGTCTGACTATGATTGTGATGAATAGCTCTGCTGGTCACGAAATGGGTCCACGTAATTGAGATCGAAACGGCCCAAACAGGCGCCGTCATTAGTGAGTTGGAAGAACATACAATGCGTACGATCAGCAACTTGATGGCCGAAGTCGAGGATGACTCTTCAGCGGACCAAGGTAACGTGTCTGTAGCGGCCAAATTGACACGGTATTGGGCTGGGTTTTACGATGATACGTGGGTATGGGGCGTTACGCCGCGGATGGGTTGGGTCTTGAGAGAATTGGCGAATTGCTATGAGAGTAATTCGCCTGTTTCCTGATGCATGACACGCACGCAGAATAGTACCTAGGTACTTATATCTATTTTATGATCCAATAGGAGTCAAGACTCCTACTAGTAGCAGAGCCTGCCAGGTCCCAAGAGATGTGTACACAGTACTATTCCCAGATATCATCTGGATACTACGCACCTAGGTGCTACGGAGTAGTACTATTACCTTACCTAACGGTTAAGCCGAGAGGAGGCGGCGGGACTCGACTCTGGGGGTTGTTGTGCTTTTTGCCTTTCTGAGGACATTGCTTCCAAGTTCGGCCGTTAGTCCATTTGATTTCGAGGTACCACGGGCTCTTCGAATTTCTACAGAGTACGGAGTACTAGCCTTGATCTTTCTTCAGTACCAGGTAGGTTAGCTCTCCTTGCCTGGCAAGGTACGTGCTACATGCTACATGATCCATCACTCGTTGCTCGAAAGGTACTGTACCTCCTCATCCTCGTACAGTAACCGCCTCGGCCGGTTCTGAGTCAAGGAGTCGAGAGTCAGAGTCGAGAGTCGACAGGTGGAGAGAGCCAGAGCTCCCACAACCCCAGGGGCGCCCAGGCTCGCATTTGTGCCACAGCCCGTCACGTCTGGAGAACTCCAACTTTTCCCCCTTTCCAGTTGGCTTGGTGTGACCCCACCCGCGATTGAGTGGATGGGCACGGACGGGTTGAGTGAGGAGGAAGAAGGGAAAGAAGTACACGATATACTACTTAGTACAAATGGTCGAGCCATCCAGGAAGGAAGGAATAATGCTAATGTCACTACCGTAAATCCCTTGACGTTGGCGCAAAGCACGGCTGGAAGTATACAAATATCGACAATCGACCATCAACCATCAACTATCGACGACCGCAAAGATGGAACGTTTACTATCCTCGGGAACAGTATACGCCCGCGGCACAGCAGAGTACGAGTCCTACCGAACGAGCTACATAACATCCAACATCCCATCGCGGTATCCTCGAGAAATCCACGTCCCAAGCACAGTCCGGGATGTTGTCGCGGCCGTCAACCGCGCCAGAAGCCTGAACGTGCAAATCGGCGTCCGGTCCGGCGGACACTCGTTCCCATGCAGCTCGCTGATCGAGGACGGCGTGTTGGTGGACATGTCGAACGTGAATCGGCGTGTGCTATACAATCCGCACACGCAGCAGGTTGACTTCGGCCCCGCGGTGCGCGTGAAGGAGGCCATGGACGGAGTTGCGAGGATTGGAAGGTTCTTTCCGACGGGGCATGCGCCGAGCGTGGGGATGGGCGGGTTCGTGCTGAACGGCGGGCAGGGTTGGTTTATGCGTGGCTGGGGCGTGACGGGCGAGCAGTGGGTTGTCAAGATGGAGATAGTCACGCCTGCGGGAGAAGTGGTCGTGGCGAGTAAGGAGCAGAATGCTGAGTGGTTCTGGGCGGCCAGGGGCAGTGGGCAGTGGTTTCCGGGCGTGGTCACGAGGATTTGGGGCAGGACTGTGCCGAGTAAGAGGTTGTGGCATAGGACGTTGACGTTCAGGGTTGGTGAGAGGTATGAAGAGCTGATGAGGTTTGTGTTTGAGAGGGAGAGGAGGACACCGAGATGGGGCGCCGAAGTTGCGTTGTGCACGTTCTACCCTGGTCGGTATGAGCAGGATAAGGGGGATGAGGTCGGGGATAGGGAGAAGGATGGAATGCTGTTGTTCGCGGTGGAGATGATTGCTATGTGTGATGGGTTGAAGGAGGCCCAGACCTTGTTGAGCGCTTGGGAGGATGTACCGGAGAAGTTGAAGGAGTGTCTGGTCCAAGACGATCCGGTCAGGGCGACGAACTGGGACGAGTTGTTTGCGTTCCAGGATAGTCTGGTGCCGTATGGGAATGGGGAGAAGTGGTTGTGTGATAGTATCTTGAGCGAGCCGGACGTCGATGAGGATGAGGTAAGTGTCCGAGTGGTTAGGAGAGGGAGTGACTGACCTTGGATGACAGTTGATCAAGGCGATTCAGCCGGCAATGTGTGATCTACCTACACGCCTGTCCGTTGGATGTCTATATGTCAGCCAGGCGACGCCAGATGAACAACAGCAGTGCTGTTCGTTGCCACAAAAGTATTACATTGCGTCTTTTGTAGGGTGGAAGGACGGGAACGCTGAGAGAGAACCTCGACTGAGAAAATGGATGTCGTCGGCGTTCAAGGAGGCCGAGAGGCTAGGTTGTGGCATGTATATTGCTGATTACGATCATACCCAGCGTCAGAGCAGGGTGATGACTCGACACGCTGAAGAGAGCTTTGCCAAGTTCAAGAGGAGGTATGATCCAGGAAATATTTTTTCCTGTGTAGGCTTCAGCTTCACGCCGGATATGGACACACATGAGAATCCTGCGAGGATATGAGCTCCAAGGGTTGAGAGACAGATAATGGACGAGAGCTCTGGCATTAGGGCTCCTTGATCGGATGTTTCCGCATTTTCATGAGAACAACTTGTGTGGGAGCATTAGTTGTAGAAGTCTCGCCTCGAAACACATTGTCGTTGCTTCTTAAGATGGATTGAAGATAGATTACTCTGTAATTATGGTGTTGAAGTCTGGGAATAAGCGCTGACTCAGCCATTGGATCTCTTGGTTGTCACCCAGGTTGGGGGATGATGGGGGCCACTCGAGGTTATAGGCGCAATCATGGGGGGCACCAATCCCCTGAAACCAGTCAGATCCGATCCCCGAGATCGTGCCAGGGCAGCCCGTGGCTAGTGAGGCCTTCGATAGTCAGATCGATCGTGCCTTGTTCCTCCTCACTGACGCATTCCACCACAATTTCAAACCTCACTCTTTTGAAGACCTACTTGTACAACGAGTTATTCCGTGCATTTATCCGAAGTCTTGTTCGCGAGATCATTCACTTTTCGTCCATCTGTCACGCGCACCCCCAAAGCTGCGGTTATGTCTTACGAAATGTCTACACAGCATGCGACAAGGGTTGGAGCGCGGCGTGAGTTCCTCCCAGTCCTTCGCAGGATAGAGACGTGAGCGATGGAAGCTGATGGATATTTCTAGCATTCAATCACAGTCAATCTCAAGCCGCCGAGCAAGAATATGACCGTCTGCGAGACCTTGCCCGACGAGAAGCACAGAAACGCGCAGACTGCTTTGCGAAATCGCAGCAAGCATACAGCAATGGTGATGGAGCTGCAGCCCATGCGCTGTCGCAAGAAGGAAAAGACCATGGTGCCAAAATGGAACAATATAACAAGCAAGCTTCGGAGTTCATTTTTCGCGAAAACAACGCCAATGGAAGAGTTCCTGAAGATACCATCGACTTGCATGGTCAGTTCGTCGAAGAAGCAGAAGACATACTCGAAGAAAGAATACGATATGCTCAAGCCCACGGCCAGTCGCATCTTCATGTGATTGTTGGTAAAGGTAACCACAGTAACAACCACATCCAGAAGATCAAACCTCGCGTGGAACAAGTTTGCAAAGAATTAGGTCTCCAGTATCACACCGAACCCAATGAAGGACGTATTTACGTGAACCTGGCTGGTGGTGCGGTTGACATGCAACATGCCAACAACTGGGGTGGATATCAATCACAACAACCTGCATATCAGCAACCATACCCTGGCGGGCCACAACAGCAAGGCTATGGATATCAGCAACCACAGCAGCAGCAGCAATACCATCAGCAACATTACGGTGGTCAACAGCATGGTGGTCAAGGACAGCAAGACCAAGTGGAGAAGGTGGTCAAGAAATTCTTGCCCAGAATCATCAACAAGCTTCTACGCATGCTCTGTCATTGATTTTGAGGATGTTCAATCCAGAAATCTCTATCGTTTCCGCGGAATCCTTCACCTCGCATCGAGCTCGACAAGCAAGTTATTTGAATGGTCGACGCAACTCTGGTCTCGATAACGCATGTCACCAACAGAGTCTGCCACATATTGGTGCAAAATGCTGAGATTTTCGAGCGCAGCTTTGCTCCAGCCTACACAGTATTCTACTACTCGGCATCCCACAAGCTACATGCATCTATGATTGGCCAGACTTGGCGGGTCCGGGTTTATCTTGCAGTTACTCGATTTCATCGAGTCACAAACTCAGCCCTGGCCAAACAGCTTCCATCATCAACACAACAACATTGTTATCTTGAAATGTCGTTTTGACATTCCACAATCAAATCGACCGGGCATTACTATCTCGTGCCACGACTACGCTAGATACAACTCTGCATCATAACAGTCGAAGCATGGGCCGCTGCAGCCGACGACCACAAGTGTACCCCTCGAGGCGCATCTCAAGATATTCAGCGATTGCAGCGACTGCGCGAGCGCGATCTATCTAAATATATTGTGGCTTCAAGGAGTGAAAGTCTAACTCTGGGGTAGCAATGGACTTTTGTTGCCCAAAGTCGCAGGCAGTCCACCCAGGCTGTGGGATGGTTATTGGGCGTGCAGTATGACGCAGGGATCTACCATGGCGTTGGACAGAATGTGGAGGCACATCCAACCAAACATGGCAACTTCTTGCAGATATTCAACTCGAGCAACTCTACCGCCGACGCTGTACTGGGTCATTTGCTCTCGCCAGAATTTTCAACCCGCTCAACCAATCTCACTGCGACTTGCTCATAACTCCAGCGTAACTGTATCTTGTTGAAAACGCTAGTTGTACCCGGCCTTTCATAAGTGTGTGTGACATCAACCTACCTTGAGAGATCTTGCATGTCGCCGCATGGTGTTGCATTTTGCTTCTGGCACGCGACCTGCTGCATAAAATCTCGTGTATGTCCTCCTCTTTTGGACATGAAGAAATAGAGCTAGATAATATACCGTCATCTTCTGCTCGTCCAGCCGACACTCTTTGCGAGTCCTCAGAACCACTACTGTCTGACTCCTCGGTCCCGTCAACAAGGCTCAGCCAAAAGGTTGCCGAGCAAAGTCTGAGTGGCGTTGCACTACGCTGGCTGTTCTCGCTCTTGCCTGTCCATCTGCAACGACCAACAATCCTCGTCATGGCCAGACTTCGCACCTCAAAGGCAGCCACGCTGCTCACAAAGCTACAGACAGATTCCGAGCCTGGTCTATCCAGCGCTCAGCTCATGTTAACGAACCATGATTTGAAGCCGGTGGAACCTGCCAGGCGACAATGGGGGCCTTGGAACTTTGTTGGTATGTTCAAGCCCTCCTTGGGTTGAAGACATATACTAACGCCCTTTAGGATTCTGGATTGCGGACTCGTTCAACATCAACACCTGGATGATCGCTAGCTCCATGATCACGGGCAGCGGTTTAGCATGGTGGCACGCCTGGCTGTGCGTCTGAACAGACACTCTTGAGGGTCAGACCAACTAACAACCTGTCTAGATGTGTCTGGATCGGCTACTTCATTGCGGCCTGCTTCATCTGCTCGACTGGTCGTATCGGCGCAACATACCATATCTCATTTCCGGTCATGAGTCGTGCTTCTTTCGGCATCTGGGGCTCGTTGTGGCCCGTTTTCAATCGAGCAGGTAAGCGTCAAGGTCACGTCTGTTGAGTTGATCCCGCTGACCATGACAGCGATGGCGTGCGTCTGGGTATGTGATTACCTCGACTAGGACTGAGCTCTGTCAGCCGTCTTGCTATTACCACCTACAACCCCATAATCAGGCTGTCCAGACACTAACTGGCTCAAAAGTACGGAGTACAATCATGGATAGGAGGCGAGTGTGTCACCTTGATGATCAGAGCCATTGTGAGTTCATCATATCTCCCATCTGACCAAATGACTAATTTTTGGGCCTCAGTGGCCTTCCTTTTACACCCTTCATAACGGCATCCCAAGCTCGGGCACCAACACTCGTGACTTTGTTGGCTTCTTCCTTTTCTGGGTCGGCTCTCTGCCAGCCATTTGGTTTCCAGTCCATAAGATCCGACATCTCTTCACAGTCAAGGCATATTTCGTTCCAGTTGCTGGTATCGCCTTCTTCGGATGGGCGATTGGGAGGGCGCATGGCATTGGCCCAAGTAAGCCCTCACAAGCTATATATCATTGGCCTTCGCTAACTACATTGCCCAGTCGTCCGCCAGCCAGCCACTTCCCACGGCTCCGAACTCGCCTGGGGCTGGATCGCCGGGATCATGAGCTCGATCGCCAACTTCGCCACCCTTATTGTGAACGATGCGTACGTCCATCCATCTTGTCGCAAGCCCCGTCGGTACTTCAACCACTGACTCTTTCGTAGTGACTTCGCGCGTTTCGCCGGCAAACCCAAGGACGCACTCTGGTCTCAACTGTTTACCATCCCCATCGGCTTCGCTGTGACGTCGTTCATCGGCATCATTGTCTCGTCTTCGTCGAAAGTCATCTACGGCACGGCAATCTGGAATCCACTCGAACTCCTCTCGCAGTTCCTCCTCGACGACGCCACATCCGCCGAGCGCTTCGGCGTGTTCATCATTGCCATGGCCTTTGTGCTCGCACAGCTCGGTACGAACATCGCAGCCAACAGCGTCTCCGCTGGTACAGACATGACCGCGCTGCTACCTAGGTACCTCAACATCCGGCGTGGCGGGTATATCTGTGCGATCGTCGGGTTGTGCATGTGTCCATGGAACCTGCTGAAGTCGTCGAATAGCTTCACGACATACTTATCAGCGTACTCGGTCTTCCTGTCGAGCATTGCGGGCGTGATTATTTGCGACTATTACATTGTGAGAAAGGGATATTACAGCCTGCGAGACTTGTACTCGGCGCAGAATTCCAGTCCATACTTTTACTGGTTTGGATGGTCGTGGAGAGGGTATGCGGCGTATATTTGTGGCATTGCAGTCAATATTGTCGGCTTTGTTGGCGCGGTCGGGGTCAAGGTACGTACACTGTCGTTATCCAATATGCTTTTCCAGACTGTGATTGAGCGAGGCTAATGATCGTCTGGCGCTAGGTCCCTATGGGAGCTGTGTACATCTACCGGTTCAATTTCTTCGTAGGCTTCATCGTCGCGAGCGCGGTATACTACCTTTTGTGCAAGGTATGGCCGGTCCCTGCGACAAGTCGCGTGTGGTGCGAGAAGGGCGATGCGGCGGATCGGCAGTTCAGTGTCGTGTATACGGACGCGGAAGGGTATGATGAGGAGAGGAGTACGGCGACAGACGGGGTTGCGCGTGAGAGGGGGGATGCAGAGGAAGGCGAGGAGAAGAAGGTTATTTATCAGGATTTGACTCGTGGTCATGGTCAGAATTTTTGAGTCCCGACTGGGCTAGCGAGTGGGATGGTCTATGAACCGGTTGAGTGATGGTCTGCGGGTGAGAAATTATGTGATCGAGTAACGATCGGGTTGCACGAGAAAGAAGTCCCAAGGACGTATGAAGGCGTCACGGAGCAGAGTCATCCTTTGCCGGGTATTGGCGCAGTGGTGGCAGGGGTGACGGCTTTGCTCTGCTTGTATGGAGATTCCGTACAGATTCGCTCTTCGTGAGTAGCACCCCAAGGTGCAGCCATCGACATATGACTTGACGGATTTCATGTGCATCAATCATGAACGACTTCATCTATAACAACTCCTCCGCTAGAATATGGCTTTTCTCTATGTCCTCTATAACTCTGGCAGCACAAGTCAAGTCAAGTCCAGTCCAGCACACTACTACCAAGTATGGCACACCCTTACTATGCTCTTAATATGCTAGCCTTGTCGTGATCTTGCTGTGCCCCCTTGTCCTTCGTAGTTCGTACTGCACTGCAACAAATCAACTAACCACAGCAGGATCGTTCACGTTCATCCAAACCTTTGGCTCTCTCCTTTGCAGTCAGCATCTCCCACCCGACACTCCCGTTTTCGCCTTCGGCTTTCCCGACCTCCTCGACGGCCTTGAACAGATCATAAACAATCTTCTCGCTCACCTCGCTGTCGAATTTGTACCCAGGATGAGTCCTGACGAATTCGCGCAACCACTTCGCGCCCGTCCACAGCGTCCCGTCGGCCCTCTTGCGGATCAGGTCCAGGTACCGGGCCAACTCGCAGCGCGTCGTGACATCGATATTAACGCTGTCCAGATACGACTCGACCAGGGGGATCAGTCCGGGAAAGTACTCGCCGTCGCCGCCAGCAGTGTTGCTGTTGTTGTTGTTGCTCGTCTCGGCGCCGCCTGCAGTGCACGAATGCGTGCCGTTGATGATCTCGTCGATCGTCATGAGTCTGTATTCATCTTCGACGGGCCCAAACGTCTCCTTGAGGCTGGCATCCGCCGCGGCGGCGCTGGGATTCTCATTCCTACTGCGCGGCTCGGCAAGGCCGTTCAGAAGCGGACTCGCTCGGGGACTGCGCCGGGGGAAGGGATCCTTGCGGAACCAGAATTTCTCGCGCATGACGGCGTCGCGTGCGTGCGCGGTCTCCATGTTCTCTGTGGTCCGTGGGATGGGGATGTAGAAATTCAAGTCGAAGCTCAGGATGGCGCGGGTCACGAGCACGATGAAGATACTAAACGCCGCGTTCTCGAAGTCGGTGATCTGGATCTCCATGCTGCGGAACTCGACGCGCCAGCCAATATCCGCGTCTGGAGGGGGCGGCTTGAAGCGCATGTGCTGCCAATTCGTGCTCTGGATGTTCTCGAAGTGGTTGCTGCCCTCGGGATCGAGAGACTTGAGGTCCTCGGAGAAAATGACCAGCGGGTCCCGGATGAACAGGTGCGCGAAGTGCGTGGCCAGGAGGTCGTCCATGCCGCCGTCGAGCAATTTCTGCTTCAGCCGTTCGTCGACGATCAGGTTCGGGTCCATGTACTCGTTGCGCAGGCGCGGGTCTTGGGCAATGTAGGTGCTGTTGCTGGCGTAACGGGATTTGGGGATGCGCCAGCGGTCGTTCTTGAGCGGCTTTTCGCCGAGCTCTTCGGGCGTGCGGTCGTCGACGGCGCGCGAGATTTGGTTCCATCGCACATCCGTGTCGACGAGAAAGCCTTTGTAGATGGGCGTGGCGGCCGTCAGGGCCAATAGGACAGGGCCGAGCGGGGAAAGTTGGTCGTAGAGGGTGCGGCCTTCGCGGATGTTCTTGGCCTGGAAGGTGATTTGTAGGCAGCAGCTGCCCATACCGAAAGCCATGGCGTCCATGTAGACGCAGTCAGGCTTTGCGGCGCCGTTGCGCACGTCGTCGTCTTCGGGCCAGTTGTGTAGGTCGTAATTGATGGTCGGGTCGTGAAAGGGGGATGGCGTCTTTTTGTCCTTGAAGACGGGCACGTTGAGCTCGACCTTTCGACCTCGACGCGATCGGATGTTGGCTGCTAGCGTGGGAAAGCGGATGTGCGGATTGGCGATCTCGTCGGGAACGAATTGGGATCTCAAGGCAGGCCCGGAAGGAGGGTAATATGGTGTTATAAAATCGTCTCTTGTGCCTAGGCGAGGGAATGTGGTTAGTGTGATGGGGTACTGGTCCGGATCCATGTGCTGCTTTGCAATGACCCGTCGGGTTCTCATGTCCGACTCGACGTCTAGTAAATCTTTGAAGCCGATGCCCCAAGGCTTTCCTGGTGTAGCTTCGAGCATGAAGCGACCGAACTCGGGGTGGAAAGTCGGCAGTGTGCCACTTTTACTGCGTAGGGATTAGTCGCGTGTCGGGCAAGGGAGAAGTGTCACGGACATGTTATCTGCTTGGAGATCAGGAACCATTGTGTCCTGCTTCGCTAGCTCCTGGTCTTTCGCCAACGCTTTGAGGACGTCGGCCTGACATAGAGAGAGCCGGACCTTTTTATGTTCCTCGTCGATTGCGACGACGAGATACTCGATCTGGGACAGTCTTAGTGACAGGAGGACGAGGTCGATCATCCATCAAAGCATACCTCGTCGCCCCACAGAAGGGCATCTCTTTCCTTGACCTTGGCTTTTCGCCATATTGTGAGCAGTTGCTAAATAAGCGTAAGTAGAGGCTTCGAGCCTTGTCCGGCTTGTCCATACCTCGATACCCCACTCTCTAACTTGGTTTGCTGCCTTTTTGGCTTCTGGCCACTCCAAGGGCGTTCCCAGTTGTCTGTAAGCATGTCAGGAGACTGTGTTTGCCCTAATGCGGGGCGCTGGAGCATACAAAAGGCCCATCTTGAACAGGGCGAAAAGGCCAGTCAAGGCTATCGCAAGGCCATAACGGTTCCTGGAATGTTCTGGGACCTCTGGCGGTTCGGATAACAAGGATAAATGAGAGTCGAATGGAAGTGGATGTGGAGTATCAAATTCGAGCCGATCGTGACGTTTTCGCCAAACTTTTCCGATTCCGTTGTGGGCAGAGATGCCGCAATCTGGAGGGGGACAAATACTACAAACGATGGACAAACGGCACTATATTGAGACCGGGGAGACAACAAGATGTACAAGAATAGAATATGCAACAAAATCTTTCCGAGGTCAGATTCGCAACGGCCGGAAGGAGAAGTTTGACTGCAAAAAGGTGCTGGTCAGTTGGTCAGAGCTGATCGTATTGCTTTGCTCTGGAATTAGTCATCGAGGCTGTTGAGAATGGCACTGAATGGCCATCTCCGATCACGCCCGATTCGACGAACCAAGGCTTTTTGCTACCTATGGAAGTACTTCCGGAGTAGCTGTGCTACCTTATAAGCTTAGTATTCTGAGTCTGTACTCTTTACGGATTGTTCGTTGAGCCGCTGATATCCGTTACACTGTGTGTGACTGTGGTAGTAGATGAGGCTGTCATCACATCATCTACGCCAATCATGCAGGGCAGATTGCAGACGTGGGGGTGCTGTACGAGTAGTCTTACGGAGTACGAGTGTGATAAATCGGATTGCATACAAGGCAATGTGAACAGTCCCTAGTAGGTGCCTAGGGGGGCGACCATCAATTCATGGGACCATCCGTCCTCAATCTTGGGTGCGATGGCATGATACTGTGGTATCCTTCTGCAGGCCCATCAAGGTCTCTGTTGATTCTCCCTCTTGATTTCTGCCGTTGGTCTTGCACATCATGTGCCATCATGTGCAAGATGTCCTCGATGCAGCCGAAACTCGCCTTGTGGCTGTCGCTGTCCTCAACCACGAGTCAACCGATTCACGCCTGGCCCTTTATTCCAGATTCCTGCCTTGAAGGCGAATGAAGCCCTGTAGTATATGTACAATAGTGGTAGACTTTGACTTTTCTGTATGGACCAGTTCTGTCGTGCTGTTCAACTGCTTCCCTCGGCAGACTTGGCCGCTCGAAGGCTCTCCATCTTTGCGACTCTTTTCTTGAATTCCTCATACTGGCACTTTTCGTAGCTGTGTCTTTCGTTCTGTACAATGGCAAGCTCAAATGTCAGTCACCCTGATCCTAAGAGCAAGCGCTCCTACAAGGTCCAGCCACTTACTTCACATCTCCAGGGCATCCATGAGTTCTCGTGCCGGCACTTGTTCAGGGGAATGAGGAGGTTCGCACAGCTATCTCGGTACTGGAGTGGAATTCTAGCCTCTGACATGGCTTCTCTCGAGGCAGGAGCTGCAGGAAAAGCGGAAGACGGGTCAGCTGTCTGATCTTGCCTGAGTCGCCGTTGTAGGATGAGCATACCATTGTCGCCCCCGAAGCCGACGGCTTCCTTGACACTCTCTAAGACCGTCATCTTGAGCCGCCTATCTCGCAGACGGGACAAAATCTGGTGTGCAGGATGCTCGGGTACGCAGTAAAGTAGCTGTCGCAGCGAGACTCACTGCTTCACTGCTCAAATCACCCTCCAATGGCGCAGGCTTGGCATTCTGTGGGGCAGCTTCAGCTCCGACTTCGACTTCAACTTGCTGCGCGAAACATTGTCGACAACAAGATTATCTGCTCTTGATTGAATCAATCCCTTACCACTACCGTGAATCTTGCTGTGTGAATATCTTTCCCTCACCATTCACGAAGCCGAGAGGCTCTTTTATGTCCGAGACACACCTCACAATGACCTGAATGACTGCACCACCCAAGCAGCCTTGGAAAGCCCACCGCTTTCCAGACATGCCATCTCTGCGCCGTAGCTGAAGGCGCAATCCCTAATACTGGGCGCCGTCAAGTTTCGGGCGATATTGCAACCTGCTCTGTGGTCTGTGACTATTGTGCCTCAGTTGCCTGACAATGCACTTGGTCGATCTTCCGAAAGAAGGCAGCCATTGAGCCCAGCCCGTTTCCAGCTCAATGGCTTGTCTTGCTCTTGTCAGCCTTGGACTTCGACCAGAGGTCCCGATTGCGTCCAATCACTGCAACTGTGCTCGACGATGATCGTTAAGACCCGGACCAGTAGGTTTGCTATCACATAATCCGCAAGGCAACTTACACTACCTCCCGTACTGGTGACTGCAGCACAATTAAGTGTTACTGCAATGCGTCGTCCTGGACAGGCATCGAGCTCTTTGCACGCTCATTTATCCCGCCTCTGCATTTCTGTCCCGACATCCCCTTTCAACCCACAGCACCTTGCTTGTGACGCCATCCGCAAGGCAGCAAACCACAAGACTTCTGAGCTCGCTTTGACAGCCCGAGCACAACGACCTCAAACTACTCCCCTGAAACAGCCTTCTTTAGCATCACTGTTGCCCGAATGCGTCCACGTCAGGTTGCCTTTCAACAGTAGTGCTGTTGTGTCTCCTTCGTGGACCGTCCGGAATGAAACAGGCAGTGCCACAGTTTCATGCTGGCTCATTTCTTATTTCAAACCACTTGAGCTTGTGCTAACCCTCCTTCGCAAGCTCTCACTCTTCCTGTCTACTTTCAAGTCTGGGTATCATCCTATCTCTTCTCTTCCTGGTATTCTTCTCTTCCGATATGGATGATGATCGTTCTCGCCTTCGGACTGAGTCGACCGCCCTGGCTGTTCGAGTGCGAAGCTCTAATCGACCAAGACCTGGGCCGTCTAGCCTGACATCTCCTCAGTTTACCACAAGCCAGCATGACGATCTACAAGATCAACAAGATGACCTCTTGGAGCGACTGGCTGGTCACTATACTACCTTTGAAGCTCATGACTTACTTGTCAAGGCTTTCGAGAAAACAGTCACAGGCAATCTCTCTGCCAGTTTCAAAGACGGAATCAGACTCGCCGAAGTCATTGAAGATGCTATCAAACCAAAGATTGGTATCGCCTTTCTAGCTGGCGCGGATACCCCTCAAGTGACACAGATGGAACAAATTCAGATGTCGCAGAAAGAACCTGATCAAAAGGACGCATCTTGGCGAGTCAATACTGCTGGGGCGCTTCTCAAGAATTTCGATGTTGACAAGTCTATGTCTATCATTGCCACTGACAATACTCCAGCTGTGATTGCTGCTGCACGCCAACGCATGAATGCAACAGGACCTTTTACTGATCCCAATGCTTCCTCTAATCAACGTGCGCTAGCACTCCGACGTCACCAAGATCGAATCGTCACAATCGACAGTGACAACGTCAAGATTGTCAACGTCTTGTCGTCGGACAAATGGGATCTTGAAGGCCTTCTTGTCGAAGTTGATCAATCGAGTCTGATGGCTGTTATTCTGAATTACCGGCACATCATCAATCGTGGCGGTTCGAACTTATCGTGTGGCGAGACGGTAAGTGGTTGGATTGCATGTGTTTGCTTGCTGATTATTTGGTAGATCAAGCTGCTTGACAATATGATTGAAGACGCTAGGAGACTCTGCATTCGGAGTCCTATTCTCTTCAGAATGTCTACAAGGCGCCATATTATCTCGTCTAAGAACACGCGGTACGGCGTCGACCACGGGACGATGTTCCAGACCTTGACCACTAGCAGTGGCATCAAGAATATCATCTCTCTAAGTGCAGCCTACTTCAACTCGTTGGCCTCTTATAATAAGCAAGAGCAACAACTTATTCGGCCACGATTTCTTCAGATGTTGGTCCTGTTACTATCGCTACTCAACGACGGTATGCAGTCTACACTCCCATCCTATTCTTTCTACTGACCATTTGCCACAGATGACCTTGGAGAACTTGCAGAATTTCTCGAGGTCACATACTCAATTCAAGCCGAACGACATCATATCGAACTTCTCATCTTGAAAGTACTTCCTCTCATGTCGATCAACTCCAAGATCTTCCTCAACTCTCTGGTCACCGCGTTCGATGGACCACTGGTCAACCCTTCTCCTCACCTGTCTGATCAATCTTGGATATGGAGTGTCTTCCTGCATCGCATTCTCAAACACGAATACATTCTGCCGGGAACTCTTGAGCAGGTCGGCAATGAAGACTGTTCATGGGTTGTCACTTGGCCAGAAAAAGGATACAATGATTCTAGCATATTCAAGAACCTGCAATATGCCGGGCCTGCAAGGACCATCAATGAGATCCCACCAATAAATCTCACGGCCGAATACAACTCCAATGAAGTTACCATCATCCTCACCAACGGCTGTAGGTATATTGTGTCCGTTGAAGATCTCGAGAACATCACTCGCATGACACCGCGACGCTATGCTGTGGTCGAAGCCACTCCTGAAGGTCGCTCTTATAACCTGGATATAACGGATGTCCAGGTCAACGAACCCCTGTACAGGGCTATTTGGGAGATCAATACCACACTTAATGTCGTCAAAAGCATCCTCCCCGCCAGACCTAAGCATACCATGTCGGCGCGCCTTAATAACATCTTGGGAGAGAGGCTGCCAATATCGCGAAGATTAAGTCGGGGAGGCAGACCTGATCAACAGTCTCTCCTTCCCGAAATCAAAGGTTCTGGTCGTCTGACGTATCATGTTGCCTCACTCAATGAGCAAATGCTAGCAGTCACTTACAAAGTGGAGGGTCGCAAGATCACCAGACGAGAGCTGGTTCGCCATTTGGCGTCCGATCTCAGCAAGATGCGCGCTGCTATCGAGGCTATCGAGGTAACTGTCCAGCAGACATTCGAAGAGAAGCGCCTGGATGAACGACTCCGGCAGACGGTCCATGGCATTCGTGCCAAACTTGGTGCAGTGTGGCGGCTCTACAGGTTGGCCGAGGAAAACAAGGAGAAGATGGAGAGATACTCTGCCAAACTGAGTGATGAACCAATATCGAAGGTGTTATATCCGATTGGGTCAGAGGATACACCAATTGCTATCTGGAACAACTACAAGGCATGGCATGTTGGTGGAGAGGATGTCTTGTATGTCGAAGCTCAGCGGCGCACGGTTCACTCTGTGACCTTGATGAACGACGGTATGACTATGGAGGTCACATTTCACGAACACGAAACCAAATATTTCGTCACGCCGCTCAAGCAGCTAGAAGATGGCGAACACGACGAAGAAATCAAGCCTGACGATCGTGTCATCCTGGCCGGTCAATATTTGATCGTTGTCGAAGCGAATGGAATGACTTTCACTCCGAATGGGCTCAGGAAAGCTGGACCAGGAAACGACAGGAACAACAACGCCCCTAGATCTGGACCTGTCAGGAACGGCGCTGTCATGGCAGGGCCGACGCCAACCGAAAGAGGAAGTGGCGCAGGACCAGAAAGGCCGTCTCCCAGGCTGCAGATGCCACTGGAGATGATGCTGAATTGGTTAAAGATTACTGGTGTTGAAACACCAAGGCGCAGGAGAAGACATCCGCAGATGGACGTTACTCAGATGGTAATAAGTGCTATTCGATGAGTTTTACGAAAGATGTCCAACACAGGTAATATGATTACCCTGCTCTGCACAGTACAAAAGAAACATGCAGGCATAAGTGGGTTGGGGGAGGTTGATGACCCAGCCCTCTTGCTTCTTTGATATGATGTGGCCAGATTGTGTGATTCTCACTTCTTGAATCCAAAGGCATATGTCAACGCTACCATATCAAACCTGTTGGGAACGTCAAGATGGTTCTGTCTGTCTCAATACTCTGCAGGATACGGGTAAGCACTGGAGCCTTTCGCGCACGACTTACGTCCTCCACGCTGCTTTTCGTTGAGTCAAACACCTTGCACCTGGCGCCTATGGTATCCTATTCGAATCAGTCTATGTGGATTGATCCTTTAGATGCTTGCAGTGGACGACTGTTTTGGCTCACCGTCTTAAATTCGGTAGCTTCTGGCCATCAAAACCTTTCGCATATTCGGGACCATGGATGACTGAAGTATAAGGCAAACAGTCCGCCTCCGACAACTACTCTTTCATCGCCTCATGTCGCTGGACTACTGTGCGACGTTGACGGCAGAAGAAGCAAAAGCAAGCAGTAATATGCTCAAATACTTCCACAACTCCTGCAGTGAAACCCCCCAGACTTTACCAAGACTCACAGCATTCCATTCTTTCCCTCTGGTCTGTGCACACCACAACGTACCCTCCGGGATTGATCTTCTCTCAAATGCCGCAGCTGAGCCTCTCTTGTTTCTTTTGAGACCTCTCGTGGCACTGTGTGAGTGAGCAGAATGGCTCAATTCCTTTCTTTTACGCTCGTTATTGCAAGTTTGTTTCATGTTGCTTGTGGATATGTTGACTTTGGCGATGCTACACTTCCCTTCGAACCAATCCTCATCCCTACCCCAAGGCCGAACCAGTTGCCGCACGACTACGATCTTCGCTATGAAATTCTCCCTTCGATGATCACTGCAGTTGCACCATCGATCACTCTTGCACCAAATGGAACCAGGGAGACAATCTACAGCCTCCACTATCACCACTATTTCACGAAAACACGGCAAGGCCGGGGACTCTTTAAGCGAGGGGTATTTGCGGATGATCCGCCAATTTCGACATGTACACCCTGTGGAGGAGCAGCCACATCCAGTAGCACCTCTAGAACAAGTACCTCGACAGTATCATGCCCGACTCATACCTACGATGTAAGTGCCCTGGGAATCGTCCTCCGTCTGGCAATACTAATCCAGTGAAATCAGGGAGTTTTTCGATCTCCCGATCCTGCAGCTACGACCTCTTATTGCTACAATTCCGACTATTCTGGCGTTTTCGAGCCGACCAGCACCCTTGTGAATACTCTGCCATGTTGTTTCACCATTCCAGAATCCTGCCTAGCAAATCGGACGACTTCCACTTCCTTCACACCCAGCAGTGGTGTATTCCGACCAACATCTACCTCTAGTATTGTTAACACGACATCTACGAAGGCAACTACTACGTCGAGATTCAGCCTGACTACTCCTACGAGCACGTCTGCCAGTTCATTGTCAGGTAGTCCAGTCCTAAACAGCGGAAGTTTGTCAACCAGATTGTCGTCTTCCCTGATGACGCCAACGACAACCGGTGGCTCGACTGTCAGGTCATCGATCACGAGCGTGCAGTATGGTTCTAGTCCTTCCAGTTCAGTCTCGACTTCGTCCACGAGCTATTCGATTATTGTCATTTCCAGTACGACAATTACATTGACAAGGCCGAGCGGCACGGGCTCGACAACTCGTGGTGCGACGCTCACGATCATCACCGCCACGCCGACACTTACTACTACATCTTCATCATTGGGCTCCCACATCACAACGGTCGTGTCGAATACCATTGATGGTTGTGGAACGGCGTCCGGGAGTGGAATCGCTGGTAAGGTTCCGCTGGCTCGACGAAAATCCAAGGACGAGAACTGACATCGTGATAGCTGGTACGGGAACTATATACACCAATGGTCTATCCATCGTCACCTCCGGCACCGCGTCTGGTATGCTATAACACGTCAAGAACTCGAGGAAGCGCGCTCACAAATCGGCAGGCTCCGCATCAAGTGTCGTCGGCTGTGGATACATCATCGCCACGACTGGCACTTTCATTGGCAGTGCTGTTATAACTGGATGTATGTATTTTGTTTTCCCCGTTTTTCTCTTTCTTCATTCTCTGGTCTCCCATAATTTTTGGGCTATGTTGATCCTTTGGTTCGCCAGGCGGCTTCGGCTCCGGCTCGGGTACTCTCACAGGCTCGGGCACCATCTGGCCCGCAGCGGGCATGGGTATGATGTCCATCGTATCATCGGGCATTGTCTCGGGAAGTGGAAGTTTCCAGGGTTGTGGGACTTTGGTATGACCTTCTCTTTCTTTTCCCCTGTGGGCTACTCGGCCTCGCAGACCCTTCAAACAACTGTGACCTATTTGTCGCTCTTCCCGCGACATTTTCAGGCATAATTATGAATTTGCTGACGCTCGGTAGACTGGCTCCGGCGTCTTCACCGCAACAGGCGGGTATACGACCACGATCCTCGCGCCTGCAACCACTACATCTTCTCCGTCCAGCCGGCCCACAAAGACAGTGAGCGTGTTCGTATCGTACTGTGCGACAGATTTGGCCGGCAGCGGTGGTGGGAGTGGCGATGTGATCAACAACATCTTCGGTAACAATAACACCTTGATCTCACCTATCCTCGCCGGTGCCAATGGCACTGGCACCACCAACAGTAGTTTGTCAGGTGGTGGTGGGGGTGGGAGTGCGAACGATACGATATTGCGTGTACATGGTTCGGCCGGCAATGCACTGTGCAACACTTGCCCCAATAGTGTGGGCATATGCTGCCCGCCGACGGTCGAATGCGACGATGACGACGGCAAGTGTCCGGCGCCGGCGCTCGAAATGTCGGGCAACACGATCAATGGGTATCTGATTGCGCAGGTGATGAATAGTACCGCGCCCGTGGAGGGGAAGAGGAGGGTCCGGGCCCGGGTCAGGGTGAAGACGAGGGAGGAGAAGGCCTTGGAGAAAGAGAGGGATAGTATAGGGTTGAGGGAGGAGGTGGCAGGGAGGCATGGGCATGGGCACCAGGGCCAGAAGAAGAAGAAGGGGACGAGGCGTGCACATCGGAAGCAGTTCTAGAGCTGGAGCTGGAGCTCGAGTTGGATATGAGGAGTGAGGTTAGGAAGAAAGACGATAATGTGAGAACAAGGCGGGCGGGGATCGTGGAAAGGACTCGGGTTTTCGTTCGCAGACTTCATCAAGTATTTACCTACGGTATTCACAATCGAGTGGGCTTTAAGTTAGTAGGAGAGAAAGGTGTCACGGATTTGATGACGAGGAGTCCAAGGATTGACAGGGACCATCAGACATGTTCGTTCACCTCCAGTCTGGTTGCTCCTCAACTTGTTTGGTCTCAAGTACTGTACCTTGTTGTGTTTGCCGTCTCTAGTTGATTTCTGTCCCAATGCAAATCTATCTAGGCTGGTTCGATTCACACGGTGGAAAAGCCTTTCTAACTCGGGTATCAAAGTCCTCCTTTCCACTCTATCTTCCATCTCTATTTTGTTGAAAATGCGGCCTGATCTTGACGGCAGCGACCTTGACACCTCGAGACATGTGCATATCCATGCGGATGTGCGTGTCGCGCCTATCGTGCCCCAACGCCAGTAGTATAAAAGTAGAAGAACCTTGTCGAATTGTCAGAAATGCTTGCTTGTCCCTTCTCTTTGGTATGTCGTTAGACACGTCGCAAGTGGCAATGGCAAGTCATATCCATCTAGGATCCTTCCCAAATCGATCCAGCACCCGTGCCTTGACATGCAATGCTTGTTTATTGTGTGTGGCTCTCATCCGAACGCCAATCGCCCGCTTAAAATGCAATGCAAGATGTTCCCCGTCTATAATCCCGTGCCCCGGCATTGGTCTCGTTGCGAAAGTCTCGTAATCATTGCCTATGCCCAATTCTCGAAACCAATCCATATCGTTTTCAGTCGTCGAAACTCCACAGATCCAACAATGGATCATTCCCCTTTTCATGCTCTGGCTCGTCGTCACTGGCTTCGGAAAAGATCTTCTTGGGGATCTTGTACTCCACGACCGGCGGCTTTTTGTCTCTCTTTTTGAACTCGCTCTCTATCAGACTCGCATACCCGTGGTCCAGAAAGTCCTCCAAGTTGTACTGCTGCTTCGTGAACTGCTCGGATATGATCCTCGCTATGCTCGCGACCGTGGGGTGGTAGTGGCTCTGGCAGGTTTCCAGTTCCCACAACGAACTGTCGATTGCGCCTGTGAGTTGCGGATTTGGCTCGGTCGGGTCATATGGGTCGTTGCCTAGATTGTACTTGAACTTTGTGTACGGCGGATAGGGGTTTCGGTGGATCATGAATGTCGTGGTGGGATGCGTTTTGAGCAGGTTGTATATGAACGGGATGATGGCTACGATGGCGGAGGGCGGGGCGAATAGGCAGAGTCGCGACAGGCGTTTTATGAAGCTGGCCACGGTCGCGGCGGGGAGGTGGTTTGTCGGAGACAGGAAGATGTCCAGATGTCGCAGGACGCGAGAGCGGTATTTGCTGTGTAGGAGGTCTTTGTCCAGCAGGGCGTAGAGGCGCGGATAGAAGGATGGATAGTCGAGATTACGGGATGTGATGAGGTGGAAGAGGCCCGTCAATGCGGGGACCGCGAGAGATAAGTCGCCCATATCGAGACTGTCGGTGAAGAAGTCCATCAGGATTTCGGGGCGGCGCAGGCTAGAGATGGCCTCCGGGGACTGGAGTTGTTTGAGGAGATGTTTGCGCTGGGCGAAGGTCATGGGGGAGGAGATGAGGGAGGTGTAGGAGTCCATGGCCGGCATGTTGAGAGCAAATGTCTGCGAGAGAGAGGGTGAGAGAGGAAGTGTAGAGGTAGTGAGTATTATGGAATAAAGACTGCCATGTGCTTTGTGTTTGGTGTTGGATGCATATGCAGGACATGCCGTGCTGCTGAGGAAATTCATTCGCCAGAACTTTTTTCTCGAGCCGACGTACGCCAAGACTTATATCTGACTAAGTCATTCCTGGACTAGCGCGCCAAGATGCTGCGATTGAATCCTTGAGCTTCCCCTTCCTGCCCCAAACGAAACGTCAGGTAGAGCTCGCCGTTGTTTCTCCAGACGACTTTCACAGCAACCATGGCGTCCAGACTGGCAAGGAGTGCGGCTGGTATGGCTTGACTTACCTCCTCGAGCTCAAGAGACCGTAATAATACTGATAATGTGATCACAGGAGCCGCCAAACTCCGCCCAACCCTTTCCATCCGAACTCTCCCATCCCTCTGCACACCCTTGACTTCTGTCCGACACGCATCGAACGTTCCTGCCGAAGACCCCAAGAAGAAAGCGCAATCCATCGTTGACGCCCTGCCTGGTAACTCTCTGGCCAGCAAGACCGCCATTCTCTCAGCAGGTGCAGGTATTTCCATCTGGGCCATCAGCAACGAGTTGTACGTTGTCAATGAAGAATCCGTTGTCGCCTTCTGCTTGTTGTCCGTCTTTTACGGTATCTTCAAGTACGGCGGACCCGGCTACACGGAGTGGGCGAACAGCCAAGTTGGAAAGATCAAGGAATTGCTCAACGAGGCGCGGACGAACCATGCTGCAAGTGTCAAGGAGAGAATCGAGGATGTCAAGCCTTTGAGCAATGTGGTCGACATCACAAAGCAGCTTTTCGCTGTTTCCAAGGTAGGCATTAAAGGGATTCGCGCAGTAGGATGAGGATGGACGCTGATGGTCTTCGTAGGAAACCGCTCAACTCGAAGCTAAAGCTTTCGAACTCGAACAACGAACCGCCTTGGCTGCCGAAGCGAAGAATGTGCTCGACTCATGGGTCCGATACGAGGGACAAGTTAAGCAGCGCCAGCAGAAGGAATTGGCCGACAGCATTATCGCTAAAGTTACTAAGGAGCTCGAGAACCCCAAGGTTCTGCAGCAGATTTTGAGCCAGAGTGTGGCCGATGTGGAGAGGATTGTTGCTAGCAAGTCTCAATAGATACGACAATTTTAAAATCGACTTTAGCAGGGAGAGTCACTGCGGAAGCGGATCAGATGCTAGAGAGGTTGGGGGATGGTAGCCTCATTGGCTTGATGCATTGTTGTGTACATAAAATAGCTCTAAAGCTTTCGATTTGAGCACTTTTACCATTATTGACTGTTCTGTAGCCTCTGGAAAGTCGAGTGCTGCCGCCGGGCAATCAAACATGAGCATGGTGCTGTTTTCCCATTCATCATCAGACGACGAGATATCTCTCCGTAACCTCCTTGGCCATGATGGCATTCCCACTCAACGCGTACATGGTCTGGATCGCATATGCCGCTTCCATTGCGTATTCGCCAGCATGCTTCTGCTTCCCATCTTGCTCGGTACCAGGCTTCTGCTGGGCCTGATCGTCGTCTTCGCCTTCACCTTCGACCTCAACAGCCTCGTCCGCTCTCTGATTCACCTTTGCGAGCTCCGGCGGCACAGCGAGTATCTTTTCATACCCCCGGACAGCTAAATCCGACATACCAAGCATATGCCAGCACCTAGCTCTGTTGAAATCGATCTCGCGTTCGACGACCGCTTCCAAATCCTTGTCGCCCTTCTTGTCTGCCCACTCCCTCCTCGCGTCGACGTATTCCTCGAAAAAGGCCCACCCCTGCAGCGCGTACATGTGCCGATCCACGTTCTGCCGCTTCGCCATCTCGTGCAAGTAACTCAGAGCAACACTCAGCAGGACCACGGGGTTCTTCGGGTCCAAGCTGAGCGCGCGGAAGAAATAATTCAGCGCGCTGGGGAAGGAATTGCCCGCGTACAGGATGTGTCCGTACAGCGTGAGTAGCACTACATCCATCTCGTCGGGTAATATGACCTGCCCGTCTGCATCCCTGTACGCGCGGGGTGGCATACCCATGCCGCCGCCGCCGCCGTCCTCGTCGTCGTCTTTGCGGATCTCCTTGTCTGCGTTGCGCATGTTACTCGGCACAGGGCCCCAGCCTTCCGGATCATAGTCCGTTGGTAAATTGGCGTCAAGGATCATGACCTGTCTGAACCAGAACTTCTGGCTGGGCCCGGTACGGAAAGCGGCATTTTGCATCTGTCCTTCCTTGCCCGCCTTGTCGAGGGGGTGCGGGAAGAACAAGTTCAGCGCCGCGAAGAGCCTGTATGCGTCGGTGCAGAATTGGTACGTTCGGACAAACCAGCGCAGGACGTTGTTGAAGAGGGTATGTGCGTCGCGCAAGGCCAGCGCGCAAACGAGGTGTGTGACGTGGATGAGGAGTACGGAGGGGGGGTCGTTGTACCATACGATACAGTCGAGTGCGGCGCGGATGATGGCATAGCAGCGCTGCTGCCGGTGGGCTTCGGCGGTGGGTCCGGGGTCACTGGCTAGGAGTAATGCGTACTCGAGGAACACATCCAGCCAGTCTGGGAGTGATATGTCGCGGTATGTCGTCGCAGGCTGCTGGTGCTGCGTGAGCCCTTCAACGGAGGGCATCGGGAAGTCTGGATCATGATCCGGATCTTGGCTGTCGTCGGGGCGTTTGCGTGAATTTGTTGCATTGCGCATATCACTATCGTAGGGCGGTCTTTTCTTCGCGGCGCGCTCACCAGGGTAGAAGGCGCGGTTGGTGCGGAAGTCGATGATCAGACTTTCGGCGCACTCCATCCAGGTGTGGCGGGCGATTTCGTCGCCAGAGCGCATGGCTTCGGTGTTATCGAGAAGAGTCTGGTACAGGTTGTTGATGGTTTCGGTGCGATGGACTTCGCGCTCTTCGGCGTTCATGCGTTTCGGTTTGGCGAGGGCGGGTTGGCGGACACGGCGAGTGGTGGGTTCTTTTCGAGGACGGTTGGCTTTGACTTTGTCTTTGACATTTTCGGGCTGAACGGTTGTGCTCGTTCCGGTGTTGTCGGCTGGAGCTTCTACGACGGTCTCAGGTTGAGCGTTTGGACTCTTTTCAATATGGTCTGGTGGAGCTTCTGTGAAGGTACTTTCCTCGACGGGGGTTTCCGGTTTGTGTGGACTCTTCCGCGAAAGACCGGTGTCGTTTACGACGCGTGCTGCGAGCTCAGATACTTTCTGTTTGCGTCTGGCCTTGGACTTGGGCACCCGCTGAAGGCGGGCTTCGAGTGAATTAACTGGCGCGCCTGGCTCAACAACACCCGGTAGCTTGTATGCCTCCTTGAGAGCCTTTTCTGCCCCCTCACGAGCAAGTCGCTGCTCTTTGCGCTCGTACTTCCGTCTTTCGGTCTTTTGGAGTGAATTGTCTGCAATCACAACGGCTTCCCGAGCACATTCCAGTGCTTGCTCTTTATCTCCAAGATCGGCATAGAGCTTTGACAGCTGAGTCCTGGCTTCAATGCAATTTTCGTCGAGTGCCCTGGCTTCCTCATAGCATTCGATGGCTTGCTCTTTATTGCTGCATATGTAGGAGTTTGCAGCGATGAGCAGCCAGTAGTCGGTCATGTCGTCGTACGCCTTGGCTTCTTTCAGAGCTTCGAGATAACGGAGTGCTTGGTTATGTTCTTTGGCCTCGTGAAGAGCCTGGGCAACCTCGAGAAACAGGTCGGGGTACTGCCAAAGAGCCGCAGTAAGGTCCCTCGCATCCGCTTCGAGCCATTCGAAATGGGCGAGTGCTTCTTCCAATTGTTCGGGTCCTTGCTTGAGACGAAGCATGCCAAGTCGAGAGCGAAGCTCCAGAGGCAGACCAGGGCCGTATGCATCGGGTGGATGTCTGCCCGGTATGAATTGCAGCACGGTAACTCTTCTTGGCTCATCTTCAGAGTCCCATTCTCTGTCGTCCTCGGTGTATTCATCCCAGTATGTCTCATCTTGTCTACCGAGCAGCCATCTGGACAACCTCTTCAAGTTGGCGATGGAATTTTCCAATGCCAATTCAGGTGGCTCTTCTTGAGCCAGAAGCTGTATATAGACAAGCACATCGGCCCAGGTGAATTCCTCCTCGCCCTCAAAGCCGTGCTGACGGTAATAATCCAGCGTTTCTTCGTACAACGCCTTTGCTTTGGGAAGATCATGAGTTTCGACACAAATATCAGCGAACAGTCTCATGGCGTCGGAATGTCGTGGCTTGTGCTCGAGGATGGTCTCCAAGTCGGAAAACGCTTTCCTGTAATTCTCCAGCTGTCTGTTGACTGACGCACGCTGAAGCCGTGCATCCAAGTTTTTGCGATTTTTGGAAATAATTCGAGCGTAGCAATAACTTGCTTGCTGAAGAGATCGTTGCATGTCTCCATATGGTCTTTCCAAACATGCTGCAGCCACTCTCTGCCATACATCAGGGTCAGTGGGTATGCTGTGAGCACCAGTGAAAAGTGTAGCAATGCCTCTTTCGTTTTCGCCTTTGTAAAAGTATATTTCGGAGAGAAGAGCATGAGCAGCATAGATTTCTGGGTTGATTGCGATGGCTTTCAAACACAGCTCAAGAGCCTGGTCTATGTCCAGCTCCACCCACGCATTGTTGGCTTCTTTCAAGATTTGAGTGAACTCGGGACCGGGGTCGATGGCAGGTCTGTGGCCGAGTTGCATACCTTTACTCCAACCACCTCGCTTGCCCGTCTTTCTTCGTCGTTTCCTGGGGTGACCCGCAGCTGAGGATTGCTTTCCACGAGCGCGTTTCCGTCCTTGGCCGTTCGCTTGGTCAACATCTGTTGCGTCCACTTCATCCATGGACATGTTTTCTTCACCAGCAGAAGTCTGCACTTCTTGTTCTTCGCCATCTCCTGCAGCTGGTCCTGAGGACGGGGTCACATGTAGCTGGGGTAATTTCTCCATGGGAAAGGGAATGTAATTAGGTGGCAGACTGGAAGGCTGTGTATCCGCGATTGGGGAGGGTTGCTGTTGTAGGCGAGGAGCTTGAAGATTTGCCAGCAGCTGATGCGGATCAGACGAATGATTCAGAACGTATGCTCTAGGGGTTGATGAGTGCAAGGAAGATTGAGGATGACCCGGGAATTGATATGTTTGGAATGCTCGGTATTGAACGTATGGTGAATACATCCCTTGGGGAGGGATTTGAGGATAACCTGGGCCGTGGCCATATTGATATTCAGGGGCAAAAGGACGGCCCAATCGTCCGGGCTGCGGGAAACTGTGAGGAGGGTTTGGTGGAACCAGTCTCATCTGCTGGTGATGCGGCTGGAAAGGCGGAAATCCAAAAGACTGTCCTTGAGGAGCAGTCCATTGTGGATGAGTAAATGGAGGTGTCTCGGCATGTTGTGGAGGAAGTTGACTGTTCATTTGCCCCATGTGTCCAGAATGCGGATGGCTTGGTTCACGCTGTTGGACTGGTTGATGATTCGGACGCACTGTCTGTGGAGGCATAAAGATATAACCTTGTGCCTGAGGCTGCAGTGGCTGGTGGGATGACATTGCTGATGTAGGCGTCGGTACGTATCCTTCGTACAGTTGTGGTCCGGCTGTTTGAGGTGATCCTTGTGTTGGTTCAAAGTTGGATCTAGCCACCCATGGATGAGATTGTGTGCTTGGTGATGCGCCATCGCTGGAAGAAGACTGAGCGCTACTGCCGGAACTCGCCATGTTGAATTCTGTTCCGGCTTTATCGGCCTCCATATTCGTGGTATTCGAGAAGGTCGGATTCAGGTTCGTCATCCATGAAGAAGTTGCCGTCGAGCTGAGAAACTGATCCACCGGCTCACTAGCGACACTGTCTTTGAGATCGGTTGAAGCGTCTCACCGTCACATTGTTTGCTGTGGGAGGATTGCCACAGACAGGTGGATGATATGGTTCCAACTGGACTATGGCATTGGAAAAGACCAATAAGGTAACAATCAAGGTGAGTCACGGGATTGGCGCCACAATGAGGTGTTGGGTGAGGCGCAGGTGAGGCCAGTGAGGCGCAAACCAAGGATATTTGGATGAATAAGGCACAAGGCGGTGATGGCAGGGATCACTGAACAGAAGAAAGACAATAATCCTGGCTAAAGTTCGTCAAGGGTCAAGCCTAACTAGTGCAGCCTGATTCTTGGCCAGTCTTTAGGCTCACTACCTTAGTTAGGCTACAACTGTGATCCGAAGAAGACTTGACTCGCGGGCTTAAACAGGCGTGATAGGGAGACTCGTAGGCACCCAGTAGACGGGTTTCAGCTCGTAGGGGACAACCAGAAAATTTTAGGCCAGCTTCCGGTGTCTCGTTGATTGAATTGGACCTTTTGTGCGAATTGCGTGGAATAAGTCTTCAAGGTTCCACTACCATCTTATTGTTCAGAGCTCACTATTCTTGTCTTATTTCAGCTGCGCTTCATTTTTCCTTCCTATCCTCACCCTTACTCCCATCCTCAGACGGCCAGTTCCAGCTCTTCGTCTGTGTCTGTCTCCGCTCGCCGATTGCGCGTTTCTTAATCACCCCCGGCTCCTCGTGTGTCTGAGACACCTCGCGATCCTCCCGCTCCACTCACCATCGTTCTCTCACAATCTTCAATCACGCCCTCGACGTTCCTTTACCTCGTCAAAGCCTCTGGACTGGTTCCAACGGCTCCTCTACGCACCGCACTGTTTATTGACGGTTACATTCATCTCCATGATTTACTAGCTCCGTCTGTGTGACCATCCCAACTCCTCGAGCCATTCGTCGCTTCTTCTGCTGTCCTCAGCCGTTAGTGTCAAAGTCTTTCGTCCTACGCTACTTCCGACTTGCGTACACAGGATCACAATGGCCAGCAATATCATCGGGAACAGAAACAGCACCCCCGAGGCTTCCAAGACCTCACTCCGACCACCAACCTCGAGAACGCTCGGCTCGACCAGCACACATAATCAACCTGTTCGATCTTCCGCCGACATGTCATTCACTTCTCCGCTCTCTGCGCGTTCCATTCGTCCCGCATCTGAGGTCCTCTACAATCAACAGTCTCAGCATGGAGGTCTGGATGACTCGAGCAAGTTGGGTGAACAATGGATACAAGACATTGAACAGTATGAGACAATGCTAGAAGAGATGGCTGCGGCAACACTGGATCAAGATTTCAAGGACGAGTTGAGTGCTATCGAACAATGGTTTCGAGTCCTCAGTGAGGCTGAACGCACTGCCGCGACCTATGCTCTGATTCAGCAGACAACTCAAATGCAGCAACGCTTCTTTGCTCAAGTCCTCAATCAGATGTCCAAAAGCCATCCTATTTCCGGTGTCCTGTCTCCGGCGAATTTTGGAGAGAAGGACCCAATGTCCAGTCGGCTGAGCGATGCCATGTCGAAATTGAATGTGGATGATCGACGGACATCCATGGGTCGCCCTCCAGTCTCTCCTGCTGGAAACAAGCGCAACTCGGGCTTGGATCAGTCCACCATTCATGCCATGTTCCCCGATGCCGTTGCTGCTATTCAACAACAGAAGGCCGAGTATGCGCAACAAACAGGCAATCCTCCTCCTTCTAACAGAAACAGCACTGTCATTGGTGACCGTAGCTCACTTGTAGCACCCACCATTTCTGCTCCTAGAGAATCCAAGAGTGACGCTCTGAGCTGGCGTCAAGGCGGAGACTCTCACCAGCTTCCCATCTCACGACCAAAGTCTTCCTCTGGTCAACCACCCATGGGTCAATTCGCTCAGCCTGCGTCTTCCGGAGCGCTCCGCTCTCCACGTCCTATGGGAGCACCAGCTGGTAATATTCAGAGCACGACTTTGACTGCTCCGGAACCAAGCGAAATGCCAATGCTATCACCATATAATGTGGGTAACCAGAGCTGGGCCTCGATGACTAATACTCCGATGGTCCCTAACTTCAATCAAGCCGGTACCCACAGTGACATGGTTGCCAATGCCACAGCTATGAAGCTTGCTGCACTGTCGACGGTTAACAACCGCATTGCTTTGGACGATGCCAAGAAGTACAGACGTGCCCGATCGAATGAACCATCGCCACATAGTCAGCCACCTCTGACGCCAGGTGTCTCGTCCACTGGTATTCCCGGGATCAATACAATCATGATTAACGACCAAGGTCAGATTCTGAATGCTCAACAGGTTGCCGCAATCCAAGCACAACAGTTTGCAGCTGCACAAGGACGTCGTTCAAGGCCCAACTCTCCTGGTTTGCCCATGCAAACTCCGCTTGGACAAACGAATTTCGCTTCTCCTCAACATAATGGCTTCTTGGCTGCCTATGACGGGGCACCTATCATGATGGGAGCAGGAATGCCTGGGCTTATTCCTGGTATGGGTTCATTCGGTGGAGGTGAAGGATATTTATCGGATCATTCTGAAATTGCACGCGGCCGCTCACCTCGTGGACGTCGTGGAAGCTCCAAACCACCTGAGGATCCAACAGATCCAAGCTTGCTCCAGGATATTCCTACGTGGCTTAGGTCTCTCAGATTGCACAAATATACCGACAATCTGAAGGATTTGAAATGGCAAGAGCTGGTTGAGCTCGACGAGAAGGGACTGGAGGCTCGTGGCGTTAATGCTCTGGGTGCGCGGAACAAAATGCTCAAGGTATGTCTTCCCGGATCTGACCTAGTGAAATATTCTGACTTGTGCAGGTTTTCGAACAGGTGAAGGAGGCTCAATCCGATGGCAAGCTTTAGAGAGGTATTTGCTGGATGCCTGATCCATTCTTCGACAGACAACAGCCGAACTGCAGACCACGTTTCGGTGATTCGTTGACGGTCTAGCCGCAATGACGGAGCTGGGACTTCGTTCTTGTCACAAACCAACCGACAACTGTCTCTCCGACCCCGTGCTTCATCATTAGGACTATCCTTGCGAATTCAACAAAGAAACAACCTTCAACTTTCACCCTTCACGGCCTCCAACATCTCCGCTAATTTTCAAGTCCGCCGGGCGACACTTACTCTTATGATGACCTGGACGTTTTTATATAGCGTGACGAGACCACACATACGAGTTTTCTATGTGAATCAAAAGAACCATTGATTTCAAGATAACCCTACTCTCCTCTATCAGATTCTTCCCGAGACTTGTAGGAAAAGTGAATTGCCAGCCTTGTCTTGCCATTATTTCAGCCTTAGTCCTAGTGGATCAACGCCAAGCTTGTCCGTTGAACTTCAATCCGAACTGCATCGTAACGTCTGCGCTTCGATTTTCTTGTACCTCGTCTCAATTACTGGCTCCACGTATTGCACAGGTCTAGTCGTCGGTGTACACTGCTCTTACAGATCACAATGGCGCCCTCATCACAAGAGCTGTCCTTCCTTCTCGATCCTCTCGTCCCCGAATCTCTCACGCATAACACGAGGGTACGTCGTGCACTTTTCGCAGTCTGAGGGACCACTTCCCACTGACACTTCATGGCCTTTTAGACACTCTCAAACATTCGCTCCATCTCTGGTCTCCTCCTGGGCATTGCTGCCGGCATCCTGGGCCTCGAATCGCTAGTTGGCTTTGGCTTTTACTTGGCAGCCAACCTCATCATATCCGCGCTCTTCTATTTCCTGTTAGCAGGCGCAGCACCACAGAAATACTTCGCTGGCAGTGCGGGCACGAGAGGGCTGAATGAGAATGGGAAAGGGCGGAATCAGGGCAGGGGCGCGTGGAGGGAGATATGGCTTGGTGGAGGGCTGTTTACAGAGGCGCTCAGTGGGTTTGTCCTGGGATGGGCGGGCGTGGGAGGCGTGATACGATAAAGCATGGGAGGGTAAGGTTACAAGCTGGTATTGCAAGCACCGCCATCGACAGCGAAATCTGAGTTCATGGTACCACAAGCTCCTCCACACCAGTGTGATCGTATCAACCCTGCCACGCGAAAGCCTTGCAACTCAATCGTGTGCTGAAGGAATGGCAACCTTGCGTCACTGTGCGCTTCGGAGGTACTTGTCGAGCGACTATGCTGACGTGGATTGGCGGCTGGCACCGAGAGCGACAAGGAAAAGAGACCCAACAGCCGAGCATGAATGCCTCCTCGAACATCCCAAAGAAAACAAGGTACCACACAAGCACGCCGAACTCCGGCGAGCAGGCAGCAAAATCTTTGTCCATGACTGAAAGTCTTCTTAATAGCCAGCATCACACACGCCCCAATGCCATGAGTGCAACAGCCTGCCTCGCGCCAATCTCTGACCATATCATCAGGACGGAAAGCTGAATCGAGTTCATTCGAGAATCTTTTCGAGGAGAAATTAGGACATTATGGATACGGTGCTATGATGATGGCAGGAGTTATCGACGACGCAGTTCACTTGCTATCTGGAACTGGAGTTGTCGTAATGTCCAGACACAGACACGCTCTTCCTTAGCGAAAGCATCAAAAGCGAGCAACTGCGAAGGTAAAACCCGTGACATGGCGCTATTCAAGGCCTTGTCGTTGGGAGCGGACGATAAAGAGCCCGGTCCATGCCAACTATTCGATCCCAACAACAACATCTTTTCAAAGCCACTATGCCTACTCCGCAGAGTTTTCCTCCCAGTCGATGATGTGTAGGTCCGGTTGTTTCATGAGTCTATTTGACAGCTCCGGTGAAGTCGGACTTGTCCCAGCACGGGCAGCAGCTACCTGGAGGTCATGCTGTTGGGATCATTGCTCGCAATTGTTCTGGCTCTCTGGTCAGCAATGATCATGCTTTCGCAGTGGAGTCACAGACGGATCTGGCCTCTCATCTCGCGGTACGAATACCATGACTGCGTCATGGCGAGAACGATGGCTAGGCAGAGGCCAGCAACTGCCAGAATCGCGTCCGATGACATTGGTTGGGTCGTTGGTCTTTCAAGCAGTAAGTGGGATGGCAGCTGCTTTGACTTGGTTTGAAAACTTTCTGAAATCCGGCTACTGAAAGGGGATTTGCTCACTACAGCAGGTGTGTTGATCTGGACAGGGAGGAAGGAGTTATATATGGCCTTTCCCTATTCCCAGGGTCAGGGATAGCTGCGCCATGGTCTTGGGCTACGGGTGCGACCCTATTCTATGTGCTCTGCAGGCCATGTATGGGCCCCTGAGCGGTTGAATCCTATTCTAGCCCAGCCTCTCAGGACGTTGAACCAATTAGCTCAAGGCATCAGTGCAAAGCAGCCTCTGAGCCCTGCCACAAAATCATTGTTTGTTATCACTCTCCGGGGTCCATAATGGTTCTTAACTGTTGTGTATGCAGATCTTCGTCACAACATTCGTATAAGTGCGATATTCATGCCTGCTGAGGTCATCTACGCCAAGATTCACAGGAAGCTGCAGATTGTATGGGGTCTCTATCCTGTGATCAGACTGTGGAATCTGCGGCTCGACATTTTTGGACTCACCATAACCTCTCATGTGCCCACTGCGTGTCGGCCCTACACAGACTACCAAACCATACGCTAGGCGGTGAAAAGGTCTTGTGCATTCTGATTGGCCCCTTGTGCAGGGTTGAGCGGAATATCGCAAGAATACGAGCACTAATCTAGATGCGGGTCCTGGACCGACCTCACAGCCTTGTTCTTCCTCCGCTGTCAAGCTACGGGTACGCAATGACCAAAACAATCAGGAACGAGCCGGTATCCTTTGAATGCGTCGCGCGGCGTCTCCAAAAAAGGAGATGGCAGTCTGGGGGTCTCTGGTCTTCCACTATATAAGGGCCAGAATACACCCACGGAATATTACTTCAACTTCAGTCTACGATATCACGAAAACCGTCTCTACGACTACCTTCTCTGTGCGAAGCTCCATTGGAAGGACGGCTCCTTCCTCATGAACAATCTGCCTGTTGCAGAAGCCGCGGCTGCTGACTATCTACCTAACCTTGGGACAGTGACTACGGATGATGTTGCACAAAACCCTTTCTTCCCTCTTCCGCCCGAGTTCTACTCAGATAATATCCACATCGAACAGAACCCTGAAGAATTCTACACGATACAGACCGAACAAGCTTCTCTAGTCACGCATCTGAATGGTTTTCAACATGTTACGCCCTATTGGTCGGGGGAGTACCTGCCTTGGAGGTCACGAACGAACGTCTTGGAAAGTCAAAACGAAAATCATGGTGCTTGTGGATCTTCAGGCTTCTCCCAAGTTGGACCATACGTGGCGAATCCTTTTATTGCAGTTGGACAGGACATACAACGACAAGGTGTTTTAGAACAGGCCACCATCGACCAGACTCGTCGGGAGCGACGATGTCTGGGTTGCCAAGATGACAACGGTAACCGTCATTGCGTTGGTTTTCCCCTATGTCAAAGGTGCATTAAGACTACTGGCCTAAAGTCACCACCTTCTAGACTGACCAAAGCATCATATCTGAATTGGAAGCTCTGGTTTTCCGTCTGCCAAAGCCTTGGACAACACGTACCGAGCGAATGGACGATTTGGGATGAGATACCCAGCTATGATGTCGGAGAAGAGGATTCTGTCATTATAGAAGCCGAGTTCGAGGATCGAGGAACACAGCGTAACATTACACGAACGCGACCGATTGTCTATGCTCCTTGGCTGCGCGGGACTCAAACAGACCCCTTTGGCCCACCAGGGGACGACGATGGTGTTCGCATCCGCCAACCTGCCATCTCCCTTTCGCAGTATGATGAATTTGTCAAGGATTCAATGCTCAAAAAGTTGTATCCCTCGGAGCCAGGCCGGCGCCTCTCCAAGGACGAGCATGCCCTGCAGTCAGCAGTCACTTATTTCACCGGTTATTTCTCACTTCTCAAGAATCTTGAGTCGACCTGGATCGATTGCACGGCCTTTGTCGCTGACACTATCGGTCGAAATATTGCGGCCGAGATGATCTACCTAATAGTGTTCCGACTAGTGATGTTGTTCTCTAGGATCGTGTCTCTCATCGAGACTCTGCAACAGAAGAACTTGCATCGCAACCACCCCGGCATAGCCTTACAGGCCTTGGAAGTCATCTATCGCGTCATGAAGTCTCTACAATCTACAAGTTGGAACGTGCCGGAAACACATGTGTTGCATCCTCTGAGACAACTCGAACAGGATTTCCTCGAGAAGTCGAGCGTCATGCACGCTCACATACAGGCCTTCCAATGCTATCTTTCAGGGATCGATAAACTCGCTTGCCGAACGCTTCTGCCTCCGATTATCAGATTCACCCGGGCGGAGGGTCATAAATGCTTTCCACGTCACCTTCTGGTGACTGTACACAAACACAAGTCCGGGGATCGTGGGTTCGCCTATTTGGGCTTTAACCCTTTCCCTCTCATCGGCGACGGCTACACCAAACGTTCCATTATGGACCTGCTAACAAAGTCCGACCAGGACATGACCACCGACATTCTGAATGGCGTCATTGGCTCAAGGCCACACCTGCCAGAGTATCTGGTCAACGAGGACAATACCAAGGTCATACGTCAGATAGCCACACTCGAGTACGACGTCCAGCATTGCTCGAGAGATACTATTACTTCAATAGGAGGACCTACCTTTCAGACCTTGAATGACCGTCAGGCTTTTGATGTACCAAAAGCGCCACGCTCGCATGCAGACACGGTCGATAGCTCTGTCTCTGACGCTAAAAGCAGCTCATCATGCCAGATTTTCCGGGATGGCTGGCAGGGTTTGCTCGAAAAAGAGCACCCTGAGATCATCCCAGCATGGCTCTTCGACCACAGCAATTCACTTGATTCGGCAGATGATCATGCCTGCGACAAAGCCAACGATCCCCGGGACGAAGCGCTAGCACGAGCTCTTGGCAAGCGTAGGACCACAAGGGCCAGGTCTGAAGGTCAGTCTGAATCAGGGACAATGCAACCCCTCCAATCAAACAATCGTCGTAAGGCTATCGCTAGCTATGGTGGTATGTGGCCAGGATTCGGGGAGGAAGACATGAAGGTGGAAGTGGAAGCGGGTGATGAATTTGATATGCAGGGCTCGGAACGGGTAAGCCAGGATCGCCCATGCCAGCCGTGCGCCATCGTGACGCTCATGGGTTAGTGAATGTCCCTTGGTATTTTCGGCAGCCCGAGGGAGGAGTTCCAAGACACTGAAAAATGACGGACAAAATAAGCAATAGTTATTAGATCTCGGGAGGACATTCATAAAGGCGGTCGAAATTTCGGAATACAGTATATACTCATCAATGTCTTGCACCCTTCTCGGTTTAAATTGAACAGCTCAAAGGCGGCAGGAGACCATAAAATCTGATAACTTTATTATTCGTTATGTTTGTGAGAGAACGTGGACTGCGTTTGGCAGTGTGTCTGCCCCCCCTTCCCATCTGCGGTATTCCGCAGTATTTGCGTCCTCATACCTCCTTGCCAACCTGATCAGATATGACTGCTCCTATCATATCTCCGCATGGCCCATTCTGGCCGTGGGCGTTACCGTGGCCACACACCAGCCTGCTTGGACTGTATCCACACGTAGCTATAGGGGCTTCTGTTCGGCCCTTTACTGCTTTGTCGCAGTAATCGTCCAATGCGTAATATCCACGGGTTGACTGCCGATCACAAACGGCGTGCCGTTGTCATCCAAGACGGCCTTTTGGTTTCCATGCTCATCCGAGACGACGATCTTGAGGCCTTGAGCAGTGGCCGGTGTCTGCACGAAGATGGCATTGACGACGACTTTGCCGCCGAATGCAGTACCATAGAGGGTGCCGAAGGTCTGTTTCTGTCCGTTGGCAGGGACGTTGCCGTTGGCGTTCTTGCCGGATTGGCGGTCCTCGACGTGAATGGAGACGGAGTTCGTCATCTTCTCTGTGTCAGAGTGGTAGCTGTCTATCCTGGACGAGGTTGTACTTGCTTTTTCCGACGTGAAGGTGAATATTTCGACTGCTGGATGATGCGGATAATGCTGAAGGCTGCTGTAGTAAGGCCAGGGCAAGCAGGAAACGAGGATCTTTATACCTTTCACATCCTGCTCAGCTGTCGTGCTGGGGAGCTGAAGACGTGCATGATTACATTTGCATCCTGACTGACCTGAACGTAAGCTACCAGGGGGTCTTTACCAGGTTTGGCCATGGAACAAGCAACGCAGTGTCTTGGAAGTCAGCGGAGGCCCGTATTATGTCTGATGATCACGAGCTTGCAGAAGATGTAGACAAAGCGAGTAGTCGCATTGGGTTGTACGTTTCTCTTGGCCCTGGCCACGTCCGTCATCACCTGAGGTCCGCACCACGTTTCTGCATGAGAATTAATTTTTCAGCTTAGCTTTAGCTCTTGTGCAACGCGAGGCTGCGATGGGCCGCAAAATGTCATTTTGCTGCAGGAATCTTGCTCATGTCGGGCGTAGCTGAAAGCTGCGTTGCGGGGAAGACGAGGCTTTCATTCGAGGCGATTCATTGCGCGATTCGTATTCGGCTGCATTGGCATGTCAGCTCATTTACCTCGTGTCAGACGTGAGAAAACGATGACTGGCTGGCTGGGGCAGAACACTCATGACACAGAGTAGCCATGATCACCTTTTTCCTGATGATCCTAGTGAGCTCTCCATCAGAGATGAGATGCAAGGCAGATACAAAACACGGTGGGAGAAGAAAGACGGAAAAGGATGGCCAAGACCTGATGTTTCGCTGGGCCCGGGAAGGAACGGGCCACGGCAACCTCGCAAGGCACCGCTCATGGTGCGGTCGATCATGTATCTTCTCCAAAGACGAGGACAAGCCTCTTCATCGATGAATATATACTATACGTATAACTTTTTATAGGTTTTGTTTGACTTGTGCCTAGAAAGCCTTCTCCTGTTCTCAAATATCAGGCTTGCTTGGGCAGAACTTCAGCCCTTTTCTTACCTAGGTACCTTAGTGGCGCTTTGTCATTAATCAGATCATCAATTCTACTTCACGTCGTGCTCAGTAGAAGATCCGTGGCCGAGGAGTCTAGAGACATTAGGCTCCTTGACGACTTGCTCGAGTACCCCTTTTTGCGCTAGAGCTTGCCTCCTCCAGCGTTTTTGCTGCCATCTTGGCTGCTTGCCGGCTCTGGGTGGTCCACCTCGGTGTGGTTTTGTCTCACGAGGTTTTCTGGCGGCGTCTTTGCCATGTCTCTCTGCACCCCATGGCAGTGGTTTCCAGTGTCCATCGCACATGTGGATGGCATTTTCGACGCAGTACACTGTGCCTTGGGACACATTCACCAGCCCACCAGGTAGACCTTCTTCTTGATACCTTGGTGGAAGCTCAGGACAATATTGGGGAACCTCCCGACCTCTTGGCCGATAGTAGTATAACGGCCGAGGTTGTTTTGGGTTATCAGCAGCCCACGGCCGAGCAAAGTCGATCAGATGGCGAGGAAGGCGCGGATTGTCTGGGTGATCACGAAAGTCTCCAAGGTCACAGTCCTCAGTAGAATGTCCTATCGGATGCGAGCAGGCTTTTTTCTCACATCTGGACTTGCCATCACCCTTTCTCTTGCAAACCTCAAAGCAATTGTAGCACCACTGACGGTCTAAGGTTTCATGAGGTCCTTGACAGCGTGCGCAAACCCCGGCCGAGAAGACTTTCGGCCGGGTGTGGCCTTGACGGTACAAGCTTGCAGGGTAATCCGTGTCAGCCAGAGGATTTGTTGGCACTGTTTTCTGCGCGGTTTGTGTAGGCAGCAGTGGTGGAGGCTTGACCAGCACATCTTTGAAGGTCAATGGAGCAGCCGGTGGAAGCTTAGGAAACGCTTCGACTGCATTGAATTCGTTCACCAGAGGGAAGACCGTGGAAAGAATTGGACGGGGTTTTGGTATATTCACCCGCAATCTTTCTTCCGGACGACTGAACGACATTGCCGCAAAAGGGTTTGGACGTCGAGACCGCACTTGTTTAGCAGTGGGCGACGACACAGCCGGCTCGGCCGAGGAAGAGGGAGACCGCGACCCAATATCAGCAGTGGTCTCAGATTCTTCTTCGGCTTCACCTTCTGGAGCAGGGCTGGTTCGGATATCCTGTGTTCCAGACTCCTGCTTGAATGCCGCAGAACCTTGATTCTCTGAGCCCGAGTCTTTCTTTGCGGAGCCTTCGTTGTTTGAAACTGACTCCTTTTGTGCAGAGACTTCATTCATTGGGTCTGAGTCTTCTTTTGCAGAGGACCCCAGCGAAACTGTGGACTGCGATGGTACATCCTCGCCCGCCGCTTCATTCACGGCAGATGAGGAAGTTCCGAGCGATAACGAGGCGCCCAGGATGGACCTGCTTAGTACTCTTTGTTCCAAACGCCCGCCTGAATGTCGCTGCAGTTCCATCTTCCGAGCGCTTTCAACGTCTAGAAATCTTTTGAAGACCCCAGCCACTTCGACCTTTTCTGAAGGGCTGGTTGCTGCCCGGAACGCCTCCGGGAGCAGTGTCACTTTGAGGGAGGAGTCCAGACATCTTCTGGAATTCCAGATGGTCAATATGACCGCAAGTTCCACACACGGGAATCTTGAACTTTGTGCGTGAACCGCACTTCGGACAATCGTACGCCATGATGTCAACGAACGATTGTGATCTGAAAGTGTGGTGTTGAGGGAGAAGAGATGGGAGCGCAAGTAAAAAGGGAGGATCCTAAAGTAGGCGCAGGGAAAAAACGTCGGCTTGGCGGATGAAAGTGCTGAAATTCAAGGGCGCACTTACATTTCGAATGAATATCCCATTCTGCGAAGCTCTTGCTCTTGTCCAGAGTCCAGCTAATTATGGAATCTCTCTTCGTGATGAGATTCATCCTGTTCCGCGCTCGATACCTACCGACGTCGAGGGATCCAGAGCCACTGCAACGGAACGAGGGCAGTTTACCTGCACGATTCCTCCATTCCCATCAAGCGAAGCCATTGCCGCTCCATCATTGTGGCCGACAGCTGTGGAATATTATACAGAAGAGTCGGAGATGTCAGAGAATCACACACGCAGGGAAGATGATGGAAGATGCACAAGCAAGTCGTCGATATTGAATCGGTTCGATGCCCAGACTTGACGTCAGCCGAGACTTCTTCAGGCTTTCAGGGGGCAATCAGCCTCGGATACTACCAGAACACCTACGAGACATCTGCAAGAGGATCAATTCGGGTTTCTACAAGCTATCCTCGCAATGACGAGCTGGACATCGAAGTACATGCCTCGATTCACTTCTGTACGAACTCGATGCGGGGAAAGTTGAGTTGGGCTTCAGGATGATATACCGTAACTATCTCATCAAGACCAAAGTTATCCGTTCAAGATGAGTGAACATAGTCCAGGCCGCGGGGTTTCAAGGTCCGGTCCTGGAACTCCTTCAAAAGGTTCAAAAAGTATTCATGGACATGCGTCTGATGCGTTCGCAAACCCAAAAAAGTGCTGACCGTCGTCGCAGACCTGGTCGAGTCCAAGAGCGCGACTCCGACCAACGACGGCCACGCGCTTCGGTTTCGGCCGATGATGACGAGCAAGAAGATACTAGTATGCTCATCGCCGACCAACAACATGCTCATCTTGCAGACGAGCGAGTGGCTGAAGCTCGAACGTCAAAAGAGAGCCCCAAACCTTCAAACTTCAAAGAGCCTGAGCCTCTTGAAGAAAAAGGAAAAGAAGAAGACGATGATACCAGTATGGCCTAGGTGCACTGGTGGAACAAAAACGAACTCTACTGCTATGTAAGGCGTGGAGAAAAAACTCTTCTTCGGATGATGACACTCGGGATATGATATGATGACCGGTGCCAATCCATTCTACAAGATGCCCACTGTGCGCTAGCACACGGCAGGAAACAAGGTGCACCAGACGAAAGTGCAAGTGCCCTGGTGGCCAAGGACAACGCAGACTCTGATGGGATTGATGTTGAAGCTGCCCAAAATGTGTCCAGTGCCAATCCATTCCTCAAAATACCTGCTGTGCCTACGACACGGCAGGAACCCGGTCCAGGCGCACAAAATGAAACTGCCCTGGACGAAGACAAAGTCAAGGACAATGCCACTTCTGAAGCGGTTGATGCTGAGGCTGCGCAAAATCCATCTGTCAAACAGTCAGGTGCACCAAGTCATAGTGCCCTGGTGGAAAAGAACAAGGACAAACGCAGCCTCTGACACGGTTAATGCTGACGCTGCCACTGTCCAGGATCCGTCCGTCCGAAAGTCAGGTGCCAAAGGATAATAGTGCCTTGGACGAGGACAAGGACAACGCGCCGCCTCTTGAAGCGATTGATGCTGAGGCCGCCACTGTCCAGGATCCATCTGTCACACAGTCAGGTGCACCAAGTCATAGTGCCCTGGTGGAAAAGAACAAAGACAAACGCAGCCTCTGAAGCGGTAGATGCTGAGGCTGCCGCTGTCCGGAGTCCGTCCGCCCAAGGCGGTTCGGGTTCAGGCTCGGATGACAACGAGCGACATCATTGTTCAATACAATGATGGACCCCCCTTTTTTCCTTTTCAATATCATTGTCCAAATGTAAAGGGGGCAATGATAATTCTTTTTTTCAGGCATCATTGTTCGAAGATAAGGACGCAATGATGGAACTGATTCTTTTTTTTCAAGACAGACACAAAATGTGAAGAGGGGCTGTCTAGGACACGGCAGGAAATGAATGGGCTAAAGAACCCAACACAATACGGTACCTAGGTTCATAGAGTACAAAATCAAATCCTGACCATGCTCTCCTTCAAAATTAATGTTCCGTGCTCCAGTATTCCAGTGATCCAGTAAAGTAACGCAGTATGCATACATCACTCAACACAAGAGCTGTTTCTTGGTCCCAATCGGCTCCGATACTCCGTATTCGCCACATATCGATAAACACAGGGATACAAAAAGCCAGCGCTACCGTATCAGACACAACCTGAGATATGCAAGACGATAGTCTTGATATCTCTTCATGGCCAGTATTAGTTTCCCCACCTTTCCTTCTCAACACCACCTTCAACAGTACAGCCAGCAGTGTCGGGCAATCAACATCACAACGGGTCCTCTGTCAAAACAACGCAGCGACTCGAAAGCAAGTTGAAGCCGTGACCACTGCGAATCAGAGACCAAACACCTCAACACGCATCCCATGCAATCTCATGCAGTTGAACCCGCCAGGCAACCAGTCGCGACGACCAGCAAGTTCGAAATGATCATCCCGCCGGAAATCTCTACCTTCCGCGTCTCAACAATCGACCTGCAATCGACCGCCTCGTCTCCCTCTCAACCTTCTCATCTTTGCCGTCCTTCTCCTCTTCATTCTCCTTCTCTCCCTTCCCATCGTACCCGTCAACTTCGTGATCAACACTCTTCCTCGCTACACTGCTTCGTCGGCTACCACGTCTGGTAGCGCTGCCTGGAGTAGTCGCAGTAGCACTCGCCTGTACTGACCGGGTCGTCATGACCGGCGATTGAAACGTAGGATTCGCATTGCGCTTGGCGGCGCTAGCGTCCTTGCCGGCGTCGCCGTCGACGATAATCGTTTCGGACTGGTCTTCGGAGTCATCCTCGGCGTGGTTAGCTGGAATTTCCGGTTCGGCCTCAGTCTTAGTGGCGGGAGCGGCCTCGCTTGGGGGATTCTTTTCGGGTTCAACGGTGGGAGCCGACGAGGAGTCGAGTTTTTCTTCGGCTTTTTTTTCGCCGGGCTCATCCGTGCCTGTCATCTGCACATCTCCGTCTGTAAGTGAAGGTTTAGGAACAGAAACATCTTGCTTGGGCGCATCAGCTGGAGTTTCACTTTTCTCTTCTGTCATCTTAGGATCTTCCGGCTTCGTCTCCGCTTGCGCCGGCGCTGCGGTGGTGGACTGTACAGGTGCATCCGTCATTCTGTCGTCTGCAGCGGGAACATCCGCCACAGCGCTAGCCGTATTGTCGACGGTGATCGTGCTGCTCGACTGTGGTGGTGGCGGCAACGTGTTGAGGGAAGGCGACTTGTTCTGAACACCGTTCGATAATTCTGTTCCAGCTTGAGTCGGTAGTGGCTGCTGCTCTTTGCGCGCCGCCTCACTTGCACCAAAATCACCCTGCAAGCTCTTTGGCTCGGGTTCTGGCTTTGGTGGTGGCCCTGATGAGAATGGACCAGGTCTGTACCAGTCGTGTCGTACCGCCGAGAACACATTCACCGGACTTTGACCCGCCGTCTGTGGCGCCGACCTCCTCACCTCATCACCCGTCGCTTCCCTTGAGAAGGGTCTATTCCCATTCATGCTCGCGAATGCCGTGGGACTGCGCTTGATCTCATCGCTTAATGCCGGGCTAGCTGTTGCGGTTGGGCTGGGTCTATAACCCGCCGGACGCGTGTCGGGATCATACGAGCCAGGTGTATCCTTGCGGATATACGGCCTCGTCTCTAACCCTCCAAGGGCCTCCTTTGTCTTGGTCTTGATCTTGTGATTCTTGGGGTCAGCCATGGTCCCTCCTGAACCCCTTCCGTGCTCGCGTTCGTGCTCTTCGACCTCCTTGACGGGCACGCCGTAGCGTTCAAGCGCCTTGTCGAGACTGCCGATAGTGCCTTTGGGCTGCGCATGGTTCTTGACGATATGACATTGCAATCCGTGCACGGTGCGCCAGTCGATGCGCGAACAGTCCTCGTGATTGCAGCGGAGATACATTTCGACGGCAGGCCCGGTCGGATTGTCTGCGGTGCCACCCACTCCGTACGACGTCCATATACCACGATTTAAGCTGTCAACTCGTTCGCAGTGGTGGTGTCTGTTCGCGAATGCCTCGGACATTTGATAAGGGTGAGTGGTCGAGGGAGTCCTCTTGCTGCCGCTATTCGAGGGTCCGGGAGAGGAGACGCTCGTGGGTGTGTTTCCATACTGTTGGAAGCGGTCTCTGTCTACTCCATTATTGGCTGCCTGGCCAGCTGGGGTTCTGTTCGCTTCGGTATCAGCTGCTGGTCGAGCTAATCCCGCATGAGAGGCAGGAGGCGTTGCTGTTGATCTCGCGTTCACGGATGCAAACCCGGATGGTGGAGGCGCATTGATAGAGGCAAAGCCTGAAGAGGTTGTCGTTGGTGGCGGTCGGGTGTCGTAGCTCGAAGATGTTTGACGTGGTGGCTGGGAAGTTGTATTTGTGACAGGCGTTACAGGAGATTGTGTGCTGGTACCCGGTCTGGAATGTGGCGAAGCAGGACGACCAAGAAGTCCTAGGCCAGGTCGATCCGAAGGGCGATCAGCAGCCCCTTGTGCAGGCTGCGGTAAGCCATTGGTAGTGGTCGTTGGGGACGATGCATTCGGTGTAGTGGAATAATGTCCATGTTGATAAGGTCTGGAAAATGCCGAACCTGGATCACGATAGAACGAGTACGGCGGTGCCGGGAGAGTACTCTTCGTCGACGAGGCAGAAAGACTAGACTGAGTTGACGGCCTCGATTGTGTTGAGTTGACAGAATCAGGTTGCCCAGGAGGACCAACTTGATGTCGCTTGGCAGGTGGAGGAACGGTCGAAAGGGACGAAGCCGGAGGAGACATGGAAGGGCCAGATACGCTTCGCACGCCAGCCTTGGGCGACTCATCAAGGGGGAGACCACGTTTGAGACGCTTCAAACGGCGGCGGAGATTCTGTTGTGGGTCAGCAGAGTATTGAGAAGTGCGCGCAAACTTACAGTTTCCTCTTCATCCAGATCATGCTCAAAGAATTGCGTGAAGGCAGCATCTTCTCGCTTCCGGCGAGCGGCGATTCTAGCGTCTCGACGTTGACGAGCGTCCGATATGGCAGCCCATTTCTTGTCTTGAGCCTCACGTTTGCGGCGAATCTTATCATCCTTGCGTTGACGCTTGGCCTTGAGCAGACTATACTTTTTCTCATTGTGCGTCTCGACACGGCTCAACTCGTCAAGTCGAGCCTGAACGGCATCGGATGATTCCAGAGCGTGCTTTGATGGAGGAGGTGGTAATGGAATGGGTGCTGTCAACGGACTGGCGAATCTGTAGTCTTCACCACCACCAATGGAAACATCACTGTCGGATGATTCGGGTTCCATGGCGTCATTGCGATTCGTCGGCGAACGATGAGGTGGTTGATGGAAACTCCTTAGTGGGTTGTAGGAGGATTCCCATGTGGAACGGGGCCGCTAGTGGGATAGTTAGTGACGAGCCCCGAATCAGCGAAAGCGAGAGTTGGATAGTGTCCCCCGGAGAAGCAAAGAAAGGCTGCAGTGATGATAGTGGAAATGATGTGATGAGGTGATGGAATGGTAATCTGCTTGATAAGGGACAAACAGATAACAAGGATGGATAAGGTATGTCGAGGTTTCGCACCGTACAGTAGTGGAAGGGAGTGGAATAGGTAAAGGGTTAGTGTATTGGACAGGGTGGAGGAGGGCAGAGAATAGCGCTGAATTGGATCCAGAGATTGGGTAAAGAATTGGGAAGCCAAAAGCCTGGTGCAGCCTGCGAAGCCCATTTTCCCGGCGCCAAGATAAGCAACAGAAGCCGAAATGTGGAGGGGCCAGTGCGCTTAACCAAGTGGTCCTAACGCAGCCAGATCGGAGCCACTGGCACACGCGGACAAGCGAGGAGTGACCAGTGCCAGTTCGAGCTCGGCAATTCTCGCGTTATTCGTGGAGGTGGCAAGTGATGAATGGTGTGGTTTGACAGGGTAAATGACAGCTGTTCTGCTTCTCAAGCTGTGGGTGGGCTGGCTGTTGTTCATCGATCGTGCTCAAACACCACGGTCCTGGAATGATCGCATGTGTATACAACGTTTGTTGTGCTTTGTTTTTTGCGCTTTGGGGCCAAGACAATGGAGAGAAAAAGTGAATCATAGACATACCTCAGATCCCAGGTCAGAGACCTTTCGTAGATGGTCGGACGGTGGCCGCGAAAACATCTTGCCGCTGAGATGTGTAAATTGATGGACGCGATCTCAATGCATATGGTAGGGTCAAGTGAATTGCCACGGCGCGCATCCAGGTCGAAGAGGACAGAGTGGATGGGAGCACAAGACAGCAAGGTCGCGTGTACAAATTGACGAACAAAGAGAAAAGAGGATGCAAGATGCAAGGTAGAGGTCGATCGGATTGTGAGGCAGGCGGAGTAGCAAAAGAAGAGAAGAGAAGAAAGGGAGGGAGAAATTTAGACCGGCAACGAGGTCTAGAGTTGGGAGGGAATACGGAGTATGTGAGGTGGGTGATAGGGAATATGATGGGCTAGATAGGGAAGGTGGAAGCCTAAATGACCCAAGTTTCGAAGCGAAAAGGCGAAAAGGGCAGCAGAAGGTCAGGCAGTGCCAGGTGAATAAGGTCAGTGGGTGTCAGGTAGTAAGTCCTCGTACAGGCTGGAACTCCCACACAAGAAGGAATAAAAAAAGGCAAAAGGTAAACGGTCAGTGATGAAAGAAGCGGGTTCTCGCTTGAGAAAGGGTGGCACTAAAACCGGTTGGGCCAATGGGGAATACGGGAAGCAGCAACTCCAATAGCGAATTTGACGAGATTGATGCACTTAAGGGATCGGCCTAAGCCTCCTACGGACCATGAACCCTCATTACGTTACAACCTGAAGTGCCTCCAGGTGCCTCAGGGTGCCCATGGCAGTGTCAGTACCTACCTAAAGTACCTTATGTATCATGGAGGAATAGCTTGATCTGGAAGGTTGCAATTGCTTTTATGGAGTACTCCTGCTCCATAGTGTTTGAGCCATGTAGCATCCGTCTTTATACATAGTAGTCTGCGCTTGGGTACTGTGGCACTGTGGCAGGTACGGACTAAAGTATGATTGAGGGTCAGCAGCTTATTCGGGGCGAGTACAGTATGATCAGGCTCACCAGGCATACCTGGATACCTACCTGGTAGTAGTGGCTTGCCCAGCCTGCCACGCCTATGCCTAGTCTCCGGGACTGGTGGTCACTGGTTACTGGCAGGAAAAGAAGTGCGTGTCTTGCTTTTGGGCGTCAAGTGGCAATTATACCTATGTACTTGGTCTACTCCGTACTGTCCTTTACCGCCGCCTTGGAAAAATACTGAAACCCTTTCCCTACCATGATGCCATGCAGGAAAAGTCCCTTTACCTGAACCCGTTTCTGCTCTTTCAATAGCCACCCCCCTTTTTAAACCCAACTACCCTTGGACGCAGCATGATAGGCGTCTTAGCTCCAAAACCTGCATCATCAATACGAGGTCGCTAGTCTTTCTTGTCCTGTGATTGATCTACTATACTCCGTATCTATCAGAATGCCGTCCTCAGGCTCTGGAGTCTGCACAGGCATCCTCCGATCTTCAAACCGTCGAGCTCGCCGTGTCTCCAGATCCCACCCAGAACAAGGCAGCCGAGGCAAATTTCTAAATCCTGTTTGTGCAACAAATCTCATAGTGCCTTACTATTCCTAATTCTGACCTATCACCGTGCTGTACGGAGTACTACGTATGCTGAGGCATATTGGCGGTTTTCCTTCTTGGTGACACTTACATGGTACTCCATAGGTAGACATCAAACCATATCTCGAAGAGGCCACATCCACATGGCCACACAGGACCATCCCCTTTCCCCCTTCAAGCCATCTGCATCATCGTGCGGCAAGTCACACAGACTCATCAAATACAAAGGTCATGATCGTCTGATTGGTTCCCCATATCGGCCATACAATTGCAATTCCTCCTTCATGTTACGAGAAATTCCTGAGATCCTCAGCCTGAGTCTCCTGTTTGGAATCCCTTGGATCTCCGCTTTTCTCTTTTTGCCTCTTGCTTCTCGGTCTCTATCCGTGTCCTATCATCTTCTTCGACACCTTCCTCTCCCGTCAGATTTGATTATCTGCACTGCTTTTCCTCACCACAAATTCGTCATCGTCAGGCTGTGGCTGCCTGCTCTATCGTCAGCTTGGCCCCACCACCTCTGTCTCTCTGTCAATTCGCAGCCCCTGGGCTCTTGAGAAGCAATCCCAAGTTTGCGAGTACCAGTCTGAAACCAAACGGGGACATGTATGCAGCCGTCACATCCGGATGCAGGCCGTGATCAATTTTGCTTATGCTATACTTGTATTAGTACATGTAATATCACCTTGATAAATCTCCACCAGCATACGGAATCCAGTCCGAGATACTGATCACAACCCCTTTGACTGTACGTACTAGGTACGCGCCATCCCTGCCTTGCCGCGTTATCCGACGTACGACCAAGGTACTATGTAAGCATTCTAAAATAGGCCAACAAACTGTGGTATAGTGTCGGAGAGGAGATTATTTTCTTTCTACTATTCAGACACGCGACACACCCATCTCAATCTCGGCCCCCACCAGGCCGGGTACGTCCAGACTCAACTAATTACATAATCTTCCTTTCCTTCCAACACACATCTCGTTTCGATGGGTGTTGCAGAAAGTGTGTAGATGTTTCATGATTGCAGCCACCACTCGCCATTTCCCCCATGCATGCAGATACGCAGTAGGTATTCATGGCCCAGCAGATCCTTCCCATTCCGTCGCTCCATCGCCAGCCAATAAACAAGATTTCGTCTACCCATTCGATAAGACAACTCGGAGAAGGTCTGCATACATGATCACACAAGAGAAGCTGAGCGGCCGGCCACAATCCGAGCAAGAGAAAAGGTCGAGTACAGGGATATCATTAAAATACAAGTCGCTTTTTGTTACGGTGTCGCCGTTTCTCACGGCTTCTGCTCACCACCCTGTTGAGCACCGGCGTCGCCGCCTGAAGGTGGTTGTTGCTGTTGCTCTTCACGAGCCTTGTGCATCTTGTCAAACAAAGTAAGTGCGGATGCTTGGAGTTCGTCGATCTTGGCCTTCATTTCTTCCGCAGTGGCAGTGCCCTCGCCGGTCTGGTTCTTGGCAACATATTCACGAAGAGAGGCAATCTTCTCGCGGATGTTGTCAGCTTCGGCCTTGTCGAGCTTGTCTTCGAATTCCTTGAGAGCCTTCTCGGTGTCGTTTAGTACGCTGTCGGCACGGTTGGCAGCTTCAATAGCAGCCTTGCGCTCCTTGTCTTGAGCACCGTATTTCTCGGCATCGTCAACCATGTTCTGAATTTCAGAATCAGACAGACCAGAGCCGGACGCAATCGTGATGGATTGATCCTTGTTTGTAGACTTGTCCTTGGCGTGAACGTGGACAATCGAGTCGGCATCAATGTCGAATGTAACCTCAATCTGGGGAACACCGCGGTGGGCAGGCGGAATGCCAACCAATTGGAAGTTACCGAGCAGTTTGTTGTCACGGACGAGCTCACGTTCACCCTGGTAGACCTTGATCTCGACAGCAGTCTGGAAATCGGCAGCAGTAGAGAAGATCTGGGACTTTTTGGTTGGGATGGTGGTGTTTCGGTTGATCAATCGGGTGAAAACACCACCGAGGGTTTCGATACCGAGAGAGAGAGGAGTGACATCGAGCAGCAGAACATCCATGACCTCACCGGCAAGAACGGCACCTTGAATAGCAGCACCAATGGCGACAGCTTCGTCAGGGTTGACAGACTTGGCGGGATCGCGACCGAAGATGCTCTTGACTGATTCGGCAACCTTGGGCATACGTGTCATACCACCGACAAGGATAACTTCCTGGATATCCTTAGCCTGGAGGTTGGCATCCTTTAGAGCCTTGCGGACAGGGTCGATGGTCTTGGAGATCAGAGGATCGACCAATTTCTCGAGCTGCGCCCGCGTCATCTTGAGGTTGATGTGCTTTGGTCCAGAGGCATCGGCAGTGATAAAGGGTAGGTTGATATCGGTTTGTAGTGAAGATGACAGTTCGATCTTGGCCTTCTCAGCAGCCTCACGGATACGTTGAATGGCCATGCGGTCGTTGGATAGATCGATGCCAGAAGTCTTCTTGAAGTCTTGCACAATATGGCGCACCAGGGAGATATCAAAGTCTTCACCACCCAAGTGAGTGTCACCGTTGGTAGACTTGACTTCGAACACACCCTTTTGAATTTCAAGGATGGAGATATCGAAAGTACCACCACCAAGATCGTACACGGCGATGATTTTGTCCTCTTCCTTCTCGAGACCATAGGCGAGCGCAGCTGCGGTGGGTTCGTTGACGACACGCAGGACGTTAAGACCAGCGATTTGACCAGCATCCTTAGTTGCCTGTCTTTGCATGTCGTTGAAGTAGGCCGGAACAGTAACGACGCCGTTTTTGACAGGCTTTCCCAGGTATGCTTCAGCAGTTTCCTTCATCTTTTGCAAAACCATACCACCGATTTGAGAGGGAGAGTATCTTTGGCCGCGAGCCTCAAGCCAGGCATCGCCATTGGTATGTTGTACGATCTTGTAGGGCACTTCCTTGATGTCTCGTTGGCATTCGGGGTCTGAGAATTTTCTTCCGATCAGACGTTTCGTGGCGAAAAGGGTGTTCTCGGGGTTGACAACAGCTTGTCGCTTGGCCGCAATACCAACCAGACGTTCGCCACTCTCCGTAAAGGCGACGACCGACGGTGTTGTCCTTGTACCTTCGGCGTTTTCTATTATGCGTGGCTGCTTGCCTTCCATTATAGCGACAGCTGAGTTTGTGGTACCCAGGTCAATACCAATGACCTGGCCCTTGACCTTCTCAGTCCCCTCGGGAGCATCGGTTGAGGCATATCGAGAGATTATTGAGGATCGAGGTGCGCGAATCTGAGAGATGCGAGAGATGGGAGATGAGCGCGGAAGCTGGCAACAGATTAGTATGAGGCGGGCGATTGATTGATTCATGATTCATGATATACTTACAGCTCGGGATAACCTCGAGGCAATCATGATTGCTCTATTGAAACAAGGCCAAACACGGGAAGTAGATGAACAATGAAGAACCAAGAAGGGTGACTATGAGAGGGAAAAGGACGATTGAAGAGAATTGAGTGCAATGGCGATGAGCTCAGGATGCAGAAGCAGCTTGAGATATAAAGAGACCGAGCGAGCGAGTTAGAAAAACTTCCAAATCTTTCGATTCGGCTCGCCTTCGGTCTTGGCACGAGGGAAACTACTCCGAGCTCACGTGCGCCGCCATTCCATTCAGCTCGCGCACCATAATTCTTCTTGTGAGTTAGTCCTCGTCCTTAAGAGTGCTCCTTTTCTATTGAGGAAGTCCTCGAAGAAGAAGAAGGTGAAGTCACAGAGCACCAGCTCGAGCAGTCCCTTGGTCGATCTGGAAGGCGCTTCTACAAGCTACATGGCTCTACTACCAGAGGAAAACCCAAGATGGTGATTGAGACAAAAGGCGAGACCATTCCCACGCACCTAAAGAGCGTTGATGGTACTCTTGAGATTGGGTCTTCGAAATCTGTGGTTCCAGTCTTAGTTTAAGCTGGGTTATGTAGGATAACGGATCAAGAGGGCCAACAACAGCTGGCTGCAATAGAATGCAATGAGGTTAGCATAGGGCGGCATCATCCTCGTCCCAAATGGGAGTGACGGGAGTAGTTTCTTTTCGATTCTGTGGGTGAGCGCGTCGATTATTGATTCCGGGATATGATGGCGTGGATGGATTCATCCCCACAGACAGACTAGACTCCAAAGGTGCAGTCAAAGCGGCCTCATACTTACTCGTAACTCGGACCGATTGCATCACATCACAATCGCGCACCAGCCGGTCCTTCCATTCACAAGCATCTGATTAACTTACAATACCATGATCGAGGCTTCATCCTCACCACAGGCTCATCTTCATTCACTTTTCCACCTATGATCCTACAATCCGACTCCCTCCAACCCTCAGGCATGCCTCTCATATCCTAAAGCCTCGTCCTTCCGCGAAATGACCGTACCCGACCGCGAACTATGCCTCACTCCTACACAAGGCCTGGCAACACTTGGGAAGTTCTATCCTACTAAAATAACCATACAACATCACCAACTGCGACGTTTCATCAGTGCCTCAGATGGCGGCTTCATCTACTACGTCACAAACTACGATATCTTTGTCCTCGACCTTGCGACCAAGCAGAACTCCCTAATAGCAACGATCCCCTTCGAAGCAAGATGTCTGGCGGCAGATTTGGGCTGGGTCTGTGTCGGCGGGGAGATCAACGGAGACTGCGCATTCATCAAGGTCGAGACGGACGAACAGGGTCACCCAAAATGCTTCGGACACGATCTGGTGGTGGATTTGCTCGGAGGTGAAATAGTCAATTCCATGAGCATACACACCATGGTACACGACGGCAAAGCACCCGACGAACCGGTGGTGTTGATCAGCAACAATGATAAGACGGTCAAGCTCTATTCTCTAGTACAACGACAGGTTCTGACGACTCTCTCCCATCAAGTACCTATGAATTTTGCTGCAATGTCTCCAGACTCTGAAATCGTTGCAGCAGTGGGCGACTCCGACAAGGTATATTTTTACCAACGTCAGCTGGACGAAGGTAAAATATGGGTTAATGGCTCTGTTACATATCCCAAGTACACCTGGAAGCCTCTCACCGAAGTAGTGGTTCCCACAGGCGACCCTGTTCAGGAGGATTTCAGCTTTGCCGTCGCTTTCTCACCCTCTGGCCATCTCTGTGCTTCATCTTCTCAAGGGGGTTCAATCACCGTCTTTGACATGGATCGACTAGTGCACAGTGAGGGTCCACCCGGGAAGTCTATACTCTATACTTTCAAGTCATCTCGACCCACGCTGTGGGGTTGTGTTAGGGCGATGGCATTTTCCCCTGCGCCGTGGGATATTCTTGCTTGGGCTGAAGACCATGGAAGGATCGGCCTGGCAGACGTCAGACAATGCTTTATGAGGAGACAGATCCTGGAGCTGGACAAACAAAAGGTCGAAACGGTAGATCTTGAGGATGCTACGCCCGTTGCGTATCGAAATATCGGAATCAAGGACCGACTGAAACAACAGCATCTTGCCCGAATGAGGGCAATTCGGGGCATGTCCTCTCAAGAAGCCGAATCTGAATTGGACATTGACGACCTGACCACCGAATCTGACCGGCGCCACAACCGACAAGATTTGTTGACGTACCATCAAGGACTTGATCTTGATGCTCGAGAAAGATCCGTGATTGACGCGCTTGAAACAACCATGGACAATGTAGGGCAGCCCGACCCCCCTTTCAGTATCAGTTATACGTCTTCGCCGCGGCTGAGGGAATCGACCGATGGCAGAAGAGGGTATGATGTACAATTGTCAAATCCTCCTTCGGTGCCAAGTGGTGTTCGGTCTCATCAGCCAAGAAGGAGAACATCAGTGGTGTTATCTGATTCTACTGCCAATGCTAGTCGATACCTTGATCCCAATGAAAGTCAAACGACTAGATTGTCTGCATCTCCAGCCCGCATAGGCGACGATGATGACCTTTCTGTCATGTCGACGCGCGATCTTGGTCCATCCAATCCTCGAGCACCGTCGGGCAATATTCCACCAAGTGATCCTTGGCATGTGATACAGTCTGCCCTGGAGACAGCACGAGAGTCGGACAACAGCAACCGGGTCACCCTGGCCCGCATCGAAGCTGCTCTAGAAGCTGAACGACGGCTGGGGACTCAACTTGAACATCAATTGGCGGATGAACGACAGTTGTCAACACTGCTCCGGAGGCAGCTCGATACTCAACAACGGCTGCTCATGGAGAATTCGTCTCAGCTGGATCATCTTCGGGCAGTCGCTAGAGAGTCTAACGCTCATGTTGAAGCGTCTCTAGAAAGGGTCTTCCAGCGTCAACTAGCTGACGAGGAACATTTTCTACGACAACGATCACAGGAACTGCAAAGTGAGATGAACGCCGGGGAAGAGTACGCTCGTAGGCTTTCAGTCGAAAGAGCTCGATTGTTATCAGCCAGAGCCAGAGGCGAGTCGCCCGATGGGAGAGACTCCAGCTCTGCACGCACCACAACCCTACCGACGACCAACCTCCGCTCGCCTGAAGGAAGCAATAATCTCTCTAGCGTCCTGACTGACTATACCGAAGCGAGACAACAAAGGCTCGCACATATCGAGAATCTCCAGCGACAAGTCCGTCGAGCCGAGTCACGAGTCGCACTTGCGACAAACGACGTCCAAGCGCTCGAGAATGCTATACGCCGAGAATTTGGTCGGCCAGATGGCAGCAGAGGACCGGATGAAGCTGAGAACATGATCCGCCGAGCGTCCACGAACAATGGGCCGAGCTGGCGGACCGGGATCACGCAACATGAAAACAGTCGGGTGACGGCGCGTCGAGCTCAACCGTCAGTGGCTCACCGCGAAGCACGCATGGAACGACTTGCTGAAATAGCTGGCCGTGTGCCCGATGCGGAGCTGCGTCTCGCCCGCATGATGTTCATGTCCGGCATGTCGGGTAGTCGCTCGCTCGATGCGAACGGCAATTGGACGCCGGGCTCGGGCCTGCACCGAGTTCTTGCAGGAGCGTCGAGTCTAGCGAGTGGTGCATCCGGCGGGCGTTCAACGACCACAGCAGAGGACGCCATGAGAGAAATGGGACCTGGGACTGCAGGGATCGGCTTCAGTCCTGATGGTCAGTATCTGTGAGTTTGAAGCCTGTCCGCTTTCCGTACTTGCAAGGACGCTCGCTGATTGAGGAATGATAGCTTCGCCGGCTCCGAGGAAGGCATCTACGAGTTCAAAGTCAACCTGCGCGATCGCATGACGTTCCCTGCTATTGAGATGCGTTGAGCTCGACCACGACGGATTGCTTCGCTTGGGCCCGAGAGGATATCGTGCTGCCATACTTAATGTATTCTTGTGTATTCTTACTTACGAAAGCTGATGATCTGCTCGCTTGCTTGGTTTGCGAGTGTTGTGCTTGTTGTCACCACCATCTGGGAGCTAGGGAGCGTGCTGTATCTGGTCTTCCTGCTTGTCGTCTGCGCGAATGGCGTTTTAAAAAATAGCATTTTGGCTTGAAGCACACAAAGGGAGCGAGTTGATTCACTAGCTAGTCAAGCAGCACATGGGGTTATTTGTTATTTCCTATCATGTCCGGATACTACGTCTTTTGGTTTTGAAGATAAGTTTTGCGGTGTGTTATAAAGCGTCCTTCTCTCACCAGTTCGGCGCAGGACTGTTTGCCGTGTATTCAGCAGGATTTCTGTATGGTGGTCGGACCCAATCTCATTGTCGTATACGGAGTATATTCAAACTCGTTCGTCCGGACAGAATTTGAGCTCCTGACCATTGTCAATGTCTTGTACGCGGTAGCAGTTATACAGTCTGCTGCTGATGGTCCCCTTCGGGCCCTTCAAGCACCAGCATCCCCTTCTCCGTCTTCAACTCGTCGATGTTTTTGACCTTGATCTGCATGACCCTGAGCACCGTGTATTTGTGCTTCGAGTGGACGACCTTTTTGTGTCGATTGCGGCGCTTCTTTTTCTCCTTGTCCATCATCGGGTTGGTCTCCAAACCCATGACGCGCATGCGGCACTCGAACAGCCGCTCGTCGATGTATTGCGGCTCGCCGGTGCGCTTGGCGTCGTAGGACTCTGTGTTCTTCGCGCCGGCTTTGAGCGTGTAGTCCCGGCTGCCCAGGATGCTGGCACGGTTGAAGCGCAACACGTCGCCTGGGGAGACGCCGTGCATGTGGAATGGGAGCCGTAGTATGTCGCCCTCGGTCAGGAGGTAAGGGAAGCGGTGGATGTGAGAGACTATGTAGTGTGGCTTTTGAGCGGTGAGGCGTGGGAGGAGGGTTTGCAGGGAGTGTGAGAGCACGAGCGGGCGGCTTAGAGAGTGTGTTGAGCTTGAGCTGGGTGTCAGGACTGTTGTCGAGGGTGGTTGAGGCGATTCGAACGTTGATGATGTTGAGACATTGCCTGGGCCGTCGAGGAGGGTGGTCGGAGGGATTTCGGCTTGGGTGTTGTGGAAGTCGTGCGATGGGCTGCCGGACTGTTGGGTCGCTGCTTGGTGGAGGCCACGGGAGTGGAAGGGGAGGAGGAAAGCCGCTGGTCGACTAGGTTTCGATGAGAGGTTCAATGCGCTTTGGAGGAGAGACCGCGATGAGACGTGGTGTGAGCGAGTCTGTTGAGGTCGTCGCACGGTTCTGAGGTTATGTATGTTAGCTGATGGACGGCTGAGAAGCGTTGTCGAGAGAGGTTCACCTTGTGGTAGTGCCGGAGAGTGCCCTCGATGGCATTGAATCAAAGATGCATTTTATCATGCGCCCACAGATGCGACACATGTTTTCTCAGCCCTTCCACGAGGCCTGTACTCGGTGGCTACCCTGAGTAGTGGTTTGTTTGTAAGGGAGGCTCGAGAAGGTCCTTTGCAGCCTCATTTACGACTTCAGCAGTCGGAAGTTGGATGGATCTTCGACAATTCGAGCTAAGCAGACTTTCTTGGCCAGTCACGTGCAATGGTTGATTTTCGTTCGAGCATTCGTGCCACGAGACGTCGCTCTTTCACGAACGCCAGGCGCTTCCGATGGCCAAACACACAGCTCCCTAAATCGAGTAACTCGCAATGGAGTCTTAATTCATGCCCGACATCTTTTGGACCAAATGGGATACGCGCTATCAAAACAGTATCATCCCTTCGCCAAGCTATGTTCGCACGGGGCTCAAGCCTTGATTACATAAGACAACATGCTAAACTGAATAATCTTACCCAACTCAAGCACCTGTAAGAGACACTGAGGTCGTAGCATTCTAGTTTCAAAATTAAGATGATTCGTGTACCCTATATGAGATTAACACTGTCACGCAATCCCACTCACAACCGACCGGAAACCAGGGAGATACGGCCAATTACTCTCTCATGATATGGCCCAAAAGCCGTCCAAGCACCCCTCTGACATGACGCGGATTGCCGACCTTAAGTGTTGTCAGTACCAGTGCAACACTGGTTGCAAAGATTGCTTGTTCTCTTCGCTGATACTGCTTGTCATACACGCGAGGCAGCATAGTGGCCAATGCTCTGGGCGCCACGAAGAAAGCTATCTCCTGTCTTCGACTCGGCTTCTCCAGCAGTATGGACCATCCACATGCAACGCAGCCTGCCAGAACACAGAGCCCGGAATCCCACATTTGCGGTGTTACGATCTTGTATGGAAACATTCTTGGGCCCAATCTTGTCCGTGCAAGGCACACAGAATAGTAGAACATTGCGACAAACGCTGCCAAAAAGGACGAGGACCGAGCAGCGCCTTTCAGAGCTTGGACTAGAGAATCAAGGCTCGGCTGACGGATTCGTGCGACCAGTTGAAGAGGAACATATAATCCCATCGCGAATTTCCAGCTTCGCCAGAGTCGCGAGACTGCATGTACCTCACAACTCTTACCAGTGCCGAAGTGATATAACTCGCATGGGATGGGTATCGTCCTGGTTGGATCACCGTATTCTTCTGGCAAGTGGAGCTCGCGGCACAGGCTCTTAAGAAGAGGTGCTTTTCCCGTGTCTTGTCCATACACAAATTCTCCTCGTCGAGCCAATCGGAGAGCTTGGATGAGTCGAGAATCGATGTTGGCAGCCTTCGAGATCCACTGGTTGTACGCTCGAGGGAGTCGCTCGGGAGAATAGAACCATGACCACATGATGATGGCGGCAGACATTGCAAATATCGTGGGGTCTGCCATTTTGCGGATGCTGTTTGCAAATCTGTGGTTCTCCTGCTCTGGGTGCCATGATTTGGACCGATTTCGTGTCCACAAGGTGATAACTGCTACGTCGAGAGCTCGGCAGAAGGCGAACAGGGTAAAGTCGATGGTCTTGCCAGCATAATGTGGGTGATACGACGGCGGAGGTAGGTGGTGCTGATTTGGCGACTCCAGATTGCTGACATCGGATGTGTGGGATGAGCGGGATTTGGCGCGCTTGCGTACCCAACTCTCATCACGATTGAGCAGGTCAAACGCCAACCATGCCGACAAGAAAGAGCAAATGAAATTGATGTGCTTGGAGAACCTGTTGCTGGAGTCTCGGGCTCCTCTCTGGGTTCTTAGGGAGAGAATCCATTGAAGGATGGTCCGGACAAGGCGAGGGAGGGCTGTCGCTCCGCCGATGATGATCGCAGCGGCGGTCGGGAAGCGGTTGAGTTGAGTGGAAGTCTTGAGAATGTTATAAAGTAAGGATATCTTCTCCTGAGCAGAGACATCCTGCTTTCTCAGGCTTCTCAGGAAGCCGAAGAGCCTAGGCCCTGTCACAGAGATGTATCCCAGTGCGTAAGCTCGGAGGAGTGGCTTGATAGCATCGACTTCAGCGTGGTTAATCAGGCGCGTCTTGCCCATGCTCTATGCCGCATTCGCAGAAGATCGCAAGGGATAGAACACGCTACTCAATGGTCGTGTCTAGAGCGAACAACTTGGAGGAATGTTTGGCCGGAGGTCACGTTGATCTCCTATTCTTGGCATCACAAGCAATGGTTACCTACTCCGAGCTCACGGGGCGCTCACCCTGACGACGCCGCTTTTAAAACCAGGAATGTGTCTCTGGCAACTCTCCACCAAACGAATTGAAAGCGAAAGATGACTATGGTGTATCTTCCCGAATTGTGTTCTCATTTTTGGCCTTTAGCCGTGATCTGGATAAGAGGGACATTTGCTTCATCTGCCTCTGCGCGGCCATCATCATCCTTCTGTCCAACAGCCGTATAGAAGGGCAAAGCGTCTTTTTGAACCTTGACTCTCTTTTCCATCTCCTTGACAATCGTCTGGAAAATTCTGAGCTTTCAAATTCTGAAGGGTTGTAGGGAGCGATAAACGTACATATGACAGGGTGCCAAATAGGATAACTGCGAGACTGTTCACTCGAGAACTTGTGAGACGCTCACCCGGGATGAAGGTCACTGCAAGCAAAGACTGCAGAACTCCTCTCGCGGCAGTGGAAATCATATGACTGTCGAATGAGAAAAAGCTGTGAGTAAGATTCTTGATCTTGAGCCGGATCTGACAGGGGTTCCACTTACGTCGTTGGAGATGTTACTTTGATCTGAAGGTAGGCAGCCGCACTGAGAGCGAAATTCAGTGAGCCGGCTATAAATGCCTGTCCCCCAAATCTTATCATGACCGGGTGTGTGAGGCCTAGAGCAGCGACCTGGCGGAGTTCGCTGTTAAGAATGGTCCAGATGGTGTAAACTGGTATCGTTGTCAGGGAGGTGACATAGACGAGGTCGAGGACTCCGATCTCGAGCGCAAGGTATTTCACAAGCACCGATTCGAGAGCTGTAGTAAACGATGACCAGACGCCCCACGCGATTCCAGCATTAGTGGTCTGTCCTACCTCCTCCCCACTGACACCCAGTAAAAAGCCTAAAGTTGTAATAGTACAGCCAACAAGAGCGAGCAGACTAGGTCGCGAGCTCTGCAGTATTGCAAAAGAAAGCATAATGGTGAATGGAAGAAGAAGGCCTCTTGCTATCTGATAGAATGAGGCGTTTACATTCTGGAATAGTTCGCATCTACGTCAGTATCTCAGTCCGTTCAAGTAATATTATATAGGGTGGTCTTACCAGAAGACAATAGGTTTTCGATAGCTGAGCAATAATCTTCATGGCAAGAAGTGGGGATACTCTCCGAATCAAGTTGATATCCAGTTTCGGACGTGTATAGAGGTTCAATATGGAGCCGAGAAAGATGAAAGCGACTGCCATCACGGATTGACATAGCAGCAATATGACCGGAGCTGGAATTGTGTTCAATTGGGTCTTGTTGATAATAGTGACGCTCAGAGCGGTAGAGATGTGGAAGCCAACGACGGCAGCGACATAAAGTCTTGAAGGCGATGAGGTAGGGGCGTCCGACATGCTCTCGATACACAAGGTGAATAATAATCAGCTGTAGCTACTCGATTCACACCTGGTCTTGAATTGACCTTAGCAATACGCCATGTGTCAGAATCACAAAGGGCGCATTGAAGAAGATGATCGCCGAGACCAAAAAGATCCGTGTGTGGCCTGTATATATCATGCATCTCTGCGCTTACTTTACGGAGCCTCCCTTTCTGTCAAACGGGCATGGGGCCCATATATTAAATTTCTGACAACACAAGTGTACAAAGCCGTCACAAAAAGTGGACCTTAAGATGGATAATTACATAGAACCACTGATTTCATGCTGAGGGACGTGTAATGTCCTACGTCTCTAGAATAGGGGTAGTTATAGAAACTGCTCCTCGCGAATTCAGTACCGCAATAGAGTACAATTTACATGCCCGGATTTGTTACAGATTGGAAGCATACGCCAGCCAGTATGATCGCGAGCAGTCATTATCCAACGAAAAATATACGATACTTCCAAACTGTTGTCGCATGGATGGTCTTTGTTGCAGAGTTGAGAGCCCGAAGATTCAACACGTACCCAAGTACTACTTGTAACCTATTATATAGTATTATTTTGATTCTGCTACTATTCAAGCAATTCACCATGACCTACGGCGCTCCCAATGTCTTCAAGGCTTCGCAAGTCCCCGGTAATGTTAGGATACAAACTTTGAAATGTGGTTTCGCCCGCGATTAATCGTTGGATATTCTGACGGGTAGAGAACGTCACCCTGACAGACTTTGAAGTCTTTCGCGTAGTGGGGTTGTTTTTCTTGTTTGTCTGGATATCTGTATCACGGTCGGTGCTTCCCGCGGCTCTGGACACACCGACAATTGCTGGAAAAGGAGCAATGCACCTTAGTTCTGAGCTTCTGCTGGAGCACATACTGCTGACGCCGTTGTCGACCGCCTCAGTGAACGGGCTCATGCTTTGCCTGTGGATGATTTTCTCTGCGCCTGCAAGAGAGATTGCCCAGGCAGCACTGCAGTAGCCGAAACTGGGTGTAAAGAGGATGCGAGTTTGAGTGTCGGCATCTGGACCAGACTCCCAAGTTGTCATGTTAGGTTCATGTTGCACAGTTAGAGAACGCTGTCCAGGAGGAGGAACAGTGAGATCTTTGGGAATGACCCAGCGGCGTTTGTCTGTAGGGTCATCTTTGATAGCGCAGTGCCCAATCCAAAGGACGTCCCAGCCGTCTCCATACGGTGAGTGCGAAGATGTTTCTTCCGTGTTGTTGAGAAGCCAGCGCGATCCCTGAGCGACCTGTGACATCTGAAATTTGATGGCAACATCCCAATCTGCATCGTCCTCGAAGATCAACGCGGAGCGCACACGACGTCTCACCATGTGCTGCATGATATTCATGTGTGACCGCCAACATCCCACTTCTGCGGGAAGCCGATGCTCAAACCCAAAAGGCCTAGCTTTTTCAGGCACTGTTGTGCCGAGAACGCCTTCAGTAAAGGTCAGGGAAAGATTCGTAAGAGTGGCCTGTACGCTCATCGAGTCTTTTTTATCACTGCGCTCGGGGAGGTTTATGACGTAGATTTCCTGGAATCCCAGCGTTTCATTGTGAACATCGTGAAGAATGTTATTCAGCGACGTGACAGTAGTATCATTGTTGATATTTCCCGTCAAGAAGGATCTGAGCATGTCTGTTGTTGAGCTTCGAGTGCCTGTTTCGATTTCCGTAGTCGAGGAGAAGTAGCCGGTAGAATGGGTATTGAGTAGATACAGAATAACAGCTGTGGTGAAGATAAGGGCTATAATGGCTGTGCGGTTCATGACTCTCCCGGTCATCCTGCAAAACTCCATGGCAGTAGATATCAGCCGAGACAACTACCGCTGAAAGTTGACAATGAAGGATGGTAGCAGCCTGAGAAAGAGAGTCCCTTCGCTGCAGGAGGAACGTTGTACATAATCTTGCAACCACAAAGCTATGACAAAATCAAGCATGTAAGCTAAAGAAGGACGAGGATCTTCCTTCGTTGCTCAAACCCTGGTGTAGTCACGCTTCGACGCCCGAGTTCGGTGTTGTGCAACGTTGACAGGTCTTGGGTATAAGCCCGCAATCTCGAGGCTGCTAACCGGCCTCTGTTTTTTTGTATCCTAGATTCTGACAGCGATGCGTTCTTTTGTCGACACGAATACAATTGGCACACCTGGAAGCTCCATCGTGGGCTAGGTCACTCGGCGAGCGTCAGACTCAGAACTGACGTACACTATCGAAAGGGGGGGTAAAAATTTTGTTTTATCAAGCCCAACATTAGAGAGTGTATTTCCTGGTGCCAAGGCCTGGAAACTACTAGTATTGTTTATCCAAGAAGTTGTTGACGGATGATAATCACCAAGCAAACTCGAATATTTGTACCGTTGGATATTCTCGGAGAAAGTCTTGCATTCAGCGCTCCATTGATCTCTGTCCAAGCCCCAAATGCTCCTACGTGCTGGCTGGCTTGGACCTGCAAAAGCAGCCTCGGCCTCACCAACTTAGCCCGGATTCTTCCCTTGGTTGGAGATCTTGACTAAAACACCTGTCACAATTGGCGAACGCGCATTGAGGCAGACCTAGCTTCGCGCACATGAACTCAGGACGTGCCTGTTCGCGTCCAAGTCGGAATGGCGCCATTGAGGAGTAGAATACCGTCATCCTTGCTCAGACCAGAACATCTGCGGGTCGGCTGATGGCACCCCCTATTTAACCCCAACAAGCCCTTTTAGAGAGCGAGTTGTCCTCGGTTGGACCCGAACAGAAGTGACCCTATCTGTCAATGAATTGAGGTGGAAACCGTCAAACGTCTTGTCGTCCTGGCACTGGCCTCGAACTACGGCTTGCATCGCATGAAATGTAAGAGTGAGTAGCTTCATCATTTTCAGCCTTCGATCTCCCTTGGTCACCAAATAAATCCAGTTCCTCTATTTCGTACTGGCCGTGTCTTCGTGTTCTTGTTACTTCACGACTTCACAATGCATCCCTCATGGAGAGGTTGTTCGACACCTCGGCTCCTGACCATTGGTGTTCTCTTCGTGATTACAGTCATCCTGCTTTCCTTCCACGGCCCATCGAGAGAATATGTGACGCACACTCTTTATTCGGGATCCGATTCCTGCACCGCAACATTAGCGACTCACGTGCAGCTGCTGAGATCTGAGTATTCTGCCATGCTGTTAGGTGTCGAGTACGTAGCTATGATAGGCTACCCAAATCATAGGTAAGAGGATCACTCAAACATGACCTTTCCGGATCCAAACTGATGATACCAAGCAACAAAGGAGATTCAGCAATATGGGTTGGGGAATTGATTCTTCTCGAAGACCTGGGAATACAGTCCGTGTATGCTTCTGCCAACAGCAACGACTACGACAAGACGAAACTTCGGGAAATCCTAGAAGCGCATGGGGGACCTGAAAACACCGCAATCATGTTTCATGGAGGTGGTAACTTCGGTGACATCTGGCCGGGGCCGCAAAGAGATCGTGAGACTGTGGCTGCAGATTTCCCAGATTACAGAATTCGTTCCTTTCCGCAAACCTACAGGTTCTACAATCAAGACCAGCTTGAGCGCGCTCAGAAAGCTTTCAGTCAACATCCTGATCTCCAACTCACCGCAAGGGACACAAAATCCTACATGAGTCTCCAAAAGGATTTCGGCCAAAATCACAAAGTCTCACTGCTTCCGGATGCTGCTACTATGCTAACGACGCGCCCTATCTCCGGTGGCCGAAGTCCGAAGGAAGGCATCCTATTTCTAGCGAGATACGATAAGGAGGGTGAACAAGACCACTACAAAGACAAAGCAATTATTGAGGAACTACGACATATTTCCGATCAGGATGGAAATATTCTCGATATCGATGTCACTCTTCAGGACTGGATTAAACTTGACCCTGAAGGATTGCGTGGTGCAAGCTACAATGACCAGGCCTGGCTTCGGGTAAACTGGACCTACAACTTCCTGAATCAGTACGAGCTGGTCATGAGTGACAGGTTACATGTGCATATCCTAAGTACAGTCTGGGGTATTGATCATATCACAGTCGAAGAAGGCTCATATGGTAAATTGAGAAGCTACCATGAAACATGGCTATCCGGGTGTGGAAGTATAGTGGCTATGACGCAGAGTGTCAGAGAGGGAGTCGACTCCGCAAAAGCGTGGTACCGAAATGGTAGATCTTTCTGATGGAAGTTTAGACCAGCGTTCGCCAATCCACGAGGAGGATCCCTTCTATAACGTGCTGGAATATTCATATAGATATTGCTCAATATTTTCCAATCATTACCCACAATACTCGTCCCCTTAAGAACGGCTCCACTGAAAAGGACCTGTAAGTAGTTAGCGACTTTAGAGTCGCTGGAGAGGACCATGGGAACATGTTTGCTGTGTGTAAATAGTCAATCCAACAGTGGACGGTATTGATAGTTTTTATATCTAATGGAGGCCGTCAGAGAAAGCCCTGAGAAGTCGTACAACTGCGCGACGTAGCCGTTCATCAATAGATTATATTCACGACCATCACGAAGTGAAGCATCCCACAGAAGCTTTTAGACTACAATGCTCCTAGTTGCCTGCTATTATTTCGGACTAGCCACAATCCAGGGTAATTGAATGGTATGAAGAAACAATTGACGACGAACGGGACGTGAGGTGGGCTTTTACAATAAACGTGCTATTCGAAAATAATGTAATGTCTTCGCGGCTATATCGAGCTATTCATCCTTTTGTAGACATCTCTGCTCCAACCATTTTGCAAGCTGGACACTACCCTGGTCCACATATCGAGTGACCAATTCGCTGATCCAAAACAGCACCGGGATAGCGATGGCAGCATAAGTTACCAACACCAGCCAAGACCCTATCTGATCTGCAAGGGCCGCCTTAAAGCCCATCATGGCTTTCGCAAATAATATCGCACGCATCAGCGGTCGTCCGATACTGTTAATCAAGGTGACATGCATGAGATATATGCCGAATGAGTTATCGCCGAGATATTGCGGAAATGACGACGAGAGGAGATTGCGGAAAAATCGAGACTGGCCAATATAAAAGACCAGCAAGACCGAGGCTATACACACTGGAAAACTGCCTACTGCCGGCAGATTCTTCCAACTCTTGGGGTCAATTGCTGTGATAATATGGTACAACTGGATGTCGCCGAGATCCGGTGGCATAGTGAGGACGGCTAGAAGAATGAGAAGACCAAACACAAGGGCGAGCTTTTCGATGATCGACAGCAATCGATTTCTGGACCCGAGTGTTTTCTCGCCCTCTGCGGATGGTGACTTTCGGCGATCAAAGTGATTATGCATTTCACAGCAGATTGGTCCCGAGAGGAACAGGAAAATGTCCCATTCCCCCTGTGCGATACTGTAGATTGCGCCGGCACAGAGAAGAGCAGACCGCAGTATCCAGCGGACTCTAGCTAGCGCGAGGAGTGACACAAAAACCACGATCGAGCCACGGAACTCGAAAGGTATCGTCCACATTCCGATCGCGTAGCGAAGACCCTTCATGTCCCAGGTGCGAAATTTGGAGAGGGTAAACGGATTCAGCCCCGTCATCAAGTCGTCCAGCCATGCCCACAAGGTGAGACCAAGGGTACTGTGATGCGGGACATGGTCCGCGCCTGCGGGGTCCCATAGTTCGAAATAGCTTAACATGGCGTTCGTAAAGGTGAGGAATATGACTGGCGTATATAGCCTGATCGCCCTTCTAAAAACGCCAGAGGAAAGAGATTCCGTAAGCTTGTGGAGGTCTCCGGCCCGTGCAAGCGAGAGAGGTCGCACGCTGAGTGCATACCCACTGATGACCAGAAAAACATCAACCATTGCTGGGCCCGAACAGGGTAATCGTGCGACAGGTAGCCTAAAGAAGTGTGGATCGTCTTTCTTCCAAGCGTCGCAGTGCCCGGGATACAATAGCAAGCTGTTGTGGTAGAAGACAACCATGAAACAGGCGAGCCCTCGAACACCATCCAGCCAAGCAGTCGGGTATACCTTTCGCTTTTGGCGGGGTGACAGTATTGTCGGTCTAACGGCGATCCAGGCGACTGAAAGTATCGAGCGGAGTTTGCTACCACCGCTCCCTCCGCCTGTATCTTCTCCATGCCCTTCTGATGGCAATACCACCTTCGCCCTGATAGCCAGTGCAGAGGATTGGAGGTAAGCGACAAAGATGGTGGTCAATCTAATGACGATAGAATGATGGTATCTCCTCAAGTCTCGAAGTTCTTCTGCTGCGTCAAGCCAGTGGTCAGACAGGGTGAGCCTCCAGCATCATTCGAGAACTCACTGCGTGCCGCGCCCCCCTCGAGGGCATCTTCGTCTACCCCACCGTCCAGGAGAGGGAGTTCCTGATCATCGACCTCGCTGTCGCCCATCCTCGGTATCTTGGCCAGGCTGAATAAAGACATACTGACAGCGTGTTTGAGGGGAGCGGAACCAGAGTCAGCCACACAGGCAGAGAGATTGCGAGCGACAAGTACTGCCGTCCGGAGGCCAGGCGGCAGACCTTCTTCGGAAGGGAACAACTTGTCTTGCGCCTGTGGCGGTCGATACTTTGCGAAGTATTCGCATACATGACAAAGAGATTACTGTGGCCATAGGGATAGTACAACTATCTTTCGATTGTACACAACGCGTTGCGGACGCGTTTCAACTCAGGGGTAGGGATCCAGTTTTGTCACGTCTGTGATATATGTCAATTTGGCGACCTGACACTTACAGAGATTAAGCTACTGCCGTCGTGGGCCGCTGCCATAATGATGACTAATTCTAGACCTAGATATCAGGCATACGAGATCTTATGGATACGCACTCAATCATTAGCTCCGGCAGCAAACTAAGTTAGGGCAGTGTGCAACCGACGGCTGGTTGCTGCGCATCCGAACTCGAGAGTTGGTCGTTGGCTACCATGCCTGGAGCTCCATATGGGGATTTTTCGCGGAGACTGTGAATCTTCCCCACATTCAGGTACGGATTTGTTGGGTGGCGCATGGGAGAAGATTGATAGGTCTCCTCATGGGGCCTTCTGGCGACCGGCAACTTATGCGCCTTTGGGTACGGCTTGAAAGGACTGGGAATTCCTCAAGTAAGAATCCATTGTGTACTACTGAATGCAGAAAATTACTAAGGTATATATAGATCTCTGTGTATGAGATCGATAAAGACGACAAGAAGACGACTCTGGCATGATTCATGACTGCGCCATTGTGCGTGACATTTTAGGTCTCAGCTTGAGCAATTAGCTGACCGCCTCACAGACCAAGAACTATATCATTCTCACGGTATGCCGTTCATTGTGAACACCAAAGACGTGGGAAACAGCGGTAACCACCAGCGGTAGGTGTCAGCTGGAAATGCATGTCTCGCAGTAAAGATCTGATTCAGTCGGTCCCACAGGTGTTATGATGAGACAGCCCCCGCCTGGTTTGCACTTGTCCCGCGTGACTTGTCTAAGCCAGTCCGATGGTTTCGGTACCAGAATTGCATGGCCATCCATAGTGGTGGTTCCTATTCTTAACGGATACCTTGTCCGGTTGCTCAGCGAAGGGTCCCTTGCTTGTTCTACATAGCTTCATGACCTCTCATCGGGTGGTTCAGCTGCGGGCATACCGAGACGTCAAGCATGATTCTCGGCTGGATTATAACTCTGAGGAGGGGGCCAGTACCTTGCACCTGCCTTATGACATGATTTCAAGCAGAGATACGGCGCCAGAGTCCAGTGCTATCCCGCTCCATGTAGCCTCTGATCCTCTGTGTTTCCTTTGCATCCCTTGAGCTCCTCAATTCTCTCTCTGGCTCGCCGAGCGACTTGCTTGCCCACTGGGCTCGGGTTCCGGTGCTTGTGATCGTTTGCTTCTCTCACGGTCTGTCTGTCTTTGCCGCTCGTTCGGTTGCCTTGCAGGTCCTCCATCTTGTGGTTTCTTCGTCTGCGTCGTCGCTTCAGGTGCCGGACCTTCCTTGTGCTTCTTGAGATTTTCTTCGCGACGCCGTCTTTTTTCAGTCCTTCTTCGCTTCTTGTCTGCCTTGAGTTCCTCGGGACCGTAAAGAATGACGCTCTCATCACCATCATTTGCATCGTCGTCTTCGCAATCTGCTGCCTCCTCTTGGTCTGTCGTCAGCAACGACGGAGACTGGCGTACTCAGGTCTACATACCTGACGATTGGCGGAACTGGGTGTCTGGGAATTTGACATGAGACGCCAGTACAACCGCTAGCCGTTCTTCTTCGGTTTCTAGGCCGGCGAAAAGACCGGCGATGACTTCAGGGTCGCAGACGGTGAAAGTATTGACGTGTTTCTGTAATGTCACTAAGGCATCGAGTTCTGCACGCATCTGGTCGGTTATTTGTCGCTCCACATCTACCCACCTCTGAGCATAAGATGTCTTCTCGCGCAAACCTCTCTCGCGCTTGTGTATCTCGTAAAGGAGGGCATCAGCGTGCTGAGATAATTGAGGTCGCGCGGATCGGGCAATCAAGTACCATTCAGGGACGTCGGCCAATTTATTCTCACGATTTTGCCGTCGGGCGAAAGGACGCCATGTCCAGTCATTTCCATGGACTTCTGTCTGTCCTTGCTCATAATTGATGTCAAAGGCCTAAGTTGAGAACCAAGTATGAGAGGAGTGCGAAATGGCAGTAACGACGGCCTTGCCTCCAGACCTCAGACGAGATTCACTGGCAATTTTTGGGGCGCGCTCAGGGCTTTCATGGCTCCCACATCTTCGATGGACATGATGTGACGGATAGATACTACGGTGCGCCCGCATCATAATCAGTCATATAGCAGTCATGGAGGACCAGGAATTGACGACTCTTTGAGATGTAGAAAGAAAACAAAAGCTCAGGAGACATGCAAGTTTCTGGTTGAATTTTGGCTGTTGTTGAACGACCGTCTGACAAGAGCATTTCCCATACTTTTTGGCATGAATTGCTACAGTCAGACTCTGTCAGACCTTGAAGATCTTTCACTGGCACTGACTGCAGGTGACATTGACTGGAACTCCATCGACTCCATTGATCCTCCATATGAAACGGAATTTAAGATGAACCAGGACATCATCGATCGACAACCGAGGCAGTCTGAATCAATCACTTTTTGGATGCTGTGGACGCTGGAGAATGCTGTACACTCGCCTGTACTATCCACGACCAATGAATCTCCAGCGTTACATGCGTCGGAGATGACTGAATTGTCCATGTCCACTCGATTCCAGGTCTGTGTAACTGTAGCCTCGGGACCTCGAGATTTGTACCACCAACAGTCCTGCTTCTCGATTTTCTAGAAAGGATACTCGTAGCTGCATGATGCTGCCAAACATGACCACCACAGATCAGCAGGACCACGGCCCGGAGAACTAAGCTACTACGTACAGACTTAGAGATCGCTTGCCTTAGTGTCTTGGGAGTGTCTTGCTTAACCGGCGATCCACGTCCACAGCGAATGACATCAACATCCATCTGCCCTTTTGACCTCGACTACAGAGTACCTACTGTAAAGCACCAGTCACCTAGCCAGTGAGCACCTAAAGGTACCTTACTGGAACTTCGTACTTGAACTTCACCAACCTCTTCTTCTCTACACCTTTGCCATCAACACCTTCATCCCCGTCCTCTCTCTCAGTGCTTCATTCTCTTCCATGTCATTCTAGTACACTCGTTATGTTCTGCATCCTCCTGGCCCTCCTGGCCGTGGTTCAATCAGTCGTTTCATCCCCCCTCAACCCGCAATTTGACTACGCTGTCAAAGAAACCAACAACGTGCCTCCGAAGTGGTCTATCGCTGGAAATCCTCATCCCTTCCATCTCTTGAAGCTCAATATCGGCCTCACGCCCAACAACTTCGACTTACTTGAGCAACATCTCCACGAAGGTAAGCTTCTCCAATATCAGCCCGCCCTCGGTGAAGCTAATCTGAAAAGTGTCGGATCCATCCCACCATCGTTATGGCCAACATCTGTCCCAGCAACAAGTTCACGACCTGATCTCACCATCTGACGAGACTACTGAGTCCCTTCAAAACTGGCTGTCCGGACATGGCATTGACCCATCACATCTCGAGTTCAATTCAGCCCGGGATTGGGTCACCCTCACTCTGCCAGTGGCTCAGATCGAACGTCTCCTAGACACAAAATATTATGTCTACCAACATGAAGATGGCACCAAGCTCGTCCGAACCACCAGCTGGTCGCTTCCCCGCTCGCTGCATGACCACGTCACCACCATTCAACCCACGACCGCTTTCCTCCGAGCAAACCCTAAGGGTGACACTGTTCTTACCATACCCACTGATATTGACCTCTCCGAGCTCACCGCTGCTGCCAACTCGAGCGCTTTGAACAAGGTCTGCAACTTTGGTGGCATGACCACGAAGTGCTTACAGACGTTGTACAACACTGTCAACTACAAGCCTCAAGCGGTCAACAACAACTCAATTGGTTTCACCAACTACCTCGGTCAAGTCTCCAATCGATCTGACGCAAGACTGTACCTGCAGAACTTCCGCCCTGAAGCCATCAACTCCTCGTATGCTCTCAAGCAAGTCTCGATTGACCACGGCGCTGTCGACAACTCCACCGCTGGAGGGGGTATCGAAGGCAACCTCGACCTCGAGACCATTCTCGGTCTAGTCTATCCGACCCCCGTCACCGCGTACTCAACCGGCGGCATGCCTCCTTTCAACGCTGACACATTCACCGATACCAACACCAATGAACCCTACTTGACCTGGGTTTTGTGGATGCGTGAGCAAGACCCCGCTGGCCTTCCTAAAGTCATTTCCACATCGTACGGCGACGACGAACAGACCGTCCCGAAATCCTATGCTACCCAGGTCTGCAATCAATTCGCCGCCCTCGGTGCTCAGGGTATCTCCCTGTTCTTCAGCTCTGGCGACTACGGTGTCGGCGCCAATAACAGCTGCTTTTCCAACGATGGCAAGAACACCACCACTTTCCTGCCCGCCTTTCCTGCCTCTTGTCCTTACGTGACCACCGTCGGCGGCACCATGAACTACCCTGAAGTCGTTGCCTTCGACACGCGCAACGGCTATTCTTCTGGCTCCGGCTTCAGCAACTACTTTGCACGTCCAAGCTGGCAGGACACTGCAGTGGAGCGATACGTCGATACCATCGGCGACCAATTCAAGGGTCTGTACAACTGTTCAGGTCGTGCGTACCCGGACCTCTCCGCGCAGAGTTATCGGTATATCGTCTTTTACAACGCTAGTGTACGGAGTGTGGACGGAACAAGTTGTGCATGTCCGGCAATCGCCAGTATTTTCTCCCTGGTCAATGACGCGCTGGTAGCAAAGGGCAAGCCGCCAATGGGTTGGTTGAATCCCTGGCTGTACCAGAAAGGCTTCCAGGCGTTCACCGATGTGGTGAATGGAACCAGCGTCGGCTGCGACGGGCCCGGATTCAGTGCTGCAGCAGGTTGGGATGTTGCGAGTGGCTTTGGCACGCCGGATTTCGAGAAGATCCTGGATGTTCTTGGGATCGGAAGCTAGTTGAGGTTACAAGTCGATTGCGCGCCTGTCATGGTGCCCTGTTTTTAGGGCTCGAGCTATGATTGCTCCGAACACTGGTCGAAGGTTGACTATGTCTCGACAACTTGCTCCGTCGAGTCTATTGCTCGGGGCAAGATGGACTGCATCCCGAGTTGGTGCGAAATACCACGCAAAAACGCTAGTGGGTAATTGCTTGAGGCATAGCATCGCATAGCATAGCATGGCCATTGAGAAGACAAAAAGTAATGTAATTGATGCAAACACAATCCTCCAGCTTCATACCGAAATTGCAAAAAGGTCGAGGAGCCCTGTGTCTTTGCCTCGGCAAAAAGTCACAGCATCATATCCTGCCGTGCCTGCTTACTGCCATTGTTCTTGTTACAGTATCCTTCGCTGCACATCGCAACGAGTAACCAGGAGAAGATTTGGGCGGAAGGGCAAACACACGAATTATCTCTTCTTCAGCACAGGAATGTGTTGACCAGAAGTTTGTCTTGCCCAACTACCTAGGCAGTCTTGACAATCACCCGAGCACGACTTGTCGAAGAGATACTGTATCTACGTGGGATACCCAAATATTGGAGCGCCTCCTATCAATAAGAACCAGCGCACCAAGAAGAATTCGTTTCCGCACTAGGAGTGAGGAAGCTCGGCTTCACGGTTGAAGCAGAGATTTATATTATATTCCAAGCATGGCTCGTACGTGCCGTTCCATCCATGTCTTGGGGATTGTTACAATATGATACAACTCCTGGCCCCGAACGGACTGGCTGGCTGACATTCAAGCCCAGACACGACATTTCCATCTGACCTGCCAGTTCCCAACGATGATGGGCTGTACAACCACCTGACAGACTTCAAGATCCCATCGGACATTAACCTGCCTGTTGCTACGGATCATTCCAAGCAGGTCAACCTCGCCGAGCTCAAGGAGTTGACTGTTGTCTTTTGTTACCCGAGGACAGGTAGGCGAGCGTCAGCGCCTGCTGGGCCTTTTCACGAGCCCACCTTAGTGGTATGGTCTTGCTGACGAGGAGCTTAGGAGCACCCAATGAAACTGTGCCTGACTCATGGAACTCCATCCCTGGCGCCCGTGGATGTACACCCCAAGCTTGCTCTTTCCGAGACAGATTTTCTCAACTTCACGCTCTCGGTGTGTCCCATATCTACGGCATCTCGACCCAATCGCCAGACTACCAGGCAGAAGTCCACAACCGACTGCGTCTGCCATATGATCTTTTGAGCGATGAGAATCTGCACTTCCAGCGCGGTCTGGATCTTCCGACGTTCGAGTGGGAGGGGAAGAAGGTTCTTCGAAGGTCCATGATCGTACTTCAGGATGGAAGAGTGATCAGGTGGTGGTATCCTGTCTTCCCGCCTGACCGCGGCGTCGACGATCTGATCGCCTGGTTGGAGGAGCGGTGACGGGTCAGCTCAGTCATTCCGGCATCTGGGTCGATGAGTCAAGACGGTTTTGTGATGACCTCTTGATCCTCCTCTTTAACGAATCATGCCGCTGCCATTGCCATGGGTACGGTTGTGAGCACTCCGTTTTTGTCATAGCGTGCTTTGAAAAAGGTGTAGCTCAGCGTGATGGTATCGATGCCTTTCATGGTAGGATCTTTTGCGAACTCGGGGTCAATGAAGAAGAACACAGGCATATCGACCGTCTCGCCTGCGTTGAGCCTTTGCTCTTCGAAACAGAAGCACTGGATCTTGCTGAAGTATGGTGCCACTTGTGCTGGTGTCACAGAGTATGTAGCCACCCCGATGATGTCTGCGTCGCTCTTGTTCTTGGCAGTGTAGAATGCTAGGGCAGTCTCGCCCGGGAGGACGCGAACTTCTCGCTGTTGCGGCGTGAATTTCCACGGAAGGATGTCAGATACGGAGCCGTTGAAGGTGATTCGTAGCCGACGGTGGTCTTCGACTGGTCTTAGTCGGACTGCGGGATCGCCAGCCCCGTCGTGGGCTTTAACGGGTTGACCGGACCAGCCGGTTTGTTGGCAGATCTGGAAGGGTCAGTAGTGAAGTGTAGTATGTGCTGGGAACTCCTACCATTTTGTAGAGAGGAACGGAAGCATATGAGAGAGCGAGCAGCAGTATGCCTGCACTGAGTCCGTAGTATCTGCTGTGGTCAGAGTCCTGCTACCTGGAAGTATTTACTATGCTTACAATGTAGTCTGATTCTTCTTTGCAGCTTCAGCGCGAGCTGCCTCCCATGGTGTGGCATGCTGGGCTCTTGCGGTGGTCTGTGAAAGATTTCGAGCTGCGGCGGGCGATCTGGGGCTGTGAGAAAAATGCTGTCGCAAGGTTCGAGCGACGTTTGGGGGCCCAAGCCTGGACGCAGTGAAGAATGTATTCATATCCAACTACTCCAGACTGTTGAAGAGCCTACCGGAGATGTCGTCAGTAAAAAGAGGTGGTCGTGCGGAAACGCAGATGGGGAGGAACTTGAACTTCAATGCTCAGGTGATTCGCGGAATCGTCGTTTCGCCGCAACGCCCGCCAAGACACAAGACACCAAGTCACCTCGCTCACCTCGACACTCAAGCAGTACTCCCTCTCCTGGGCGTAACCGCTACTCACACACGAGACCATGTCGAAATCCTTTACTGGTTTAAGACGAAAAAAGTCACAAGGAGCATTAACACCTACATAAATGTAAACCAAACAAGCAGAGTACATAACGATCACAAAACTGCTCACAGACCCATGGCGACCCCTATGTCGACTTCCTCAACGGTCTGTTGCCCTCTTATCAACCCAAACCCGAATCCTCCCTATTTCCCAGTTGTCGATGCCGAAGTCGACTTCGAGTTCATTGGGGTGGCACATCAAAGGCTTGGCGTATGAGGTTTATGGTCTTTGGGTCAATGTCATTCCACTGGAGACTAGCTGAACCCATGGGAACAGGATGAGGACCAAGCTCCGGATTTCCAAGCATCACGGTTGACAGGACCATACAAGTCGGGGGAATGTTGTCCACTCTTATGCCTACACCGAAATTAGCCATGTCAAATAGGTAATCTAGGTTGGGAGCGACTCACTTCGCGGCTGGGGTTGGTCGAAGAGAAGAGCCTGCTTATTCTGTCCCATCTTTATGATGTCGTACTGACACATGCGAAAATTGTACTCCGGAACGCCCGCAGGAACCTCACTTGGTCGCGATGCTGGAGGGAGGCTCGACACGGGTGTAGCTGGAGGTGGTGGTATTCCCGATGTGGCCGCTGGTGCTGGTGTCGCCGCTGGTGGCGCTGGAGCTGAACGCCTTCCGTCAGTCGTACTGAAAGCGAATGTGAAAGGGATCGTTGACGGTATTGTACTTACCCTTGGTGGTCTTTCTAGCTTCACTCTGCAAAGGTGCATGTGTGGCAGTCTTATGTGCCGATGCCGATGCTTTTGAAGCAGAAGCTGACGCTTTTGAAGCGGACTTGATCGAAGCCATGATTGACTTGCTCTTTTTCTTGTCTGAGACCGCCACCACAGCTCCTCCCGCTAGAGCTTGGAATTAGTATCATTGTATCAGACCGCGAATACGTCTCACTTACCCGCCCCGCCAGCGACTCCGAGTACACCGACACCTGCTACCGCAGACCCATAATACAACGCACCATTGATTACGACAAAGTCTCCGTACCAGACGGCACTCGCTCCGACACCAAATGCCCCCGCTATACTACCTCCTGCGACAGCACCGGCAGCTGCCTCACCAGCGACTGAGCCAATCACTTCACCGGCAAGGAGCACAACAGGCCCTGCTCTGCAAGAGTAGGCTAAAAATAGAGGTATGAGAAATCGATAGAGATTCATTTTCGAAGTAAGAAGAGGTGATCTGAGACGGCTGCGGTGCATTTACTCTACAAGCAATGTCTTAAGAGTTCATTGTAGCAGGTCGTGTTCGATTGTCACAAAGAATGATTTCGATCTATTTGCGGCGTTCTAATTGTTCGAGGTCTTTGTTTGTCAATGATCTTTGATCTCGCGGGACTCGATCAGGCTTTGTTCCCACGGATTGGACCGCTGCTTGCGGCATTGCCGGCATACTGCTATTGTCTCCAGGATTATGGTAAGATTTCATTGTTTCTGTCGACGATACCTCACCAGCGGCGGTCATGGGCGAGTTCCATGAACAGAATACACATAACAAGATGTCCAGGTTTGGCAGGGGTCGAGACCCCAGACCAGACAATGGTATGTATCGACAAAGCCTTGTTCACAGTCTGACTTTGCTGTTTAATTCAGAGCTTTGTTTCACGATTCGAGGCTCGCGTGATCGCGGCTGTGAGTCAAACTGAAGTCATGCCTGTCGAAGACTGCAGAGAATGCTTGTCTCAGCGGCTGATTCCTCACACTTATGAGGACGGTTGCACGGACCATACATTCCTGAGAGAAGCTCGCCATCGCTAGGTACGGACAATGGTATTCAACGAGGGATATAAATGTTGTCAGCCTCTTTCTGGCAGTATTTTTCACCTCGAAGTCTTCCGGTTGAATGGCGCGTTCGAATCTACCTTGGGTAACGTTCCAATGTTGACGTTAGCAGCGCTAATACCAATTGTATCTTGGGTGTTTCTCAATGCTGCTACAAGCATATTACTTACAATCCCACTTCGGCATCGTTTATACGTCCTTCCTGCTATCTTGCTACCAGCCACGGTCTCCTTCAGAACAATACAATATTTGAGTTTTCTTCCCGGTCTCTCAGAATTGTGGGGGACTATTACTCTCATCGGTCTAATTCACTCCTCATCTTTGCTTTACATAAAGAAATGGACTCTCCGTACGACTCAACAGGCCGGCAAAGTCTCAAAACCTGGCTCGAAGGACACCTGGCTCAACAGAGAATTGTGGACGCACATGTACAGGGTCGCACTGAACCCTCGCTTTATTAGGGTCCCATACAAAGATGTCATCCTAATTGAGCGACCCACTGGCAGCCAAGTCAAATCAACTGCCACCCGTAGGAAGTTCTCAGTGGCGAGAGTCCTATGGCTGCTGATCAAAATTGGCATACATTTCCTTCTCAATCGCTGGGCGACTACGAGACTTCTCAAAGTCATCAGCATCAGTGATTTCGTACCAGCCAAGGCGGTCCTCCTTCGACGTCTATTGAGACCAAGTATTTATCATTCAATCGGCTCGATCTCAATGAGGGAGGTTGTGATGCGGATCTGGTTCACTGCGAATTCGCTTTGGACCCCAATACTCTTGCTAGACGCCATGCATACTGCACTAGCCACCTTCTTCATACGCGTTATCCATATTGATATACCAGACGATTGGCCAGACCTGTTCGGAAGTCCCTTGGAAGCTTACACCCTTGGCCGGTTTTGGACGATGTAGGTGTATATGACCCTTGGTCGTACTGCAGAATGATAGCTGATGAGATTGGAAGGTTTTGGCACCGTGTTCACCTAAGCGGATACAGCGACTATGCCTTTTGCTTGATGAAAATGCTTCCAAGTTGCATGCTACGAAACGCTGTAACCAAGAGAGTATTCATGGCATTCTTGTTGTTCCTAATTTCAGGGCTGATTCATCAATTCACGAGTTGGCAGCTGAATCCAGGCTGGAGCGACTATGCAGATCTACAGTTTTTCTGTATGAATGCGGTTGCTGTGACTTTGGAATCTGCATTGCTTGCATTACTCCGCCGCACATCTCCTTGGAATCAATCGTCAGAAGATGGCAAACATCTCAGACCTGAAGCCCGAAGGAGCCATGCGCAGAGACTATTATGGGGTGGACTTGTACGTTTAGTGGGTTATACCTGGGTTATGAGCTTCTTTGTCTGGGCAATTCCGAAATGCTATTACCCAAGAGTCTATGGTACAGTCAATCAACAGCTGCAACTGAGAGAGATGGGCACGAACATATAGTAGGTAGTAGTAAGTCACTGGACGAGGGTATTAATTACTGTTCAATGCTACGGGAAGGATTGGACTTGAAATGTTGGTTCAATTTTGTACCTGACCAAGTCAAACAAAAAGGCTACCGACGCGTTTCCTACTGAACCCCCGTTAAGGACCTGAGGATGTTTGATCGCGACCACTACCAGACTTGATCTTGTCAATTATCTTTCATGTTAGGAAAGGGAAGAGGAACTGACGCCTCGCTGAGTCTCTCATCTTTGACACGTTCAAACTCTAGAATTGAGCTTTATCATCCGCCTCTACGCCGCCTGCCTGCCGTGTCTTATATCACTACCCTTGATTTGACAAGACGACAGAATCCCTCTCACAATGCCTAAAAAGTACACTAAAACACTTGGGGCCCTTTGCGACGAGCTGGGCATGACTTTACAAACTGCGTCCCAATTCCAAAAAGATACACTGAAGTATCTCAAATCGAAAACCCCCCACGTTCCAACCCTCGAAGACGAAGAAATCGAGCCCTTTGCCTGGCAGTTCTTAGATTCTGGCGCAGGCGCCCAATACTTCTCCAGCAATGCAGGACTCCGTTTCCGATGGGACACTGACGAGCATCGCTTGAGGATCCACCGCTATACTAACACCATCATGACAACACAACGCTGGTATGCCATCGAGAACCTACATCAGAAAATTGGGCGAGAGAATATGGCACAATGTCCGGGATGTCTACAACATCCACCAGGAGAAAGATCTTCGCCGCCCACCGCTCCTGGCAATGCTGATGACGCTATCGATCTGGACTATCCCTCGAACCGTAAGTTTACTACTTGGTCTCCATTTGACCCCAGCTTCAATTCATACTTTGCTGGACCTTTCACAAATGATTCCTCGCTGACATGTTATCCGCTTCGAATAGTGTCTGACTCCGAAAGCATCCACCACATTGTCAGTCAACAAAGCACACCCGAACCCACTTCCCCGGTCGAAGTCGACAGCAAGAGGATCTCGACTGGCGCTAAGAGACCGCGACTTAGTCAAGACTATCTGGCTCTCTCAGGAGTCAAGAAGAGAAAGACTCACCAAGACGCTCCCAATGCAAGCCCCATTAGTGTTCCAAAGTTGCAGGGTCCAAAACTCAGTACGTGGACTCCCGAAATCCGGGCTGCCACTGCGCGGTTGGCGAGGTCATTTCCACAGTTCAATCCTACCAAGGTCGAAGGTATCGTCGACGCGCAACCTCCACCTCAGGCGCAAAAGGAGGCATCACAACATAAAGTCATCACACTCAACTATATCAAGCCTACGATGCGCTATCGTGGTAAAGTCTGGCAGTTCGACAGCATCGCACAAAAGGCCAAGATCCTCGAAATGATTCTTCTCCAGGAAGAGAAGGACGTCGAATCATATCCGGTCTTAGCATTCTCGAAAGGCGCACGGAAATCTCTTGATGCTGACAATGACAATGATGACAACGACGAGGGCGATGGAAGTGCTATGAAAGATTACTTTCGGTTTTACACACATTTCATGAATGAAAGATTTCCCGGGAATGAAAAGATGTTGCTGCAAAACGGCGTCAAACCTTCGGCATGAGTTGCGACCCATCCTTGCTCTTGCGAAGCGGGCGTCGGAGATTGCTAGGTTTGGAATATGCTATTACGGGGGACATCCAGGCCACAGGAGCAAAAGAGGTCACATTATGTACGGAACTTCAGCTGAAGGATATGAGAAAATCAAGCGATGGAGCTGAAGGAAGGATGTGCGACACGCGAAGGATGACTTCTTTCTCCTATTGAACCTCGAATCGGCCCTTGCTTACATACACATTACTCACGTGACTGTTTGAAACGTATCACGTGATTGTCTAAAAATCTGACCACTTCAGGCGTTCTTCCTGCTTCTTCTTCCTTTTGCTTCCTTTCCTTTAAATGAACGGCATCAACTACTCATCTTTCTCTCTCTGACTTTCGCTCCACTTGGACTCGTTGTAGGAATGTCAGACTTCCAATTCCAGGAGCAAGGGGGATTCACGGATTCATGGATTTCACCCAACCCTGAAATTGGAAATTCCCCGCCAAGGGCGCACAAGTGACGGCTTGGTGGCCGCCCAATCACTGTGGCCAGAAGACAGCACGGGTGCTCCAACTTCAAGAATGGAGTGGTAGCGAGTGGTAGCAGGAGTGGCAGTGACACCACCTGCCAAAGTGACTGGTCTAGACTGCGTCGTCATCCTTCATCCTTCACCACCATCGTTGCTCTCAACAAACAAGGGAACGAGCTCTTCCAGAATCGGTTGGAATGAAACGGGCAGCCACGTCAAGTCCTGCTTTTTCTGCCGGCAGCCGGCGATCATGAATTTGGCTCAAAATATCGGTGCCCTCGCCTCTACCAGTGACAGTCTTCTACCCCAAGATTTGGCCGTGCCGTGCTGCTAAAGGTTGGCGCCCGGTTCTGGCCAAACCTTCTTTGAGCCACCATTTGCGCACCTCTTTCTCTCACTCTGCCCGAGCTTGAAGAGAGTGGTCGATTTCCTCTCTCAGACTTCCCTCATGCCGTGTGCACAGTTTACAACATGAGAGTCGCGTGCCTCTCGTCGCGCCGAATCTTTGCGTCTTTGTTTCTTTCGGCTTTTTTGTTTTGGTACCTTCTACCCGTAAAGAAACACCAAGCACGTCCCATCTCATCCGCTCGACTGCAGCAAGAATCCCCATTACTCTACAAACATGTGCACAATTTCAATGGAACTGGTGGTGGTAAGTTGTCATAGACCAGTCGCCTTCTTTACTCCTCTCAAACCGCACTTTGCTGTTGGAAACGTCCACTAACTACGAGCAGCATGGTACATCCCACCGCATTGGTTACCGAACTCAGATGTCCAACCGGAGAACATTTTGGACGCGGTCTTGTTGGCATCTCAAGCCGCCACTGCCAACAAAGGGCATATGATGGATAATTCAGCAATCCCTCTGATTCTGCATCAGACATGGAAGAATCGCCGTGTCGACCAATGGACAGACTTCCTCCGCAACAGTGTGGAGAAATGGCTGACACATGTGGTCAACGATGACATGGCCTATTTCTTTTGGGATGATGAAGGCATCGCGCAGTTCCTGACTGAATTCGAACCCGACTTCGTGGGCAGCTTCCTTCATCTACCAGCCAATGTTGAGCGAACAGATGTCTTCCGCATTTTGGTAGTAAAGTGGTTTGGCGGGATTGTGAGACTCTCACCCCACTCATATACCGACTATTTCGCTGACCTACGCTTAGTATGCCGACGTAGACACTCAACCCCTACGCCCACCAAAGTCATGGATCTCGCCAACCGACGTGGAAGCATGGACTGACCCCGTCACCGAAACCAACTTCTCATCTAAAAGTCCGGTTAGCCTGATTTTCGGCATCGAAGCCGATTGCCCTCCTGAATCCGACGCTTACTGGCGTATGGGCTACACTTATCCCGTCCAACTCACGCAATGGGCGCTGGCATCCGCCACAGCACACCCTGTTCTCCTGCGCTTCATGGATATTCTCACCCAGCGCTTGGCCGATGTCGCTACCCAGAATGGCGGATCCATCACAACGCCAGCAGCTGTCGAACAGCTTCGATTCATGGGCCCACTTACGCTTACGGGACCCGAAGCGGTAACCGTCGCGACACAATCTTGGCTCGAGCAGCAAGCCGGTCTACGCTGGAATGCGCTTACAGGTCTACACGACGGCGGTCGGAGTAAACTCGTCGAAGATGTTCTTATCCTTCCCATCACCGGCTTCAGCCCTGGTCGTCGACAGTACGGTAACATGGGCTCGAAACCAGTCACTGATCCTGCCGCGAGAGTATGGCATCGTGCCCAAGGGAGCTGGCGCTCGTTCAATCCCAAGGCTGAGTTTGGTAAATTTTGTCGCACCGTGTTTGGAATGTGTAAAGATTGGTCGAAAGGGCAGGATTAGGATGGACACACGTTCGAGGTCTGCATGATATGCTTTGATGCGGTCGACACGAAATGCCTCAGACCGCACGCCTGTGCTCTACACTACCACGGGACGATGCCGCCAAGAGGGGGCGAGGACATTGAGATCTAGGCATATGTGTCTTCTGCCCTCATAGTTCTGACATGCGTCGCCACGCTACAATGAGGGTTGGCCACTTGAAGTGCGTGCTGGAAATGCGTGCGTACTGGCAGCGGGGAAAGTGGTTTTCAAGAGCGGGGGCAGTTGCACAGAATATGGACTCGGCCGCGTGAAATGCCGCAGAGAAAGAAATGCAGGACAAGGGTCAAGCGCCTTCCTTGAACGAGGGACAGTTTCTCCGAATCGATGGTGCAAGCCGACGGGACGGTAACGATGCGATGTGCGCGACCAAATTGATCGGCGCAGATCAGATAAGGGTGGACTTACTTCGATACGCCCTGCGGTACAGGTACGGATACGGATAGATACCCTGCTCGGGGATAGTCTGTCGATGTCGAGTACTCGCATGCCAGAAAAGAAGAAAAGAAGAAAAGACGGAAAAAGAAGACGGGCGCGCGTAGGCGCAAGCAGAACAGCACGACACCTCGTGTTGTTATTGACCCTGTCGAAGGACATATCATCCAACTTCTCCTCCGTACTCAAGCTGTAGATTGACCACGAGAAGCAATGATGACACGATAGCTTATGTTGAATGGGGGAAATTTGGTGCTCTCTTACGGTATTTCTAACTTGATCGCCAGCATAAAGTGACATGGCTCTTAACAAGCCCCCAACCTCAACCATGACAGTCCGTGGACGATAAGCCATCAAATCACAAATTATAACTCACCTTCCATCCCCAACCCGGTTCCCGTTCGCATTTGCATTCGAAGTCGAATCCGAAGTCGACGAGCTCGGCGAGGACGAGGACGAAGTCAACTCCGAACCCTGACCCGGACCCGGACCTGGACTTTTCGTGAAAACGTCGCCACGACGCGAACTAAGCGGGCTCCCACCGGTCACGGCCTCAAAGACGGTCATCATCCTCGCGTGGTCGAACTGCAACCCGAAAGGACGGAACAGATCGTTGAGCTTGTCGAGGAGCAACTGTCGATCCGCCGGCCGTTTCTCTAAAACTCCATACGCCAGCGGCCCGGCGTAGGTCATGTACATACCGCCGAACGGTTTCGTTTCGTTCGAGACAAAATCGAGCGTCGACATGATGTACTGTGCGGACTGGGCCGTCTGGAGCGTCAGCGCCGCGTTTTCGACGGGCATGAGAATCCGCGACAACACGACGTTGGCTGTGATGACCCACGCGTGGTACATGGCCGACTGCTTCACTATGCGCTTGGGAGTGAGGGATTCGAGTTTGCTGCTCGGCGTCCACGGTTGGGGCGGGATGGGCCCTTTGTACACGGCTGGGCAGACGTGGTAGACGCCTGGATGGGAGAGGCGCCGGGTGATGTCGTCGTTGTGTTTGACGATGTCGCGGCGCAGGGCATAGGCGTCGCGCAGGATGGACGGGTAGAGTGGTGAGGATGTGTCGCATAATAATTGAGAGACACATTGAGAGTTATCGGTGGTTGGGGTGATGGTGGTGATGGTGGTGGTGGTAATGGATCGAAGCCGTCGAAGTAGCCCTGGGAGCTGGGTGATTGTAACCCAATTGTCGGTGATGATGGGGTCTTCGGACGGATCGCCACGGCGCATGACGGCCGTCCAGTCGGGACTACTCAGAAAACACTCTTGGCCGCGGAGCAGGGCCTGTGTGATGATGGTGGGATACTGGGAAGAGAAGATGGCAATCTCAAAATCGGATTGGATCCGACCGGGCCCGCCGCTCTGGAAAATGGCAGAAACGCCGCCGGCAAGCGTCACGTACGAGAACTTTGTCTGTCCCGGCTTGAGCAGCTCGTATTGGGCAATGATCAGAGCCGCGCAGAGGGTTTCCGACGTCGTGGCAGTAGGTTGGTCGACCGACGACAGCTCCTCGCGCAGGGCCTTGATCGCCTTTCCGTAGCTCGCGAGCTCAACGGATTCCCTGTGTTGCTGGCCTCGCGAGACGAGCGTGTACGAAGTCAGCACGCAGTTGACCGCAGCGTCGAGTGCCTTGCTGTGGCCTAGGCGGCAGGGCAGATGGCGGTAATGAGGACCCAATTGTTGCAAGCGAGCTCCGAACTCGCTGGGCCAATCGAGGGCGGCGGCGAGGGCGGCGGCGAGCCTTGCACCCTGGCTCAATGGCACGCTAGCGGGTACCGATGGGCCACTACTACCGAGAGTACCCTGGACGACTACTCCTTTGATCTGCTGCGAGGCGCCGCCGGAACTGTGACTGGATGGAAACATGGCGCCGTCGTATTCCTCGTTGGGAGAGACGGTTTGCAAGGCTCGCAGGAGTCGAATGTGCTGTTCCGTCGAACCGTACTGGTATCGGAAGGGTGAATCTGGTCCTGTACAGTGACGTTTGCTCTTTTCACATTGAACGCATACTGGCGTACGCTCGTCGCACTAGGTGATTGCCGGTTAGGATTGCGAGAAGACATGTGCGAGGTAGTGGTACTCTGTACGTGTATTTGCGGAGACATGGTAACGAAAGTGTGGTCTGAAAAGGGGGTAAGGCGCGAGCTTACTTTGATACGTCGCTGCTTGCATGTTCTGCAGCCGTTGCTTCTTCCACCGCGCATTTCTGGATATCTCTTACCTGTCGTACGGATAACGCACAGAAACAAAGACGAATTGGGCTTTTCAACTGTGATGAGAAAGCCTAGGTGGAGAGAGACTGGGTTCCAAGGTGGTTTTTATTGTTGGGCAGGACTCTCGTACAGAGTGGTTGCTTTACCGCTTCCAACTTGTCCGAGCTTTGGCTACATTGAACGTGGACAGACTGTTTTGGGTCTGGCACTGCTCATTGGCCTAGTCTGGGTTCTTGACAACAGCCGGCCCCCATTAGCGAGCTGAAGCAGCAGCGGCCAAATATGATACTGGGAACCGCAGACATGGTATGAAGGGCTGAAAGGATGATCGGCAACGTTGCAGGTCATAGCCCAATCGACGAGCATAGCTTGGTGCTGCAAGGCTTTCAAGGTCTAGTTCATTGCATGCCGGTTCGAGCTGCGATTACAAATCGGGTAGGCCAACAGTGACAATGAACAGAAACAGAAAGGTTGAAGCCAATGGAAGGTGATTACGAGTGAATGTTTGAAGGTGACAACAGGGGGCCTTACCATACCTTGCATAGATGCAAGGAGAATATTGGATCACGTGTTCGCAAAACTAGCCTCTTGTAATTACTAAGGCGCCAAGTCTTGTAAAGACAGGGCCTCTAGCAACGGCGGCGGTAATGCCTCTGACGCTAGTAAGCAGGTATATAGTCTGACATCTCCCCTCGAGATGTCCTAATTCTACAAGACCCTTACGTTTAATCACACTCTCAGAACAACAGTGGATCAGACACACGAGAGGCACGCAGAGGCCCTAAATCACCTAGATGTCCTTGATGTCAACGGCGCTCTGCTTCGATGTAACGGCCATTGCGTTTCCAAACTCCCGTCCTTTCCCTACAAGCATCTTTGCTCCAGGATGATACGCAGTCTATTCATTCTTGCGTTATAGGCATGATGATCCTTTCGGCGCAAGCAGCCGCGCCAAAAATTACTTCTAGCGAAGATGCAGCCAGCTACTACTAGTATGTTCAGCCTCACTTGCATGGAATGCATGATCGCCACCCATTTCTGGGGGTCCCGGAGGCGGAGGCGGAGGTGGAGCCATGGAGCCGTCGTCGAAAAAAGTCCCCAGTCCGTCGTCGTGCCCTGTACCGCCGCCAGTATCGTCAGGATGCTGGTTGGCGCCTTGATTGTCGCCAGGATCTTCGATGTCCAAGTCTTCGAAATGTGTCCTCATCCCATCGTCACGGCCAGCGTCTTCCTCGAAATGCGTCCTCATACCATCGTCGTGACCAGCGTCGCCGGCAGTGTCGTCAGGATGCTGCTCGTAGCTTTGGTCGTCGCCGTTGTCGTTGTAGAACGTCTGCTCAGAATCATCCAGACCATATATGAAGGTTTGATCTTCTTCGTCAGAGCTCTTACAAGAAAATTCCAGTTTCCAAGTTAAACTCACCGTGCTCCGGATCAACTTCGAACTGTCCTTCCCCTCCCTGTTCAGGCGTTTCGTGTAAGACCGACTCTGGAAGGTCGAATCCGCCTTCGGGAGGCATCTCGTATAGTCCCGACTCCGGACCATCGAACCCACCTTCTGGAGGCATTTCTTGTAATCCCGACTCTGGACGCGGGAGGTCATCTTGAGGAACTTCTTGTCTCAAGCTTGACGGGGGGCGCGACGACCTACTGCCGCTGCCACTCCCACTCCCCGAAGAGACACCAAAGAAACGACGCCGACGCCGCCGCAGCTCTTCCATTGTCATAGGCGGATCAGCCCCTGAGCCCGACGGGTTTGACTCGAAATCGCCCCCTATTGAAGAGCCTTCTTCCGGGATTCCCTGCAATCTTGGATCCGGACGCGGTGGTCCTTCACGCCTATCAGTCGGTCCAGCTGCAGGGATAGGGAAACCTTCGAGCCTTCCTGGCTCGATTAGGGGCTCTGGCTCGGTTTCGCGATCTCCGGGGTCTACTTCACCACTGAGCGCAGATCCCGAACCCGGACTGAAATCGCTATCCTCTAGGAAGGTGGATGGCACATTGGTGTCTTGACTGCGGAACGAGTCAGGTCTCCTTCCTCTCACCAGTCGCTGAGGCTGCCTAGGTTGACCGTGTGGCGGATTAACCTCGAGTGTTTGACGTTCTGCGCGTGTGTATGGGCCGAATGGTTCATGCTGGTAATTCCATGAGGAGCCTAGGAGGTTGTCCTTATTAGCTGCAATCAATTGCTTGTGCGGGTTGGGGTGTTGGCGACTTACGAGCAGAGTCTGCAGGGGGAGGATAGCGTTCGTCAGGCCAATCATACTCCCTATCTTGCTCTTCTGGGTCCTGGTCAGCGCCACCTCTTAATGGAGCTTGCAACCGAAGTGACAGGATGTCTGATTCGTGACAGAATGAGGCGACGGTCTTGTGTGGGTAGTCGTCCAGACGCTTGTTCGAGCTTGTTGTGATATAAACCCCATTCTGCTGTAACGCGGCCGGTAGCTGGCGGAAAACGGCGTCTTGTAGGTCTGCAATGGTGGCGGCATCCGCGTCGAATACGGGAATGACCGGTGGTAATAAGACTCCGGGGAAGCCCTTCACAAAGACATTGACATACCCTGATAATGGAGTACGACGCTTCGACCATGAAAATTGCGACATCGTTGACAAACCGGGAGGGATAATTGAAAAAGAACTCAAACTGTAAAGACTGGGCTGAGGACAGATTGGTGTAAGGATCCAAACATGTCCAATATACTTATACAGCATCTGTGCTTCGACACTGCCTGCTCGCGTGACTGATGCCCTTGTGGCGATAGTAGTCGGGCCCTTAGACGGCCATTAATATCAGGCCTGGAAGGGAACACTGCGAGATCCCCGAAGGACCTGTCTTTAGATTGAGCGCTCACCACGTGTAGGCTGCTATATGACACCGCAGCCGCGCCTCGTGACATGTGTTCGGGGAATGCGTAAGGCACGACACATATTGGAGCAGGGTTGGCCGCCTTGAATGCTACGGAGGCCAATACGGACAACAAATTGAATTGTTGTTCTTCTGCACCCACGGCGGCCAGGGCAAGATCCAGGGCAGAAGGATCACTGCTTATTGTGAGCCACTTTGCCATTCAGCTCGTACAGCCGCTGACCAAGATATCTCGCAGCTTGTGAGCATCTTGTCGTTTGACAAGGAGAACGGCCTGAGTCATGCGAAGTGCGATCCCGGGGGACTTTTGGTAAAGCGGTTGGACAGGATAAGCACGGAGCAACAATATCGAACTCAAAGAAGAACATCGTCGTATGTGAAGGTGTGTAGAGAAGATTCAACTACTGTACGACGGAAGATTCCGAGGTTGGAGGCCCCGGAGAACCTTCCGTTTGAACGCCATGACTTCTCCGTATCACGTGGCATCATGTCGTGGTGGTGGTGGTGGTGGTTGTCGTCGTCCTCCCGAAGAAGATCAGAAGCGGACAGTCAACTAGGTCCGCTAGGGTAGAGTGCTAGCTGATTGCAGAAGACTGTAAATACGGCGAGCATAAGCCTTGACCAAGGCGGTCTTCAATCTGGAACCAGCTTCAACGGCAGTGTACAAATCCGAACTCAACTTGCTGCGAACGAAACATCTAAACATACAAATCATGGGCCCATTACATATCTACCGCTGGGCGACGACTATTTTCGGCTCGGCACCACCAGCAGGCACACTCTGATGCGTGACTTCATCCGCATCATCAGACTGCGAGTCCTTTTGCAGCACCTTAGGCTCCGAAAGACCGTAGACGGTGATGAACGCCATACCGAGCACGGCACTGATGCACGAGAACACCAATGCCACGATACCACGAGCAGTGAACCCGCCCGGTAAGGATGGCTCCTGCTTGTTCTGGCCCGACAGGTCCAGGTAATCTTCCGTGTTCGCTGCTGCATTGCCCTCGATCGGCATGCCAGCCGCGCGACAGACGTCGTAATGTTGCTGCGGGATCTTGTGGGTCTGCTGGATCACCTCGGGCGCCTCGATCAAGACCATGGCAAGACCTTGCGCCAAGTGCCAGTCGATGTGGCAGTGGAACATCCAGACGCCGGGGTTGTCGGCGACGAAGCGGATGACATAGTACCCATTGGGTGGGACGACAAATGTATCTCGGCGAGCCGGCATGGCTGGGAAGGCGGAGTGGTTGGAAGGATCGTAGGGCACCGGGTCGATGTCGACATAGTCGTAAAAGTGTTCGCCGTAAGCAGGGGCGCGGTCGATGACTTGGAAATTGTGTCCGTGGAGATGGAAAGGGTGGGCGCCGCCGTCGTTGTTGTTCAGGACGAGTTGGACGACCTCGTTTTGCTTGAGGACCATCGGGTGCGTGAATTCGCCGTAGACAGCCTCGTTGGTGGCTAGTTTTCCGGCGGACATGACAGTGTAGAGGGTGGGGACTTTGGGCGGTGTATAACTGATGTCGTCCAGGAATGCATAGCCGAAACCGTTGCGCAAATTGTTCATGATGACAGTGACGTTGATCTCGTGGTCCGGTTCGGGCAGGAGTTCCATATGGTCGTGTGGAACTAACGTGATGTCGTCGAAGGGGAAGATTTCGGAAGAGGCATCGACGCGCATAACGGCCTGTGGATGGGCGGCGTCGGCATCGTATTCAAGCCAGTTGGTGTTGTTGAGCTGGAGGTCTGGAGAAATGACATCCAGGAGGTCGGAGTCGGCCACAGTGACAATTGGGTAGTTCTTGTCGGTGGAGTTCTTGGTGGTGAGGAGGATGGAGTACCTCTGGGCGACGGAAATGTACAAAGTCTCGGCCTCTGTGGGTTCGGTGTAGACACCGTCAATCTCGACGATCTTGAAGGTGTGGTCCTCGATATAGAAGAACTGCCCCACAAAGGCTCCAATGTTGATCAATCGTATCAGATATGTCGTGTCGGGCTTGACTGCAAGGCTGGAGTTTTGAGTATCATTGAACAGGAAGGAGTTGGGCACGGGTTCGGCACCGGTAGGGTTGTAGAGCGACAAAAACCGGATGTCTTCGACAATATCGTGATACCAGTCACTGATTGTGATGGTAAACTCCTCGTCGTACTGGTCGTTGAAGTATGCTTCGCTGTCATGCACAATCAATGCTTGACGATAGCCGTCTGGATAGCAGAACTCGGTGTGGCAGTGATACCAGTAAGTGCCGTTCTGGTTGACGGTGAAATTGTAGGTGAAGCTATAGCCCGGAGGAACTGGGCATTGAGTGACCATCGAAGGGCCATCCATGTTGCTGGTGTCGGTCTGGAACATGCCGTGAAAGTGAATGCTGGCATTTTTGTCGCCGAGGCCATTGTACATGTTGACCACCAAGCGATCGCCCTTGTCGACTTCGATGACGGGCAGCGGCCATTGTCCGTTGATGCCGATAACTTTGCGTTCGGCCAGTCCATCTGGATTGGCGTTCACCCAGCTGACATTGAAGTCATATGTGACGGTTTTGGCGGCCGTCCATCCTGAGAGAAGCAACAACAGCAGTGTAAAGAACAGCGCATGTTGCGCTGTTCTTGGTTTCGCCATGGTTGGAGTACTACTACTGAGATGATGAGCACGTTCACCTGGACCGACCTTGCTGCTGAAGAATACTAGGTAAGCTTAGCAGAAGCTTGCCAAGGCTTCAATCGAGGTCGTCAGTGAGCATAGAGCATAACCGGCCATCAAGAACCTAGCGGAGGGGATGGGGACCGTTTTTCTACCCGCATGTTGAAGGGCAACACAAGGGAGTCGGGACCGTAGTCGTTCCACCATCTAGGGCTGGAACGAGGACCAGGCGGACACCCAGCGGACAAGCTTGGGCAGCCCCATGCCGGCAAGGATTTCCCTCAGACCCATGATGGATGATGGACCCCTCCATGAGGAAGAACCATGCGAACCATGCGAACTATCTTCGTTGCTTCCTTTTGGCAGCCAGCCAGCAGCTACTCGTGAGGCAGAGGGTGGATGTCCGTTGATGTCCTGGCACGGGCACACACGGGCTCTCGCCAATTTCTGTCTGTTCTGAAATTTTCACCCGTGGGAAGTTCCCACCAGTGGATCAGGTAGCTCACTGCAGGTGTCGGACGGGAAACAGCTCGTCTACCAATCACATCTGATAAGGAGGAGTAGTTGATGGAGCGATTAGATTGATTAGCACCTGGTGATTAGCTGCTATGGCTCAATGGCTTGAAGGCTAGACGTGACATCAAAGTTATCTGATGCTCGCTTCAAGACACTGTCCCCACGCTCCCCCTGCTGTCCCCCTTCTGCCAGCGAATAGTCCCCCCAGTAGGTTCCCAGTACGTGCCCGGTAGGTGAATGGCTGTCCCACCAACCCTGCATCCAGCTCGTATTCATGCGGTAATGTGTCACTGCCGCTGTTGCCGATTATCTTATCGTTTCACGTTATCAGATGATGAATCGCTGTCATCACTAGAAGCGCTGGTAGGAACCAACGGCATCTCCATTCAAGCCAGTCACACCCGTGCACCGAATGGGTCCCTCATGTTCCTGTCGCTTCCGAATGTCGGCCATCCGCTCGACCATCTGTGATTCTGTGCTGTAAATTATACTCGTACTACTCGGGTACTGTACAGTCACTCCGAGCTATCCCTGCTCCTTCAGGACTCCTGTTATAGTATTGATTCTGAGGCGCTTTTTTGGCTCTTCCCAAGCGTTTCCCACAATCTCCTCCGTTCTCAAATTGCTTGGTTGGGTTGCATAAAACCCTTTCCTTTCGGACTCTTTGGCCCTTGAGCTTCAGACACTTCTTCCGATCTTATCTGATCAGATTCATCACCATCACCACCCACCATGACCAACGTCTTCGGTGTCCAAATCTTCTTCATAATCTTTCGGGAATGTCTCGAAGCAGTCATCATCGTCTCGGTGCTGCTTTCTTTCCTCAAGCAGAGCCTGGGTCAACCAGACCAGGACCCTGCCATCTACAAACGGCTGAAACGTCAAGTATGGACGGGTTCATTAGGCGGCATTGGTATAGCCCTGATCATTGGAGGCGCCTTCATCGGCGTCTTTTATGGTTTGGGCCACGATCTCTGGTCCCAGTCTGAAGACCTTTGGGAAGGCATCTTCTACCTTATTGCCAGCATCATCATCACCGTCATGGGTTTGGCCATCCTCCGCATCAACAAGACAAAGGAGAAGTGGAGGGTCAAGATTGCACAGGCCCTTGTCGCAAAGAGCCAACACCGCGATGCTGCCTCGAGGCTCGGTGAATGGACCCGCCGGTACGCCATGTTTCTTCTGCCCTTCGTCACCACTCTGCGAGAGGGTCTCGAGGCGGTTGTCTTTGTTGGTGGTGTCTCTCTTGGTCTCCCTGCAACCGCCTTTCCCATTCCCGTCATTACTGGCATCCTGGCTGGTCTGCTTGTTGGCTACCTCATCTACCGTGGAGGCAACTACATGACCATCCAGTATTTCTTGATCGCTTCCACCTGCGTCCTCTACCTCATCGCGGCAGGCATGTTCTCCAAGTCAATCTGGAGCTTGCAATTCTACAAATTCGCACAGATCGTCGGTGGTGACGTTGCCGAGTCTGGTGATGGTCCTGGCTCATACAACATTGACCAGACCGTCTGGCATGTCAATTGCTGCAGTCCGCAACGCGACCATGGATGGGATGTATTCAACGCAATCCTCGGCTGGCAAAACACTGCGACATACGGCTCCGTCATCTCCTACAACATCTACTGGCTCTTCATCATGGTTTGCATCTCTTGCATGCTGTACGAAGAACGCACAGGCGCCCTTCCTCTTCAGAAGTCTTTCCTGAGATTCCTGTCCAAGATTCCAGGTTTCAAAAGCTATGCCAACCGCAAGCTCACCACTCCCAAGCAGGATGCTACCGATATCATAAGCAAAGTGCAGGCCGATACTTTCAGCCATGGCGTTGAGGGACCTCTGACTGCAAATTAGACTGCGGAGGGACATCCCTTACATCAGTCAACCGTCTGCTCGATGTTGAATGTTGTTTCGTTTGAAGCAGACGATTTGTGAACCAGAGAATCTGTTTCAGGATTGTTCAAGAAGTGCTCAGATCACGAGCACTCTTTCCGCCATTCGTAGTGCTAGTATGTTATCTTTGCAAAATGCATAACTTAAAGGCAGTCACTCGGTCCATACTCAAATTCCAAGCGTCGGCAGGGAAACGGCCGTCGGAGCGTGATTCTTACCAACTCGGACAGCCGTATCATCATCCTCCGACATCGCTAGGTCTGATGCCTATGAACCCAAAGCCCCCATGCTCGATGAGAATGTCTTTGGAGAGCCTTGCCTGCCCAGGAAAATACGACGTTTCTCGCTTGAGCCTGAAACCATCTCAAAAACCAGTCTCACACCACATTTGCCGGGAATCCAGTAGGTTGCTTGAAGCTCACGACCAAGCATTTCACTGCCCCCTCTTGGTTGTGGCCCGGCGTCTTAGCAGCATAAGCTACCGAGACCCTGACCGGGATGCGGACGACCCTCCCTGCCACGAGCAGAGCGGAGCAACTTGGAAGGTGGAGGACTCTCTCTCCCGCGATTCCCAAGTCCGAGGAGCTGCTGACTAGAGTGGTTTTTTACGACCCACCCACCCACCTCTACAGACTGCGTTGATCCTCGCCTGACTTCTTCCTGCATATGGGCAGACGATTTCGGTCTTTTATCTGATGATCTCGTCTCCCGTCCTCGGGTTCTGGACTCGCTTGAGAGGTTCCATCCACACCTCAATGCGTGAGAATGGTTGGTTGGTCGATCGTGGTCTGATTTCTCTTTACGAATGATCGAGACAAGTATCATCTTATCTGATGGAAGTAGTACCGGCCTAGAGAGCCTCTGTGCAATCAACTATCGTCCTTGTTCTTGCTTCCCACGCTGGTGCGCTCGCTGGAAGCCCTTTGGAGGTGCCCAGACGAAAATTCCGATGAAATAGCCGATGTCGGATTTCCTCGTTGCGTCTTTGCAGCCAATGTTTCGAGAGTCCTGGCCTGATCGGTATCTTCGAAAGGTCAAGGCTTCCTTTACTTTAGCAAGTTGTACACCCTCGCTGAAGCTCAATGGAATCCGGTAACGACTCCCATTATCACCCTGTCAGTCTCGCCACTCTGGCCTTTGAAGCTTTTGCGAGTAGGCAAACTCCGTAGACCGCAGACCGCAGACCGCAGGCTGTAGACCTAATCGGCGTCCTTTCCCGACGAGCTGAGCCTGGAGAACATGAATGAGCATCAGACTTCCATGACCGGAAAGCAACCAAAATGCCGGTGTGAGACCTGTGCGAAGAAGATCTCACTGAAAACATCAAGCGTTTGTCATCCTCCTACCTGCAACAGCCACAGCCAAGGCGTTTGTCGATGTGTTTGCCAACTGCAGGGAGTCGTAAGAATGCTGACCGTTTTCAGATCGCGTGGTCATTTTCGACCGGGCATCACAGCAGGCTGCATAGGATGTTCTAGAGTTCAGAGGCTTTGGTCTTCAACACCGTCCGCGTGCATCAACCTCGGCGCCGGGATGGCAGCGCGTCCGTACGATATCACGCAAGTGGTTATCGCAACCAGAACCCTGTTCTGACCTCCACCGGTTCAAATATTGTCGTCCATTGTCGTTGATTTGCAGAGAGAATGAGGCGGACAAGATGTTGCCTTGAAGCCACCTCCCTCTTCGCTCTCGTCCTTGCCGTCACGATTGGTCGGCTCCAGGGCAGACACGTGACATACCTAGGTGTGTTTGTGACGTAAACAGCAGATTCGACGGTGGAGTTGCAACGCTTCTCACCCGCAGCTCAACAGACTTCATACTCCTCCCCCCAGGCATAGGTAGGATGTAGCTTTTTTCATTTAGATGGACCTCTTCCACACAATCAGCCAAACCATAGACACCGTACTGACCTGCGATTGGTACGATAGCTTCAAAAATTACAAGATGAGCGACTCAAATTCCGACGACAAGACTATGGATACAGCGCCTGGAGGCGAAACACCTCAGTATGCTATGATCTGGCCCCGGATCTCTCCTTGTGCATCTCTCCTTGTGCCGGACAACGACTGACTCGATTGCGCAGATACGAGTCAATCAAGACAGAGACACTCCCATCCTCTAAACAAAGAGGGCAATTGGGCTGTATGTAAATTCTCTCAAGCCCTCGTTGTCCTGCTCTGACCTTTGTCCAGCTGGTTCGAACACGTCCGAAGAAGCCTCCACCTCAGCAGATCGTGGACAGCAGACTGCAGAAAATATCAGATATGGCCAGAACATCTCAGAATCTGGTATGGGAGGCAAGACGACCACTTCGTCTGGATCCGCAGGCCAAGAAGGTGGATATGGAGGTGTTCCAGATCAGACCGGACACCAAGACGATGCGCGTCCTAAGCAAGGATACGGTCCAGGATCAGATCACGAAAACACAGAGGTTGGAGCGTAAGGGTGCAGCAGTCGGTTCGCAAGAGATATTGTATCAATACAACACCTCAGGGAGAAACGTGCACAGTCGTTGGTGGCTTGTCCATGTCGGTAGCGACTGATTGCGGAGGCACGTCCATCATTGGAGGCGCAACAGGTTGTCCAGGCACTTTGTCCTTTGGTTCCACCGGCCTCTTAGCCTCCTTCAGCGATTCCAGCGTCACCCCGTTCCCCAGCTTCGTAATACCAACTACAGGGGGATCGCCTTTCTTGACAAACTCGTACATGCCGGGCAGCTTGTTACCAGCCAACCTGAACGCATCTCTTACCACCGCTTCGTGAATGTCTCCCTTGAGCTCGAAGATGATTCTGCTGACGGGTATCCGAGCTGCCCAATAGTCGAATTTACCCTTTCCTTTACCCATACGCACATCACTGCCTTTCGTGTAGACGCCAATGTTCGCGCTGACTCTTTTGTATAGTTTGTAACGCTCGCCTCGCAGCCTTTGATGGATAGTCTGTTCGCCCGTTCGCAGCTGTTTCGCGGATACTCGTCGATCGTGGTCTTTCATTCGTAGGCCATAGTCTCCCCACACGATAGTAGTTCCGCGTATTGATCCTCCCGTAGGCATCCGTGGTCTTCCCACCATTGACTTCCTCTTCTCCGGTCGGACCGGTTGCAGCCAATCTTGCCGGGCTGGCATCGACGAGAAAGATCGGATGCATGTTGACGGGCTTCGATACGTGCAGGATGTGAGTGGGAGATTTTGCTTCAGACTCGACCGAGTTGAGGATAGTATAGGCGAGCTGATCATCATGCTTTGCGATCGAAGGTACCGCAGACAGGCTGCTAGTATGACTGTTAGCTACATACATTGGCCGTCACGAGAAATTGTTCTTACAGGAGGGCCTGATCGCGGGTGCGGCCATCTCTGCGGGCGCCTGAGAAGAGAGAGAGCCTGAAAGACCCCAGCCGCAGTTGAATAGTGGGAAAATACGAGCAGCTAGGCTAGAGCTTACCCTGGCTTATGGCTGCTTAGAACCTGAGGAAGTCCGCAATGCAGCAAGTGATCTGCTAGAGCTTCTGCACATTGTAGTTGCAGATGCTTGGCAGGAAGAGAAGGTAAATTGACGGCACAGTCACGTGTTTAATTATCCTCTTCACGAGATCGCAGTGATGCGAGTTCGTCTATAGACGATAATCTAGAATTAACAAGCTTCATTTATAGGAAAGCTTAGACGACGGCGGGATAGTATAGTACAAATTACGATATAATCATTAAGTTGGTGACTGACAACTCAAGAATACTGGCCGACTGAACGGCTGCTGGTCCATCCATGCCTTATCCTCGGTGATTTTCCCATACCTAGCCACTCCCCAGCAGGTTGCGTAGAGCTAGTCTCCTGGTAGTGCAATTGGCTTTTTGAGCAGAGTCGCCGGCAGTGCTGCCTGGAAGTGCAGGAGCAGCAACGGGACGACTTGTATCGGCGCGGGTTCGTGTGGGAGGGATTAGAATATCTACGGAGAACCACCTCACTCAGCTAGACGATGACGTTACTTGTCATTCTTTCTGGGGTGAAATGTCACCAAAGTATATACTGATAAGTCGTCGGGACAGATCTAGTCAGCCATAACCGCTGATACAGGCGTCACTCCTCTGGAGTCGTCTGTCGAACCGAACTCAAGCCTCTTGTCATCGCTGGCCTCGATCTCGGCCTTGTCATTCCTCTGGCGTGGCAGGAGGTTTGCTTTTGTTTTGCATCAACCGCTGAAGATGCTTGACAGTTCCCCCTTTCTCACAGTCCTCAGCGCGGGCCATCACGTTTCGCGACGAGTGCTATTGACAAGTCCAGCCAGCGCTCTGTCGAGGGTCACCCTGCCCAGTCCAGACCTGCTTCTTTGGGTACAGACACAGAGGCCTCTTCCATGTCAGTCCCATCAAATCCGGCAGACTCTCCGCTGGCTGGCTTTCTGGAGCCTTGCCCTCGTCGACCCATTGAACGAGCGATCCCAGTATCGTGCTCGGGAAGGGTCCGGGACCGCGCCCACAGTGTTCAACCCCTGGAGCTTGGAAAAAGCGGTAATAATCTGATGTCAGGATCCCGATCGCATGATCCCGCTTCGAGACACGTTCATAGTAGTGCACAGTACCGTTAGGGACAATCAGCTGATCTGTGCCAGATGCCAACACTGTTGTTGGTAAGGAAATCGACTGCGATGCTACTGGACATCTCATCTCTCTGGCCGCTGGAAATGCAAATGCTACGGTATATAAAGCTAGAGTCACGAAAGAGGGCGCAACTGTCATGAATCTGTCGTGGCAAGGATCCACTTCGGCTGGTGACAGACAGGTGATTAGAATAGACTCCTTGAGAAATAACAGTGCCGCCAGGTTCATTGACAACATTGGCAGTCAACGACACCAGAGATGCGCCAGGTATATGGGGAAAGCCGAAAGTGGGACGGGTACAAGCAGCGAGCGACATTAGGTATTCCTGTCACCTGTTTCAACACAATGAGGCAATCAGTGGAAGTTGATGACGAGGATATAGTACCTGTTTATACAACCCTTGTGCCCTCAGGGAATAGCAGATTCTCCCTGAGGCTAACTGCAGTTTTCTTCTAGTAGTAGCACGCTGCGCTTCCAAAAGTTTCTTAGTCTCATACTGTTGCCTCGTTTCTTGCTGTTTCTCTGTGTGGGGTTGTGCCTCACAATCTCTCGCAATTTCTCCGCAAGCGATCGCAGTTCGGCTGCATCGGAGTATTGCTGTGAGCCTCTACCACTTGCCCCGACTCTGTGGACCTTCAGCTCCGCAATTTTGTGGTTCTAAGATGCTGTTGGCCATTGTTCATGCAACCTCGACTGGGCATGCACAGGGTCTGACCGCCCCCTCCCCGTCCCCAACCCGTTGATCAACATGCATGCTTTTTATGTCTTAGCGCCGTATGGCGCAGCAATTGAACAGCAGCGGAAATTACAAGTACAAGGCGATGCGCACCGAGTCTGCGCTCATAACTTGTTCCCGATGGAAAAGTGGTTCGATTTCATCGTTTATGTGCTACTAATACCAGGTGAGGGTCAGAGCAGAATGGCCTTGACGGATGCGAGGCTGTGATGAATCAGTGTAGTAGCTCTTGGCACACGTGACGCCAAGAGCCCTTTTAGCGTAGCTGTTGCCTCTCCGCACCTTCTACATAATAGTATGTATCTTCATGGTTCTTGATTCAGCGACTTTGACGAAGATCTGGACGCGAGAAACACTTCTCGTCTCATGCCCCATGAATGGCCGACACACTCATACTCCTGGTCCTCTCTCAGCAGCACCAGGATCTGAGGCTACATGCCCATCCCGGTCAAGCATGGCCATCCTCAACCTTGGTCTGCCTTGTGAGTCTTCACAGCTGGAATAACACAAGTTAGCGCGTCAAAGCGAACTCTTCAGACGACAATCACTGCCAGAAAAGCATTGGCTGCAAGCTTAGGGTGGTTTTTGGGGTTCATACCAAGCGACACAGAATTTTGACCCCAAGCACTAGGTCGATTATGACTGCACGAGGCTCAGCCTTAATCAAACTCTATCCAATCAATGCCGGTGCGGACGAGCTCCAAACCCCCTTTCTTTTCCGCTGCCAGGCGTATTGAGAATCCGGATACGAGAAAACAGAACTCACCCCTTACCCGGCGGGCGTGTGCAGGTTTCGAAGCTCAAATCTTATGAATGGGGGATGTGCCTGAATGATAAAGGTGGGTGCAGCACCCAAAGACAGACAACCATTTCGCGAGATAATTGCACACTCTTGATGAGCCTTGTCCACTCGTTCAAAGCCTGATCGTCCCATTGCCTTCCCCGAAAATGCTCCCACTCAGCCTTGGTCAGGTCTCTGGTATCATCCAGGCCTTGATCACCGCCCTTCAGCTCTTCTTTCCCACGGCCCTGGCTCTATTACTTGTTGGAGTCCTCAAGGATGACATGTCAGCGGTGTCATGGTCGTCTGTCGGCGCGACCTTGCACAGCTCATACTGGGCCCCGATACTCAGGGCTGACACCTCAGTCTCTACCAATGTGCATCTGCCAGTCAGATGGTTGCTTCGACTTGCATCAATTACCATGCTTTTGACCTCTTTAGCTTCCATCATCACTCCTTTGGGCTTGTTTGACGCCATCGAGCCAAATGAAACTCTTCAGGACGTCTCATTTCCCTACCTTGCCGACAGCGGCCCTTTGGGCTACGGTACCCCTCCCCGAGACAAATTGGGCTTCAATCGCCAATGTGGTATTCCAAGCTTCGCGGCCTGTCCTGGCTCCAACACTGTCGAAGTAAAACCAGAAGGCGATTACATGTCATCGGACTTTCCATTTGGCTATGACAGCAGGATCCCACAAGAGAAGATCGACTTATTTCAAAGTGGTCTGGAGGAGCAAATGCAGACGGTGTCGAGTTTCTTCGACATCCAATATCGGGTAGTCAACAAACAGCAAGATCCCGATGTCAACAACGGAACCTTGTACAACGTCGGAAGTTTCCGCCAGGTGGACACCCTAGTCCTGAATGATGCAGTGGAAGCTGTTGAGGGCCTTATCGTCAACACAGCGGACAAGGGTATCGCTTTCAGGAATCACACCCTGCCTTCCGGCATCCCACTCGGAGCGACATGGGAAGAGGATCTACTCGTGATGGAACCGGTGTCTCAGTGCGTCGACACAAACCTGACCATTGACTTCACCATGTCTGGCTTGAATGGGACTTTCGTTGGTGGCGCAAAGTCACCTGTCCTGACCGATCGAGGAGGATTCGTGAATATTGCGCAGGAATTCCCAGCATTCGACACATCAGCCCCTCAGGTCGACCCTGACCTCTACGGTCGAGCCTACCTAGGTGCATGGGCTTTCAACGTCTACACTGCGATCTATCTCAACGTCACCCGTCCGAAGCCTGATCGCTTCGGCTATCTAAAGTCTGAAATCGGCAAGACCTTTTTCATGCCTGAATCTTCCCTGCTACACATCGACGAGCTGAGCATCGGCCCCTATGCCGACCTGTTCTCACTCATCCAGTACACCAACGACACCTTCCTCGAAGACAACTCCACAGCACCGGTACCATATCCCAATCCCTTCGATATCTCCAACAGCAATTTCAGCGACGTAGCGGACGCGTGCGTCGGCTCGAACTTGGCAAACTCCAACATGAGCAGCGTAGCAGTCGGCTGCGGCCTTGTCTATGGCGCGCCACGGACCGAGAACGGTAAGACAGCACTGTTTTACGATCCCGGCACAAAGCTCTCTATGGCAATCTATTCCTGCGCCAGCGCCGTCAAAGTCAGCATCAAGACTTTCTCTCTGCGTTACAACGGCACAGAAGGCCTGAAATCATTGCACGTCGACTCTATCGAAGATTACTCAGGCAGTTCATTACATTGGGGAATCGAAAACAACAACGCTCGCAAAGACCTCGACATCGACTCTGCTCCACCGATCTGGGGACTCGTATCATCTGACGTGCAACCCTCAAAGGAGCTGGATGTTATTACTTCGCCTCACCTCTACCTTCCCGGCGTCACAGGTGCTTTCTCCGGTCTCTCAAGCATAGGGACCGATAACATGCCAGGCCTTGACTTCCCCACTGACGCTTTGTCGACGATCTACCGCGGCGACCTCGGCGACTCTACCGTCGGCACAGGCGATTACTCTGGCAAGACGTCATTCGCTATGTTCACGAAGTGGCAACAGCTCATGTCGTCTGCGAATGGGGTTGCGAAGATTATCGATTTAATTTATACTGATCTGAGCGCGAATGGATTGGTGGGAACAAAGAGCTGGCTTAAGGAATCGAATGATATCCCAGGAGGCGAGGATAGCACTACCGCTAACGGAAACAATAAGATCAAACGTCAATCCACCACAACCAGCGCAGGAGCGGCACAAGCAACAGCACGAGTCCCCGTGCGCATCTATAACCACCGCATCAAGTACAACTATCTCTTCGGAATCCCCGCGTACTTTTCCCTGCTCGTCTCAGTGTTGGTCGGCACCCTCACCCTGCTCTACCTCCTCTCTGGGCGAACGTCCCTGTCCAAAACAAGAAAATACTTGAACGTCACGAGTCCAGGGCGGATAATCACTTCGTTTGTGTATGCTGGGGAGAGCGAGCCGCAGGTGAGTACGAGCAGGTGGAAGGCGGGAACAGGGGCGAGGAAGGTGCGGATGGGGGAGAGAACGGGGTGGAGGCCTGTCGCTGTTGAGAGAGTGCAGTTTCCTGAAAAATTGAACGGGCATGGCCCGGTGATGTACACGGGTGCGGGAGCGGAACCTATGCATGGAAGCACGAGCTGCTCGCCGGGATATGCGAATGATACGGTTCCGTTGATTGCGGGTGAAGGCAAGCCGGTGATTGGAGCGAGTATACAGATGACACCGTTGCAGAGTTATGCGAGTCCTGTGCCGACGCAGGGCGGGCTTCAGCAACAGCAATATATGCCTCAGCAGGGATATCAGTACGGGCAGCAGAGTGGAGCGTATCCGCCGGGAGGGTTCGCCAGATGAGGCTCGAAGATGATTCAAACCTGAAAAGAGGCTGCGATTACTATGCTCGCACCATGAATTCGAGGAATCATCTTTGCAACAGTAATTGACCTACGATTTATTTCAGCCTCCATCCCCAAGTAGGAGGCAGCGACCGCTGGGCTTCTAGTCCAGCAAGATGGTACGGACAGGAGGGGATAGACTGGGCTTGCCGAAGGACGCTTCGAATTTCAGCTTTTGCAGGTCCATAATCACCGTTGCCAGGGTCTCCATTCTTTCCATGCCCTTGGCAAGAGGTGGTGTTGACCGACAGATTGAGACAGGCGTGCCCTGTTCGTCTGCGAGCCACGCTCGGATCTTGGCCATATCGGCTTCCTGACCATTGCTTAGCTCTCTGATCCTTTCCAACCTGGAGAAAGAGTTCTTGGAAGGATGATCGCGTATACCATCAGGCACATTTGGGGACCACAAGTGATTTGTATGGAAAGTTGTGCTGCTTCCAGGTTGCGGGCGGATTGGTGCCAGGCCTTTCGGGGTACATTCAATTGTTGCAAAATTCCCATCCCGATCTGCGATCATGAAATTGCAACACGAAGCCACAAGGTTCTTCTCCAGCACGGCGAACGCCTCGTCGAAGGATCGACATTCCAAAACACGTCTCACCGCAAGATGCACGGGGAGTGCATTCTTATTCACCGTACCGCACCTGATCGCGTTCATACAAATACCAAGGCCAGCTTCATTCATCCCGAACTTGGCAAGAATGCCAGCTTCACCCAGCATCCGTATACGGGGTTTTCCTGTCTTGCGGATGTTGAAAAAAGCCGTTGACCTTCCCGCCTCGCCAACCCAATCCCAATTCTGGGCCAGGAACACCTCTGACGTGGTGGGGTTCTGGGAGACAATCGACGTGCATCCATCCGAGTAATTTGTCAACGATATCTCACTGCGCAGGTTCAGCGCAAGAACATCCTGGAAGTCGACACCAGAACCCTCAGCAATACCACGCATTTCCTCGACCAAGTCAGGATGATTCTGTTCCAAGGATGGAAGATAAGTCGAGGCACGGTTCTTAGATTCTGCCCAATCACAGTCGGCAGTCTCTTGAAAGAGCTCCTCATAATTCGAAATGGCGGTCCTGATGCGATTGGGGATCTGACTGCCATGAGCAAAGCCAATGTCCCAAGCTGAACCACTAGCGACAACCTCCGGCACCCCTTGCCACTCTCTCTGGGCATCCTGGACCGTCGTCGAATGGATCATGGTTGGTCTGGTTTGTTTGTGCCAAATGTTTCTGGGACCTGATGCCTACAACCTCTCCAAAGCGGGATACTAGTACACTCAAATTTTGTTTGCCGACATGCAAACTCATGAAGACATGAGTGCTCGGTGGCACAATATGACAGCGCGCCCTATGTACTATCAGGGCCTTAGTCGGCGTTGAGCGAGATTTCGAGTCTGACGGATGCGCATCGCCGCGCTCGGGTGCACCGCGAAAGAGGCAGTACCCGGGAAACCACCTGCACCTAGGTGACATGGGCTTACAACGGCTATGTCACTTGATATGCAGTTTTACACCAGGGGATCCAGTCTATGTATACGAGGCTTGTTGCGACCTATGCCCATTGCTACCGGCTGAGAAGGCACACTTTCAAGACCGGGTCCATGGAATACTCCTCAGCTGCTGCAGAAGTTAACACTGACTAAAGAGCTCGCGTAAGGAGCCTGCTGTCCATTACCGAGGAGAGTGATCAAGCTCATGGTGCTCGCAGTCTTCCAGTCTCGGTTTGTGAATCACGTTTTTCTCTATCTCTACATTCTATTATTCATGCGGAATCAGATACTCCAGGTCCTAATCAACAGGCAACCTGTACAATTCCTCCTCAATATCTGCCAACGTGAACTTCTCCCGCGCGCCGTTCCACAACCCATACAAAATGCTGGAAGCTCATGATCATGGGTCGCCAAGCATCTGGATTGATGCGATTCTCATGCCCAGGCAAGCGCAATTTTTCTTCCACGTAGGTCCTCTTCACCTTAACTTCGAGAGCCAAGGTGAATCCCTTTGCCTCTCCCAGCAGGCTGCTCATCATTTCGTAGTACCCTGGCAGCTCAGCTTCCATCTGCACGGGACACTCCTTGATTCTGTCTGGACGCACACGCTCAGAGTTCATTGGTGTCAGGCCGCTAGTCTTGAATTTATCCTTGTCATACCGGTAGCCGAGCATGACTTTGACCTTAGGGACCTCCTTTGAGCCTGTTGCGTGTGCCTATGCATTGACCTGCGGGATCATGTCGTCTGACGGCAGATTAAGCACACATTCCTTCTCGCGGAGCAGATTGACTGTAGTTTGCGAACATGCCCCAAGCCCGAGCATACAGCGGTTGCCGAGCCAGAATACTGATGACATGGGACCCATGTTCGAGGTCCCATCAGGATTTCGTGTGGTTATCAGGACAACGGGCGTGCCCCAGGAGAAGATGGCGGGATGGATTGTTGAGTGAACCATAGTGCTACTAGTAGTATTTCAGGCTGACGGTGCAAGTTAACAGAAATGGATAGATTGAGGTGTTGATGGGCACATTTCATCCTGCTCCCAAGGATCTCGCGGCGTATTTTTACCTGGGGGCTCTTCTTCATCTTCATCTTCATCTTCATCTCGGAAATGGCTCTCTTCGGCAAGTCTTAATTCCCACGGCGAGCACGTAGCGGTGTAGATGTGGATAAGGGAGCCTCTGACGCTGCCTGGAGCTAGACTAAAGCGTACCATATGCTACCACCAGCGACACGCATATGAGACTGCCCTCCGCGGAAACCTTGACCGACAATATCTCTGGAAGCTGACAATAATATTTCAAGTAAAGCCGGCTCGAAAGTCGGGCAGATCGCCGAATGGGGCAGCCCTTCTGGTGAGCAGGGTGTTTTATTTCGTGCAGTACTGCAATTGGACACTTCGGGAGCAACGCGGTTCCAGACATATTGAAAAGGACCTTGGCTTTGATAAGCTGGATGTCGAATACCCAGTAAGTCCACCAGGGGGTTTGGACCAAATGAGCCGATGGGAAGAGAGATCTGGCATTCGCGCCCTGCACATGACATGTGAGCCCTGCATTTTGCGATATGCTTTCGTACCTAGGTAAGGATGAACTGCCATAAGTGGCCATAGTACATTTTGTTGCGGCTCATGGTTCAATCATAAATATGCGAAATTCTCGAAGTTCATGCAAGATTGCAAACTCCTGACATACATTCTTACTAGCATTTACCGTTATATCGTAACTCATGAGTTATTGCTGGATCAGTACAATGACTTCGGTGCCTTCATTAACACTTTGGTATTCGCCCCAAGCATGTTCTATCGCGCCGCTCAATGAGGCTGAGCTCGACTTCCAACTTGTTCTTGCCGAAGTTGACAGGGCTAAAGACGAGCGGTTTACGGATGAGTTCAAGGCTCTCAATCCGAAAAAGCGAGTGCCAGTTTTAAAGATGAACGACGAGATCATCACGGAGGTTCCGGCGATCGTAATTGCCATCTCATCTCTGGCCCCTGATCGGAAATTCCTTGGACAAACGACTTTGGACACTATCCGTGTATATGTGGTTCAATTACCTTGGAGGAGTGGTACATGTTCAAGCATATGGCGGACTCTATCGGCAGGAAAGACTCGTCGATGACCCAAAGCTACACTCTGCCATCCAAGACAACGCGGTAAAGAACCTCGAACAGAGCATTGCATGGATAGAGAGCAAAATGCGTGCATCTGGGACGAGTTATGCAGTGGGGAATTCATTTACCGCCGTCGATGCTTATCTATTTATGTTGTATCGCTGGGCGGGAGCGTTTATTGCGAGCTTGGAAGTTGATTTTCCCCATTTGTCAGCCTGGGCAAGCAAGCTTTTGGAAAGAAAAGCGATTCTCAGGGCTCTGGAGGTTCACACCGGCGTGTAAAGCACGCAATCAATGGATTTAACATTGCAAAACCTGGCCGTGAACACGGGATATGGTCCCGAACATCACTCTGGGCTTTTGAATTATCTTGCCTTGAAACCACAATAACCAGAAACTTATGGTCTCAATTGCTCCCCATCTAGCAACGACGTACAAGCGACGTTCAAGTTCAGTCCTTCTTCAAGTTGAAGATCTTTTCGTGAAGCTTTTGTGCGTCCCTGATCATGTTATCCAGAACAAGCACCTGCATGGACTCTGGCAGAAAGCCTAAGACCCAGAGCAGCAATGCGTGGGGGATATAAGGGGTGAGAGTGTTGCGTCCGGAAGCAACAGCGGCTCCAAGCCGGCCTACAGCCGTCTTGCTGAAGTCCTTCGCGGCTGGGTTGAGGAGGTGCACAGGCGTGGGGGTCTGTGAGCTGCTCACATCGGCCAGGATGAGGTTCAGCACATCGATCGGGATCTTGTTGCACTTGAACTCGCGGGCCAGAGCTTCAGAAAAGCTAAGAACAAATCCCTTAGTGCCGGAGTAGACTGCAGCCCAGGGCACACCGTGTTTGGCGGCAGATCCGACGTTTAGCATTAGAGCAGGCCCGTTCTTTGCCATGACTGGAATCATGTAGCGTGTTAGATGAGACAGAAAACGGGCATTGTAGTCGATGGTCCTGTCGATTTGAGAAGAGCTCGTTTCGATGAGTTGTATATAACCAGGAATGAAGGGGATCCCACCCATATTGTTCACAAGGATAGTGACATTGAGGTGCGAGATGCTGTTCGCCAGCTTCTCGATACCGTCGTATGAGTCTTTCAACGCATCGAAGACAAGGATCTCGAATTTCAGGTTAGGATACTGCTTTTGGAGTGCTGACCGACGAGACTCAAGTTTCTCTCGATTACGACTGAGGAGGATAACGTTGAATCCTTGTGCAGCAATGGCTTCGACAAATCCAAGTCCGATCTGAAGTTTCCGGACAGTCAGTGAAGACGCCCGTGAGAGATCCATAGCAGGAACGTCTGAAAGCGATCTTCGCTTTCAGGTAGTGAGCACTTACTCCGTCTGAAGCACCGGTGACGAGCGCGTAAGGCTCTTTTCCATGTCTCCAGCGGTTCAAAGAGGAGCTTGAAGGCGAAAAATACAGTCGCGCAAGGGAAAGAATCCTCGCGACAGCCGTTACAGCAGTGAGGGCCCCAAGAAACTGAAGAGTTCTTTGCATGTTCAACATTTTTGGTACAAGAAACAAGTTGATGCAGACCACAGGTCTCAAGCTGAGGGTATCGCATTTATTAAGTTCAACCTCAACTTGAAGGTTGCCTTATTTGCACGCTCGGAACTATATCACACTCTGGGTTACTTGGCGACCACAGGAATACGATTGGATTACCCAACCAGGTGCCATTGTCGACAATGTCGTTCCCACCTTCGGGCGCCTGAAGCATGGATGCTGACGATCTGGGATGGTGGAGGGCACACCGGGGTTGCACATATGCCGACTTGCCAAGTGGAAGACGCACTACGCCAGCAGGCGAATAATGAATATTGTCTCTTCATCTACTCTTAGATGAGATGCAACGCACGTTGTACAAGGATGGTAGACGAGGTACGGATACTGAATAAAGCAGCTAACTTAGCTAGACACAAAAGGGGCACGAAGAGGGTTGCGGGATGGCAGAGCCAAAGGGCGGCGTGGGCATGTGGCTAAACAGGTTAGCTTGTCGCGTTCATCAGGGCAGTCGCGTCATGCAACTAATTAATGGAATTGAACGTACCTTAATGCAGAAGGCATGCTACACTCCATCACTGCAGTTCTTCAGTCTATTTCACCAAGTGGCCGCTTCCGATGTCTCCTTGAGCTTGCTTGAGTTTGCCAGTTCCGTTATTCATCAAAGACGATGCCTTCAGACATCAGAAGTTTCTTCGGCGGCGGAGGGGAAGTGAAGCCCGCCTCAAAAGCCGCTGCCCCGGACTCGGCGAAGAAAGACAAGGTATGGTGATACCTATCCGTCCCATCCCACCCCACCTTCTGAACGAAATGACTGACAGTGTACAGACTGGCAGAGGCAGCCAACGTGGTCGTGCTCGGAAAGTCGTTTCTGATGACGAAGATGAAGAGATAGTCGAGGCCAAGCCCAAGAAGCCCACCACTCCTAAGGCGAAGAAAACTGCAGAAGAGCCGGCGGAAGAGGAGACCACAAGCTCCGCATACTTTGCGTCGTCAAAGCCCAAAGCTGCCAAGTCTACACCGTCAAAAGCTACCGCCAATGGAGTAGGCAAGACACCCACTAAACAAGTCAACAACGGGACTCCCTCTACGGGCAGGAGATCAGCTAGGAAGACGGCTACAAAGAACTATGCCGAAGACGAGGACGGAAATACCGCAGTGAATCTCCAGGATGAGGACGTTGGTGGAGACGACATCTTCAACGACCTCAAGAGCAGGAAGGTTGACGATGACTACGAGGAAGATAGTGACGAAGATCATATTAAGCCACACCACAAAGCCTCCATACCAGTGAATGGTCATTCCAAGAAGAAAGAAGCGGAGGATGACGAAGATGATCTTGAGACTGCCGAAATTCCTGCTTACGATGGACCCAATGACCGACGACCAAAAAGAACCTCTGCAGCGACCACCTCATCCCGTAAGCGAAAATCCAAAGACCTGGAAGACGATGACGAAGATGATTTCCTAGATGACGAGGATGCGTCACCGAAGAAAAAGTCGAAAAAGACAGCCACTGCTGCCGCGAGGAAACCCCGAGCCGCAGCAAAGAAGGAAGAACGAGAAGAAAGCAGCGAGATAAAATCCATCCTTGACAATATCCCAACTGTGCGAGCTCCCACACCTCCACCACGAGATGAGAACAAGAAGTTCACCTTCCAAGCTGGGGGAGGTAACGCCAATGTTGCACCACCAGAAGCAGGAAGTGCTGAAATACCAGAGGGCGCGGAAAACTGTCTAGCTGGGTTGACTTTTGTCTTCACGGGTGTCTTAAGATCTCTGGGTCGAGAAGAGGGTATAAATCTCGTCAAGCAATATGGCGGCAAAGTCACCGGTGGCCCCTCGAAGAAGACGAGTTATGTGGTCATCGGTAGCGATGCCGGACCCAAGAAGCTCGAGACAATCCGAAATCTTGGAATCAAGACAATTGATGAACAAGGACTTTTCGCCTTAATCCAGCAGCTTCCTGCCAATGGTGGGGATGGTAAAGCTGGCGAAGCTTACGCGCAAAAGCAAGCCAAGGAAGAAGCTAAGATCCGCAAGGAAGCAGAAGAAATGGAAGCACGAGAAAGGCAGAAGCAGAAAGAAGCAGATAAGGCTGCCAAAACGGCTGCCGCGCGAACTGGAGGCCCGGCCCCATCAGCCAAATCGCGACCAAGGGTCGATGACCGGCTGTGGGTTGACAAGTATGCTCCAGATTCGCTCACTGGTGTCTGTGGAAACAAAACACAAGTCGAAGGATTGCAGAAATGGCTACGAAATTGGCACAACAGCGCCAAATCTGGATTCAAGAAAGCTGGGGCCGATGGGAAAGGAATCTTTCGTGCTGCTCTGCTCTACGGTCCACCTGGTGTCGGCAAAACTACCGCTGCGCATCTGGTTGCTAGTCTCGAAGGCTACGATGTTGTGGAAAGTAATGCCAGTGATACGCGGAACAAGAAGCTATTGGACTCTGCTCTCGCTGGTGTACTGGACGCAACTTCTCTCCTGGGCTATTTTGCCGGCGATGGCAAGAAAGTTGATCCTGCGAAGAGAAAGCTCGTTTTGATCATGGATGAAGTGGACGGTATGTCAGCTGGCGATCGCGGCGGTGTCGGTGCCCTTGCTGCTGTCGCCAAAAAGACCCATGTTCCGATGATCCTCATCTGCAACGAACGGAATCAGCCGAAGATGAAGCCATTCTACCAGGTCACGGCAGAGTTCCAATTCAGAAGACCTACCACAGATCAGATACGCGGACGAATTGCGACTATACTATACCGAGAAGGCATGAGATTGCCGCCGCAGATCGTGAACGCTTTAATCGAGGGATGCGGCGGCGACATTCGACAGATCATCAACATGATTTCGACCATCAAACTTGACAACAAAGATCTTGACTTCTCGGATTCAAAGGCAATGTCGAAAGCTTGGGAGAAGCACGTCATTCTCAAACCCTGGGATATTGTCAGCAAGATTCTCCGACCGCAAATGTTCGCTGAGAGCTCGAAGGCGACTCTGAATGACAAAACCGAACTTTACTTTAATGATCACGAATTCAGCTATCTCATGCTTCAAGAGAACTACCTGAAGACGCAACCCACCCTTGCAAGCAATTACTCGGGCAGAGAAAGACAAATGAAGCTTCTGGAACTCATCGACAATGCGGCCTCTAGTATCAGTGATGGTGACCTGGTTGATAGGATGATCCATGGGTCACAACAACAATGGAGTTTGATGCCTCTTCACGCTATTTTCAGCTTTGTTCGCCCAGCTAGTTACGTCTACGGCAATTTTCATCAACAAGTTGGCTTCGCAGGCTGGCTTGGACAGAATAGCAAACAAGGTGAGTTATTTTGCGGAGAATGCTTTTCTTGCAGTCTAACGAATCATTTCCAGGCAAACTGTCGCGCTTCGTCAAGGAAATTCAAGGCCATATGCGTCTCCGATCTTCAGCTGATCGCCACGAAGTTCGTCAACAATATCTTCCAGCCCTTTGGAATAAGACTGTTGGCACCCTTCAGGATGGAGGTAAAGAAGCAGTCCAAGACGTCATTGACTTCATGGACTCGTACTATCTGACCAAGGAGGACTTTGACGCCATGCTTGAGTTGGGCGTGGGACCAATGGACATGGAGGGAGTCAAGCTCGACACACAGACCAAGGCTACCTTTACCCGACTGTACAACCAGCAGAGTCACCCAATGCCATTCGTCAAGGCCAGCCACATCCTAGGCATGGCCAAAGGTGGAGCAGCGAAGAGAGAAAAGCCTGATCTGGAAGAAGCGGTTGACGACTCCGAAGTTGATGAAGTGCTTGGACCAGACGTTGAAGGTCCGGATGAGGAAGAAGAGGAATTAGATCTGAAGAAGGACAAATACGTCAAGGTGCCCAAGAAGAAGAGTGCCGCTGCCGCCGGTAAAGGAAAGGGCAAGAGAAAGAAGGATGAGGATGCTGACGACGAAGAGCCCGACGAACCGGCGAAGAAGAAAAAGACTGCTGCTGCTGGCGGTAGCAGAGGTGGAAGAAAAGGCAAGGGTAAAGCCTGAGGTTCGTTCTGCACTCCCCTGATGCGAACTCAAAGTCCCCTAGCTGGCTGTCGGCGCCGCCGTGAGAGTGGTCAATCACCTGGCATCGGCTGTTAATGAGGATTGGCGAAGAACAAAAGCAATGTATGACCAGGATGTTTGTCGAGCTGGCTGTGTGCGCCCTGTCGCTCATGCATACGGCATAAATGCAGAAGTTCGATGACAAGCTCAGTATTTGATACGAAGCAATATTACACGAGAGAAATACAGTCATTGAAGCAAATAGGGAACAATTTCCAAAGTTCAGCCCTCAAGGGACATACCGAGGTGGTGGCTGATCGGCTCCATGGGCTCCCCGAGTTCTTCTGCTGTTGAAGTCCTGGTCAGAAACTGACGAATTCGAATCTGCGTTCATGCCTTCATCCACGTCTGAGGTGAAGTCGGCCTGACGCTCCTCAGCTGCTTCTTCTGCTTTAGTTTTGGGTTTCTTCCCGCTCGAGCGGCTGTCAAGGCCCAGCGAACTAAATGAAGGCTTCTCCTTTTCGCCGCGTCCCTCGCCTGATTTCCTACGTGACCAGAAACTGTGACCATCTTCCGAGTCACGACTAGCAGTCGAGGCCGCCTGTGCCAGGTCTGCGCCCAAAAGTGGGTTCGGGTTATACCCGTCCATGCAAGCCGTGGCAGGAGGTAAGAGGACCGTACACTGCGGCGGGCTACGTGGCGAGGAGAATCTCTCGGTCTTTTCGGCGCACTCGACTTCGAGTTCCCACGTGAGGTAGTACTCCCGCGTGACGTTGTACGAGGTGAAGTTGGGACAGAGTGGCGTTTCGACCTTTGAACCTAGTTTGGCGTTGCCCACGCGAAGGTCGTAGAGGGAGCCGAGATCGAGGGTCGACTCGTCCGGTCCGGATAGTCCTTTGGCAAAAGTGAGTGGTCGAGTAAGATGTCTGATGGACAGGATAGGGATCTCATAGGTCTTGGTGTCTGCATAAGTTCCGGGGGCGCGGCAGCGGACTTCGGTTTTCAGTTCGATTTTGACGGAGCGTAGGACCACTTCGGGAAGGGACGTGGAGGTGTCGATGGTGGTGTTCTCGGGACGAAGGTCTGGTTGGATGGTGATGAGGAAGGGTAAGGGTTTTGGGTGGAACAGCTGGATAACGCTGGGGGCCTGGACCGTGAGAGAGAAGGAGAATCGGGGGACGGTGTCCTTCTGGAAGAGAGAGCGGGCGCGATCGCGGATGCCGAGACTCGTGCCTGCGTGTTCGGGGAGGAGTTTGAGTGTCGAGATGGTGAAGAGGCGCTCCTCTGTGACCAGGTCGTAATTCTGGATCGGTTCGGGCGTCGAGAGAGGGTTGAATATGATTGGGTATGTCGAGGTCTTGGTCTTGGGGCCGCGGAACTGGTGGATGCCGCGTGGTTCGGTCAGCGTCGCTTCGAGCACGTATTCAATGAAACAGTCTGCCTTGCGGCCCATGTTCATGCGGCTGTGGGACATGGATGGTGGGAGATTGAGGTCGAGCTCGTTGTTGTTCTTGTTCTCGTCGAGGTTCGATCGGTAGTGCTCTTTGGGTTTCCATTTCTCACTGCTGCTGCTGCCGCCAGGCAGTATGCACCCCTGGTCTGCCTGATTGGGGACAACGAAGTCGAACGGCCAGCTGAAGGAGCCGGGCTTGTGCGTGTATTGGCCTTCGTACAGGACCTTTTCGAGGTGGAAGAACCTTGTCCGGCCACGGTGGTAGCTTGCGGACTGGCCGTGTTGTTGGATGATGCGGGATTTCGCGCGACCCCAGAATGACACTGTGACGGTGCCGATGGCGGCGTCAGCGGCGGTGTTCAGCACGACATGGCCGCTGATCACATCGCCGGGCGAATATTGCGCGCGAGGATGGTTGAAGTCGAAGGAAAGTCCGGGGGAATTCGTAGTTTTGGTCAAGCCCATAACAATGAATTGTGTACGGAGTTGGAATGTGATGAAATCAAGTTGAAGCAATATGGTGTGTTAGTCTTTCTGCCTACCTGCATTGATGGGATGTGATGGTGGCTGGGCTATATATCCCGTATCATGTAGGTAGGTTGAGGTGAGATTGTTTCCCTCTCAAGGTTGGTGGTGATGGTCTCCTCATCCGAGTACGCGACACAGCCACGATTCAGCCTCGGGAGACTTGGCCGCAGGTGGAGTAAGGCGCACTCTGCCCATTTCCCTCGATCGACAGGGTTTTTTGGGGCTGTACTCGTAGATGCAAAGGTCACTGGGTCCGTGGGTGTTCTATGCGCGTGCGCCCTCTCGGTATACTGTTACAGTAACTAGTTCGATGTTGACTGGAGTCAGAAAGCCCGTAGACAAAGAAGAGAAAATGATCGCGAGCTGCCGAGCTGCGAAGGCCTGTCACGTGCAAAAGTCACGTGGAAATTAGACAATCCACGTGACACGGTGCGGTTAACCGAGAAGTCTGAGACTCTTTGAAATCTTTCTCCTTCACGGTCTGGGTCAGCCTTGCAGTAAAGATTCAAAAGCTAAAGGCTTCCGTTTTCGATGCCCCGATGCAATCATGGCAACGATCCTACAAGTCAAGACCGAAGACTTCGGCCAGACGAGGCCGGAGGAGGGGTAGTTAGAGGCCATCCCTTCGCCTCCTCCCCAAGCAGAGAGGCCATTCACCGACTGGGCGACTCCCTGACTCGCCCTGAAAGACCGATAACAATTGCTCGTGGGGTCAATCAGTCCTGCCAATGGCACTACTCCCAATAGGATCGATCTCAAGGAGCATTACCCCACACGACTTGTCGCTCCGGAGTATGGTAGGCAAGTTTTGCTGCTGGATGGGTGCCACTGCCGAGGAGCAATGGGTGTTTTCCGATGAGGAGCAACGTGGGGCTAATACATTTGCCCGCAGAAGGCAAGTCGACACCAACAAGCTCTGGATTCGTTCTTCTCGCAACACAGGTGACGAAGTGAACCCGGAAAGCTGCACATGCATGGATCTGGCTGTCCGTGACCATCGGCAGTCGATCGAACCAATGCCCAGTGAAATGATATAGCATAAAAGTCCACGCGACACGGTTGGCTTCCCTGTTTCTTATCCCGACCTCTGTCGTTACGGTCGAAACTGCTGCACTCTCCGACGTCCTGTCTTTGCTGCCTCACCAGAATGGATAGCGTACGCCCGTCCGTCGATAACTCGCTAGTGGCTCAGACTCTGGCCTTTGCGAAGGCTCATTTCATTTTCGTCGCTTTTGTGGCCATCGTCCTCCGAGGGCTGTACAAGCGATATGCTTCTCCTCTTAAAGACGTACCAGGACCTTTTTTGGCGTCATGCACCAGACTATGGAAAGGTAGGAGAGACTCCCACCTTCTGTCCGCCTCGACTGACGGGATAACCACAGTATGGAGTACTTATAATGGCCACACCGAACTCGATCACATCGCTTTGCACAAGAAATATGGTAAACCCCCCAACCGATGGACATCAAGCGGATCAGGATGAAAGCTGACTAGCATAGGACCAATCGTTCGAACGGCTCCGAACGAGGTGTCTTTTGGAACCTGTAATGCAGCCAAGGACATCTTTGCTGTGGGCAAAGGCTTCCACAAGACTATGTTTTATAGCGTTTTTCCACCAAAGGTAGGTCAATCATCCACAGACCTACTCCCTAAGTCTCTGCCAGGTCTGACCCGGGATACAGCATGCGCCGGATATCTTCACCGAAGTTCGAGAATGGAAGCATGCGCAAATGAAGCGTTACGCTGTAACTCCATATAGTTTGGCACAGATGCAGAAACGATCAGGCCCGATCGAGGACATGATCATGCTCCTCATGCAGCATCTGGACAAGTACTCCGCTGATTCCAGCAAAGTCTGCAACCTGGGGAATTTGTTGCATTATTTCGCATTCGATGTAAGCGCATTGGCAACTTGCGGACATTTCACCATCATACTGACCATATAAAAGGTATTGGGAGAGGTGGCATTCTCCAAACAATTCGGTTTCTTGGAAGCCGAAGTCGACATTGAAGGTTCGATCAAGAACATCGACGACGTCCAGTGGTACGATGGCATTGTCGGCCAGATACCCGAGACCGACATCCTCTTCCGGAACAATCCGTTGCGACCATATCTGCCATTCTGGAAACCGAGCCCAACGACCATGACCAAGATCGCCGTGGCAGAACTCGAAAAACGGAAACAAAAGGATGGCACTTACGATTCCTCGGGAATCGATCTCCTAGCGGAATTGCTCAGGGCGCACGATGGAAACCCGGACAAATTCAGCGTGCAGGATGTGTTCAGCATCGCGCACGGAGCAGTGTAAGTTTCAGTTGTTGGTGCGAGTTTGGCGTTTTGACTCTCGATGTATGTGTTAATCGTTGTGTCCTAGTTTCGCCGGCTCCGACTCGACAGCGTCGACAATGCAGTCCTTTTTCTACATGGTGCTCAACAGGCCGGAAGCGTACTCCAAATTGCAAAAGGAAGTCGAGGAAGCACAGAAGTCTGGCCAACTTTCGGAAGTCGTCACCTACGCCGAAGCACAGAAACTCGACTACTTCCAGGCCTGTCTCAAGGAGACTTTCCGGGTGCGGCCGGCCGTCGGACTGGGCATTTACCGACATGTGCCTCCCGAGGGAGTCATGATTGACGGAAGATACTACCCCAAGGGGACCGAGGTCTCTGTCAACGGATGGGTGCTGCACCGTGATAAGACCATCTTCGGAGACGACGTCGAGGAGTTCCGGCCAGAGCGGTGGTTCGAGCGAGACGCCAAGTTGATGACTGGACATTTGTACAATGTAAGTACGGGGGACAGACACATATTCCGACAGTCGTTAAATGGTTCAAGGCTGACTTCCAGACAGTTCGGTGGTGGGAGTCATCTGTGCATTGGGCGCAACCTTGCGCTGTTTGAGATGAACAAGGTCTTGATCCAGATTTTGAGGGAGTTTGATATCAAGCTCGTGCACCCGGGACGACCTTTGGAGTATCATTCGACCTTCTTCGTTGTGCAGGAAGGACTTGAGGTCTATCTGAAGAGGCGGAGCGAAGGAAAGTTCTGATGGAAGCAGACGACATATGGTTACTCCGTTGCCCAGACCCGCTCGCGACACATGCACCTAATTGAAAATGCCAAAGGCTATTGTGTTGGGCATATCATTTTTTGCTGTGACATGGAAGTTGCATGTGGCCATTTGTGCCCAAGCCCAATTCCCATTCATTACCTTCAGAAATGCTACAGGGAAGAAAGTCGTGCATGGGTAGTAAACCTGAGACAGTACGAGTAGCTGGGGAACGCGGTTGGACTGTGGCGCTACAATTGGCGACGACCTTGTCAGCCTCGCTGGTGGCCTTAACAGCGGGATGGTGATATTTCTATATCATTCCTGCAGGACGACAATCTTCACTTCTCACACCTAGACGTAGTCCTCATGATTGTAGCGATGCCTGGGACACCAATTTTTCAGTAAATGACACCCATAAACAACATGCTATGGGCTTCATCACTACCGTCGTCGCTCTGGACCTCTTCGAACATTCAAGGAAAATCAGACTCCGCGTCTGCAGTAAACCACGTAAAGTCTCAAGCGGAATTCCGCGTCCTAACTCAAGTGAGAGCGTCTGTGACAGATCAGAAGCCAACTCTACTATTTGGGGCATGCGACAACATACCCAGGAATTTCTGTCTCAGATAGAGTAGTCATCAATGCTTTCCATGTCGCCCATCGAAGCCTGTCACTCAAGGCATCAGTCATTTCGGCCGGTGCCATTGGAGTTCGACCATCTGTGGGTGTTGTAAGCGTTTGATAAGTCTTCAATCGTATTGCAGAGCGGAATTCCGTGCAAAACAGCCCCTTCGAAAGGTATGGAGCAGATAGTAGGGGGTATTTATTGACTGATCCCTCTTTTCCCTTCTCTCTTCGTACATTCGGTCCTCGTCGTTCTTGCGCTCGTTGTTTCTGGGCCCTTTGTTGCGCCATTTGCTCTCTCCTGGACCGTTTGATTCCAACACCAAAGAAGAATTCGCAAATCTGCTGATACAACCAGCATATACTTGACCAAAATGTCAACAGACTCCGATCCACACTTCAAGTTCTATCACTATGAACCGTCTTTGGTGGCAGCCTGTGTTTTTGCAATTGTGTTCGGCGCTTCGACCTTTTGGCATTCGATGCTCATCGCCAAGCACAGGACTTGGTACTTCATTCCTTGTGTTGTTGGCGGTCTTTTCGAAATCGTTGGATATGCGGCCCGTGGAACATCCTATGGACAAGCGCCAAACCCGACGCTCGCCCCTTACGTTATTCAGGCCCTTCTCATCCTCGTGGCTCCGGCATTATTCGCAGCCAGTATCTACATGATACTGGGCCGTATCATTGTCAGCGTGGATGGCGAACCTTACAGTTTGATCAAAAAGAGATGGTTGACAAAGGTCTTCGTAACGAGCGATGTGGTGTCTTTCTTCGTCCAGCTTGGCGGTACGCTCGAACAATCCTTTCCCTGTGTGGGCTGGAAAACCCGTGAGACCTTTTCTGACTGTGTATAGGTGGTGGACTCATGGCTAGCAGCCACGCGTCCACAGCAAAAATGGGCTCTCATGTCGCCTTGGTGGGTCTCTTGATACAGGTAATACTATTTGGCTTCTTCATCGTCGTGGCGCTGGTCTTTCATATTCGACTGCACGCCATGCCAACCAGTCTATCCCACAACGCGGCCTTACCTTGGAAGAGATTTCTATACATATTGTACATTGCGAGCGCATTCATCTTGATCCGGTCAATTGTGCGTGTAGCGGAGTTTGTGGAGGGTTTCGAGGGGACCATCATCAGACACGAGGTCTACCTCTATATTTTCGATGGAGTACCTATGGCAGCGGTAATGGTCCTCTTCAACATCTGGTATCCTTCAGACTTCTCAAAGCAGGCAAGAAAAGCTATGGCTGGTAGCGAAAGCGCGGAATCAAACCTTGAGCTCTCAGATGTTGAGCCGCAGGGCAAGTAAAGAGGAGGAGGGATTGCAAGGAGCTTCTGGGCACGCTTCTTCTTGCAGATTGAGTTGGGACAGGCTTTGTGCTCGTACTTCGGGAGATTCGTCAGTAGATTTCCTTAAATAACAGCGACAATGTATTGATCGTTGAAGCTGAAGAACGGACGCGGCAAGGCGTCCAGAACTGGAGGTCACGTGGGTATTCACCTCAAGTAGAGCCGCTTTTAGAAACAACACGGTATTCCGGTCAATTAGCCCTGGCAGTAACTTATACACTTGCTTGAATGGGTTCGAGCCATGGATTTCTCGCATGATCTTCATATTTGACGGTCGAACCTCACGGCAGGGTTCTGACAGGACCGTCTCTACCAATAATGCCTCCAAAGCCTTCCGTTCGAGGAGAATATATCGAAACCGTACGTGGTATTTGCGACAATCCTCCTGCACCACCCTCGCTTTCTACCTCTGACCCGGCTACCAGGAAACTGGCAATAAAATCTCGCGAAAGGCCAGCGTCCTAGGTCCGCGCCATATCATTTTGGCCGGGAAATGCGTGATCCAGCAGGATGTCGTGATCCGAGGTGATCTCGTCCGTCCACCACAACCCAAGCCTCCAACACAACAAGGCGATCAGAAGTCGGCCACTCAAGATCAGACCTCCATACACCTTGGGCGCTACGTCTTCATCAGTCCTGGCTGTACGCTCCACCCTCCTTCTCGACTCACAACGATCGCAAACCCAAATGGCGGCGAGCCTCAGCAGATTATGACCTATTTCATGCTCAGAATCTCCGACTACGTATACATTGGCCCAAACACACATGTGCGTGCAGCGGAGATAAAGAGCAATGTCTACATTGGTGCGAACTGCACGATCGGGAATATGGTCATAATAAAGGACAACGTCAAGATCTTGGATGGAACGGTTCTACCTGCAAACACTGTCTGGGCAGGAGGCACCATTATTGCAGGGCGTCCAGGAAGGGTCGTGGGGGAGATTGGTGAAGGATGGGCCGCCAGTGTTGCTAGTGGCTCATCCGTCGACGAAGGCGTTGGTGTCAAGAGCAGAGAGAGGTGGGCAGCTGTCGGAAACAAACGATGAACTGTGCTCTGGGTCGGTCGCTGGACCCACGATCTCCAGGCGGCCGTTTACGATCGATACTACTGGCGCGATACGTTGATGACGGATCAAAATGTGGGCAATGAATGCCTTGCTTGTTATTGACCTTCATGCAGGATGCCACCCTCACCAGCTTCAGGACTAACCCGACCACAATATCCAAAAACAAAGAAAACAAACCAACTTGCAACGGCTTCCATACTGCCATACACTCCAATAGAGTCGCCCAGCACCTCTTCTATCTTCCGAACTCGAGCCTCCCGCCCTCACGGGTGGACGCGTCTTCCCTCATACTAGTCTTTTGCTCAAAAGCCAGGAATTCAGAGCGCCGTCCCAATCAACATGCGCTGCTGGCCACATGCTTGGAATTGACCGCTGACAATATCTTGGGGTCTGTTGCGAACCCCATCAGACTTTTTCTCTTGGGCCTCCCGGTACCATGCGGCTGAGGTGCATGGGTCTGGCTGCTCCACGCCCAGAGTGGTCGAGTCAGGACGGCACAGCCCACTCTGCACCGCTGCTCTCATGACTTGACTGTCAGTGATTGTCAATGAACGTTGTTGAATGCCGGCGGTCTCTTTTTGTCTGCCTTCTAGCTGCCCTGCCTGCGCCGGTATGCCAATTGACACAGGATGCGACCGGAGTGGATGCGGATGCAAAAGGAAATGTCCGTCTGGAGTAGGACGTATATCGACCTCTACAGACTCGCTTCGTCTGCTCTCACGTCTTGCTCCAGCGACTTGGGACGCCATCCCTTGTCTCGGTCGAAGCGGTATTGGGACAAGACTGGCATGCTGAAATCGGATCGGCTGAGCTTGATAAACTCTGGCTGGGCTCGGAAGTGCCGCCGTGTGTTCTTGTGTCCAAGCATGCAAATGTGTTCCGTCGTTCCTTCCTCCCTCAGGCATGGTTGCTCTAGTCTTAGGGGCAACTCTGGTTGTCGGATTTGCTGGACTCATTGCCTGCACCGAAGAGGCGTCAGAGCTCTCGGACATCACTCGTACATAGCTTCCTCTCCTTGGGCAATGGCTAGTGGATCGACTCGCCACAGATCCAAAGATCCAGATATCGTCGCCATGGATGTCAGCGCGGTCACCTCGATTCGCCAGTCCATTCTCGAGATCCCGGCTCTCAGTCTGCGCTCGGCAATAGAATCTCCATGATTGAACAATCGCAATAAGGAGGTACACTCCCGACAAAGTGCCTAGTGCGATCGCGGCTGCTTGATACATTTCTGCCATCGTTGACAGCAGTTTTTGCCGCCTTCAACCGGGTGTTATGATGATCTCGATGTGCACGTGAAGCTGTGCCAATGGGTCGGTCGGGAAGCAAAAGGCAATTGGAAATGATAAACTTGAAAGGTGAATAGAGAAGAAACAATTGCCTAGAGGTCGCCTTTATCACTTTGTACTGACCTTCCTGAGGCAGAGATGCTGGAACTAAGTACACCTCTTACACAATGCCGGCCGCAATTTCATCTGGCTCAAGACACATAATCTCCAGCTGTCTCGAACAATTTTCTTCAATGAAGGGTACAGACTTCTTTGTCGACCTGCCACATATGTTTCCCAATGCTCAACCCGCAGGGCAATTCTGAATCCTTAAGCTGAATTGTTTCGGCTGTTCAACGCTGTCTCAGACATCCTGCCTGGCTTGAACTCGAGGTTCTTTGCCCTTCTGTTGAGCTGATTCAGTGTTCTCACTGCCGAGATGCCATGACAAAAGGGTCATGTCTCATTATCACATGGTCTACGAGCAGACAGGCCCTTGTCGGAAGTGCGACGCAAGTCTCCACCGTTCTTAGCAAGACTTTCACCAATATACTTATCTCCTAAGGATGACGACGTCTGTCACAGGCTCTCAGCGGACGACGTTGTACTGCTACACATTCAGATTGCACATGTCTATCAAAACGTTGCCCGTCACTTTCCAGATTCCAGCTCCTCGGTTCGAGATTTCTCCTTCAAAAACTCATCGACTTCCAAGTCAAGCCTCTTGACGGTGACACCTGGTCTCTCCCTGTCCTCCATCAGGCTGATATTTGCCAAGCCACCTGATCTTGTCTTCAACCAAGTCGTCTGACCCCCAGATCAGCCTTTCTGCTGTTGGGCAACAGCTTCCTCTTCTTCCACTTGGGCGCCTCCAACTTTCTCCCCAGCCATACCATGAACAAGGGCTGAATGCTGAAGTTTGAGCTCTTTAAACTTTCGCTCGGTTTCCCAGACAAATGGTGACTTGCTCGCGAAGAGAAGGTCGATCTGCCACCAAAATTGTCAGTGGGGATTCGCGAGAGACGCAAATCTGATTGAAGGAACGCCTACCTCTTCCAAAGTCCGGCAACTTGTTTCCGGATAAAAACAATATACCATGGCAACGGCAGCTAGATTGAATACAGCATGAATGTAAAATCCTTGTGGGCCAAGTGCCTTGAACATGGGAGGTGCGGCCAACGAAACGGAGCCACAGCCCAAACTCCAGCCTGTACGGGTCGATTATCAGTATGATCTACGCTGTTCGCGCGCGACGAGAAAGACTCACCAACAATACCAAAGGCATTGCCGCGGGAGCGAGTCGCAAGAGGAAAGATTTCGGAGGGATAGACCCAAGGTACACTTAGCCACGTTGCCTGGAAATTGTCAGCAATGCTGGTCTAGCAAGTGATCATTTGACCTTACGGCAAATATGGCATTGTAGATGAAAACGAATGAGCCAGCAGCTGCTCCAATCGACTGGCTATGTTGGTCCGCGCCTACCTTAGACAAGGCTCCAAGGATGAAAAAGGACAGACTTTGTCCGAAGCCTCCGGCAATGAGAACCTTGCGCCTGCCGTAGCGGTCGATGGTCAAGTAGGCAAAAACGCAGCAGACCATTGCGACCAGGTTTGCGCAGCCAGTGAGGAGATCGGCCTCGCAAAATAGTTAACACCCTGGATCGTCGGACATGGAATGGCTCACCTTGTGCCCGCTGAAGCCGGCGATCCTGAACAGAGTGGGAGCGTACACTACCACACTGGTAACGCCAGTCCTACACGACAGGTGCATGTCAGTATTTTAGTCGTGTGGTCAGGCAAGCTCACGCACCAGGCCTGCATGATCTGAAGCCAGGCGGCCAGAAACGTGCGACGTCCGAGATGGAGGTCGCCACTGTTGATGCCAGTAACCATGTGGAAATAGGTCCGAGCAGGGTATTCGGCCTCGAGTTCTGGAAATGCTCAGTCCAGTCCGTGAATCGAGGAGCTTCCTCCAGCAAGGTCAATGACTTACCAACGGCCGCAACAATTTCCTTGAATTCCGACTGGACAGCAGGATGGCTTATCTCGCCGCGAGCCCGGAAAACCGCAAGAGTCTTCATGCCACGTTCTTGTCTTCCATTACCTATGTCCCATCTGGAAGCTTGTTAGCTCTGGAACCTGTTGTGCGACGGCTTCTTCCAACCGTGGACTTTCTGGCATGAACGGTATGATAGCCATCAGGGCGGCCAAAAATCTGCCATATCTTGTCAGTGATCAAGCTTCATTGAGAATCTGAGAGCATACATCATCTGGAATCCGAGCGGAACTGTGAACTGGTGAGTCGAATGTCACCTGAGACGATTACAGTACTCACATCGCCAGCGTACCTGAGTATGCCCGTGGTTCACAAAACTTAAGCCATATTCCAACCAATCTGCGTTCGTGAGTCCATGAATAACAACAGCAAGGAATGATGCACCCTTACAAGAAGTCGAAATGCCAGCGAAGTTCACAAACATTTCGAACGCCATCACCATACCTCGGGCATTATGGGCGACCAGTTCTGAGCCCCATACAGGAATCACTGCGCTGATGGAGCCAGTACCAACACCAGCTAGTAACCTGGCGCACAGCATCCAGTTGGCATTCTGAGCTGCGACCTGCATGGATTGGCCAAACAGTCCCCAAATTCCGCCAAAGAATATCGCCTTTCGCCGGCCGAATCTATCAGACATTGCACCGCCCCTACAGAACAGGTTTCAGATCGTGGCTACCTCCAGCAAAATCCAATTCCTGGAGGCGACTTACATCAAAGCCCCAACGAGGGTGCCGAGGTAGTATATCGCAACAATACCGCCTTGTTTCGTTGGCTGGGTTATTGTGCCGGTTGAACCGTCACCGATTTTGACGAGATCCTGAGCTGATCAGCTTCGTCCCTGCCGTTCAACTGGAAATGGGCGGCTTCCTACGATATAGCTGGGACTGATATTGACGCCGGACATCACTCCTTGGTCATAGCCCTCAAACATAATGCCTAGGGCTGCAACAAGACATACACTTGTCAAAGTCAGTTTGACCAGTTCGCATGGCAGGATGGACATGCTCAACTTACGCCCACACCATGTGTCGTCCATACAAAGGCATTTTAATGGCGTCTACAAGCTTGGTCGACAGCTCAGTTAGTGGTTTGCACCAGAAATCGGAGCAGGCTCAACAGGGTATATCTTGCCCTTATACCAGCCCGAAATACCGTTCGAAAATGCGGAGATGATGAACGAGATATCCCTCGGGTGCTAGCAATGCCACGGAAGTACCTTTACGGCAATCCGACGAGGTGCATGATTATCCATGGGTTTCAAGCGGAGTGGTAAGGGATCCTGCACTTGCAAGAGGCGCGAGTTCAACGTCGCACGCGATACTCTACCCCATGTACACGCAAGACTGACAAGCATAGGCTATGCCCATTCATTCTCACAATAGCTAGACCCTATCCAGACATGTTGTGTGGGCCTGACTTCATTATAACGACGTGAGTCTCTGAGCATCCTGGCTAGTCTCAGGTGACTTGGTGTCTACTCCGCAGAAGATCGTCATGACACGGCTACTCTCCGCTACGCAGCCTTGTCAGAGGAAGACCATGGCCGGGGCAAGGCGGAGAAAATGCCGTGAGTTTGAAGCCGACTGTCCATTATCGTCGAGTGGAATTCGAACCCCTAGATCCATCTCCAATCACATTTATATCTGCTTCGCCCTTGAGGGGCATGAGACTTACCTCGTCGGTAGAAGCGCTACGCGCGGTCTGATTTACGGACTACCATTTCAGTGCTCCCGCTGTGACAGTGAGTCACCATGAATGGACATTGATAGCGACGAGCTCCAAATCTTGCTGTCGCCTGATGAGTGGCTGATTGGGAGTCCACCAAAAGTACCTAGGCAGGCCAAACCGCAGAACTTGGTGTGAGAATGGAGTACGTCGGGAAGCCCACCACTTCCGGCTTTACATACCTTCGTGTATCTCCCCTCGCCTTTTCGGAAACGACGCAACTAAGCCGGGAAGATTGTGAGGAACTAACTAAGCCTTGCTTACTCGCACCGACATGGCCCGGTGCGAGGTCACTGATGTCCAGCACTACCATCCTCCTCCCCGCCTCCTACGTACCTCCAGCCTGACAGGTCGATGCGCCTTGCCTTAACTTTGAGCTGATTTTTTCCTCTGACAATAAAGGGCAGGCCGGAGATCGGCTTTCCTTGTCAGGAAAATCAGATCCGAGCATCAGGTGATGGCGCTGGAGCTATAAAATAGTATTTGCACCTATCTTGCTTTCCGTGGACTTGCAATCCATTCCTATCATACAGAGTCTGTTTATAAAGCTCCCAATCGACCACCTCCCTGTAGAACTCTTACAACTAAACTAGCAGGTTATTTCAAATTGGTTTCTTCAAGATGACTCAAGGAAACATGTTATCGCCAACGGTCAAACTCAACAGTGGCCACGACATGCCCCTCGTCGGCTTCGGTTGCTGGAAGGTCAACAACGACACCTGCGCCGACCAGATCTACAATGCCATCAAAGCTGGCTATCGCTTGTTTGACGGTGCATGCGGTATGTATGCCTCCCTTACCAGTCCCTCCTCCTTCTCCTTCTCCTCCTCTTGTCGACGTGGTATGGCATGTGGCAAGTCTGCGCCACAACCGCGCTAACCGCCCGGCGAATCTAACTAGACTACGGCAATGAGCGCGAATGCGGCGACGGGATCGCTCGCGCAATCAAAGACGGCATCGTCACCCGCTCTGACCTGTTCATCGTGTCCAAACTCTGGTGCACATACCACGAGAAGGAGCGCGTCGCGCAAGCATGCAAGAAGTCCCTGCAGGATTGGAGATTGGACTATTTTGATCTGTATCTCGTCCATTTCCCCGTGGCGCTGAAATATGTGGACTTCGCCGTCAAGTACCCGCCGGAACTGGAGGACGAGTTTGGGGCGGTGTTGCCATTTGGGAGTGCGACGAACCAGGAGACGTGGACGGCTATGGAGGCGCTAGTGGACGTTGGTTTGGCGAGGTCTATCGGCGTGAGTAACTATAACAGCCAATCGATCATGGATCTGCTCCGGTACGCCAGGATCCAGCCGGCGACATTGCAGATCGAGCATCATCCGTACCTTGCGCAGGAGCGGTTGGTCAAGTATGCCACAGAACAGGGCATTCAGATCACGGCGTACAGCAGCTTTGGGCCGGCGAGTTTCATGGAATTACAGTTCAAAATGGCGCAGAAGTGTGGGCCGTTGCTTGAGGACGGAGGCGTCAAGACGATCGCGCAACGGCACGGAAAGACAAGTGCTCAGGTCTTGCTGCGGTGGGCGACGCAGCGAGGCGTGGCGGTGATCCCGAAGAGTAATCATCTGACGCGATTGAAGGAGAATTTGGATTGTTGTACGTTCGACCTCGAGGAGGGTGATATGGAGTATCTGAATGGGTTGGATAGAGGGTTGAGATTTAATGATTTTGTGCATGTAAGTCCTTCTTGTTTCCCCCTTGTCTTGTCCAGGGAGGGGTGGTTAGGGGAGTGGTGTTGGGCTGAGGTGGACATGAACTGCCTGAAACTGACGTGAACTGCAGTATGGGTATAATGTTCCAGTCTTCGCATAAAGGGTTATGACTGAAGTATGGGACTGGAGTGGATGATGGGATGGGATGGGATAAAGGTGTAAGAGAAAATGATACAGGACGGGAGACTGATGATCGAAGAAGAGGAGGCTCTGTAAATACGATAGGAAGGAAATAGAGGAGATTTCACTTTCGAACAATTGATTCAATATCTGAACAGAGTAGGTAATCACAAGCCCCTCAGCCACTTCTCTTGTGGTAGGAGCCATTCGCTCTCAACGCCTCCTCGATATCCATCTAAGCTTCCCACCCAGTTGCCGTAGCGAAAGCCTCCTCCATTATTCCGAGCTCGTGGAACTTGGCCGAGTGTCGCCCTCCACGTCCACATCACGATCACGATGCGGCCTCAGCTGCCCAAGCTCGATGTCCTCGACGCTCGACCTCGGGCTATCGCTACCCCTCCACCGGTGCCATCTACCAGTCACAAAGGAGCCTTTGCTCCGTGAATTCCGGTCGTACACCCTGGCCAAGCGACTGACGGCGCCCACTCTGAGAGCCTGGCGCGCATCGATATCAATATTGTCTTGTAGCCGCGAGCCGAAGAGTTGCTCGCGCTCGCCGCCCGCCGCATTCACGTTCTCGTATGCCGGCGGTTGTCCCTGGGGATCCAGCTCCGAGTAAGGCGGGAGGTGTGTCGGTGCCGGGCGCTGGATGTGGGGAAACCCTTGCCCGATGGTTTCGGTTTCGGTTTCGGTTTCCGTCTCGATGGTCGTCCGGTAGATAGTCCGCTGAAGAGCCCGAGCCCGGCGTTGATGGTGCCGTCGTTGAAAAGAACGAGGAGGAGGCAACAGACCACTGTATGTAGGGGGGTCGGTTGGCGGGTGCTGGGCCAGCCGCTCCCTCTCGGCCTGGAGTTCGGCGTCGAGAATGGCTTGCTCGCGTCGTCGTTGGACGGCCCGGCGTTTGTTGAGGCGCCAGCGGCGGTATCTCGCGTAACAGGCGGCAATTACGAAGCAAACCAGGACAGCGGAGGAAATGATAAGCCAGATGTAGTTATTGATGCCTCCGGAACCCGAGTCGTCGGAGGAAGACATGGTTTCGGTTTTGGGAGGTGCCATCATAGGTACGCTTAAGGGATATATATAGGGTGGCCGTTAGTATGATTGGTAGATAGGCAGAGTGGATGTATCTTGGGTGGCCGTTGGTAGAATTGCTGGATGAGCAGAAAGTTTGGATTGGAGTGAATCGGCTTGATTGATGTAGAAAGGACCTGGTTAATGGTTACGGACGTGAAGGAGAAGCAACACATCGATCAGTTTTATAGAATGGCATCGAGAAGGTCCTCACGAACATACTTTTGCAGAGAATTTTTGCGAGCGACTCATTTGTATAGCGAACCGTGGATTTCGACAAGTTTGTGGGCATCGGCCAACAGAGGTCCTCAGAGGTCCTCACGAAGGAGTCATGTTGTCTCTGGTGAAGCCAACCAGCACTGAGACCGCAGTATCGCTGAATTTACCGCCGGTGTGCTTCTGGTCATCGAGTCTGCTGTCGAGTAGATGGGCTTAGCGTCCTCGTTCGCAATCGATTCCTGGCCATGAAGGCTTCATCAAAGTCAAAACCGAACGACGTTTTCTTTCTTTCCTGGAAAGGAGTGCTTCAGCCTCACCTGGGGCACTTCGGTCGATGGGCGGCAGTGTTTCTCGAGGTACAAGGGAGATGATACCTCGATGTTGCCTTGTCAATTCTAACCTAGCATACCAACGTCTGTGTAGCAAAATGCGTTTGGACGTGAGGAGATACCAACAGAAAAGAAGAGAAAAACACAAAGCTCGACTTGCTCGGACAAGACTTGTGATTCAGGAGACGACAGCGAGGGTGAGGGTAATGATTTTTCACGGCCATTCAGGGTGGCAAAGAATATATTTTGTCGAGTTCATTTACCTTTTCCCCTTTTTTTTTTAAATCGTCGATAGGCCACAGAGGAGTTGCAAGATGAAAAACTCGAAATACTATGTGCGCATCGTTACCTTGCTCATGGAGGTTTCATGGCCTCGATAGCCTCCTCTTGATGGACGACGAGGAAGAGCAGCAGAGTTTTCTTCATATTCCAAAGGTGATCTGTCTAATCGTCGCGTTGGCTGAGAAGCGCGAGAGAGTGAGCGATGGCAGACTGAAGTGTAGGCCAATAATAGGAATACGGCACACACTGTATAAGCTGGGCTGGCACTGCTGGCAAAAGAACAAGCAATGAAGTGGGAAGAAGCTCTGGCGAAACAAGGTGTGGCACATGTTTAGGAATTCCGTGGGTGCCACGGTGCCCAGCCACTTGCTCTTTGACCAATATCGCACCGCCACGATCATCGCCTTCTCCGTGCACCAAGTGAGGATGCAGATCCCTAGATCCCGTAGGAATGTGCGGGCACCATTATTGGTGGCAGGGGTGGCAGTAGTTCTGACCAGTTCATCACTCGTATCCAACAAACCAGCGGTGAAGCTGAAGCCCACGGTACGAGTAGTGAGCCTGATTCTTGCGTTACTTCTCGAACCGAAGTACGCAGAGGGAGTAGGGAGTAGTGATCATCGGAACTGCCATTTTGCATGTCTCATGCACAGCTGAGATAGTTGATTCCTTCATAGCGAACTAGGAGAGGATCATCATTCATTCACTTGGAACTTCGTATCTTCCATCAAGAATGTCGAGTAGCGTGATCCGGACATTCGGCCATCCATCACACTGTGTACCGAACCGGTGACAGGTCATTCTCGCCTTTCCCTTTCATACCTTGCATGAGCCGAGGGCACGGGGCAGATTGTGTGGCACCAATAAATGGTTCACGTGGATGGACGACGAGAGGAGGGAAATGACCTCGATTTCGGTCTTCTACCATTGTGTGCTTCACCGTGACATATCTTGCGACTTCTAGCCAGATGAGTGGGTGGGAGAGCAGGTCCAGAGGTCAAGCACGGAATTGCAGCGTAGCACTGGCGAGTCGCGGGGTAAACAAGGTCCATCGTGGCTGTGCCTTGTGCCCCTCGTCGATTCTGCCACGGTCTGCTGCAGTAAAGGTGGCAGACTAGGGATTGTGAGACTTGGTCAGGAGGTGGGAGCATGTGGCATGCGCGGTGGGTTGTGGGTGCGCGGAAAAAAGAACAAAGCTGAGACAGGCACTGACGAGACCTGACAAGGATCACACGATTGGATTTTCTCCGAGAGTCCAGGAATGGAATGGACAAGTAGGCGCGCGTCGAGGCGAGGAGTTTGGCAGGTCAGTGAATCCAGTCTGCACCACAGTCCAGTCAGTCAGGTGTTTCACCAGTCATTCAAGGATCAAGCCCATCCAGAAGTGGGATACGCGAACTCGGGACCCCCTGAAGCGCGTCGCAGGTGTCTCGACCCGATGGCCAACCATTGCAACCACTGGAAGACGGGTAGCGGGTAGCGAGAGGAAGTGTGTCAGAGCGTGTCGGGCGTCTGTCTCGACTTGCAGAGATTTTGCCCCATCTCCATCATCCAGTGAATACCGTGGTAGACAGTTACTATGTACCTAGGTAGGTGGTAGTGGTCAGTAGGGTTTGGTCTATCTCATCTCGTAACAGCCACCGAAGAGAAGGGCGCAGACAAGAGAAGGCTTGATCATCGTGCCCATTCCTATTCCTGTCTGCCACCTACCAGGTATTTGCTGCCCCTTCTCCCTGCAGAGGCATCGCTTTCATCCGAAGCCAGAGCCAGAGCCAGAGCCAGAACCAGAACCAGAAGCACTACCGAAACCCTGGAGGTCGGACTCGCAACCCTTGCATCCTGTGGTCAAGCATCCAGTGGCCTCTTGACCAGGTCGTATTGTTCTGGGTCAGTGGTTCTCCATCTTTCATATCTGGCAGCCGCCCAATCCGCACACCATCTCTGCGAGCCGCCATCACTGGGCGAAACAGATCCATCTCGCTCGTGCATCTACTTTCTTGTCTTCTGAGCCAGTTGCCCTTCCGTTGCCTACATATCTGGCCGCATTCTGGTTTCCATTCATATCCAACTGCAAGCGCCCTATTCATCTCAGAATTCTCCATTGTGGCCGTGCTAATTATTGTGTCCATCAGGCATCTACATTAATACCATCTATTCATCTCATCTCATCTCATCTTATTTTCATCTCAATCAACAATCAACCCTCTTCCCTCACCTTCGTCCACTGTCAACGGCTTGAACACGCTATCTCGGCCTGCATCTCATCCACCACACCCCTGTCTCTCCCAAGCCAGAATCTATCCTTTTAGCCAACATCCGGGGCCGGTCTCCCCACCCGCATCAAGCCTCTTTCAGCACCTCACTAATTCGCTTCGGGCGTGCCCATCAAGTCGCCGCACACAAAAAGAGGAGGGAACAGCACCGAGCACTGACACCCGTCAAGGCCCCTGCACTCAAGCCTCCCAAAGGTCAGGGGTTGGTCCAGCCTGCACTCGGAAACCCTAACGGCTCGCGCGCATCCGTACCTGGAGTTTATCGGTCGCCTATCCACTAGCCAGTGTCCCAGACACCTCCCAAATCCCCACTACGCCGCAGTTGCTACATCACTCTTGTGCACTGTTCAGGAGTCTGGCTCGACACAAGGGACTCTATCTCAAACACAGGAGCAACATCCTGGGCCGTGCCCAGCAAGCCAGTCCTTTTTCTTCTGGCTACCCGGCCTTCAACCTCGTTCTCCAGTATACTCAAAAGAGCTCAGACCTCTTCTGTCATCAGTCTTGCTGGTCAAGACCTTTGTTCTTACAGGTCTGCGCTCAACTAATACCAACCACCTAAGGTTGTCAAATACCTGTCGGAGGATCCTGTCAATTCACTTCAAAAGTCCTTCACTCTGATAGCCCAGACATTTCGATAAGGGCTTTCATCGAGTCCTTATACTCCTGACTTGTCGCATATCAGTCTCTCTCTTCGACCTTTCTTCCATCTCACCTGGACTTGAAGGGACACTGAAGTCGACATCAAACCGACTGGACCATTAGCATACAGCATGGCCTCCCATCATACCACAGCCCAGAATCGGGCAGCATTGGAAGAATTCGTCCGACAGCCAGTCCGCTCGTACATGGTCCAGCACTTGGCCAAGCAAGCCTCAGAAGTAATTCGATGTGATCCTGAACCTTCACCAGCAGGCGCCCTTCCAACTCCTCCTTCGACCCCTCCTCATCATGCTTCTCCAGAGCTGGCCCAGCCACCGCTACCGACCCTTGAACAGTTCATCAGCTCGCTGGTCCACAAGTCGTCCGTGCAAGTCCCAACCCTGATGACCTCTCTGGTCTACCTCGCCCGCCTTCGATCGAGGCTGCCACCCGTCGCGAAAGGCATGCGATGCACCGTCCACCGCATCTTCCTGGCCTCTTTGATTCTCGCAGCCAAGAACTTGAACGACTCTAGTCCAAAGAACAAGCACTGGGCGAGATATACTTCGGTGAAGGGATTCGAGGGCTTTGGGTTTGGACTGGCAGAGGTAAACTTGATGGAAAGACAAATGCTATATCTCCTGGACTTCGACACGAACGTGAAGGAGCAGGATCTTTTCGACCACTTCGAGCCGTTCCTTGCTCCTATTCGGTTCCAACTCGAACTCCAACAAGAAGAAGCAGAGCTCGTCAGCTCTCACAGACACTGGCACTCTCACCAGCCTTCATACGACTCCAACATGTCCCTGCCACCTCCGCCGCGTAAGGAGCACATTCTCCCCAGCATGGCGACCCCGCCACCCAGAGCTGTTGGTGTGTACGATTCTCCAGCATCTTACATGGAAGAGGAGGCTGCCAGTGGCAGATACTCACGTCACAGAGCCAACAACAGCTCTCTGTCGTTACCTGCTCCAAGTCACCGACGCTGGCCTTCACCTTTCCGTCATCACGTTCACGGCCGTTCTGTGTCTCCTCCTTCAATCCGAGACCTTCCACCGCTTGTGCCTTCAAGCAGACCCGGAACCATGCACAGCCATTCCAGTTCGCGATCCTCATCTATGGCACCCTCATTGCGGTCTCGATCCTCGTCCATCGCACCCACCACGCGAGGCACTCCTTATACCTGCTCAACCACCATTGAAGACAGCGTCGTGGTTGTCGATCTGACAGAAAGCCCAGACGCCTCGTACCACAGTGGATATGGTAAGGCCTTCGCCACGTCCCGACCTGGTCTCAAAGGCCACCAGACCAGCTTCCAAGGCGAGAGTCTGCAGCCGACAAAGAAAGTCAAGGCCGATTCTACTGTGGGTGGCGTTATTGGCAGAATCTTCAGCTCCGCCACAAACAACTACCGGCTCGGAAGGACGCCCATTCAAGCAGCTTAGAAGTCTGAGCGACTGGACGTCGAAAATGATCACAGAGACATACGGCCACGATATTCGGACCGACATGCCACACGAACGAAGTAAACAACCCAGGAGTTGACGACTATCCGAGCTTTGACGAAAACCTGCCCTGCCCAAGATCAGGGCAGTACTCCCACAGACACTCATTGCGATTTCTCATTGCATTTAATGTACTCTTATGCATGGCGACGGCGTTATATTCTCGGAGACAGACTTGGCTACTTCCAAAGCCCTTGGATCGTCGACCTTTTGCGGGACAGGATGTTTCTTATAAAACAAGAAACGTGGAAGGGCCTGTTGACTTTTCTTCCCAATTTCATACGTGTACAAATAGATTTATCAAGCCTGCTAGCTCGAGTTAGATGGCGATGACACCAAGATTGGACTGGATTCAACGGGTCATGAGCGCACTATGCTGCGAGTGCTGGTGATTGGAGAGAAGAGGGTCCAAGTGACAAGATGCTATGATCATGATCAGAGAGAGAGAGGATCAATACCCACTAGGAGTAGTTAGAAAGTGGATGAAATATCGCATAGCATAGCACGAGAAGATGATCTCAGAAACATGAGATCTAGCGAAAATGAATGAGAGAATTGATGACCCTCCAAACTGTGTCTTTGGCTTTCTAATTGTGCTCAGTCATCCGGTATATTTATTTGATGTTTTCCCGTCTGGCCAAATCATGAGAAAGGGGTTCAATTACTACATATCTACGTTGTGCCACTGTGACCGTCGAAAGATATAGTTGCACTGTGACTGTGTTCCCCCAGTACGAAGATCTACGGTACTAGTAATAAGTCGACTTCCATTCGGTCAATATAGATGGCTATGCCTCCTATCGCGGTTATACTGTACTCCGTGCATGCCTAAGGTAAGCCTCCCCTAAGGTATCTGGACATCTGGCGGAAAACCAAGAGACTTATCAAGCCGGTGTAGTGTCCACGGTGTCCCCTCTGACATTGTGCTGTCTTGCCCCAAAAACAATCGGCCAGACCACGATCACAGCCCGAGTCATGGTAAGGGGGAATGGATGAGTGCGGAGTTACCGACGCAGGCTCCGCCGATATATCACTCCATCGACGCCATTCTTCAATGCCCACGCCGCCTACTCGGGCAGTTCCAGTTCCAGGTGCAGTTGCATCGGTAGTCGTAGTCGTAGTCATATTCCGTAGTCCCTTGTCGTTTGTGACATATATATATATATATATATATATCCAAGCTGTCTTGATCTTCTCGCTTGGTCTTTCTCCTTGCTCCTTGCATGCGGACCCTAGCAGAGGAACTAGTCCTTTCCTTTCCTTTTCCCAGGGGAAAGAAAAAGAAAAGCAAAAGTGTCATGCATCTTGCTCTTCTCTTCTCTTCTTTTATCCTCTCACTTCTTCAATGAGTCGATTGTCTTCGGTCCTCTCGACAGGTATGTCCTGGCTTGGTGGTGGCCGAACGACTCTGCGGTCCAGATACACATACCGCAATGCCATCAGTGGGCCATTCAATCTCTCCCGAGTGAAAGTCCATATTCGCACCGTCCCAGGGTGGCGGGAGATCTGAACACACTCCTTGCAAGGACTCGTAAATACTTTCATCTATAGTGTCCCATTGCACTGAGACAGGCACCCGCGGTCAAACAGTATAGGTCTTCAAAACGCCTAACGCTGTGGTTTCTCAGTCACTCTTCTTCTCGCAGTGTGTCAACTGCTCCGTCACCATCCCGTCCGTCTCTTCTCTTTCACTCAAATTGATCCTCCTCCCCACACCCATCCTGAGCATCCCTGTGAGCACCCGCCCAACCGTCCACCCCAGCACGACTCCCCAGACGACGGTGCACGGCCACTTCTGCCATTCACGATCCCAATCCAGGGCCATCGGTACCGCGCCAATCCACCCGCCAACCATGGCACCTACAGTCCCACCCCAGACGCCCGACTCCTCGAATGGGAGCCATGCCGCAGCCACGTCGCGCCATGCGGAGCTCGATACACCGTGCGTGTAGAAGATGGGAAGGAAACCGAGGAGCGAGACGTGCAGCGCCAACAGCAGTGTGTGCGGGAGGAGCGAGGTAGGATACAGCGGCGCGCCGAGGACGAGTGCCATGAGTGTAAGGGGGAGCGGCGGAAGGGTTAGCGTGAGAATCAGGGAGAAGAGCGCCGGCTAATTCACCAGTGTTAGCATTCTAATCCATTCAGTCACCCTCCCATTGCTTGCACCTGGCTCGCTGCACCGCGTAGGGGCGGTAGGCCGTGGTGTAAAGAACTGGCCACATAGTATAGCATGGATGACGAGGGCCGCTTACCATGACTCTGGAAACCCAACTTCCTCCAGCTCCGTCTCCCATTTTGTTCGGGCCGAATTTCTTCCTCATGCTCCCTGTCCCAGTCGGGCTTTTTGTTGTTCTTGGACTTTTCACCGCAGCCGTGCCCTCGACTATCTTCCCACCCGTCGTCCCACTGACCCACGATCCTGCGCTAGGTAGGCAGACCGAGCAGAAAAGTGCTTGAGCGGTGCCAATTACCAGCAGGTCTGTGACCATGGTCGGGAGAGGGTCGGCGACCAGCGCTGACGATCGAAGGTAGTAGTAGACAGGGACGAGGACGGTGTGGGCATAGCTGTACCGCTTTGCCACGGGGGATGAGAGCAAGGGGATAGGGAGGGTCGTCGGCTTGAGAAGGCGTGCTGAGGACGTGGTTTGGACGGGAGCTTCGGATTGTGAGGATGGGAGGACATGTGTCAGGGAAGACATTGTTGCGTCCACACCAAGCCTACAGTGGCCGACCGGTAAAGCGGACAGGTTGGGAGCCAATAAAAGGAGCGTAAGCCAGGTGTTCATGCCATGACGGTCGGATGAATCGAAGCAAGAAGCAGCTTGATTGAGTATTGAGCAGTGCTGAGGATCAACAATAGGAAACTTTGGAGTCCAGGTACTAAGGTACGATTACTGTAGGTGAGGTGGTTGAGGTACCTGTAGCTTCTCCAACACTACCTAGGTAGCCTTGGCAGGTTTGCTCCGGGCGTCATCGTCGTCTTGCACAAGGCCAGTCCGGGGAGGTCACACCGGGAGGTGTACTCCGTACGAGCACTGCTACTGATGGCTCACTAGGCCCGAGTCATCGACAATGGTTGAATAATAAACACGGATTAACATTCGACGTTTCCAAGCACGCTTGAAACGCTCACATCAGCATCAACAGACCTCCGTTGGTCTCTGTAATTTACAAATAGCCTCCTCACGCTATCTTCCTGCTATCAGGGCTCGTCTTTGCAGATAGGGTATCTCTTGAACAGGCCAAAGTGCACAATCAAACCACATGATGCCACTGAAACAGCTGTGCACTGCACCATAACCTGGCTTGAACATGCAAAGCATCAAGTCCTCAATCATCCGCATTTGCCGTAACCAAGGTCAACCAGCAGGCGTCCAATAAGTCTTGAACCAAGTGTGGAATACTCCGAACACACAAACGAGCCAAAAATGCAGAGGCAAAAGGTGGGCTCATGTTGTCACCAGCCGTGGTTCTTCTCGAGCGGTCTCGAATGTCCTTCTCATCTCCTCCAGTGGGGTCTCGTAGACTTCTTCGAAACCTTCGTCTTCGTTCTCATGGTCCGATTCCGGATCGGTTCCGCTAAATCGTGAAATTTCAGGAGGGGGATAGTTCAGTTGGAATCCCGGTGACCGATGCAGCGCTCGTGGTGTTGCAGGTGCGTGATGTGACGACTCAGGACTTGGTGTGGGATAAGCTTCTCTGATCGTGGCATAGACCGGAGTCTTGAGGCTGTCGACCTCTTTCTGGAGTCCCATGACTTGTTCCTCTAACTTTTGGCGCGCCGCCTTTTCGTCCTTGATCATCTCCAGGAGCGCTTCGAACTTGTCAAGTGGTATGTGGATCGAAGTCGGCGATTGTGATCGTGCAGGTGACCTGCGCCTGGCTGTGTAAGGTGTGATGGTTGCGGTCGTAGCCTTGCTGGCTCGGTTAGGACGAAACAAATCGTCATTTTCAGGATATGACAAGGGAGGAGTATCTCCTGGAGATGACAAGAAGCTCACATCGTTAACAGTAGCTGGCGAAGAAAGATAGCTGGTATCATGCGAAGAGCTTGAAGTCAACGTCGGATACGTGTTGTCATCCGGAAAGACATCGTGGACGGGGCCTCGGGTGAATGGTCTGGAATTCCTCGCCGGGCTCGAGATCTTCGTCCCTTGGAGCTTTACAATAGCATACTCAAAGTCGATGAGCTTGATCTCAAGGGTGTTGATGCGCTGCTCCAAGCTCGTTCCACCGGCACTGCCAATATCAAGACCGAAGTCAAATGCCTGCATCGGATTTGCCACGGCAGAGGACTCTGCATCATATTCCTCCACCGAGCTGACTCCTCCAAGGACATGTACAGGGTCGACCGTGATTGATTGACCACTGTACACAGGAACAGGATTCTGAATGGCACTGTTGCGCCAATATGCAATTTCTCCAGCCCTGTCGCGGGTTGGAGAAGGCTCAAGGCCACCAGAACGTAAAATTTCATTGAGAGCATCGGCACTTCTCGAACGGCGCTTCAATTGACCATCAGACATGTAGTCCTCTTTCGCCCACTTCTTGTCCTGAGATTCCTGTCCACTGGGCCGATTTCCCATAGCAGACAGCGAGCCCGAGTCCTTGTCGCTGAACACCAGACTAGGCAGAGTATTTCGGCGCCCGCGCCGTGGAGGAGACGGTAGACTCTGCTCAAAGTCCTCCGGTTGTCGGCGGGTCAGGTGCGATGTCAGTGCCGTTCCGGGAACGACAAGCCCAAAAGAAGGCGCAGACTCTGGCTGCGTCGATGGCTGTTGCTCTGTTACAGGAAGGAGATGGCCAGGGTCGCTATAATGATAACCATCGGTCTTAGCAGGAACAGACCTGTGTTTCCTTCCAGTGAACATGCGTTTGAGTGTGGCGCGTAGTCCTCCTGGCTTCTTCTGATTCAAGGAGGACTTGGATGGTACTGAAGACATGGACCCTGGAATAAGGGACGTGCCAGCGGAGTTTCGAAGGGCCATACCAGGTGGGATGTCGCTGACATGGCGAACGTGGTACTCCTGTGGCGGAGTACTTTTGCGTGGCCATGTGGTGTCATTAGGTCGATATCCAGCATTGAACCTAGGAGAGGGGACCGGATTCGAAGTGATGAACATGTCTCTTGATTCGTTGAAAGGAATTGGGTCCGAGATTTTCAAATCTCCCCTCCGTATGGCAGCTCCTGTACTCGTCGAGGCCAAAGAAGCCCGCGCGCGATGATTCGGAGATGGCATATTGGACGAGGCAAGCAGATGGTTTCAACCCCTCCCCAATAACATCACCTTACGGCCAGCAATGCAGAACGACTCAGCGTCATGTTGCGCTGCGACGAATGCGACGGGCCTGATCCGATAGTGGCAGGTACCTTCGTGACTCCCTGGACTTTTGACGAGAAGATAGGCCTGATTTTAAGTCAATCGCAGAATGAGCCTGTCAGAGGAGGTGTCAGTAACCACGATCTTCGAACCCCATTTGGAAGGTTCAGGCGACTGTACCAGTACCGAAGAGTCTAGAATAGGATTATCGAACAGGTCATATCAAAGCTGAGGTTGGCGACAACACGTAAAGGGCCAGGGTGTGAAGCAGAAGTTCAACGTTGATAACGAGAGGATGAAGGAATGTCAGAAAAGCGGGCTGAAAGTCGTAAGGCCCACGACGAAGGAGGCCAAGGCAAACGGAGGTGGTGAAGCGATTCCAAAGGATGATGATTCCAATATGATCAGACTCGTGAGCGGGAAACGTGTCGTGGCTTCCTCGCCGTGGATCAACTTATCAAGACGGCTACGAGGAACGAAGGATGCAGCAGCTGAGCAGTATCATTGACAATCCAGAATCCCTGCCACGACATCAGAAGATCCAGAAATGGAGCATATCCGGCATCGCTTCGACCCGCAAGTGCAGCTTTAGACCTGCACGGACCTGACAGCAGTGATAGACAAGAATGACAGCGGACAGACGTCCCACTGCTCTCGGTGTTTCAGTGCAATAATGGGCAGGACTGAGAGAGGGTGTGAAGCAGAAACGAAGCCAGGGAGCTACGAGTAAGAAAGAGGAAATGTGGGCGTCGTCGCGGACCAGTAGCAATAGAAGAAGAGGCCAACACCGTCTCTTCCAGGCATGGACAGCTCTCTCTTAGGCTTAGCTGGCGTTGATAGTTGATGATAGCTCTCGACCATTTGCTCCACGAGTCCATATCCTAGCTAGGGATTTGCCCATGATTCATGAATGAACCGCCATCCCCGGTTGTGCGCTCTGTAACCGAGGGCTCTGAGGTTTTCGACTCTCGTTGATGCTTCTGCGCCTCTTCATCAACGATTGACTACGGAGTAGCCCTTCTGTCAAGTTTGTTGATATCAGGTACCGAGTAGTATGGCCAACCAACCAGCGTCCTCTGTCGCTCCCTCCAGCTTCTGCCGAGATCCTGCATGCGGGTTGGTGCCAAACCGGACTTGGTTCGCCAGCTCATCTACGAGTAGAATGGTTGGCATCAATTTCCTACTAGGAGGCAGTGGTGGTACAAGGCCGTCTCACCGCCACGTTGAAGAACAAACCTTCCACTCAGTCTAGGCCGATATCGATGTTTCTTCCTTGCGACCATCAGACGGGCCCGCCGGACATGAAGCTCACCAAGAAGGATGATCCTGAAGAATTGGGTGGAGGGCGGACAGAGCCAACATCTTCCGCTGGGGATGGGGATCCTCCTTGCTTACCATTGGCCCCCGGGCCATCAATCCTGGGCATCGAGTAATAACTGGACTGCCCCTGCGCCATGCAGCGATGCAAGTCATCTCTAGCGCTGGAGCTCCCGTCGAGCTCTTCCCATTCTGGGCCTGCTTGCGTCCGCATCGCTGTTTCGAAGCGGCACAGATAATTTTGGAGGCAAGTTTTGAACAAAGAGCGGTCGAAGTCATGAAGTGGAACAATAGCAAAGTGATAGACATCCGATGCCAATCTCCTCGAGTCTGCCGCGTCGCCGTTGAGGCTGACCATTATTTGGCAAGGAAGAGAATGGCCCCATCATGCCCCCAAACAAGATCGCTTGCAAGGTTCGCCACTGGCGCACCGACTAGCCATCCACTCGTATACTTGAGGCTTCGCATGATCGACCACTGACAAGTCATTCTGCGCCTTTGACTGTCAACCTGCTGAACTTTGTTCGCACTTTCTTTACGTTGCCTTGTCGTCAAAAAGCCCGCTCGGACTCATCATTGGCTTGACATACAGCAGAATCGACTTCGCATCGGACGAACACGTCGCTTGGCTCATGTGGTCAATTCTTGTTGTGTTCTTCCATGGGGATCTCAGCATGCTTCCATGATCGGCGGAATTGCGCTTTTCAGCTGCTCATCCCGGTCGGTCAGGCCGAACTCCTGTCATCTGGCCATGATCGAAAATCACGAAGGAGTGTTGGCTTGCTCATCATTGATTGCTTCTTCGCATCTCAGCACCAAGATAAGTTTCGGACTATGGAATTTAGGTTGCATCCGAAGGACGCGTTATCTCGTCGCCAGAAAATGAGGTCCGACAGGGATGAGATCAAGTACTGAAGGGTCTCCTCTGGACACGAAGAAAGTTGTTGTCGCCTTCAGAGTCCAACAATGAGATCTCAGGTGGCAGATCGCTGTCCGCCGAATTTGCGGCTCGTTGCATGATCAGATCATGTAAAGAGTGGTACAGCCCGTGTAGAGTACAGCCTTACTTTGGGCACCCATCAACCAATAACGATGGTATGCTCACTTCATTTGCTGGGAAACGTCCACGTCAGATTGCGCCATCTGGTTTCGAAACGTTCCTCAGCCCTACGATTTGAGGGTTTCATATGGTTCAAGCTTCGGCCTATAGTCGTGCTCCTCGTCAATTTGAGAGTCTCTATCGCCATTCGCTGATGTTCTTAGTAGGCGTCAAAGGGACTGCATTGGCTCGATGCTTGTCGCAGGAGTCGCCAGCGGCGGATTTCAACCGAGCTTCAGGTCTTCGAGACTAGGATAACGCAAGTCGGCGTTGTCCTCGAGAAACTTCATCCATCTTTTGAGAAACTGGCTCCCTCTGGAGACTGTTTCTGAATCGCCAATCACACACAAATGCCGTTTGGGTCGAGTCATCGCGACTAATATCGTGGTTAGACCTGCATGGGCAGTGTAACGAATCTGACTGCAGATGCGTTGCATATGCGCAGATTGTTGAACGCAAAAAGGACAACGCAGATTCAATAAAAGCCAATGCTGTGGAGATTACTTACCATTCAATCTCCTCTTTTCACCAAGGAAGCCCACTTGCTTTTCAGCATTACTCCTGACGAGACTGACGATAACAGCCTCTTTCTCCCGACCTTGGAATCCATCCACGCTGCCGAGCTCGATATTCGGATATTTCTCCTTCAACATCGAGCTGAGAAGAGCGACCTGTGCATTGTATGGTGTGATAACTGCAATGTCATCGTCCCTGACGCCCGCGTCGATGAGATTCCGTACGTGCATCCCAACGACGGCTGCCTCCATGTCGTTACTCTTGCTGTCGCCAAGCAAGACCGAAGCCTTGACCTGTCCTCCAGGGTCCTCCTCAGTCTTTTCGGGGAAGTCGCCTCCTTGGGTGTCAAAGAACACAAGGGGTTCCACCGTGTCTTCCGTCTCCTTCACCTCGTATGGCAAGTCTTTCAAGAGTCGAGCTTTCACAGCGACCGCCGCTACAAGTTCAGAGTCGTAGAGCTCGTTACTTGGAAAGCGCATGATTTTCTCATGCATTCGATATTGTGTATTGAGGAGTCTCTTGATACCCGGGCCATGCATTGCTAGAAGCCGATCAAACATTGTCTTTTCCAAAGACCACCCTTTAGCTGCTTTGATCTCGTCATCTTTGACGGACAACTTCTGCAGCTCTTCTTCTAAGCCCTTCATCTTCGTCTTCTTTTCGTCCTTGTTGTCCTTATTGTCTGCACTCTTGATAGTCGGGGGTAACTGCAGATGATCGCCTGCCAATACGAGTTTCTTGATATCGCCACCACCAAAGACGAGTGGGATCCAGCATTGCGGCTCCAATGCCTGGCTGGCCTCATCGATCACCACAGCATCAAACTCCTGGTTGCGGAGTTGGTGGCCCCCTGCGCCATGCAGTGTTGACAAGACGACTTTGCTGTCACGGACCAGGCCATCGATGCATCTACCTTCTCGCTCACGGTACTCTTTTCTCAGATCTTTCAGGTCGGCGTATATCGCGCGGCGCTCGCGGCCATTCCGTGTCTTACGAATTGAAGCTTGTTTTTCATCCATTTCTTTCCGCACATCATTGACAATGCCTCCGGCTTCGCTTGTTCGGGTCAGGACTTCGAGGGAATGATTCAGGACGCTTGTTAAGAGGCGGGCTGGATGTCCCAGACGGACAATCGACGTGCTCGGCGATGTGAGAGCGAGTCGCTCCACAATGTTGTCTACGCTGATGTTGCTTGGACCGCAGACTAGCACTCGTTGGCCTTGTTTCAGAAGCTGTAGAATCAGCTCAATCACTGTGTGAGTCTTCCCCGTACCAGGCGGGCCGTGGATGAGAGCGATTTCGGGGGACGAGAGAGCGAAGCGAATAGCTTCTTGCTGAGAAGGATTCAAGGTAGGATCGAAGAAGACCACATCCTTGACCTTCTCGAGGTCCGAAGTTCCTGGTGATGAAAGGCCCAGAAGCACACGTTGGAGACTGGTGTAGGATGACTCGGGTGCTTTGAGTAACTTGATTAAAGCTTGGTTCATTCTGTTGTAGACTGGTTAGGTTATAGCTGCGCGATATATGGGTGGATGATTCACCTCTTGTACGTCACGTCGTTTGCAAGTTTGACCCTAGCGAGCAATCCGTCAGCCTCGTATGTCCCAGAGTCGCACAACTGAGCAGAGGGAGCTATACTTACAACCATAGCTTCCCATCAGGCACGTCCTCAACAACATCACCGCCAGACCCTTCCTTTCCTAGTGCCACCCATACTGCTCTTTGGCCCACTCTAATCACGACTCCCTCGACTCCTTTGCCTTTCAACTCATTGACCTCTTTCTTCTTCGCAGTGCCTTTTGGCATTTCTCCGATGCGGACAATGTCGCCAGTCCGGATACCATGCTCCGGTAATTCGCCTTTCGAATCCTTGCTCACAACCGCAGAGTCCAGGCCAAGTTCGACAACTGAACGCCCTCCAAGACCTGTTTTCAGTGACTGGATCGACAAACTGAGGATGGCAAGACCGGCCCGGGCGAGCGTGCTTGGTGGCGTGGAAGAGAGAAGTAGACTTGTCTCCGCGACTTCGGAGTCTTGTTCAATAGCAACAAGAGTGAGAAGGGTGTTGAAGAAGGCAGCTGGCGAAAACATCTTGGGGGAAGTCATGGTGATGACTGAATGATGGTGAGCTGTCTTGAAACACGCTGCGATGAATTATTGGCTTGTAGCGCTTGTAGTCTTCGTTCTACCCGACGCGAACGCCGTAGATGAAATCTCAATTGCGTCCTAATCGATATCACATGGTGATGTGATGATGATGGGGGATTCTTGTTTTCATCGAAGATCAGTTCGAAAATCCATTCTGTTCCCAAGATTTTGATGAATTTTCCCGGGGGCAACAACCGCACAGACTAGGACAATGCACCTGGATCTGGTTATTTTCCTAGCAGTAGCACTAATAACTGTATAAAGATTTCGTGAGATTTAAATGCCAATGTCCTAGTGAGCAGCAAAAGGATACTTCTCATTCCATGTCGAGATCTCGCTAAATTATGTAATCCAGCGGAATATCAAATCTCCGCCTCCGAGGGTCACGAGTTCTTGGCAGCTCCGAATTTCAATCTCGGTTTTGACACCTCATGACAGCTCCTTAGAACCTCGTTCAAAGACTTGTATGCACGAACAATTCCACGTCCATGAAGTCGATGCACGTGTAGCTTACTAAGTCTCCAATATAAGCAAGTATTGCGCGCGCCTGTTAAAAGGCATTTATGGGCGTCTTTTCGAAGGTCTCCACATCTGCATTATTGGCAAGCCTGAGGGTTCGAAATATGCTTTTCTCTGGTGGTGAGCATTGTTCACGCCAATCAATCAATTGAACTCAAGCACACCAATTACCTGAATGAACAGCAAGCCAAGGGCGGTTCACTTCGGCTCTGTCAAAGATGGGGTGACTTTACAATGGAGCGTGCTTGAACATGCAACAAAAATAGAGGCCGAAACTGCCTGCTCGGACGTGATTCGGATGACCGGTAAGGAATGAGTCGGCAAGTCATGGTGCTGTGCTTCAGCACGTTCAACCATCTGCGGCTGGTCTGCCTTATTTGGCGCTATACGCTCTATAACCGCTGCAGACTATTCTATCCACAACAACTCCAACCGAGGCGCTTTGGCAGCAACACAACCTCATGTGGCTCTTCGCGGCAACTCGCAGCGGATCGTAGGCACGTCGCCGCAATGGCAATGGAGAGCTTTGAAAGCCACGAATGTACACATATGGTCTCTGCGGAGAACGTCAAGAGGGGAACATTGACAGACTGGCGCCTTCTGCGTAAGTGGACTACTGCTTGAACCGACTGCGATGTGCTGTCTTGTCCATAACCCTCCCAGAGATGCTCCGAGCTCGCGAGTTCACGTACTCCGAGGTGGTTTGGGCAAATGTGGCTTCTGGTCACCGCAAGCACGGTCCAGCTTAACGAAAAAACGTTGTTCCGGAGCAGCATAACGACAATGGGATTGTTCATGTGCCGCAACGAGCATTTCAGGTACAGAGAAGCCTATCGAATTTTCCTTGCTTAACACGTTTTTGATCGGCAGCAGTCTGGACTGCGATCGTTTGAGTCCAGCACGAGATTTGTCGGGAGATCGGCAGTTTCTCGAACGTTGGCGAACATTGCAAACAGTCTCAGTTCGTGAGTATAGCCGTCGCATGATTCGACTTACTTCGCAACAGAACAAATAACGGTCTGTGCCTCCTGGTGTGATGTCGAATTTATTGCCGTTCAAGGTGCACGCCACGCGGATGATTGACGGGGCCGTCCGTGCGGCGTTGCGGCTCGTGCGTCGATAGCACGCCTATACCAGTATAATTTGGGATATCCTTACACACGGTCATGGTCAGGTAAGTGCGGATGCAGTCATAGGCCGGCATAGACTTCCTGACTGTCTGACAGTACGCTTTAGCAACGGTCGCACACATTGCGCACTCTGATTGTGCGGATTCAGAAGAACCTGTGCCGTCAGACCTAGGGCCTCTGTCAGCCTGCCCATCTCCTTTTCGCCCATCGCGCGGATCCTCCAGGTTGGTACTATTCGACATCATTCTAGGCTCGGAATGCCTCTGATCGAGGCATTCGCGGGTCCCGTCTCATACCAGATTCGTATTCTCGGTGCTGTCCGAGTCTCTTTCAGGTTGAGCACCAGGCCGAGACCGATATTCTTTCCAGTCCGACGGATGTCCTTCCCATTCGGTTCTCTTTGTCGAGCCCAATATGGTATCAGTCAGTATTCTAGAGCCCCCACTCCTCACTAGCACCTGCTCGCTTAGAGTTGTGAGTCGACTGACTGTACTCTCCTCGTGTAAACGGAAACGGACTGAAAGGGAGTAATGGAGACTCTTGCCTTCTTGAGAGGTGTCTAGACGGTGGAAGACTTTGCCAATAATTCGGGAAATGGTTCGGCCAGTGGAAAACGGAGAACAGTCTCACTCTTTCAGTCTATCAAGTGGAGGGACGTCTCGCATCTTTCTGTGCTGCCATGTGAAGCATAGTATGAGGACAAGAGGTATATAAGGGGGCCAAGTCTGAGTATCCTCAAACCTCCTCAACAGCCGTCGTCAGTCCAGTCTGCTCATTGACTTACCTTGCTCGTTTCCCCTTGACCACCAAGTGAATCTGCTATTCTCCTCAAGCATTCATCATGGTGTCCTCTACCCTCGGAAAGGTTGCCATCGTCGGCGTGGGTTTTGTCGGAGAAGCTCTCCTTCGAGAGTTCAGCCACGTACACCATACCATTGGCTTTGATATCTCCGAAGCTCGCATCAAGGATTTGCGCACAAAGTATGCGGGTGAAAAGCGCATGACCCTCACCACCGACGAGACGGCCCTTGACCAGGCTGCGCATTTTCTCATCTCAGTACCCACCTTGATGAAGGCAGACCACTCCGTCGACGTGTCATACCTTAAGTCAGCACTATCAACAGTCTTCCGTCATGCCAAACCAGGTAGCACCATTGTCATCGAGAGTACCGTTTCGGTCGGTACGACTCGCCAACTCTTCTCTTCTGTCCAACAACACTTCAACTGCGGCATGTCACCAGAGAGAGTTGATCCTGGACGCACCTTCCCAGCAGCCTGTGACATTCCCAAGATCATTTCAGGCCTCACGCCACAAGCACTGGAGGTCATCGAGGCCCTATACTCCACAGTGTTCAACCATGTCGTCCCTGTTTCCAGGCCCGAAATCGCAGAAATGACCAAATTGTTCGAGAACTGCTATCGAATGATCAACATCGCCTACGCCAACGAGGTCAGCGATGCTTGCCGGACACTTGGCCTGGACCCTCACGAGGTTATCGACGCCGCTGCCACTAAGCCTTATGGTTTCCAGGCTTTCCGTCCCGGTCTGGGAGTTGGTGGTCACTGTATCCCCGTCAACCCGTCATATCTCCTCCAGACATGCCCCAACCTACCTGTCTTGGAGCAATCGACTAAGATCATGAGAGAACGCCCGCTCAAACTGGCAAGAGAACTCCACGCCCACTGCTGCTCGTCGACTCTTGCATCAACCGACCTGCGCCCAAGGGTCCTCGTGGTCGGCGTCGGCTTCAAGCCTGGGCAGTCCGTCCTCTCGCACTCACCGGCCATCGACTTCGCAAACGAGCTTCAGAACAGCGGCTGCGACAGGCTGGCATTCTATGACCCTCTGGTGTCGCAAGAGGCCGTCCCGTGGATGGAGAAGCTCGAAGACGATGCCTTCAACCCCTCGGAATTGGCCGCCGATTTCGATGTCGTCGCTGTTTGCACCAGACAACACGGCGTCGATTTCAACGTGCTACAACACCTCCCGACAGAAATGGTCTGGTCTTATGATTAAATTCAAAGGGCGACCGTGCGGAGTGTGTGACATTATGATGGATGATTTGGGCGTAAAAGGTACAGCGGCTACGGCACACCTTGAGGCGTTAAACGTTTGGGGTTCGGGCGAAAACTGCATGCATGATAAAGCACCAGCGTCTTGAAAAGCATGGGATTGATAGAACCAGTTGCGACATATAGACGCAATACAGTAATAAGATTACTCTCATCATCTCTGATCAAGAATTTCTCTCTGGTCGCCACCCAGTCGCTACATAGTATGTGTTTACATTCTGTTTTGTCGTCTGTCAAGTTTCTGCTGACAGCTGCTCTAAAAATGTATGGACATTGGACAATGAAATTGTCTACTACTAGTACTCGTACTTGTACTTGGTACGACTAGTTGACACGGATATTGTACTACCTAGGTATGCAACTGCGGTGGCGTCTGTTCGCTTGACTGCCCTCAGTTAATCCTGCTGAAATTAGGACAGCATGCCTACAAGAGACACCTGTGTTAGCCCTACTGTATCCCCCTTTGTGGGCTGTATATCTACTTGTACTGGCCTGTTGGAGCGGCGAGTGGATAGATAATCTCGGACTGTACCACCCCTGTCGCCACAGCAGTTAGCCTTGTACAATAAAAAGGTATGTTTGTTAACTACGGATACCAAAGTACTATGTAACTGCGAGGCGACAAGGCTGCGTGCAAGGCACTCTTTGTTCTCTCGAACGGCTTTTTGTCAGGTGGCCCTACATTGGGACACCTTCCTGCTAGTTACTACTCTCGATATTCTTTTCTTCATCGTTCTCAGAAGTACCTCAAACTGTATTTTTGCTCAACCTGTCAATCACGTAATTGCTTAAGCACGGTCCCAGTCCAAAAGTCCAAGAAATTTTCGTTTCGACGCTTGGACACCCCTTCTCGAAAGTACGCGGGACCTCGTATTCCTTTCGATCTCGATTCTCGCCAGGCCAGGCCAAGCGAAAATGTCTTGGGTGTCTCCCACTTCTTCGTGCTTGGGGCTGGCTTGGGGACTGAAATCACTTTTGCCCGCCAAAGTCGGGTCTTTCGTCATCTATTGTGTACCTTCTTGGGTATACAGGGTTCTCGACGCTGACGATGACGAGATTCCAGACCGCGATCTACAAGGGTCCTCGTGATGCCCCAATAGCAGAACTACCACAGTACACTCGTACTCGTTACGAGCGTGGTTATGAAGTCACACGCAACATGCACCGTCCACCTACTAGGTAAGTACACAGCAGCCATCGAGCCTTTACCAAGACGTATGACGGCCTGCCAAGGCCATATCCGAGACTCGAGCCTTCGACGCAAGGATCATTCTCAGCACAAACCACAATAATGGCCCATGGCCTCGATTGACCGTTAACGAGCGTTAGTACCTTACCACCAGTTACTCACGCCTTACCACGGCTGGGGTTTTCGGTCTTCGAATTCGGACACGACTAAGCTACAACCAGCTTGGTGACCTCCGTCATGTACCGAAAACGGCCAGCCAAGTCCCCTATGATCTATCGTGGCCAGAATTCCCGTATCACAGTACGACTAGGTTAGAAACTCGGTAAGAACGTGACCCCACGGACCGCCAAATCTGGCTGTTGCTGGATATTTCCCGGCATGGCCCAGGCCCAGTACAGGCTGTGGAACACGACAAGACTCAAGTATATTGTCTTTTTGTATAGCCGTTATGGCTCCGCCTTAGGGGGGGGGAGGGAGGGGAGGTAGCACGTTTTCCGCACGTTTTTTGGCCGGGTTTCGAATCCTTGCAAAGGGAAAGGGGATTATTGCTTGCTTTGCTTGCTCTCGCACGAGGCACCTAGCAACACCTCTTTGTGCTTGTACCATACTTACCGCTCGGGCTGGGCCCCGTGGCCCCTATTTTTGTGCCCAGCGTCGCCGCAAAACCCGAAACCGAGCTGATGGAGCCAGCACAGTGCACACCCAATAGGTCGAGACTCGAGATACTATGGTACAGTATTGGCAATTATCCCTGGGTGACAGTAAGCTCGGCATTCCATGATGCCGGCCTGACTCCTGAGTACTGGACCCTACGGTAGCCTCTCTCTTAACTGAGTTTCCTTCTTCTAGGACCACTCGTGGATTTCCGCGGAGTTGATACGAATGCGAAGGAACCAAGTCTCGCGGCCGAATGATCCGTTTTCTTTACTTCTTCTCCTCGGGACCTGTTGCCATGATTGCCCCAGCACAGCACAGCACAGCTACTCGCCTGCCATTCCACCAACATGGAGTAAACAAAGCAACGACTGTTTCGCGATTTTCCTCTAAATTCACATATTATGCACGTTGTTTCGCCCATCCATTAATTATTACTATCCCTGCCTCAAGTCGTCCGCAAAACGACTGTATATGGATAAAACCTTCAGACAGAGTTTCGGCGCCACAACCGCGGCCGCGTATCGCGAAGAGGCTGAAGTTTAAACGGCCGTCAATCTCGGTACTGCCCTTCCCAAATGATTAGTCAGCCATACAGACCATCACGAAGCAATCCGCCCAAGGTCCATCTGGGTTGTTGACTAACTACCTTATTCAGTAGACACTTCTACCACGCAACGACACCTAGACTTTGCACGGTTATAGCTACGTGTATCTATCGATGCGCTTTTTAAAAAAATTAAAAATGAAAAGAAATGAAAAGAAAAGTCCATTCCTTCGGTGTCATTATACCGAGTACGGCCCATTCAAGGCTCCGACATACAACGCATGTTTGTACCCATCTACCCACTCCTTCAATTCCTCCGAGATATCAAGATGACTCTTCTTCACATCCCAAAAGTTCACCGGCACCTGCGCCGGCACGTCCTGATGACTCGCGTTATTCGTATCGACCTCGACAATCGCGGCGCGCAGGACAATATCCATCCTTCTGGCGACCGCCCACCGCCGTCCGCACATATTGATCCCATGCATCAGCGTGTCGAAAAGAGGCTCCCTGGCCACCTCCATGGCCCGGTACGCAATCAACTTGAACCTTGCGGCGCAGAACAGCACGCTCACCAGCAGCGGCGAACTCAATTCCGCATCCGCATCGCTTATACCACGCAGTGCGTACACGATATCTTCGCAGGCCTGCAAACACCGCTGCAGTGGGACCTCACTGCCGTTTCCGTTACCATTCCTGTTTCCGTTGGTGTTCCCATTCACATTCGTGTTCCCACCGGCGAGCGATTCAAACTCCACAACCCGCGAATACAATATGATGACACTCGCGTGTGCCAGTATACTCGTCAGCACAAGGTTGGGATCGAAATCAATCAGCCCGTCCGCGAGAAGCGTGTAGTGCGTACTGCTCTGGCTCCGGCCGTAACTCATTAGATTGTTGTATATCTCGTCGCACGTGGCGTACGCATCACTCAACCTTCCGTCGTACATACCTTTCTCATGTTCGTGGATAAACGTGTGCAGGGGCTGCAAGCCAATTGCGCACAGGTGGATGTGGTTGCGGTAACTATCCCTCAGATCGGGCGTGGAGATGTACGCGACGCTGGACAAGTGGTCGACCAACGCGGCGGACACGTCGCGCCAGGATATTCCGAGCGTGGAGACGGCGTCGAGAGCGAGCACCGCCCATGTCAGCGGGATGGCGAGCTCGTCGCCTGTATTTGACCCGACGGCGGGCGGGCCGATTTGGGCCGGCGATTGCAGGGCCATTTGGTTGAGCAGTTTGCGGAAGAGGCCGATGTTCTCGCACATCCTCCGGCACACGGAGAGCAGGCTGAATGTGCTGGGGATGTTGTCGCAGCCGTAGTCGAGGATGGCGATGACGACGAGCGCTTGCAATGAGTTGGGCGAGGGTTTGGAAAAGGCTTCATTGATGACTTGGCTGCGCAGGTATTGCGAGAGACGGTAGCGTCCGTTGTAGCCTAGACAAATGGCTTGGCTGGAGTAAGCGATCTGGACGGCAATCACAGCTTTGAGCACCATGTCTGGAATGTAGGTGAGCGGGTGGGGCAGGGTGTCGAGCGCGGCTTGGATCGAGTGTCGGCTCAGGATGGGTAGCCAGGGTTGGTTCTCTTTGAACCAAAGGTCGACGAGGGTGTGCATGTACTCGTGCGGCAGGGTGGAGAGGTCGGCCACGGCGGCGTCGGAGTCGGTGTGTTTGTGCTGGCGCTCTCGGATGGTGCTCGCTATAGAAGCGGCAGGGGAGGCAAACGGAGGATTGTGTGGTGAGAGTGTAGTAGGTGGAACCTGATTTGGCCCAGGCGTTGGCGTCGCTACTGGTCCCGGGGTAGGCGTTGGCATAGCAGCTGCAGCAAATTCCATGGACGGCGGCCGATGTTGCTGTTGCTGTTTTAGACTTGCCAATTGCTCCTCGAGGTTTTCTGAGGTTGTGTTAGCCGTGTACGGGATGCTGCTGTAGTCGAATGCCAGAAAGTACCAATTCGAGTCTCGAGCTGGGAGACATAGCCCGCTCGAAGGCCACGTTTCTTTGGCCTGGCGACATATCGACACTCGACTTTCGCCTTGACACAGAAGCCGCATCTGGGCAAGGTACGATCACATTTTGTTTTGCGTTGGCGGCAGAGGTAGCACCTGGATACATTGTCAGTTCCGGGGACATGTAGCCGTGGGAGTGGGGAGGCATTGGCATTTACACTGTCGGACTTCTGTGCTCCGACGAAGAGCTTTCAGGAGAAGCACTGCTCATACTTGCGAGACTCTTGAGCAAAAGCTCGAGGATCAGAAAGTGTCTGAGGAGGGCAGGTATTTCTGGCGAAGATGTCGTTGTCGACGGGAGAAAAGAGATGACGGCGAGACTTGGGCCGAGAAAAGCTGACAGATCACGTCTGTCTGACAATGAATTTTCTGTCCAATCCCACAGGTTTGTACGCCTGCCGCAGGTGTTCCTGCAATCAATCGGCAACTGTCTGACACACGGCCAGCTCACGAAAAGCGTGTAGAATCAAGGGTACTTGTGAATATGTCTCTGTCAGACTGTGGTCCTTTTCCCCCTTTCCACAAGTTGCTGTCGAGCCGTCTTCCACATCGGTGCTCGTCCTCCTCCATGATTCAAGGTTGTCAGACAAATCTCAGCATTCACCAGCATTCAATTCCAATCAACATCCCGGACAGACTTGGGCCGGATATGCACATTGCTGATCATCAGACGCAGTGATCCAAAGCAGACATGCAAATCCATCATGATGGCGTTGCAAAGATGTCTGCATATTCAGGAAATACTCCTCAGTCGGCTCCCATATCAAATCAAAACCTACGAGCTCCTGATTGACACAAATCCAACGTCCCAACCATGGCTGCACCAACTGTATGTGAGAGGATGGTCCACGGAAAAGGGAGTACTGTATGCTGAAGCGGAGTAGAACCCCTCAGTATTCTTGTATGGTCCAGGAAAGGCTCGAATCGAAGATACACCAGAGCCAACAATCACAGATGTGACAGACGCGATTGTACGAATCAAGTTTGTAGGAGTGTGCGGAAGCGATGCAAGTATTCACAATGATGGAACTGCTCGGCGAGGCTGACTTTGTTCAGGTCCACTTCTGGAATCATGGAGGTATTAACGGGAAATACGTCTCCGACTCCAAGCCCCTGGTGATGGGCCATGAAGCCTCGGGCACAGTTTACGCTGTCGGATCTGCTGTCAAGCACCTCAAGCCTGGCGACAATGTTGCCATCGAACCTGGAAGGCCTTGTCGCTCATGCATACGGTGCAAGGAAGGCTTCTACAACCTCTGCCCGGACATGAAGTTCGCAGCTTGTCCGCCCGATACTCCAGGCTGTTTGACCAAATATTACAAACTTCCGGCCGACTTCTGCTACAAGCTGCCAGCTGGCGTGAGTCTGCAGGAAGGTGTGCTCGCCGAGCCACTTGCCGTTGCGGCGCACGCCGTGCGAATGGTCAATATCAGACCGGGTCAAAGTGTGGTAATATTTGGCTCGGGAACGATTGGTTTGGTGTGTGGCGCTGTTGCTCGAACGTTCGGAGCCAAAAAGATTGTTGCTGTAGACATCCTAGCCCACAAGCTCGAGTTCGCGAGCAGCTTCAACACATGCAGCACTTTCAAGCCAGACTTGGATGCTTCACCCGAAGAGAATGCTGCTCGAATCATCCACGACAACGACCTGGGATTGGGCGCCGATGCTGTGATCGAGGCGTCAGGGGCAGAGAGTTCGATCTTCACCGCAGTCCACGTTCTTCGTCCAGGAGGCTCCTGCGTCCAGACTGGACTCGGCAAACCTGTCATCAACTTCCCCATTGTCGCCATGAGTGAAAAGGAGCTGCATATGCATGGTGCATTCAGATACAAATCCGGGGATTACCAAGTCGCCATGGATGTCCTCGAAGCCGGCACCATCCCACTCAAAAAGCTCATCACAAATATGTTCAACTTTGAAAGAACGACCGACGCATGGGACGCAACCAAGCAAGGACGGGGTATCAAAAATATGATTCGGGGCTATGGATTTAGAGATCCCGCCAGGACTGCCCATTTGTAATGTCCAATAACATCATGTTGAGAAGCCAACCAGTGATGGTGAGAGACTGACACTGAAGGCTAAACCTCCGAAACGATTGGCTTTGACTGAATGTCTGTACAATTGACCAAGAAGCATCATGTACCAACGTCATCCACCACTGGTAACGTGGCTAGTACTAATGTTGACTCCATTCGATAGTGTTCAAGTCGACGCCTTCTTGGACGAGTTCCCACAAGGGGCTTAACTCTCTCAGGAAGGTGACTCGCTCACGGACGGCTTTGAGAACATAATCAATCTCGCTGGTCGTGGTGAAACGTCCAATACCGAAACGAATACTGCTGTGAGCACTCTCGTCACTGTTGCCGAGGGCTCGAAGGACGTAGCTTGGCTCCAGAGATGCAGAAGTACAAGCACTGCCGGACGACAGTGCAATGTCCTTGAGCGCCATCAACAATGATTCTCCTTCAACGTAGGCGAAAGAGACGTTGACGCAGCCTGGATACCGTCGGGATGGGTCGCCATTCAAGGACGTGTGCTCCATTGACAACAGCCCGTCTGTCAGCCGTTTGGACAGGAAGGCAATGCGCTTCGAATCGTACTAGAAATGAAACTCATTAGTCATGTCGCTTAAAACGAGCTCAACGATGACAACCAAGAGGAACTCAAAACATAATCATTACCCCTGCTATGATAATCAAGGCGTGGTCAAACGCTCAGAAATCCATGCATGTTTTATAGCATGGTTATAATCATGAAACAAAAAAAAACGTGGCTATACGATGATATGACTTACCTCCATTTCTTCTTTGGCAATTCGGCATGCTTCACCAAAGCCTACCACGAGGTGAGGCGCGAGAGTACCACTGCGAAGTCCTCGTTCTTGACCACCACCACTGATGATAGGGTCGAGTCTGACACGAGGTCGTCTTCTGACATAACAGGCACCCATGCCCTTGGGACCGTAGATTTTGTGGCTGGAGATGGACATCAAATCGACGTTCCATTCGTTGACATCGATAGGAATTTTGCCGACCGCTTGGGCGCCGTCTGTGTGGAAGTAAACTTTCTTTTTTCGGCACAGTTGGCCAATTTCTTTCATTGGCTGAATAACACCAATTTCGTTATTGACAGTCATGATGCTGACCAGAGCAGTTTCAGGCCTGATGGCTTCTTCAAGTTGCTTCAGGTCAATTAACCCGCTCGAGTCGACGGGCAAATAAGTGACATCAAATCCTTCATCTTGTAGATGGCGACAGCTGTCGAGAACGCATTTATGCTCGGTCTGGCTAGTGATTATGTGCTTCTTTTTGCCCGATCTCCCAAAAAATCTGGCCACACCCTTTATGCTCATATTGTTACTTTCGGTTGCACCGCTCGTGAAAATGATTTCCTTTGGATCGGCTCCAATCAAGCTCGCGACATGCTCTCTTGCTTGTTCTGCAGCCTTCTCACTTTCCCATCCATACGCGTGCGTTCGGGAATGAGGATTTCCGTAAAGACCAGTGAGGAAAGGGAGCATGGCGTCGAGGACTCTGGGATCGACAGGAGTTGTGGCTTGCGCGTCCAAATAAATAGGTCGAGAGCCTTGGTCCATGACGGTGGCCTGCTTGAGGATGCCCGCAGCAGGGCTCATCATTGTGTCCGCAGTCATCTCGGTTCCTGGCATCTTCACCTGCGACGGGAGATTTCCGCTCTGTTGGATGAATTTTTTCTGGTCTGCCTTGATGGCGGACTCGACGTCTGCAACTTGAGCTTGGGAAGGCTTCGATTCGGAGACATAGTTGCGGCGTTGAACGAGACGCGGAGCAGCGATGGATGCGGGTCTGGCGATTATGCTTGAGGATGGGCGGCGTTGAGAGCAGACTCTGCAAGCCTGTCTAACGATCGAAATGGTTGATCCTGGCATTGTGATGCTTTGTTCGTCAGGCCAGCTGACTATAATTGACAAGCAGAATGGAAGATGGAAAGTTGTGATGGATGAAGCTGTGAGGTGGATAATGGTGGAAGGCGAAAAAGAGATGCAGGCCAAGTTTTGATCTGATAAGATTCGGCCGAAGTGGCAAGTCAAATCCGCACCGAAAGACAGACCACGTGACAGACTTAGATTAGGTAATCAGCTCTCCTCCACGGGTGTTGGGTGGGTGTCATCCTCGTGTATTCTCTAGCAAGCCCACTGCAAGCTGCACATCTGCCACTTCTCCTGCGTGTCCGCCAGTAAGCACGTCTTCATCTTCGACCTTTGAACCTCAAGAGGCCAACAATAGCAGTCAATATTCACTTTTTCTTATTCCAGCAAACCTCCCTTCTCTCGCCAGAAACCTCCCACCTCTCCATTGTGTAAGGTGACCCAAGCCAAGCTACTCAGCCACCCACCCACCATCTATCTGTCCCGGTCATAGCCGTAGTGCGTCATCGTTCTTGGATAGGCACTTGCGACAGGCACACAGGCGTTCATTTGCTGTGCTGATCCCTGCGCCAGGCTTCTCCAATCCCTATCACCCCTCCAATTCTCTCATCCGACACCGCCGTCGCAAGACCTAACACCACCATCGAGCCTCAGATCAATACGTTCAGTTCTTGGTCACCACACTGTGATCTGCGTCCACTGAGGAAGGGTGGACTCTTGAGAACCCTCAACAGCCTCAACGGTCTCCGTCTTTGCAAGGGAGAGCCACATCTGAAGGAGGAGCAGGCAGCTAGCAGAGACAATGAGTGTAAAAGGATTCACCAAAAGTATAACTCGAGCGCCGCAACAATTCAAGCAGCGCTTCAACATCGGCGAGAACACCAAAGATGCGGTCTACATTGATGCAGAAAGGCGCTTTGCTGAGCTGGAGAGCGAGACCAAGAAATTGCACGATGAGTCTAAAAAGTACTTCGACGCCATCAATGGTACGCTCGTAGTGAAGACTATTTGTGCATATAGAATGCTGACGACGTGCAGGCATGTTGAACCACCAGATCGAATTTTCGCAGGCCATCCAAGAAATCTACAAACCTATATCCGGTCGTGTGTCCGATCCCAACTCCTTGATTCCAGAAGGGAACCCTGAAGGCATACGCGCGTGCGAAGAATACGAAGGCATCGTCCGAGAATTACAAGCGACATTGAAACCGGAGCTGGAAATGATTGAACAACGAGTAATAGCTCCAGCCGATCAATTATTGGAGGTGATCAAGGTCATCCGGAAAGTGTCGGTCAAGCGTCAGCACAAACAACTAGACTACGACCGCCACCGAGCCACCTTGAAAAGGCTGCAAGATAAAAAGGACAAGACTTTGAAGGATGAAAAGGCCATGTTCAAGGCAGAAAACGATGTCGAACAGGCCACGCAAGACTACGAATACTTCAACAATCTGCTCAAGGACGAATTACCCAAGCTCTTCGCCCTGGAGGCCGAATTCATCCGTCCACTCTTCCAATCTTTCTATTACATGCAATTGAACGTCTTCTACACCCTCCACGAGAAGATGCAGGGCATCAATATTGGCTACTTCAATCTGACCTTGGATATCGAGGAAGCTTTCGAAATGAAGCGCGGCGATGTACAGGAGCAAGCCGAAGCTCTCTCAATCGTCCATTTCAAATCCACTGGCGGCATCAAGACACAACGTGGTGTGTCCAAGTACAGTGCGTCGGCAAAAGCGAAAGAGGCCGAAGCCGGCAAGTCATCATTTTCATCCTACAGGAAATCGGCGAACCCAGAGGATGGCGTGGCTAATCCCCCTCCACCATATTCTCCAGTCGGATCAGCAAGCAGTCTGCCTAGTAGTCCGGCTTTGGGCGCGGCAGCTGCGGCAAAAGGCAAACCTCCGCCACCAAAGCCCAAGCCGAGTCGATTAAGCGGTGTCCCAGGGGCAGAGACCGTGACGGCATTATACGATTACGAGGCTCAAGCGGAGGGTGATCTGAGTTTCATGACTGGAGATGTCATCGAGATCGTGACGAGAACACAGAACGAGAATGAGTGGTGGACCGGTCGTGTCCATGGGAGGCAGGGCCAATTTCCCGGTAAGTCGATTGCACCTAACAGATGATCCTCCTTCCAGTAGCTGATTTGTGTCCAACAGGAAATTATGTGCGGCTAAACCATTAATACTTACCAAATTGGAGGCTACTCTTATATAGAAAATCCGTACATTCTGCACCGAAGAACGTCTTGAATGTCCCTGAGCTGTCAGAGCTTTGGTCTTGCGGCTGATAATTGGCGCATGGCTGATCGGGTTCAGGTAACACCAGGCATTTGTCCATAACCAAGTCAATCTGAACAAATGGTCTGATATTGATACTGATCCATCCATGAGTGCCATCCTGTTTTCTTGCTGAACTCAAGGCCACACTGCAATGCACCGAAGACAAGCCTTCTTTAGAAGCATATTCGATCTAGGGCGCTACACCAGGAAACTTCCATTACGCCATATTCCGCCTGCTTTTCCCTCATGCCTATTATGCCGGCCCTCCCCAGCCTCACTTGATATCATGTCCTTGCAAAGCGCTCCCACGTGGTAGGTACATTCCGCTATGTACTCGATATGTCATGCAGTCACTCATAGTAGCTTCTCTAAACGCCTTCCATCTTCGCCCCATGCCGCTACGAGTAGCGCTCGACGAACACCCTCTTGTTCCCCGAGTATACCTCCATAAGGCCATAAGTCCGAGCGTGGGCCTCTGACACTCGAAGACTGTTTCGCCAGAATCCGCTTACCTCGGTCCATGTTGTTGTTTGGGCCATGGTGGAACAGAACCTACCTTATACAGCCCTTTTGATCGATGCTCTAGGCTGACCTTTGTTTTTTGGCTGAGTGACAGCGTCTCTGAGTGTCATAGCCCTCATTCACTCGCGTCTGGCTCGGCCCTCCTGTAGGACTTCAAAGGCTGATTGCCCAGCGTCTGGCACAGGTCCTCAACATACACCGTTTCTCCCAGTCCAGTCCGCTTGGATTATTCTCCTTCATTGGCCGTCACCAACATCATCACCATCCTCATCAGCAACAGGCAACTCCAAATCCACGACCCACGGCGCATTCAGCGGCCTGTACCTTATGTTCATAATACTCGCATTGACAAACAGCGTCTCTTTGCCGTGCTCGAGATCCGTAGCGTCCACGTATGCGCCCATCCGGTCGACCAGGCTATCGTAGGAGCCAGGGTCGACGATTGTCTCGCCCTTAGAAAGTCCTTCTCCACCACCACCATCACCATCATCCTCGTCGTCGACATCAACATCTTCGACATCCCACATCTTCCTGCACGCGCCCCACGCCTCATGAATGTGCCCGAAACAATGCAGACGCGGCCGACACCGTTGCACTGCACGACGGAGATGCTCACAGCCCACACTCTCACTGTTGTTGTGCATCGTCTGGTCCAAGATGCCCATGGGCGGACCGTGAGTCAGCATGACATCCACGGCGTTCTCGCTGTCGTCAAAGTCCGGCACAGGATTCTCTGGTGGTGGCTTACTCTTGCTCTTGCTCTTGCTCTCTTCTGCATTCTCCGTACGGATAACGTGAGTAGTAAAATTGAATCGATCGACATCCCGCGCGTACCCGAATGCCCAATTCCAAAACTCCGGCTGCCACGCCGAAGCGTACACATTCAATCTTGCACCGTTGTCTAATTTGTAACTCGCGGTTCCTTCCACCATGTACCGAATCCCCGCGGCGCGGGCTTCGCTCCCACAGTACATATCCTGGATCCCATCGAGAACCTCGTCCGAGTACTTTGCGAAGGAGGCGTGCAGATCATGGTACTTGGCATAGTAGTCGCGGTCCAGCGTGAGGTCGTGGTTTCCGGGGATGACGATTTTGAGCGGCGCGTCGATCGAGCGGATGAGCTGGACGGCGGCACGATGCTCAGACAGAGACCCGGTCATGGTCAGGTCGCCGGTGTGGATGAGCACGTCGGCAGAGGGCAAGGGGTGGTGGAAGGGGACTTTGCCTTCCACGTCGTGGTCGGCGGGAAAAGGGAGGGAAGAATGAGTGTCAGAGAGGAGGAGGATGCGTGTCTTGACGGTCTTTGCCTTCGTCTTCGTCTTCACCTTCGTATCTGATGGCAAAGTGGACGGTGTCATGTTTGTTTCTCTTGGGGACACGTGGACTGGTGGATAAATGGTATCGAGCAGTATGATGTGATGGTCCGACTCTTCTTGATGTCTTGGATGAGTCGGCCTGAACTCCCCTCCGACTGATTCAGTGACTGTCTCTGGTCGTCAGAGAGTCCGACAGGGTCTAATAAGAGTCTGAAATCTTGGTCGTTTTGATTGTATGATCTTGGTCGAGCAATAGCCACCAGCGGGAGGCCTATATGCTATGACACGTTCTGTACTCTTCAACCATGTGTTCTCTCCTCGCGAGATAGATACAGTCGAGCAAAACTTAGGACGAGCCTTTCAATTGAGAAGATTATACGGAGTAGTGCATGGGAGGGTTGAGGACTCGTATTTGATACTAGGCGGGTGGTTGTAGAAGTCTGGAGTGGCCAATCATTTCGGCATGTGGCTCAGCCTTGCAGTGACCAAGACGAAAGATCACAACTCCCCCCGTAGAGCTCCTGAACTCTTCCCACCTCTTCAGCCAGTCTATGGACTCAACTGAGACCCAAATCGCTAATGATACACACTCGAACGGTACAGTAAAGACATGTCCTTTCAACCTGCATGGTCCACAATCTCGCTGACCAACGTTCCATTCTTCACCACAGTCCGGATTTGTTCGGGCAAAGCCAGCTCCTTGCTGTCTTCATCCGAGTCTTCCTTTGGAGGCAAAACGACATTCAAAGCACTGCATTTGCTGGTGAAGATCTCCGTCGCCAAACTCTCGTTCGACAAATAGATCTGAGCACCGTCCACTTGATCGAGCAGCAAAGTCGGCACTACTCCGTCGACTTGAACTGCAAACTTTGTCGCTTTAATAACATCCAAACTTGACACTAGCGAATCCACTAGTATTGAGAGGCCATTGCAATTGTCGATAGAAATCGCGTTGGCCTTGCCGTTGACCTTCAAGACACATTTGTTGCACTTTGAGATCAGGATACTCTGATTCAGTTCAGCCGAAATCTCAATCACTTCCGACTGATTGTTTTCAAAGTTCTCGACAATCCATTTGGTACCATCGAGCTCCTTTCGTCCAGGCTTCTTAGACCTCATGCTCTCGGGCTTCTTGTTTGGCAAGGGTGATTTGCCACGCCCGGCTGATGATCCTGAATCTGATCGCTGCAGTCCAGTAGAACTAGCTCTGATCGATGGATTTTTGTGCGTCATTTGCGATTTATCCACCTTCTTCAGTCCCGCTGTGATGGCAGACCCTCGATTCAGTTGCTCGAAAACCGCAGTCATATCCCCTCCTTGCGATGCACCACCTGAAGGTGGCATAGGTGGAGGTGGAGGACCGTCATCGTCGAACTTGGGCAAAGGTGGCGGCGGTGGAGGAGGAGCTGGGCCTCCGCCAGCACCCGTTGCTTTCGGAGGTGCGGCGCCAGCCTGTATCTGTTTGAGAGCCTCAACTGCATCGAGCCCGTCCTTATTGTTCCATGTCAAACCAGTGGGAAAGTGTTCCTTGACATATGCAGAGAGTGAGCGGAAGATCTTGTAGTACGCCTGGATATACTCGACGTGTGACTTGTCCCTGTAAAGGCTGTCAGTCAATCGACGCTGCATACATCCGTGGTCTCCCATACTTGTCCTTATACTCCTTAAGTATCTTGTTGCCGTAGTATTGTGCGCCTCCAAGGGTATCCGTCACAAAATCACCAGGCCTCTTCTCGACAATCCACCCCAATGCGACGATACCTTCGGAGACGGCGCTGAGATGGGTGAACAGTGGAGAGGGACGATTGGCTTCTCGGATTTCGTCTACGGTCGAGGTATGTCGATGGAGCTCAGTCATCAGCTCAGGTGGTTGTGGATCGGGTTTTTTGGCTTTGGACGTCACCAGTAGATATGTTCGTTCAGCTTCGAATGCTTCCTTGACTGCTTTGGCCTGCGCTTGTCAGTGATGTAAGTGTTGGTAACAGCGATGACGGACCTGCTGTTCCACCAGACCACCAATCTTTCCGGCTGCTTGGACAAACGCAACGATATCTTCCTCAATGATCTGGTCAAAGGCTTCGACGAACTTTGGTAAAGGCTCTGGAGGTGCGGCTGCTTCAGGGGTAGCGGCTACCTCTGTCGAAGCTGCGCCGGCCGCAGCGGGCACGCCATTCGTAGGACCTAGAGAGCCATCTACTGAAGTTGCGATGTCTTCGAGCCTAGAAGTTGCGGCTTCGAGCCTGGTCGGAGAGAGTTGTTAGTCGATAGGTGTCTCAATGGCGCATTGAACATGTGCTCATGGAACGGGGTAGTCCCTCAACAACGAAACAGTGCATACCGTTTGATCAGGGTGGTAAGATTATGCATACTACTTTGAGCAGCCATCGTGAAGAACTTGTAGTCTAGGTAGGTCCTCAGAGGATAAAGGATAGTTTCACATCTGACATGTTTGAATAGTCCAAAACAGGCACGAAGATCGGAGAAGCAAGCAGCACGGCCAGGGACGGCTAGTAAGCTAGTAGGCCTGAATTAGTGGCCCTTAGGCTGCACCAGGCGCTCTTTGCTGTAGATCCGAGGATCAAGAGCTTACCTAAGCCTAATGAGCCTCTTCTGCGACCTATACTCGGGAGACATTTGCACAATCTGGCCCAGAGCAGTCCTTTGTTATGAATTCAGTTCTGAATTCAGTTCTGTAGATATCGCGAATAGCGCCTTCTACAGTGGACAAAATAATCCTAGTGATACCTTCCGGGCCCAAGAACCTTTTACGAGGTCGATATCCCACAGATATAGTAACGATGCAAGAGGTTCCCAGTCTGTTGACAGATTGGCGGAGGCCGATTGATGACGATCTCTTTCGCTGACGGGGCGTAGTCTCGAAAGGTACATGAATCTGCCCGCTGCTGCTTCTCCAATGGACGAGGATCGTTGATAGGGGAAAGGCGTTGGCTGCCGCTTAGTTTCAACCGTTCTCGACTCCGCCGTCTTCAAACCTGTTCCTTTCAAGTCAACCACAGGCTTCGTCTAGTAGTCACAGTATTGCTTCGGCCTTGCGCTAGAGAGGTAGCAGGACCAAGTTCGAAGGGGAGAAGTAGTAGAGGTAGTAGAATAAAATGCAAGAAGCTTCAGTGATAAACGCCAAACCAGACCACATAAAACTCGTCGCTTCGCTTCGCAATGTAGAGGAAAACAGGGTATCCCAGCCCAGGACCAGATAAGGCAAACACAATCAAGTCAGACTCGAAGTCACATTCGCAGCCCTGAAGTCGCCTGCACATCTTCGTTACAGTCCGAGATGCCCTCCCGTGCCTGGCCGCCGTTCCGTTATCCACCCGGCTTTGCCTTCACCTGCCCACCTCTTCTCCCCAGTCCAGAACCTGACTAGGCTCTCCGCGCCAACCGTGTCGTCCTCTCTATATAGGTTGGCAATGTCCACGTTTAGCGGGCTATCTAGACCGGGAGAACTTAGGAGCTGCTGAATCGCGCCCATCGTCGTGCTAAGCGTGTACGTGGGCGCCCAGTGTTCGCCGGACAGCAGTGTCAGACAGATCTCTCCACTCTGGAAGTGTACGTTGGGATGGCATATCGGCGTGACGAAGCGTATCTTGGGAGGTGCGAGGGGGTAGGTAGGTGGAATTGAGATCGAGAGAAGCCATAATCCGGCGTGGTAAGGGGATGTGTGGTCTTTGGGGCCTTTGAGCACGGCTTCCCATTGGAAAAGGTCTTCGTCAGTCGCCGGGCCAAGGTGGAGGACTGATTCGCAGGGTGAGGATTGCAGGTCGGAGAGTTCGTGGGTCAGGCGTTTGAGGGCGTTGGTTGAAGAGGATTTGGAGCTGCGGGACGGGTTGGAGGACATCATGTAGAGAAAGTAGGCAGGACTTAATAGATATTGAGGTGAAGGCAATTGACGGACCACAGTCGACGGGAAGACGTGGGATGGCTGAGTAGCAGGTGGTGAGCTGAGGTGGATGTTATGGATCTGTTATCAGGATGCAGGACGTTTGGTGGTGAGTGATGTTGCGATTTAGCCGAGGTGATGGGCAATGGATGAGCACCCAAAATCTGGGGAGCTCACGGAGATCAGGCACCGGAGGCACCCGCCAGGGTTCTGGCCTTGGTGCGGCAGGGGTCCGACTCGCCGCGGTTCAGGGGAGGCTCAAGGGCTATTCAAACGCAGGGCTGCTATACAAAAACTCTCAGGGTCTCATAGTAATTCTCTTCTCATATTCAAATATTCCAAGGCCACAATTTCGGCAGGACGAAAGATGCGGACGTCTCGAATCTCCCAAGAGACCACAAGAATATTCACTGCCCTGTCTCCGAATGCGCCGGCCGGAAGAACAACAAGAAACTCGAAACGAATCGCCTCTTTCGCATTAGCATATAACGGAGATGTCGAGGCTGAAGAGGAAGCTGGAACTGAATCGGAGATTGATAATACGTTCACCCCTAGCACGCCGGACATCGAAGACGGCTTGACGAAACCCATACGACCCATTAAAAGGAGGAAACTCGTCGCAAATACGCCAGATGCTGTCGCAGAGTCTGTCATCAAGACCGAGCATGAGACAACGTGGACATCTCCTCGTAGGATCGAAAAGGAAGAGGAGGGTGAGAACGACTGGGAGGCACGCCCTACAAGCCAGACGAGATCGAAGCCAAAAACACCGGCTCGCCGGGCGACTTCGCCCTCAGGCACTGTACGGATTGTGCCTCCCTCGAACTGGGGTGAGATCTATGATACGATCAAAGCTATGCGACAGCGGAACCCTGCTGCGCCTGTCGATACCATGGGCTGTGAGGACTTGTTCTGGCGCTCAGCACCTCCGCGAGAAAAGAGATACCATACGTTGACAGCGCTGATGCTGTCGTCCCAAACAAAAGACACTGTCACGGCGGCCGCCATGCAGCGACTACATACAGAGCTAGTACCTCAACCTCTGGCTGCTGATGGCGAGCTACAGCAATCGACCTTGACGGTTGACAACATCATCGTATGCGACCCAAAGCACCTGGATACCTTGATCGGGAAAGTGGGCTTCCACAACAATAAAACGAAATTTATCAAGCAGGTCGCCCAAATCTTGAAGGATCAATATGGCTCTGATATACCCAATACGATCGAGGGTTTGGTAAGACTGCCAGGCGTCGGCCCAAAGATGGCATACTTGTGCATGTCTGCAGCCTGGGGGGTTGACGAAGGCATTGGTGTCGATGTGCACGTTCACCGCATCACTAATTTATGGGGATGGCATAAGACCAAAACTCCCGAAGAAACAAGGGCGTGGCTTGAAGGCTGGTTGCCCAAAGATAAGTGGCACGAGATCAACAAAATGCTGGTTGGTCTTGGACAAACTGTGTGTTTGCCCGTGGGTCGGAGGTGTGGAGAGTGCGATCTTGCTGGGACAGGCTTGTGCAAGGCGGAAATCAGAGGGTGGAAGGCCACAGAGAGGAGGGTCAAGAAGGAGAAGGTAGAGGTCAAGAATGAAGGAGAGGGTGAAGTTGTCACGAAGGAGATGGAGGAGAGCCGGACGATAAATATGAAGGAAGAAGTAGTAGGTACATGATCGAGTTCCCCTCAACGGCACTTCCTCATTCTCTCAAATTGACCTCTGAAGCTCTTCCATTCTGTGTCAGTGCCTCCCTCATCCCGAGTTGTCTGACGTATATCATGCTGCTGCCTTTCAATCACAAGCCCCTGTGCGATGAAACCCGTCAAAGTTGGTAAGCAGGAGGCGGAGGCGGCGGCGACGGCTCGTCACTAGGAGCGATATGTGCTTGAGGAGGTCGTGCAGGTGGCTTTACCGGCCCAGATCGGAATCGCTGAAAGTTCCACCCCAAGGGGCCGTCAGAGTGGAGGAGGTGATGTGTCCTGCGCCGTTCGACGTCTTCGAGCACTACTGGTGTCGGTTGATATTCCTGGCGTGTGCGCTCGAGGTTTCGTCGCCGAATGCAAACGCCGCAACAGCTGAACAAGAACAGCACTCCAACCGTGCAAAGGAGGATGATAATGAGCGTCCCGGAGCTTATGTTTGGGTTGGTAGCATTGGGGTCGGTGCCAATGGTTCGTGCCTCGAGGGGAATGATCATGATCGGTGGCTATTGAAAAAGAGTTGATGGCGTCTCCATTCGACGCTGGAGCAATGGATACGCAAAAGGAGTATATATCCTTCGAGGGTGGCAGTGCCTCTCTCCAATGCCTCTCTAGGCGCAAGGCTGATTTTGCTGTGATACTATCCCTGCCCCAGGCGGACTCCAACTCCCAAGGCTGAATAACGGCGTGGCTCCAGCCGGCGGAGCCTGGTTATCAGGGGACATATTCTAAGACAACTTCGCGGCATTACATACTCTTACGAATACTCACCTATACGTTCCACTGCCATACACCAGAGACAAAGGGGTCTGCCTATCGAGGCAGGTGAGGCAGCTAACGAGTGATAGTGGAGTATCTCCACATTCGACCATCCGGCACGGAACGCAAATACGAGTACGACGACTTTGAGGTTTGGGTGGTCCCCCTGGCTTTCGTCCCAATTCTCGCGATGTGCCTCTGTCGTCCATTACATCCCGGGGAAGCTCGAAAAGAGGGAGTCGCTTCTCCTAGAATCAACCCATGACGTTCAAGCTTGCTCCTAAGGGGTATTGGGTGTTCAGTTCTGTGCATGGTCGAGGAGAAGCCCCATGACTGCCGCTGTTCGATCCCACGCCAGTGGCTCTAGGTCTAGCAACGGCTCTAAGACTTGTAGCTAAGTACTCGACACGGATCACTACCTTCGCGCAAGTTTGCTTTTACATGAAGCAGTTTCTCCTTGCTGACTTCCATCGGAACCCGCCGCATAGAGTGCGACGAGAATCGTCCTTCATGAACAAAATGTAGATCGAGTGGATTTCAATGTGACTTTGAGGACAAGGCAACCTCCGGGAACGCGGTTTCAGTCAACTTTGTCCACTACACAGCCCGGGGTCCGCCAACCACAGCGCTACTTCCATCTGATTTCGACCCTTTGGTGCTACGTGCTCTGGATTTCTTCCACGAAAGGACAATGCCCGAGATCCGGGGAGAGTCATACTCAGACTTGTAGGATAAGAACCTGCCAACGAAGCGAGGGACTCTGGGACTCACAACCCACGGCACGGATAGCTGAGAAGGTCATGTCGATTGAAGAGAGCAGTGCGAGGCATATACTTAGACTGCAGAAGGACGACACATTAACAGACAGCTTACAGGCCCCGGTACAGGCTCGAATCTCTGTGAGCGGTATCCAATTCCGGAAGGACGGGTATGTCATTGTGCGATATCAGGCCCGAGATCCCAATGCTTCGGTAAGGGAGCTGGAGAGAATATATGGGATGAATACACACGACTGTGATCTGATATTGGTGCTCGAGTTGTCGGCCTGGCGAACTTGAAACACGGCATGGTGTAACCAAGGAGGACATCGCTTCCAGGCATTGAAGGGTGGGTTACAGGGGCGCCCATATAAGATACTTATACCATCCCTCTGCTACTGACCTTGAGAGAGATGTCCGGTCATCATGTCCAACCGCCTCGTTACGTTCAGGGAAGCATTATCTTTAGTGCCGGGAGGCTGCTGTCTAAAAAAACGTGTGCCGGCAGACAATGCCACTTTTCGCTCGATCTGTGAATATTGCATCAAGTAATATCCTTAGTAATGCATACATGGCTTTGACGTTGATATGGCTGTGTAAGGGGTGGACCGCCTAGAGTTGAAAGCCCTTTAGTGGTCCTGTCGTTGCTCGCTTGGCGAGCGTCATCCCGGAGCTCCCATCGAAAGGGCTCAACGCTTACAGTACATCTGGGCCCACGTTACCTAGTAGCCTACGCACTCAACCACATGTTCCAGTAAACAAACTCCAGCTACTGGGCGACTTCGTTGCATGTCAGTTCTCTGAGCGTTCAGTCCTTGTACTTATCTGCCACTTTTTGGTTCCCGAAACCGAGCGGTGTCCCACCCTTTCCTCGAAAGCCATCTAACATCACACGCTGTACGGAGTACGGAGTACGCAGCTACCTACCTCCCTACCGCGGCCACTCCTACAATGTCGTCGACCAAACGCATCGAGAAATGGGAAATCGACCGATACTGGGAGATCTTCTCGTCTCTCGTCCAACCACCCGCCAGTCCGTCCTCACATCTGACCAACCAAGCGGCCGCCAATGTCCTGCGCAACTCCCAACTGCGCGACGACCAGCTCGAGCGGATCTGGGACTTAGCGGACGTCGACGGCGACGGCGAACTCGATTTCGAAGAATTCTGCGTGGCCATGCGCCTGATCTTCGACCTGGTCAACGGCGAATATCAGGACGTCCCCAAGACCTTGCCAGATTGGCTTGTCCCCGAGAGCAAAGCACATCTCGTGGCTGCGAATCGCGCCCTGAGTGGCGATCGACAGGCGCAGTTTGAAAGGATCGAAGACGACGAGGACGACGCGGGCCTCAAGGACGGGTTCGATTGGTACATGTCCCCCAGCGACAAGAGGAAGTACGAAGAGATATACTCCGCGAATAAAGACAGGCGGGGCGAGATCAGCTTCGAGAGTCTGCACAGTCTCTACAGCAGTCTGGACGTGCCGGACACCGATGTGCGGAGTGCGTGGAACCTGGTCAATACGAGCGGACGGGACACGATCGGCAAGGATGCGTGTCTTGCGTTCTTGCATATCCTGAACTATCGGCATGAGGGGTACAGAATACCAAGGATGGTGCCGCCCAGTCTACGGGCGAGCTTCGAGGGAAACCAGATTGACTATCAGATTGATAGTATGCGGAACAGGCCAAACAAGTATGATGAGGATACCGCGTCGGGACGAAAGGCCAAGTTTGGAGATGCATATCTCAGTCGCATTGGGGGACGGGGTGGGTCGGCTTATCAGCCGAAAGGCACGGATTTCTCGGACGTGGTGGAGGATGAGGACCTTGAGAAGGTCAGATTACTGCGGGAACTGAGGGATCTGGAAAGTCAGCATGATGCTGCGCTGGCGGCGTCCGAACGGAGGAGGAAGTCGAGGATGGAGAATGGATCGAGACAGCCAGGCAACACGAATTGGACTTTGATCAAACGAGAAGCTCAGCAACTGCTGGAGTACAAGCAGCGGCGGTACGTGGATCTGAATTCGGAGAATGCAAGCGACTCAGGCAATGATCTCAAGAGGCTGCGGGATGATCTGGCACTGGTTGCGGAGCAGATAGATGGGCTGGAGTCGCATTTGAGGAAACGGGAGGCAGAGTTGGACAGTATTCGGCGAGAGATTGAGAACGAAAAGTCCAGCAGATAGAGGTCGGTGCGGCCGGAAATGAAGAGACGTAGAAGAGACAGAGTCGTGGCGGAAATTCAGAATGGCTCATAAGGTATCAGTCGATCCTCTCAACAAGAGGTGCTCTGTACATGTTGTACAATGGTACGTTTGAATTGCGATGCTCAACAACCTTCCCTCTGACTCTTCCCAATGGCCGTCTATCTTTCGATGCGTACTTTTCGGAGACCGTCCGTTGCGTCGCCCCTCTTAAAATTTGCTGGAAAACTGTCAACATAATGCGCGACTTTTGGCAAGCAAAAGCAGAACTGACCATCAGCTGCTTCCCAAGCTCGTCCTGCGCCAAAACCGGTCCCGAACCAGACAGGCCATGCTCTTCGCTTGAATAACAATACTGAAAATATGACGCCGAAGGAAAATCCTAAGCCGGACTTGATGACCGTATCTGAAATTGCGCGATCCCACTGGTTATCGTATTAGCAGTGATTCTTCCCGTGAACCTCACGTGTCCGGTTTGTATGAGCACAGCAGGAGTTTGTCATGGTGGTGGGATGGCGGCGGGAATTCGCCCTGTGCTTCGAGCGAGACTTGCACGGCTAATCACAAGCGTACCTTTTCGTTCAAGAGTGCTTCGCTGACTGGTTTCGATCGGGGTGTTGGTAGGGGAGGTGAGGAAACGTTGTCGTCCGGCATGGTGAACTGGTAGCATCAGAGGTCAGTATGAGAAGTAAGCCTGTAGAATATGGAAGACTCACCTGGGGACCAAGTGGTCTTTCCGTGCGACGTCGAGGTGGTTATGGGACTTGTCGCAAGCAATGGTCGAGCTTGAGGAGCTGTTCCCATCAACGGCGGGAGTAGCTGGTTTCGCTGGTGAAAAAGGTATCGACCAATCGGAGCTCACCTTGGCGATTTTTTTGGTTATGAGGCCAAAAAGTTCCAGACTTTGGCGAAGAGAGCAGACTTCCTCAACATACTGTGCCGGCCTTGTAGATCGAGCTTGAGGATGGGAAGATCCAAGGAAGTGTCATTAACAACATGTCGAAAGGATCTTTTGAGGCAGCGATCGCTGATCTGGAGAAGACCACAGGACCTCCCGAAGCCCTCTCAAGAGCAGCAGCCAAATGTCTAGGGATTGACCTTGAGGGATATATCGGGAGATCTTCTGTGGAGGTGCTCTCCCGAACCGCTCGTACAGACTCTGGCTTCAAAGAGCAATGGGTATTACGCTGGTTGCTGAAGAAATTGAGCTCTCCAACGGCGATAGCGAGGTACTGGATGGCTCTTTACTATCAACGAGAAACGAGGTGCTAACCATGTTCTTACAGTTTCTCCCGTTGCCCACACTTCTGGTCCCTCCTGCTTAATTTGACAAATGCCATACCGAGCGAGGTATGCCTGGACATACTGCTGGAGCGAAAGTTCTTTCGGACGCTCATTGAACTGGTTCGAGGCTTCCTCAACTCCGGTCAACCTTCGGCAAATCATGCCACAAAGTCGGATGCAGACGTCGATGCGTCTCCGCCACCACAGAAGAAGCGACGATTAAGTCCCACCTCGGAACTTCGAGCTGCAGTTGGGATTATCAATGATGGGAAGCTTCCGTGGATCCTGCTACAATCTGTCTGTCAATGCGTCCGGCTCCTCGATGCGGCATCCTTCCGCCATACCACCCGGACTGTGCAGTCGTCTTTGTCGTCGAATTTGGGGCCAGAGGATCTAGCAGCCCTCCTTGGATGTGCCCTTCAGGTTGTTATCACTCTCATGCAGAATGACCCAGGAAAAGCGGAGCAGAGACTGGTGACGGAAACACTCACGATCATATTGTCCTTATGGAAAGGAGACTCCGCATCATCGGTGACTGAAGGCGACAGTCTTAACCGAGCATTTTCTTCGCACTGCCTCACGCCGGTTCTGACTCTCCTTGATCTGCTCCGAAGCTTCAAATTCAATAACCCGTCCGCCATCTCATCAAACCAGACCCTTGAGCGTCTTGTGGCCATCCATGTTGTCTTTCCGGCTCGCTCGACGTTCAACGAAAAGGACGCCAGGAAATGGAAGCATGTCCATGACGTCCTCTTATATGAGCAACTGGAAGCCATGCTCCAGGGAGTCAAGAAACGCATGCTTCTGGACGAACAAGCACAACAAGATAACGGATCCCTGGGCTTGAGCTGGATGATCTTTGACATAGCTGTGCGTTCAACGCCATTTACTGATTTCCGCCGACGCCAGGCCGAACAACCATGGCTTGATGCGCTTTTCGTATGCCTTGCTCACCTCATCTGGCCTGACATGCCACGGATCACATCCACCGGTGTGGTACAGAACCCGATCGCGACAAATATCAGCCAGGAAACCTTCTTCGTAACGCTAGAGCGATTGATCGATACTGCTTTGGCACGAAAACTGCGCATATCATTGCCAGTGCTCGGCTACTTTTTATCTGCGATACTCGCCGCGAACCAAGAATCAGCGCCATGGACCCTACTGGTCAAGCTTGTTCGGCTAGACGTGGATGCCTTGATTCCAGGGAGTGGTCTTTCGAAGTCTGAGGAGCTATTGAAACAGCTCCTTGACAGACTTCAAGCGAGCACTGTACCAATAAGCCTATATGATACCATGCGCAATGATCTCATCGTTCCGCTACTACGTGGCTTTGCTCGCGCAAGGAACCTAACTGGATTTATGGTTATTTGGCAGCAGGGTCTTGCAGATGCCATCCGTACACGCTACACCTCAAAATACGAGCCGGAACTTATCCCGGCGGTGCTCGTATGGGAAGACGATGATGTGCTTGATGAGTTCAAAGATCTCGCCTTGACGCTGGCACCGCGAAGTATGGGAGGGCGCCTTCTAGACGATCTTGTCGGAGCCTTTAGCAAGCTTGCCGAAACAGTTGGATCAACTGCAGATCTCTTCGCAAAATTGGCACTCTTTTCTGCGTTGCTGGAGAGCTCCGAGGATCCTTTGGTCGTCTGGAAACTTGAGCGCAGCCAGCTATCTGAGCTGTTCGCTGCGACTCTGAAGGCCCTTCCTCGAAAATCCGATTATCAGGCCCAGCGCTGGCGACTGTGGAAGCTCCTGCGGCAGCTTCTTCCCTGCATAGACACTCAAACCCTTGAACAAGATGACAAGCAACTCCTCCGAGCCGAAAACCAGTTTGTAACCCTTCGCCAGTGCAAGGATTCGTCACCCGTCGCTGCGAGCCGCAAAAAATCATCAAAGTTCCTTGAAGGTTTGGAGTGCTTTTCGGTCGTCATTGAATTGGCCGCAAAATCCTCTCTATATGAAACCCTGTTGGCGTCTCAAATGGATGACTTAGCGAATCTCATGCAAGTCAGCGACCCTTCTCAGTCTGTAAACAATTTGCCCCTCTGGAATGGTCGTACCTTCGATTGTGATACCTCAGACAAGCTGGTAGCTGCATGCATCGGGCGACTACTGTTGAGACCGGAAATATTCTCAAGAAATCCTGACATGTGCCGGAAATTCACTGATCGATGGCTCGAGATCTTAACACAGGCCAGACTACACGAGGGTCAAGGTGGCCGCAAAGCGTATCTGAAGGCACTCCTTCAAGCCTTGTTGGGCATGGAAGAAGTGCACAATATTCCCGAGTCGCGTCGGCTAATCTTGCAATATTCTCTTGATGAGTTAAAGTCCAGGGCGAAGGATGCTTCCGTGGACAGAGAGCTCATGCGGAGTGTATTGGATGGGTCCATGAAGAGGGCTCAACTTAAGAAACTGGCCACTACGACCACCCAACATTTGCTGCAGCATTCTGGACCCAAGCGCCCCGACGCCATCGCCTACGATCTAGCACTGCTGATTCAGCTTGATAGTCTCTTGACTGGATCTGTTTTCGATCCAAAGGACTGGCTTGTATGGGTCAACCTTTCAAAAGAGGTGTCAAATCACACAGGACAGGGGCCACCAGTCTCAATGTTGTCAGCATTGCAAATGCTTGACCATATTCTCGTGGAAATATGGTGCCGTGCACAGGCACCAGTACTGACTGAGATCATAGACTGGATCAAAGAAGCCATAAAGGCATCAAAGGATGGTCACATAGACCAATCGATCTTTCTCAGCCTAAAAGTTTTTATGGGTCGGCTCTGCAACTCGAAGAATCCTACAGACGAGACTATCTCGAGCGAAAAGGTCCAACAACTTCGCTCGAAGTTTCTTCGCAGTTTAAAACGCGGGCTTGAGGCACTCCTTCAGGACGGCGTCGGGCCAGCAAAGTTGATAATGATTCACCTCATCCTTCGGGCCATCAATCAGACGAATGCCACTGGTCTCGATCAAGGTATGCAGGAGGCTGTGTTCATGCTTCAGCAAAGACTGCAAGCTCTTGATCAACCGCAAAGACGGTTACAAGCCACAGTCATGGAACCTTATCTGCAGCTCTCTGTTGAGTGTGAGTGCTCGAAGCTGATGCCTTGGCCGGTAGACGCGTCTCTGGATGGGAGGGTCGTAGCACAGCTTCAGGAGCTTGCATCCACTGCAATACAGCACGGCACTGGTGAGAACGAACAATTGGCCTTGCTCAGCACCAAAGCAAACATTCTTGTCAACCGAGTTGGTCCAAAGGGATGGGCGCGTCTCCTACGAATACTAAGAGACGATAACCAGAGTTCTGACCTCGAGGCATCACGTCTCATCGCTACGGCAGCTATTGTATTACGTGCTGAGACTCAACATATTCTGCAAGACCCCAAACTTGCTGATGAATTGGCAAACACTGCTTGTCTTGATGCTCCTACGCAGCAGACCGTGACCGGGCTGTTTTTGACACTGGAAAATTGTAGAATGGTCCTCCAACTACATCCACTGCTGATGAACCAATCTACGCTGGACAAGTTGCTGGCTTCTATATCCATGATTGGGGCGTATACGACGAATGAATCGCTACTTCCAGGCCACATCAACCAGTACTGCAAGCCGCAGCCAGCAGACATCTACGACCAGTTTTGTGCAATAGTCGGAATCATTTTAGGAAGATACCGGAGACGCTTGTCGGACCGGTATCATCTGTTGCTGCCAGTGATGCAGAAACTCCTGCGTTGTCTTTTCTGGCCCGGCACTGAGATATTGCAGGATCGACAGCGTCCTGTTCTCACCAGTACCCTCGGCACGTTCAAAGAGACTCTACCGAAGTGGTTGCATGAATCTACAGGACCCTTGCCGCCGTCGTCGGCAGAAAAGTTCTCTCGTCTTCTATCGTCAATCTGCAACCCCACAGTGGCAGCAGCACGATCATCGAAGAGACGACGCCACAACGAACTCAACGATGAGACGATAAAAGCCCGACAATTGGCGGGCCAGCACATGCAGTATCTCATCACAGAATACGCTCGATGTACGCTCGATGGGCAGATAACGCCGTCAGTCAAAGAGCGGTTGATGCCGGGTATGTACGTTGTCATTGACTCGATGGACAGAGAGCTTTTGAGAGCAGTCAATGCCGGAATGGATCCTAGCAGTCGAGCTATCTTCAAGGGCCTTTACGAGGACTGGACCAGGTTTGGAAAGTGGGATAGGAGTTAGAGTGGTGCATCGAGCATGGAAAGAATCATGGTCACGCATTCCTCAAATGTGTCCCACGCGTCACCGCCACAAAGTACGATGACCAGACATAGCTTACGGTCTGGAGCATGATAGACTTCGCTCTTCTCCCGTGTCACTCTTTTGCTGGAATGCATGTGGCCATTCTTAGCGTGGAGCAACCGCTTCATCATTCGCACGGAAAGCTTCAAGTCCTTTTTTTTCTTCTTCTTTTGTTCCTCTCCGGCGCTTTTACCCACGCCATGTCTTTCGATGTTGGAATGAAGCTTTGCGCGCCATGTGTCAAAGACCTGTTGGCACGAATCCTTGTTCCTGGAAATCAGAGCCGATACTGGAGGAGAGCAATGTGCCAACACAGCCTGATGTCGCACTGGACAGCCTTCAAGTCGCGAATCGACCACGCTCCCGACGTCCTCGTATTTGGTCTCAGAGCCGCCGTCGTGACTCGTTTAGCCTGATGCATGGCAGAGACGGAATGACAAGAAGCATAGAACTCAGGGTCTAGTTGTCCTCGGTTGCACTCACAAGGCTAACTCGGGCGCCGGATACAGTCGAGCAATGCCCCTCACGCAACGAATTGCATTTCTGGCAAAGTTACCGTACTTCAAATCTGCACGAGCCGGTTTTCCTGACGTTTCTGAGTGGATTGCAATGGACACTTGACGGACAATATACGTGGACTATCACAATAAGTCACTCTCGGACAGCCAAACGCGCCGGACTTCTGTGAATCCTAGAGCGGCATTGGCGGCCTCAACAATTCTCTTATTAGCTCAAGTCGACAACGCCGGGCAGATGATGCCTTCTATCAGTGTCTGCCTCGTTCACGAGCCTCAACAAGTGCTGCATGTCCAGTTATCGAGGAACGTCAATGGCTGGTCATCCACACCCGAAGCCTCCCAAAGCCGCCAACGGAAAAGCCACGCAGTCAGCGCATGCCCCCTCGATGAGCAAGTTTGGATCGGCAAGGATGGTCGGCAGCTATGTCTCGGGCTCGAAGACGAGGGTTCTTGAGTACTATGCAGGAAGGCACCTTGGTACTCAAGCAAGCAATTCGAGGCTGAAATCGACAATCAGGCCGCTTGTTTCCCGAGACACTTTCTCATTTTCTGCCTTGCAGCCTGAGGCTTAGGAGCACAACCGGGCTCTCGAACGCGGCCTAATTACGTCTCTAATGTGGACAATGCTGTCTTGGGAGAGCCGTGGCACCAATAGCACCCATCAGGCTCTGCTTCAATCTGCGGCATACTCCGTTCTGGGTGGTACAGGTGGAAGACCCGAAGGGAAAAGGGGGCGATGCGGCCCATCAAAGACGCCTCTGCACGTGATGTTAACAGAGCCCAACTGCAGAGCCGCATGTGGTCCCACTACTTTCTACTTTCCCCTCCAACGGACCTCTTTTCCCTTGCTGGCATCATGCTTGCTTGCTCTTGGACAACCCCCCGAATGCAGCCTGACTGTCTCCTCCGAGATCAGAATCACCATCCAGACGACACGTACTATGCAGGATCCTTGCAGTGGCTTGCAACGGACATGAATTTTCTGTCACCATGCACTACGAAGTATCCGTCGAGCCGTACGACTCCTGCCATTGCCAAACCAGGGTAAGTGCGGCTCTGAGACAGCATCCTTCCGAGTTTTGACTGGGGACTGCTGTCAACGCTTTGCATATATTTGCTTCATCCCTACAACCTATTCCCTTGAGACCCAAGGTAAGGCGTGAGATCATGCTTTCGCTAAGAAGCCTCAATATCATCCTTGTTCTGCGGCATCAAGCGTCTCTTCTTGCAGAAAGCGCTCCATCACCGCCACAGTCTTCCTTCTTGCTGATGACAACGTCGCGGTTTGCTCCGGTTCTCGAGTCAATTCCTGGTTTACGTGACCGGGCATGTCATCCGGCTTGCTTCAGCTTCCCTTTGACGTCCTTCATCAGGTGGCCGGTCAACTTGACATTCATTCCTACGATAGCCTTTCGAAAACCTCTCATTCTCTGCACCAACATCTTCAGAATGAGAACACTGCAAGGAATTCCATCCAGGTGACCATCTAAACTTTACCTCGAGGTCATATTGCGTCAGCTGACTGGGTCAGGCGAGCATCTTACATGCCACTTGGGCACAAATCGCCCTATCAACCCCGAGCACCAGTCTCAGGAGGGCACTTGACCGGTGTAACCTATCCAACGATGCTCTGCGAACAGCCTCACCGTATTCTGCAAGTATCGCAGGGTATGCCACGAGCTTTGCGTACGACTCTGGCGTCTTGTGCTACTCTAGCTGCAACTCTCTGCGAATTCTCGACTTCAACCACCACCGAAAACTGGAAAAGGTCTTCAGCGGTGCAGTCTTTACGAATCACATTGTCTCGGCGACCCAGCACAAAGTGAACATCGAGCTTGAATCTCTGAAGTCTATCCAGCTTTATGGATATGCGCATGACGTAGTCGTTCTGACTTGTGATCTCGGGTTACACGGCCACCATCTCTTCGCGGTCAATATCTCGGAGAAATTCAATCACCCATCTCGAACGACACAGCCCCGACGACGTTCGCGTATCTTGCTTTGGACACACCTCCTATCCACCACCAAGCTCTTCGTCAGACATAATGCCAAGTATCTGGTGCTGGGCACTCACACGGCCATTGGCGACGACGGACACCATGAGTGGCTCTTACAACGATTCGATCTGGGGACGTCCAAACCACTGACCAGAGAACCACTTCAGCTCCGCAAGTTTTTTGGAGCTGAGATCGGGTCGACCGTCTGCTTTACAATCTATGAGGACAAGTTCTACGCTCTGACCAACCAAACCAGCTTCGAGAGCGAGGAAGTCGATTGGACAAGTTACTATCATTTCATTTCATTCCCAATTGACGAACTCAACCCGGACATTAAAATACGCATGATATGGCGGAGACAGCATCTCGAAGGCCCAATAAATGATGCATGGGCGGACATCGGGTTTCAAGTTGATTGCAGGAGTGGTGAGTTGCTGGTGGTGGAGTGTCGCAAGGAGTGGGTCGATGGCGGAAGTCGGAGTATCAGGACGTATTATAGCCAGCCGTTCGAGAGGGCCGAGTATGTCGACGTGGACGATGGGACGAGGTTGAGGGCGCCCCCGGATGATCCGTTGAGCAGGACGCTGGATGACAAGAGTAAGAGTTCATATGAGCGCGCGCATGTGCGTATTGCACGGTATGTTCACTCGGAGTTCCCGAGGGGTGGAGATAGTGAGAAAGGGAATGTCAAGGAGTATATCCGTGCGAAGACCAAGTGGAATGGGTATGACTTTAATAAGCAGTGTTTTGTAGATTTGGTGAGCGAGGAAGTTCGGGATGAAGGCAGTTGGAGGGCTCGCGAGAGGGTCAGGGTACGCGTTGTGAGTCGGCATGAAGTGAGTCCTTTGGTGGTAGATGAAGGTGCATATTTAGGTGCAAGTGCTACAAGGGGGCCCGGCGGGATGGCGGCGAAGAAGGAGAAATGGATGGTGCGACCGAGAGTGAAGAACGAAAAGGGTATAGAGTTGAGAGATGGCGAGGAGAAGTATACATCCAGCTCGATATTCTTGTGGCCGAGAGACGATCAGGGTGTGCTGAGGGGGTTGGACGACATTTTGTGTCCCGGCGGACGGGCCGGCGAGGTCAACGCTGTCCTCGGCGATGAAGGGATCGTCTATCTTGCAGGCCCGGCTGATGCGTCAAAGGGAGGAGAGCGGGCGCTTGTGTTTGTCAGTTTTGATCCGACATTCGGCTTTGACGGGATGAAGAGGGTCGATGGGACGACGGCCGTGGCGAGGAAGAAAGAGGAGGAAGAGGGAGAAGACGAGGCGGCAGCGGCGACCTCCCCGGCAGCGATTGTCAGTCAGAGAAAGAGGAAGACCGACTTCGCTTTTGACTCTGGTTCTGGTTCTGGTTCTGGTTCTGGTTCTGGCTCTGCATCAGGGCAACTCAATATGGAACATCAGCGTCTGGTTGACCGCCGGACGACATGGGCAAAGGCCGAGTCGGAGTCGGAATCCTGCAATGTCGGACTTGGACTTGGACTTGGACTTGGATTGACTGCGGCATCGCCCCAGCACCAGACTGCGGACTTGTGGTCGAATGAGGTCACGCTCGAGCCGTCGGCAGTACAAGCACAAGCACAAGCACGAACACGAGCACGAACACGACTGGATGCTGGATCCGGACCTGCTTCTGCTTCTGCGTCTGCTTCTACTTCTGGACTTCAAACACCACAAGGCTCCTACATGTCCACACCTCAAGCACCACAAGGACAAGGCCCGGCATTCTGCCTCCCTGCGCCAACACTGGGGACCACCATGTCATGGCCACCGTCACCGCCGCTGCCACTGCCACTGCCAGCGCCGTTGCAGACGGCAACGCTGCCGATACCAGATGCAAAGCCACGATCACCACCACCACAGCCGCGACCAGAAACGACAGAACGGCAACTTCTTCCCACGTTGACAAGCCCAGAAGGAAGAGACACTACCGGCGTCAACGTCAAGGACGGTTCACAAACCAAGATGAAACCGAAACCATTGTCTTATCGTGAGAAGGCTCCTTATATCTCGATTGGGAGGGGGTATTGGTTGCGGTGAGCATGACGTGGTGACCAAGAGGGGGATGAGAAACCGTGGGAATGGGAATACGAAGGGTCAGATAGTCAGGGTATCTGAAATGAGCCAAATCTTTTTCTTAGGGCGCGCCATGAGGTATTAAAAGGGGTTGAGATAAAACCTTTGAAGGGGGCACAATTTCATTCCATTATATCCCGTATGGCGAATGGCGGTAGCAGAGGTCAAGATATATTCATTTTACTTCTTTCTCCAATCCCAGCCTTCCTTCAGTGCGAGGATCGGATCAAATCTCGCACCCCTCAGCCCGCTCTCCTCACGGAAGAACTTGTACAAGACAGCAGGGTTCTTTCGTTTCCGTTCGGGCGGCACGGTGTCGGCCGTTTGTTGTCGAACCCAGCGAAGCAAGTCAAGCGCTTGGTCAGAAAGTTCCCGCGGCGGCAAGGGCTGCGAAGACGGAGGCGGCAAGTAGTCCGGTGGTGTCGAGAAGGCGGCGGCTCGTGCTTCGTCGACTGCATCTTTATCTTTAGCGACGCGTCCGCCCTGCGCTTTGCTGCCCGGACCGTGAACGCTTATCGTGGTCTGCTGCTGCAGCACTGAGGAGGCTTGTGGTGCTGGATCGGTAGAGGCAGAATAAGCAGAAGAAGATTTTTCACAGGTTTCGGAGGACTCCTCGAACCCGAGCAGTTCCGGCGAGTCGAGCGTCAAGCGATACCTGTCCTTTTTCGTACGTGGAGCGACAAGACTAGGGGGTGTTGAAGTGGCTTTTCCGGCCGCCGCATCCTCAAGAACCACGGCGACAGACTCGGCGAGGTCGATGTCTTTGTTTCTCGCGGCGATGTGCAAAACATTGATGCATATTCCCTTGTCCGGGATGATGTGCATGTTCTCGACGTAGGTGTACCAGATCCACTTGGTCAGCGGCACGGCCGCTTCGTTGTCGCCTTTCCTGCTCGCTATAAGGAGGACATGTAGCAATGTATGTCGCGGAAAGGGGAAGTTGGAGTCGTGTAGCTTGTAAAAGAGCTGGAGCAGGGCGTCAAAATCGTGACGATCGTCGCAGATGGCGTGGATGTATATCGTCCAGACCCATGTCTCGATGGGCGTGCCTTTTTGTTGCAGGTCTTCAAGCTCGACGGTCGCAAGTTCCAGTTGGCCTTCGCGAATCATGGCGACGATGTTGAGTTGCACGTACAATGGAGGGATGGTCACCCATTGTTGAGCAAGTCTTTGTAAGATGGTCGTGCGGAGGTATGTGTCAAGGTGGACTGCTAGGACCTTTGATGAAGACACAGTCAGCTTGGGGTGTTCGCAGAGGGTGGCAGCTTGCAAAACTTACTGTCAACACTGCGTAGTGTATAGACGGACTTATAGCGACGCCTTCGCGCTCCATTTGCTCTATGATGCTTTTGACATTGTCCACCGAACCCAGTTCCGCAGAGCAGTTCGCTAAAATCAGAGCTTCGTAATGTCTCGGATCTGGCTTGATCTTGCGATCCTTGATCAGAATTCTTAGAACGTCCTGGATCTGTCTCGGATCTGGTCTTGTTCTTGCTATCCATCGCAATTCGTCCTCGAGGGTCTGCGAGCTCGCGCTTTCTCGATCGAGAGCCCTAACAGGACCATCTTTACCTCGCCTGTGAACAGCTCTAAAAGATTCTTGGACGGAAGGAATATATCCTTTCTGTCTTGTACTCTGTCTTGTACTCTGTCTAATGCGTCCATGCCCGCCAGGCGCTTGTGGCTCGACCCCTTCTTTGTCGATGTCATCTTTGGAAGAAGGTTCTTCGCCTGCTTCAGCAGACGGGTTGACGGTGTTGGAAAGCAGTCGATCAAAAGAGCCGTCTTGCAAAAGGGCATCGGAGGGATTCTCTAAAGGAGGCGAGCGTGTCGGAGCTTCGTCCGCACCATCGTGAGTGGCAGACTGATCTGAGGAGAACTCGGCTAGAGTACGACGGGCTGCAGACACCTCCGAATGTGGTGCTTCGTTGGAAGAAGCTTGCAGCGGTGACCGCTGTCCAGCGGCGATCTCGGCTGGCTGTCGTAGGTCGTCATCTCTCTTGCGCTGGGCGAATGGCTTCGTCCCTGTGAAAGTTCGTGTTCGATAGGTACGCCGCGCAGGCGGTTTGTGGGCCGCTAGAAGGCGAAGTGACTCTTTCAATCCATGGCAGTAAAGAGCTCTATGCATCAGTTGTGCATAGTCGACATGGGTTCTCAGGGTTACGAGGGGGTGAAGTGTTATGGCATGATCGTGATCGAATGTTGCGCAGGTCTGCAGGAGCACGGTGCTGCAAGAGCGAGCCTTGGCATGACACAGCCTTGCTCAGCCTTGCCCAAGTCATTCATCAGGCTGAAGTACGAATTGTCAACGGAGCACTGAAAACCGTTAGTACAAAGGACTATATACAGAGGTATTGCCAACAGCAATAATAGGAAAGCGTGTCGCGACAAAGTCATCACGTCAATGATCGAAAGCGTGACAGGATGCCGTCGACCAGCAAATGGGCGAAGGCTACAGTAAAGGATACAATACGAACGAGGCATCGAAACCTTACGTGACTGGGAAAAGAAATATATACCCGGATATGCCTCGATACTGGCTGATGTAAAGAAAAGCGGTCAACAAAATCAGGCAGGTAGAATCGCCATATAAGGTAATATGGCGGCAGTAATTTATCTTGGGCTAGATCTAGATGGATGTCGAGGGGAACCTAGAATACTATCACTGTTCCGAAAGAGACTCAAGGCCGAAGGAGGTGTCGACAGTTACTTAGTTCCCCAGTAGCTCTATACCGAATGCTTGTCCCAAACCCGATAGGTGGACTATTACATCGCCCAATGCCCGTTCCCTCCAGCTCCGGCGCATGCTCCCAGGATAATACCCGCCGACTTACTCCAACACATAAAATCGTGACAAGAGGCAAAAGCTAACATGACAATAAGACATGGCATACGCCAAAATCTAACCTCGAGCATCTTTGGTCAGGATTGTCGACCTTCCCGTCTCAAAGCTGAGCCTCGGACTGCAATCGACAATACTGCTCTCCGGGGTATCGTCTGTGTTGCTCGGCGTATAGCGGAACCCATCAACAACCGTGAGTTCTCCCGCAAGTTCTTCCTCATATGCTGGTGGAGCTGAATATGAGGGAGGGATGTCAGATAATCGACTCGGCCCAACGCCAGCCTCAAGTTCGGCAGGCGTGTAAGCCCGGGAATATCCGTTCTGATATACATGACCGTGATGGTCGCTCCGGGCCCGACCCTCTTCCGCTCGGATTATGTCCCGAACAAAGTCGGAAGCACTTTGTAGATTGCGGATTTCGTTTTGCATCACATCCTCCAGTATACCCTCCTGCTCGAGGATCATCTGTCTCTTCTCTTCATAGTCATCCGACGGTTTCGTTTGATACCGCTTCCACCACGTCGACAACTTATGTTTGCAGGCCGCCTTGCGATAAAGCTTCTTCGTCCGACGCTCTTCCCTGCGTGCCGCACGTTCGGCTTGGCGACGGGGATCTCGGTACCATGATGTTTTGGCTTTTATCAGCTTGAAGAGGACTGCGGAAACTATGACGAGCAACAGGAGCGAGAGAACTGCTAAAGCTAGTTTGTATTCGAAGCTGCGTCGGCCGTCGGGTCTTAGGCGTCCTAGCCTGGGCGGACCGTGAGGGTGTCCATGATGACGATCTGGAGGGCCGCCGTGAGGTCCGAATGCCCACGGTGGCGGACCGTGATGTCCGGGAGGAGGACCGTGAGGTGGACCAAAGTGAGGGTGAGGTGGCCCATCGAACGGAGGTCGTCCATGGAACGGTGGTGGGCTGTCGAACGGGGCCGGAGGATGGTCTTTACCGCTGTGTCCATCGAACCACGGCGGGTGATGAGGATGTTCCTTGTCCTCGGAATCAGACCATGGAGGATGATATGGAGGGTCGTGTTCTCCAGGTCCGTCGGATGGAGGCTGATGGGGGTGCGCGGCATCTTTACTTGAATCCTCGAATGATGGTGGAGGGTGTGACACTGTGTCGGCTTCTGATTCTGCGGCCGTAGGAGGTGGTGGTGGGGTCAAGTCTCCATGGTTGTCTAGTCCATCAATAGGCACCGGATTGGCGGTGGGTGTTGGCAAAGAACGGGTAGTGGCAGCAGCAGACGGAGCTGCATTTTGATCGACTTCGACTTCATCGGCGTCTACATGAAGCTCAGAATGCGGAAGAGGCGAGCTGTCGACCACCTCCTCTGCAGTCTTCGTGGAACAAGTTGTTTGGCCCTCGCCCTCTTTACACCCATCCCGGTGGTGCCTGTGGTGGGAGAAGTGAGCAGCAATCAGTTGTTTGATTGCCGGTGCCTTCTTGATGGCAGTCTGCCAAAGGCATTTCATGGTTGAACATGTTTTGAAGTCTTCTTTGAGAATCGACAGAATCTTGCCCTCGGTGTCGCGTATTTGATCGTGGAGGTCAGCCATCTCATTAGTGAGGCTTTCAAGCTTGAGATACTCAATCTGCAGGAGAGTGTCGAGAGAAGGTACGGGATCGGCCATTACGGGAATGACAGAAAGTTTTTGATCTTCCGGTAGAAGCCAATCATCACAAATGCCATCGGATGAGATGCGACCCAGGGGCTTGTCTTGAAGGCGCAGAACGGTTGGTTTGCCTTTCTGCTTGAAGGATGTCGTGAAGCCAGAAGAACCTTTGACGTGACTTTGTCCGGCAATGTCATCGAAACGGACAGAGACGATAGAGGCCTGGCCCTTTAGACATGTCGACTCCCAGGTAGCGTGGATTTCTTTCTCTCCAAGGCCATTGGAAGCTTTGGATTTGAAAGATATTTGTCCGTGGCCAACATCATTGCCTTTGGTCAGGACGAGTGGGAGACCGTTTAATCGGGGAGGGGAGCTGCTACATTCCTCCTCGGCGGCATCAATCTCGAGTGTAAGTTCCTAGCGAGGATCAATAGGCGCAGAGGAAGTAGAAACCGAGTTGACCCACCAGACCATCGTCTGTACCAATAAAACAGCCCTGGCAAGGAGCGCGGAAATGGATAGAAATATGATCGGGACCTAGAGTTGGTCAGCATAATCCGTGTCAAACTGTGGTTTGTATACCTGTTGTACCCGCAACGGTCTCGATATTTTTGGGAGCGGAATCGGTAGTTGTAGGAGGAGAAGAAAGGAGAGCAGCCGTAGCCAAGGATGAGAAGAATGTTGCGGTCTGAAATGAAGAGATCTTCATGATGAACAAGTAGAAGAAGCAAAACGCGAAACTACCAAGAAACAAGCCGGATCACGAAGAGTAACAGATTGTCAACGATTTGACATGATCCCGATGGTAAAGGACTCCAGAATTTTGCCTCAAAACTCCATCCTCGACCAGACATATAATGCCTGAGGAATAAGACGATTGATGAGAATAGGAGATGGAAGGAATGAGAATGGTTTTTGGCTGGAGCCTGAGAGACTGGGAGAATGGAAGATAACCAGGAGGGAAATGGACATGGACCTGACACTGATCCTTCTGGGGTTTAGATCGTGGCCCACACAACAAGCACCGCCCGTGTCCCAAAAGCTTCAAGCTTCTCGTTGGCCGCGTCAGCAGGACACGTATCGGCGCTGATACGAAGCAGCGGGACAAGAGCAGCACCGGCAGAACTCGTGCACGGCTCTCGACGGCTGCTTTCGAGGCAGGTCACGTGTACAGCAGCGCAAGCTTACATAATATCTTGGCATCAATCACGCAGAGACTTGACTCGCTAGAAAAGTCACCCTCTCAATCGTGTGTCCACGCATACCTCCCCAGATCCGTGACAACCCCTGCATATAGTTATCGAAGCGGTTGGGAAATTTGGGAACGGCGTCTCTGCTCTTGCCGAATGAGAAGCTAACAACATTACAACCCGCCAGACGTCAACATGGTAAGTGGCCAAACATAACAACCATCATGAGACGCTGCTAACTGGAGCCATAGCTTCCCTTGGGCCTTCTCACTGCAGCGCAAGGCCATCCTATGCTCGTCGAGCTCAAGAATGGCGAGACATTGAACGGCCACTTGGTCAACTGCGACACGTGGATGAATCTGACACTCAAGGAAGTGGTCCAGACCAGCCCGGAAGGCGACAGATTTTGGAGACTGCCTGAGGTTTACGTCAGAGGGAACAATGTATGTATTTCCATTTCTAAGTCCCGGATCCTCCTTCACGGTGCCGTTCAGCTGTGTTTTGGGTGTGATTAACAGTCCGGCAGATCAAATACCTACGAGTGCCCGAAGAAATCATCGAAATGGCCAGAGAACAACAACAACAAAATCAGCAAGGCGGGCACGGTCAACGTGGTCGCGGTGGTCAACAGCGTGGGGATCAGGGTGGCAGGGGTGACAGAGGACGCGGTCGAGGCAGGGGGCGTGGCAGAGGAAGAGGTCAGGGCTGATTATCACCTTACAAGATCAAAAGTCCTATTGTCATCACCATCTAAGCCATGTCGACCTTTGGTGGCGGTACTCCGGGTTCGAACAATATTACCGAGCCTGTCGGATTCTGCGCGCCATCTATGCAAAGGCCATTAAAGAACTTTTGTGGCGACATGCAAGCTCATAAAAAAGCAGAGCCACGCCGGCGACGCGCCCTGGCTCGAGTGCAGCATCCACCAGCATCATTTTCGACGTCCAGCCAGCGTGACCAGTCCCTCACCTTTCTCGGGGTGACGTACTCCTGCCGCTTCTGGGCCCGGACCCCTGCCGCAATGCTAGTCCAGACCAAACAACTTTGAATACATGGATACTGTCCAATGGAAATCATAAGAGAATCAAACCCCATCTTCGTGCCGGATCATTACTGAACTCATCTTCTCGAGAGTTGAGATGTGAGACACTTCGACACCTATCCCCTGAGTTAGCCTTGCATGAAGCGTGCAAATAGAGTGGTGGCTGTGGACTGACCTCTTCGGAAACAATACCTTGATTGTACAAGTACTTGCACAGCCCCTTGACGACTTCGATCTGCTCATCAGGGGTCAGGCCCACAATGGCCGACTCAATGACGCTGCCCACGCTCGTCTTGTAGACAGCGATGAAGCTTTGATAATACATATACGCGAAAAGACCCATGATGAATTGACAATCCATTCGATCAGTCATGCCTCCGTGTCCAGGAATGCTGTCGCCGAAGTCCTTGATCTTGAACGTCCTTTTCAAGCCCGATGCAAAGAATCCACCAAATGGTGCAATGAGAGAGGCGAACGTCGCAAAGACTAAGATGTGGAATTGCATGTCGGCAATCCAGACCGTATAGTTCAGTCCGGTCCATGGAGCTAGGTCATATGGACGCGGCGTGAACACGGGATTTGGTGTACATTCAAGGCCAGTGTAAATATTTGCACCTAGATCATTGACCGGGCAGATGAAGTACTTGTAACGCATCAGGATGTTGGTGAGGCCAAAGCCGAAGATAATGGTGCAAATCCAGGCCCCAACAAAACCTTCGACAGTTTTCTTCGGAGAGATCTTGATGAGTTGAGTGCGTCCAAAGGTGATGCCACAAATGTATGCGAAGATGTCGTTGGTAATGACCAGGGACGCCGGAAGGAAGAGCCAGATCATGCCTTCAAAGACATTGTTCATCATAAAATGCGCTTGGACCACAATCAAATATAGTGCCATGTGAGTCCATGCAAATTGGGTGAATTGAAAGCGGTAGTGACCCTTCTTCAACGAGGCCACGAAAAAGACGAAGCCTATATCAAGGTCAGCACTGAATCCACAGTCCAATTAGTCCAACGTACCAAAGATGTACATCATGAAGCTGATGAAGCGATGATGTGTAGCAAAAGGGAGCAGAACCTTGTCCACGAGCAGGATATGTTTGAAATAGTAGATGACACTTTCGCCGTACAAAAAGTACATGGTGACGGCCAGGAAGTACCAGTTTAGAGACCTGGTCAGAGGCAGATTCTTCTGCTTGGCCGGCACTTGGGCAATGGCAATGACCTCTTTGAATGAGACAATCTGAACCATGGTGATGATCATAAGGATGTAGACGTGACCAGCGAACATGGCACCGAAGAAACCACCTATCATGGCTAGAGTCCATATCGTTCGGGTAATGAAAGTCGCTTTCTTCTTCTCGTACTCTGAAGGCTCCACTGGCTTTTCTCCCTTGCGTATCGTCCCATTATTGTGGCTCTCTGCGATCTCTTCTGTAGCACTTGGAGGATCTGATGCGGTCTCGCTTGAGCTGGAAGTAGGGGTTCGACGACGTTCGCCGTTGCCGTTGCCATTGCCATTTCTTCGATGCTGGAACTGAACTGCTCTTTGTTTCGGCATGATGCTGAGCGCGTGACGTGACTGCGGACAGTCAAAGAGGCCTATCTAAGGATTCCGGGTGAATGGTTGAGTACTCTTGATCGAGAAAGCGTTGGAGAGGGGAAGCCTTGACACGTGCAGTCTGCTCGAATGCGATGATGCGAAATTGGTTGCGACACGGTCTGCTGCCAGGTAGCCGTTCAGAGCTGGTGAGGTGTACGAGTATTTTCCCGAACGCTGCAGAACCTAGCACCGCAATATGGTGGGTTTCAGTTCGAGGAGATGATGAGAAGACTGACCATCAACCCGAGAAATGTTTGGAGTTCGGAGTAAGACTCTGGAAAAAGCGATGAACTGGGCAGAAGCACAGATTCCGTTGCACATGGTTTAGGTGCAATTTGCGTCATAAGCATCTATGGGGCTGCAGACTGCGGCTGGTGAGGCGGGCGGACTTTTTTTCTCGGTGCCTGCGCCCGCCGATGCATAATTGACATTCATTGACGTGCATTTGTCCCGCAGCCGCCATGCAGCAGCAGCTACAACACCACCACCACGACTCTATCAAACAAAAGCGCGTCGAACTTGTATTTACGACGAATTCGCAGTCAACATTGGCTACTCCTAGCAACAGGTCCTCTGGCTAAGACGCGTAGAGCCGATTGCAATGCCCCATGTTGGCATTCCTGATGGAGGTCAAACATGAATGGCATGGACGACAACGAAGACGAGACCGATCTCTTCGACGACGACTTCGATAACCTGTCGGAGTCTGCTCTCCAAGAACTCGAACACCATGCTATTATCTCGACCCAACATGCCCAATCCCAGGCTCAAAATGCCATCAAGCAGGCAGTCCCTGTCCCTCCAAAACCCACCTCACTACCGCAGAATCGGTTCCAGGCTCAAGCGCGGTTCAACGCCCAACCCCATCTGCTAGTTCCTGCTCTACGAAGAGAGTCTACGGATTTCCACTTTGAAGATGAATCCTTTGAGTTGGTGGGTGAAGAAGGCGTACCTACGCCAGCGGAACAGTATGAGACATATCCTCTCCGTCGAGCTGCGCCCAACGAGGCTTCCGAGAAAGAGCAATGGCGCCAACAGAGGTATGGCCAGGCCTATGATGGAGTCGCATCCAGGAGCTCGACTCAGGAGCGGGCGCAATATCACGGTGGAACGGGTCAATACAAGCGAGCAACTGAATGGGCTCATGGTGCTCAAGCGGCGCCGGACAAGATGCTCTTAGATGAGGCGTTACAGCAGCATGCGACAGTCATAAATGGGGACGACCGAGATGCGTTTCGTGCTCGCATTGACGAGTTACTGAAGGAAAGAGATGAACTCACGAAGGAACTCAGAGGTGCGAAGGATACCGTATCCATGCACAAAGGGGAGATCTCGATCGTCAGAGCCAACTTTGACAAGGAGACAAAGGTGTTCGATCGACAGATTAGCGCTCTCAAGAAGACTATGGAGGAAGAGTCTGCCAAATATACCGCGGCCATCAATGCGATCATCGAGAAGAACAACAACTTGACCACAAGATATCAATTCCTTCAACAAGAGCACAATCAAGAAGTCCAGGAAACGAGGAGACTCGAACAACGTCTGAGAGACAAACCAGAGAGCGACAGAGATGCCGGTCCTTCTACGACACCAAAACGTGGCATGGCCAGCTCTCTTAGAGATGGCTTTGATGATGACGATATTATCATGATGTCCCCATCAAAATCAGCCCGACGATCTAAACCTTCGACACCAACTGCAGCGAATAAGAGAAAGCGGAAAGCAGACGTACCTAGTCCAGTCAAGCCACTGGTCCTTAGACCTACGGCTTCTGGTCCATCGGATATGCCGCCCCCAGCGGCACCAGTGCCGGTACAGCCTGAAGAGCCTGGCGGTCCAATTGTTCGGAAGGATAGGCAGATTGAGCGACACTTACGGTTCCTGCAGTCTATTCTGGAGTACCGTGTCAAAGGAACCAAAGAGCCTCTCTTCGAAGCATTTGTCAAGTTCCGCTTTCCGTCGAACTCATCCAAAACATTTACAACCATTCTACTCGAAGGCACGGCCCACCTCAAAGGTCCTCGACTGCCTAGTGATCTGTTACAGCTCTTTATTGACTTGTGGTCCAAATCGATGAAAGAGCAGTTCTACGAGCCAGTAGCTCTCCTTATGGAGGTGGTCAGCCACATCATTGATACCGACATGTCTGCCGTGGACTCTGGCATTGTCGGTTCATTGACTCCACTCCTCCAATCCACTGTCGCCATCAACGCAGAGAAACGCGTCAAGCACTCGCCTGTCAACCATTCAACGTTCGGAACGTTTCGCTCGACTCCTCAATCTGTACTAAACCACAAAGTCAACGGGACAAGCTCCTTGGAGATCATGCTGTCAGTAGCCTACATCATCTGTGACGACCACGACCTTCTTACTCACTTTTGGCGCCTAATCGATCCAGAGTTTGTCCTAATGATGCTTAATGCCTGGCAACCTGTCTTAGACATCACCCTGGTGTTACGTCTCCTCGCCACGAGCATCTTCGCCACGACCTTCGGCAGCATCTGCGTCGACGACCAACAAGCCAAGTTTTTTGAACAACACATCCTGAACCGCATATGCTGTCTCCTCTGGGAGACACCCAAGGTCGACGAAGGTCTGCCGGCAAATACGACTACCCAGATCTGCCAGTTGCGCACTGAAGTCATGGATCTCCTGCTCCGGGTGGCCTTCGCATCAGCTCCACTTCCGAGGGAAGACACCAACCATCACGGCAGCCAGCTCATCGCGAGCCATCCCAGCGCCATTGCGCGGATTGTGCGTAGCCTGTACGATGAAGTTACGGCCATGTACGATCTCACACCGTCGCACGCTCTGCATGCCGAGATTGTGAACAAGGGTGTGCATCTGCTTTTCCATGTGCTTGAACTGCACGGTGCGCAGATCAACTTGCAGGAGAAACTCTCCGTTATCAACGGTGGCGTGCACAAGCACCGCGTCGTGCTTACGAGGCTGGCGTTCTCAGAAGGATTTTATATCGATAGGCTGATCACTGATGATGTCGTGGCCATGGCGACAAGTATGCTCGAAGAGTGTGTGACGCCCGATGAAGCGGATGAACTGATCGAGGCGTTTCCTGGTTTCAAGGGCCGAGGACATGCTGAAGAGGAAGAGTAGAGTGGATTTCTCGATCACAACCGGGACTTGGTGTCTGCCAGATTGTTCACTTTTCTTACTCCCCGGCTACTTCTGCTCTTTGCTGTCGCAAGGCCAGGGTATGTAAAATCTCGCCAGCCCTCACAGCATGTTCGTGTGTAATTGCGCATCATCCACGCTGCATATTACTAAAATTCACCTGTTCACCAAAACACGTTTGGACTCTCCAGCAGTCCGAAGGTCTTCGATGACAGTACGGATGCTGGCGGCGCCGGTGGTATTGAGTGCCATAAGACTATAATCCGGAGAGCGATATGGGGATCTTCCCATGGTATAGCGCGAGGAACGCCATGGGTGCAGATGATATAATCTGATGGGTACTCTACCTTCTTCATAGCATGAGCAACACACAAAATGAAACGAAAGGATTACGTGAACGTAGTATTTCATGGGACTGGATTGTTGGATGCTTTATTATTTTCATCATTAAAGAGCCTTGACTAAACGTCGTGTTCGCGTAGCGATGAGCAATCCAAGGGCTTCCTAATTCGCTTGCTTGGTAACACATCATGTCACAAAATATCAAGATCGAGGCCTGTCAGTCTGCGGGACCTGAATCGTATACGGCAGCTCGCTCCTGTCGCTTGATCGAGTCAGGCGAATCACACTGCCACCGGACGACCTGGTCCTTGTCCGTCGTGGACTCAAGTCCGACGACCGTGCCGAGCTTGTCGAGCGCAGTGAGCCGCTGGAATTGGTAGTTTGCAAGCTCTGTCTCGACACGGCTGACGCTATACGCGACATCGAGCCGAGTCCCGGTCGGGATCGCGCACTAGTGGCTCTCGTCGGCGCCGTACGTAATGAGCGTGCGTCCATGTCATCGTCCTCGTCCTCGTCCGTATACTTGCGCACCTCTACAGAGGACAATGACGGTGCTGAGTCCTCAGACACGCGCCGGGGAGGAGGCAGATGGTGTCGGACGGATCCGTTCTCCGAGAAAGTCGATGCCGCTGATGAGATCGTAGGGTCCGTGTGCGCGGATGGTCGGCGCTGGTCATGATTCATGCCACCCCTTTCCGAGGAGCTGTATGCTGAATCTTCCAGATCGAGCATGTCGACATCCACAGGCGCCATATTCCTCAGTAGCTCGGCGAACATGCGCATCAACCCTTGAAACTCGTCGTCCGTGAGGGGACGGCTCGAAAATCGTGCCCGCTCGTACGCCGTCAGAAAAGCAACCGGTAGGCTCGTGTCGGGCACTACGCCGATCTCAATCAACCGCCGCAAGTATTGCCGCATGCCCATCGTGTCTAGGCGGGTGAGTTCATCGATCACCCTGGGATCAGGTAATGGCGACCCATCTTGTCCCGATTCGCCGAGCGGGTCGACAGGCGCCAGACTCACGGCCTTCGCTTCAACGAGGTCAATCAACTCGTCGATGACAGTCGCATATTCGAGACCCGGATGATCTGCCGCTGCGGGTGAGCACCACCCCGGATGTTCGATCTTGCCCCAGGGCGGCTCGTGGCTTTGGCTCTCTTTCGTGCTTGCCAGGACGAGCGATCGCATTCTCCCGAGGACAATGGTGTTGTCATATTCGATCCGTTTACTCTTCGGCCGGGCCTGGTACGCTATGACTGCGCTGCGCTCGAGACAGTCTTGAATCAATCGGTGTACGCGCCGACCAGGCAAGTCCTCTTTTTCAATCGGTAGGAACGTCTTCGGGATGTCCTTGAGAACGGAGCGGTTGGTGTAGAGTCTGCTCGCATATATGAGCGACGCAATAAGGGCGGTGACCACATAGTCGCCTGTTATGAGGAAGATGTCGAGTAGACGTCTGCGTTTGTAGGATTCGTAGAGTGCATCGGCGGGGGTGACGCATATAAATGAGATTGTCAGGAGGAAGACGATGGTGAAGGAGGTGCTGTAGAAGATGCGAAATACGATCTGGCGGGCGCGTGGCATCGGGGTGGACACAACACGAGCATGGTGAGGATGCTCGCTCGATGGATACTATGAATGGACGTGAGGTGTCATGACCCACTACGATGTGTCGCGGATTAAGAGTTATGGGAGTTGAAGCTGTGAGAGAAGAGGGTGGTGTTTATCGAGGTCATCATCGAGCTGGCTAAAAATGGCAAGTTTATACTCGACCGACGAGGGCTAGAGAGGCCTTCTTTTAGGAGAGGATGACGCCGCCCTATTCTCTCCACTGGGAACACCAGTTGGTCTTTACTACCATCATCATCCATCATCTAACTTCACCTTCACCATCATCGTCCATCGTTTCATAGATTATCAGCTTCCCACAGCTTCAAGCAGACAGATCGCCACTCATCAGGGTACATCAAATAGATATACTCAACACACAGTCGCACAGGTCAGTGTTTGAAGTACGCAAGGTACGCTACGTTGCCCAAACGTCCTCCTGCAGTCTTCTTTCCTTCTTCATCTGTTCGACATAACCATTGTTCAAGCTTGATCCCGTCACGATCTCGTTGATGGTCTTTTTGACACCCTCGGCCATGTTGAGACTGCCACATATATATATCGAAGCCTTTCTATCCGTGATCAGCTTGTGGACCATGTCACGCTCGCTCCACAACTTGTCTTGCACGTACACCTTTCGAGGCCCATGTCGAGAAAATGCGCAGTGGATCTGAAATATTCCCGAGCCAGCATGCTTCTCCCACTCCTCCGCATACAAGAAGTCTTCCTGAGGACTCCTGCAACCAAAGACAAGAATCATTCGTCCTTGAGGAATGCCTTGCTTCTGGCGCTGAACCCGTTCTTGCACAAACCCTCTGAACGGGGCTACACCACTTCCTGCGCCTATCATCAAAATCGGGCATGCCTCGTCGACCGGCAATTTGAAGGATGACTGTCTGACCTGGACAAGCGCCCTTCCACCGGTAAGTATGCTTCTCGGTCCGCTGAGGTGATAGGTAGGTCCTGGCCGAACCGTCTTGGACGTTGTTCCTTCATCGATTTGTTGCTGATACAAATTCAAAAGGTAGTTGGTCGTCAGGCCGTGGAACTTGACCCCTTCCTCACCAGTTTGTTTCTCCAGCACGGAAGCTGTGATGGCAATCCTGTCAGGGTCGACAAGCGGGGAGGAAGCTATCGAGAAATACCGAGGCCGTAGCTTGGGTAGGTTTCCGAGGAGAGCTGCAAAGAGCCCCACGGGCCAGGGCTCGCTGGTGTCGGGAACAGCTTGTCTCATCAGTTTACCGCATGTGAAGAAGCTCGTCGACGTCCGCGTAACCCAAGAAGGGAATTGTCTGACGATTTGCTCCAAGTACTCGCGACCTGCTTGTGTCGGAGCATAACGTGCAAGGACTTCGACTAGTTCGAGAGAGACAGGCCCTGAAATGTCGAGATAGTATCGGAGAAGTGATCTTCTCGTCGTTGGGGATGGTATCAGATTGTTTGCTTGCTGTTTCGGCACCCCGATTTCCACCAGACGGTCCAGGGCCTTTTCGTCAAATCCAAAGTTTTCCGCGAGAACCTTGACTTCTTCCTCCACATTGATGGGCCAAACAGCAAGGTGGTCTCCGCTCTGGTACTGCCGAAGTTGGAGAGAACGCGCATCAAACTCGACGTGAAGATACCTGTGCATCACACCGTCGCCATGCACACAGTGGTCCGAAGAAGCCGCCACAGCTCCAACCTGACTAGGGATCAATCTGACCTCATTGATTTTGCTGCAAGCTACGGTCTGTGAGCTTGATTTTCCCGTGAGAAGCTCAGCTACGTGGGATTCTCGAGCGACCATGAGGTGACCATTTTCAGGTTCAAAGATGTTGAACTCCTCGCTGAAGTTTGACCTCCAACCTGGAGTCTCCTTTTTGCCAAAGTGCTGAGAGAGCTCGCTCAGGATGCTTTCCTTCCATGTCGTCCAAATGGAATCACCCGCAAAGGCTTCATCGGTTTTACCAACGTCTCCAAGTCGACGCGCTCCAGACTCAGCCAGAGTGCAATCGACAAAGTCCACAAATCGGTTGAAGTATTGGTACCTGCTGTTGCCCAACCCAAATGCAAAATACGACAGATTCGAGAGTGCCTGAGTGTTTGCTGACTTTTGGAAGCACTGGAGAGTTTCGTAAAGGCCGACAGCATTATCGCACGGATTCCCTTCTCCGAACGTAGCCACGACGAAACCAATCACGGTCTTCTGGGAGACTTGGGACAAGTACTCGTGATCGTACTCAGCTAAATCTGCAGCCATGGCAGGAATACCATAACGCAGACGACATTCGCGAGCTAGATCTTGGGCAAGTTTCTCGCTACGTCCACTTTGTGAACCCCAAAAGATACACACCGAATCTCCCTGCACTAGAGTCAGCGTCCAGGAAAGGCCGCATTGGATGGCAATCATCAGCTCACAGATTTCTGCAGTTCTTGTTCGATGCTCCTTGGGGCGTCGTCATCCTTGCTGCTGCGTCGTATTATACCTGCTTCTTCTTGGGGAGACACAAAATACAGGTCGAATCCATCCTCGACCTTCCCAGTCCGGTATGTTCTGATGAGATAGAAGAAGCTGCCGGCTAAGATGACCACGAGAACTGCAAGGTCATCCCACGTCAACACAACACCGGGGAAGATTGATGCCATTGTTGTCCATGTCAGATCAATATCGATCATCAGGGCTGGGCTCAGATCTGAGAATAAGACCATTTTGCCCAATGCCGGATTGTTCCTGACGAGCCGCTTCCCTGTCCGTCCACAAGGACGACGAAGCCAACATCAGTTCTTTTCAATGGAAGCCACATCGTTGTCAGGAAAAGATCGCCAGCCATGTCACGCACGATTCTAGGCCATGATGTGCAGAGACCAGAAAAGTTCGGTCAACCATCTACCTTTCCAGGAATTTGCTCGGCAGATCTCTCTCTCTGCGACCCCAGTCTGGTGTGGCTTGAGTCTCAGCACATAATCGCATCCTTTTACGGATATAGCGGTCCGAGATTGCCATCTTCATTCTAGTAAGTATCTGACGGCGGCTCTAAATTCGACGAAGAGCTTCATCAGCCTACAGCTCGCCGATACCGCTTCCCCGCAAAAGGTCCATCCAGGTGAAAGGATTGGAGCAGGATATGATCGAAGAGATTTAACCCGCAGTGGGTCCAGAGGGGCAGATGCATCATTTCCTCCTGGAGCAAAATGATAGCCCTACGATTATAAAAGCATGGAGATCACCATCCTCGTGGCTCGCATCATGCTTGTGGCGGCTTCACTTAACAATCTCTCCTTCCCACGCACTTGAGAGGATCCAGTCGAATACTCATTGACAAGGCAACATGAGTAACAAATTGGGCCTCCCCGGCCTCAAGGGTACGCCCTTGATCACTGCCATTACTTCCGTTTGTTCGGCAGCATTCTTGCTTTTTGGCTGTAAGTGGTTCTTCTACACTGAGGGAAATATAGGCCCCCTTTGAATCGGGAGCTCTTCCACTGATTCCATTTCCCAACTCGAGTCACATGCAGTATTGCTGACGTTGTCTTCAAAAAGATGATCAAGGAGTCATGAGTGGTGTCGTTATCTCCGACTACTGGCTTCACGAGATGGGCAACCCCAGTACCGTTATGGTTGGGACCATCGTAGCACTGTACGATGTTGGTGCGGTGTTTGGAGCCATCGGGGCTGCCATGACAGCTGAGAGGCTGGGCAGGAAGCGCGCATTAATCTTTGGAACAGTGCTTCTGATCATTGGGTCGGTGCTGATGGGCTCGTGCTACGAGAGAATCCAGATGATGTTTGGGAGAGTCTTCACAGGTCTTGGTTAGTCATGCATATCCCCTACATTACCGTGACCCAGCTGACCCGAGACTCAGGCATCGGCTACATTACCTCGGTCGCGCCAGTATATCAAAGTGAGGTGTGCTTGCCAACTCAACGAGGTTGGCACCTATGTTGCCAATTGACTACCCTGTTGTTCGGACTTATGCTCGCATACTGGATGAACTATGCCTTCTATTTCCAGCCAGGCCAGCTGCAGTGGCGATTTCCCCTGCTTTTCCAGATCGTTCCAGCAATTTACATCATCGTGGTTACGGTTTTCCTTCCCGAAACACCTCGGTGGCTTATGTTACATGAGACGAGCCCTGAAAGGGGTACTCATGTTCTCTCCAAGCTTCGAAATGCTCCGATTGACCACCCGAGCGTGCAGAAGGAAAAGGAGGAAATTTTAATGGCTGTGCAAATGGAGCTCCAGGAAGAAGGATCATGGAAGGATCTCTTCCGGGATGGGGGCGTATCAGCCCACAAACGCTTCTGGCTAGCTGTGGGTATCCAATTCATGCAACAAACTTCCGGTAAGTGAGACACTGTGATTTATCCCTAATAGTGCTCTGATCTTGCCAGGAATCAACATTGTTAGCTATTACGCGCCAACGATTTTCCAACAGAGTCTGGGAATGACGCAGGAAAGGGCTCTTTTTGTTGGAGGCTTCCTTCAGATTTGGTACATCCTCGCATCGTTCCTCACGGTACGTCATTCTGTGTTCATGACCCAAAAGTCCTGTCTAACAAGGGGAGTGGTATATGATCGATTCGGTTGGTAGACGAAGGCTTTTCATCAGCATGGCTATCGGTATGTGCGTGGTGCTCGTCGCGGAGGCCATTTGTGTCGCAAATGGCGGTTTCCATGCCGGAATTGCTGCCGTCTTCTTCGTTTTCGCGTTTGAGGGATGCTTCACCTGGGGTAAGTACGAGACGAGGTTGGGGTTGTGCCTTTACTAAATGGAACAGGATGGATGGCAACAAGCTGGGTTTATCCGGCTGAAATCCTTCCCTTGAAGATTCGAGCGAAAGGTATGGGTCTGGCTGCTGCTGCGGACTTTCTCGGCAATTTTGTTGTAAGCACCTACTCCTACTCCAGCGGCTGCAGAACACCATGGTGAACTGACTGTCCATGAAAGGTGGTTGAAATTACTCCTCCCGCGCTGAAGAATATAGGTTACAAGACATACATTATCTTTGCGGTCCTCAACATCGTCACGGCTACAGTGTGCTTCTTCTTCTACCCGGAGACCAGTGGCTTGTCCCTCGAGCATATCGACATGTTGTTTGTCGAGGATGCTGCTGAGTCCGCCAACGAAAAGAAAGGCCTCAACAGGTTCAAGTGGAAGATCGTCCCGAGAGCATGGGCGGCGGTCAGGCGGGCCAGGGAAGAGAGAAAGGGGGCCAAAGAGAGTGGAGATGGACGAGGTGAAATGGGTGAAACCACCGAAACATTCGAGAAATCAGGCACGACCAGTCTTGCCCACGTCGAAAAGAACTAGGCGATTGGGTTTGACCGTGTGTTTCTTGGAGAGTTCTGGGTACGTAGAGCAGATTGGAGCTGCCGTGGATGAAGGGAAGATGGTGAATGACTGAGGTCGGCTGCAAGTGCGGAGGAGAATGCCCGAGGTGTTGGGACAGTTGGTTTCTGTTACAGCTGCTGGCAATCTTTGATAATGTATCAATGGCACTATTTGAGTAGGAGAAGTAGCCCAAACCCTGCGAAAGGGATCGCAATGGCAGCTTTTCAGACGAGATCGGAGACCTCGAATGCACACTCATCCTACCTTGTTCATACCAGCAGGCGGTTGGAGTGGTGAAAGCAACATACTGTTCGTACAATACCCGCATGGAGCATGCTGGAGTTTCTAGCCGGCTTCTAACGACCCAGATCTCGACCTCCACAGCGGTCAAGCGCAAGGATTTACTGACTGGAGGTACAGGAACCAAAAGAAGGGCAAGTATTGTATTTTCAGAGGTTACACTTCTACACAGCCCTCCTGGTGATACGAACGGGCAATGGACCCGTATGACCACTCAACGTCTCAATGGTTGGCAATTCCCAATCCGGGGAGGAGAGTTCAAAGTCATATCTCCAGAAGAGTGTGGCAATGGTCAGGGACATCTCAAAGTAGGCGATATTCCTCCCAATACACGCTCGGCCACCCTGCGAAAAGCCCAGAAACGCTCGTTGTATGCTGTTATTGTCCAGCCAACGCTCGGGTCGATACTCATCTGCAGCTTCTCCAAATATCTTCTCGTCCCTGTGCAGGGTGTAGGTTGACACCGACACGGTGGTGCCTTCGTCGAACCACTCTCCAGAAATCTGCATGCCACCAGGCGGGATCAACCTGGGCAAGCCGACGGGGAGGGATGGTCTGAGTCGGATGCCCTCGTCGATGCATGCCCGGAGGTAAGGCAGGTGCTGGATGTCATGGTAACTGGGCAGAGCCAACCCGTCTCCTGCGTTCTCAAAGGCTGGTTGCAACTCCTCGCGGAGTCTCTTGACGGCGTGTGGACTTTTCGCCAGTAGCCAGATGATATTTGTCAGAGCGATCTCGGTGTTTTCCCCGGCGGCATTGAACAGATTCTGAGCTTCGGTCAGGATCTCGCCGAATTCAAGGCACAACGGCTCCTGAGACTTCTTGTCCCAGAGCAGGGCGCTCATAAAGTCGTCGATGGGCTTCAGGCCGCGTTGGGTCCGATCGGTTTCCGCTAGTAGCCTTTTCCTCGTCAGATGGATCGTAATGTCGCGGAGCTGGTTGCCGTGCTGCCACTCGTCGTGCCAACTGGTGAGAGATTTGATGAACGGTATCGACTGTGGTGCCCAGCCAAGTGCCGTGGACACACGCAGAGATCCACAGAGCGACTTGTGGATGTCGGCCTGGTAGAGCTTTCCCCGGATGGTCTCGGCGGTGGTGGTCGTTGAGCCTCTTTCCAAGAAGCCCGGATTGACTCCGAAAAGGAGTACGCTGATTGAGTCGTACATCAGGCCGAGCATCATGCTCTTCATGTCCACCACCCCCTCCAGGCCACTATTGGCAGTGGTAGTATCGCTCGTCTTGTCTAGGAGATGGATCAATTGACTGAGGTGCCGAGAAAAGACGGTTTCCAATTCCACAATGTTCTTTTGGGCAAATGCCGTAGCAAACCTCTTCCTCTTGACATTGTGGACGGCCTTCTCTTGAGCGTCCGAGACATTGAGATGTGTGGACACGAACGCTCCGTAGAAATTATCCTTGATGGCAGGCGTGCCGTGCCCGTACATGTCCTTGACAGCATCAAATGTCGAGAATGAAACGTGGGTGGGCCCGACGCGGACGGTGCTTCCAAGCTTGAGATGTGCTTGATGGATCGCAAGTGTCCGAGTCGAGCGATACTGATGCACCACACCCCAGAGATTTGTGAAAGCAGCGCACGAGACGCTGGGAAACCGACGCAACCCTTTAGGATCCTGCCAGTAGGTGATCAAAGGGACGAGGACGGCCCTCGCGAATATGGCACACAGCACAATGCTTGCCAGAAGTATTCCAAACATGACTGCTTGCTTGCAAGAACCGGATTGCCACGAGAACGCAGCAGCCCATCAACAGCACAAGAGTATTAACGAACAGCAACGAGGGTCAGTGGCGGTAGGAGCCAGCGAAGAGGGTCATTCATATTATTCGGAACACCATTTTTTGCCAGAAGTCCACGCCCCGAGCTGAGGCGGATGACGACCTGACGTACCTCAGCAATCACCAGTGTTTGTACCGCCGACCCTCGTCCCGTTTATCCTCATCTGATCGAGGGAGGTCCATGCAGATTTGTCGGCACAAAATTCACAAATATAGTAAAATGGCCCCGCGACGCTCTGATCCCTATGGGCCCCTCAGTCTTGACACCCCCAGTGAACCTCCGCATCGCGGATGTCGGCATAAGTGAGCTTCTCGAACCCCCAGCATCCAAATCGACACGTTTCGGACCACGTAAGGTCATCTGCGACCTTTGAAGTAATCATGCACCGTGTTGTGGCTGGCGAAATGGGCCACAAGAACAAGAATGACAAGAAAGCCTGGTACGACTGACCAGACTGTGACTTTGGTCTCGGCGTCGTTTTGTTGGCTGACACGCTCTCGCCTCACAGCAAAGATTGTCGGAAGAGAAAGGTGCGATGTATGTCGGTCCACGCGGTCGCGGTCTTCACACCGATTCAATTCAGTCTTCGCGATACACTACGGTATCCTTGGGTAAATCGTGTAACTTGGCGCTAGGGTGCCATTCGACGACAAACAGCAGCGACAACGATTTATGTGGCGGGAAGGTATCCGATTGATAGCGAGGTCCAGCTATTGTTTCGATGAGCGGCAACTTGGTTTACAACCCGGTCAAGCGAGCTTCCCGTCGTTACCGATTTGCCCACGAGACCGTATTATCGTTCCCCATTTCCTACCTATACAGCGCTGACGGACGTCCTTCCCAGGTGATGGCAGCCTTCCATGTGACAGATGTGTGCGGTCGAAGCGCCATTGTGCTTACGCACCACCAACTCGTGCTTTCTCCTTCAGACACAGCAAATTGTCCGGATTGTCCCACAACCAACAAGACCCAGGGTCACGGTCACCGCAAGGCAATGCCGCGCCGGATGACCATGACCACAGTACCGACAGGTCTTTTGCCGAGCCTGAACGCTGCGAGATCAGGGCCGCCACACCCACTAACGGCCATAGCCAAAGCCCACTTGGCAACCTCGATCTTGTTCTGACGCCGCAAGGGCTTGTGGATTCAACAACCTCACAGTCGGTGCCCCAGGCCCAATACTGCTCACCCAGTAACAATGCCACATTCCCATCTCCCAGGCAGCAAGCCGTCCAGCATCCTGCTCCACACAGCGCTAATGGGCAGTCTCCTCCTGGGTCGAGGAGTCGACTATACGACCGGGATGCATCGGCGCGGTTCACCATACAAGAAGGAGAGCTACTCCAATTTTATGTCGAGAAACTGGGTCCATGGGTAGGTATTGCCTGGCTTAGTGCCTCTACAGGGCACGTTGAGAGAACAACATGCTGAATTTATCGTGCTTCCTTTGCTAGCTCGATGTAACAAGTCCAGAACGACATTTCACTTATACCGTTACGAGGTAACTAAAATCGTGCCTGTGCCTTTGTCCCCGCTCACGATACACCTGGCTGACCATTGTATTGCAGCCTAGCATTACGGTGCTCTTTGCTCCTATACGCCATCTTGGCCTGCTCGGCGCGCCTCATCAGACTCCTACAAAAGGATCGGCACCGACCGGACCTGGAAGAGGATGAGGGCAAATTCTATCAGCAATGTCTCCAGCGGCTCATTCCCATTCTCGATGTGGAGAGTACCGAAGTGCACGACGATGCAGTGCTCGCGACCATCGGGATCCTACGCATGTCGGAGCAGTACGACGAATACGACACCGACCAGCAATTCCATCTCGTGCCAGGGGCCTTCTCACGCGCCGGTACCCTGGAATCGGCGAGCACCCTGCTGGGTGGCTTGCGAGAAGCCACTTTCTTCTCCTACGTCCGCGCCGACATTCGCATGGCCATCTTGGGCCAACGAGGGACAAGGCTTCAGCTAGACTTGTGGCCGTTCGACAATGGTTGCCCGAGCAGCGATGCCGACTGGACGCATAGGATGACCTGGCTCCTTGTGCACGCGATCAATCTACTTTATGCTCCCAGTTCGCCCGGTTCATTCACCCACGAGAAATTAGCCAGGCTTGTGGATGAGTGGCAAATGGGCAAACCGACCACATTCAAACCGTACTTCTACGACTGGCCTGATAGGGAAGCATTCCCTACCGTGAAGCTACTCTGTCCCTGGCATAGTAAGTCAGACGGTTTCGTGGGAGATCCATTCGATTGAATGAGGCTTCGAGGATATGCTAACCTGCGTTTCATTTCGACCAGTTGTTGGTCTTCAGTTTTACCATGCTGCCAAAATACTCCTCGCAGTTGCCGGACCCGGCAGCTCTCAGCTTCAAGATTTGGTGGGATACAGCAAACTCGTCGAGGGAGGGATTCTCCTACACTCACGCATGCTTTGCGCCATCTCCTTCTCCAACGACCATTTTGGCTGCCGCATCAACGCGTCTCACCTGGTGGCGATGGGTGCTCAGTTCTTCACGGGAAGAGAGGAACAATGGCGCGCGCTGGACTATTTCAACGTCCTCCAAACGACAATGGCATGGCCAAGCGAGATTTGTCAGGACATGCTGCGAAAAGCATATTCTACTCGCGCCGAGACAACCTCGTATACGTTTTAGCGAGGAAGTTGAGGTTGGTAGGGCCAAGCCTTGGTATAGGATGGTGTCCGGCGTATGGCGGCTCGATACGAGGCTGAACAACTAAGGTATCTGCGATGGTCTCTTAGGTAAATCGTGTAATTTGGCGCTGGGGTGCTATTCGACGACAAACAGCAGCGAGGACAATTTGTGTGGCAGGAGGGCCTCCTGTTCAATGCGATGCCAACTGCTGTTTCGACGATTCAAAGGACAAAGTAGATAGGTTGCTACCTGTCACCCGCCTGTGGGTATCTCGGAGTGGATGTTCTTCCGCAACCTCCGCATAACACGAATACGAACGGCGTATGACAGTGCCAACCTAGAACCACTGGGCTGAACTGGGCTGGGGACTTTGATTTGTTCGTCAATTTCAGCCTCACACTGACCGCTTCTCATGACATTTTTGAGGGTGCTCCCTACCCGCTTTGACTCTGTTCGCTATGTCAATGTACCCTCGTAGAGTGGTAGCCGAGTTCGTGTTTCGTTGGTGGGTCTGATTCGAGAAGGCTGACAAATGATAAATCCACCATCACCAACCACCCTTCTTGGAGCTTCGAGCCACCTACCTCCGTAGAGCCTTGAAAAGAGCAGCCCTTCCCGCCCACCTTCCAAAAACCGGACCTTTTTCCACTGACAACAACCCGAACCTCACCCCCATTAGCAACCTGGATTAGTGACTTGCAGTGGCGAGGAGAAATACCTAGGTAGACATCACATCATGGCACCCGTACTAACACTCTACGACACCGCCCTCGTGCCCGTCCTCCGCACACTCAAGAACCTCACCAACATCCTGAAAAAGGGCGAGGCGTATCTCGACAGCAAGGGCCTGCCGCATTCGGAACTGCTCGAAGCCCGCCTTGCGCCGGACATGCACCCGTTGCCCTTCCAGGTCCGGACGGCGTCGAATGCGGCGAAATTCATCGCCGTGCGTGTGGGCGGGGTCACGAACCAGCCGTGGGAGGACAACGAGGAGACATTCGAGGAGTTGCAGGCCCGGCTGGCGAAGACCGTCCAGTTTCTCGAGGCCGTGGACCGGAGCCAGTTTGACGACAAGGAAGGTGTCGAGGTCACTCTGTTCGAGCACAAGTTCACGGGTCTGAGTTATGTGAATGACTTTGCGCTGCCGAATTTCTACTTTCATGCGGTCACTGTGTATGACATTTTGAGGACGAAGGGGGTGGATGTGGGCAAGAAGGATTGGATTGGGTGGTGAACCGCTAACGTGGCGAGTTCGCGGGTTGGCAGGTTGGCAGGTGGCAGGTTGAAGAGGGCTTTGATTGTTTGTCAAGATGAGACGGTGGAGATGAGAGGTTGGAGGACGGAGAATGGGCGAGGCAACCGGACCATGGTTCCTGCGGATGTACAGGGACAACCGAGGTGGAAGGTTGTTGTTGACATGGGCGTGGAACTGAAAAACCTTTACAGGGGGCGAGGCTGGAGAACTGGCGAACTGGCGAACACCGGCTGGTACCGTTAGGAGGGTGAGAGACGATCATTGGACTTTTCAATCCACGGTATTAATCTCCTGGCGCACCTCGTACTGTACAAAATTGCGGGTTGAGCTTCCCTCCTGATTTCGTGGCCAGAGAATTCTGACGCACAAGAGGCTGTTTGTCGACAAGGCTAGGTACTTCATCGAACCTTGGTCGTAAGCATGATGAGATCCTGGTCGAAGCAGATTCTTTCTTTATCTATGGTTCGGAATACTTGAGCCTCCGTGACCTCCGTGGGGCACCTCGTGTCCCTTCCCTTCCTCATCCTTTCTCGAACTGTGGTTCTTCCGGGTCACGTACTCCATGCCCTGTCCGCTATGCGTGTTGCTTCCGCTGTTCGAATGGGCCTTGCGTTCCTCGTACTCCTCTTGCTTCTGCTGGGCTTTGAGGTTGGCGGGATGTTCGGGATATTTATCCGTGGCGTCTACAATGTCAGGTAACAGGTTTGTCAATTTGGTGTGCTATGGTCGGTAATACTGTAAAGGTATAGCGAGGTGGTCCTATACGTACCAGACATTTTGTCGCTTTGGATTGATCTTTGACTCTGCTGATACTAGTAGCTGGGAGTTGTGCTCTGGAGCAGGATGATCTAGGGTAATGGGTCAATATGGATAATGGGTCAATATGGATAATGGGTCAATATGGATAATGGGTCAATATGGATAATGGGTCAATATGGATAATGGGTCAATATGGATTCTCGAGGGGGATGTCGGTTCGATATGAAGGTGAGGTATCTTTTATCATCTGGTAGGAACTTACGTCATTCATACGTTACGTGATGATGGGTGACATAATGCTCTTCTTCATGGATTCAATCAGATGAGGAGATGGATGAGGTGGAGGAGGTTTTGCTGATCGACACGAAGGATCCGGATATTATGGCCGAGAGCCACGGAAAGCCGTAAAGGGGGGAAACTAGGTCTGACTGAGCGTCGCTCATCGTCAAGATGCCTAAGGTATCAATACCTGGATCTCATCCGGCCCTGTCAGCTTCGACTGTTCTGCAAATCTGCTGAGCGAGGAACTGCAACGTCCTCCAAGTGCTGACTCCTGGACTTCGCAGCCTCGTCACGTGATGCAGAGTGTCTACCCACGTTACTAATCCGTGCTCTTCTGTATTGCGGCGCGAAGTCAGGCGTTCGAATACGAGAAACTGGGAAAGTAGCCGTAATCTCCAGGGATACTCTCGACGGTTTCGCATATTCTGTGGCCAAACTCCGCGAGACCGTGAAGGTACGATAGCCCGGGACGCCAAGTGTACTGAGGACATAGCTGCAGAATACAGTTGTCAGTGGGCCGCAGAATCCGGCTGGTTGGAACTGTTGGGCTTGAACAAATCTTGCGTTATGCAGGAAATTCCACGAGTCAAATTCGAAACTTGAGTCTGGACGAAGGAGCCGCAATCCATCACTGACCATGAAATCCCGCAACGAGCGATGCAGGAAGTCAACACTGAAATCGAACGAGAAAAGCTTGTGCTGTCTCACATTTGCCACATCATGGATTATGGGCAGGAAGACTGCTTCATCCAGACTCTCTGCCTCCGTGGGTGCTTGGAGAGGTGGCTCGTAAACGTCCTCCGACCCGAGACAACGGCTCTTCAACTTTCGCAGAGTCGAGTCGAGACGAATCAAGATGGCTTCCAGACCCAGATCGTCTGTTGCACCTGCTGCAGGCTGCCAAGCAAGCGCTGAGTCGGTCCCAGCAGCATCCAAGAAGAAGAGATCCAGAAATCTGAGAGGGTTCAGTGCGTTGAAATCTTGTTCATCGTGAAGCGCAATCTGAAAACTGATGGAAGCCTCTCTCCGATAGACTGGCAGCACTGAATCGATCATCCGTCCGAAGTGAGCATCTATTGATGCTAGGATTAGCCCCCCAGTTTCAGCTTAGAACACTCAAACCCGTGCTCCAAATCGAGATGCATGATAATGTAAGAGCATGGGAAATGCGGATCATCCATGCTGGCGTAGTAGATGTGTTTATCAATGTACTCTTGAGCCTTCGTAGATAATGGTGGGCGAGAGTGCGAATGAGACGAGCAGGACTTGATGAACCCTCTCCTGCCGCTGGGCATTAGGGAAAATGCGATGCCGGATTTCCACGCCCAAACCACGTGTCCATTCGAGATCAATTGTGCGAATTGATGCAGCCTAACCTGCCAATGTACGTCGCCTCCTCTTTCAACCTGCACTTCCCCGTCTTCCGTGACGGGACCGGGTCTGCCTTCGCTGTACACATGCTCATGCAGTGAGTAGTAGTTCGAAATTTGATACGAGAATCCCCAGCTGAAACTAGACACGATGAATATACATAATGTCGTCACGAGGAAAACCCAAACAGATTTCCCGGACCCGTTGAGTTCCTCAAGGTTCATTCCAAAGATCGAAGTGCCCAGGCTTATTGGGACGAAGAAGAAGGCTAGCATGGTGACTATCAACGGGAAAAAGTAATAGACGTCTCAGTAATCAACGAACCAGTCATATGGACCTGAGACTTACCTAGTTTTGTCCGCTTACCCTCTTCTAGAGCAATTTTGGACTGCTTGATTGATGCACGAGACTCTTCGAGGCTCATCCATCCGACATGGGCTTGTAAGTAGTCTCGGGCAAGCTGCTCGGTGCGATGAAGTTGATGCACGACGCGCTGGAATCTCCCAAATAAACGTACATACTCGTCTTGTTTTTGAGTGCGGCCGTCGTTCCGTTCAGCATCGTACTGCAGGAAACAATCGAAAGGCCCGGTGCTGTCGTGCTTCATCATGCGTAGATCATCCCAAGCTCTTTCGACCAGCATTGGGAGCCGCTGCCACTCGCCTCTGCCCATACGAAGGCTACGATCTTTGCCCGCCAGCTCCCCTCTCAAGATCGTGGTGTGAATATCGAGCACCGGCAACAGGAACATCAATGGGTCTTCGTGCGCAGCGACATGAAGCGATGGGGGCCATTTTCGAATAGATGCCTTAAAAACCTCTGCACAATCCACGAAGAAGTCATGAGTGTAACCCAGTCCTCCTTGATAAAGATCTTCAAGACCATGTGGTCGATAGCCAATAGAAGGCGACCGATCCAGGGACGCTCCCGCAGGAGAGCAGATCTGCAGAGTACCAGCTGACAAGATGACTGCGCCGATGTCAGCTGCGTCTCTGCCGTGGAGACACTGACCTAAAAAAAAGTGACTTACCAACGTTCTTGGGTCTGGAAAAGGTACTCTGCTCAGTAGCGATAATCTTGCTCACCCAACCATATCCGAAATCCAAATGCCGTGGGGAGAACTCGGTCATATATTCTGGTAGCTGAGTATCATGTGTCTCCCAGCCGTTAGGCTGATGTCTGACCATCCGGGAATACACAATATCTCGGAACACTGCGGGCTCGATGTTGTACTCGACTCCAAGAAGCTCTTGGGCACAGAAGCACAAATCTTCCTCAAACACGATTAATCGAGATATGGTGTTGAGTCCAAGCGTTTGCAGCTTTTCTCTGTGTGTCTGGATCCAATCCTGTATGGGTTCGTCCTCAGCAGGAGCCTTGATCTGCCATTCGGTTATATGGCAGGCAGACGAAATGTCTAAGAGGGTGATGTAGCTCTCCGAAGTAGACCTTTCGTCATGACCAAGCCTATACTTCCACCCTTTGTTTTGGAGCTCGGTTGCCCAGATATCCTGGTAATTTTGATGTGCCTGATTCGACATAGTAGACAAGAAGGTGTCAGTGCTCCCATATACAGTGTTCTGCGAGGTAGTCGTTGTGAAGCTCCTCAATGACATCTTGGTGATCGTTTCAAAGGAAGATCTGTTTGGGCCAGATGAATATGATTTTTCAAATACAGATTTTGGTCGACAAGGCTGAGGATGCCCACTAAAGTTAGTGGGAGAGTTTTCAGCTTCCGACAAGTTGCGCTGCTGGTCGTGATGAGTAGATGAGGGCTTACCGCTCAGTTGCCGTCCTTGTTGAAGAGGCTTGAAGCTCTGTGGGAACTGCTCTGCCAGGCATAAACCGCTTATGGCTAGGAAAGATGAGGTTCACGATTGAAGTGCAGCAGACGTGGAAATAATAGTCGCTACCTATCAATGGGCTGAGACAGCCACCTGCCCTACCCTTTTGTCTAGTGTAAGTAGAACAGATAATAAGAGGCTCACTGTTGCATCTGCCTAAGCGCCTAACGCGCGCCGATTAGGCCGAGACCTGCATTGCATGAGCCCTGAACGCGAAGTTTGCCGGGAAAATGAAAGGCAGAATTAGGCAAGAGGATAAGCGACCGCCACGGCAGTCGCACTGGTATATCATTGGCGGCTTCAAGGAATCTGTGGTAGCCATGCAGCGGTGTGAGCAATGTGGTCGTGTGGGCGACATTCGTAGATATCGCACGTCTCCACCCAGAAATATTGAAGGTCATCCATTGAGACTTGTTCCCACAGGACCAGGTTCGCCATATCCAGCCTTATTCTTGCCAGACGCATCTGTATATCTTGGAAAGTCACTTCCTCACCATCGGGCCCCCAAGTATGAGAAAGTATTTCATAGGGCGGAATGTCCTCTCCGATGGAATATTTGGTCAACCTGACCCCTCGACGACGGCCGAGTTCCAAAGCCTCATGGTCACAACACCGATCTGGAGGCACAGAAAAGAGTGACTACAGGGCGGGCAGGATCATGACAGTCTGGATAATTCGATGATGGCCTGCCGCTTATTCGACAGGATATGCAATATGGGCTGTGTAACGGGCTTTGTGAGGTTGCATCTGTGAACTTGAGCGAAACAGACTATGTGAGGTTTCACACGGAGAATCGTAGGCTTGAAGGACTTGTGTAGGTTATGGCGCGAATAATCGAGAGTGACAGGAGCACGGAATGCGGGGGCGCAGGCTAAATCACGTGATGGCTCAGAGCAAACTCAAGTGTTAGCGTGAGATTTAGATCTTGGCATATTTGGCTGCTTTGTAACTTCCGCGTCTGCGATTTCTGAGCGACAGGACAGAACCGGTGTTTGAGGGAAATGATATCTTGTAGCCGGCACAGTGAAGTAGCCAAGGGGGTTTCGAGTTTCCTTTTTCCCTTTACCGTGGCGACTCAATAGTTTGAAACCATGGCTGAGAAGGCCGCTCCTTCAATCGCCGCGGTTGCGGTGTCTTCTCTCATTCTGGGCCTGCTGGCGGGCTACTTTATCGGACAAGGCGCCAGTATTGGTGTATTTGGCGGTCAGAGCAATTCAGGCGGAGTCAAGCAAAGTTGGCCAAACAGCTATGATGTCAAGGTCCATGCAGATTCAAGCGATGAACAGGCCGATGATGAAGATGAGCAAGAAGAAGAAGACGATGAAGACGAAGGCGACGGAAAAGAACTCAATGACTTCAGAGAATCTACCGAGGAAGTCAAGCTTGTGCTGGCAGTAAGGACCGATCTGGGGATGGGTAAAGGTAAGAAGATTGACCTTGAATCCTCCAATGTTGAGCTCAACCTGACTAGCTTTGCAGGTAAAATTGCAGCACAATGTTCTCATGCCACACTCGCCTGTTACAAATACCTGCTCAGCCATCCTTCATCCGCGCCTTTGCTCAAGCGGTGGGAATGGGGAGGACAGCCCAAGATCGCGGTACAAGCTAAATCTGAAGAAGAGCTGGAGACACTGCAGGCCCAAGCAATGAGTCTCGGTCTTTGTGCAAGAATCATACACGATGCGGGTAGGACACAGATTGCAGCTGGCAGTGCAACAGTACTAGGGGTTCTCGGTCCGAAAAGTGTTGTCGACCAGGTTACCGGACAGCTGAGACTGCTATGATACCGGAATTTGCAAGATCTGGTCAAACCAGAATTCCTTCCCCATACCACAGAAGGCCAATTGATGCAGCAATACTCATGCCTCGGTCGCATTCTCCTGTGCATGCAAGCCATCATCATACTGTGGCCCTGTACCATACGTCCCGAGATGGGTTTCTGACCAAAGTCCAAGCAACTCCCAAGCCAAACGACGAATGACGATCCTCAGTATCGATCCGTGCTTCGGATGGAGGACAAGCTTGATCGACTCCTTTCGGAATGGCCTTTGAAGGGAGATGGCCACCGGTGTGGCTGACTTGTGCTAGGCCGCCAAGAATCGCCAATTCTGAGCTTCCACAATAGCTGCTGAATAGCGCTTCCGGCCTACGACGTCAGTTTCCGACATGCCTGCACAGTAGACAGTCCGCCGTTGTCCGGAATGCTTGTCGGAGGACCGACAAAAGCACCAGCTACGAAATGTCGGCAGCATAGCAGAATTTGAAGCATTGCAGCATCTCGGCTCAGATAAAGAACCAATGTCAAGAAAAACATGCAAATCAATGCCTTCGACAGGCTCATCTTGCATCAGCGTCCACTCGTCAAACCATGTCCTAAGCCATCCCATATCCACGATCGTCGGGGTGACTTACTCAGTCCCTTTGTTGCTGTTCTACTGTCTATCTCGATGAGGCTACGTCTCCGGATCGAGCACCTCCACATGTACCCTCCACACATCACGACGATCCCCATAGGTTCGGGTGGGGCAGTTCTCCCGCCACGGAGGAGCTTTGATCAATCACAGATCAAAGAATGATTCAGCCCATGGTTCAGTGGTCGGGTTCATGGACTGTGGATATGTGGTGTTTCCGAAACGTGACCTGCTGTTCCGGACAGGCGGGCACCCCAGGCGGGGAGAATATAATGTTGGCAAAGGACAACATGGCTTGGAACGTTCAGCTGAGCCCTCTTCCTGTTAACTTCCAGCTTGAGGACAGACACAAAGCGCGTTCTCTTCGACACCGGCCTGACCGGTCCAGTTACATCAAAGATGGCTCCTCAGGCTCCTACAACAAGCGCAGAGACCACTCCAATACTGTCCCGGCTGCAGACCATTGCTTTTACGTACCCTCTGCAGCTCATCGCTGCCTTCATACTCTTCCGGGTGCTTTGGAACAAATTTCAGCGACATCTGGTGTCGATTCCTGGGCCTACGCTAGCAGCGTATACCAAATTCTGGAGACTTTACGACGTCTACAAAGGGAAGGCGCATTTGACGGCAATAGACGTGCACAGGAAATATGGGCCGCTTGTTCGCATTGCCCCTAACCACGTCTCCGTCGCAGATCCATCCTACATTCCGATCATCTATAACATCAAAGAAAATTTTACCAAGACCGGCTTCTACCCGATCCAATGCATTTCATGGAAGAAGCAGCCAGAAATGAACCTATTTTCTACACGGGATCCAAACTACCATCGAGTGGAAAAACGTAAAGTCGGTGCAGCATACAGCTTGCCAAACCTGCTCGAGTCCGAAGATGCCATCGACTCTTGCATCACCCTGTTTACGCAGAAACTCAACGAGTTCGCGGCAAAGAAGACTCCGGTTGACCTTGGGGCCTGGCTGCAGTATTTCGCTTTCGATGTTGTTGGCGAGGTCACTTTTGCCAGCAAGCTTGGGTTTTTGGACCAAGGACAAGACGTGGATGGCATGATGAAGGCCATCGAAGGGATGCTTACCTACGCAGCCCTCTGCGGGCAGGTGCCTGAATATCACAAGTTCCTTCTCGGAAACCCTCTATTCTCTATGCTGATGCCAGCGATGGAGACCTGGAACCAGGTGCTTGTTTTCACACTCAAAGCGATCAACGGACGTGCATCGATTAAACGGGATGGAGAGCTTATCAATGCCGATGCTGGAGGGCGAGACATGCTTTCAAGGTGGGCTTATGTCAAGTCTTCGGACCCTGACAAGATGAGCACTCGCGATATCATTGTCCATTTGTCGACAAACGTCTTTGCCGGTATGCTCTTATACTTTGTATGTTTTGGAACATTGGCTGACTCGATTGACAGGAAGTGACACGACGGCGATTGCTCTGCGAGCATTCATCTACTACTTGTGCAAACACCCTAAGTGCATGGCTAAGGTTGTGGAAGAGATCGACAAAGCCGATAAACAAGGCAAATTAAGTTCGCCCATCAAGTACAAGGAATCGACGAACGAATTGCCATACTTCAACGCCGTGCTGAAGGAATCAATGCGCATTCACCCTTCTGTAGGACTGCTTATGGAGCGACATGTCCCACCTGAGGGAGTCGAGATTGACGGACACTTCATCCCTGGCGGCACCATTGTCGGCATCAACCCTTGGGTCACGAACCGAGACCCAGCCATCTTCCCGGATCCTGACGAGTTCAAGCCCGAGAGGTGGTTGAACACTTCAGACGCCCAGTTGAAGCAAATGGACAATATCCTCGAATTGAATTTTGGCGCTGGCAGCCGCAAGTGCATCGGACGCAACATATCCATCATTGTACGCACGCGTTCTCCCTTCTCTCCCTTCTACCCCGGTACAGCTTGCTAACAGTTGGTAGGAGATGCAGAAAGTGCTGGCCCAGCTATTGAGAGACTTCAAGATCGAGTTGACGCACCCGGACAAGGAGTGGCATATTGTTAACCACTGGTTTGTGCAGCAGGAGGGCGTCATTTGCAATTTGACCAGACGGACGAAAGCGTGATGGATGTCAAGGTAGCAGCATTTAGTTATTGTCGCTTCCTGAATATATCTTGTTGAACGTCACAACTTTGCCCCTTGTGCACGTCCTTTTTATCTGTGTGCAACCAGCACAGCTCCCTAGTTTTTCCCTTTTGATTGAGATGGGAGAGGAGTGATTCGTTGGTCAGTTGACGAGTTGACCTCGTTTAGAAATAACCTCCCTCGTAACCAACCCAGGGCCTTGCCCTGCACCAAAGGGCTGCCGACGCTTTGAGCTGTTCAAAGCGCATTAAGCACGCCAGCCTCGTAACGCCTACTGTTAGCCCAACATCCTATCTCGTGGGGCAGGGCATTTGGGTGTGTCATAAATTAAAGAGCATGTCTACCAAGATGCCCTTTCTTCGCTTTGTCGATGTACCATTCAAGATCGAAAACCAAATCGTGGAAAGCCACATGAAAGCCAAGTCTAAGTCTGATCTCTCCTGCATTATCGTGATGTTGTATGTTTGTCAGTGGGCGACGTACCGGTCCCGCACACTGATACCATAAGGCCTGAACAATCTCTTCGACGGAGAGAAGTTGGACACGCAAGTCTTAGGCATATTTCGATGCGAGCTCCTCGCTTCGGCGTTGATACGTTCGTTGATATTTGTTCAATAACTCCAGTGTGATTTTAGACCCTCCGCAGACAATAATGACGACCTTGGATTCAGGACGGAATCCATTCAGGTAGTGTTTCAGTCTTCCGTCGTACGCCAGCGCGACACTCACGCCGCAGGCAGGTTCGACCAGGTATCGTTCATCATCGAGAAACCGCCAGCACGCCGCACATGCTTCGGCGTCGTCGAGGACCACTGGCGTCACGTTGGGCCGCTGAGCTTGTTGGAATGCGTGTTCGGCGACACGGATCGCGCCCAGAGATGTTGCCACGGACGTGATGCTAGGAAGGGTGATCAGCTCGCCCTTCTTGAGTGATTGTGCCAAAGAGTCGGCACCTAGTGTCTCGACGGGCAGCACTTGGACTTGGTCGCCCCAGCCGACGCGGTCGAGACCGTCCATGATACCGGAGAAGAGACCGCCCCCGCCAACGGAGCAGATGATGGCATCTGGCCTTTCGCTGTCGGGCATCTGAGTCTTGATCTCGTCGATCATAGTCGCAGCACCTTCCCATACGGCTGGGTTGTCGAACGGGTGGATGTAGATCCCTCGCTCACCGTGCTTTTCTGCTTCAGGGATGACAGTCTTTCGGAGATACTCGTCTGCATGGAACCAGTTGTCTCCGTGAGAAATGACCTCGCTTGCACCGGCGGCGCGGAGCTTTTCGATCGTCCGCTCGTCTGTGCTGGTGGGCACGATGACGGACGACTTGTAGCCGAGTGAGACCGCTGCTGTCACGCAGGCTAGCCCAGCGTTGCCGCCCGACGATGAATAGAAATGGACGTCCCTGGTGTCGGAGGGATTCTGGGCTTGTATGCTCTTGAGCATGGAATTGCCGATCCCGCGTGACTTGAAGGATGATGAAGGTTGGAGGTTTTCAAGTTTCAAGAATATGCGACATCCTGCGATTTTGGAAAGGATGCTCGATTCGAGCAGGGGCGTCTCGATCCAAGGGTTTCTGATGGATGCCATATTGTCGGTTCTTGTCAATCTGGGTTATTCAGTACACAGAATTGATGTTCGCGTCTCAATAGGATATGTTTTTCTTGGTATATGCTGCCAAAGTGACTAGTAGAGGAGAGGTGGCCGGAAGGTCGATCGAGTGTAATTCGGTCTCACGCCCTGTTACAAACAGCAAGAAATTTCTAGATTCTTACGCCGGTAAGTGTGAGTCAAGTTACTTGTTCGACAGTAGGGGCTACTACTGGTACTTTGTGGGTAGTCCAGAGACTGGACCTGATCGTCCTTTTGCGAGTATGTAGATAGTACTGCGTAGTCATATGCGGTATCCGTACTCCATAACGATACTTGTTCTCTTGACAGTGGGATCCTCCAATATCGCGGCTCGCAATGCTATGACTAAGGTACCTACCAGGACGGTTGTTAGGACGATATGGCGGGATGTCTGGTCATAGAGTAGCCGAGACCGATCTGTAAAACAATCTTGTGTAAAGTGACCACCCGTTCAGAAGGAATTCCCAAGGTAGAAGACATTCGTACCTTGGGTACCTGGTACTTGAGGCTTCCCTTGATACTTCTACAATCCTCTAATTGGCGGGTAATACGATTTGGCGGCTGTTTAGTGGTTGAGTTGAGTCTGGCACGTCTGGCCATGCCCATTTAGGGCCTTTGCAGCGAGCCGAGCGAGCCAGTGGGCTGCCTTGGGTGCCAGGCACTGATTGAAGATGTCATTGCAGAATTTTCGCCGGCTTCGGAGATGGTCGCCGCAGATTTTCTCTTCCCCGCACCAAGCACCCAGCCAGCCCAGCACCGAGCACCTTACAGCCTGCGCACTCTCCTTCGTCTCCCCTCCCAGCTAAGGTGCCTCCCATCCTTGCTAGCGACCTGCAGAAGACCTCTGGACCTTTTCTCAGCTGCCGAATCACCGTCCCTGTTTTTGACTCATTTTTCAAATTTCACTATTTACTCTGCTTCGACCTCACCGCTCGTGATCTCCTGCTCTTCTCGCTTCCTCTATCTCTCACACTTTGACACCACCACTACAGTCCCTCTCCGAGTCATATTACGGGTCCCTCTTCTCTCCCTACATAAACTCTCACATACGCACACAAAATGTGTCCTTCGGCAGACGACGCTACGACAAACGGTGTCAACGGACACACTAATGGCGTCAATGGCCATGCGAATGGAGTCAACGGTGACCGCTCTGGCTATACAGGCATCCAGACGAGAGCTACTCCCGCTCCTCTCAACGCCAGAAATCCTTACCTCCCTGTCGGCGACTTTCTCAGCAACGTCAGCAAGTTCCAGATTATTGAGAGCACACTAAGAGAAGGAGAGCAATTCGCAAATGCTTACTTCGACACGGCCAAGAAGATTGAAATTGCAAAGGCCTTGGATGAATTTGGCGCCGACTATATCGAGCTCACCAGCCCCGCAGCTTCCGAGCAATCTCGCAAGGACTGTGAAGCCATCTGCAAGCTCGGCTTGAAGAGATCCAAGATTCTCACTCACATCAGATGCCACATGGATGATGCTCGGATAGCGGTAGAAACAGGTGTCGATGGAGTTGATGTGGTTATTGGAACGTCCTCATTTTTGCGAGAGCATTCCCATGGCAAGGACATGACCTACATCAAGAACACCGCCATCGAGGTCATCGAATTCGTCAAGAGCAAGGGTATTGAGATTCGATTCTCCAGTGAAGACTCGTTCCGATCCGACCTAGTCGATCTGCTTTCCCTTTACCAAGCTGTCGACAAGGTTGGTGTCAACGTAAGTGCTTACCCAACCACCACCCGTCCTACCTAGCTACAAAATCGTTCTCGATTTTGCAGTATACTGGAACCCTCTTCTAATTATTTGCAGAGAGTTGGCATTGCAGATACTGTCGGATGTGCGTCCCCCAGACAAGTTTATGACCTTGTCCGAACTCTCCGTGGAGTGGTTTCCTGCGATATCGAATGCCACTTCCACAACGACACCGGGTGTGCCATCGCCAACGCCTATTGCGCTCTGGAGGCAGGCGCAACACATATTGATACCTCGGTCCTCGGCATTGGGGAGCGAAATGGTATCACCACTCTCGGTGGTCTCATGGCTCGGATGATTACCGCCGACCGAGACTATGTCAAGAACAAGTACCGGCTGGAGAAGATCAAGGATATTGAAGAGCTTGTCGCCGAATCGGTCGCCGTTAACATTCCCTTCAACAACCCAATCACCGGATTCTGTGCCTTCACCCACAAGGCGGGTATCCATGCAAAGGCTATCTTGGCCAACCCCAGCACATACGAGATCATCGACCCTGCCGACTTCGGTATTGGCAGATACATCCACTTTGCGTCTCGGTTGACTGGCTGGAACGCCATCAAGTCACGAGCACAGCAACTCAACATCGAGATGACCGACGCACAATACAAGGAGGTTACCGCAGCCATCAAGAGACTCGCCGACATCCGACCGATTGCGATTGATGACGCTGACTCGATCATTCACGCCTACCATCGCGCTTTGAAGATGGGCAAGAAGAACCCTGGAAACGAGGTCGAACTACCCAACATGACCGAGAAGGAGAAGAAGCTACTAGCAGAGAAGCAGGCGGAAGACAATTCGATACCAGAGAAGAGAGAGCTGGACGAGACGGTTGAAGATGAGGTCGCGAACGGGCACGCCATCAAGAAGGCCAGAACGAATGGCATCACCGCTTAGAGGACGAAGAATGTGTGAGAACGTTTATTAGCATTGATTTTATGAGATCAGACGGCCTTGGAGAGACAAAATCTGGGGCATATTCGGCGTCATGAGGCATGGTCCTTCTCAGCTGTTTTGTACATATCGAGAGTTGGTGGATGAGCTGAGATCTAAGCTCCAAAAAGTAAGAGGGAGAAGCAAGACTCTTCATAGATGGTTGAAGACCAATGGAACAGTAGACCAGCTCCATCAAACAATTATCAATTTATGCTGTGCAAGCCTGGTGAACTTCTGTAAGAGCCACCACCTGACGTAGCCCCCGTATCGAAGGAAACGAAATACGAGGCTCCGTCGGATATTCTGGTGCCACCTCCAGAGACCAACGGCCGCCAGCACTACTGACTGACAACTGCGGAGAAAAGCATATGAAAGTTGTCGTCCTGTGTCACTCTGTCTAGACTGCATCGTTTGCAAGACTCGGTTATCTCGCCTGCTCTCAAGCAATTGTCTGATGTCTCTTCAATAACCTTGCACTCGCCGCCCATCATGGGTTCATCACCTCTCCCCGTCAGCTTGCAGAGCAAGTTCCAGAGATCTCAATCAACCTCGCGACTGAGGGACTACCATGGCAATTTCAACATGTACGTTGGCCCAAGACTGGTTATTAGTGGTTATATCTAAGAAGTTTTACAGACTACGGAATATAATATTTGCTTTATTCGTGCTGCGTATACTGCGCAAGTCCTTCTATTTCCTTCGTGGCCATGGCTTGATCGGGTCGATCCTCGTCCTCTACCATTCTATCCACAAGAATGCATACAAAATGTTTTTGAATCTACCGGGCGTGAGGTCCCAAGTGTCGAAGCAGCTGGAGATTGCAAAGAAAGATATGGAAGACAAGCTGGTGCCTTCAGGGCCTGGAACAAATCATTACCGTCATCTTCCCAAAGAGCCCTGGACCAAGGAACAGTTACATACCGAGCTCGAATCACTAGCCGCCATGAAGCGGACGCGGTGGGAGGAAGGTAAAGTGTCTGGCGCAGTATACCACGGCGAGTCGTCTCTGCTGGACATACAAAGCGAAGCGATGAGATTGTTCAGCGTTGCCAATCCAATCCATGCCGATGTGTTTCCTGCCGTAAGGAAGATGGAGGCCGAAGTGGTCGCTATGGTACTGGCTTTGTTCAATGCACCTGAATCTGGGGCTGGGGCTACGACTTCTGGAGGCACCGAGTCGATTCTGATGGCTTGTCTATCAGCGCGACAGAAGGGATACTCGGAGCGAAGGATTACGGAGCCCGAGATGATCATCCCGAGCACGGCTCATGCGGCTTTCCACAAAGCCGCCAACTATTTCAAAATCAAAATGCATACTGTGGCTTGTCCGGCGCCAGACTATGTGGTCGATGTCAACAGGGTTAGACGGCTAATCAATCCCAATACTGTCCTGCTTGTTGGTTCAGCACCGAACTATCCCCATGGTATAGTCGACAATATCCCAGCACTATCGAAACTGGCCTTGGCTTACAAGATTCCCTTACATGTCGACTGCTGTCTGGGATCTTTCATCATGCCTTGTCTGGCCAAGGCAGGTTTTCCCTCTCCCTGGGCTGAGGAAGGCGGCTTTGATTTCCGACAGCCTGGTGTGACTTCGATCAGCGTCGACACTCATAAATACGGGTTTGCTCCCAAGGGCAACAGCTGTATTCTCTACCGAAATCGACAACTCCGTGAATACCAGTACTTCATTTGTCCGGAGTGGTCAGGCGGTGTTTACGGGTCACCTAGCATTGCTGGCTCACGGCCGGGCGCTCTTATCGCCGGCTGCTGGGCGAGTATGATGTTCGTCGGCGAGAAGGGCTATGTAGATGCCACGCACAAGATTGTCACCACGAAACTGACTATCGAGAACGCAATCAAGGAACACTCGGTGTTGAAGGAGACATTGTCAATCCTAGGTCGTCCAATGGTTAGTGTCGTGGCGTTCGAGTCATTCGACCCGGCTATTTCCGTCTACGACATCGCAGACGCAATGTCGAAGAGGCAATGGCATTTGAACTCGCTGCAGGATCCACCTGGTGTACATGTTGCTGTCACTCTGCCCATGACGAAACCTGGCGCTGTGGACAGCTTGATTGATGACCTAGTTGCGGTAGTTCAAGGAGAGAAGGAGAAGGCCCTCGACAGGCTCAAGGCTGGTGGCCCGATCGAGAAAGGCAAGGGATCGAGTGCTCAATTATACGGTGTCGCAGGGAGTCTGCCAGACAAGAGCATTGTCGAGAAGATGGTGGTTGCCTATTTGGATACCCTGTACAAGGCGTAAGGCAATTCTTGAGGAAGGGATGTAGCCTCGACGCTATTGAGTACCAGATAAACGAAGAAGCCATGGGACATCCAAATTGACAAGCGTTGAGACGTGGCTTTCCTACTCTGAACCCTGTCGATTCACCAACAAAGCTGTAGTTTCCGAGAGATTCGGAAGCGAGCATACCCTGCCTTGGCCTGCTGGTGGAAGTCTCAAAACCAAGAAAGGGAAAATGAATTCGCGTATCTGCTTCTAATAACCCGTAAAGCTAATTGTGTGATCTGGACGTGTTACGGGCAGCAATGCTGTAAAACTAAATACTACCCGATATAGTAATTCGCTATTACGATAAACTTTCATTTGAGTATGACCAGAAACGAAGGATTTACTAGCGACTTAATGCTCTTCCACCATTAAGTTTGTCGGGAGCTTGCCATACCTTTTCCTCAATGATTTTCAGGGAGAGCGAAACTAAAAAAAAAAAAAAAGGAACTATTGCCTCCATTCAGAATTGAACTGAAGATCTTCGCATTGGTTGTGGCATAAGGAACAGGTTTATGTTCCAGTGGTACAAGTGCGACGCGTTACCACTGCGCCATAGAGGCAAGCGAATCCACGAATAGTTGCGGCAGTATTGACGTGGGTATTAATGTGTATAACATTTGGAGCAAAAATCTACCATCAAAAACTATGAAATACTTTTAAAAATGGCTTATTCTACTTAGGCTTAGTGCCTCCGGCCCGTTTATAGTCCGCCAAGATAGTTTAAAGGTACGTAAAAGTTCTAAGGATCAAGGTATACTCTAATTTTTATAGAATATAGTATCCCTTCTTAGATAGCTAAGAAGTACGATAAAATACTAGCGACAGAAACAGCTACCGCTTGAATCGTGAGAGCAGCAGTTAGGCACCGCATTGAACAAGAGGCCCTGCTGCCACTGCACACAAATTGTCCTCGCTGCTGTTTGTCGTCGAATGGCACCCTAGCGCCAAATTACAACATTTACCTATGAGACTATAGTAAGTCGAACGCCTATTGTAACACAACCAGGCCACTTTATTTTATCGAGGCACTGTGCCTGCTATTGCGGCCTCACCAGGCCCAAAAGTCCTGGGCAAAACCCGTTGCTCTCACCAAAGGCCCGGCCTAGCAGCTTGCCACACGAGCCTAGTCAGCCTTACCATGAGCCAGTGACTTTCCTTCCCAGCCTATCTCTTCATCACCTCCTGCAGGTCCCGTTGCTTGCGCCTCACAATACCCCAGTAGCTCATCAGCACTGCCTCGACCGGGGATAGACTAATATGCGCGGCTTTTCCATGAGGCTGCAACATCTTAGGCATCCTTCAGTCATGTCACTGCCAACGTTAAAACTTGCTGTTCTTCACGGCGGCACACCGCAAAACACCTAGTCACTTTTATTTGACGAAGTCAGCTCTGTCGTCTGCGGTCTGCAATGGCGCCATTCCGGCTCCAGAGAACCTTCACCCGAAGGACATCGGAACGGCGCAGGCGATCGCCGCAGCCGTCGAAACAGCCACAACAAACACGAGTTGCTCGCAAACGTACCATCCCGCCTCGAGAGCCATATATTTACCAGCCACTGGAAGCTGCGAAAAAAAAGCGGTACAACACGCGCCTTCAGCACCGAGGAAACGACCAGATCAGGATCTTTGCTCTCTCCCCCGGATCTGGCGAGGAACCGCTTCGAGGTACACTGGTCACGAGCCATGTCTCATCGACCCCCCCATATGAAGCAATATCATAGGCCTGGGGTGATCCAACTCTGTCGGCACAAGTGATCTGCGACGACCGAGCACTCAAGGTCACAGAGAGTGCTAGGTCTACCTTGACGCGCCTGAGGCTGCCAGATCGGCAGCGGAGTCTCTGGATCGACGGAATCTGCATCAACCAGGAAGCCTCGGGCGAACGCAGCCACCAAGTCAAGTTGATGAAGGCGGTCTACTCCAACGCAGAACAAGTGCTTGTCTGGCTTGGTGACGGAGGTCAGACGAGTGCCGTGGCTGTTAACAAGATGCACCTCCCGGAGAGCTGGCAGATCTCGAAAGAATATTTGCTTCGGTGACGGACCTTCCACAGGCCATACAAGCTGTGGAGGAACTCTTGCAATGCTCCTGGGCTCGACGGCTCTGGGTTGTTCAAGAAGTTGAGTTGGCCTCCAGCGCTATATTTCTCTATGGCTCTTATATGTTCTCCCGAGATACTCTCGAGTGGGCGATACTTTGTCTAATTGAGGCCAATACCAGTTTTGGCGTGGGGCTATAAGGACCATTTAGGAATATACCCAGGATGGCCACGAATCATTGGTTGTGGCTAGTGGTATTGAATCACTACACAGGTTATTCAGCCAGGTATATGCTGGGAGATTTGCTCTTTGAGACAGGCCATCATCTGTGTTCAGATACCCTCGATCGTTTGTACGCGATGTTCGGCCTCCTGGACCCTATGTTCGTCAGGACTGTCTCAGTGGATTACGACTCGCCCCCAAGCACTGTCCTTCGTACATTCCTCCTCACAGAAATCCAACACTCGAAAAGTCTGGATATCCTTGCATAGAGAGACCCGCGTTGCAGGCTAACCGAGATGCGTATGGAATCCCATGGCCCTTCGTGGTTGTTTGATTGGCTGAATTGCTTCCCTTGCATTTCCTCTTGTAGAGTGAAGAACCCTGACTACTCTGAGGGTTTGACCGAACAGACACCACGACTGCAGGTCAGCAAGTGCGGCACTGTTATCAGTCTCGAAGGGAGATTTGTTGACAACATCGCAAAGCTGGGCCCTTTACCCATAGGAAGGGAGGTCCCCGCCGAGCTAGCGGGAATCATCGTTGGCATTCTCGACATGATACACGACGGTGACGGCGATGGAGTTGCGCATGCTACGAGGTCTTGGATGAAGACTCGGTGCCAAAGTCTCTTGCACATCATTGACGTAAGCCCAATGTTTTCTCCACCCTCTCCTCCGCCTGTAAATGGTCCCTTCGAAGGCCTGAACCGGCTCCAATGTCACCACATGGCTCTGATGAGTATTCTCCGTAATCAAGGATGGTCCACTACTGCGCAATACCATCGCGCCATGCTATTGCAATTCGTGCACTACCGCTTCTGCAAGACTAGCAAAGGCCTATTCGGCTTTGTACCTGTCGAGTCCAGGGTAGGCGACGTTGTCGCATTTCTGCGTGGAGGTTCTGCTCCGTTCATCCTCCGACCAGTCGACGAGGGGTACTTCACTTTGGTTGGCGAGGGCTATGTGTACGGCCTGATGTATTGGCAGAACCCACAGGTCAAGCAGGTGCCGATCCAGACAATTCGCCTACGATGAGTTACAGCGTGAAGCCACTGCAATGCAAGGATACTGTGAAACCATACCCGCGTTGTGCGCTCTAGGCACACCCTAGACGCTCTCTAGGTATGCCCTCGAGATTCTCTAAGCCTCGAGGACGGCGTCGACGAGAGCCTCGCTAGCACTCATTTTCTCTTTACGCTCTTTACTCCGTCTCCTTAGGTTGTACCGTCGTTTATAGCCCAGACATTCCCCTGTCTCTATTCCATAGGTAGTCTGGACCGTGAAATCTCTACACGACGTCGCCGTCGCCACTCGCCGTCTAGATCTACTGCGGCCACACGTTAACACTCTCTTATAGCGCACTTATATAGCTCTACTGCCTTATTATAGGGGAAGAGAGGACAGACTTCTCAATCAAGTCAATACTAACAGTGTTGTTAGCTTGCAATTACGTGTCAGACTTGGGCGTTCCAACCAGCTATGAGCTATATAGTTAGGGGTTCACCTTGGACCCTTGGGCACAAGATAGAGATCTCTTCAACCTTCTTTGACTTGCGGCACGCAGTTACCCCTTGCATTTGCCCCACCGCATGACAATAGAGCCTTAAGAGGATAGGCTTCAGTGCCATCCTTGTTCGATACGCTACCTTGTGCTGCCCGCAACGTTTCCTGACTCCTCTCGATACACACCCCGTGACAACCGTCTGCCGGACGCACAGTTGTTACAGAAGATGTGTACCATAGGTACCGTGGCCGTTGAACTTCCATGGCTGATTGCGGCTGCCGAAGTCCCCACTGTTGTAGGCCTCTACAAACATGATACTGAGGTTGAATACTTGCCCCAATATGCTATAGATGATGTTGCCTAGAAGTTGCCTAGAAGCATGCGAGTGATATATGAGCGGTACATTGGGATGTCTGCTGGCAGTTGCCAGACGTACATCCTCCTGAGACTAGTTCTGGCTGCTAGAGTAGGTATACTCGCACCTGCCGAGGGCATTGACAATAGATTCCTCAATGCGACTGACAATCGAGGACAGATTGTAGTAGTAAAGGAAGGAGCAATGAGGAGTCGAAGTGTATATTGTCTGCTGCTCACGGCGTCGACTGTTGTTTCTCACCACATAGCATAACGGTAGAATTCTCGTGAATACAGCTGCCCTAAAGTCTGCGATGCTAGCTAATGATGCATAGATGCGAGTACAAATCAGTAACTGCATCGATTACGCTGCTCCCAGCCGTAAGCAATTCCTCCATACGCAAGCACACTGTATAGACACTGACAGATGCATACTGCAAGCGACTCCAGCCGGAACCAGACCTCCTCCGCCTGCTCAGCACACTCCAGTTCTTGTAAGAGTCGATGATACATTATCGAGGAGGCCAAAAAGCTGACGAATAATGTAAATAGCGACTCTGCAGTACCCTGCGCGTCTCGTACCCTCGAAATATGCCGAAGTCCAACTCCATCATCGCTGCACCACTGCGGCAAGCACTCGAAGAGTGCTTGCGCTCGATCACCCGCCTAGTCCGGCCGGAATTGCGTCGTCAAACCATCCTGGTTGGCGGCGCAGCCAGCATTGCCCACTCCTCGGTCCTTGTGACGGAGGACGTGGATGTTGCGGCCCCTCCCAGCGCGTTAACCGACATCTGGGAGGGCATTTCGGCCGGCGCCCCCAACCTTTCCTTCGAATCCGACGGCAAAATCGCGTTCGATGCCCCGGGACAAGATATCCGAGTCCGAGTTGACCTGCTCGAGATCAGCAACGGGTGCATCGAACGGATTCGCGTGACAGTACCCTTCTTTGAAGGGTCTGTTGCGTCCGTGTCGGATTTGTTGAGGTTGCGGGCCGTGACGGTGGTCGATCGTGGGAGCGATGGTGAAGTTGAAGACTTTCGATGGCTATTGTCGAGGGTGGCGAGCAGGGGTCAATTACTTCCAGAGCTTGAAAACGAGGAACTGGGGTGTATGCGCAGTGCAGGGGAGTCTAGTCTGGGGAGGCTGGATCGCTTGGTGCTGGGAGCAGTGTTAAGCGCCAATAATTGGCCGCTTGCATACCATTTCCTCATATCTTAATTTGTAATTTTAATACAAATTTTGGACACATTACTGGGTTCTTCATTCCGTGTACTTCGCCAGCTCCAAATCCACCAACCAAGGTCTCTGCGTAAAGTCCTCGTGTCCCATAATTGAGGCGTTGACGAAGAGTGTTTCCTTGCCCGCATCCAGCTGATAGTCATCTTTGTTCCTGTGACTTGTTGCGGCACATTTATTGTGCTTCAGCTTTTCCAGTTTCGCGCGCTTTTCTAGGGTGGTCTCATCCGAGTCGAATGTGCTTGCTCGGAGCGTAGCTAATCTCTCGACAATTGTCGAATTTTCATTGTCGATAGAGGTGAAGTGGGATGGTTGATCAATTCCGCTGTCTTTCCAGGTCACTACCTTTGCACCCCAACCCTCGTGGATATGGCCAAAGCAGTGGACGCGAGGTCGAGCACGGGCAACGGCGGTAAAGAGATCTGGGCAGCCAGCGCGTTCTCGGCCGTAAGTGATATCCATAATGCCTTTTGGAGGGCCGTGCGTCATGACGATGTCGGTATCTTCCTCGATATGAAATCGACGCCCATTGTTTGGGTGATATTGAAAGCCCCATGCGCCTAAGGCTGGAGTGTACGGACTGGCAAAAACTTTTAGCATCGCTCCATTTTCCAGTACAAAGTGATGGGTTCCCTCATCTAAAAGGACGATGCCCTCACTCTTTGCGTCGTCGAATAATTGTCTTGCTTGCCCTAGGGTTCCGTATTCTCGAGCCACAATTTCAGGTTCTAGGGGTTGCGATGGCTCCGCAAGTTTGGCTTCGAAAGCAGTGATGTCCATAGTAAAATCATGGTTTCCAGCAATAACCAACTTGAGTGGAGCGTCGATCTTCTTGAGCATCTCGATTGAGGTTTGGAATTCGTCAAGCTTTGAGACGTCAGTGAGGTCACCACAGTGTAGAGCCACATCCACACGCTGTCGAGGCCGATCCTCAGAGCTGAAATCTTCGCCGTGCGTGTCGGACAGGATAAGGAGCCTAGTCTGAACTTTTTCTGCCATTGTAGCGTGACCGAAAGTGTTGAGGAGGACGCCTGATGTCGAGGAAGATCGGATTGCTGGTGGTGAGAGACCGGGTTCAGTGTTAAAGGCGATTCTTAAGTTCGAGAGATCCGATCAGATCCTGAAGGTGTGCAATAGAGTGTAGCATTAAGGATTCTCTTCTAGAGAGAGAGAGGACGAAGTTGGGGTATTTATTGCCAGTCAGATGTTTTCTGAGACGGGTAAAACTGCATTCTGTGGGAAGCATGTTAACGTGGTTAACCAGTCACGAAGAGTAGACACAGATGGGTGGATAGAACAGGTCCTCACTGGAAAACTTTGGTAGAGAAGTGAAGTTTGTGGTTTTGACTCACAGACCCCCTGTAGTAGTCACGAGTAGCTTTGGTGACACGTGATCCACGTAGCTATAGGGCCTTCTTATTCAACCACCTGTGCCCTGTAGACACAGAACCCTTTAGTCCTCGTCCAGCCCCTAAAAACTTGAATTGGAGTAGTAGCAGGCCAAGTACTGCACCAGGTATTAACACTGAGTCTCTGTCCTGGTACTAGAAGACACCCAAAAACGTTGGCGTAAGGGACTTTACCCTTGGCAAGCTCCGTTATACTTCTCCTAACCCCCGGGCCCCTGCCTGGCCCAATTCTATCCCGACTTGCCTTCCAAGCCTCACCAGCCGTCACTAAGCTTCTCCAAGGATACACCCGAACGAGGCTGTCTCCGCAGTTGCAAGAGTTAGCGCTTAAGAACACCACCCGGTGTTCCTCGGCTTCAGCTGAGCAGCAGACACTATAACATCCTAATCTCGGGTCTCTCGATGGACGCACTGATCATCTGTACAAAGCAGGTACTCCGTAGTGTGGTGTGGTCAGCGTCTCATTTGTCAGGTGGTGGAATGATTCCGCTCCGCCCCCAGCATCTTTGTCAGAAGACGATAGTCCGAACTTGCTGCGGCTCATCACAACAGTCAAACACGCAGGGGGGATTTTCTACCGTATAAATCGCATGAAAGCATCGGGTGCTCGAATATGTTCTTCAAGAATCTACAGCATGGCTGCCTCCACATCTTTCCTGGTTGCGGGTGGGACAGGCCGTCAGGGGGGTGCTGTCGTTAATGCATTGTTGGCAGACCGAGTCTCGGGAGTCCTCCCTGAACATATTTATGTCATCACTCGAAATTCCACCGGACCCGCAGCCTTGCAACTCACCACACGAGGAGTGAACCTTGTCTCTGGGACGCTCGGGGAGCCAGAACTCATCTTCCAGCATCTACGGAAGCAAGGCGCCCAACTCAGCACCATGGAGGCATTTTTGGCGCAGGCACATGGCCCGACCGAACTCAGCGACGCTCGTCTGTTCATCGATGTCGCTGTCAAATCTGGCTTACAGTATTTCGTCTATTCCTCCGTCGACAGGGGCGGCAAGGACCTGAGCGATCGGGATCCATCCTACTGCAAGACTTTTTCTGACAAATTCCAAGTCGAGAAGCATTTGATAGCCGCAACATCGGAGTCACTTGCAAGCGCCGAAGGACGAAAAGGCACTGGTTATACCATTTTGAGGCCAACGTGGTTCGCCGACAACGCGTTGTGGGGTTTCCCAGGACGGCTCTGCATGACTGGCTGGCGCGAAATCATGGAGGGAAAACGTATGCAGGTGGTCGTGGCGAAGGACATTGGACGATGGGCGGCTGAGGCATTGCTGCGACCGGACGGCCCAGGTCTGCGAAACACAGCCGTCAGTATCGCGAGTGATGAGTTGACCTTTGAAGAGGTTGACAGAATCTCCCGAGAAGAGACGGGCCAACCTGTCGGCGTCACATATGGGTGGTTGGCCCGATGGATAATTTGGGCCATCACGGACTTACGTACCATGTTTGCATTCATCAATGAAAGGGACTACGGTGCTGATCTGGAATGGCTGGCCAAGACCGTGGAGCCTACCACATTTCGTCAGTGGATCAAAGAGACCGTCAAAGATCGAGTTCGAGCGGGACCTGTGTGTCGTGCACGGTAGCAGTACAAAGCAGACGGAGTTGTGCTGCTGAACGAAGGGACACCGACTCATCTGTTTGAGCTAAGTCTGCTATATTGCAAGGGAAGTTGCAAAAGAACATGCGAAGCGGGACGCTGGCTCAAACTCTGAAATGGCATTTGGAACATCTAGTATTGTTCCGCGTGGGGGCCGGGTTCATCGAATTAGATGCTCCACTCAGGCTTTCAGCTACACACCACGTCTGCGAACACGGTCGGGTTCGATATTCGCGGGATCCTGTTAAGTCTTACTCGAATTCTTGTGTCGAGCTCGAAAACGGCGCCCCAGGATAGCTTCAGCCTCCACCCGAGCAACACGAACTGCCAACCTTCGTGTTTCGCTTGGGGCCACTCAGCCTAGTATCGCCAGACCGGTCAGCTGAGAAGGCAGAAGTTGTATGAACTGGCTGTGCCTCTTGCATCGAATAAGTAGGTAGCCTTTTGATGTTGATGTCTGTTCAAGTTCCGTCAGAGATTAATACCTCGTCTCTCTCTACAACAAGACAAATACACGTCTGTTTGAGTACTAATTCTGCGGCACCGTTCAGTTTCTTATCAACTGTCTAGCTCCTAGGTTCCGTTATGATTTGGTATCGATTGACAATCGCATTCCTTACAGTATGGAGCAATGTCTGCGCTCATCCACTCACCCTCAACCCACAGCCTGTCTCCCTTCTGAAAAGAGCCACTTGCGGCCCGAAACCTGTCATTGATTGCGAGCAGTTCTCGGATACAGGGAGCGATGGCAGTGAACACCTGTGCTGCCGTGAATATTTGAAGGGATCATACCCCAGGACGATCGGTGGCCGGAAGGTCGACCTGTACCGCTACACAGAAGGATGGAATCCCAACGATCAAGATACAATTGCCCATCTAGCCTTGATTGGTGATGCCTTGGAGAAGGTCATACCGTCCTACGAAAGCTTCGGTGTCAAGTTTGACATGGTTGTGATATTCAGCAAGACGTTGCCAAAGGTCGATGGAAGCGATGTATATGGCTACGAGTCGGAGAAAACGGACCTGACGACGCCTTGCTATGTTCGAGTTCAGAATACGGTCCCCGGAAACCCTCCAGATGTCGGCCTCTCGCTCGAACAGACCATCGCCCACGAGGCTTACCATTGCGTCGAAGACGCCAACCGAAAGGCAGATCTGCCCTCTGCGGACTATAACGGATGGTGGCTCGAAGGAGCCGCAGAGTTTTACGCTATGGATTTCTTCCCGGACCATACGGACGAAGCATGGGCCAGGAATTACGATCCCAGTATTCCGCTCTACAAACAATCCTATGCTGTCAGTCTTTTTTGGGTATTTGTACACGGCTTCGGCTGGGACTACGACAAGATCAACAGTCTTGTCTTCAACGAACCAGACGCGAAGACTTTCAAGGATGCTCGAAAATCGATGGCTGCCAACGATGACATTGTCAAGGCCTTCCCTGAGTTTGCCAAGTCATTTACCAGTAATCTCATCACCTACAGTGACGGAAGTCTAGTCGATCCCTTGAAGGTGCAGACAACGGTGGAACCAGAACCGTTTCCTCTCCCTGAAGGCGGATCCAACAACAAAGTTGTCAGATCTGCGCCTTTTGTCCCGTATCGCTTCGCCCTGGCCCTTGACCATGGTCAGTCTTTCGAGATCACCTGGAAGCCGACGGATAAACAGACTTCTATGTTCTATCGTGAGAGGCCCGACAGTGACTGGATAGACATTACCACTGAGCCGGCAGCGATCGTGCTAACATGTGACGATGACACCACTGTTTACCACTTTCTCTTCACTTGCACCGCGGACGTGGCAGAAGCCGCGGGCGTCCTCAGCATTGTGCAGACCAACAAGCGTGATTGTTGCACGGGCACCGCAACCGCGTCTTCTTGCCAGACCACACCGACACCGGCTCCGACTCCTGTGCCGAATCCAAGTCCTGCCGCGGGCGACATCGACGCTTGCCTGCGAGGCACTTGGAACGTGGATATTCCTACACTGCAGAAAGCGATGCAAAAGGCATTGGACGCGTCGGGCGAAACCATTTCGAACCTCAAAGTGACGGGGTCAAGCACATTTGCCGTCGCCAGCACTGGCGCGACTGGAAAATTTACTTTCGACAATTTGGACATCCAATACGATCTTGCCATTGACACGATAACTGCGCATTCGATCATCGACATCGACGGGACCACTACTGGGACCGTCGTCATGGGAAGCACTGGGGGAAACTTCGTCTTGAAGAATCCCAAATCTTCAGGCCAGGTCAAGACAACCACGACAACATCGTTGACGCCCGATCCTATTGAGCTGGATTTCGATCTTTTAGACGAGTACGGACCGAACGTTGCTGTCAGCTACACCTGCAGTTCGACTGCGCTGACCATGACCGGAACGCAAGGTACAGCAGCCAACGGAGTGGCCGCGGGTACATGGTTGTGGACTTGGAGTTTCACCAAGGCTTAACTTAGATACGTACAAGTACAACTGCCAGATACTCGTTCAAGAAAGTGGTGCTTACTTTCTGGCGTTTGACATAAATCATGATGTACTACGGTTTCATGGGTAAACGATGTATTTTGGCGCTGGGGGTGTTATTTGACAACAAACAGCAGCGGGCACGTATATGGTAGGCGAGGCCCCTGTCCAACTCGAGGCCCGAATGCTGCTTCTACGACTCAAGCGGCAGCTGTTCTTTTGCACCCCCCAAACACGCGAGTTCCATTACACGATTTGACCCCCATGAGACCGTCGTACAGTAGTACATCCTGATGTTTGACATAATGTCCACATGCTACTATCTTCGCTTGTTCGTTGACACCCGTGTCCAACTAGCTCAAAGAGTTGGAGCGGCTTAGGCGAGGTCTTGAGAGAAAGCATTAATGATTACTCCCTTTTCAAGGTGGAGAGATGTCTCTGAGCCAATCAAGAGCGAGCGAGGTGTCCAAAACAGGAAAGTGCAGAATGACTCCCTCTCGAACAAAAGTTCTTCGTGTTTTTCAGCCGCTCACGAAAGTAGATTGGTGCTCCTGTATGAGCTTGAAAAGGCTTAAGAAGTGCTTGTATTCCCGCCTGGGGGCCGAAAGCTTCCTCAATGGACCACCTCGCTTGGGAAAATCCAGTAGACTTCAGCACATTGAACGTTCACTACTATAAGATGGCATTTCCTCGTGATCACTGGCAGGACGGCTTACGAGAACAGTACTGGGTCCAGGCAAGATCATCTTGAGGGGCCATTCGCCGTGGTAAGCGAGGTTGAGGAGCTCTAGATCATGCCAGATGAATCTCACCATGCGAGACTCTCGCCAAAGCAGGAAATGCGCCTTGTGTTGAGCTCGGCAACCGGCTACACGTCCTCACAAAAGGATGAGCTCAACCCACTCGCCCAAGTTTTTATTCCGTTTCCTTGAGGGCGATACGAACGCTGTCAGCCCTGGCGCGCAAGTGAGGCAAAGGGTTGCTGGTAGCACTGCCTCGCGAGCCGCTTCATAGGACTCATATGAAGGATCTCACTTTTCAACGAAGAGGTATCGTTCAGAACTAGGCCCCAATGACTAGTAGTAGTTGATTTTGTCACGACATCCATGGATGCCTGATGGGTTTCGTTATCTCTTGATCTGTTCGTGTTCTCTGCCCTCTTCTCTTTTATCTTCCTTGTTCCTCTACTCTTTTCAATCCCTTGCAACAGTTCCAGCTTGACGGTTACACCCTTTCACATATTGAACGCCGTTGGACTTTCACCACCGAGACAGCCACTTCAAGATGCGCATCACAGCCCTCCTTCTGTTGGCGAGCTCTCTCGGCGTGGCAACGGCTCAGGACTGCAGTGACCCCAACGGCACGGGCAAGAGGTAATACATCTGATGTTCCGAGCCCCCGAGTTGTGTGCACTTTTCACTGACAGAAAGCAACCCTCAGTACCTTACTCGGTTGCCTGGAATCCATCAACCCTTCCTGCGCCACCACCGTCACTGGCTTAGGCTGCCTGTGTTCGATCGCAACGGCCCAGCTGAGGTAAAAACAAAGACCCCCCCCTGGATGCTACTTTTATGCTCCTTTGAACAGGAATGTTCTGATCTTTCATTACAGTTGCTACTCGCAAGCCTGCGGGTCAGGCTACACCGAGAGCCTTCTGGGCACGATCTCGTCCCAGAGTTCACAATTCTGTGGCGCCGGTGCCGCCCCCGCTACCACGACGACCGGAGGCAGCGGAGGCGCCGCTACCTCGGGGGCATCGTCGCCCAGTGTGACCGCTGCAGCTTCGACCACGGCCGGAGGTGGTGGGGGTCCGTCATCGTCGACGTCGGCAGGGCTGGCGGTGCATAACGTGGTCGGAGCGCCAGCAGGGGCGGTAGCGCTTGGTCTGTTCGCGGTGTTCTTGTAGGCGCTGTGGGCGCTTCTAAGTTAGGGGCCAATTACCATCTGCCGACGTTGGGAATTCGGGCGGGAATGCTTGTTAGTCTCTAGGGAACGGAATTCGATGGACAAGCTGGACATGGTGAGGGTTGGACCAATTCACTCGAAGTACCTGTATCCCCTGGCATGAAAAAGCAGTGGACATTCATGGTTCAGGCCAACGCACTCGCAATGCTTCTGCCCCGTACTTCACGGTGTCCGTGATTGGCTCCAGCATCTCGTGAGCCAGACGTCTTTCATTGATGGCAGCGAAGAATTCAATATATTCATCCTACGACGTCCTTCAAAGCATCCAAGCAGTGGCAGTGGTGACATAGCCAATAAGAATGGGCCTCCCCAGGGCCTCGCTGCTAGCGCTGGCTAAATATTATCGATAACGATCATGGCATCGACAAAAATAAGAATAACGACATGATGTCGACGAAGGTAAAACCAAGTGACAAGCCATGATTCCGCTTCATCTCTTATTTATGTAGGCACCGCGACTATCCACCTTAGCAGCCCTACTCCATCCATGGTAGCGGACCCCTGCACCGTGTAGCAATAACATTGAGCTTCCCCAGGTTGTGGTCGGGGCCCGTGATGGGCCTTTTGCACCTTCCAGACTAAGCCGGGCATACAATGGGCCCTTTTTTTCTTTTCTTTTTTTGAAGAGGCCCTATCATGCTTCTCAAGGCTGGGCTAGGCCACTACTATTGGTACAGTACTCCGTACTAGGAAGGTATCCGGGTGGCAGCCAGATAGATACAAGCTGCATCCCAAAACTCCCGACACCCCTGCGCCTGTCGATGTCTGAATGGAAGGTACTTTTCCGACACAGCCAGCACATCATCCCAACGAGATGGATCCGTTGGGATTGGACTCCCACTCCTGAGCTGCTCGACGTACCACTGTCGCAGCCACGTCGTGCCCCTGGCCGTGAACCCACCGAGGACGGTGGCCCAGAGTAGCAATTCCGGAGCAGCACCTAGCGGAGACTTCTGTCGATGATGATGCCGCTGCCAATAGCCCAACTTGTCGCACTCGTCGATCAAAAGCATCAGCCTCCGAGAACAGTTCTCGTGGAAAGCACCGATCGTGGGCAGTGGCTCTAGGCATTCGGTTAGATAGATTACGACGGCAACTCGACATAATTGGTACAACAAAAGATCTTCTGCCTCTGCCTCCGCCTTACTGTCGCCTCGGGCTGGGACTGGGGCTGGGGCTGGGTCCAAGGAAAGCGCCTGGTGCTGGAGAATGCGCCACGTCGCGACCAATTGACCAAAGTCCACGCCACAGCCTTGGCCATGCAGAAGTGTGACATAGGTATCAACGAGCTCATGGACGTCTTCCACTATAGGCAGGAGTGCTCGACCACACTTGGGGAAGCTCTTCAGCAAGAAACGGAACCCTCGACAAACCCTTCGTGGCTGTTCTGGTTGTTGTTCTTGACGGCTGGAAGTTTGTTTCACCGTTTGGCGTTGCTGACGGAGGACTTTTAGAAAGTGTGCTGGCGGAAACGGCAGGGCGAAAGTGGGCTTCTCAAGGACCGATGCAGCATTCGTGGTATCGATACTTTCTCTAAGAATTAGCCCAGCTTGTCTGATAACACGACATGTGAATGCAAGCAACGGAGTTTGAACGTACGTGAAGATGATGCCCGACAGGGACTGAATGCCGATCCTCTGCAGTCCGCCTCTTTGCTTTACCAGGGACAGCAGCGCTTGCAGGTGGCTTGGAGCCCAGACTTTACTTCCGTAGTACTCGTAATCCTTCAGCTGCTGCTCGCCCAGTAGCGTACGGCCTTGCATGTCGCTTGGAGGCCCGTGGATGGTGAGGAGGGCGATGGCGAGGAGGATCGCATCCGAGCATCCATTGTTTGCGGATGCCGATCCCGCTCTATGCACGATCTCCCGAAGACCTCTTAGGGTCTCGTGGTACGCGGTTAGGCGCGTGAAATTGGTGACGTGGTCCCGGCAGCCGAAAAAGTAACGGTACGATGCAGCCGTGTAGATTATAGCCTGAAGCAGGTAAGGAGTTTCGACTGCCATATTGACCGTCACCGATCTCCATGTATCCACGTCTTTTTGCTTTTGGGAAATAGCAAAGGCAGGCCAGAGATCTATGATGGCTTTTGAGATAGAGAGTATTTAGTTTCCACTGCTGATACAGACCCACGGATTCATATGTGCATACCAGATCGGAACATCTCTTGCGCGTCGATAGACAGATTTTTGACGCACAGGACATCAAATGGTTCTACTCGTTTACCACCAGGAGCGCGGCTGAGAGAAAGACTCCAACTGTGTACGTTGGTATCGGCGGTGTCTACATCGTCGGAATCTTTGGATCCCCGTCGGCGTTTCAAAGTCCAGGAAGTCGAGGCTTTGGGGTGTCCCGATAGGTACCTTCGCACCCTGCTTCTCTGATGTGCCACACGAGCAGCATGTTGGTGTCGAAGAAGGACTTGCTCCTTCCTCTCCGAGTCTGTCAGTGCAACAGGGGTCCAGAAGAGGTAAGGGTTATCCAAGTTGATACGAGATTCCATTGTCGGAAGGCTTCAGAAGGAAGATTGGGAGTCCTTTGCAAGTCCGGGTGCAAGTTGCTTCGGGTTGTTTGTCGTGTACTGAGGTATCATTCGACCAATGAAGTCAACTACCTTTTTTGAGCAGTTGCAGAAGGACTGAAATTCGAATGAAGCTGAGGCATAGCCCCAGTTATTGAGACGGAGGGAAACAAGCGACCCAAGCAGCTCAGCATTTGATTTTTGAACCAATAAAAAGACATGGCATCCAGCAGTCGATGACCAGCACAGGATTATGCAATAACTTCGTATCGCTGGACAGTGCAGCTGGATGCACCGCAATACAAGCTCCGGAATGCGCTTGGCATCGACCGGTCATGACCTGAGGGACACGAGTTTATGAGGGATCTGACTTGTAGCTGAGCCTTGGCTTACATTAGGCGAAAGCTTATGGAGAGCTGTAGGGCTGCAAGGCATTCGTGTTGCTTTCCTTGGTCGCTCGAGGAAGGGAATAGGCGAAGTGGCATTCGAATCAGAAGGCATGATGAGGCTCTAGATCCATTCCCCCTCGGAACCTGACCTTACCTTTCGTATGGGATCTTTAAATCGATTTGACATGAAATTCCTACCGCTCAACCACTTGTGCTTGGTAGTCTCAGCTGAAACCTCATGCCGAATAATTTTGACAGGAGGGCACATGCCAATAAGGGGTGTGTAAATCTCGTATTCGCTTTTCGCTTGGGGAAAGGCTCGTCGGCTGTACGATCTCAAGCGAGACACAAGCCAGTCAAGATCCGACTTTGTTCAATGGTTAGATCATGCAGTGGCTTCCCAGGGACCCGAACAGTGCTTTGATGAAGTAAGTCGCCTCTTGGAGGCTGGAGTCGCCAAGTCCACTAAGACTGAAGATGAGGACGACATCAAACCAAAAGCGACCTTTAGCCAAACGATCCCGACTTTCTGTACCGCTGCGTAACACAATTTTGACTATGTTGTAAAGTACATGATAGTACTCCGTACGGGTAGTGTCTCTGCACAGGGACCTAACGGAAAATCGTGAAACCGGACGAGTCAGCCACCCTTCCGAGCCTTGCGAGCCTTGCGACCCTTTCCCATGATCTCTCGCGAAGCATACTTCTATTTATCTTCTGAAAGCCGTCCTAGAAACTTTCTAAAGATCCATCTCTTACACATCTGTTTCATCTAGAGGCTGGCGGCATTCCAGTCCATCATGCCGGAATAGTCGTTCTCGCCAGCTGGTGACGCAATACTAGTTGTCGGCACAGCCAGCAAGAAAGGGGTTGCACGGTCCGAAAATGGCATCCATCCCTTGCAGCAAGTGCATTTACCCGCGTCGTATTCGTGCCTGAAGATTATACACTCCGGCGAATGTGAGCCACAGCGACAAAGTCCGGAGCCCTGCTCGCCCGAGATGATGAAAGGCGTTGCTTTATCCGACCAGGAGAACACCACATGACAGCGACCCCCGCGTGCACGAGCCGATGGAGCTGGTTACTGAGTGTGAAAAGTCTGAGCCGGAGACGAATGGAGAGAGAGATGAGCTCTCACTCGAGCTTGTGCCGGACGTCCACGGAACTCTCTGGGATGGATGATAAGAGGTCGCAGGTAGAGACTGCATGTCTATGTGATTTGCCACTACGCCATCGTACATGAAGCTGTTGTTTTGCTCATCGACAACGGCTTGGTATGGCGAAACTGTGTCCCTTTCTGCTTCAGCAGACGAGATTTCATTGACGTACGACAAGCTGTTCAGCACTTGATTCACTTGGGCTGGTGGTTGCGATAGATAATCATCGGCGCTGTATGGATGTGTGTTGCTGGCACCTGCATTGTCCGACAGGGTTCGCAGGCTTTCTTGCCCCAGTCGGTCTGCTTCGCTCCGCAGGAGGGACTCAAGCCCAATCAGAGGCTGGTAATTTGCACTATAGTAACATGAAGGCAGGGGTTTGTCCCAGCCTTTAATCACCTTTGGGAACAGTCGGTCCCATTTACTTTCCTCTGACTCCCCCTGCTTGCGGGGCCTTAGGTCAAGTGAGGCCTTCTCAAGCCGGTGGTCAGGTATCAAATGGTCTGACTTGAGTCTGTGGACGAATTTCGTGGAATAAGTGAGGCATTTCCCGTTTCCACGACCGGCGGCGGAGAATGGACATCTAAGCTCTCTCTTCTTTTCATATGCTGATTTTGGAGTCCGCTGATTCTTGGCAACCGCTGTGCCCTCTTCCCTCTCGCCATCATTGGCATTGGTTCTGAGCGTTGTCCCAGAGAACGACGGAGTGTTGGTAGTCTCGAACCGTGACGGCGTCGAAGGCTCGACACTATTCCGTGGCGTTCGATCTGGGTCTGATCCGTATGAATGTCCGTCGGGTCGGGTGGTTTCCCTTGACAGAAAGATTTGATAATACTCCTCCAAGATCTCAGCTCTGCCTTGTGAGGTGAACAGGTTCCATCTCAAGGCGGCAGCTATACCGCTGGCAAGACTCGGGCTAGGAATTTGCCTTTCCGTATCGTTTGTTTGAACACTTGGTGATTCACGCCGCTGCATCCGTGGCAAAGGAATGGCAAAGTGACACGCCAAAGGCCCAAGTATGTTCATGTGCATTCGGAACTTTCTTTGAACTTTGCTTACTGTCTGTAGTGTGCTGCTCACGCGGACTAAAAAGACTCCTCTGGCGGACTGTGTAATTTGCACAGCATCACGGAGACTGTAGTACTTGATCCACGAACCCAGTGCCTTGATATGTGGATGAGGATTGAGCGACACGTTGCAAGTAAGTGGATATAGTTGGACATACTGGCCCACCTCAACCTCAATTTGCACTCCATGGAAGGATGCGGATGTCAATATACGACGGAAAGCGCGTTTCCATGCGCCGGAGCCGCAGGTGAGTTGCGAGCCGAGCAAAAGATGAACAAAGGTTTTGAGATTCGTGGCAGATCTCGGTACGGGCACCGGTCCTAGAGAAGGCCTTGGAGCAGTGGCCCACAGGCAACTACCCGCCCTCGGGGCTGGTGGCCCGGGATCGCTTCTTCGAGACGTTTCAGGTTCAGGGGATGGTATCAGGTTGGCCGAAGAGTGCTCTTCCACCGTACGTAGAAGGACCCTATTGTGATGGGAAGGTCGATTCCTGCGTGTGGCACCTACTCTGAAAGTACATTCACTCCGGAAAGTACTAGCCGGAATATCCGGCACAGTATCAGCTTGAATCTTCCGATCCATATTTGCCATCCAGCTCTCAGGAAAGATGTTCTCGACGCCATCAAAAGACATCGTCGCAACATGTTGCCCTGTGTCGATCTGCACAAGCGTTGATATCTCGATCCGGCGCTTCGCTTGCTGTTGGAAGGCTGCTCTAGCATAGGCAGAAGGTCGGGTCAGATGCGCCTTGGCTTTCAGGATCCTGACACACCCCAAGTCAATCTGTTATCCAAGTTCGCGTGGCCGAGCAAACCGCACGCTCCAAAGAAACAAGGCTAGAGAGTTGGAGCTTTCTCACGTACCTAAGCTTCTGCTGAATATACTCCAGGTCAACCCAAATCTCTTTTCGGCAGCTTCGCACTTCCGACAAAACAGATCGCAATGCTTGGGTGCGAGTCTTAGCGAGTGTTTGAAGTTCAATGAGCTCGCGGGTCTTCGCATTCAAGGAACCAGACCTGCCAAGCATCAACAATGCATAGAAGCAAAGAACGTCGTGCGCCTGAAGCTAATGTAACACAACGCAGCGCAGGTTTGCACCATGGCGGGCTACTTACAAGTAAGCCTGTACTGCCAAACAACGCTCCAATCTCTCTCGATCGAAACAACGATTGAGACGTTCAACGAGCACGTCCACCACGTCAGAGTCCCTCATGCAAGACAACCGAGAGTCCTCGTCACACCCTGCCATGGAAGCAATGACCTCCGTGCGACATGTTGTCAACGAGGGTGTCGACGTGGCCACAATGCTGCTTGTTATGCTGCTGCATCTGAATGTCGGTGGGAGCAATGCTTCCGACGGCCAGACCCCTGGTAAAAAAGCAGGTACATCTACGTCTTTGCATCCCGAAATAGCAGGGAAAGTAGCATCTTGAAGAAAGACATTGTCTTCCATGACCAACGTTGAGCTCTTGCGGGTTCGTGGTGCATCATGTTGGAGACAGGCGATGGGAGACAGCCACAATCACTCCGGAGCTGGTCTTCGCAGCGGAGATCTGATCGGGATGGTAGAGAGAGGTTGCCTGCGTGTGAATCGTGTCTGGACGCCAAACCGCACAACGACAAAAGAAGGCTCAGGAGTAAACTTTGACAGTCATTGACACAATGTCACCGTTTGCGGTCTGCTGAAGGTCGGCGTCGGAACCCACAGCATTTAGCATAACTCGGGGCAAATGCACGCGAGTTGGTGCCAGACAGGGTGGCGTGGAAAGTAGACACATACTTGAGACCTCGAATTCTCTTACGAATTCGCGGACCTCAACCTTAGACTGGCCAGGCAAAGTCCGAAATTTCGGGTGGCAAGAGCTCGTTTGTGATAGTGATCAAAAAGTATTTGTGATTGCCTTATTGGCCATAGGTAGTCAAGCGAGACGATCGGCCTACAATAATAAGGTAGTTACGCATCCCCGCCCGGGCAGACCACTCGCCCGCTGAGCCTCATACGGTGTGAGTGGTGCGCAAGAGTTTGTCGTGGTGTAAGAGAATGTAAAGTCGCAAGGTGTAATGAGGTGAACAGGTGTCAAGGTGTCGACAGGCGGCAGGAGCCAACAACAGCATGGATGGCTTTGAGGCTTAGCGTCAGCCTTGCTTGTCATCGGCGCGTCCGAGTATCATAGTACTTGTATCTTCTGAAGGCTATGACCTGCAGGGAAAATCCTCCAGGTCCAGGCATCAGGAGCACTGCCACAGGAGTACCCGGCCGATAACATCTCGGGGTAAAGACCCTGGAAGATTGTGTCCCGAATTCTGGCATGAATAAAATGAGGTCCGCAGAGAAGGAGAGACTCCTATTCGAGTGCTTTTCCCAAGTCTCGCTTTCTGCGCCCGACAACGTTCGCGTTTTCTCATCACTCCAGCAAGGTTCGTCTGAAGTCTCTCGCGCTCCAAGAAAAATGGTCAATCATCGCAAACCATATAAGGAATTGTTGACCGCCTTCGGAGATGGCTCTGCTTCGACATGAGTATTCTTTGCGAGGTGGAAGAAACAAGACATTTCGATGGGCTCGGGGGCCAAAGACTGCCCAAACACATCGGAAGAACCTTCCAAGGTCTCCTACCTACCTATTGTTGCCAGAGGCGACCGCGGCGACTGGGTCCTTCATTTGGTGCAAGTGCGATCCTCGGACTCGGGGTCTACAGTCATGAAGAAACTGAGGCAACGTCTGGCGGACGCGAAGGCCTTCGATTCCAGATTCAAGCGTGCGCTCAGGTGTCAAAAGCCGGTGGTCGACATTGCAAACGTTGGTCTAGTAAGTCCGGCCGCCGGGTGTCAGATCTCCCGGGAGTCCTTCATTGACAATCCGAATAGCTGCACCAGATACACATTGGGCGCCAGTATTCCTCACATCTTGTCAATGTCGAAAGTCGCCAAGGCCATGAGTTGTACACTCGTGCGCTTCAACAGCCTGAAGTCTTGGATAACATGCTAGCATTCACTAGATGGAACTCTTCGTTGCTCATCAGCGACGGCAGAGTGGCCGAAGTCAACCGAGCACGTGCTCTTCTGATTGTGCGAAGGCTCGATCCGCAGGCGCTCTGCGTCGCGATCGCAGTCATCATGTCGCTCTCCGTGGCTGCCGGCGTCGTCGCAGGCGTGCAGCTGGGCCGCATCGACTTGGGTCTCGCTATCTGTAGCTGTTTCGCGGCAATATTGTCATGTATAGAGGCATTGTTGATTTTACTGCAATGAGCGATCGCTTGCCGCTCTGGAAAGGAGCGGTCCTGCTAGTGGAGAAGTGCTGAATCGATGTCATCTCGGTGTCGTCGTTGCGGGCAGCCATCTGACTAGAGAGGACTGGCATCGAGAACGAGACGATTGTTGCCCATGATGTCCGAGGTTGACGTGCAGGGCCAGACGCGGGACGTGCCTCTGCAGTGAGAACTTTGGAAGAGTTTGAGAAAGGGCAAAATTTCCGAGGGCAACTTAAATGTTCTTTCAAGTCTTTCATTATTCCCGTTGAACGGCGACCAACCGAAGCCCGATCCGAAACTTCGTTCCTACCAGAGCTGGGAGGCTCACTTCGATAATTATACAGCAAATTCACTCTGAACCTGTACCTGGTCCAGGGCGCCGTCGCTCCATGTCTGCACTGCCGTCCAAACCAGCAGGAACATTCTCTGTGATTGTCCCACCCCCATCGAACCGAGCAGTGTTTTTTATTCCCTCAAGCTCAACTCCAATGAACGCCCAAGCTTTGCTCAATTCGCCATGCATGCACTTAGTAATAGCTGATAACACATTGTTGAAAGAGTCCGGTCTCAAGCATCATAGTGAACACTGAAAGTCGGCCTAGCGGAGAAAACCATGCAACCTAGAGCAAAGGCCGTTTACATGATGATTGATGGCACCTCGACGTTGGCCTTGATGCTCTTATGCGGCAAGACACTTCCACCGTTGACGTAGATCTCGTCACCAATGGACACGTCGTCACCGAGAACAGTGACATTTTCGAGCCGGGCCCAGCGACCAACGGTGGATCTCCAGCCTGAAATCCAGTTAGCACGAATGCCATCGCGGCTCAACGGAGAAAGGTAACCTACCAACGATAGTCGACTTGATCCAGGCGTGGTCCTTGACCTTAGAGTCCTCGAGCAACACACATCTCTGTAGTCGGACACCATCACCAATGACACAGCCAGGTCCAATAACCACATTGGGACCGATGCGGCAGCCCTTGCCGATCTTAGCGGTGGGGTCGACCATGACGTTTCCGCCAAAGACGTATGGTTCTGATGGGGAGACGAGAGCTTTGGGGTTGTTCTTGGTCAGAGAGGACAGGTACAAGCACGTTCCGCTGAGGAAGTCCTTGGGCTGACCGACGTCCATCCAGAAACCCTCGAGGTCGAAGGAATGCAGCAGGCCGTCCTTGCAAATGGCGGGGAATGTCTCCTGCTCAATGGATGTAGGGCGGAGCTCGATTCTCTTCAGAATAGAGGGGTTGAAGATGTAGATACCGGCATTAATGCGGTTGCCGACGAATTCGACGGGCTTCTCAACGAAGCGGTCGATGCGTGAAGGATGGTTGGGTTTGTGCACGATGACACCGTATTTGCTAGGCTCCTCAACCTTGGTGACAACGATGGTGCCCTCTTCGCCGTGTGAATTGTGGAAGTCGGCCAACTGCTTGAAGGGATATTCGCAGATGACGTCGGAGTTGAGGACGAAGAAAGGTTTGTCGTCCTTGCCCAAGATCTTCTCGGCGAGCTTGAGGGGACCGGCTGTGCCCAAGGGTTCGGATTCGACGGAGAATGTAATCTTGACATTGTACTTCTCTTCATATTTCTTCAGGGCACCCGTCATGACTTCGGGCCGGTAGTTGACTGCAAGGACAATGTCTGTGACACCGGCTGCTGCGAGAGCTTCGATTTGATGCAGAATCATCGGACGGTTGCCGAACTCGACGAGAGGTTTTGGGAGAGTGAGGGTGAGAGGTCGCAGTCTGGTGCCGAAGCCACCAACGCTGGAGATGTTAGCGGTTCTGTTGCTGAGCAGTGCAACATGGTGGAAGCATACAGAATGAGGGCTGGACAGCGTTAGCATGGTTACATTGACGTTCTCAGTTTGAATCGACATACCCTTCATCTTGAATTACTATGAGATTTATAACGAACGGGGGAGACAAAGATCAGAGAGGAGGGAAACGTGGTATGGAAGTGGTTGAGAGCGAGTGTAACGTAGTTGCAAGGACTACTAGAATATTTTGATTTGGTCAAGAGGGTCAAAGAGCAAGAAGAGAAGAGAAGAAGAACTGGCGAAAGAAAGGGAGGTGTGATATAAGGAACCTAACAGGTGGTGTGAAGTGTCTGGCAGTCTTGCGTTTTCAGGTACGAGTACAACGTCGAGGCGAGTCGGAGCCACAGTGTTCGAAAAGTTACTGCTTAATTTATCGATAGGAACGCCCGCCTAGGCTCTTTTGGGGCAAATGAGGGTGAGTCTGACACCCGAGCCACGCCAGACCAGTGCAGACTTGAGTGGGCTCAGTGGTCATGAAGGTGTCAGACAAACGAGAAAATCTCCGCTCAAGGGGTGCATGGCACCCATGGCAGACACTGCCAATTCCGCAATTCTCCCCTTTCTATTAATCCACCCAAATTCATCCACGCAGCTTGTCAGTCGTCTGCAATTGGTGCGCAGGAGACAGTCGTGCAAGATTGTCAATCGGGAGGCGTTTGTTCTATCGGACGTGGATAAGAGCTTCTATTCAGCCGCATCACCCACCGCACAAATCATGGAGCGAACAAATCTTTAGCCTCCGGGTGTGCAGCGGAAGAACACAGCAAATGGACGGTCCCCCGGGCACTAGATCACAGCGATCCGGCTCCTTCAGCGGCGCCTTCTCGCATGGGCTTCATGATTATTACCCATCAGTACCTGGGTGAGTACTTTCGAGGATCCAGATTTCTACATACTACGTAGTAGGGTCAAATTCTTCGAGGATCCGAGGCTCAGTTGAAGCGAAAATCAGCTAGCTTGCGTGCCTGGGTTCGGTCACGAGGGACTGTTAGAAACGTTGCAATTGCAGGAGACGCGTAACACAGCCACAGCCACGCGCAATTTGTTTTCTTCTCCCCCTTTCGCCGCTCCAAATAAAGTAGCACACAACTACTGTACCTACAGTACTGACACAGAACACAAGAAGAAATGTCACCCTGTCACATCCGTGCTATGTGCCCCGAATGGGCCGTCGGTGGATCGGTTGTTCTGTCAATTGATTTGTTCTCCGTATGGTAGCTACCTATGTCAAAACAAGAGCACTGGCTAATCGACGCTGTCATATCTCGTGACTCGATATTAGAATACAAAAGGGGTGGTGGTCTGTGTCTTTGCCTCACTTACTCTCCCTTTACTCCGGATCGTGCCGAAGTCTGTCGCCTCCAAGCTGTTGCTGGTATTACATTCACGTACATCTCCCACGCTCTAGATCTTGTCTTGCATGCGAAAGATCAAGAAACCGAGAACAGCCCCCCAGCCTTTCCCCCGCCAACTCCACTTACCAGGTAGTCAATAATGCTCACGGGGTATCATCAGGTAAAAACCCGTAATCGATCCTCCCTCTCCGCCGGCCCTTTCCTGCCGTCGGCCGACCATCTCTGTCCCCCACGAATTCCATCATCCAGTCCTTGACGCGCTTCACTTTCAGGACTTGCGGATCTTTGGCCGTCCTCAGATTCGACATGGTGTAAATTCCACTGATATCATCGTCGTCGGCTTTCTTGCGGAAAAGAAGATCGATCTTTGTCACATCGCCCTTGAGGCTCTGCCCGTGCACCTTCCCCCGGAAGGAACTCAACGCCACATTTTGCAACAGCACCACATCGCGCGGCCTCATAAAACGCAAGGACCTTCGCAGAACACTTCGTGATCCTTCAGGCGTAGCTTTGGCGCCGTCCTTCCAGTTGACGTGCATCTCTCGGGGCAGCCACATGCTGATGCTGAACCCGGTCTTCGTGTCGTCGCCCACCACCATCTCCACCAATTCTGTCTCGCGTGGCCTGCCGTATTTCGTCCCCGTCACTACTGTCCGGGGTGGCGATATCGACAAGATGCCCACAATGATATTGACGGTCATGGTCTGCGGCTCTATTGAGGAGAGGTACCTCGCGTTGGGAATATCCTCGAGGTCGCTCAAATGTTTTGGCCGAGGCGCCTGGCTCAATCGTCTTTGCGAAGGCGTGCGAATAATTCCACCCCCGGGTGTCTGGGGAAACATCTCGTCACTACTTTCGTAGAGTGGCGTGCCAGGAGTGTAGTCAGAAAAGCCGGATAGTTGTGAAGACGGAATAGCCTCGTGAATCGCGAAGGAATGCTCGTAATAGTCCGACAGCGCTTCTGATGTCGTTTCGCTCGACCCGCCAGATGGTTGGGACTCATCCCCGCTCACATCACTGCCGGGCGTTTGCGTGCCGACATGTTCATCTGCACTAAAGAACTCGGCACCACTACGATCGATATCGTCGTGTTGCACTCTGGCTTCGATGTTGAGTTTAGGCAGGATCGGGCGCATTTGAAGTTTTTGCGCTGTGATTTGCCTCCATTGGGCGCCGAAAGCTTTCGAGGACGGAGATAGCGGTGAGATAGTTTCGGCAGATTCGACGTGCATGGAACTGGGTATAAGAGCTTTCTCGCTCCAGTCGAGCTTGGCCGATTCTGGTGCTCCTGCCAGGATGATCATCCGGGTCATATGAAGTGTGCGTGTGACTCTCGACGATGGCCTTTGGGGTTGAAAATCCGGCCAAACGAGCTCCAACGCGTTTTGAGAGTGACACGCTCGTCTGACTCAGCCCTCAAGCAGTAGTGCCTAGTAAATTCGACGCGACTGACTGATTGAAGCTGCACAAATTTCCAGGCAAAGAATTGAAGCAAGAGTCGGTCAAAAACCGAGCAAGCAGTGAATTTACTGACGGATGTGGCGGATGGAGGCAGCAACTTGTACTTTTCCCATTAGCCGCGACTTTTGGCCTGGCGCTAGGATACGGAGCGTGGGAGCGTCAAAACGAGGCCAATCCCCAGACTCAAGGCCGCAATATCCCGGTTTCGTGATCGAACAGGTCAGGGTAAGGCAGAAGTGAGAGGGCAGTGAGTCGGTGACGGTGACGGTGACGGTGAAGGGGAGATGATCGTGACGAGTTATTGACAGTGCAAGTACTTTCCAGACGGTCAATGGCATATGGATGTGTTTGGATGGGCAGCGAAAAAAAGACCCTGGCTTGTGTTTCAATAAAGGGTTGGGACATGACGATTGGTTCCAGGTCTCCAGGCTCCGCTTCATTGTCCCCAGGAAAAGCAGAAAAATCAGGGCGTCGAGGCCGTGCATACCTAGGTACTAAACACCACGAACCAAAATCCAGGTTGGTCTGAGCACCGCGGCTCCCAGCGTTCGGAAGGCTCGAATGCTTTGGCCCGGTTGGCTGTGGTTCCATTGATTCGGAGGATCAGCCGGACGATGATGTTGTTACCAGAGCCGAAATCATCATCTGACCAGGGACTCGACGGATACGAAATACGACAGCCAATCTAGCCAGACACTATGGTACAAGTACAAGCATTTACCCCTGGCTAAGCTCGCTCTGGTTCCAAGAATCTTCTAGGCAGCCAGCAATCTATGTGGACAGACGACAGACACGGTGTTCTTTGGGATTGACGCACCATGCACTGCTCGCCGCTTGATACCCTGCATCAAAGTTGTTATAGACCTCGGCCTGTTGTTCTTTTTGACGATCACCTCCAGCCACGGAGCTCCGTACCCTGAATGTGCCTGAACCCTCACCACTCACAGATTAACACGAGGCAATGATCCCAACTGATAAAAATATCCCGCCGATCGGAGCGGAATATCATCATACCTTATCTAACGAACTGAGAGGCTCGCAGAGACATATCAAGGGGGCAGTACTCCGTACCGCAGTACGGGATATCAATGTCTGGAAAGAAATACCTGCAAAATCCATCAAATCAAGAAGTCGAGAATCCCGAAGGATGCTATTAGTGACTCTAGAACAATGTGAAGATCTAGCTCTAGTCTTTTCTCTCTTCGTCGTATCTAGGTGCCGGGTCTTTTATCTATCGCGCTCATCTTTTGACGTTGAATTCATCGCTACCATGAACCCCAACTCCATGCTTCACTAAAAGGATTGATGCTGATGATTCTGTGCGCATCGACGCCCTCCGCCATCATCCATGTGCCGTCGTTCCCAGCATTGGTTCTGCTTCTTTGCTGCAGAGTCGTACACTCAGTCATCGAATTTGAAACCTTTGCCGCCACTGATGTCGATGGCGCCACCTCGGTAGCTCCCACGCTTCTTCTTGTTCTTCTCCTTGGTAAAACCTTTGCCTCGAGTCACGGATAGATCTTGGTATGCGCGTTCTGCGTAATCATAGCTCTGATAGGCATTGCTGATATGGCTGTCTGCTGTAGCGTGGGCGGAAAGCTGTGCTAACGGAGTCGGCCTCGCACCAGTATGTCTCTTCGTGAGTGGCGCAGTGCTTCTAGGCGTCCTCTCTGAGGCGTCTTCAGAGGTAGGTAGTTTGTCAACGTCCATGTTGTCTCCCATCACAGTTCCCGATGACTCAGATGATGCTTCCTGCACCGAGACTGGCTTCGTCCCGTTAGTCAATTTCCCCGAATTACCGGCGTTCTCTTCTTCATCGGACTCCTCTGCTGAACTTGACGAAGACGTTTCACTTGAAGAGGCATTATTAGTAGCAGCTTTTGTGGTCACTTTGGCTCGCTTCGCAGGTCGGTCATCGTCGGAGGAATCAGATACGGAGGCGGAAGACGAAGACTCCGAAGAGCTCAACTCGGCTTTTCGCTTGAGATCCTTTTTCACAACAGCTTCAGTTGGCTCGGTCGGGGTCTTTGATTTCTTCTTGCTGGATGTAGACTTGACTTGAATGGTGGCCTCATCCTCGTCCTCATCATCAGCATCACTATCAGAGGAAGAGGATGACGATGAAGGAGAAGCGGCTCGCTTTTGTGCTTTGTTCTTCTGTGGCTTTTGCGTAGATTTCCTCTTGATCTGATCTTCTGATGTGGACGTCTCATCACTGCTACTATCCACTTCGCTGCTCACACTGCTACTGTCGTCGCTCTCTTCGTCGCTGCTGCTACTACTGCTGGCGCTAGTGCTCTCCGAGTCTGATGTAGTGTCGTCGCTCTCAGACGTGGACTCCGCAGGTTGTGTCTTCTGCCCCGCCGCGTTCTTGGTCGCATGTTGTTCCTCCACCCAATTCAAAAACGCTGACTGTAGATCAACTACAGTCTCAGCAGCCGACGCCGCAGGCCAGTCCGCTGTCTGTTGTAGACGTTTCAGCTCTTTCGCAAAAGCCTTGTTCGTAGACTCCAATCCATATTGTGTGAAGAATGAACCAACCAATCCAAGCACCTCCGGTGGTGGAACCGAGTCACTGTTTCCAGTTGCTTTCTTCTTGCCCTTCATCTTGTGTCGGCTATGAGGTTTGCTCGTGTGATGGGCAGCGGTAGGGGCCCACTGAGAACCACTTGTCACAGGTTCGTCACTGACAGAAAGGAGAGGTGAGTGAGCGACGGCAGACAAGGAGAGTGAAAGCGACTGATCAGTGAAAGGTACGAAGTAGGTGCGACCTGAAGCTGCATGCGACAAAAAAAATAATTTTGGGTGTTGCGGAGGAGGGTCGCCGATGGCACATCGCGATTGGCTGCGTTCCTTGACCCGTCCGCAGCCACAAGGTGGCGCTGAAGTAGTAAATCACGTGATACGAAGAAGAGGTGGCGGGTGGCTGAAGGTAGGGACCTTCATGAACGCGTCTTATTTCTACTACACCTTTCTCCTTTACGATGTTTTCGTGACTGTTAAAGTCCAACAACAATAATTCGCCGGTTTCATGACAATCTGACACTTTCTGACTCCCTATCACTCAGCTGCCACGGTGAGCTTGCCTCCGACGACTGCCTCTTCGCCCTTCCTCTCGGTATCCGTCTTGAACTTGCGGAATTGCCTGGCTGGGACTTTTTTGTGAAACAGTTCATCAATCTCTTCGAAATTGCGGCCGGCCGTTTCAGTCTGGCAAAAGAAGAGATAAATCCAGCAGAGAACACTGGTGGCACCGAAGATGAATCCAGTCTTGGCTCCCAGATTCCCTTGATTAGGATTGACAATGTAAGGTAATACAAACAGCCACATGGTCGAAATAGCGTTGGTTGCGATATATCCCAGGCTGATTGTTTTGATTCGCAACCGACCCGTGGGCGTCTCGGCAGCCACTATGTAGGCAACAGGCCCGATCGCGGAATTGAAGATGAAGTTATACATACTCATCAATCCGATGGTACCTGGGACATTAAAACAGTGATGAGCCACGGACTTGGTTTGATGGAGCACAATACGTACCCAAAACTGCGCCATGATTGTGGGTCATAGTACCCAGACCACCAGTAAGCATGAGAAGCGCAGCCAAGAAGCCAAACCCCCAGAGCAGAAGTTTGCGACGACCGATACGGTCCACGAGCACAAAGGCCGCGATATTACCCGCGATGCTCAAAACTTGAGCTCCAACCGAGATGTCCCACGCTCTCTGGGATGATAAACCCGCAAGCTCGAAGTAGTAAGTGCTGTAACTGGCAATCCATGGTACACCTGAGAGAGACTGGATACTGAGAGGCATCATGGCGATGATTGTTCGACGCAGATTGGTTCCTTTGAAGCATTCTGAGTACGATGTTCCTTCTGTCTCCTGTTTTGCTGCTTCCTGGGTGCACCTAATGTCAGCCAGATGTTTTTCGGCGGAAATTTCTCCATGGCCGAGGCGTTGCAGTGCTCTCTTGGCGGCATCGTCTTTCCCATGCTGGGCGAGCCACCATGGCGACCTATATTCGAGGTTAGGGCGGCGGCAAGGTCTCGATTTGGCAATCTTACTCAGGAATGAAAGGCACAATGATAAAGGCGGTGAAGCCGAACCCCAACTGAGCAAGAAAGATACCCCGGTAAGCCCAGCGGTCCGTTCGTGACGCCAAGGCGTTTTCGATGCAAGTACAAGTGAAAGGGCCAAGGCAGAAGGAAAGATTGCATATTCCAGTCATCACACCTCGGAGGGCAAGCGGAGACACCTGTGGTGAGTCAATAGGAGTATAATATGTGGGAAAGCAGGGCAGGGGACCTCAGAGAGCCAAGTCAGCACGGTGGTGAGAAGAAAGCCGAGCGCCACCCCGTTGATCACCTTCCCAGCAAAGAATACTTGGACATTGGTAGACGCAAGCTGGAGACTGGCGCCGACGAAGGTCGTTGCCAACCCTCCCATTATGGTCCGTTTACGGCCGAAACGGTCGGAGATGAACCCGGCGGCAAGGCCTGCAATACAAGCTCTTGAGGGTCAAGAAAAGTAAGCATCTCTTCACAGTTGCACACGGAAAGGGCAGGAGGCGTACGAGGCATTGGCGCCACCACTGAAGGCCGACTGCCACCCGGCATCGATGACATAGCCTCCATCGGGTTGAAGTACCCCAAAGTCCTTGCGAAACTGGGTTATACCAAGGACGATTGTCCCTGCATCATAATCGAACCCAATGCAGATCAGAGCCCAGGCGCCGTACAGACACCAGAAGATGTTTCTCGGATTGGCCTTAATAGCCTGCCACTTAGTCTGTTGATGGTCTTCATGCTGTGTTGCGTGGCCAGAAAGCTCGATGTGTTCTGCGCAGTCTTGCGCAGGATTTTCTGGACTTTTGGTCTCCATGGTTGCCAAAAGCCTTTTACTGACTGGAATGAGATGGGAAAAAGGCGATGGGCGAAGCAGGTTGATGTCCCTGTACTGTAATCATGTCGATCACCGCATTTCACTAGCGACCTCTCTTTATACGGGGAGATTGTGAGAAATTGCGGTGCGAGATACACCGAGAAGAAGGCAACAAACTCTACATGATCGATGTCAAATACACCGACAGGCCCTCCGCTTTGTGAATCAATTCTGGTAAGCTGAATCGTTGAAGAGCAAAATGCACCGAGAAGAGGCTCCGGATGAAGCACTCCGCGATGCAACTACCCCAGTACCCCACCAGTTCCCACTTTCGGACGGAGACCACACGAGATATTCAACCAACAAATGCCTGCGAAGGCCAAGGCTTCGTCCCTAGCTCGAGCTTGTCGGTCGATTCTCTACCGTCCTCACTCATCTGTACGTTCCGTTGTGGTCAAGGGCGACAATTGTCGACCGAGTTGTACCGAATCCCCGAATATATCGTCCGTGGCCGGCTCTTGTGACGCAGGATGGGCTTTGAACATAAAGATGATAGCAGGGTTAGCTGGTGCAATTTGGACCCGAATAAAAGCTCTTCGACCGATCTTTCAATAAGAGGAGAGGGGGTAGTTGGATTCAAGAGTCCTCGACCTCTATCTGGATCAATGGGCAATGCATCGGCGTCACCGACCATTCAGGTCTCTTCGATATCGTTCGAGCACCATACAACAGGGTTTGGTATAGGCCATGCAAGGCCGCGTGTCTCATGGCGCTTTGCAACAAACACCGCTGTCAAGAACTGGATTCAAGACTCGTACGAAATCCAAATTGAGCGCCAAAAACGTGGCTCGAAGCCCGAGCTTTACCAAATCCGTGGCCGCGACTCCGTGCTGGTGCCGTGGCCTTGTGAACCTCTGAATTCCAGAGAGAGGCTCAGTGTCAAAGTAAGGGCCCAAGGAAGGTCGAGGGCGCTGGTTGACGAACTCGGCGGCGGAGAAGAAACCCCCGTCTCTTCGGAATGGTCCAATCCTGCCACCGTGGAGGCTGCATTGCTGAAGAAGTCCGACTGGACAGCTAGATTCATCACCTCGTCAGACGACCGAGGACCCGATCATCCCGGGAAGAACCCTGTGCGTCCTCTACGATTTCGAAAGGTTTTCCAGCTTCCGCAACATACATTTGTGTCTCAAGCGCGAGTCTACGTCACGGCTTATGGCGTATACAGGATGTTCATCAATGGCCATCGTGTGGGAGACGAAGAAATGAGCCCAGGATGGACCAGCTATAAGCACAGGCTCAATCACCAGGTTTTCGACGTGGGTTCATTCCTCCGGAAAGGAAAAGAGAATGTGGTGGCAATTGAGGTGGGCGCAGGCTGGTATGCTGGACGACTCGGCTTTGACGGGAGACGTTGCCTATACGGTGGGGACTTGGCGGTCCTGGCCCAGCTAGAGGTCTCCCTTCAAGATGGACAGCTCTACACGTTGAACACGGACGTCTCCTGGAAATCTCATTGCAGCTCGATCACTCACAGCGAGATTTATGACGGCGAGACCTACGATACACGTGAAGAACAGCGAGGATGGTGCAGCGATCCCACGTTTGACGAGTCTTCCTGGACGACGACGAGAGAACTGCCAACCGCTCTTGAAATACTCAATGCTTCCGACTTGCCACCAGTACGATGCACTGAGGTGAAGAAACCCATTGACATCTTCCGATCGCGATCCGGCAAATTATTGGTCGATTTTGGTCAGAATCTAGTTGGAAAGCTACGTGTGAACTTTCCGACTGTGTCGGCTGCTGAAGCCTTCAAGCCCGGCGGACATAGTGTGTCTTTTCTTCACGCAGAGGTACTCGAGAATGGAGAGCTTGGGACACGACCTCTGCGATCTGCGAGATGTGTCGACCAAGTAGTTCTCTCTGACACCGAGCCCTTCACTTGGTCGCCCGCATTCACCTTTCATGGGTTTCGGTACGTGCAGATCGACGGATGGCCAACAGATACGGAGCTCAAAACGTCAGATCTCGAGGCCCTCATACTACACAGCGATATGAGACGAACAGGCTCTTTCGAGTGCTCGGAACCCCTGGTCAACAAGCTCCATGAAAACACATTGTGGAGCATGCGAGGAAACTTTCTATCCCTCCCCACTGACTGTCCTCAACGGGATGAAAGACTCGGCTGGACGGGCGATATACAAGTTTTCGGTCCTTCGGCGAACTATCTATATGACACCACCGGCTTTCTTAGCAATTGGCTACAAGATGTCTCAGCTGAGCAGCTTGAGGATGGCAGAGGTGGTGTCCCAAGCGTTATCGTACCCGACCTCATCGACAACCCCATTCACAACCCGCCCCAAGCAGTATGGAACGACGTGACAGTGCTTTTACCATGGGATCTATACCTCAGCTCGGGTGATAAAGACATCCTCCGTCGGCAGTATGCTAGCATGACGGCTTGGGTCGACCGTGGAATCCCCCGAGGTCCAAATGGCCTTTGGGATCCAAATCTGTGGCAATTTGGTGACTGGCTTGACCCAAGTGCCCCTCCTGAAGAGCCTGGAGCTGGACGTACAGACTGTATCCTTGTTGCTGACGCCTATCTGGTTCGAGTGACGGAAACAATGGCTCGAGTGGCCGAATGCCTCGGACTCGCAGAAGACCAGCTTCGATATTCCGACGACGCTAGACGCCTGAAATCCATCTTTCAGTACCAGTACGTGGCCGCCTCGGGACTGCTCGTGGGAGACACACAAACAGCGCTGTCACTGGCTCTCTGTTTTGGCCTACACCAGAGCCACGAGCAGAGAGTGCAAGCCGCAGATCGACTGGCGCATCTAGTACAATCAGCCAAGTACCGGATCTCTACTGGGTTCGTTGGGACGCCTTTGATCACACATGCGCTCTCGGACACGGGGCATCCGCAGCTGGCGTATCGCATGCTCCTCGAGTCCAAGTGCCCTTCGTGGCTGTACCCAATCACCATGGGTGCCACGACGACCTGGGAGCGCTGGGACAGCATGCTGCCGGACGGTTCGATCAATCCAGGGTCGATGACGAGCTTCAACCACTACGCCCTCGGGTCCATCGTGCATTGGCTGTACAAAGTTGTGGGCGGGATCAGTCCGCGGGATCCGGGCTGGCGCACGGTCGAGATCCGTCCCATTCCTGGTGGAACCATCAGCAGCGCAACTGCCACGTACGAAAGCCCGTTCGGCTTGGTCTCATGTTCTTGGTCGGTTTGCGAGAAGGATGCGGCGTTCACGTTAGAGGTGACAATCCCTCTGAACTGCAGGGCCGTGATCTTCCTGCCTTCACAACAGCAGCAGCAGCAAGTCAAGGTCGCCGGCGGTGTTGCATGGGGTGAAGCAGAGGAAACCGGCGCTCTTATTGTGGGATCTGGGTCACACAAGTTCACATGTCCGTACAGCAAGCCTCAATGGCCTCCCAAGGCGATTTGGGACCGGTCAGAGTTTGCACTTGCCGTAGAGTTGTAGTGGTGTAGCATCCTGAGAGCTGGACATGTTCGCACAAATCGAGCGGTCACGTGCTCACGTGCTACTGCGAGTATAGTATCGGACTTTTTTTTAATCTTGTGTATTAGGTCGTAGCATGTCTAGAACGTTTCGTCCTCGATGTTGGCAGAAGGGCGAACAACGCTGGGGCTTGCGGCGCCAAACTCAAAGTCCTGCGTCTCTAGCTCACGAGTAAAATCGATTTCTTCCTCGCCAAAGTCCATCCCAGCATTTGTCAAAATATCTTCCACGATCCGTCGCGAGGCTTCTTTGGCTAATTGGTAGAAAGACGGTCAGCAAGCACACACTTTCAAAGCAGATGTCGTAAAGTACAAACCTGGAGTCTTCAGAAGCCTGTTCTGCGGGACATGAAACTGCATCGTTTTTGGTGGGCTTTGTCCAAAATCAATGTCATCTTCCAAGTCATCTTCATCGCTGTCCCAGATGCCCGGGGTCCGACTAGGTGCCTTGGCGGCATCCCCTTTGTGCTTTGCTGGTGTCAATAGACTTACTCCTGGAATCCGGACCTTGCGCTCGGGAGAGGAGAATATCTCCGGATGCAGCTCTGGTGGAGCCACCTCCGGGCTCGATGATAAGGTTGCATCCGCTGTCATATGCTGGCGCTTTGCCGTCGAAGGCGTGGCTGCTGTTATCGGTTGAATATTTGCATATCGATTGGTGGTCAGTGGCGTTGCTTGGACACGGTAAGTGCGGTCCAAAACTCGATGAAGAAGGGGATCGGTCCTTTTGCGGGCTGTCGAAGGACGGGGTATCGAGGTCGGCTGTGGAGGCAAGAAGGGGGAGGATTCCGGAGTACGTGCAATCGCGTCAGTTGGGAAGACTGGTCTTCCGGGGGTTTCAGGCAAAGCGGTCTGGGTCAAGGATGTAGCATCAACTGCCGTGTTGTTGACCTCCTGGCGCAGGGCTTCGTATGGAGAGGGATAATCGGCGAAATTGGCCTTCTGAGCTCTCGGAGGTCGCGGCGTGCTGTGGGAGGGCGAGATGGACAAGTTTGATAGGTCAAGATCCTGTATGGAATCGGTAGAGATGTGTTGTGCATTTGGTGTCTCATATGACTCTGATGTTTCGAGGGTGGTCTGGGTGGTCGAGTGAGATTCCTCCGTGACCGTGTTGTCTATTGTTTCGTGTTGAGACGGTTGTTCCTCATAGCCCGACAAGGAAACATTGGCACTCGATTCGAAAAATTGCTTCCAAAACTGCGCATTGTTCAGTACTCTTTCTTGCGCAAGGGCGATGGTCTCACTCTAGATCCCTCCCACACCTCCTTCGAATGGCCCCCGTATTGTTCAACGATAGGGAGAATGCTGGACGTGACTATCCGGTGGGCTCGGCTGAAGTTGTGATCGATCTCTGCAAGCGTCAGCCGGAGACTCCTGGAGGACACCAACTGGAACGCACCTTGCAGAGTTAATGTAATGGATTGTTCCAATTTCTCCAGCTCCTCGGTCAAGGTGAGCGCCCGTGGCTGCGCCGCAGAACTGATGCGAGACATGACTTTCAATGTCGTGGTTTCTCTTGGCTTACAAGCTGCGTCAACGCACTGAATCCAGCGCACTGCGTCCACTGCGTGGTCGCACAAAGCGATTGTGGACGCGTCTCGGAGAATTCAATCAACACATTGGTGGGGAGCAGTGCGGGGAAAGGTGGCGAAGGCTGCCACTTTAGTGTGGCTGTGTGTGGCGCAGCAAACGTCGTGGGTATCAGACGAGCAGGCTGACATCTTTCGGACCTCATCAGGTCTTTCAGATCGACTTCTTCTCTTCGCAGACTCCTTGGGTACATCGAGAAGGCCAGCATCGGGAACCATACGGCTCACCGCTCAAGATGCCGGCTCCTCTTGCTCGAGGTAAGTCCCTCGCGTGCCCACGCCCTTGCTCTCTCCCTTACATCATGGTCGCCCGATTATGGTCTGATGGAAGGGACTATAAATCCAGCAGGGCGCCCATCCGCTTCATGCGATTTGATGCGAGTCAGACACTCACAATGGTCCCTCCCGCAGGTATAATCATTGCAGCCACCATTGTCGTCGCTGCCGGTTTGGCCGCATATGAAAACCCCGAGGTGCGAGCATGGATCGACCGCACGAGGCACAAGATTGCCATGGGCCTCCACAACCTCGGGGACGAAATCAACCCAAAACAGCGACCTCGGACACACCGGCCTTCCACTGATGCCTCAATGCACGAAGAGAAGGGAGATCTCGCAGAAGCACGACGAATGGAGGCAATTGCAGAGATCATGGAACGAGGGCGAATTATGGAAGAAAGGAGGAAGAGAAGGAAACTGTCGACCGAGAAGTCGAGGAAATCAAGCTTCGACACCCTCGTGGACGAAAATGGCAATCTGATTGAGCAGACAACAACACCGCAGCCCGAGACAGAAGCCCATTCTTCAGCCGTTGATCCTTCTGGGCAGCACGAGACCCTTAGACAGCGTAGGCAATCCGGGCAAATGCAAGAAGAGAGCCCAGCGCTTCACGAGTCTGTGGACCAAAGCCTTCCTTTACGCAACCTTCCTCCCCGCCCTCTTGATCAGGAGGAGAACACCACCTTCGAGTCACGATATGAACGGGAGATGCGTGAGGCTTGGAATATTCCGTTGTCCGACAGACGAATCGAGCTTCCTTCCAGTCACCCCTCCGAAAGCCTACTCGATCTCACCCCTTCTACAGAGGATGCTCCAGATCCGGACTATTCGGTTCCGTCCCGAGAATACCTGAACCGTCGCTTTGATCGGCCAGAGTATTTCTCCGTTGCGGCCTCACACTCGAGCCATACCCTGTCCGATCACGAATCACAAAGTCAATTTCCGGCTCAGAGCACGTATCTAAATCGTCCTTCAACGACGACAGAGCAACTCACCCCAAACGCAACCAACCCTTCGTCTCGAGCTCCAACCGTAGATGGAAGCATAAGCAGTATTCATGCAAGCGAGGCGGAAGATAGCGCGGATGATGTGCTCAGTGAGATTGGAGATGGTGTTCGTACCCCGGCAAGTGTCTGGACCGAAGTAGATTCGACCGTTAGCGGAGATGGATTGTAATGCAGGTCTTATATGGAGTTTGGGGTCCTTGGGGCGCACTCGAGGAGCATACAAGCGACATAGCCAGAGTTTCTTGTTTAGAAGACAGGGACGGTCGGCTGCGGAGTGATTTTGGCGAACTGGACGGACGGCTACAGACTTCATATATGTAAGTGGTGGCGTCCTGGCTGTGTCGCGTCAATCTCCTGCACGCTGCCGTCTGGATGTGAAGAGTTTCAATGTGTTCACCGATTCTTTCAATGGCAGCAGTCGCCGTGATGACTCCAGCTTTTCGTCCCTCGACAACACAACAGCACCGATTGCTCCTGCCTTTGCACGACTTTCTTATTCCCGGCTCCGTGGCCACTCACTTCCTGCTTCTTTCATTCCAGACTTCATCATCACAGACCCCGCCAGGCACAATCAGTTACTGGCCCTCTATCTGCACAAAATGATTATTCTTCCCTAGTTTCAGGGCGACTTCACTTCGCTCCATTCACGCACGTTCCACACAACATTTGCTCGAGTGTCAGCCTGAGAGTGCATCGAAGGACTAGCGAGCACCCCCCAATATTGCACACACTGCCAGGCATATCTTGCTGTGAAGCCATATCACTCTGGCGGCTCTTATTGCCGGCTGTCGTTGACTCACCCAGATCGTGGTAGATTGCCTGGCTGGATACATCTGACGGTCAGGATAGTCCTACCAACAAGGTGCCAACGGACACAGAACGACGGGTTTATCGTCGTAGCGCATCAACATGCTGGACAAACGCTACGCCTACATCAACGGTCCATGGTCAATACCAGATGTGAGTCTGGCTTCTCTACCACGTTCCTCGACTGACATTCTTAGATCGTATGCCTCGCAGTCGTCGGACCTCTAGTGCTTGCTGCCTTCCTCGAGTCATTCCTATGGGTTGCAGCATTCTGCTATTGCCTGCGGAAGGCGTATAAAAAGGCAAATCACTGGTCACAAAAGCTTTTGGCCGGTATCGTGACTGTAGCATTTGTCATCCTGAGGTATGTTGGATCCCGAGCACAACTTATCAAAGCTCATGCTTCATCCAGGGGCGTCTTCCTACCGATCATGTTGGTGACATTGCCTTTGCCTGCCCGTCTTACACAGCACTTCCCAAGCGTCATGATAGACTTCTTTCAACAATTTGCCTTCTACAGCTTTGCGGTCATGCTGATTGTTCCCTGGCTCTTGTGCGTATACCGACTTATCATCCTACCGCTCGGCCGTACAAAATTGATCAAATACCCTCTCAACGAATGCACCGCGCCAAAGATTGTTGTGGTGATGCCGGTATACAAAGAACCTCCAGAGTCGTTATGGAAGGCATTGAATTCCGTGGTCGAGTGCGATTATCCGGCGGCTTGCATACATGTTTTTGTGTCATTTGATGGCGACAGCATTGACGAGCTATACCTCAAGACAATTGATCGGCTAGGGATACCTGTGACTCTGAAGGACTTCCCTAGGTCCATTGATGTTGCCTACAGTGGCGCCAGGGTTACTGTCTCCCGTTTCCCTCATGGAGGCAAGCGACACTGTCAAAAAGCCACATTTTCCCTCATTGACAAAATCTACAAGCGGTATTTGCAGCACAAGGACGATCTGTTCATCTTGTTCATTGACTCGGACTGCGTCTTGGATCCTGTGTGCATACAGAACTTTATGTACGATATGGAACTGAGACCGGGAAACAAGCGCCACATGCTGGCAATGACCGGTGTTATCACGTCATGCACAGAGAAGAATTCCATGTGGACCATTTTACAAGACATGGAATATGTCCATGGCCAGCTGTTCGAACGCTCTGTCGAATCGGGTTGTGGAGCAGTTACTTGTCTCCCGGGGGCTTTGACACTCCTGCGGTTTTCGGCTTTCCGACACATGGCCAGGTTTTACTTCTCCGACAGGGCTGAAGAATGTGACGATCTATTCGATTATGCAAAAACTCACCTCGGGGAGGACCGATGGCTTACCCATTTGTTCATGCTGGGTGCGAAAGAACGCTATCAAATCCAGTTGAGTACCAGCGCCTTCTGCAAAACCGAGGCAGTCCAAACGTTCCGTTCTTTGCTCAAGCAACGCCGCCGGTGGTTCTTAGGATTCATCACAAACGAAGTATGCATGTTGACCGATGCTCGAATCTGGAGAAAATACCCGTTACTCTGTCTCCTTCGATTTATGACGGTCACTGTGAGAACAACTGCGCTGTTGTTCTTGATCACCATAATCTCCGTGGCTACCACCTCAAGTCAAGTTGATCGGTTATCTTGGGAGTTCATGTGCATATCTCTCGGGCTCAATTGGCTGCTCATGCTCTACTTCGCTATCAAATTGCACCGTTGGAAGGCAGTTCTGTACCCGGTCATGTTCACAATCGTCCCATTCTTGAATTGGATTTTCATGGTCTACGGTATCTTCACCGCAGGCCAAAGGACCTGGGGAGGACCCAGGGCAGACGCCGGCGCGGCAGATGCAAAGATCACGCCGCAGGAGGCCATCGAGCGTGCGATTGCTACCGGAGATGATCTCAACGTCGTGCCAGAAACCTTCAGACCAGCAATAAAATTTAGAAAGCGTCGCACCCGTCCTTCTGCGCTGTTACCGTCGTCCAGCGTTGAAGGACGCTTTGTTTCAGCAGATCACGAGCCACAGCAATCGGTCGAGAAGGGCATGATATCGCCCAGTGTATCCGATGTTGACCTTGAGGCACATCCGCGGCGCTTTGGCCATGATTCACTTGACATGAGTGACTCTGAAGGCGTATCGATTCACACTCCTCAGAGAGTAACCAGTCTCTCCGGCGACGAGGGCTATATTGCCATGCAAGATTCCGAAGACAATAGTCAAAACCGCCCTACCACCATTTCAAGCGAGCGCAAACAACAGACAACGGGGACATATCACTCTGCTGAAAGCACTGCTACAGTCGTTCCGATACATCAAAGAGGAGAAGATCCGGATAATGGAGCACAACCACGAAGAACAGTCTCAAGAACAGGTCCAGCTGATCCTCATGAGTTAACCAGGCATCTGAGCCAGATGTTTGCCAGGCAAACCGCAAGCGAAGGGCCAGCCCACTTGCAAGACAGAAGCCCATTAGGACGGATCAGTCCTCTTACAGCATTGCCAGTTGAGGAGCACCTGCCGGGCTTGCAAGAAGGGCATGGCGTGGCAGAGAGCGGGAACGATGACGAGGCTGAAGGCACTGAAAACCAAGCATCCAAACGAAAACGGTTGCGGAAAAGGGATGCAAGCTGGGCGGATAGAGTGTAGACTGATTAGACGGCGACGGGGTTGAGGTATGGTACAGTGCTACCGTTGTATTGGTATCATTATCACTACGCTGTCTTGCAGATGATATAGGCATGGCCAGAGACAATCCATTGACCTTGACGAATATATCGGGTGTAATGTGCCGACGTGAAGTCAGGCACTGGAATGAAGTCACGGCCAAAGAAGCCTTGCCGTGTGGTGAAAGATGATTGATTACAGTACTCGTATTGATTGACAGGGAGTGGATTGAGGCCCAAAAGGCAGCGAGTGACGTGTGAATCCAGTGTCCATTATTGCAGTCATCCCCAGTGAGGCGGCGGGTGATGCCCCCATCAGTGCCAGTGATGCCAATAAAGGTCCATGGCCAGCCTCTGGCGGTGCCAAGCCATTGACGAAGGCAGATGAAGTTTCTAGTGGCATCCAGAAAAGCGCATGCCGCTGCCGTGCGAGGCAACGAATTTTTGCTGATTGTCTACTTTTCCCATTTCCCCCCAGCGTACAGGTGGTGTCGACAGGCATTGCTGATTTCTTCCATTCCTAGATCGGAGTGTTGCACATACAGACAAATCCTTCTTTGGTTTCTCTAGCTCTACACTGCTGCGATCCCTAAGGGTTCCAATCGTCCTCCGACTCGATCCGCCGTTCTTAGACCCTGCCAACAAAAACACCAGCGATCATGAGTGTCGTCGGCATAGATTTTGGTGCTCAGAGCACAAAGATTGGTGTCGCGCGGAACAAGGGTATAGATATTGTGAGTCTTCTCTCTCGTCCACTCCGTCCGCAGCAGACTAACATTCAATAGATCACAAATGAGACCTCCAATCGACAGACACCGTGAGTACCTCATTGTTATGTCTTTCTGGCTGCTCTATCCTAACAATCATCTATAGATCACTTGTCGGCTTTGGTCCCAAGAGCAGATACCTGGGCGAGGCTGCGAAGACCCAAGAGATTTCAAACCTCAAGAACACCGTCTCCTCGCTGAAGCGCCTCGCTGGCCGAACGATCAATGACCCTGAAGTCGCCATCGAACAGCAATACATCACAGCTCCCCTCGTTGACGTCAATGGACAAGTGGGTGCGGAAGTAACATACCGAGGGGAGAAGCAGAAGTTCAGCGCCGTCCAGCTGATTGCTATGTATCTGGGGAAGATCCGAGACACCGCAAGTCACGAATTGAAGCTGCCTGTCGCGGATGTGGTCCTCAGCTGCCCGCCATGGTTCACAGACGCTCAGCGGAGAGCCATGTCCGATGCCGCTGATGTCGCTAGCCTGAAACTTCTCCGACTCATCAATGATAACACCGCCATCGCACTTGGATACGGTATCACCAAGTCGGACCTTCCAGAAGGTGACGCCAAACCTCGTCGGGTGTGCTTTATCGACATTGGCTACAGCGACTATACCTGCTCCATCGTCGAATTCCGCAAGGGTGAGCTTGCCGTCAAAGCCACCACTTTCGATAGACATTTCGGTGGTCGAAACATTGACAAGACTCTGGTTGACCATTTTGCTGCCGAGTTCAAAGAGAAGTTCAAGCTTGACATCACAACCAATGCGAAGGCCACAACTCGTGTTGCAGCTGCGGCTGAGAAGCTCAAGAAGATCCTGTCTGCCAATGCTCAAGCACCTCTCAGCATCGAATCTCTGATGGATGACAAGGACGTCCGAGCCATGCTGAAACGCGAGGAACTCGAAGAGCTCATCAAACCCCTTCTCGACCGCGTCACTGGACCGCTTGAGCAAGCCCTCGCAGAAGCCAAGCTGAAGGTTGACGATATTGACGCCATCGAGATGGTGGGTGGTTGCACACGTGTGCCTTCCATCAAAGAGCGAATCAGCCAATTTTTTGGCAAGCAGTTGTCATTCACTCTCAACCAAGACGAAGCCATTGCTCGTGGCTGTGCCTTCGCCTGTGCTATTCTTTCTCCCGTCTTCCGAGTCCGAGACTTCTCGGTTCACGATATTGTCACCTACCCCGTCGAGTTTATTTGGGAGCAATCCCCCGACATTCCAGATGAGGACACCAGCTTGACCGTCTTTAACAAAGGCAATGTCATGCCATCCACCAAGATCCTCACTTTCTACCGCAAGCAGCCTTTTGATCTCGAGGCTCGATATGCCAAGCCGGAACTGCTGCCAGGCAAGGTCAACCCGTGGATCGGACGCTTCTCAGTCAAGGGAGTCAAGGCTGACGAGAAGGACGACTTCATGATCTGTAAACTCAAGGCACGACTCAACCTCCACGGAATCCTTAACCTCGAGAGTGGCTACTATGTGGAAGACGTCGAGGTTGAAGAGCCCGAGCCAGAGAAGCCCAAGGATCCTGATGCCATGGAAACCGACCAGGCCAATGGATCTGCTGAAGCCAAGCCGAAGATGCGCAAGGTCAAGAAGCAAGTGCGCAAAGGAGATTTGCAAATTGTTGCCGGTACTTCGTCCATGAGCGACGCAGACAAAGCTGCCGATGCCGAAAAGGAGAACGCCATGTACATGGAGGATAAGCTTGTCACCGACACTGAAGACAAGAAGAACGAACTTGAGGCATTTATCTATGAGCTTCGTGGTAAGCTTGACGACGTCTATGCCGAGTTTGCCAGCCAGGAAGAGAAGGACAAGATCCGAGACAAACTCGAAAAGTCTGAGGTAAGCATAATCACTCATCGCTTCTAAGGCCATATACTAACCTCCCGTAGGATTGGTTGTACGACGAGGGCGAGGATGCCACGAAAGCGCAGTATGTCGCCAAGATGGACGAGATCCGATTCGTTGCCGGACCTGTGATTCAGAGATACAATGACAAGATCGAAGAAGAACGACAAGCGCTGCTTAAAGCTCAAGAAGAAGCAGCTGCTAAGAAACGAGCAGAGGCTGAAGCCAAGAAGAAGGCTGAGGAAGAGGCTAAGAAGGCCGAAGAAGCCAAGAAGCCTGCAGCTGAGAGTGCCCCAGACACCGAGATGAAGGACGCTGATGGCGAGGCCATCAAGCCAGACAGTGTAGAAGAGAAGTAAGAGGCCTTCAGCTCTGGCAACGAAATGGGGCCATGGGTGGTTATCATACCTCTGCCTATGAACTTACAGGATTTATGGATCGACGTGGCATGCATAGCGAATGGATACCTTTTCGGGCGTCGGAGAGGCCAATAAATAGATAGCGAATGTTGTCGTTTTACCTTGGTCATGGTGTTTTGGTAGGGTTTGACGACCAAGAAAAGATACCTCCCCCAAAGTGAATACATAGATCAATGAATTGATGGAATGCAAACCTTCAAAAGGAGAATGCCTCCGGAACTTGGGTTTTGCTGTACTAGGAGACTACAAGTAACTACCTAACCGAAGCGTAGCCGGGCCATAATGGAGGCTGATGGTCATGTCAATTCTGGGGTTCCGAGCAGGCTCACCGGCTGGACGGGCAGTCTATACCGAAGCTCCTCGTCTCAGGCCGGGTGAATGCCGATTGATCAGTAGTGTCATATGTGCTCCGTATTTATGAGGACTGATCAGTAATTCCGGTGGAAGCCAAAAATCATCTTGATGAAGCGGCCGTGAGAGGCGAAATATACTGTGATGAATCCAAGTGAGCCTCCGGTAGACGTCCAAGATGCCGAGGTAAGTTCCAGGATAGGAAAGTCCGCAGACAAATCTCCCGCAGTTCTTTAAAGATTCCCCCGGCCGGCTGCTCTTCACATTTCGCCGCTTCCTCTTTCTTTGTCCTGCATCTCGAGCCCTGTGTGCTATCCATTTCCCTCGTTCATCATCCCCCAGACACGTTCCAAGATGGCCAGCCAAAGACTAGGCTCGATTCTTTCGCATCTCACCCCAACGAAGACCGGCGTCGCTGGAATGTAAGTCTCATCTGGAGTCAATGCTTCCCCGCTCGATGTAAGTACCTGCGCTGACGTGCTGCTCTCTTCAGCACCCAGAAGAACCCGGACGATGTTGTTATCACTCTCGCTATCCGAACACCTCTTGCAAAAGGGAAGAAGGGTGGTTTCAAGGACACAGATCTTGACTACATCGTTTATGCCCTGTTGAAGCAGCTTGTGGACAAGAGCAAGATCGACCCCTCACTGGTTGAGGATATCTGTTTGGGAAATGTAAGCCTTCCTAATATTCGAAGGGTTGTGCTGTGGTTGACATACTGTATTCGTAGGTCGGCGACGCTCGAGCTGCATACAAAGTCCGCGCGGCCTCGCTTGCCGCTGGATTCCCCCATACCGCAGGCGCCAGCAGCGTCAACCGATTCTGCTCCTCCGGCCTGAAGGCTGTGCAGGATATTGCCAACCAGATCTCTAATGGCAGCATTGAAATTGGTATTGCCATGGGTGGCGAGAGTATGACGAACAACGGAGGCGGGGATCTGCCTTTCAGCCCCGAGGTCATGGCCAACCAGGAAGCCGCGGACTGCACACAACCTATGATCCAGACGAGCGAGAACGTGGGTAATGACTTCAACATCTCGAGGCGGACCCAGGACGAGTATGCCTGCGAAAGTTTCCGACGAGCCGAGGTCGCGCAGAAGGCCGGCTGGTTTGACGATGAGATCGTGCCCATCGTGACGAAGATCAAGGATCCCAAGACTGGAGAGGTCAGTGAGGTCACTCTGACCAAGGATGAGGGCCCTAGATATGGGACGACCGTGGAGAGTTTGCTCAAAATCAGGCCGGCTATGCCACAGTTTGGAGACAAGACTAGCGGTGGCAATGCTAGTCAGGTTACGGATGGTGGTGAGTATATATCTATATACCCTAACTTGGAGGTCGAGGGGTGACTGACAGATCACAGCTGCCGCCATCCTGCTGATGAAGCGTGCCAAGGCTATTGAGCTCGGCCAGCCGATCATGGCCAAGTTCTGCGGTGCAACTATCGCTGGTGTGCCACCCAGGATCATGGGCATTGGGCCCAGCGCGGCGATTCCCAAGCTGCTCAGCAAGTTCCAACTCACCAAGGACGACATTGATATTTTTGAGGTCAACGAGGCTTTCGCGTCCATGGCCGTGTATTGCTTGAATGTGCTGGGTTTGGATCATGCGAAGATGAACCCACGCGGTGGTGCAATTGCCTTGGGACATCCTTTAGGTGCGACGGGTGCAAGACAGATTTGCACGATCTTGAGTGAGGCTCGGAGGACCAAGAAAAAGATCCTGGTGACGAGCATGTGTATCGGCACGGGCCAGGGCATGGCTGGGTTGTTTGTTAATGAGCAGGTGTAGATGGGGTCTCGATGGTATTGGCACGGCAGTGCTGGTGATTTTGTTCTGGTTCAAAAGCACATAGCGAATGATTTTGTGGCACTTTCTGACACGAGTGTCATCCTCTTTCGCATCTCACTTTGCAACTCAAGGAACTTTGGAGGCCTAAGATCGCTGACTGGGATAAAATCGTTGAGTGATATTCCAAGTTATTATGATTTCTTACATTGCCGCGCCGGAGACGTTTCCATCATCTGTTGACTAATAATACCCCTATATTTCCGCCGCCTTACTTGACAACCCTTTCTGGCCCTCTACATCTCTCTCTCCCCATGCCCGCGATCGGCTGTCGTTCATGGTACGAGACTTTTATGTAGCGATCCTAAATCGTTGCGTCTGCTCGGTCCAAGGTCCAATCCTACCAATGGCGCGATCATCTAGGGAATGGGCTGTCCGCAGTGGCACAACGCCAGCAAACTTTGTGCTGACACGTGCCGAAAACACACCTTTCCCACGTATTCGGTTGTCGGGGGCAGTTACAGCATTTCCATCGGGCACCGAGGATCTCGAATCGACAGCCGGGTTTCCTGCACCGAGACGCCGTCTGATTCGAGATAGTCCGAGTAATACCTGTGCGACAGATCCTCTTGGAAGACTGAGCTCTGTCACAGAAAGTGTAGGTGGTCTTTCGATGTGTACCGCAGCGATAGATGGTAGTAAAGGCCCGGCATCCACAAGGCATCGTCAGTGCTTTCCGGGGGAGATACCCGACTGAAGTAAGGACCAGACAGAATTTCGAGGCCGGGGAGAAGTCTTTGTGCTTGACGAAATGTCGGCTGGGTACATGACCACTTCGCGGGATCCCAGTCGTTTATATTCATGTAGATTCCGTGGATGCAAACCTGCGCCTTTCTGGCCAGCTTGAGGCCCTCGATATCACCGTTCACTTGACCTGTGGTGATACGGATGAACATCGCCTAGCGCAGGCTTGACCCAATAGCCGGCCTAGACAGTGAGTTGGCGCTCGACATCAGTAAAGCAGCTGCATCTTGTGGCGATGAACTTGAAACAGAAGAGGGGCTGCAAATATTCGACGCGCCATTACGAACCCTGCTGCATGTACTATGGTAGCCAGCCCCGTGGGCATACGTACTGGGGTCTTTAAGGGCAGATCGATCCCAACGTGTGATTATGGTTTCAGGCATGGCCTGAAAGCGCTGACCGAATGCAAGAGCTTTTGTCTGAACATCGAATGCGTAAGCGGTAGCCGCACTAAAGGACCAATACCGCAGTTCGGACAGCCCAATGGTACCGGCATAATTCTGAGTAAATTGTAGGCCGTACATCGTGAATTTCGCGTTCCCATCAGCCAAGAGGACGCTCGAAGAATGGACGCGGTTATTGTGCTGCGCTGACTAATAAGACGCGGGGAGAATGCCAAGAATACACCCCAGCGTCTTTGCCTCAAAACGCTTACCTATTTTGATTTAGCTCATGTAGGCTGGGTGAAAGCGTGGCTACTAATCCTGTCGCCCTTCCCCTGCAAACACAACATCACTTTCCAGCGGTTTCAACAAGTAGCCCCGCGCGAAGGCCTCGAACCTTGATGTAGGCGTCCATGTTCTACATAGTCAGCAATCTACCGGCAGATGACATCCTTGACCGCGATCTCTGCACCAGATTGTAGGACCACGCAAAATAGTTGCTGATCGAGGCGCAATGTGCCCTCCCGCAGAGACAGAAGCCTGTTCTGATTGCTCAGATCGTGAATTCCGGGAAGCCGAGTACGATGGCATTGAGGTCAAAGAGGTCATGTCATCGTCTGATGATTGTCAGATCGTGTTGACTCGCAATCGCATTCGCTTCATTCTGGTACTGGTGCGGCCTACAGACCCAACTGACGGCGATATCATGGCGAAGTGGTTTCAGAAGATTGAAGAAGCTGAGACGGATGCTGACGAGATGGCGTACGAGACATGCTTGGAAGATCTTCGAGAATCTGCCATATCTGTTTGCAGAGACGTGATATATGCACTCTCGTCTTCGGTGCCAGTATCAGAAGAGGAAGCACAGTCTCTCGAAGACTTTCTTTATCCGATGACTTTCTACTTGCAAGTTGTCTCGGAGCAAGGGTCTTTACAAGCGCGCAGAATTGACGACACAGCGGAGTACGCCAATTTGTATGAACCTGTCAAACTACCCCGGATCTTTTCGTTACGACCAGCCTTAGCCCTTACATCAGCATCAGATCTGGAATTCATCGAGGACCTCTACATGGGACAAGTGCTCAAAGTCTCTCAGAATGGCAAAGTGTGTGTTTTCAAAAGCGCCCATGACGCAGCAAGGCTCAGTTGTTGAGAGAAATCCAGATTTTGCAACGAATATCTGAACAATGGGACCCAGATGACCCGGCTCGCCCTGCTGTACCTCGACTCTTGAGCTTGGTTGGAAGCCACGAACAAGTGATAGGCCTTTTAGAGGACTTTATCGATGGTGACAAGCTAAGTGAGCTTGACATAAACGAAATATCCGTGGCACAGCGACAGGAATGGAAGCAACAGATCGAACAGAACATGACACTTCTACATCAGCATTCCTTCATCTGGGGAGATGTGAAGGCGGACAATATATTGGTCGACAAACACCAACAACCATGGTTGATAGATTTTGGAGGCAGCTGCACGCAAGGCTGGGTTGATGAGCATCTGGCAGAGACGACAGAAGGGGATTTGCAGGGTCTACGCCGCTTATCAGACTACTTGGGGGTCCAACGTTAGAGGAAGACGATCAAGAAGGGATAGAGGGATTACTTAGAAAGGGGCAAGGAAGGGCACTGCAATGGACTGGCATCTGGGCATCTGGGCATCAAGAGAAGAAACTCTCCTAAAGCAGCGGCACTGACTCTAAAATTCGGCAAGAGAATTCGGTGCGCCTGCCGAATTGCAATTGGCGCGGGAATTCTTTCAACTTCATTCGCTTGCTACGTCACTATTGCGGGATCACCATCCACCCCACCATCACCATTCAAGTTGTTACCAATCTTGGTCTCAGTCTCGCTCTCGGTGTTGACGAACATTTCAACAGCTCAGCAGCTCAGCAACATGATACCAGCATTCTTATCATTATTACTGTCCGCATAGCCCAGGTTCACAATGGAGGAAGAAGTGCCTGTGCAGCATGCCTTGGCCTCAAAACCCAGAGATAAGCGTGCCTATCGATCCAGCGCCTTTCTGCAAGCCCATATCTTCTTGGGAGTCACAGTCAGTCTTCTGACACTGTATCGCTGGCCTCTCCGCTGGCTGTTGTCTGGGGCACCAGTTCTCACGTATTGTCTATGGCTGGGTGAAGCGACGGCATATCGTGTCTTACAATTCATTCCAGTCTGGACTTTGGCGACACTCATCAACTTGACTTATACCGTGGCAACAACGTCATGGCTTCTGTTCGGCTGCTATCTCCCAGTCTGTTACCTTGCCACATTCATTACCTGCCTCTACCAGTTCGACACCCCGGCTCGACTTGTTCGAAGTATGCTGGGTTCCGTTCTTGAGCAGCTGCACTTTATCAATGACAAGGTCGCTTTCTTCAACATTCCTGCACTGGAGATCGATACAGAAGTCGGCGGTCTTATGGTGATCAGAGGGCTGACTGTCTCTTTGTCCCATCTGAGCCTGGTGGCTCACGGTGTCGAGGTTGGCATCAAGCTATCAGACGATATGGAATTAGCTATCGAGGTTGATGAGGTCAACGTCAAGCTGTTTCGTCGCATCGACATTAGTGATGTCTACGCTAATATCAAGGGCGGCGAATATGAGATGACATTTGGTAGCCTCGCGGACGTACAAGCAGAAGCGAACGGGCTGATGGTCACCAACACGCCCCTGCTCGTGGCTGCAGCCAAGGATGGAAGCACGACTCAGCTGGATAAGATCCCAACGAAGGATAAGATGACGGATGGCAACCCGCCAGAGGCCGTATCGCCAGATGAGGGAATCGCTACACTCACGCAGATCAACCCCGACACTGATAAGGCGAGGTCAAGATACGAGGAGGCCCTGAAGCACATTCACGACACAAGCGCGATTAGGGAGAGCAAGCAGAAGGTTTACCAGATGCTCCGCAGAGCCACCAATGATGACAGCCGCACCTTTCGACCCGATGATGCAAAGGATATGAGAGCGGCCATTTGCTCCAACCTGCATGACAGGGCTTCTGTTCCGCATCCTCCGTCGCGTTCGGTCAAGGTCACTACACTTCAAAATATGACACCTCCAAAGGTCAGGAAATTCATGCACAGACTGCCATTTCTGATACGCCTGTTGTTGAACCCAGTAGCATACTTCCACACCATTCATATCAGCTCCATTACCGCCGGTGGATCCGGTAAATGGCTGCAACATCTCCTGCACGAGCTGGTCTTCAAGGATTACGCCGAGAAGGATGTTGGCATTGCGAAGCTTGAACGACGCATCTCAGGCTGGCTGTCGGATGCCAATTTTGTGCTGCAAGTTGCCAATATCGTTGGCATAGCACAAGTCCCGATGTCGACAGTATTTGACATCACGACGCAAATGCGATTCGATGATTTGATGGCCTACAGGACGTTGCCCAAGCAAATCGACTTGAAACAGGTGGTTCGACTAGGCGGCGCCGATGCTTCGATCACAGTACCCTCATTCCTTCTTCCTCATCACGAACATATCCTTCCACCGTGGCCGACTCAAGAAATGCAAGAGCAAAAGGAGGCGCAGGTCGCTGAAGCCGACGGAATTCCTAAGCAGATCCAAGCGGAGCAGGAACTGGCGCAGACTCGGAAGGACGAGACGAATCTGAAGCTCTCAGTGCACGCGCGCCTACCGGCAGTGTTTGACCAAGAGCTCCTCGATTTCGTTGCTGCCCTGATAAAGGCCACCAAGATTATCGAGATGGAACGCGGCCCGGATATTGCAGCTACGGCAACTGCTGCGGCGCTGTCCGGGTATGCGGATGACTCAGAGAGCGAGACAGAACAGCCGAAGCGTAGTTTCAAGCAATTCATGGGGAATCTGGGAACCGAAGCGAGGACGCTGGGCACGGATATGAGGAAGGGCATGAGACGGGCTGCAGTCGATGCGGTGACGAATGATAGGTGGATTGCGAAACTGGTGGGGAAAGTCACCAGGAAGCTGGAAGTGGCCAAGGGCGATCTTGGATATTCTGGGGATATTCCTATACAGCTGGCATCATACAGAGCACTGGCGAAGGAGGAGAAGACGAAGTTGTTGCCGTAGCACCACTTGTTTTCTGAATCATCAGCACAGAATTGGTGGTGAGGTGGAGACTAACAAAGCTGACTGACTCCGATTGGGTGTCGTGCTATTCTTCCTGATGATAGACAATGAGACCATGGCGATTGCCTACTTACGCTACCTGGTGGTTGATTGAGATGATTGATGCATGCAAAACAGGCGTGGGTCAACTAGATGCAGGTGTACACTAGACGTCATCGCTGCTTTGGAGTACAACAGACGACATGACTTGTTGTAAGGGTCTACAGATATGTTCAGTGGACACAGGAAAACGCTTGGTGTAAGTTGTGTGGGCCACGTTGAGTGTCCTCGGTCCACTTCATCGTCTTCGCTTGTACTTACGAGTAGCTTATGCGATGCATAGAACCATTTGCGGTCAACGTTGCCCAACTAAGTTAGGCTTTAACAAGGTTAGTGCCTCTGCCTTGCCTTGCTGCCTGCTCACGTCGGGGTATCGAAGTGCCTCCTCCTCAGGCAAATCCTGCGCAGCATATAAGTGCTGGCCTCCATCTCGACATCCAAGATTTGTATCACGAGTCCCTGGACTCTACTCTCAGAAGTAGCCGATCCCTTTGCTTCGTGACTTTTGCAATTCTACCACGCGTCGGAGATTGAAGGGCTGGCCAGTACAGTACTCTGACTAAGATTCGGGCTTGTCTTGTCGTCGCGTGACCAAGAGACTTCAGGGGTACCACATCGCTTCATTGAAGGGGCTGTTCCAGGAGGCCCCGTCATGTCCTGTGTTCTCATCATCGATGATATCCCGCACATCGTCCGCTATGGCATGCACACAGACGAACCGGTCGGGGCGGAGAAGTGCTGGATCCACTTCTATCGCCAGGGAGTATGCTTTGTCGTGCACGTTGAGCATGGGAACGTCCGTGGGACGAGGTTCGCAGAACGGTGGGTGCCGTTGCTGAAGACCCCGGAACGAGCGCCCGCACCTGCGACTGGGATGCGTGCTTGGGTAAAGAGATGGGAGGACATGTGCAGACTTGTGATCACGCCGTGCCTGGGGACACTTGAACGATTGGTGGCGGTGGCTGCTTCGGCAGAGGCAGAGCCGTGGAAGACTCTGGATGGGTATTTGAACACGGTGAGGTACGAGCTTGAGATTGTCTCCGCCATGGGAGACGTGGCCGGTGAGAGTGGTGAGTGTGTGGAAGAAGCGGATGGTGTGACTGCGCGTGTCGTGAAGGGTCCTGAGCAGAAGCCGAGTTATGAGTTCTGGCCGTGTCCGGCCGAAGAGGTCGAGGAGTTGAAAATGCTGTTGCCGGATTTGAGTGCAGATGACAGATTGGCGCTTCATCATGCGAGGGATCTTGAGGTTCTCGACGCCGCTAAGGATTGGAGGGCTCCGCCGTACAAAGTGCGTGCAAAGGACGGCGAGGTGTTTTACTTGGTCAGGTGTGAGAAGAGTGCGCGGAATGTCAGCACGGGGACGGTGTCGAACAGGAGCCTGGACCGGACCAATGCCCATATCAAACTACATAAAGTTATGAGTGGATCACCGGATGGTAGTATGGTCAACGTCAACATTCCTCGTCTGAGAGGCGTGGTGCTTGCGGGTGTTGGGGCTGCTGCCGTTGTTCCGGGTTCGGGTTCAGGAAATGATGATGGTGATGGCGATGGTCAACATGTCGCTCGACCGTCTGTTGACGACAGTGGGATTGCAAGTGAAAGACCAAGTGCGCAACATACGGGGTTGGGAGTGGGAGTGCTCATCGCCGGTGTATTGCTCGACTACCTCCCGCATGCGAGAACACTAGCGGAGTTCTTGGCTCAGGCTCCGGTGCAATCAGAGAATGTGGCGATGGTGACGGCGACAGAGGGGATGAAACAGAGATGGAAGGAACAGGTCAGTACGGCTTTGAGGTATCTTCATAGTCTGCGGATCACAATGGGTGGGCATGCGATGCCCGGTTCCGGGCCCGAGGAGGATAGGATGTGGTACTACGTCAATTCGCACACGGTGATGATTGTCGAACGTGGGTATGATGCGGGTGCTAGTAGTAGCACGACGCAGCAAGGCAGATCAAGTTCGGACGTCGACGCTGGATCTGAGCCGCAAAGGGATGCCTGGCTCTCGCTTGAGGCCGGGTGCACGTTTCACGGCGAGGAGAATGAGCACGAGGGCGAAGACGAGGACGCTTTTGCTCAGGCTCGATCAATGGATTGGGAAGGCGTTGAGAGGACTTTCAACAGCTTCTGAGAGAGCATTGCTGCGAATGGCTCAGGATGGATTCTCTTGGCTGATTCAAATTCGTCCCGAGTCATTCCCCCCTGGAGAGAGGCCGAGGCGGTCTGGGATCAACTGCCGCCATATTACCTTTTACGGCAATTTTACCTCTGACCGCCTTCGTTTTGATGAGCCAGCAACGATCGATATCCGGGTATATAACATCTTTTCCCTGTCACGTGGAACTTCGATTTCTCTTTTGTATTGTATCCTCCCGTCTTGTTGCAACTACCTAGAATCCATGCTGACGGACTTGTTCAATTTTGCGAGGTACTCTCAAACGCTCACGTACTATCAGCTCGGCGTTTTACATTACTAGTACTCTGTTCGTTCCACCCACCGTCGGGCCCTGCTGTTCACCGGCTGTCACTTACTCGACCACTCACTCATAGAACTCTCTTGGGCACCAAAACCTTCCAATGGTTATGATCGCCACTTTCCCTGATCTGCCCTATGTCCTCAACCCTGTTATTGAACTTTTCCGCATCGGTTAGGGTTGTAAACGCAAATCCGCACTTGTCGTGCTCGGAGAAGACGTTCAACAGCCCGGCGGGAAGAGGGACTTACACCCATCGTGGGTGGTCGGCCGGATGGAGAATCCGGGAATACAGACATTTGCTGTGGAACTGTTGCGCACGGTCGCTCGAGTCGAAGACTAAAAGACTGGTTCGAGAGGTTGTATGGATAGGAAGGCAGATTTGGGACTGGGCGCCATTGTGTGGTGTCTGTTTAGGACCTACTGTCAGGAAATTAGGCTTGAATTGAAGGCAGTGAGATATTGTGAACTCAAGGCCGTGGGAATCACCTCCAAATGGAATTTGGGCGGCAGTTTGTGGTTAATTGAAGTGTTGGCTGATCTTGCACTGCTATCAGATGAGTTTAGCGGGCTTTTAGTGATACAGGTATGTGTTCGATGTTCCAGATTTCAGGTTCATGCAGTCTGGCTGTCGGCGAGGAGGAAAACTCCTTCTTGTAGCTGTGCGATTGTCCCCTCAGAAGAGACTCAGTATATGTCAGACCATGGCGGGCTCGTATAGGCAAGAGTCATGCAAGAAACGGTCCGGGCCAGAGCATGGAAGAAGGTACTGGTAAGTGGGCGGCCCATCAGATGATGGCCCGCCTTCTCGTAAAAAGCGAAGTCTCGTGCCCACCACCAAGAGATTCCGGGGTATTTATCTTTTCTTGACTGGACGAGGCTGCACGGTTCGAACCACGAGGAGGAAAGGAATTGAGGCGCGTGACTTTGACGCCACTCCATCCTATCTAAAGGTGACGCAGGTCCTACGGCAAAAGGGGAGGAGGGCCACGAGTTTCTTACCTGGTATATGCTGGCTTGCTTGTCATTGATGAAATCCAACGTCGAGCGTGAGAGCATCACCGTTGTCTCTCGTAGTCGTGAGTGAATGCTGTGGGGAGAAGGTGCAATTCTAAAGACAGCTTGGCAAGGCTGGTTTTCTCAGGGGTCGATCCTCCAAGAACACCAGACTCCTGGCTTCATCAAGTACTCAATCTGATCTGTCTGATAAACAGGGCTAGTAGGCCTAGGGGCAGGCCATCCTTTAGGCGTGCACATCTGATATCGACCCTCGCCGTTTTCTTCTCGGTATGGAAGGACTTGGCTCCTGACAGCATACAGATGCCAGTGGCTAGGCCACATGGGCCAGCTTGATGCAGCGGTCTTGTACATTGTATGTCCTGTCATTAGGTTTCATGGACCGCCCACTTATGGTGATTGTTCGCCAAATAACCGGCGCGAGAATTGTGCAGGCCTGTATGGCGGTGATTGTCTCGTGTCTGTCTTCCATTAAGAGATAGTGATAATTAATGTGGACATGCCTATTGCGCACGGTGAACGAAGGTTAGTGGCGTGGTGTTCATGCCTTGATGCAGTCCAGCCCCTGTGCCATTGCAGACTTCAGCGGTTTCCTGACAGCGAAGTGAATCTGAGGAGTCAGTCAATGGGAGCAACTTGAACCGGGAGGCCAGCTGAAGGCTGGTGGTTCAGCCTCGTTCAGCCTCGTCAAGCGCGGTGCCAAGCCTGCGCCCCGCAAAATTTCAGAGATGGCCCAAAATTTTTGGTTGCGCGATGCAGGCTTCTGAATCCCGCGTAAATCACAACTTACTTGCCTACTGCTTGTTTGCCATAGTAGACAAGTCTGAGAGCATAGTCTTTGTTTCTCGTGTTACTGCTCTATCAATTCCAGGTTTCCTCCCGGCGCAGATTGTCTCGCCCGCTCAGCACCCTTCCCAGACAGTCCTCCCCGCACCGCTGAGCGTTCTGCTCGCCCAGCGACAAAGATGGCTGAAGAAGCTGTCACTGATGCCCTCCAAACTCCTGTCGACCACAATGCACAAGCTAGTGAAGATGCAAAGAAGTTGCTAGCTGAGTTGCAAGGCGACTCCGAACAGCCAAAAGACGTCTATGGTACTGCGGAGGGTGAGAAAGCAGAAACCGCTGCAGACAAGACCAACGAGACTACCAAAGACGCATCTGATGATAAGAGAGAGGATGGTGATAGACGTCGTGAACATCGCCACGAACGATCAGACCGTGGTCGTGGTGGTCGAGGTCGAGGCCGAGGTGATCGAAACGGCCACGGACCTCGCAACTACCGCAACAACATCAAGTCCGATTTCACTCAACAGGAAATCAGCAGTGATCCAGTAGCCATCCGCAAACAGGTACGCCTATTCTGATACCACAGAAGCAGACCCATGGCATGCTGACTTCACATAGGTTGAGTTCTACTTCTCCGACTCCAATCTGCCAAAAGATAAATTCCTCCGTGAATCGGTCCGTGAGAGCGAGAACAACTCAGTCGAACTAGCAAAGATCTGCGACTTCAAACGCATGCGCCACTTCCAGCCACTCGAGGCAGTTATTGAGGCATTGCGGGAATCAACTTTTGTCGAGCTCACAGACAATGACACCCGTGTCCGACGAAAGGAGCTGCCAGCGGATTGGGATGATCCAAACAAAATCACCGTTTTCGAAGACGCTGCCATGCCCCGCAGTGTCTATGTTAAGGGTTTCGGTGAAGAGGTCCCAAGCACACAATTCGACATTGAGGCCTTCTTTGCTGAATACGGTCCCACCAAAGCAGTCCGTCTGCGACGCACCAATGATAAACTGTTCAAAGGCAGCGTTTTCGTCGAGTTCGAGACAGAAGAATTGCAGAAAGCGTTCCTCGAGTTAGACCCGAAGCCGAAGTTCAAGGGCAATGACCTGCAGATCATGAGCAAGAAGGAGTATTGCGAAAAGAAGGCGGACGACATCAAAGAGGGCAAAATTCAACCTAATCAGAGATACGACCAGGGCAGACGCAATGACCGTAGTGGTCGAGACTCCAGACGCAAGCGAGAGGCCGAAGACAATCGAGACTGGAGAACCCGCCGAGATGAGGACAGAAAGCGTGGTTTCGGAGATGAGAAGAGACGTGGTGATCGTGATTCGCGGGGTGGCAGAGGTGGCAGATCGTATGAGACTGCAAAGGATGACCGGTCAGTTGCATCAGTTGTACTCCAGATTTGGACAATCACTAACGTAGATGGCAGAGGAATTCCCACCGTCAAGTCTTCGTCTGGACCAAAAGACTCTGGCCGCGATGATGCGCTCGCGAACGCTAGAGCAGCTGTTGCAGCAGAGAACAAGAAGGAGCAGGAGAAACAGGTGGCTGCGGACAATGTCGAGTCGACAGAGCAGAATGGTGCGGCTGATGCTTCGACAGCGACCGCAGGCAAGAAGCGAGCTAGAGAGGACGATGACGGAGGGCGAACGAGAGACGAAGAAGGTTGATGTCAAGCAGGAAGATGTTCCCGCGCCAGCATCGTGATCCAGATGCTGTCCATGATTGCGTTCTGGTGTGGACGCGGACAGGAAGGGATATGGAAGAAAAATCTTTGTGGGTGGTGAACACCTTTTATCTCTGCGTGCTGAGCTTAGGGAGCAGTTGTCTGTTTGCCCAGGAATGGATTGGCTGGATTGGTGTTGACAGGTTGGCCCACAGCAAGCATAGCATATGTACTTTTTTTCAGAGACACAACAGCATGACTGGCTGATACGCACAACACACGTGCATTGCATAGGGCATTAGATCAATACTAGTACTCTCGTCACCATCGATCTGTGCCGAGCATGTTTTTTGCTACACCCAATATCAACATGCGCCGCCGATTGCACGGCGCGGTTTGCAAAATGCTCAAAAGCAAACACTTTTCTCTTCTTCACTGCTCTTTGCACACCCAATCACTTCACTTCGTCAACACCGTCTTTTATTGTCACTACATGATTGATTGTGTGAGACAAAGAATCATCGAGTGTCGACGAGTGCCCTTCCTTCACGAAGTATTATCCTTGTATGTCGTATCCCGGAGTTCTTCCGACACCCACAGTCATGTCACGGGACTGTCCAGATGCAAATCTGCCAAGCGAATTTGCTGTGGCCATGGCCCTCCCCGAACCGTCCCATATTCCTCCCCTCAGCCTCGACCCGACCTACGAGACTCGGATCGACAATAATCTCAAACCCGGTCTGAATGCACTTCCCATCGAGGCACCAAAAACCTCTTATCCTTGGACTCAAGAGTGCGAATGTGGCGGCATAGGAGTCCACACCCATCAAGCGACGATGAACGGGGCCGGTAGCGGTGATGCTCCAGCCAGGCGCATAGGCCGTCTACCCAACTTTGTCCAAGTCGCAAAGAGCTATGTCTTCGAACAACAGATCCAGAAGTCTTTACATGATACCGGTGTCAGCCAAGCCAGAGAGGACAGTATCAGACTGGCTGGAGTGCAATGGATCGACAATGTCCGAAGGGCTTTGAAATTGTGAGTTTTTCACTGTCCATCTCGCCGTCCTGAGGCTCTCAATCTGCAGTCGGCCTCGCGGATCGTGTGATATGTGGTGCACTTTTGGAAGCAGTTGCTGATGATTGAACAGACCAGTCAAGACATTCAACACCGCCGTGGTATATTACCACAAATTCCGCCTTCAACACTCGGATGGAGAGTACAGTTTCGTGGTAAGCCTCATTTCCCACAGCGCTCGCGCAGTGACATCGATCTAACAACATCACCATACAGGATGCCGCTGCAGCAGCACTCTTCACGGCTTGCAAGATCGAAGACACATTAAAAAAATCACGCGACATCCTCTGCGCCGCACACAATCTCAAGGTCCCTCGCCATGAGCATTTATCTCCTGATGACGCGGTATGTTTCCTCCACCACCCCATCTCTGCCCTCGCCTACTAGTATTAGTGATACCTGATGAGTGAGGTGAATTCTGACCTGTGGCCGGGCAGGCCTTCGAGCATCAATCACGCAGCGTCATCGGCCTGGAACGCCTCATGCTGGAAGCATCAGGCTTCGATTTCCGCAATCGCCACCCACAGGACCTGATGATCAAAATCGCCAAACTCTACAACTTCCAACGAACCTCCCCTATTGTGCGTACTGCGTACAGCATGTCTCTCGACCTGTACCGCACATTCGCACCCCTCAAGCAGCAGACGGCCGCACTGGCGTTTGCGTGCCTCGAATTATCCGGCCGCTTGCACGCCATTGAAAATCCCCGAATCTGGAACGGTGATGACTACGCGTCTTGGAAGATCGACAGGGGCATGGTCATGGAGACCATGCTCGACTTGTTGGAGTTGTACACTCACCATCGCACCTCGACGGCCGTGGGCCCCGATTTTCCGGTCGACACCTTCCTCACCGTGCGGATCCCGTTGAACGTCGAGAGCGAGGAGAAGAAGATCTCACGATACACGGAGTGGGTAGATGGTCCGGATGGCAGTGGGTCTGGTGATGGGCGTGGTGGTATCAATAATGGTAATGGCGTGCGGGCGATGAATGGCTCGCACAATGGTTCGCGCAGCTCGAGTAAGAACGTGAGTCCCAAGGATGTCACCAGCCCGAGTACGAATGCGAGCAGTGTGAGCACGGCGCCGACGAGTGTCCCTGGTGGTGGTGGCGCGCTGAGACAGCGGATGGGTGAGCGTGGACGTGAGGGAACGGTCCGATTCATTCTCAATCCCGGAAGAGAGCGCGAGGAGAGAAGTATCGTTGAGTTGTTCCGCAAGGATTGAAATAATTGAATTGGCGAAAGTCGAGCGAGCAGAGCAGAGCACAGCATAGCATAGCACGGGGAGATGGCGGTCATCCTAAGTTGGACCTAGCTATCTACTATCGACACGGGAGTTTGGAAACGAAGATACGGGCATGGGTTGTTCGGCAGACGCCACGGCCGTCATGGGTTTGGTATGAGGCTGGAAATCTTTGCTGGATGGAGCATGTCTGTGACAACAAGCGTGGCGTTTGGTGTTGAGCATTTGAGTACCTGTATCTCACGGAGGCTTCCTACGTTTGAATCGGGTCTGTGTGTTTCCAATAACCACACAGGATGACAGAATCTTCCCTTACAAAGCTGAGGTATCCAATGCTACTAAGCGTCCCCTCCGCCTGCAAATCCAACATCATAAACGCGACACAAGTCCAAGGTCACCACGTATATCACGCCTACAAACTCGCCAGCATCCCGCTCAAATCGCCTTTGCTATACTTCACAACCTTGCCCTTGCCCTTATCCACTTCATGATACCTGTCCCAGAACCTAGCATAAAGTGGCTCAATCAACGCCGTAATCTCCCTGCTAATATACGTCCGCACCTCGTTCTCCATATGCAAACTCTTGTGTCTGACCACCAACTCGTCAAAGCTCGTATTGAATATCTTAAACTTCTCTTTGATCTTGTCCTTGTCTTTGCTGTTCAGGGATTTGATGATGCTCGTACTATCGATCGCTTGGCCTGGACCTTGACCGGACATTGGCCTCGACCCGGAGGTGTGGATGGTGTCAAAGAGGTGCATGCTCGCCTCGCGCCAGGCCGTCATGTAGAGTTCCGTCGCCCGCTTGCGGAATTTGTCGAGTCGCTCGTTGTGTGGTGTGATGCCGATGTAGCGCACAAGGTCGGGCGAGGATTGGACGCTGCGTGCCAGCACGGCGGCGCTGTTGAGCTGAAATATGCCCTGCATGGGCTTCTTGGGGTGCAGGCTTTGGGATCGTGTGTTGAGCGTCGTCAGCAAGGCGTCGACGATGTCGAGCAAGTAATGAGAAAGGAGGTTCGGGTTCTCGGTCGACGGCGTGAGTTCGAGGTTCAGACTCGATTGGGAGGCTAGGCCTGTGCCTGTGGTGGGGTTCTTCCAGTTACCCTCGCCGATGGACGAGAGGAGGGCCAGAAGGGGCCGGTCGAACAGCGCGAGAGTCTGGAGGCGTTTGGCCGTTTCGGGCACGAGGGGTATAGTTTTACCGTCGGGTGGGAGTGTCGATGTTGATTCTGCCTGGCGTCTTGTTTGGGTGATGAGGTCGCTTAATGAAGAGCGCGATGTTTCGCGGAGAGGCCGGAGGGCGTCGGCGAATTGCGAACGGAGCTGGCCTGTCCGGGATTCGAGACGGTAGCTTAACGGGGTGATGAGGTCGAGGATCTCGTAGGCGAGGAAGCAATCGGTCAGGATGCGGGATTTGATGAAAGTGTTCATTTCGGAGAGGGTGCGTGCGAAGGTTGATAGAGCCTTTGAGCAGGTCATGCTGAAAACGCGGCCTGCGTCGTTGCGGAAGATACGAGATGTATTCTCGGCTTCGGCCAGAAACATGCCTTCAATGGCGTTGGCGTAGGCTCCTATGCCACTGGAACCTTCGCGATAGATGGCTGTGTCGTTGGCTCGGCGCTTGGAGGTGCTGATCGAAGCCGTTGAAAGATTCTGGAGGCTGGAGTTCAGATAGTCTCCTCTTACTTCGGCGTACATACGGGCTGCAACATCCTCGTCGCGTTGTCCTAGCCTGGCAGAGTGTGCTCCACCCGAGGCGATGGCCATAGCCACTTGGCTGAGCGTCTGGACCTTATCTTGGGACATTGTTGGGAAGGGGATCTGCTTGGTGATGAAATGCAGGGGTTCGACTGTGCTGGCATCTTCCTGGAGCATTTGTCGATACAGGTCGTTCAACTGATTGACGCCGGTCAACAGCAGGTTGTGGAATTCCGAGATTGCTTGCTGGTTCGATCTCAACCCGGAAGAGTTCAAGTCGGTCAAGGCCTTGTCGACGCGCTTGAGAGCTCCAAGATATTGTGGCAGTCCGGCACCTTTTGGACCTTGCCGGATGATATTCTCCTCTCGACCTCGGGCATCTAGAGGTTGGCGGAGTTTCTCAATAGCTTCATTTACCCTGTCGATGTTCCGGCTCGTAACCTGGAGCTGCTCCGTATTGCCATATATAGGTCCGATGGCGTCCTTGACGATTTTTCCACTGGCATCCAACCGAGATAGGCTCGCGGCTATTTTCTTCGAAAGGTCCTTGGTCTTCGCTAGGGATGCTAACAATACTTCCACCTCCGCACTTTCTTCTGCAAAGGCGGCGTTCCTGGTGGCTACCATGTTGGACTATTGAGATGCTGTGTCCTATTGATTTCCCGAGGCTTCAGTAACGTGACCGACAGCACAGTCCTGCAACATTTCGACCATGCTAGACATGTATACTGATGATAAATGATATGGGTTTGAAGGAGTAAGTAACTTGTAGGAATAGTCACAGCGGATAAAGCAACCGTCCTCACCGAGCCGAAACCACGCTTTGTCCCTTTTCGGCCTAGTCAGGAACCTGCGATTCGACCAATATTGCGACGTCATTTTCATGCTCAACAAAAGGCTGCAATGCGCAAGAAACAAGAATTGGAAAAGAGAAGCGCAGACCTTCTGTTTCTTCTCTTTCTAGCATGGAAGTTGACGTCTGTTAATACCATCTTTCTCGCAGCGCTCTCATCGCTATGAGCGCTGCAAGGCTCCTCAATCCCTGCCATTTCCGCTACACAGCTCTCGCCGCTGCTGCCTACGCCGGAGCACATAGCGCAAATCGAAGAACAGGCGTCGCCAGACTCGACAGCCCGCCAGGCGCCAATCTCCCGCAAGATGCCGACCTGGTCGCCTATGGCCAGCGCTTGCAGAGCAACTTTCCCCGCGAAGACCCCGAACGTGCCACCAAGCGAGGCGATGCCGAAGTCATTGGTAAGACGAGTGATCCCGACCAGTATTCCCCGGGCTTTGAAGACGACGACCAAAACACGTGGTCCTTATTCTCTCGGAACTTCAACAATGTAAGAGAAGGGATAGCGAGGATACAATGGAGCACTTTGGGCGATAAGATCACGGATTTCGTCCTTCCAACATGGGCAAAGACCCTGCCGGAGAGCATCCAGAAGCTGCAGGCCGAGTTGTCGATGCAGCCAGGCTCCTTAGCGGACGACATATGGAAAGAAGCGCAGGATCCCTCCATCAACCCTGAGATCCTATGGGACGCGACCGTACGTGTGAGCCGTTGCTTGGGTTGGGACGAGCTGAACTTTCGGCGCAAGAGGAAGGAATACGTCACAAAGGCATTGGCAAAATATCTGGAGATTGACGAGAAGGAAATACACCCCGATGATGTGCCTACAATTGCAATGTGTGGGAGTGGCGGTGGCTTGCGGGCCATGGTCGCTGGAACCAGTAGCTACATGTCTGCTCAAGAGGCGGGTCTGTTTGACTGCGTGACATACACTGCTGGGGTCAGCGGAAGTTGTTGGCTGCAGACACTCTTTTACTCGTCACTTGGGAAACAAGATCACAAAACCATTCTGAAGCACCTGAAGTCCCGGCTGGGAACACACATTGCATTTCCTCCGCCAGCCCTGAAGCTACTTACCAGTGCGCCAACGAACAAGTTTATACTCAGCGGTTTCGTTGAGAAATTGAAAGGAGATCCAGGTGCATCGTTCGGATTGGTTGATATTTACAGCCTCCTACTTGCGGCACGGCTACTTGTTCCTCATGGTGACCTTGATGTCCACGACTACGATCTGAAACTGTCAAATCAGCGCGTGTACATCGAAAACGGCCAATATCCGATGCCCATCTACACCGCGGTACGACATGAGATACCAGTCGAGGAGGTGAAAAAGGAAGAAGCCAAGGGCAATTACGCTCTGAAGCAGAACGTAGAAGACAAGGCCCGGAAAGAAGCGTGGTTCCAATGGATTGAAATGCATCCATGGGAAGTCTGGTGCGAAGAGTTTGGAGCCGGCATTCCAACATGGAGCCTGGGTAGACCCTTCTACAGGGGCCGGAACCAGATCATCGACACTGGCGTCGCGCTGCCAGAAATCAGACAAAGTCTTCTACTTGGGATATGGGGCTCCGCTTTTTGTGCGACTCTATCTCATTACTATAAGGAAGTCAAACCTGCGCTGGCCGGAATATTGGAGTTCGCCGGACTCGATGGCCTGATAGAAGACAAGAACGACGATCTCATCAAGATTCACCCGATCGAACCGGCCACCATACCGAACTACGTCTACGGCATGAAAGATCAATTACCATCGACATGTCCAGAGTCCGTCTTCAAGAGCGACCATCTCCAGATCATGGACGCTGGCATGAGCAATAACCTCCCCATTTACCCGCTTCTCCGACCCGGTCGAGACGTGGACATCCTCATTGCATTCGATGCCTCCGCAGACATTCAGAAAGAAAATTGGCTATCTGTAGTCGACGGCTACGCCAAACAGCGTGGGATAAAGGGCTGGCCCGTAGGCGCTGGTTGGCCGAGATTAATGGCGAAACCACAAGAAAACGCGAAAATTCTGGCCGAAGCCCAAGCGGCTTCGTCACAAGAGGCTGCTACGAAGCTTGCAGAAGTGAAGGAGGAAAACAGCCGGGGGAAAGCCACGAGCGACATGAAGAGTGATGTCCCCGAAAGTCCGACGACCGGTAAAGAGCCTGACGCAGAGTCTACTGAACTGGGTGCTTGCAATGTGTGGGTTGGCACGAAATCAGAACGTACATTTGAGGAGGAACCTCCGCCCAGCAAACGGTTGGCATGGGACAGTCCTGACGACGGCACGTTCCATCTGATGCGACCAGAGGCGGGAATTGCAGTCATATACTTCCCGCTACTCCCAAACAAGAAAGTTTCGGGTGTCGATCCGGATACAAGCGATTACATGAGTACGTGGAACTTCATATATACGCCGGAGCAGATTGACAAGGTCGTGAGTCTGGCGAGGGCCAACTTCGAGGAGGGCAAAGACGTGACCAAGCGAACTGTTAGGGCCGTATATGAGCGCAAAAAGAAGGTACGAATGGAACGGGAGGAGAGGCTACGGATGAAGGCATGGAAGAAGGCTGTGAGGAAGGAGGGTGATCATTTTGGGGTTTCGTAGCAAGATTCGTGTCTAGAGTGAAGAGACGGAAAGGCAACGAAGAGATATACGAGGGCCGCATAGATGGACGGACGATACTAGGCCTGCATCAGTGGGAGAGGAGGTGAAGCGTTCGACGCAAGACTAATATTTTGTTTAGGAAGTCGTGCGAAGCCGCTTCGTCTAGCAATCCAAGTTTGGAGTACTTTCCATGTATAGAGATAGCCATAGACTACTAGCACTCAATTTGAAGGAATGGATATTCAACCCAGTCCGGGCAGTGAGAAGAGATACGAAGTACGGAGGATAACCAGGCGAATTCAGAATCCTAAGTCCTCCGTCCGTGAGAATCGTGACGATTCCCCCTCCTCTCCTTAAGGGCAGCATCAATAACCCTGTTCCGTTGAGATGCAACCGGACAGGATCTTTCCAAACCTTGGAGCCTTGCCCACACGGTGTCTGTGTCTGTGTCTAGGGTCCACTACCTACCACCCAAAGAGTTCTACCGCACGCTGCCGCCATATTCCCTTATATGGCAATTTCACCTGCCCGATTCGGCTGACCGCTTTTGTTTTGATCAGCCAGCATCGATCGATACTCGGGTATATGATTTCTTTTCCTAGTCACGTGCCAGCTCGCTTTCTCTTTTGTACTTGTATCCTCGCCTCTCACTTCGACGTGGACTTCACCCATCATAGTGACCCTTCCTTTTTTGTGAAATGTACTCTGTGCATCCTCCTGCGACAATGATCATACGCTTCTCAAAAGAGTGAACTGGAGTAAAATGAGCGCAAGAGAAGCGAGCGATGGAAACGCGGGCTGCCCCTTTGGACGCCTGCTTCTCGACATTCAACAGTTACGCAGTGGGTGGCCGCATCATCAAGACGTCGTAGTCCACGCCATGACCTGCGCCGCCAATATCTAAACATACTAGCATGGATATCAAAGCCTTGAATCCTGCACATCCTCTCACTGTGAGCTTCCAACTCCGCGCGGCTTGATCTAATGCAATGTTCGCTGCATCGCTGATGTCTTATCTTCCTTACGAGGCGGATCTCTTCCGGACGCGCTGAACTGTCCGCGCCCTCAACTTCATGTTTAAAACTCACGACCAGCCCTATCAATCACTTCTGGCTCCCGTGCCTTTCTTGTCACGCGATGCCGTCAAATGACCACAAAAAAGCCTCGAACGTGACCATGTAGCCGCCTAACCAGCCCGAAGCTAGGAATGTGAGAAAGGGGTCAATTGAGCAAACGGTTCGATGTGCCGTCCTGTCGGGTGCTTTTCTGCCCTACAGGGCGCGAAGTAGGAGGTGCACTGCTGCCCTGGCGAGAGTTTTGACCGACATGGAGGACAGTCTTCGTGGTTGTGGGGCAAAAGAAGGAATCATTATCCCTGGCTCAACGATGTCTCGAGACGTTGCTGCCTACAGTCACTCGTTGCTCGATATCAAGCAGATGTGAGTGTATGGAATGCTGGTGTTTTCGAAACGATCATGTCTTCCACCATTCCAAGTTCACACAGGAGGATCACCTTCGCCCTTCTTGTTCCCTTTGATCGACTCGACAAACTCCTTGGCCCACTCTTTGGCCTTTTCGAGTCCGTCGTGGAGGAATTTCCACCAGTTACTCTTTGACTTGTCGGGGTCGTCGGGGTCGTCGGCATCATTTTCTGGCTCACCGGGCTTTTCAGGTTCTGTCGCATCATTGACATCAGGTGAAGTGTCATCTTGTGGACCTTCCGGCTTTAACTCGTCTTCTTGTTTGTCCTCGTCAACCGGATCTGCAGGAGTGCCTAGCGCTGGCGCATCGGCGTCACTGTGCAGACCCTGTGTCTTAAGCGGAAGCCGTAAGGTTCCGTTGTTTGGATGAGGCACAACCCCTAGTGAGTCACAAACAATGTTGTACACCTCAGTATTCTGGAAGGGTGCAAGTCTACTGTTGGGTTCATGTGGGAAAGCAGGGCCTCGAGCCACAAAAATCGCTCGCATCAGGGGATGCTCGTGGTCGTAGCCATGTAAACCCTTCGGCTCGTACTCTTTACCGGTAGCAAGTGCTTCGGCTACGTCAAAATCCGACTTCTCAACCACGGCCCAACCGGTCTTTGGGACGATCCACAGCGGAGCTATTCTGTCGTTGTTGGAGAAGTGATAGCGTTCAGGCATCGTATCGAGAGTGTAGACATCGAAGCTGCCTGCTTTCGAGGCTTCTTTCGACAGCTGCTCGTAGAGAATTGGGACGTCGCGATCTGGGTTCTTCAAACGCAGACCTCGCAGTGGCCATCCGTCAATGTGGTCGACCAGTGACATGTCAATCAGATTATCGAGTTGAATGAGACGATGATTCGAGGTTGTTGCCATGCCATGATCTGACACAACCACGAGGTTGATGATCTCAGACAAGTTGCGTGCATATAAGCCCTCCACGAGCTCGATGAACATGCTGTCCACGTCGGCGATGGTTGCTCTGATCTCGGTGCTGTTGGGTCCGTATTTGTGACCATCCGAATCAACATTTGGAACGTATGCTGCAATGAATTGAGGTCTTCTCTCGTCCGCTTGTTCAACGTCGTCATCGCCTGGCAAATCCAGCCACCCTAGTATTCGGTCGACTTTCCGCGTAAGTGCTTCGGATCCATTGTACTTGTCGATATATGTCGGCTCGACGTCCGGGATATGTGCTTCAGATCCAGGCCACATGTGTATGGCGGATCGTACAGCCTGATGCTCGGCAGTCACCCATAGCGGCTCGGCAGTCCACCATTTCGGTTGCATCGATACTCCAATGTTTGTATAGTAAAACTCCTCTTGGTAATCCGGGTCCCAGAATTGGTTACTGACAATGCCATGGCTTTCAGGATACAGGCCTGTCACGAGTGTGAAGTGATTAGGGAAAGTGACGGAAGGGAACGATGGAAGCATGTATTTCGGCGACACGCCGCTAGCGATGAAGGCATTGAGGGCTGGTGTCAAGCCGCGGTTGAGGAAATCGGCGCGAAACCCGTCTAAAGAGATGAGTATCGTTGTCGGACGGAAGGTATGTGTACCATTGGAGAGTGGACGTAATCGGTGGGCAGTCGGACTCAGGACGTGCCTTCGCGAGGCCTTGTATGCACCAAAGACCAGAGACACGAACAGCGCGACGATAGCGAGGTATATCAGAGTGAGACGGCCTCGATGCGATTTCGCGGGCGCACTTCTATCCCATCTCGTTCCCTCAGTCTCGGTATCTGTAGATGATTGCGAGCTTGTGTCCTTGAAACCGCTTTCCATCTCAAACATCATGTCTGACTCCTCTTTGCCACCTCTCTTGGATATTCTTGACTTGTCCTTTCGGCGCTTGTTTCTGCTTTCTCGCAGCCCCAAGGCTCCCCTGGCAGCCTCCAGTCTGCCAGGTTTGCGTAGTAGTTGTTCATGCTCTTCTGTCTCATTTAAGATATTTCTGTCCGTATCTTGGACAGTGTCAAGGCTCGTTGCCTCAATTTCGCTTTCTGACTCGGAGTCGGCATCGGAGGGAACAACAGGTGCGTCATTGTCATAGTGCTTCTCGGAGAGGAGGCCGTCCCGGTCGCGGGCCATTCTGGCAGGATGGATGAGACGGTTTGGTCCTATCTGAGAACACTGGTTTAGTCAAGACACTACCAAGCCATGATCACGATTGAAAGAAAGGATTGCATGAACGATATCGTAGTGATAATAGGATGAGGTAGATCAACATAGGAGATATCCCTTGCCAAATTATCGCGGATCATCAAACTAGGTACCCAGCGTGCCAGGTTACTCGTTGCCATTTACGGTTGGCTTCTAGAGGGTGAGCGAAGGCCGCTTTAACCTGAGCATTGAGTGAGCGCTCCCTGAGCACCCCCGGAGCAAATACTACGTTAGTACAATGGGGGCTAGTGCTTATTCTGGCCCCTTACGATCGGCTATACCTGCCTCTCGGCTAGATTAAGGTAGGTAGGCATCTGTTTCAGATGGGCTTCGGGGAACTAGGCAGACTCCCTGCCCTTACCTTGAAGCCGTCTTGAACACGCAACACTCACTTGCCAACTCCTGCTTGGATGCAATGCTTTACCATCCAACTGACGCCAGCGAAGGCGTACTAGTCTTCAGCTGCAACATGCAGCCGCAGCCTGACTCCGTCCTTGGGCTTGCCAGTTAAGGTTACGGCCCATTTGATCGGCCCTGGAGGTACGCTTGATCCATCGAGCTTGTCGAAGCGCTGTAGGAGGCGAACAATTACGTATGCGGCCTTTGTCAAAGCAAACTGTTGTCCGAGACAGATTCTGGTCGATGTTAGTACGGACTGGGTATCTAGTCGAATCACCTACCTTGGCCCACCGTTAAACGGTAGATACTCGAAGCCATACTTGTGGTTCTGCCACCGCTCCGGTGTGAACATATCCGCATCTGGGCCCCAGAAGTCAGGGTGCCTTTGCATTACATACACCAAATACGCAATCTCTGTTCCAGCCGGTATAAAAACGGGCGAAAGGCCGTCTTCGCCACCCCCGAAAGGCAGGCTGGTGTCCCTTGTGCACCGCCGTCCATTGAGAGGCACACTAGGGTAAAGCCTCAAGGTCTCATTTATACACCATTGTAAATATGAACAAGCCTTCAAGTTCGCAAAAGTGAGATTTTTTGGCGATTTGAAAGTTCCAAAATCTTCAAGAATGATTGATCGTAGCTTGTTAAATACCTCAGGATGTTGGACCAGCATGAGGAACAAGAAGCTCAGCAACGAGGCGGTGGTATCGCGCCCGGCCAAAAGAATCGACAGAAGTTGATTACGAATCTCGATAGGATCTCTAGTCTCGTGGACAAGGTTCTCAAGAAAGACGTACTTTTCTTTTTTGCTGCTCTCGACGGGATCTTGCTTTCCGTCGCGGCCTAGAGCTTTGTGCACAAATCGGTCGATGTATTGATGGCACAATCGACAGTCATCTCTATGCTTCTTCGTCAGCATCACCCAGTAGAATTCGTTTAGCAAGAGCGCCTTGGCCATGCGGTCTTGACAGGCCTCGAAAGATTCCACAAAGGCGCGGTCTTCAGCATTTTTTGCCGCGGCCTCCTCGGAGAGTGCAGAGAGTTGAATGTTTGTGCTCTCTCCAAAGAGGAATTCGCTAGCCGAGTCCATGGCGAATCGGGATATCAGAGGTTGAATGTCGGTGGTGCTCGTCCAACAGTCTGCTTCCACAGGGAGTGCGCTGAGCAAGTTTTGTACATGCTTCTCTTCCAGATCCAAGTCCTTAACCTGATCACGAGAGAATTGGGGTCGTAGAAGAGCGCGAGAGTGCTCCCATTGCTTCCCATCCGCCGAAAAGATGCCGTGGCCAAGTCTGTTTCCAGCGGTCAGCGGGTCAGCCTCTTTTCAGTGTGACGGTCTCAAGCCAACTCACAACGGAGCAAATGCGCTTATGCGGACTTTTCCCAGCTCAAAATCCTTGAACTGAGTAGCCAGAAGGGCCTGGATATTCCTTGGGTCGCACGTAAAGAAAACCCTGTCGCCCAGAATGTACGTGTCATAAGAATAGACTGTCTTGTTCATGCGTAGCGACACATCGTCGAACACGCCTCGGATGTACTCGAGTACTTGACTCTTGTTGTTTGCCCGTAGAGTCTTGATCAAGTTCACAAGCCCCAGTGGATCCGGGTTGTATTCTGTGGGTGCTGGTCTACAGCCGAGCTGACTTGCGGCTGCAGCATGGCGACGCCTTGTAGACACCGACGATATGAGAAGGTAAAGCACGAAAGCAGTGGCAACGGTACATAGCAGAGCAATCGTCAGCATGATGTTCCGTGATGCGGCTTGGTCTGGTGGACGGTATGTAATCCGCTCGAATCAAGGAGTAAGCATACATGAAGTTCTGCCGAGGAAGCGCTCCAGGGAGTGGTCTGGAAGCAGAAGGTGAACCGAGAGTGAGCAAAGGGGCGAGCGGCTAATCAAGAAGGGAGGATGGGCGACATGTTTTTCGCACGACAATACTACATAGCTTAGGTGCTAGGTAGGTAGTCCTAACCTGTCCTCCCTCCAATTAGCCGCTCGCCGCTTTACTCGCCCTCGGCTCACCTGCTGCTTCCTGAGCGATCCCTGAACGCTCCCGGAGTCTTCTTGAGCGCAGATGCAGTAGAATTGAGGAGGCTTTCCACCACCCTCCCCCAGCAACTCAAGAAAACCAACACCAACTTAGGAGTTAGTACTTACAGCTCCTTACGACTTTCGTCTGACATAGATGGCATTGTGATTGAACGCGTCCAGATCCCCTGGAAAATCAATCTTTTGTAAAATTTTTGAATCATTTTGGTTAGGCGAGGGGAGTCAGGGTCCGAGCTATGAATTTATGAGCTCTTCCTTAACTCATCAGCGGAAATTTAAGAGGGAGATTTTACGTAAGTGACTTGGTAAGTTCGTCCTCGGTGTACTGGCTTCGGTCCCAGTTGCGGAGAAACAAACATAATAAAAGGGGCTCCGCTGTGATGGTGGTTAGCGATCTATTATATAAAGGCACTGTTTTTTTAGTCAAGAATATTCATTCAACGCACATAACGAAGTTGAACTCATCAACTGAATCAGAAATTTGTCCTGTTTCTATGTCGAAATCGACAATGTTTCCGTCGAGTCCTTTGACCAATATTTTCTGATGACCGCTCTGAAGCTGATTGAATACGTCCCGAATCAATTCTCTACTGTAGATGGGCACCCCGGCGTCGTATAAGGCGCGGATGTGTGAAGAGACTTCTGTTCTAGCCTTCGTTGTTTCCTCAAGAACTCCATGTTCTTTCTTGCGGCAATAATCTGCAGCGTAAATATAGGAAGTGAATTCCTCCATAATTGGGCGGCCGACAAAGAGACGGGACGATGTCGAAATAAGGAAGAAACAGAAGACCCAACGTCGCTACGGCCGGTTCGGGGCAGAGATATCATGAATGCCGAGTCCACCAATGTTACGACCGAGTCGTGCCAGGGAAGCACGTGACTAGACAGTATATCGCACACGAGGCTGAACAGTTATCATGGAAGAACCAATGCCATCGGTAAGCAGCGTATTACCGCAGCTTTACACACGACCACAGCCGATCGGAAGGGGCCAGATAGGGGCCAGATTAGGCCCCGGCTTTTGCTCAGGGAGTGCCCAGGGCGCGCTTAGGGAAGCTTAGCTAAAGCTTAGGTTACAGCGGCCTTCGCTCACCCTCTAGGATCAAACCGTAAATTGCAATTAGGTTCTTCGTTCTCGAGTAATTGAGGTAGCGAGCTAGATAGTGAAGCGTCAACGGCCCTTGATAAGGCTGATTCAGGCTATGGCTGATAAAGCTAATAGGGCTTATAGGGCTCACTGGGCCTAGAAGCCGCCATTCACTTACTTGTAGTAGGTGCTAGGCCTATTTAGCTATGGAAACCTTTGGCGGGATCTTTGGACACCATATCTCATTCACAAAGCATCCAAACCTCTAGCAAGCCGACTTCGAAACGCTGTCACTGGAATATCGATCCACCTGCTTTGCGCTTGGCTCCCTCCACCTCGACTGCCTCGATGAACGGCTCGGGCATTTGACACTGAGTAAGAGCAGCACTGGTCTGAAGGTAACTATTCTTGAGAGTCTCCCAGAGCGCAACGTCTTTTGGATCCTCTGCGTGCGGTCTCGGATAGTATGGGTCGTTGAAGAAGAAACTGCGCACTAATTGTTGCAATCCAGCCTCATCGTGAGGGAATGTCTGGCACTGATCAAAATCGAGCAGCCACACGGCGACACCATCTTGCCCGAGCGAAGGTCCGAACAGAACCCCGGCACTATTTGTGTCCGTCGCACGCAAGTCTGCAGCCGTCGGTGCCATAGCGAATCGAGGAGTTCTTCCCAAGACAAATTCGACATCGTTCCCGTCCACGTTAGCCTGCCAGTGCAGTAGTGCCAGGGCTTTGGCGATGGTCTGGGCAAACTTCATGGTGTCGAATTCCATAGTCTCCATTTCGTTTACCAGGAGATCGAAGTTCCGGAGGGAGATGGAGCGTGTCGCATGTCTTTCGCCTCTGCGGCCCAGATACAGACGGAGCAAACAGTACTGGGTCCTCATATTACTCAAACCACCGGGGATCTTGTCATAGAGACCGAGTCTGACCACAAGGGTGTACACCATCTTGTCAGGGATTGGGTCGATGCGACTTGACACGAGACCGTACTCCGGTTGAGCAGCCTCTGGGAACGTCTCGCGCCAGGCGGGTAATGTTGAGCCACTTGATGGAGTATGCCATGCTAAAATACGAGGTAGGTTGATATTTTCCCGAAGCTCGAAGGTCGTCTGCTGAAAAGCTTCTTCAACTTGCTTGTGCATACAGCAGTCGTTCCACAGCTGATCCAATTTTCCCGGGTTGTTGACCTTGAACACTTCGTGGATTGCAGCTTCAGTGTAGACGGTGCCACACTGACCCCTGCCGATTTCCTTTACACATCGACGTCTTTTGAGATAGTATCGGTCCACCATTTCTATGAATGAAGACCACATATCGACCTCTAAAGACGCAGCAAAAAAGTAGCCGTATGATTCGAAGATGGTGCTTATGTGTTCGAGATTGTGAAGTGGCTTTGATGGACGAGCAGTGTGCTCAAGTCGTGTGAGGGGGATAAAGTGAAGAACAGTAACATAGGGAATGAAGAGATACTTGGATATTAAAGGGTACCAAGGTATTCCAGCTTTGCATACTGTGTGCACTCACCAAAGGCTGGTATCCAACAACTTTCCGAGTTTCGTCAGGACGACCATGGCTTCTTCATGTCTACTATGGTAGACTCCATTCTCAGGTCCTCGGTGGTGATCTCAGGCCAGGCAGCAAGGAAACCATTTGTACTCCGCCCTCAGAGCCGACCATCATCCATTGACAGATGTGGTGTTCTGCTACGGAACCTTTGTGGACTTGGGCACGATGAGGACCTGCGCGGTTGTTGTAGGCTACAAAGAGCTAGCGCCGATGGATCTGGATCGTTAAAGACGTGCCTTCTTCTTATCATGGCAACGTACAAGACGAGACTCTGGGAGAAGGTGCGAGTGGCTCGTCCTCCCCTCTCCTCGCGAGAGTTTCAGATCAGGCACGACTTTCCAGCTTCTCAAGCGGCCTGATAATCGGAGTAATGGATCGATCGTCCTTGATGTCATGCAAGACCCCCTCACAGAATGTCTCGACTCGCTTACTGATGGTATTTGGCCGGCTTGGTCACCGTTCTGCTTCTGTCTCTTCCCTTTCCTCTATGCTGCTGTGCCCTTGTGAAGATGACCGCTGACTCTCAGGTAAATGGCGCGGTCCCGCCTTCTCCCTCGTCGCGCCCGAGACCCAAGCACATAATCATTATTGGTGGCTCGCTGGGTGGCCTCTTCACCGGCGTCGCCTTGAAACAACATGGCTACGACACTACCATTCTCGAGCGCAACCCGACGAATCTGCTCGAGAACCAGGGTGCCGGCATCGTTGCGGGTGGAGATACCTTAGCCTTCTTCGAGCGCTACGACCGCTGCAAACGTCCAGTCGCCGTGGCATCGGAGAAGAGAATGTATCTGGACAAGTCAGGGACGGTGGTACATGAGGAGGTGATGAAGCAGACAATGACAAGCTGGGATCTTTGTTATTACATGCTTCGGGCCAACTACGATCACCAGGAAAGCGGGTACTGCGATACCCCTGGTCCACAACCAGGCGATGGAAACATCGACTACCGGTACGGCTGCACGGTGAGAGATTTTCGGGAGGAAGGAGACAAGGTAAGAGTATACTACGACAAGGGCGACGGTGGAAGCGATAGCGTGGTAGGCGATATGCTAGTCGGCGCTGATGGGCCGAGTTCGACTATCCGAAAGATTCTCTTCCCCGATATTCAGCGGAAGTACGCCGGCTATTGTGTCATTCGAGGCACCGTCCCTGAAGATGAAGCCTCTGAAGAGGCCAAGGCTGCTTTTGTAGAAAGATTCACGTTCTTCCACGCACCAGGTATTCAAAACCTGACGTACACCATCCCCGGGACAAACGGAAACATGAAGAAGGGTAAGCGACTATTGAACTTTGTTTGGTACACGAATTTCCCTGAAGACGAGAACGAGCTAGAAGAAGTCATGACGGACAAAGATGGAAGACGACGGAGAATCACCATACCGCCAGGCCAGATGAGAGATGAGGCTTGGGAAATGGTCAAGAAAAGAGGCCGAGATCGCCTGCCGCCTCAAATGTCTGAAATGGTCGAGAAGACACGCCAACCGTTCGTCCAGTGCATTACGGATGTCATCACACCGCAGAACTCCTTCATGAACGGCAAGGTGGTCCTTGTAGGCGATGCACTCGCTGGATTCAGACCACACACGGTAGCATCGACTAGTCAGGCAGCCTTTGACGTGTTGATGCTCGTCGAATACCTCCAGACAGGGGATCATGCCGAGTTCGTTAGACGGACAATGGAGTATGCGAGGCTGATCCAGTACAGGGGGGTGTACATAGGCAACAGGAGCCAGTTCGAGTCTTTGCCGTTGAAAGACTATGTTGAAGATCGGAATATGATGTCGATCAAGCGAGAAGACCTGGAATTTCCTGAATGGTCCCAAGTGCGGGTATGACAGCACAAGCCAGCCGGATGTTCTCTAACGGAAATCTGCTGTGTGCTGGGAGGATATACTCTTCGTGGCCAAGCTGCAGTGGCTGGTCCTGTGGTTGTCCCTTGAAGAGAGCCGTCGGTTTTGCATGTCACAGTCGAGCTCCAAGAGCGATGACTCGGTGAAGTCTGAGAACTTGACAGACATATCCTTTGCCAGAAGGAAATTCCGAGCTCGAATATCAGCGACTATAACCCGACGATCATGTATGGTAGCGAGAGTTTGGGCATCTCGCGGAACCAGGAAAGTTGGACAGACGTTGATGCTTGAGGTTCGTCAAGGTACCTTACGTTAGTTGCGGATATTCCATCCAGACCTTGTCGATTCCAGGACCAGAAAGCTCAAGATATGGAACGACGCGATCACAATTCACTAAACGTCGGTAGACTTCCTTTTCCCATTGGATTACTTCGTCGTCCTCGTCGTAGCAACCACTCATGGAAGATTTTGGTAACTTGACGGCAGTTTTACCGCACAGAGCCACGACTCCTGCGCCACCGCATCCAATGATGGGAAGGACTTCCGTCGAGTTCTAAGGTGGCGCAGCCGACAGTGGACACCCATTGAGGGTTTGCGTCAAGAAATGTAGAAGAGTAGGCAATTTCGCCAGGTTTTTTGACGTAACACAATGTGTGGCCATGGTGACTTGGGCAGACAAGCAGAATAGGCGTTGCTTGACAGGGGAATCATGACGCAGAACGCATTTGGCAAACCCAGTTAGCGAGTCTCCAGCAGAGCCCATGACACCGCGAGGGCGGAACTCGCATGTGGAAAACACCCAATAGACGCGCCAGGCACACACTGCCACTCGTTCGCCAATCCTTTCCAATATTTCTTCTGCACTTCAGGTCATGCACTTTATTGTTCGTTGTTGCGGTGTCGGGTGACCTTGGATTCACGCTTCCATCGTCCTGTCTCCTTTTCAGTCCAGCCTGTTCGAAGGACGACCCGCGACCCCTTCTCGCACAAAGGACTGTCCACTCCTTCGACCACTGTTCTCCCTCTACGAAAGCGACCGATTGCTCTGCCTGGTGCAGGTCACACGTCCTTGACAAGAACGACGATACACTGTCAAAACCGCAACGATTTCGCGGACGCATTATCCTTAAAGCAATATGGGCGTAGAACGCATGGGCAGCCCGCCCCGGTTTATGGGAGCATCATTACGGAGTCTTTGTTTGGGCACTGTAGGACATTCAGCGCAGTTTCGTTGATGAAGAGCGCTGACATGGTGTGGCAGTTGACTATACAGTTTTCTGCTTTCATTCTGGTATGCGGACATGGCAACATGACTTTGCAAAAGCCCATAGACTGACAGAACGCGGGTTAGCTTCTTCATTATTCTCGGGTCATGCCAACGCCAGACGGGCATCGTTACCTTCCCTCGACAGCCGTCTTCCTTGTCGAATTGCTGAAGCTCGTCTTCTGCCTGACGATATCCCTCTACGAGATCTCCCTATCCCTTCCACAGTCAACCACAGCAACCCACCTTTTAAGAGCACTTGGTAATGCCATCTTTGGGGGTGATTCTTGGAAGCTGGCGATCCCCGCAACTCTATACACGTTGGCAAACAGTCTACAATACGTTGGGATCTCGAACCTGGATGCGGCAACGTTTCATGTCACATATCAGTTCAAAATCTTCGTTACCGCGGTCTTCAGCGTCATGATCCTGCGGAAGCCAATCTCCGCCAGACAATGGGTATCTCTCATACTGCTGATGATTGGTGTGGGGATAGTTTCGTGGCCTCAAGAGTCATCAGCATCCCTCGTCTCGAACCATCATGCTCGGGTCTACGTTCCGAGGTCCGCAAATCCATTGCGGGAACATTTTAGAATTGCAGCACATGGTTCCCACCTCAACAAAAGGTCAGCCACCTACGAGGGCATTGAGGAGGATGAACTCGCCCTGAGCACGCCAGGCATGGACGCTTCGGCAGGGCTCTTTGCGGTCTTTGGCGTGTGTATTACTTCCGGCCTGGCCGGTGTCTACTTCGAGAAAGTTATGAAGGGGTCACCGAAAGCCACCTCAATCTGGATTCGCAACGTCCAGCTGTCAATATACTCGCTATTCCCGGCCTTTTTCATTGGGATCATCTTCCTCGATGGCGAAACAGTGGCCAAACACGGGTTCTTTGCGGGCTACAACTCAGTTGTCGTCGCCTCGATCCTTGTCCAGACGATTGGCGCCATCGTCGCAGCTTTCGCAATTTTCTATGCGGACAATATTGCCAAGAACTTCGCCTTGAGCATCAGTATGGTCCTCAGCAGCCTGATGAGTTTTGTGTTCTTTGATTCTTCCATGAGTACTCATGTATATGGCATGATTCCCCAGACGTGGCCTGTTCACTGACATGATTTCAGTTTCTTTTGGGAGCCTCTATCGTCCTGGGCTCGACCTTCATATACAACATTGAGGAATCTCGAATCCAGCAAGAGCCTCCGAGGATCAAGATATACAGCGATGAGAAATCGGCCTTGGACGCTGTAGCAGACTTGAACGACGTATCCATACAGATACCCAAGACGCCTTTGAGCCAGGAAGAGACAGCTCTGGCAACTTCAAGGCCGGGGTCACCTAACCGTAAAAAGCGAAAGAACGAGTCGGGTGGTTATTTTGCGAAGCATGACGATTGAAAGGATGTCTACTTGGTACAATGAATTAATGATTGGGACAGAAGATAAACCTAGGATACCTTACACTAAGGCCGGGCAGCGCTTGAAAGAGCTGTATTAATACCCAAATTTATACCACCCAGAGCGGATCTCAAGGACTTCCAGGCGTGTTCAAGGTACCTGAGCCAGCGCTATGAGCAAAAGGGATATGGGGTATGGTCACGTGCTCTTGCTGCATTGTCCGCCCCTGCCTTGAAAGAAGTGACCTGCACATTGCCTATCGACATCTCTCTTCCAGTTCCGTTCGAAATCTTCCCTTTCCTGCTTCTACACCCTTGTTGTGCATTGGCCACTGCTCGTCCTTCCTACATTGCACAGCATTCAAGGCCAGAATAATCAAGCAAGTTATGGACCACCGCAGACACCTTGCAGACTTCACCTCAAATTCCTCTGGTGCCCCCAACCATGATTCCCCAACAAGACCACGGGTACGAGCGTCCTCAATACGGTCAAGACCCTCCTACCAGGCTGCCGAAAGGTACTTCTCCCAGCATGTTCCAGATGTACGCAAGAATGAACCCGGCTTGAGCTCTCGACGGCTTGCGGCTGCTGATGACGGCCTCGATGATTTTGGTGAGAGATTATCTCTTGTATCCAGCGAATGCTTACTCTTTACAGACAGACGACTGCTTGAAGAGACCGCACACGGCCGAGCTAGTCATCATCGACAGGCGTCCGTAAGAACACGTCTACCACTGCCACCCTGCACCCCAATGATGAGCACCGCTACAGACACGTCTCGCTCAGGTATGTCCTCCAGTGTTGACATGAGATGTGTCTAATAACAGCCCAGACGAGTGGCAATATGCTTCCGCAACTCGACCCTCCAGTTCCTCACCTCTCCCTTCAATGACGAGTCCGACCACATACGTCGTTCAGAATCGTCAACACGGCAAGCCCATTCAGCCGAAAGGCATGGATCTCTTGCTTCAGCAACCCTACTCAAGGCACGAGATTGTCATTTCCTCAACCCAGCAGACCGTCTCTGTCACTCAGCCCAAGCTAAAAACATACCGCGACAATGCCCTTCCCAACATACAAGGAGTACAACTGGTCCCCGCTACGGCTCTACCTGACCAGCTACGTTCTATCTTCCGATTTGAGGTGTTCAACGCAGTACAGTCCAAGTGTTTCGTAAGTGCTTTCAAGACCGATGACAATCTGGTGGTGTCCGCTCCCACGGGCAGCGGCAAGACTGTGATTATGGAGCTCGCCATTTGCAGGCTGGTGGCGGAGCTACGGGGCAACGATTTCAAAGTGGTCTACCAAGCTCCAACAAAATCCCTCTGTGCCGAAAGATACCGTGATTGGCAGAAGAAATTTGGCCCTCTGAATCTGCAGTGTGCCGAACTTACAGGTGACACCGACGTCAGCCATTTACGCAACGTGCAAAGCGCCAACATCATCATCACCACTCCGGAGAAATGGGACAGCGTGACCCGGAAATGGAAAGATCATGTTAAACTGATTCAGCTAGTAAAGCTCTTCCTCGTTGATGAGGTACATATCCTTAAAGAATGCCGCGGTGCTACACTGGAAGCCGTTGTGTCGCGAATGAAGTCTGTCGCTGCCAACATCAGATTCATCGCCCTATCTGCCACAGTACCAAACTCACAAGACATTGCAACATGGCTTGGGAGAAGTTCGGCTTCACTCCATATGCCTGCTCTCAGAGAGGTGTTTGGTGAGAGCTTTCGACCCGTGGAACTCAAGAAATATGTCTATGGCTTTGAGGCAAAAGGCAACGACTTCGCATTCGAATCGATGCTCACGCAACAGTAAGTAGCTACAGCACAACCGGCATCATTCCGAAATGGCCGCTGCTGGCTGCCGTTCCCTACATGTATGGGTATAAACGCTAACGCAATGCAGATTACCTGTTATCATTTCAAGACATGGGCATGGGAAGCCCGTGATGATCTTTTGCTCCACCCGGAAGGCCACAACAGCAACTGCTAAGATGCTGGCCGATATGTGGTCAAGCTCCCACCCTTCAGAACGTCTCTGGAAAGGCCCAGTAAGGCCTCTGTCTTTAACCTGCAATGATCTCAAAGGTACGTAGCAACCAGCCACTGCGACCTTCCAGAGCGAATATGTATTGACACTCTACAGTCACATGTGTCGCTGGAGTAGCCTTTCATCATGGAGGGTTGGACCAAGCTGATCGCCGAAATGTTGAGCAAGCCTTCCTGCACGGACAGATCAACGTTATTTGTAGCACTTCAACCCTCGCGGTCGGCGTCAATCTGCCCTGCTATCTGGTGATACTCAAGGGAACAAATGCGTGGACCGAGAATGGCCTACAAGAATACGCAGATCTGGAAGTCATGCAAATGCTTGGAAGAGCAGGCCGACCCCAGTTTGAAACGTCGGCTTCTGCGGTCATCCTCACGCGAAAAGAAAAGGTTTCACGCTATCAGAAGATGGTATCGGGAGAGGAACTTCTCGAAAGCTGCCTCCACCGAAATCTGATAGAGCACCTGAATGCTGAAATTGGCCTTGGAACCGTGTATGACCTGGCCTCGGCGAAGCAGTGGCTTGCCAGTACATTTCTACATGTTCGCATGAAGCAGAATCCTTCTCACTACCGTTTCAGAGAAGATGTCGAAACTTGCGCCGATGACGACTTGTTAGAGCGATTATGCCAAAAGGACATTGCACTATTGAGTCAAGCCAGCCTCGTCGACGAAGGAACTCGATTGAGTTGCAACGGATTTGGGGAAGCTATGGCGCGATACTATGTCAGTTTTGAGACCATGAAATCTTTCATTGGTTTACCTCCCAAGGCCAAGTTGTCAGAGATTGTACGTATATGCCTCTTTCAGTGTTATCAAGCTGACGGCTTTTTGAGTTGTCAATTTTGGCTGAGGCTAAAGAATTCCGTGAGGTGCGAATGATGGCTGGAGAGAAGTCATTCTACAAGGAGATCAACAAGGCGCCCGAGATCAAATTCCCGATCAAGGTCGATGTTGCCGTACAGGCACATAAGGTCTCACTCCTGATTCAGGCCGAGTTGGGCAACGTAACCATTCCTGACGGTACCAACTACAAAAAGCACCACCAATCCTATCGACTAGACAAAAGCACCGTCTTCATGCATGCAAACCGTTTCATCCGATGCATCATCGACTGCCAGATACACCTGAAGGACGCCGTGTCCACAAGGAATGCTCTTGAGCTTGGTCGTAGCCTCGCGGCGCATGTTTGGGACAACACTGCAAGTCAGCTGAGACAAATTGAGGGCCTCGGAGAGGTCTCCGTCCGAAAGCTTGCTTCTGCTTCCGTCAATAGCATTGACACCCTCATGAACACGGAACCTTCTCGCATCGAGTTGGTGCTTGGGAGAAACCCTCCGTTTGGCCGCGAACTACTGAAAAAACTTGAAGCCTTCCCGAATTTACGAGTTTCCATCAAGGAAACAGGTAGAGAACTCAAGCGTGGCAAGGGTGCCACCATACGGTTTCTCGTGGAGATCGGATTCCTGAATGAAACCGTGCCCTACCAGTACAAGAAAAAACAGGTTTATGTCTGTTTCTTGGCCGAGACGTCTGACGGAGGTTTGATTGATTTTCGAAGATTCAGTGCAAAGAATTTGCAGAAAGGTGGAGAGGTATTCCTGTCTGTGGAGTTGATCAAGCCTACCAGCTACATAAATTGTTATGTGATGTGCGATGAAGTTGCAGGAACAAGCAAATATGCTGAGCTACGACTCAAGGACATACCTGCTTCCATCTACCCACGGCAGCAACACTCGGCCGGTACCAATGACGGCAGGCCGTCTGAAGATTCGAGGGATCAATTCTCTGGCGCTCATGGTGACGACTTCGACGATGGTGGCATTGATGATCAAGATCTCCTTGCCATGGAAGTGCATGATTCCGGGATTGAGGTTGTGGAGGATATTGACGAGATATTAAATGACGAAGACCACAAAAGTCGAGTTCAGCCTCCCAGACGATACTCGAAACCCGCACATGACACGAAGCATGAACATGATGACGACGACGACGTCTCCGCCTATAGAGAACCCACCCGACTACCCAATGGACGCTGGACATGTCAGCATGATTGCAACGAGCGCAAGAAAGATTGCAAGCATAAGTGCTGCAGAGAAGGGGTGACTAGGCCCAAACGTCGTCCGAAAACAGAACCGAAAATCAAGCAAGAAGACAAAACACAGATGAAGATTACTAGTCTGACAAACATGAAAGGGAAGGCTGGAGCTGGTGAAACCGAGGCAAAACAACTCGAAAAAATACACAATTCGATATCAAAAAGTCGTACCGACATCAAACGGGCCAGCCAAAAATCGACAGAAGGACCTGTTGCCAAGAAGGCGAAGGTGTCGAACAGAACCCAATATGGCACTTGCTCAGGGGCGGATCTGGAGGCCACGTCCCAAGACCTCGAGTCGGGATCTGAAATTGAGCTGCAGCCCGACAATGGATCCGCAGCTGAGGTCCTGAAAGAGAGTAGATCCTCCACGGCAAGCTGTAACCTGGACGAAGACTTCTTCAACTTCTCGAGTGACGGTGTAGATGTGCTTGCTGCCGACGAGGCCACCCTTGACATGAATCCTTGTGGAGAGAAGCTTGATACGGCTCTTCCGGAGCTGAAAGAGATTGGAGTCTCTGTTGGTGACGATGTAGCCGCCGATTTTCTGATGTCCGAGTTCGATCTTGGCGGATTCGAACCACCACTTGAGCATGTTGCATTTGCGGACGTTCTAAGATCAGGCAAAGGTCTCTTCACCATGGGAGATAGCAGCAGTCCGCTCAAGGAAGTGCTGCAAGATGAGGCGAAGATCGATTTGGAGGAAGAGAAGACTGATCCATCAGTTGACTGTGATGACGTTTTGACGGAATCACTCGAAAACAATAGCCCAACTGATCAACTTGACCCCTTGGACAGCGGCCTCACGCCTTCCAGCGTAGGTACCCCTCCAGAATCGACTATTCGCACTCCGGGACTTGAGGCGTTTGAAGACGACACACAGACTCGGAGGGAGGTTGCACCGAGCATACCCGAAAATGAGACTGAACACGAAAGAGAGGAAAGACTCTACGAGGAGGATCAGAAGAAGAAATGGGAGGGAATTGACCAATGGCTTTATGATGAATTGCATGAATATGTTGAAATTGTATAGATTGTACCGGTGGCAGGTGTCACGGCTAAGATGAAAGAAAGAAACGGTGATTCTAGCTAGATGAATGGATGGGTCAAGAGGCGAACATGGAGGCATCTGTGCTGGCTAGACGCAACCACGTCGTTGTCTATGTAATGCAGAACAAACGGAATCTTCTTGAACATTGCTCCCACGTATTGCATATGTGTGACCTCTCGTTTCTGACTCCACGAGACACATCATCGAGCAAATGGCAGTATTTGACAAGATAGTCCTGGAAGATAATAAGTCCAGTTTTCGTCCAGTTTTCGAAGGCAAAGACCGTCGGACGACTCTTCTATCATTGAGCTCTTCCCCGTCAAGATGCATCTGTATTCTGGAAAAGAGCAGCGCTTGATCTTTGTTCGCTCATCGTGGATCAGGTGGTAGTTTGTACGTGTGCGCAGTCTATATCCCATATCCAGTCAACCTTCAAACAGTGCTTAACCATCGACAGCGCTGCCCATCATCGCGGCCCAGCCATACTCATCAACGCCACTTCACATCACTTTACCTCATCCTCCTCATCACTCGATCGACAAACCTTCTCCAGATCCACCTCCGTCCACATAACCATCCACATGGGCCTGCCGCCGAGTTTCTCCATGACGCGCCGACTGGGGATATTGTCCTGCGAGACATCTGCGTGCGCCCAGCCCATTCCTCTCTTGTCTTCCTGGAACGCTCGGGTTTGCCGCTGGAGAAGCTCGCGAGCCAAACAGACTGCTAGGCCTTTGCCCCGATGGGCCGGTTCCGTGTGCAGGCTCGATAAACTGGCGTCCTTGCCCAGGAAGCCCCAGGCCACAGGGCGGGGATCGGTATCGTCGTCGCGTGAGAAGATGGCGACGCTGACGTACTGGCGCAGTGTGGATAGGGTGCGTGGGATGGTGGATCTGTCGAGCACGATTTGCAGGTCGGACGAGCGCATCTCGCCGAATTTGTACTCGGCTGGGAGGAGGAGCAATGATGTGTTGTCGTTGTCGTTGTCGGCGGCAGTAGCGGCGAGTCTGGCTTTGGCGAGTGAGGCTTCGGCTTTGGCTTCATCTACGTTCTCGTTCTCCTTCGCGGGCGAGAAGACGTACTTCAGATAGCCCGGATCGGTCCTCGCTCGAGCCTGGGGTGGGAAAAGTTCCCACAGCTTCTCGCCCACCGTGCCGAAGAGGATTTTGCTCCGCGAGTACGGCGTCGTCAGGGTTTTCCCCGTGCGTTTGAGGTCGAGCCATTCGTCACTCGGCTCCAGGGGCATCGTGGGCACAAGGACGGTGTGTATATAATTGAAGAGCTCGTGCATGAGAGACTTGTAAAGCCCCCCACCACCGGTGACGGTGTCACTGTCATTGCGGAAGAGCGAGGGAACCTCCCAGCTCGCGAACAGCCAGACTTGGGTCTGGCCGTAGTTGATTAGGTCGATGTGTGCGGCGAGCCAGGGGCGAGATGCTGCGGAAGAGGAAGAGGTGTTGCTGAGCAGCCAGGATTCTAGCCAGCGCTCGTCAGGAGGGTGGCTGCTGGTACCGGGAAGGGGAAGTGGTTGGTTGCTATGAACGTGGTCGCCATTGATCTGGACGTCGCCGTCATCGTCGCCGTCGGCAGGGACCGCAGCAGCAGCGACGAAGATTCTGGCCGTTGGGGAGATGGGATGGCCGAGATGGTACTCTATCCTCCTCGTGACGGGCAATGAGTAGGGGAGAAGATCATCCAGCTTTTGCTGGAGGTTGGGAATTTGGGTCGGGGAGAGAACACCGCTGTTTATATGGTACTGGCCATCGCGGTCCATGGTGAGTCGAGGAGAGCCCGACAACGTCTCGACGTCTCCTTGACACCCAGATCTTGTCAAAATCCTGAGGAAATGCCGTGATTGAGCAAACTGCACAATAAGTAGACGTGAAAGCTGCGAGTCATCGCAAGGCTGTCGGCTCCCACCGAGATCAACCAATCAATCGCTCGCATTTCAGGGTCACAGATGAGTCCCAGTCGTAGTGCTTGTATAGAACGGGTATTGAATGGTTACAATAGTCTTTCTGTAGTAGTAGAGGATGTACGATTATCGTCAAACCCAATATTTACATTGTCAAGACCAACCTGTGGTCATACCCACGCCGGAAGGGTGTTTTCGAAGAACGCTACATTGAAAGGCCCTGCACAAAGCCACCCCAGATATTCACCAAGATAAGCCTTCAATAGTAAGATTCATAATACATGTCCTCATTGAGAGTCTCGGGACGTCATATAGTTCGCTGCTATAGCGACATTAAGATTACCTCCACTGTTCCAACATCTCATCCAACACTTCACGTGGTGGTGGACTTCTTTCGCCCAAAGATACCACGCGACTTTGACTTGTTCCGTGGTTTCTCTGAAGAGGTCTTCCTTGCCGATCTGGACCGACCTTCCTCTTCATCAGTGTCATCATATTTGTCCTTGTGGATCCTGTTCGGATTGTCAGCAACGGATTCCAGCCACGCATGAGAACAAAACTTACCAGCTATTTCCGACCATGCTGACTCCTTTGGCTTCTGCCATACGGTAGAGCTTGGCAGCTTTCTTCATATCTTTCTTGCATCCAATACCCTCAGCATAGCAAAAGCCGGCTTCTGTCAGCGCATCAGTGTCGCCCCAGTTCCCAGCAATTTCAAAACATCTCAAAGCCAAGGCTTTGTCTTGCTCGATGCCCCAACCGTTGAGATGCGACACTCCCAGTTCATAGATGCTAAGCGCGAACTGAGCTCGATGCGTCTTTTTGTCATTGAAATCTGTGCCCGGTTTTCGACTAGACGGATCCTCATCATCAGCCACCTCTAACATAGCACAATCGACAGCCTTCCGAAGCCAGGAGACGCCCTCTTTCTGGTTCGCCCGCATGCCCCATCCGTGACGACAAGCAAGAGCATAGAGAAGCATTCCTGTTGCATTGCCTTTGTGAGCAGCTATTCGGAGATGATATGTGGATTCTTTCAAATCCCCATGTTCATGAAGCTCGATAGCTTTCGAGACGTGGTCTTCTGCTGAGAGAGCTTGATAATTGCTCACAGTGCGCGCAGTCGATGGCCGGATGGTACTGTTAGATCGTGACGACTGTGAGGCTTCTTCAACAGGTGACAGGGGCGTTGGTGGTGGCATGAAGAAGCCTGTTGATGGAGCTTCACCAGTCGACGGCCTCGGGTTTGACTCGTTCGATTTCACAGACCCTGTAGGCGTATACGGCGCTGATGGCCGGCTGTATTTGTCCCTTGCCGCAAGCGAATGTTCCGAGTCGAACTCAAAGGAGAATCCCGATCTCTGCTGGCTGGGCTCCTCTCGGCTGGGTCGCGCTGATGCTATCGGGGATGGCACAGCAAGCTCACTGCTGTTCTTGCCTTCCAAGGGAGGTGTACCTGGGAACATCGGCTCCTGCCATTCAAAGTGTGGCGTTGACAAGCCTGAAAACACAAGAGACTCCCGATCAGACACTCTTCGGCCCCGAGGCAAGCTATACTTCGCATGGGTATACGATGAGGCTTCACCAGCTAGGAACCCCGGTGTAGATTTGGAGCCTTCGAAAGAGCTGGCATTTCGGAGATGGCTCATTTGCATAGCCAGTGGTCCCTTGGTAGGGCTGTTTTCGGAACGGAGATTGGTCAAACTGGACGAGCTCATCGGCCGCGAGAAGTTCCGCGCTGAATTCCGGGTCGGGGAGCCGATCGAGCCGTTGGATCCCGTTCTGCCGTGGGATACAGCATAGGGAGAGATGGGCGATTGAGGTGCAGACAGGCCGCTACTGGCGGAAAGCTGTCTGGACTGAGAGAAGGTTGAACCAGCGTTCGAACTGGTACAATCATCGTCCGAGGCATCATGATATGGTCGTAGTCTGTGAGGAGGTGGCGCCAGACCCAGATCTGATTGAGAAGTATTCGAAGCTTGTCGAGAATACCCTGACCCTGACTGGGCTTTCAATGCCGGGCTATCGGCACCTGGAAACTGCTCTTTCGCGTCCAACGGAGGAGGCGACTCTACTCGTGGGGCTCCAAAATAGTCCTGCGCATATGCTTTAGTCCGCCGCTCCTCCGCAGGGGGCTCCATAGTGCTCATTCGGACATGCTGCGATGAGGGGCGATTCAGAGGGTTCGCTAGTCTGGCGAAATTTCCTGCAAAATCAGAATCAAAACTGGGCAATGGAGGAACGGTGTCCAGGCCATCCGACAAGGCGCGAAATATGGGAGGCCGATTGTTTTGGTGTTCGATCAGAGAATCTGTGACGACTTGCGGTGGAAGTCTGCTTGACCGCCTTTCTCCTGCTTTTCTTGTTTCTTCCAACTCTCTGGCTAGCCTTCGACTCCTGGCAGCAATCGCATCGAGGGGTGACAAAGTCGGGGGCACATCTCCATCGAAGTGTTGTATGCGTGGCGAGATGTAGCCATTCTTCGACATGGCACTACTTGCGCGGGAAGCTTCGCTGGGTAACTCAATAAAATTCGGCCGGTTCGTTGCCGTCATCTTGGTTGTATTCGCAGTTGACCAGCAAGAGTGTTGTTGGTTATTGGTTGTTGTACTGCGACTCCCTCTGATATCTTAATTGAATTTGCCGCCGTCCGCAAAGAAGAGATCATGGAAAATACGCTCGCCGGTCGGATGGGACGATCAATGACGGATAGAGAGGGAGGACCGTGGCTGAGCAGGTTCTGAAGCGAAAGGCTCGCGGAAAGTGTTCGGGGAACGAGTGACTGGGGCCCGGGTTCAAGGTCGCAGCTGGTCACTCCAGCTTTGAGATAAAAGTAGACCAGGGTGAGAGAGCGGTTGCAGATTGGTGATGACGGTGAGAGAAGGCAATTGTCATACGGGATGGTGTTGGAGATGTTTTTCGCTTATGGTGAGATGCGAGCGAATGATGGTGTCTCGAAACTCGAAAGGAAGGAGTGCTCGTGGTGAGAAGTGAGAAGTGATCAACAACAGGGCTGCAGCATCAAACACGAAAAGAGTGAGATCAGCACCACGGATTGAAGGATCTATCTTGGATAATCAACGAACGGCAGTGATCGATATGATACAGAGTATAAGTCTGGAGGATTCGAGGCTGGGAAAAATTGGCAGCATTGAGAAGAGGCGAGGCTTGAGAGGCACCGGCCAACCTTGGGACCTGGTGCGGCGGCGAGGGAGCGAACGACAGACTCAGGGACAGTTGGCCCCCTGTAAGTGCTGCTTGCATGGAGGCCCCGGTCATTTTTAGTGGAAGCCATCCCGGGGGAGTTGACCCTGAAATTGAGGGAAATGGCAGCCCACCTGCGCCGCAAGCTGCACTCCAGAGCTAAAAGCACCACTAGGTTTTCTTGCTCCAGGCTTTGGGCTTCCCTGGCTGGACAGTGGATGCACCCTCTGGATGCCAGGAAAATCAGGGGCTCTGCCGTCACCAGTCACCACTTTGTGCGGACGAGCGCCTCCTCGACTGGACAACGGCATGACATGAATCGAGATTGACAGCTGTTATCTTTTGACACCTTTTTCGACCGTTCCATACGAGTAGCACATGGGCGACATGGCCACTTGTGAGTCCATGCTCTCTGCCCTTTTTTTGTTGGCTGTGATCCAGAACCGGAGAATCCGACTCAGAGGTCGCTGATCACTGACCGCAGTGTGGCGCATTGGATGGTGGTGCAACCTCACGTCCCCTACCCGCAAGTCCAGGTTCACCTTTCACCACATCGATGTCTCAGTGCCAGCTTGCGACACAGAAATCCCCCGACACAGTTTGATGTGGTGCAAAATACAAGGGACTTCCCGGTCGACCTCAGACGCACCCGCACAAGACTCGGACAATAAATTCGCCATCGCTATTGGTGGTGACCTTCATGTCGGAAAGTTGATACTCGTGTTCTCCACCAAACTCACGGGCCTCTTGGATCTCGCAAAACCAGCTTTGTCTCGAAAGAACCGAGCGACGTCGACCCGCAAGCCCGTCCGAAAAGGGTTATATCAACACAAAGACCCTGCGAGAAATCGGTACCGCAGTACTGGGCAACCATGACGTGACTTGAGCTGCCTTTACGAGTATGATCGATGCGCAATCATGGTCTGCGAAGACGGCAGTTCCATTCGTGATTTGGGTCAAGAGCCAGGACAGCATCCCAGGGAAAGCCCGCGAAATTGCTATGCAAAGCTTCTGGCTGTTCAACACGTTGTCTGCCAATGGAAAAACGAGAAATGGTCGTATAGAGAGCTATCCGCGCTATAACTAAGATTCGTTTCGAGCGTGTTCGTCCACGGGGATCATGTACTCGTACAGGGTGTTCAGCAAGTTATTTGCTAATTGATTTCACGGACAATGACCGCGAACAGGTAAGCCTGCATAGTTAAGGCCAATCCCAAAGTCCCAATGAGGATCAAATTTCCCAAACATGACCGGGGGACGAGGCACGCGACCATCTTCCTGACTTTCCTTTCACTTTTGGACATCAGGTGTCTAAAGGCATCAGCATAGTCCCAGAGGACACAAGAGACTCTGGTTAGATGCCATCTTTGCCTCTCAGTTTTGCCCAGACTCTCGAATGACGGCCCGGATTGTGCCCCGAGTGCCTAAATTTAGCCTAGTAGCTTTCAGCCTCACCACTGCGAGGCTGATGAAAAACATTCTTCCCCCGCAAACCCAAGCCCGTGTTGCATTCTTAGCGCTGTTGACAACCTCAGCTCAACATTCACACTGATGCGCAGGACGAAAGAACCACGTATCTGTGCAAACCAGATAACTCTCACTCGTCAGTGTTATTCTGAGGAGCCCTAAGAACTTATCAAGCATGATCTCAAAGACATAAACAACCACCGCGCCAAACCACATCTCCTCACATCAAAATGCGCAGACCGAACCTCACCATCCAGAGCCTCATCCCAAACGACATCCGCCCCTTCACAACCTCATGGCTCCTCCCTCCTCTCGCCCTCTCCCTCCTGCGCCTCCTCTTCTTCACGTACTGTCTCGTGACAACACTGACCAACTGGATCTACGACGGCGTGCACTCATCCGCGCATCTCATCGGCGAGGAATTTTCCTACTTCACAGTCCTAACGTACTGGGGCATCCTGTTCTACAGCCTCGTCGCGGGCACGCATACACTTATATATGCGCTCAAAGGTCGCTCATGGCTCGAGACTTGGCCACGACCTCTGCAAGCGCTTCACTCATTCTTCTACACCACTATAGTAACCCTGCCGTTCCTGGTGACCATCGTATACTGGGCTGTACTGTACGACGCGCCCTGGTTCCCCATCATGTTTGACGGGTGGTCTAATGTAGGTACCCCATTCTATTCTACCTTACCTTACCGACACTTCCCAAGCTGTGGGCATCTAACATCATTCCTTCGTGCGACAGATCTCTAGACACGCCCTGAACTCCTTCTTCGCACTGGCCGAAGTCATTCTCCCTGCCACGAACCCTCCGCCACTTCTTCATCTCGTCGGACTGATTGTTTTGTTACTTCTCTACCTCGCGCTGGCCTACCTCACGCACGCCACGCAGGGGATTTATGTCTACAGCTTTCTCGACCCTGCCCAGGGCTCAGGAAGAGTGACGGGCTATTGCTTCGGAATAGCCGCAGGCATTGTCGTCATCTTTGTCGTCATCTCTGGCATCATCTGGGTTAGGAGTAAGTACACAAGAGAAGGCAAGCGGAGTAAGAGAGACGTGCAGAGGCATCTGTCCTTGGATCAGGAGGTTGAGATGCGCGCAGATATAGAAAGTGCCAAATAATAAACGTCGTGCAGTCTGTGCCTGCCTATATCTACCAACATTCTGAATATGATATCCATGGTCGGGTGTCCCAATTCTCTAGTCTACATGTTCATAAGAGACAGCTTGTGTACGGATGATCCGTACTCCAGAACAGTTTTCGTTCCAGACATACCTACTATAGTACATGGATTTAGTCGAGTGCGAAGCTTAAGTCTTCTGCTTCTGCTTCTGCTTTTTCGTTTCCTCTTCCTGCTTGATATCCTGCTTGATCTCACTAGTGATTGCGTCAACCTCCTCATCCTTCGCATCTTCACCAGCCTCGCCCATCAGCCTCGCCCTTCTAAATGCTTTCCTCAATTCACAATTTCCCAGATTCTTTCCCCCAGCCTTGCACTCATCACACCTCTTCCCATGGGTGACAAGCAAAATATGAAGCCCGTACTTATCCTCGTCAGGAATCATAACGTCCAAATGAGCATGGGTCTCATCCCTTGTAGCACTCTGCGGCCGCCACCCCAGCAACCCCGTAATCCGCCAGACGTGTGTATCGACTGCAAAACTCTCGCGCTGTAAACAGAAAAGCAGCACACAACTCGCGGTCTTGGGCCCGACGCCTTGGAATGACAACATTTCCCTCATCGCATCCTCGCTCGACGCTTGGTGTAAATGGTCCAGAGAATATTTCCCATACCTCTCATGTGCCTGCTCGAGTATACTGATAATGACCTTGCTCTTGACGGCGCTCAGTCCACCGCACTTGATCGCCTCTTGTAATTTTGCTTGTCCTCCGGCCACAATGGCATCCCATTTATCACTGCCACCGTAAACTTTGTCCATGCTCAGCTTCGCTCGCGTCGAGTTCTTGTCGCTCGTATTCTGTGACAGTATCGTGCGGACGAGCGCATCTAGGACAGACGGAGAGTCGCCGCATCCCGCACGTGTCGTGGAAGCAACGATTTCCTTTGGCCGGATCCGAGGGCCGTGCAGTGAGCTAAGTATACCATGTGCTATTTTGCATTCTTCGGCCGTAGGATGGTGAAAGTCGGGAAATGGAGAATGATTCGCAAATTGGGCGTAGGATTTCAATTTCTTTGCTTGTAGCTCTTCGGCTGAGGACTTTTTGGTTTGGGTTTTCTTGCCTGGCGAGGCCAGTTCATCCGAGGGGGAAGGACTGATCAAGCCTGTGCCGTCTTCCGTTTTGATTTTCTTTCTGCTCTTGGATTCGCTGTCGACATTTGACGCTCGCTTTCGGGGTGTCCGATAGGGCTTTTGCGGAGACTCTTGCTCCTGTTTGATGGGTGTATCGGGCTCCTCCTCTTTCAACTCCTTCTTGACACTGGGCGAAGAAGCTGTGCTGCTCCGTGTCACTCTTCTCGCCGCGGAGGACACTGCTCGTGTGGACCGGGACATCGAATTTGGAATGGGTGGTCGATAGTCACCTATTTCCTCGAAGAGAAGAGTAAGATATGGCTCGAAATACAGAATGGTGATGTCATCATTGATGGGTTGAGGATGGACCAGAGGTGGACGATGTGTCTAGATCAAAGGAGGGCAGAGGTCATTTTAGGTGGAAAACACAAGCTGCAATCTGTCGCGACTCGCTATTTGCCTGTAGTCATGAAAGACATCAGCTTCACCGTGCAAAGTCCTGTTGTTGTGTTTGTAAAGCGGCCCGTTCCATGCAGAAGAAGAACATTAGGCCCTTGATCTGGGGGGGTCGGCCTATGTCAGATCCGTGCTTACTCGGATCGGTACCTGCAGATCGCGTCCCTGATCCAGTGTCGCGCATGAATCAGGCACGACCCCTATATCAAAAAGCATGACTCATGTCTTCCACGGCTGACATTCTTCACACACGGGTGCACACTCCATCTAGCTGTCCTTGTTTATACACCTTTTGATCTCTTGTCGGACGTCAATGATACATTCATTACTGCTGTCGCCTTGAGGCGCCGGAGGGAGCTGTGCACAATGATATTGCATCATGCACGTACATTCACTATGAGTGACACCGTCACCCGGTTGTGCAACCAAGGTGAAGCACAATCACAACAGGTACGTTCTCAACAACACAGCCACGTGAAATGATATGATGTGCCGCTGCTTTTGGCAATGTTGTGCCTCACCTATAAATTCACACCACCGATGAAGAACAAACTTGTTAAAGCAGCGCATACCCCTATCGCGCAGCCTCGCGGACCGCAATCATGCGCTCCACCATCATGATTCCCTCTTCCAGAGACCGGGCAACTCGTCGAGCTACCTGGCGAGTCGCTCCTCCTGCCCCTGCAGCACCTTGTGCGGCCAAGTGCCACCTCCTCGACGCCATCTCTGCCGAAATCCGCGTGGAAATCTACCAATACGCCCTGATCTACGAAGATCCTGTCTTTCAAGACCAACGACCAATCCGGCTGCTTTCCAGATTCGGCCGACTGAGACCAGTAACAAGCAACACGTTCGCTGCTCTGCTCTGCGTCTGCAAGCAAATCAATGCAGAAGCCGCCGATATCATATACCGCTTCAACGACTTCGTTGTTGACTGGAACACTCTGTCCTTGGATGAGCCCCTCCGATACCACATCACCGAACAACTCAAAGAAGTGTCCCTCGACTGCCGAACGGGCATGGTCTTCGGCTACACCGAGAAACTCAGGATGCTCGCCATCCACGCTTCCGGAATCGAGACCATGACTCTTAGATTCGAACTCTCCGCCCGTCTCATGGCTGCCGTGGTGGAGCTGTCCAACGCCTTTGTTCAATGCTCAAGCGCCTTTGATTATCCCGCCTTGAGACTATTCGTCGACATTCTCACCCGTCCGGAGGTGCCCCGGTTCGGAAGTCTAGAGGGCACAGTGGCACTGGAGCTCTTCGAGCGCACGCTCGCCGACATCCTTCCGCACGCCGCGCGTTTCGCAAAGACGTCGCTCACACAATATCACGCTCCGAACTTTCGCGAAATCAACCTGCTCGGCCGGATTGAAGGATACGTCGTAGCCAAGATCGACGACCACCGCTGCTCGACAGATCTCTGTGGCTGGCGCAAGGTATCCGACACGACTCGCCTCGCCTTCGCAACTCCGACAACCACAGGAAGACGTCTGGAATATCTTTGGACTCGCCTGGGCAGCTGTTACACCGAGCCCGACAGAGACAGAGCATGATTGGACGAAGCTGGGAAGTGCTTCTTGGGCCTTGAAGAGCAACGGCGTTGGACCGGTTCTTGGAGGGTGTCTTTTTTTCCTCTCACAATTGCGGAAGGCCGGCGCTCGAATGTCTTTAATCTTGCATACCTACGTAGCAACAGTGTCATGCTCCTGCTTTGGAGAAGCTCTGCTGATGCGGTTTAGGCCATAAGGCACGAACGATCATTTTCATGCCACCACTCGCCTCGGATCATACCTATCTCGCTCGTCAAATTTGTATCTAGATTCCTTCCCAAGCTCGTCGGAGGCAGACGACTAATGACAGGCAGTTCGTCGAGGCCTGCCTGCCTGCACCTGACAACGCAGAAACCCTGATCTAGTGCCCAACAAGCCCGCGATTGAGAGTGACATTCTTCTCCATTTCTTCCTCATCCTGCTCTCGGAACTCGATCCCCAACTCCTCCAGTCCCTTCTCGCCCTCGTTCCCTCCGCCACCCAGCACGCGCTTCATCATGCTGATACTGCGTCTGACTCGACTCTTGCCATCCTCGCGCTCATGCGCGACCTGTCCGTCCACAGCCTTGGAATCGTGAGCGTGCTCCTTGTGCCACTTGGCAAACGCACTCGACCTCCTCCCTTTCTTCACGTCCGCGGCAGAAATACTCATGGGCTGAGGCGGCCAGTTCCCTTCGGCCTTCCACCCTGCCACGAGCGCGGGAATCATATGGACCAGCGGGATGGGCACGTTGGGCGCCAACCCCTGCACCACGATCTTGGAGTATATCGTCGCGTAGGCTTTCGGATTGATTCGGTCGCGTAGAGAGTCGTCGGCCGGCAGCAGCGGTGGGAATATGGGCAGCCAGGGACCCTCGTTGTCGCCCTCGTCTTTCAATTTGTCGCTGTCCCGCTCCTTGTCTTTGTCTTTATTCGTGTTCGTGCTGGGCGGTTCCACGCTATCAATAGACGATCCTTCGACCGGACTTGCATGGGACCGTGTCGGCGACGACGTCGCGCCGGTGTCCATAGGCGATGCTGAGCACAGCACAGCTAACCCAGCACCTTCGCCAGCCGCGACCGATGACCCAGACTTGTTCCTCTCATGTCCAGGTCCAGGTCCAAGTCCATGAGCAAGCATGCTCGAAGATCTCCGAAAAAAGTGTCCCGACCTTTGTCTGCTGCCATCCTGCTCATGTCCGCCACCACCACCGCCGTCTGGCTTTGTTGCTGGCGACCTCACCGACACGACCGAGTCCTTCGGTCTCCGCCTAACCGCACCGGTCCACGCATCCCTCCGATTCATCCACACTCTCAACCCGTCATTCCAACTCATCTCCTCTGCGACCAGTTTCCTGCGTTTCCGCTTCCTCTCGACAATCGCATCGCCGACGGCATCGGGATTTTCAAACCGATACGGATCCGTCTTTCCATGTTCGTGACCATGTCCACGTCCATATTCGCGTGCGTGTGTATGTGCATGGCTCGCACGCTTCGCCGCAGCTGTTTCTCTCGCCTGTTCAGCCTCGATATCCGAGAGCGACTCTTCTCTCAATTTGTATCCAAGCGGTTCGCGCTGCGGCAGGCCCGTGTTATCTTTCACCGCGGTGGAGGGATACTCCCAATCATCCCGCACCATGCCTAACAGCACCCTCCTCGTGACGCGGGAGTTATCCGTCTTTTTCACGGGGTCCTGCACAGGTGCAGGTGCAGGTGCAGGATGTGCTGTCCCATCGGCCGAGCTGTGCGAGCTGGTGCTGGAGCCTTTGCGTAGGCGCTGGGTCAAGTTATGCAGAAAGGGCGTGTGGTGTGGATTGTGATGTGAGTCGACTGACGGGGGGCGCGAAGACTGGACGATGGAGGACCGGGTAGGCGACGAGTCTGGGGTCTTGGATGGATGCATTTCAGAGATGTGACGATGGTGGTGTATTGGAAGAGCAGTCTGATTTGGTTCAGATGAAGTTGAGTTGAGTTGACGGTCGTGCGAGGGCTATTTGCTTCCGAAATTATTTACATTCCGAATTGCGTACAGACACAAAACGGTGTGAGTTGTGTTAGTGAAATTGCTCTGCACGACGATATACACTTGATCTAGTGCATGGTCCAGCACGACAACGATGGCAAAAGACAGGCAAACACCATGATGTTGGAAGCACCTGACATTTTGCCTCTATCGCAGTCTCGGCCGGTCCTCTTCGGATGCGCAGGTGCAGTGTGATGCCTAAAACCAATCAAGCTTCGTTGCCAAGGACGCCCCTCATCCCCCCCGCCATCACCGCTAAATCGAAAATCCGGGGGTGCGCCCTTTTCCTCTAACTGGACTGGCGTGACTGGCGCGTCTATCCAAAACCAACCGCTATGATGCGTTTCTCACCCTCGCTGTCCTCAACAAGTGACGTCCAATATCTCTCATCAACGATCTTGTTCTTGCGTATCCGTACAAGCAGCGCCCGATCTTAATGCTGTCAGATTCCCTGAGCCATTGATCTGCTCGATGGTTTTATCACCATGGTTGGCATCCGTCGTCGGTTGTCCGCTTGTTCCGCTCGTTCACTTCGGTGCTGGTTTTGTCTCCATCCTTCTCCAATTGATTCCCAGTCCCACGTCAACCTCGATCGATAAGATGGTGGCCGAGCTCCAGGCGGGACATCCAAATTCAAGATAGCCACTAGGACCTCATTGCTGAAGTTCGTAGCCGGTTCGTACACGGGCAATGTCTCTTTCGACGAAAGGTAGGCTGGCTGCGGCCGTGTGATCCAGGTCTCAGAATCGTCAAGTCCCCAGATCGGACATCGTGATATTGGAGTCCGCTTGCTGGGTCGGATGCCGAGAAGTGCTTTGAGACGCAAGAACCAGTACGGTGAGGCAAAATACGAGTAGGTTACCACCACAGAAACCATGACAATGATGAAGAATGCAACTCCGACCCAGAATCCTTTGGAAGGGGGCCATAGGTTATGGCTGCCAGCAGAAGGTAAGGATGGTGTTGCGCTGTCTCCTGGTCGGGAAAAGGGTGGTGCTGGTGGAGCCATCGTTGACCTGTAGGTTGGCTTTGCGGTAAGGTACACAGCGAGCATGTCACGGCTTGAGCAGAGGTTTTTGATTTGGAGACAGTGGCAAAAGCAAGACAAACTGTTTGACAGAGAGCCTGCCCAAGGGGGTCAATAATTCACAGTCCAACAGACTGATGAGACAATGTCACTGTATCGGTTTCAAGCGGACAAAAAGAAATCGTTGTTGAATTTACGAAAGCTATCCTTTCCAGATGGCTCTAGCCTGGCAAAGGAAGAGTCCTTGACGACTAAGCAATAACAGTGACAGCATTCTCGAGAGTGGACGTAGACAGGTGGAGGAGTCTGCGAAACGTGCGCATCCCTCACATTGAGCAACCCTGGCCGAGTGCGTCCGGTATCCTTCGATGGCTCCAGCAGTCACAGCAGTCACTCTTCTCTAACTCCCAAGAGCTTGAAATTTCCTTCTACGGCGGCGGCGTTCGAAAGTCTGCGAGAGTACTTAACAACGACTGACTTGGCGTGGACAAGTCATTCGCCTCGGAAGGCCGCGGCTCTGCTGGCGGCTGTTTGATATCCGTAGATACCCACCGCCCCCAGTGAACTCAGGGACTCGGCGGAAATCCTGCTCCTGGCCTTCCTTCGAATACGTGAATATAATCGTTCGTGAGTCGGGGCAGGCAAAGATGTATTCTTGGGCCTCCTGCCGCTGTTCTTTTTCCGCTTATTGAAAGCCCGGAATGTCTCTAAAGACTCCTGGTCATGGTATGTCGTCACTGCCTCATGACTTGTCAATGTCGAGGGCGTCGACTGACCATCGTGCCTTTCAGGAGCGATTGTGACAGGACTTTTTGGGGGAACAACCCGCCGAATGACCTCCGCCCGCGTTGCAAGCATATTCGCCAGTTCCTCTTCGCTGAGGGATTCAAAGAGTCCAGGCTCCTCCTCTGCCTGCCTTTCATACCTATTTGCCAGCTCCTCTTCGTCGGGATCTTCACCAGGTTCCGGCTCCTCTGGGATGACCCCGGGGTTTGCTCCACGGACTCCCACGACGCGAATGGTGTCTGAGACCCCATCAGGAAAGTTCCAGAGCCAGCGTCTGTCCACCACCGGGTCTGCCCACAATTGAGGTTTCTCTTTTATAAGTCTTAGCCAATTTTCTCTCTCGTCCATCAATAGGAGTATCCAATTTCGTGGCCTCCAGCAGTCCATTGTTGCAAGGACCACTCTCTGCAAGCGTCCTGTTTCACCATGATATTCCTGCTCGTCAAGGCTGTCCATGTGAAAAGGGCGGTTTCTGTTCAAGAGCTTCGACAAGTGTCTTTTCTTGCAGAACCGGTCTCTCGCCCTTCTTTTCCACCACTGTCTTACGCTTAGGCAGAGACATAGAAGCAAAGCAACGGCCGACAATGATATCAGGAGTGTAGTTCTCTCTCGAGTATTTATTCGAGGCTTGTACGGAATCTTGCGGCTAGCTTGTGCGTTACCGGGAGAAATATTGGCGGAGCCATATGCAGTGGTGTCGATGAGACGGACTTCGGCCTCGGATTGCGGGGGGTTGGTAAGAAGAGGTCTTGCGACCGAAGACATGGGTGCCAGTGAGATGAGGATAGTGCCTTTCATCCTCATAAAAATAGTGCGCGAACGAGAGAAACGAGCAGCTAAGCGGGTTTTCATAACACCCATGTTTGCGATCAATAGCAGCAGCAAGCTGAGTGTTGATACAGCAGATCTTGCAAGGTAGAGAATGACGGCTGCAGTGAATGTCATAGCAAGAAACTGATACGTGCTGATGGTGGAGGATGGCTTGACCGTCGGTCAAGCTCGTATTGGACAAGTAATTCGGCAAGCGCAATCGAAATGATCCAGAAGGTGCAGCTTCCGACCTGATTTGGATGAGGAGCATCCGACGGGACACCAGCGGGGAAAAGAGAATGACATGAATTCGGGAAGAAGAAGCGCAGAGACCGGAGTATTGAAGGTGGAGAGTCAAACCCACAATCGCAGATATATTCATTCTCGGTCGTGAGCTCAAAATATGTACAACTTGTGCTCGTTTGACCAAAAAGGAGCGAAAAATCGTCGTAATCCTCCTTCGTTCGTCCCGCAAAGTCCAGTTCGAGGTGACCGCCATGCGAACCTAGTGTCGCACCAAGGGTACGCTCTTACCGGACAGGCGGGCTCAGCAGAGAGCGCCAGCATCAAACACATTTATCGTCCCCATCCGGTCTCCGTATGGCGAGTGCTTTCTAGGTAGAAGTGCGCCGTTGGTAGTTCGAGAAATGTAATAGAACCAGCCACAAAGCAATGATGTTCGCAATGTAATGTAACCTGTAAGCGTAGGTCATGCCGTACAACGCCGAATAGACTGCCAACGCAAAGAACAATAAGTTTGTTGCCCATCTGAGAGATCGTACAGATGGCACCATCATCCCGCTTGAGAGAGTCTCGACCAAGAGGATGAATGGCGCTATCGACAAGACATTATGGTGTGATGAGAACGGCGTCAACCAGTGCACCGCCATATTATGTATCCAGACAACCAAGACCGGCAAATTGATAGGCAAGACCCAAAGCATTAGAATGAGTATCGAGTAAGTGTAGTTGAAGAAATTATGCGCCGGTCCAGCATTGGTCTCTTTTGCGCAGCGCAACGCTCGTGTGCAAGTCATAAGCTGTACAATGCAGGCCACAACGTAGGCAAACGGATAGGGTATAACAGTTGCAACGAGAAATAAAAGAACAGCGGTATTGATGGCGCGGCGTCGAGGGGTGCTCGCAACAAAGGCGGAAGCGATGCCCTTTTCGCTGTCGTCAATCTTGACATAACGCTGAGAAAGTAAGCCGGAGATGGTGACGAAAAGATCGAGCAACGCAAGAATTGCGTAGTTCAAGATGACGCATGCGCCGACGCTGAGTAGACCGGCCAAGGGAACGAGAAACCAGAAAAATGTGTCCTGTGATCCAAGAAGGAGATCATTCTGCGTGTAGTCGACAGCTGTGCCGTTTTTCTGTTGGTGGCTGTCAGACCGTGTGCTGGCGGAGCTCGCTGAGGTAAACGCAGTAGCAAAGAAGGTCATCGAGAGCAACAAAACTGGCAGTGGCAGCCTCAGGCTCTGGTCCAAGCTTTCCGAGAACGAAATGAAGACACCTGAGCTGTCATAGACCCTGAATTGTTTCCGCAGGACCATAGCAACAACCAACAGGGGGAACGCTGCAAAGACAGTCCTGTATCTGACCACAAGTTTTCCCAAGCTGCCAATAGGATCTGCTCGCAGGCGAATCTCCAGCGAAGAGTTGCACGTAGGGTCAGACCAGATTTGAAAAGCAACACCAGCATGGGGTTCGCGACCGTCCAGCGTTGGTGGCATGAAAGGGGCAACTCCATGAAGATTGACGTCGCCCTGTTTGAAGTTGACAAAATATTTCGACTCGTGCGGATTCTCAATATGTTGTCGAACCAAAGGTGTAAAGAGCTCGGTATCCGCACCACAACCATGTTGGCGGACTTGAAGTGAATAAGTCAACAGGCTGGATCGGATCGACGAGACACGAATGTCCGTCACCACCGGTCGGTTCGGCGGAAGCTCGACATTGATGCCTCGAAGAAGCAACCGCGGAAGACCGACATCAGAATCGATCATAGACTCGGAGTCGGACACGATCTCAGCATAAGCCCAGTTGTTGCTAATCTCAGTAGACTTGTCCACGATGGCCACAAATTGGTGATCCTGCAGATCTCGGAGGTCGTAATTTAGATATGTGAAAGGGTTGGGTGGTTGATCAAATGAGAACTGAGACAGCCTAGTGGACGCTGGAAGCTGTATGTTGTCTCCGATGGGTTTCTTGCAGGCCAATCGTGTCGCGCTGGCGTCGCCAGACGAAAGATCAAATTGAACAGGCAGTGGCATTGAGGTCAAGCCTGACGCGAGAGGAAATGCACTGCAAAACAAGACTTCCATCTTTTCGAAACTGCCTTGGGCGTCCATTTGCTGATCGGTCAGAAAAGAGAAGCGTTTTGCGGTGGTATTGTCCACGACGGGAATGGGCAACAAAACCGCAGACATTTCATCTTGAGCACCAATTTGGCGAAACGTGACATTGTTACTTTTGGCAACGGAAGACTTTGATCCGTCGCCTAAGGTGAGAAGAACCTCGTGCGGCGTGTCTCGAAGACTTTTGGATGATCCCTCTTCCAGGCCGGTGAGAAACCACTTTCTGAAGATTTTCATCCGTTGCGCACGCGGCTTCGTTTGTCCAGCACGACGAACATCAACAACATCATACAAGGCCCTTATAATGACCTTCCGCACTTGATCCGCCCAAGTAATTGCAAGATGGTCCATGGACGTCCAGACATTTGGAATGCTCGAGGTGAAGACGGTGAATCCATGGCTTTCTGGAACCAGAGACGCAATATTGGTGTAGTCTGACGGGACTGTGGTGTCTCGTCCACCACCAGCAATTGAGATCAGAGTTGTGTGCCATAACGGATTATTGCTTGCCCATCTCTGCAGATACGATTCACGCCAGTATTCATTCACTTGCTGGTACAGAGACACGACGTCTGCATCGAACGTGACTGGCGGACGCGCATGAGGGGTGGACATGGTGATAATGGTGTTGACCGAATTTGCCTGGTATTTTGGCGTCACAAGTACAGTGCGCGCCACTATTCCACCCATAGAATGCCCGATGAGTATAACAGAGCTTGGGTCGGGTAATGATGGGTCACGCCGAAGTCGATTCGGGTCGTGGTACAAAGAGAGGATGTATGCCACAGCTTCGTTCACATACTCGGCCTGGTCCAACAGCGTCTGGCCATGAAAAGCTGACAAGTCCTCGTTGAAATCAATTGTGAAGAAGTCGAAGGATCTTACACCCTCTTTGACGCGATTGGCGTCGTGTCGGAGGACATTGAAATAGTAACGGGAGGCTTCGGAAGATAAGGACCGGACTTGTTTGTAGCTCCCAGCATTGCCTGGGATGAAGAGCACTGGTGCTCCTCTCAACCCAATATTATCTTGTGTGTAATCATCTACCCCCTCTTCCCGATAAAGGTACAGAGAGTACTTTGTCGCAAAGCGCGAGTGTTCCGTATCGAAGCCGGATAGTTTGATGTACGTTGGGCTCATCATCGACATGACGCATCCTTGAGGATCGACTTGGAGCTTGAGTGAGGAGCGAAGGATGATAGAGAGCGACAAAAGGGCGAGCGCCGTGGTAATGAGTGTGAGTGGTCGCCATGTCCAATGGCTCTGAGCTCGAATCTTTCGAAGGCCGCGTACATCAGCGTCGGTTTGACTGTCGCCCGCATCCTCCTTGGGCTTCAGCAACATGGTTGCTGAATGTACGTCCGGGCTCCAGCCAGACCTTGAGAAGGAGGGGTTCGACCTTGTCGTGCCGACGGTACGATAAAGGCACAAAGAAGGGAGATCAGAAGGCCGTGAAGGCCTTTGCTGCGACCTACGACTGGGGGAGGCGGCGAGGCGGGAATGTCGGATAATCCCCGGTAGAAAGCTTGGCATGGGCGTCGTATGTCTTGTTCACGTGCTTGTCCTCCTTGTTTCTTATCCGTCCTCGCCGTCTGGTCTCTTCGTCTCCCAAGGTGGACAGCTTCACAGCAAATTCGATCAAGACAACTTGTTAAGCCTAGTGTTCTCTTCAAAAGTCATGTCATCATATCACACGGTCAGGTTGCTCTAGCAAAGCCCAACGTAAGAACGAAACCTCGGATGAAATTTTCAGGGGGAGGTCAAGGTACAATTTCGCTCTGCCTGTCTAAGCCACCTACAACCCCCACCGAAGCGAAACATCAAGTATCATTGTTGACGCGTCCATATGCAACAGTCGGCCATGCCTCTTTTAGACATGAGTAGGATTTCATTGCTGATTATAATTCGTGCGCGTTGCAGAAATGGTCTTCTGCGATCTCTAACACGTCTGTCCACGCAGCGCTCAAGGCCACGAGAGACGAGGTCAATTCTTGGCCAACCATCGGGCTGGAAAGATCGGTCCAGGTCGCGGCCGTGAATTTGGCTAGAATAGAGTCTCTAACCTGCTTTCTGACCGATCATTTTCCGTAACTGAAGCTTTGAGCGTGTTCAACAGGCTAGGGACAGGAATAGATGGTAGGAGGTATGGATAGATTGCAAGATCTATACTAAATGCTTCACAAACCTGCCTGTGCATGACAAAAAACGCTCAACCATTGCATCCAAGAACCGTCCGCTTATTGTGCTACCAAAACACCACGATACCTCATGTTGCCGCCCTCCAGCGTCTCGAAAGCTTTGTTGATACCGTCCAAATCCAGAGGGAATGTCTGAACGATAGGGTTGATGTTTTTGGCAGCTGCAAATTCCAGCATTTCCCTGTGCACCTGTCTTGGAGCCACGAGACTCCCCTGAATTTTCAATCCCTTCAAGATGACAGGCATGTATGGCACAGTCAAGTTACCAGTGGTAACCGTCAAAGGGTAAACAGTACCCGATGGTGCCATGACAGGCAGGTACATATCCCAGTCAGGTTGTTGAGCGGTGGTGACAAGCAGGTGATCGATAGGTGCTTTGACTTCGAGCTCCTTGAGGCCTTTGACGGCATAGAACTCGCTCGCGCCGAGTTTCATGGCCTCCTCTTTCTTGCTTTCTGTGCCAGAGAACACGACGACTTCACAACCCATCCGTGCGGCGAATAGTATGGCGAGATGTCCAAGCCCGCCAATTCCAATTACGCCGACACGATCGGTCGACTTGAGACCGTGTAGCTGCAGCGCGGTGAACACGGTCGCACCTCCACACATCAGAGGAGCAGCGGCTTCAGACGACAACCCTTCTGGGATCTGGAACAAGAAGCTCTCCTTCCAGATGGCGTGAGACGCCATCGAGCCTTGGTCCAAGTCTGCCAGTCCGTACATTTGACGCTCGGGGCAGAAGGTCTCCATCCCACGAAGACATTGTTTGCAGTGTCCGCAACAATCGTGCTCGTAACCCCAACCTGCCCGGTCGCCTTTCTTGAACATTGTCACATTTGGGCCAACTTGCTCGACAATCCCAACTCCTTCGTGGCCAAGAACCAGGTCACTGGACTTAAAATGGATGTCGGTGCCGCAGAGGCCACTGTGAGTAACTCGGAGCAGGACTTCATCGGAGCCAATGTCTCGGTGGGTGGTGCCTTCGACGATTCCGTCCTTGCTGCCTTTGAAAACTTTGATTTCAACCATATTGAAGAGTCTGTTCAGGTCCTAGAATAGCCCCAGAATATTTTCAAGTAACTCGTAATGGTCAAGACTGGTTGTGATTGCTTTAGGTTGGAGATTTGTTGCTGTAACTTGGTGGCCACATCGCGACTGGAGAACACAATTTATACTCTTACCTTGCCCAAGTTTCATTACTCCATTCGGTCAGTCAAAGTTTGCTATTACAAAGCGACGAGGCTGCATATGCCTTCAACGGACTGTGCACATTGACATCATCGTGAAGTCAGGAGGCATTGGCGGGACAACTTCTCGAGAAAACTCTGAAGGTGAAAATTCATGGGCCTGTTGTGCCTGTACGGGGCTCGGATGGGACGATTGACGGGTCTGAACTCCACCAAAAGATGTTCTTTGACTTTCCAGCATTGGGTTAACCCTCTTCATTGTGACAAAGCAAGGTCTCAGCTTCATAGGGTGGAAGAGCACACAAAATCCATTGCAGGGGGGACATGCCATGAATTGTGTTGAAGGTAAGCGAGACTAGCGAGGGAAACGCAGAAAGCTCGGGCAAGCGATTCTCGCTTCTCTGTCGTTTCGGTTGAGCTAAACACGGCCGACTTAGTTCGAGTAGCTCTTGATCGGAGCTCTTGATATCCAGTCGCAGCGATCAATCGGCCCGTTACGATGACAAAGCCAGGGTGGTCACTGGTGAGGCCCAGGTTGAAGGCAAGAAGGCCAACATGGCAGATCTTTAGTTAGACGCCAGTGGATGCCGCATTGTCAACTCGGAGATGCAGTCCGAGCAGAATTTTCCATGGTCCGTCGTGCCGTCAGGCCGTGTGTCTGGTTTTCGAATCAGCAACCAGACCAGGCCAGAACTGTCAACGCTATCTATCGCTGACGTCTTCTAGCTTCAACGTTGGACTGTGATACCTCGCAGTACCAGATAAGTGCCGAACATCATCACCTCGTTCTACGGTATCCGACCTAAACCGGGCTTTAGCGCATGTTCAATGCCACCATTGTCTTTGGTCGCGATCTAGATGTTAACATGTCAACAGATTGTGGTCGCGAATGTATGCTGAGAGTAGTGTCTCTAGTCTGGGAGTCTGCTTGCAGGACAAATGGAAGTCTATGAAGAAGACGAGCGCGCCTCGAAATTTGCCCACAACCTCAGTTCATGTCCGATATATTCGTGTCTGACAAACAATATGTCGCTTGGAGATGGTGAAGATAGTGGCTTTTCGCCAATTGTTCTGTCAGACCTCCGCCTATTAACACTCAACCATCAGACCATCCGTGACAATCCCTATCTCAAGGCCCTTTATCTCTCCCACCCTTCTTGTCAGCTTTGAAATTTCAGATTTCTCAGGCACATCAACCGTTATTATTATCATCTTGTCACACACGACGGAGGAGGCCTTTCATCAAGAAAATCTGCGAGGTTACTGTACACATTACAGTACCATGTCAGCCCTGCCCGTGCGCTGAAGTACGCGGAAATTAAATCCCAGGCCATACTCACCCCCCTTGTTGACATCCAGTCCCCCGTCAAGTGAGACGTCAAAGCACAAAAGCCCAGTCATCAGTCATTCCCAGTCCCCTAAAAGTACTTAGGCACTTACTCTTCACAAAGACAATAATAACAAGATAGGTGTACCGTTCTTCATTGCCTCGACCTGACGCACAACCTTACCTAGCTATGGACATCGACACGCTTTCACTGATCGGCCACAACTTCGCCGCCATCCAGCTATCGCCGCTGGCTCGCTGCATGGGGGTTTTCTACCTACACGCGGTCATGCGTCTTTTCCTCTCCTACCGCAAGCACTCAAAGGAGGTCTTGCGGCTGTTGAACCGCCTTTTTGAGCTGCGCCGGCTATGGGACGCGTTTTGGACCGTTCTTTGAGACAAGTCTCGGACGACGTTTGAGTGTGCTACCACCCGTATCGAATTCTGAGCAATGGTGTGCCATGGCATACCTCAACACTACTCTTCATCTATTTCGCAAGCTGTTTTCGGCTCACTTCACCCACATCCTCACTCAAGGTACCAATAGTTTCGATGTTAGCCTTGCTAAGGTCCTACCATTGTACTTATATATGGCAGTCGATTTCCGGCCTGAATACATTATGGTCTCCAGTTCAGCCGCGGGGAAAATTGGACAATATATGAAGCACGAGGACATTTGTCTTGTACTAAAGCGGGAGTCCGAAGGAGTTACGGGCGTCGTCGCCGAGGTCGTCATCCGCAACGAGAAGGCAAAGAAGTGAGTTCCTCCTTTCATCTCTTAAGCAGTCGAGATGTCTAATCTCTTCGCAGGTTTAAACAACTAAGCTCGCTGTCGAAAAGTTGAGTCCTTCGCCGATCCCAGCTATAACTGCGTCGACTTTGTTCTCTTATGGATCGCGCATTGCCTTCGTCATGGCCTGTTCCGCGATAAGTCGACGCTCGTTCAAGTCCTGGCTACTGCGAAGAAGAGGCCAGATCGTGTTCTGCGTTACAAAACATCCGGACTACCCCCTTCGCTGCCTAAATCCGTGAGCATTCAGTCGGGAAGCTTGCATTAGAGCTTCCAGCAGATTTCGGACATCGGGATGAGCCGGGACTCTTCTTGCTTGTCTGTCCAGATTGTCCAAATTTTCCAAATAGAACATTCCCCTCTAAGCGCCACCACGATCGACACCGATAGAGCTGCTTATACCCGGAACACGTTCAGAAACACCGAGCTGCTGCTGGAAGTACAACAAAGCGAAAGGAGAAACAAGGACCCGTAAAACGCAAGGCTCACAGCAAGGCGAGTTCGAAGGCTTGAATGAAGCTGGTGATTTCTTGAGGTTCTGCAGATTTATGATATTACAGTACTCCGTATGGTGTTTAGCGATGCAGCTCACATAATATATGGTACGTTCAAATATCCAGTCTCAAGCAGCGGCCAAGGGTCAAGCTTCGACTGGGATTGGACTATGCCGGGCAGCATACCGTCGCCAGCAGTCTTGCGCTCTAGGCCAACGGCTCACTCAAACGAGACTGTCATTGAGCGTTGGTGATATATCTCGACAGAGAGGATCCAACGATATGTGGTACAACTGGTGAGAGAACGAAAGGGCGGCTCCGACAGGATACAAAGACAAGCAGGACAGGAAACGGGCTGAGATGAAGTTGATCGGGAACACGAAAGTCTCGCAAGGCTTTTCAATCACTACGTGTCATTAACAGCTGTATCTGGTCACTGTTCTGCAGCGTATTTTCCCACCAGTCCTTCTCTCTTCTCCCTCTCTTGTCTTCCTACGGTCCCCACCAAACCAACAATCGCATGTCTCCGTCACGTTGGAGACGGGTATCCTCTCTGTGAAATAAAGTGCATGTATAAGTAAGGTTACGTGTAATGTCTGAGCCGAAACTCGTCATGACGTCGTGAATGTGATACTGTAAAAAGACGGCCAACGTTCTCGAAACCGATGCCAACAACCCTCCATCCCCAAGACCATCTTGGATTGCGGCAAGCCAAGCCCAGAGTACGCGAAACTCTTTCCAAACGTTTGCGTGAGGCGTGAGGTCGTGAAAAACAGTATCCTGCAATACGACAGGGGTATGGCAGCAATGCTTTTCTCCCACAACGCCATTGATGCTTGCTTGCTTGCACTTCGAAAACACCGGCCGGGTCACCAAGCCCCGTCGATGTCTATGGAGCACACAACCACACCACTAATTTAAGCACTAACCTCCTTGTCATCTTTGTCCGGCTGCTCCGCGGCTCTCAATTGATTCTGATGCTCGACCGTGGCGATGGCGCTTTGCAGCGCACTGGTCAAATCGATATGGAAGAAGGGGCGGTTCAGGCCATGCACGACAGCCACCCTCTTCGACGTCGCTCTGTTATACGCCTTGCTATTGGTGATCTCTCGCGACAGATCCGGGCTGTTGTCACCATGACTATGACTAGAGTCGGTGCTGGGGTCGTCTTTGTAGTGGTGTCTTTCAATTGCATCGGCCTTGATGACGCCGTGGCCACTACTCGTGCGAGAGTGACCGATCTCTTCGTCCGTGTGGACGCGTGAGAGGCGTCTGTTGCTTTCAGCTTCTGCCGCAGCGGCTGCAGATGCGGATCCGCCGATCTCTGCGACGCTGAAAATTGGTTTCCATCGATGGTACTCTTCCTGCGGGGCGCTCGGGTAGCCGAAGCCTGCGGAGGCCAGGGCGCGCTTGGTCCAGCGGTTGTTAATGCAGGCGAAATGCCATTGAACGCTCTCGGGTGAGGCGTAACGGTCAAGCTGGTTGCGGACGTCGATGAGGTTTTGCACGCTGGTCACGTCGACGTTGTTCACGGACGACATGTCGAGAACAATGGCTTTGAGTGTGGGTAGATGCGAGCTATCGGTCTCCTCCTTGCCTCGTCGTGGCCCTGGGTTGTTCCATGGTCGGTCGCCTGGTCGGGGCCAGGAGTGAGGATTGGTGCGGCGAGTATGCTCGAAGATATATTTGACAAGGTGGTCGGTGTAGTGGTTGGCATTGGGATAGTTGAAGCCTTCGGAGAATCGGTAGACGAAGACTCCAGGGTACGGCGCCTCGACGTGGATGGATGGGTTTGAGCCATCGTTGTGATCGAGTGGGAGGAAAATATCCCGCACGGCTCGATCGTCATCGGACATCATCCTTTGGTCGTGGAATTTGTCTTCCACCAGGTGGTCACCGATGACGGAGTGGATCTTGACTTTGCCGACAAAATGACCATTGGCCTTGATAACACGGAAGAGAAGCACGGCAGCGCTGACGCAGATCGTGGTGTAGATACCGTTTTCGATGGAGGAGAAGACGGTGACAAACACACCGGCAAAGAAGATGATGACTTCGATCGGTGAGACGCGCCAGAATTGATAGACAGTATTTGGGGGTGTGATCAAGTCACCAACAGCGTGGATGATGACACCTGAAAGTGATGCGCTCGGAATGTAGTAGAAGACTGCAGGAAGGGCATAGATTGCCAGAAGGACGACAATTGCAGTGATGACACCAGCGAAAGGTGTTCGAACGCCGGCTTTGGACTTGATGGCTGTTCTTGAGAAAGAGCCTGTCGCAGGATACGCGCCGAGGAAAGGACCTAATAGGTTGGTGACGCCAATGGCCACGAGTTCCTGTGAGGGATCAATGGTATAGTTGTTGACCCGACCGAATGATTTGGAAATGGCAATATGCTCGATCAAAAGCACAATAACCGATGCGGGTAGCTCGTTTGCGAAGTAGCTAATAATGTCGGTGTTGATTATGGGAACACGGGCGTCCTGGAATCCTCGAGGAACTTTCCCCAGGATCTGAAAGACATGATCATCACGGTGATGGCGATTGACAAGCCAGCTGATGAGGGTGTACAGGAGGATGACAAATGCAGTTCGAAGAGTCGAAATGAAGAAGAAGGTTTTGGCTCGATCGGGGTGCCTCTTTGCCAGTTGGTTGCAGGTGAAGCGGATTAGATAGAGCATGAAAAGTGCAGTCAGACCCATGGCAGCGTCGATTTTCGTGTGGCCAAGGTACTTCAAGGTGTTGATGATGACCAGGTAGGTTGATGCCCTCGTGTTAAACCCCTTGACTTTGATACCCATCATGGTTGGCACCTGCCCACATGCGATGTTGAGAGCTGAGCCGGTCATGAAAGCCGAGATTGCAGTCAAAGGAATGAAGTCGACGATCCACCCGCACCGAATGAGACCGATAAAGCAGACGATGGCGCCTGCAATGATGGCGAGAGCTGAAGCGACAACATGTCCAGGAACTTCCGGGTGCTCCTCAGCGACCTTATTGACGATGTTACCAGTGATAGTCGACATGACCGCGACGGGACCGATGGTGATATCCTTGGATGTGGCGAAGAACCAGTAGATTAAGACGCCCATGAACGAGGAGTACAGCCCGTACTGGACAGGAAGCTCGGCAAGTTTGGCATAGGCCATGCTCTGAGGCACGACGACTGCGCCGACAGTGATGCCGGCCACGAGATCTCCAATGAGCCACTGAACGTTGTATCGCCCAATCCATCTAGTAAAGGGGAAAAGACTTCGACCATAGGTGGCCCATTGACGGCCAGTGGGAACCAAATCTCGAAACCAGTCAATGGTTCTTGGTTCTTCTTCCACGTACGTATCAGCAGTGTTGACCGAGTACGTGGATTCGCCACGTGTCACGGCATCCTTCTGAGCCTGACGTTCATTGAGGTTGATCCGAAGGACCTTGGCCAGGCCGTGGCCAACCTTGGAAGAAGTGGACGTCATTACGACGTCTAACTGCTTTTCAAAGCAAAAGACCTGATCGGACGTGCGATTGCTTGAGAAAGGGAGTCAGGACAATTGATGTCCTGAGGGACGAGGAAGAGGCGGTGGACGGCCTTTAGTAAAGAGGTTTTCGAGCTGAGAGGACGGGGGGGGCCGGGCGTCCGGCGGGATGGTCAAGATTAGACTTGGGCGGACTGCTTCTACCCTAGTCCAGGCGTGTTGATGCCAAGGCGTGTTGCAACGATTGGGCGTAATGGCTGCAGTAAGAGACAAGGATTATATGGGGGTCGTGGCTTGCAGGACTGACAAGCTACTCGTGCAGCAAGACAAGTCGAATCCCGGCGCGGCGAGGGAGAGGGAACGCAAAGGCCGTCTGTCAACAGCGGTAGGCCAGGAGGTCCGTCTGCCACCAAAGAAGTATGACGGTCGTACAGCGTAAGACTTGCGATAAACTGCCTCCGGAGACCGACTCTCTGGTTGCGATTGCCAGAGTAAGGTGGTTTCTGTCAAGAACAAAGAGACGAAAAGTTGAGGGGGGCAGAAGCGCAGAGATATATGTTGTAGATCTCGGTGATGGAGGGTTAGATTCCTGCACCTCCCCACAGACAAGACGGGTCAAGCGAAGACCATGTGTGCTTTGCCGACTCTAGGCAGTGAAGGAGATCGGGACTCGACAGGGCAGACGAAGGAAAGTAAGATCTTGAAGGATGAGATCTACTGGTGAAGAGATACATTGGAAATAATGGCATGCGAAGCCAGAGACTTTTCGGGCAAATAATTGTGGGCAATGATGAAATGGGGCGCTTCAGGACGATGTCGCAATCGAAGGCGTGATGGGAGAATCACACGTCGCTTTGGTCCAAGGCGACGTGGACATCCTGAACAGTTTTTGCCCCATTACAGTCCCTTGAAGCGCACGCGTCGACTTTCCGCAAAAGAAAAAGAAAAGTTGAATGATTGTGATTGTTATTAGTCAAGACCAACGAGTCTCGATGGCAACATTGGTACGAGGAGGATAGTCACCAGTGTACAGTTGACCTGTTGCTGGCATACCCACCTGAGGTTCGCAAGGCTATCGTGGGCTATCTCTGTGCTCGTCTCGTCCAGTTGGCAAAGCTGAATTTTTACTGCCGATCAATTGGGGTTTTCAAGCACACCCGAGGCACTGGAAGGACTCGTCCGTACCTGTGTCTGTGCTTCCCAGAGGCTTGCCGCGTGAACGAGCCTCCCATGGCCTCCCAAAGCCCGTCGTCCCAAACGGTTGCTCAGGCTAGTAGGCTGATCTGTGCTCCCGGCACAGTTTCTTCCAGAGGGAAAAAGAAGCCCATGACTCAAGGGGAATCTGATCTTGGACGACTTCATCAGTGGGGATCAGAGTTGCTCCCTTCACATGTCTTCGATTCTCCCGTCTTCTTCGTTATTGTCATTACTCCGTACCATTGCGTGCCACTGCTAATGAGCGCCAGGAAGAGGGGGCACTTTCACTTTTCACAGGGAGCGAAATGGCGTGCTCATCTATCTCGAACCTCCTTCGTCGATGCTTTGAGGTCGATCTCCATTTCCACCCTGGCAAGACCTGCGCCAACCTGCCAGGGCCCGTCGTGCTCGACCTGTCATGTCGCGAACCAGCCCCCAGCTATCCATTTCTCGGTAAAGCCCTGATCCCTATCCAATGATCATCGTCTGTGGCTCATTGGTCACCGGTCTAAATGCTGACGCGATGTCCGCCATAATGATCCCATACATACTCCGTACTGAGTATTGTACTACTGATTCGACCCTCATGTACCCTAATAATAAGGGCAGGTATTTGTCGTTCTTCGGATCAAGGCTTATCTCTGCATGCTTTCCTAGGACGCTCACATCTTCAAAGTTCAAACTAAAACGAAGAATCTCGCAGCTTGTGCAATAAAGCACGGCAAAGGAAACGTGAAGAAAACGAGCATGGGATCAGGCTGTACCGTCAATGCGGACCGGAGTGTGTCCTCTGGTTGACCGCTTTTCCTTAGCGTCCCTTATGCCTCTTCTGTGTCCCCTATAGCACAGTACAGCAGCCAGATCTTTGTCTGGCCCGGCAGACTCTACAGCCGCCCTGGGATACGAAGTCGCACGTCTAGGAAGCCATAACCTTGGCGACGCTGGATCGGAGGTTGCAAGATACAATGCAAGTGAATGCTGCCATGTTGAGCACTCGAATCGATAGACTTCTTGTACTCCGTACATCATCAACAACGGGTCGTCCATTTGATTGCGGATGCGCCATGACCATCTCCCTTGCCTTCTATCATGCAAAGCAAGGCTATCTAATATTCGCTGCAGCCCAAAAAAGCCGGTTCTCATTAGAAGTGCTCAGCCTCGGAGGACATTCAGCACAGCCGTTCCTTGTGCGACCGTAGCCCCAGTCCAGGTGCATTCCGTACAGTACAAACGCCATGAGACGAATCCATGAGACCTTTCCATCAACGCCGGCCAATGCAGATGCTCCAGTGATTGGATGCATCGGATGCGGAAACCCCACGCTCGCTAATGCAGGGAGCTCATTCGCATCTAGATGCCTCCCTTCTTATCATCTCGACTCACTTTGGTTGACGTGCTCTCGTATCCTTCGTGTCACATTGTAATCACTGCGAAGCACATTGCATTCTCTCCGCACCCGCAGGAATGCCATCTTCTTCGTCTTCATCCATGGTCGCACCTTGTGCTCGAGCTTGTTGGCGAGCATCAACTTCTTCCAGATCATAGTCTTCCACCATTGAGTCTGCAGCTGGGAGCTTCTGCTGCATACGAGGTGGCAGGATTTGTTCCAGGAGTTCGACGTTCTTGATTTCGCTCTTGTCGGGGAACTTGACGTCGAATTGGATGTAAAGGTTGCCAAAGTCGTGATGACGGAAAGACGGCATACCCTGACCTTTGATCACTCTGATAGAACCAGGGGTGATCGGCTCGCCAGGGAAGATGTTGACCGTCAACCATCGATCGTCAAGATGCTCGATATAGATCTGACCGCCAGCTAGAGCAGTCAACAGATCAATCTCAGCATGATAGAACAGGTCGTCATCCTTGCGCTGGAACCTTGGGTGAGGCTTCTGCTCAATCTCAAACACAACGTCACCAGCAAGAACACCTGGCATTTGATCACCTTCGCCACGGAATTCAATCTTGTGCCCGCTCTTCACACCACGGTCAACGTGGACATGAAGGACCTTGCGCTCGACAATAGTCTTCTTGCCCATGCACCGTTTGCATCGGTCACGGTCGCGAATGGTCTCTCCTTCGCCCTGGCAGTCAGGACAGATGGTCTGGAAGCGCTGGATCATGGGTCCCATTTGGCGCATCATAGTCTTCATACCCGCACCGTTGCAGCCAGCGCATGTTCTGACCGCACCCTCTTTGCCACCACGTCCCTCACAAGCAGGGCAGATGACGGACTTCTGGAGGGCCAACTTGGAGACTTTGCCTCGGTAGATATCTTCGAGAGAGACCTTGTGAACATGGTGGATTGTTCTGGCTTTCTTTGGGCCGGTTTCACGCATGCCGCCACCGAACATTCCACCGAAAGCTGAACCGCCGCCGAAGAATTGTGCAAATAGGTCTTCTGCGGCCATTCCACCTCCCATTCCGCCTTGCTCAAGGCCTTCTTCTCCATACTGATCGTAGAGCTGTCTCTTCTGGGGATCTGAGAGGACTTCGTAGGCTTTTGAAAGGTCTTTGAATTTCTCTGCCGCATCGGGATTGTGTGCATTCTTATCTGCAGAACGTGAGTTGCTGCCCCTAATATGGCGAAGGCCGGGCAGAAATACCTGGATGGTGTTTGAGCGCGCCCTTCTTGTAAGCTGACTTGAGTTGAGGCTCTGAGGCTGAGGGGTCAACCTAGGATATGCGTCAGATGGTCTCTCCCTGAGTGGAGATGGAAGGTCTCTGGGGAGCGACTTACCCCCAGTATGTCGTAGTATTTTGTATCCTTGACCATTTTGAGGAGGGTCAATCGTAAATATGCTGCTCGGAGGAGAGAAAAGCAACAAGTGGGCTGGGGCGACAAGGGTGAGCGGGAGGGAGTCGCCGCGATAGGAGGACTTTTAGTGCGAGATAAATGAAAGGGCGAGCAGGTTGATCCGAGGGGCTATGAGAAGAACAAGCAGGACGAAGTCAGAAAGAAGTCGAAAGTATTTAGACTTGTACTGCGCAGGCGTACAAAGGCAAGGCAATCATCAAGCCCTTCTCAAAATTCACTACGGGCGGGCTGTCGCAGGCAGTTTAATGAGAACTCGCCAAGCTTCTGAGGCGTTCCTTCTGGTTCTCTCGACTTCCCCAGGGCGAGACTCGAGTAATCTTTATGCGTCCCAAACTGCAGCACAGCCAGGAGAAAGCAGTAGGCTGAAATTCAGCTGATCTCTAGCAGAGGCCTAACTGCTTCCATCTACACTCAGCCTGAATTCGTCCTTGTTGCGTGAGTGTCGAAGCGTCCAGCAATATTCGAAATGCTTGAACTCATCGGGTGGAATCATCATATCTCCGTTGGGGAAGACAATTTCTAGATTAAAAAGGCTCAGTCTGACAGAGATCCGTGCTGGTGGCGATTTCGCATTTCACGTATCATTTCCACCCTTTTTGCCAGGCAAGATCGCAGCCCTTTTGGTCAGACAACAAAATACCTCATGCAAAGATCTGGAGCTGGCGGCCTTTGGGGATTCGACCAATGTTATGCAGCCACTATTACTAGCCGATCTGGCTCCCGAATCGCCCATCGCAGGCGAGAATGTTGAGCCTCTGAGTGGTTGATCATCGAGAGCACAAAGGGAAGTTTCGTCATCGTGGTTATGCATAATCAACGACTGTGCACATAAGTATCTCAGAATCTACCTACGAGGCGAGGAACGCGCTTGGGAGCCTTCATCTTGGGCGAACTTGTGACTGATGCATACATAAGGTAAGGTAGTACAGACAAAGTCCCCGGCACAGGTGCTACGAGCAGCGCAAGTCGTACTCACCTGAAACACCAAATGTCTGCATTAGTTATGCCTGAATTGCAGAATCAACCTATTGCTCTTGGGTTTGGTTGTGTAAGCATCAATCTCTTCGATCCCTTCATCGTCGACAATCTCCGTGGTCCAGTTCGAATAGATGGCCGCAACAAGCAACTTGATCTCCTGCGTCGCTAAATGACTGCCAATGCACATACGCCCGCCAGACCCAAATGCCCAGAACCATCGATGCATTTCCTTCAAATGGTCCGGGGAGGTGTACGAAGGTAGCCAGCGTGATGGGTTGAAAGTCTCGGGCTCGGGAAAAACAGCCGCGTTACGGTGCAGACCATATGGCATGGCCGATACACGCACACCTCCTGGGATACCTGAGTAGTCTCCAAGGGTATTGCCACCGGGAACATAGGGAGAAATACGTGGTTCAATTCCTGGGATCGGGGTATGTAGGCGTAAGGTCTCCATGAATATAGCCTGGAGCAACGGCAGCGCGTCGATCTGCTTGGGGTCGGGTAGCTTGAAGTCCTTCACATCAGAATCTGCTGGCATCGGCCACTTAATGGCCGGTGTAAGAGTCTGCAGTTCCCTTTGGAGTTGCCTCTGGAGCTCTGGATTCTTGCACAGCTCCCAATACAGGTAGGTCAGAGCAATGGCAGACGTCTCGTGCCCAGCACCAAGTTGATCCAGCATCTCGCTGTAGATCTCCGCAGTGGTCGTGTCGTCGTCGGCTTGCTGGAGGCTTTCGTGTCGAACAGAAGGGAGCAGAACATTAGACATAGCCTTCCCCGCCATTGGATCCTTCTCACGCAATGCACTAATCCCACTCTTGAATTGCTTATACACCACCGGCTCGTCTCCTGGATAGGGAGAAGCAATCTCAGCCGCGCTGGAGAGGTATTTGTCCGCAGCACGACACATTCTGGCGTTCCAGTCTTCGAGATACTGGTTGGCGTCGTCCACGAACTTCGGTACGACTGGAAATCCGAGCCTGTTGCTGATGCTCTTAATCCATGGTATCTCGGCAGAGAAAAACTCATAATCTCGTCGGCAGTGGTACTCATGCATAATCCTTCGCCTTGTCGCAATATCTTTAGTAAAATCGGTACTTGCCTGTAGGCCAAACTGATATGCAGACATAAAGTCCATGGCAAAAGCATTGTTCATATCATGCACGTCCGTGGCTTGAGAATTGTCGGAAAGACTCTGAAGCAGCGGTAGGAAACGAGTTGAGAAAAGTACGTGCGAGTTGGCGGCGACATGTGGCGAAGCGGCTATATGCGACTTGGAGTAAATGTTTGCCATTGTGCGCTTCTTCTGGGAGTGAGGTGTATGATCTGCCGTGGTCCAAAGTGTCCTCAGCATGAGTTCAGAAGGCAGAATACACCAGGGAAGAGAAGGAGTCAAGTGCAACAGAAGCAGCATTCTTCCTTGAAACTATACATTTGCATAATTTCAAGAAATGCGTTGAGACACCATCAACGTAGGATGGGAAGCCCGCCTCCATGAAGCGCCAGCGACAGGTTTCAGTCGACAACGACCCAGGGGCGAACGGTAGCTCGTTTGAAAGGGGAGTAACTTACGGATCGTCGAGAACATGTTAATGACCCTGGAAGAGCATCAATGACTCTATTCAATCCTTCTGAGGTCACCAGAAATGATTACTCACCCATAGCTCCCAAAGCGCTGAGGATACCAAGCGTGCTTCTCCCAACCACCAGCGTAGATAGTTCGGATGCCGTTGTCCACACAGTTGATGCTGAGCTCATTCGACCCCATGCGGACAACATCACCATGTTTCCGATGCGCAGCGTATGTGACAGCATTGTTGCGTTCGCGGTAGCGTTGGTATGTGATCCAAAGGTCGCCGAAGATGGGAATTGACGGATGAGCCGGCGGGATGTGGCGCAGGGGATGGAAGAACAAGGGGTGTATGATGAATTTGTAGAAAGATAAGAGCGTAAGGGCTGCCAGTGCAAGGACCGGGAAGACTGAGATAGCCATGATGAGTGGACTCTGCACAATTCCCTAGGGCGGACGACGTCCCCGATATACAGAAAAAAGGCAGATTGATACCAGGTGTGCAGGCGCCGGATGCTTTCCTGTCCCTGTCGTGTAGTAGCTACACTCAATGCAGAGGACGATGATGCATTTAGCTCGAGTATGAGATTGTGAAGGGTAAAAGATTGTGACACGCTTCAGGGAGAGAGTATGTGACCTTTTCTAACCCAACAGAATCTGGAGAAAGCAAGCACTGCTAGTCATGCATGAACTTCATATCTGAGGCGTCAAGATAGTCTGATCCTTCCCCTTTCGCTTGTCCAAGGTGGATTCGGTCGCGAAAGTCCGTATATCCGGAGTGCGATACTCCGCATAGTGTGTCATTCGCCTGATTCCAGGCGAGTTCAACATTTTGAAGCAAAAGAACCGATCAACAACAGCCTCGGGCGAGACAAATGATGCATCACTGGAACAGATCATGGGGCTTTGAATAGATTTCTGCACAAGCTATGAGGTAATCTTTTGTTTGCCCTTTCCCTCTGTCGCCGGCTTCTGGTCGTCGGCCTCATCACTGCTTGAGATGTCGTCGTCGTCGTCGTCATCGTCATCAAATCCCGCGAATCGTCGCACAGGCGGCTTAAGCTTTGGCAGCAGGTGCGCTGGTATCTTGAGCCGATGTTGAAGCACCCAGAGTGCATCCGCGTCCCCGGCTTCGGCTTCTGACCTGAGCCGTGCCATTTCATCCTCGTCAAGCTCCATTAAATCTTCGGCGTCGCTATCCTCCCCACTGCCGGCGGGAGATCCTCCGCTTCCACTGCTGTCGTCTTCTTGTGCAGTGCCATCCGCAGTAGCAGGCTTCTGCTGATTCGCTAGAATAGCCATCTTGACAGCATTTCTGACATTCTCTCCAATCTCTTCTTTTTCTTCCACCCACTCATCACTCAAGCCTTTCCTGCGACCATCCAGTCCTTTGCCAGCCCGCATGTCCGCTTCTCGTTGCTCGGCCAGCTGAATGACCTGCTCCCATCTCTTTCGCCTCTCTTCTTTCTCCTTCTTGTCCATGTCAGGTTTGGTGGCCAAATAGGTGGCCAGATTCTTCGCCTCTGTAATGGTTCTCAGTCTCCGTCCGTCCAAGTTACGCGCACTTCCAGTCGCGAGCTCTGCATTTTGACGCTTCTTGCGCGAAGACATGCGGCCACCTGCAGCTCTGAGCTGAGAGCCAAAGCCACCCTTTCCCCCGACTAATGGGGCGGACAGCCGCAAAGGCAGCATAGCAGCCTCTAGTCCGTACCAACATGATGACTGTCGACTGAGGTCTGCAAGGGTTGTAGTAGGAGATGCGTGGACTGAGCGATTTGTGCTGGACGTGACAATTAGGCGAGTGGTATTTGGCAGATTGTGCGGCAGTAGATTTGCGATCGTGGTCAGCAGCTCACTGGTGGTAAATGATGCAGGCAGAGGTAGGCACAACGTAGAAGGCAGCGAAAGGCCCGGAAAGGTGTCTAGCAGGACATTGACGACTGGTTCCATGACTGCGGTGCTGTTCGGCGCGGAGTAGAAGGCTGCTGATGACAGAATTATTGCGCGGGCCCAGCCCTAGCAAGGGAAACAATAGAAGGCAATAATGATGTCCTGGCAGGAGCGATGTATAGTCGTATTGAGACTACTGAAACCAAGTCGAAACCAGGGAATTCTTCATCGAGCATGACATATATGAGATGTAACTGTCGCGCAACGAATTTGAGTGCCAGATTCCCTCGGAGTCTAGAGTCTAACCGGATTGGGTGAGGCCCCTGCCGCTAAAAGCGAAAAACCGGAGCTTGGTGTCCTGGGGATCACGGCCGATTCTTCCTTTCAAGAGTCTTTGAACTACGCGTTATTGTGAAGACGATGTCGCCCGGCCATTTTGGAACCATCAAAGAGAGACATTGACCTTTCGACCCCGATTCATTCTCTCACTGGCTGTCGCACACTGTTGCTCCATCCTCTGATGACTGTTCGTGCGGAGACTGTGTGCGCACTGGCCCCTGGACGCTGGACGCGCTCCACAAAGATCATCGCCAGGCCAAGGTCAAGGCCAGACTGACCGGACCAGACCACCTTTTCAGCAAATATAGCCACGCCTCCTTGGCTAACTCAGATACGCAATTGTTCAGAACATGCCCTGGCAGCCGCTGCCTCTTTCCTATGCGGTAGCCATCTATCCCTTTCAGCCTTCGGCATCTCCTGCCGAACTCCCACTTCAGATTGGCGATCAGTTGTATGTCATCGAGCAGGGCGGCAAAGATGGCTCCTGGTGTCGCGGCTATCTGGTCGCTCCTCTCACCCTATTATCGGCCTTGACACCTGGGGGAAGGACTGCTGCTGATGCGCGCGTATTTTCTGGTATCTTTCCGAGATGCTGTATCGAAATTCGGGAGCAACTGGGTCCTGAAGTCCCCGTGGCTATTCAGACAGGTCAGCCCAAACCACAGGCTCCTGTACCGATGCTGAAGATTGGGGATGAATCGCCAACCTCTTCAGTGGAGCCCGTGGTGGATGAAATATCCTCCTGTCTTCGAGAGTGGTACATTCTTCACCTTCCGGATCTAGTACTGCGCCGAGAGTACCATCTTCTTGACCAGATGTCTGAGATCTCGCGTCGCCTTGACTATGCACGGAGAGAGCTACTGAACGATGTCCTGACGGCACAAGAGCGGCTGCAAGTACGAAACGATGCAGTCTGGGACTTGGTGCGAGGCAACAAAATGCTGAGCGGCGAGGTTATCGTGCGAGATGCTACGCAGCAGGGCCGACTACTGACTTCGGAGGATTCTGCAATCGACATGACCAAATTACAAGCAGTGATGAGTGTCCTGGATGCGCCGCCCTTGGAGAAGTCAAAAGCTACCTCGCTACACCACTGTCTGCTTGAGGTCAAATCAGTGGTTGGCTCTGAATTGGACTCTGCAACATTAAGCTTGGCACTCTATCGCAAAGACTCTGACGGCAATGCGATCTCCTTTTCTGAGACGTACAGCTCCGTCGGCTCGGCTAAAATGAAGACTCTCTTCTCAGATCTTAGCACAAGAGATATTGGGGAAGCTGGCGAAATATCTCTGACCATGAAAGTTGTCGTTCCAGAAGCTCCGCGAAAAGCGAAACGACGAGCTTTGGAACGACTACCATCCAGAAACGGGACCTTACTTGGCCAACGCCAGCTTTCTTTGAATCGTCGAAGGTCAAGTTTGATGTTCGGCAAGCGCAAAAACGCCGAAAGACCACAGCCTGGTCAAAACGGTCGAGCGACGCCCCAGGTTCATGACAGGGCTCGGACACCGTCGATACCAGAGGATGAAGAAGACGGGTCTCCAAACGTCCAAGGTCCTCCTGTACCACGGACAGTTGGTGTCGGGATTCTCGATGTGAACAAGATAATACGGGATGGCGAGCCTCACGAGGAGACCATCCCTATATGGTCACTCTCTTCACAAGACGACGAAGACAACCGAGAGATAGACTCTAGGATCACGCAGCTGTTGGACGGCTCAGGAAAGGCTCTAGTGGTGTTGTCTCATTTATCAAGTGTTACAGTTAAACTGACTCCGTACAATGCCCCTGATGCCGATACTCTGATCAAGAACAATCCGACCGCGATGCATCTGGTCACCAAAACTCAGAAAATCGGTTTCTCGGAGGCGCCTTCCAAGCCTCGGTCTGATATCTACCTGAGACTCAACAAAGCCGTCATATCCCAAGGAGCACATCTGTCCCACCCTGAGCTGAATGTTGCGCCCATCAAAGCTCAGACAATGCAGAACCTGCAGTTGACCATGGAAGTCCGTGATTCTTCCGGACGGCGCGTGGAACATTGCATATACCCATCATCTAATGGGGCTGGTGTGACTGCATTTCGAACAAATGCTGTTAGCCTTGACTCTTTTTGGGATCAGACGCTGTGCCTGCGATTACCGACAGAAAAAGTACCGGAGAGCCATCTAGTGTTGAGTGTTGCGGACGCTCCTGAATTTCCTTTCGCATTGGCTTGGATGCCGCTGTGGGACAAGCAGGCTTTCATCAGTGACGGAAAACACTCCCTCATCCTCCACGCATACGACAAAGTTACTTCCAGTATCGTTGATGGTCGTGGCGCCTACCTATTCCTACCATGGAACAATGCCAATTACAGAACCGTACACGAGGGAAGCTTTGCCAACATCGCCTCATTGGAAGTCGATACTCTCCTCTGCAGCACCGAGTACTCGCAAGATCGAACGTTGGTCAGCCTAATCAATTGGAAGCATCAGACGTCGGTCCAACTGCTAGGAATATTACAGAAGCTTACCTTCGTACCCGAGATTGAAATAGTGAAACAGCTCAGAGATGTCCTCGATGCGCTATTCGGTGTTCTTGTGCACAAGTCCGGCGAGTCCAAATTCGAAGATCTCATTTTCAATGACATCGTATGGGTTCTGGGAATCGTGCATGACAGGAGGTACAATTTGGGGCCACTTGTTGAGAACTATACTGAAAATCACTTCCGGTCGCCGTACGCTGCATCCTGTCTAATACGCAGCTTCACCAGACTTCTACAAAGCGTGTCGGATCCTCAGAGCGCGCGTGATATGAGAGCTCTGTTCAAGGTCGGCAGGACATTCATGAAGATCGTCATAACTTCTTTTCAACAGCGACGCTTCGGGTCGCAAACGCATGCGAAGCGCGACGAAAAGCACTCGACGTTTAAAGAAGACATGCAAGCCATTCTATTTGGCTTGCAGATGATGATGCGCAGTGAGACGGCGGCCTTGGTAGGCAGCAAGACGCTTTTGGTACGGGAGTTTCACACGTGGCTTCCTGAACTTCTGCCGGCATTCAGCAAGGAGGAAGTCATGCGGACGGCTATCGAGTTCATCGACTCCTGCGAGGACGCAACCGGCAAGCTAGTCCTTTATCGGCTCATTCTCATACTAAATTACACCAAATTGGACCAGGTGTGGGTGGATGACAGGGACAAAAAGATGCTCGTTAAGAACTGCGTCAAGTGGTTGTCGCCCTATTGGATCCAAAATGATCTGACCGACAACTGGCACGAGCAGGTTCGATTGTGCTGCTCGATCGTGGCCGAGTTGACAAGGTTTCCAACACACTATCTTCACGAGTTCATGCCGAAACTCATATCTGCTTATGAAAGTATCGCAGAGGCACCGCCAATGAAACGACGATCGCTGTCTCTGCTATTTCCGGACTCGTACCCATTCGTTACCAAAGCAGCGGACAGCAAAGACGCGTTCGATGAGACACTACTCGAGTTGTCGGCGCTGGTAGCCACGATCTCCAGGTTGAAAGCTCCCTCGAATCCCAGGCTGCAAGGTCAAGAGCTATCAAAGTACATACTCTCAACGCTAACCGTCTTACGCTCCCTCCTGCAGAATAATGCATGTCCCTCGACTTGGCTCAGTCTGCACATTTACCACTACTCCTCTGCGCTGACGATCCTCAACTACCTCTCCAATATTCTCATCTCAATGTACCTACCCAGTCCCGAAGAAGCAGAAACCCCAGAACACGCCGACAGTTTCAACTTGAAGATGAGACTCTGGAAATCCTTCCTTGACACGCTGCTCATGCTCGTCTCTTCGCCAGGCTTGGCGCTCGAACTCTTCCCAGAACAGAAACGCCGCGCAGTGTGGAAAATAGCCGGCGACGTCCGCCAGTCCGGCGCAGACCTCTTACGCAAATGCTGGGAGAGCCTTGGCTGGGAAGCGACACCCGATGACCAGCGGCGGTATAACATCCGCAGATTGGGCGGGTACCAGGTTCAATATGTGCCCAGCCTCGTCGCACCGACTATCAGACTGTGTCTCAGCATGCATGAGGGCCTTCGTAAAATCGCCGTGGAGATCTTGCAGACTATGATTGTGAACGAGTGGGCACTCAGTGATGGCGAGAGTCTCGAGCTCATCGAGACGGAGATCATCGGCGCGTTGAACTCGATCCTTAAGGCGAAACCTGTCACGGCGAACGAGGCTATGAGCCGCAAGATATTCATCGCGGAGTTGCTGGAGTTGTTCAGCACGATTGCGAATCAACCGGACGATGCATTGTGGACGGCAATTGAAGAGCTCGTGGCCACGATTGATGAATTGGTTGATCTGCTTACGAGCACGGAATTGGATGATGAGTTCGGTCACGCGAGTCCTGAGGGCGACACCGGGCGCAACGGACATGTGAAAGGGAAGGATAGTGATTCCCAGAACTCGGAAGCGAAGGAGCTTGCGAGGGCGAGACGGAGTATTGATGGGCTCAGTCCGTCAAGCCCTCAGCAGGCCAGGGAGAAAGAGTACGGCGTGCATGCGCTTGAGTGCTACAAGCAGCTCGCTGAAGAGTACGAGCGGAGTGGGGACCATAAGAGATTGGCCAAGACACACAGGGCGATTGCACGGATTCATGAGGCCAGGGCAGCGAGTCGGGTGGGGGCGGTGAGGGAGGGCGTTAATGGAAGACGCAGGTACGAGGATGGAGACGGCGAAGAGGATGAGGATTAGGAATGAAAACCGCAATCAGGTTCGGTATCTCAGAATTCTGCGCGCGTTGGGCTGGAGCTTGAGAGTGATGCTGCTCTTGGGGAGTATTGGATTGCCGCTTTGGTGTCTTGGGAGGCTGCGCTTCAGCATGGAATTGGATTGACTCTAGATTGACGGCTGGCTGGCGGTGAACAGGCTGGTGTTGGTACAGTGCAAGCCCTTGATACCCTTGCGTGCTGGTTAGTCCGGTGTTTGGGACTTTGGCAGGCTGAGCGATAATTCAGGACCGGATGCGCAAGGAAGCGGACTGGACTCGCTTAAGGACTGTGTTATTCCGGGGGGGTTGGGGTTTTCATTCTTTGGTGGTGATATGTGTAGAGCGGACTCTTTCTCTTGTATCAGGTCTTTCAAAATTAGCGACATGGAAATCGATCCTTGGCTGTAGATCATTCTCCGTCCGAGTCAGTGCTCGGCGATTTGGATCCAGGAGCACTACAGGAGCTGATGAGGTTGAGTCTGTCAGATCAATGCGATCAAGTTTAGTATGCCTCAGGAGACCTGCGCACTAGGAAGCCCATGCATACACGTTGTGTGTTCATATCGGGGGATCTCATTTGGCCCTGAAACTTGAGTATCAGACGACCTTCCGTCATTCATGTTATCACCACAAGCCTGAATTGCCACCCCTTCAGCTTACCTAGGTGCTGCCAAGGTAGGCAGACATGAGATAGCGATTTTGGGAGCCCTCCTCCTTCCATCCAAGAGTGGCGAGATCCGCTTTCCAGCGGACGTTGGCTGTGAGGAGGCGAGTCAGGGTCGTGCTCCTTTCGCGGCATGGCACAACGACATTCGGTGGTCGTACGGTCAAGATCATCAGACGTTCGTCATCAGGACACTGATCAGAGAGGGTTCCTTGGTCGAGCGCCAGAGCAACAAACCGAGCGCAGACCGAGCGCAGTCGGTGCTCTTCGAACAACCCTGTATGGGTTAAATCCAAACACGCGCTGTTGAGGGATTCCTCGAAGCGATTGTTGTAAACAAAACTGAGTGCACGAGCGCGCCCCAGAAGAGCAAGAGTTGGACCTTGTCGTCGGTCTATTGAACCCACCAGCGCCACCTCACCTGGACATTCGTCGCCGCTGCTGGGTAATCTCCTCATAGGAACGGCCAACAGATCAGCCAAACTGACGGGCAATAGATTTATTTAAATTGCTCATTCTCCCAGACAACCCTTTAAGATCATCAACAATCTCTGTGCCATTACGTGGTCGAGGCCAAAGCGTCAGGAGACGTGTGTCTCGTAAAATAAAGCACAGATTGTGCGCAACGGCGGCCGAGACTGCGGTTCTGACAGCGTCTGTGCGGACAATGGCCTTGATATCGAGAGCTGAGCAACCAGGATAGTAATTCGACCTGTGCCGGCTGACGCCGTCGATATTGTTTAGCCATCAGACGGTGACAACCAGTGGACAATAGCAAAGCTGGACAGGCGCTGAGCAAAAGGAAGAAGATTCGGGTCGACTTGTTTCAGGGACGATGACGGGGGATCGCCTGAAGGGATGTCCCACCCGAAAGAGAAGATACTCCCTACTTTCGTACACACCAAAAACCGTGAGAAGCAATTGGGGCCATGTCACCGTCTTAATCGTCCATATTGGGCTTTTCGCCTTCATGAATGTGGTATAGTGTGTTCTTTTCAAGTGGCCAAATTGCCCACCTGGACACGCGAACTGTCAAGAACCAGGAGCAATGACAATAAAAAATAACAAACCGAGGCAATGATAGACGGCGAGACCCAGGATCTCAGGAGTCAGTGCGAAAAAGCCTGGCTCCTGGAGGGTTGAGAAGTGTCTGTGTGTCGGGTATTCTGACAGGTTCAGGGGTGGGTCCATCGTTGGTCGATGCTGACATCAACCCCGAGTACTCGTAGTAGTCTGCAGTCGCGGTTTCTCATCGAATTCATCAAAGGTTTGGGTGCCTGGAGTACTTGCTCGACTGGGAGGACTGCATCGGCTTCTGGGTTTCACCAGGATAGGCGAGCGGATGCAGGGTTTCTAGCGGCGAGGGTAGAATTGAAGAATCCGTGGTACGGGATGGGTGTGAAATCATGAAGACAGCCGAAAAGGGATAGTTGAAGGTGTCAGATGGATGGCTCGCGGACGAAAGAAGCAGAATGATAGATGTCTAGAATGCAGGTTCGAAGCTTACCGTGGAGGACACCTAGAGGACAATGAGTATTCAGGCAGTGAGAAGGGTTGGTGAGTGGTATGGAGTACCCGGTGAGTGCCCAGTGAGTGCCTGACCTTACAGGCTCCGTACCGGTCATCTACTGGTGGGTGAGAGGAAAACTCAGTGGGAGACGCAGCCAAGCCCGAACTTGCGTTTCGGCTTGAATCGGTTCCAGGAATCAGAATGTGGCAGATGCGGCCCCCTCGTTCAATTCTGGATCCCATCCTCTCTCTGACCGATGGCAGTGGGATCCTCACCTTGAGTCTCGATGCAGAACATGATGATGTGACTGATCACTTGAGATCAAGGCAACAATGGAATGATCAAATCTCAGACTCACAGGCCACGGCCACCAAGACCATCATCTACCCACACCATCGCCAGTCTCCATGACTGCACCATCAGACTCCCGCTGTCTTGCCCCGACGACGAGTTATTACTTCCTCCACGTTGGCCACGAGATTGCCGACGCTCGTGTCGACTCACGGACTGTGCCCAAACGTCAACCCTCCCGTCACTGTCCATCACCACGGTCACTCCCATCGAGACGTCCTTCGTTGCCAAATTGCAAAACATAGATCCCCTGTCGACTCTTGCTCTGCGCCACGGACCGCCCGCTCAGATACTCAGTACAAAGACCACCTGGAGCCCGTGTTCATTTGTCGTGTCCATACTACACTCCTCTCTCCCCAAAGCTCGGATCGGAGGCAAGAGGCACCGTCTGCACACAACGTCGAGAAAGATCCATTGGGACCGACATTGGCCGGCGGAAGAACCATCCACCTTTGAAGGGGAGCATATCGCATTGAACATCCACACAACATACACCCAAAGTAACCCCAGGTCACCAGCAAGTCCAATTTGGGGGACAATATCCAAGGCGACACTCGCAGTGGGAATAGCAGAGCTAGAATAGGACGGCCCAAATCACCGAACTCTATACCGAGCAAGGTAGCAACATCGGCTCGCCATACCAGGTCCGATCGTTTGAGACCGAGAACACCACCATTTTTATCTCGACCAAGTACAACCTACTACCATCTGGCGTCACTTGTCGACACACACTTGCAGAGCGTGACTGTCTCAGAAAGGAATTACTCGTTGCCAAGGCACATACCAAGAGTCGTGTCGCCCTTGTTTTTCAGCATTCCTCGTGAACGCCCACATCAATAGCCACAAGTGGCCTTTTTACCTTTCTCTTCTCCTTCTAACACTTTCGCCATCAGTCAATATCACCTCAGGTACGTGACATTATTGTTTCTATTCAATCTATTCAATTAGAGCGACTTTTGTAGCCGAATGGGACTGTGCTTTGTCCCATTCAGGCACCTACTGTGGTTGGACCAACGGGACCCAGGGTACCGTCTGCGGAAGCGCGCCATGGCCCTCCTCCACTTAATAGGCACTGATCCCTCAAGGATCAAGGTGTTCTTCATCATTGCTACTTCCACCTTCCATCCATCCTTTCTTTACACAATTGCTAATCCCAGACAACATGCAGAACCAGAATCAGCGCTTTGGCTACCCCCAATACCAGAAACCTCAGAGTGCAGCTGTCTACCAGCAGCCTTTGAGACAACCATTACCCTTTCCTGCCAAGGGAGGAATGGAGATTGGTGGACTTCTGAACGCAAGAAACGCTGCCGCAGCAGACGCTGAGCTCAGACGTCAAATACAACAATCAATGCACATGGAAGGCGGCGTGGCATATGCCATGAGCCAGGCTCCAACAATGGCCCACCACCAAGCGCACCATATGCAAGCTCCTGGGATGCCATACCTGGGACAACATCACCACAACCAGCAACTCTATGCGCAGAGCTATATTCCTAGACATGACAGTCAAACGATGGCGGACGATAACTTCGGTGCCATGAGAACTAAAAATGAGTCTGCCCCAAAGGCTTTTGCCTGCAGTACTTGCCAAAAAGGCTTTGCACGACGCAGTGATCTTGCCAGGCACGGTATGGCAACACCTTGTATTGTCACTGCACTCTACTGACTCTGCTCAGAACGAATTCACAGTGGTATCAGACCCCACGCTTGCGACTTTCCTGGCTGTGGCAAACAGTTCATTCAGAGATCTGCCTTGACTGTGCATATGAGAGTCCATACCGGAGAGAAACCACACATGTGCGAGCGATGCGGCAAGGTAGGCACTGATCATTTTGAAACGAGAGACGCCCGTGCTAACCTGTGCACAGCCATTCTCCGACTCCAGCTCCCTAGCCAGACATCGGAGAATTCACTCTGGAAAGCGACCATACAAATGCCCATACGCCAATTGCCAGAAGACCTTCACACGACGAACAACCCTGACGAGGCACCAGAATCATCATACTGGCACGATCGAGCAAGCAGCAGCAGAGACTAACGCCAAACTATCGACCAGTCAGCCTCAGAGTCAATCGATCTACGGATCCACATCAGGCTCGTCCAGGAATTCCACGGCCTCGCCTGCGGATAGAACGCTATCGGTTTCGCCCAATTCGGAACTCCCTCCTATGGCCAATGGCATGCACCGTCAAGGCTCAGACTACGGATACATCGGTCAAAACCACTCACTACCTCCGCATATGCGATCCGACTTCCAGCAGACCTCGGCTCGCTCCACTCCCACCATGAATGGACAAACCCTCCACAACTTTACGAGCGCACCTCAACAACGACCAACCACATCCCACCCTCAGACCTATGTTCCTCCTCAGCCAATGGAGCCGCCGGCAAGCGGCACAGGCAGCGGCCATGCTTCTCCTCACATGGGCGCTCTTGGCTGGACTTCGCAGAACACCGGGAATATTCCCACGTCAGCCACAATGGACAATTATGCTTACCCAGAACCCGCTTATGGTGGCCATCCTCTTTACTATCCGGGAAGCAGCATTCGAAGACCTCAGAGCACGGAGCCGGAAGACTATGGCATCCGCCCCCGTCACCATATGGGACACCACATGCCTGTTACGGCGGACTGGAGTGCCATGCCAATCGCCGTCCAAGACAATCGGCAAGAACGCTATGTGATGTAAAGAATATGGCCAGCTGGATCCACTATTGGAGCATACTGAAAAAGACTTGGCTGATTGCTAGCGGAGTCATGCCACAGGTCTCGAATTATTCGATTGACTCACACTTCCGAGCGCGCCGGAAGGAGCTGACTTCAGGATGAAACCGGCAGTCATTACTCATGATACCCCTCTTCAGATTATTTCGATTCCACCAAGAGTACCTCGGTGTACTTCTCATCAATTTTCATTTCTTCTGTATGATATTTTGACGCATCCGCTTTAATTGACGGGGGAGGGATAATCTGGGTCAAGGTCAAGGCTCAGTATGACATGGATGGTTGTACATGGGACGATCTTCCCTGCAGTGATCACTTGCAGGATCAACGGCGGGTTTGGCTGGTGTGGAACTCTTGCGAGTGGCTGGGAAACATCGATAGCGGGTCATAACGCACAGGCGCAAAGGTGATCCAGGCGTTCATACTGATGTCTAAGAGACGAATTCACGGCGTTTGAGTGGTTCACTGGTCATAGCATAGCATATTCATTGAGGAACATGATCATTCTAGACATCGTTGCGAGCAAACTATTGGTTTTTCTATCGCCTGTCATGCGATTCTGGAATCCTGACGGTCTAAACTTGCACTGAATACCCTTCTCAGCGGTCTCCTTTGAGCTCATCACCGCATCTGTCGATCATTGGGGGTTACACCCTATTCTTTACACATTTGGAATCGATCATGACGCTGCAGGTCTGATCAGGCCACGCCCTTGAGCGTGCTGTTCTTCCATTTCTGGCGGCCCTGCACGTCTAGTCATGAGCTTGCAACAGCAGCCTTGCATGGGACTTCTGTTGGTATTGCTCAATGCGGGATCGATCCGGATGGGTTTGTGACCTTTGTGAATGTCGCCATGGTCCCTACCTCGAAAGATCAGGGTGTCGTTACCTACACAAGTTCGGTTGGTGGAGTCGAGACCTGCTACTCCCTACGGATGGCTCCATCTTGCGACACTGACTCGAGTCCTTGAAGGCGTTGCTTGTCAGCAGACGAACAACAATCCCGCAAGGTCGAGTCGGGTCCTGCTCTATCGCCAACGCTTTCTCCATATCCATATGGGTGGCAACTAGTGGGGTTGGGCTTTTTCTCCTTCATCCTTTCATTGACACTGACATGTCTCATGGTGACGGAAGGGAGGCATACCTCAGGCTTTCACTGCTTCGTCAGTGATACTAGCTATAGCAATCAACTCGTCTTGCAGCATCCGTTTACTCCAGAGACTTCGATCGTTCCCTGTTGTCGATGTGCCAGGCCCCCAAGCACGGAATTCTCTCGGTGAGGTAAGGTACAGTAAGGCTGTCGCCGCCGTCGCCGCCGTCAAAATGCAAGCCCCTGGGTGAGCGCTGCATGACCTTCTCTCCGCTAGTCTCGATCTCCGGCTCGATCGTCCTGCATATGCACAGTATTTTCCTTTTCTTCGGGCATTTTTCCAGAACATCGGTTTGCTTCAGCCGTGGGTTCGATCGGGTCATGTTTGACTTTCTGCAGTATTTGTCTCTTGTCCCTTGTCCCTTTTAAGGATAAGAACTCGGTTATGTTTGACGTGGCAGTAGTGTACTGCATACCTCCTTCGTCTCTCTTCCACGCCAAGCCAAAATCGTGCTTTGTCTTTGTCTGCACGTCTCAGCCTCGTCAGCCTTGTCACTCCATATGGGTAAGGTAAGCACTATCACATCATCGGGCTGCGACAACTCGCTTGCTTTACAAAGACAAAGAAAAAACAATTGTGTTTCCCCCTTTGTCTTTGTGGATCCAATTCCATTGTGTCGAGCTTGGTACAATCATGCATCAACTTGGTAGGTCATTGTTCAGCATACCGCGTTTCATTGTGCTAGGTTCTGGTCGCCATCGCGTCGGGGGCCTCAGCCTCCCACGAGACTAGGACCTGCATTCACACTCCAGGCGACGCCGAGCTTTGCTAGCAATCAAGAGCAATCGCACAATGTCTCTGTTCGGTAGGTTGTCCTTGTGTTGGCAGTGTCTTCCGGGTGTTTCTGTTCAACACTCCCCAATGTTTCCCTGCTTTGTCCTGACGAAACCCTATCTTTGCAAATGTTTTCCCTTCAACTTGATAAATACCGTGAGCAGAGGACTTTCTCCTGCATCCAAATACTCTCTTCAGATCTTTATCCCCGTCTCTGAATTCACAATCGACCCTTCGCACTCATGGGCTTGAAATCTTCAAACCTGGCACACCACAGTATGGGACCCCGAGACAGTCCGCCTCGGCAGTGTGGTCAAACCGATGGAAACATGGCAGGAAATCAGCAAGAAGAGGAACAAAATCAAGATGTACAAGATGCCACTGCTCAAGAGGATATCAATCATGAAGATGAACAACCTACCATTTCAGACCAGACTGTCAACCCGTCGCAGCAGAAGCAAGAAGCAAGCACAAGCACACCTCAGCCTCCAACGCAAGAATACCCCGGTACCTCCGCCACCGAAGAAGAAGAAGACAACTGGAACGAGCGCCCAGCAGGAAGCACGACCGGATCGTCCATCTACTTGACTCCCCAGCGATCCCCATCTCCAACAAAGTCCGACTTCACTGATGCGAAAGAGCATCAAGAGGGAGGGCCCGATTGCGTGATTGACACTGCTACCACTGCGACAAGCGAAAGAGAGCATACGTTGCCCGCTGCTTCTGGCCTGCCACAGATCGAGATCCAACCACCAACACCCATTGCCAAGACAAGCCCAACCTCCAAGCAAGAGAAAGAAGGAAGTGGACCAGAGTCACCGACCGATGAAGTAGGATCGGGAGTATTCTTCCCTGAAGGTGCACAAGAAGAGCATCAAGAGCCGGACAATATCGACGATGAGACTGAGCTGCAAACAGAGCAGCAACAAGCCTCGCCATCTGTTGCCGCTACTGCTCCGCCGCAAGAACTGTCGATTGAACCACAACCTCCGCTAGTTCAAGCATATGAATACCCAGACACAGACACAGACTCTGAAGATGGAAGTGAAGGAGGTTTAGCACTTGAACAGACCGACATCGACATCGACATCGACATCGCCGACAGCGAGCATGCACAAGTTGAAGAAGAGCCTCCATTGCCATCTGATCCAGCTCCAGCTCCAACCCCAGCTCTCGCGCCTGCCCTTGCCCTGGTACAGATCGATAGAGAAGCCCAGATCGGCATCCGTCCAAACCCCAGTCCAGCCCCAGACTCTGACTCACCATCCGACAATGGCAGCCACATGGATAGTGAATCCGACTCCCCAAGGGATGAGGCAGTTGGGGGAGTGTCACTGTCCGAGCCTGAACATCACAGTACGGCAGCACAGCAACAAGATCGATTGTTGTCACTACCATTGCCGCCGCCGCCATCATCACCGCCCTTGTCGCTGCCAGTATCACCTCCAGTGAATGCCACTGCCACTGCCACTGCTTCGGACTATATATATGGGCCTTCAGATCCTGCGAATTCCGAAAATATTTCATCTCCTTCCCGACCTTCAGACTTGCGAGCTGGCCCACAACAAGAGCTGCCTCCAGCACAAGAATCTCCAGCTGCCACTTCTCCTCGTGCCTCCGCCATCCCGATTCGTCTCAGATCCGCAGTACAGGTTGAGACAGAACAACCAGACAACATGAGTTCAAACACAGGTCGGAATGGCAATACGCCTGCTCATGGTGGTGAGTGGCTTACCCACCACCAGCGTTCTCCCAGTTTGCTAACAGACATTCCAGCGCGCAATGGCACCGGCATGGCATCGTCAACTGCATCTCCACAGGGCTCGATCCCAGCTCATACAGGGTCCGGACCAGCACAAACAACTCCAACCATGAATGCCGGCTTGAGCGAAGAAGAGATCCGTCGCATCATGATGGCAGACGACGACTTTGACCCAGTTCCGGCTGAGTATCGTCAAGGCGCAGGCGACCAGTTCACTTCGGCAACTCAACCAGCAAACATTGCAGCACAACAGCCAAGCACCACCACTCAAGCCATGCAACCGTACAGCGGCGGTGGAGCGCATGAAATGGCTTACACCCAAGCTCAGGCTTCGAACGTTGGCTTCGGGTATCCTCCCTACATCTATGATCACTTCGCTCCTGCCATGCCGTACGCCCCATACAACATGCCGTTGGGTGCCGATCCAAGATTGGCTTACCCTCCTCCGACTGGGCCAAGAGGTCGAAGTACCTCTCCATACGCCACCCCAACCATTGCTGCAGGTCAGCTTGTTCCGTACGGCACCCCACCAGCATACAACGGCCATGCACACATGTCTCCTGCCAGTGCAAACGCGCGTGCAGGCCATGGTAGCGCTGGCGGCAGCTCTCCATTCAATCAACCGGGTCAGATCGCCGGTTCACGAGGTGTGTTTATCCCAGCACAAGGCGCCACTTTCAGCCCTGGTGGTCGTCAGTCTGCCAATCAACGAGGTCACGGCTCTGCCCCAGGCGTACGTCCTGGTGGCATCTCCGGTCAAGGTCAGGATGGTCAACAAGGCGACAGTGGCGACGTCGAGGATACCGGTGGTCTGTCGTTGAGTGGCGAAGGAAATGGTGATGGTGAAATGAGACCCAAATGGAACTAGCTGGGAATCTCATGTGTGACAATACACTATCATCAATGCGCGAGGGGAAGGGAGATGATGAGAGCAAGGCATGAAGAAAGGATGCGAATATGCATGGTGGAGAGCTGTGTTGCTGGACCGAGATAGGAAAGAGAACGGAGAAGGACTTAGCTGGAGATGGCAATCATTCAGGTCCATAGCTCCAGCAACAAAAGCAATTAGCATTGTCCTGTATGTCCCTTGCTCGCAATCGAACCCATTCGAAGTCGTTCATAAAGGAGTATTAACTCCGAATCCATGATCTAGAAACAAATTGAAAGGAAGGAATTTTTTCGCACACACCACCCCCAAGAGTTCGTCGCCCACGCCGGCCCATGCATTGCAAATCTTCTGAACGAGTCGTAGTCATCCTGATGATATCGCTCGCTCCGCTTCTAAGCGCCACTAGTACAGTCGTGTGGTGTCAAGAGTTGTGTCGCACTGATGGTTGCGGCCAAAGAAGGATCAAACTTCTGCGTAGAATTGCTTCATCAGGCCATTGACGACCTCATATGCTCGCTTGGCTTCGTCCAAGCTTTCACCGATAAGCTTCAAACACTTGTCTTCATCAGGTTCATCGACTTCTCCAGTGTCATTCTTCTTGTGGCCATAGTGTTGTATCTTTTCACATTCGTCCTTGACTTTGGTGAAACCTAACGTGGCAGACGATCCTTTGAGGAAGTGACCAAGACTGGAGAGTTCTGGGAGGTTTTTATCTTTCCTACGGAGACGACACGTTAGTAGTCTTGCTTCAGATGGTCTGTGGTGCTGCAGCAAATGACGACAAGGATGGAAGACCAACTCACATGGCAGAGTCCATCTTTCCAAAGGTCTGCTCCGCTTGTTCCAAGAAACCAAAGACTATTGACTTGCTGAAATCACGGTCGTCTTCTTCATCCATATCCAGGATTTGTTCAAAGGTCGCCTTGTCGACATTGTCGCCGAAGTCGAAGTCGACCTAGCGAGACGAAAAAAGTCAGTCCTGATGTGCAAGAATGGCGTAAATTATGGATTTTTGGTCGTTCCATGGGGAAATGGATGAAATTCTGATGAATCTGGTTTGAGGATTGACTCACTTCGTCTGACATCCTGATGGCTTCTAGATGTGAAAGACCACCTGTGCCTTTCCAAGAGTTTGTGGAAAAACGTGCTCGCGATGAATTGGTTGGGTCGACGTGAAGTGGCCGATCGGTGAATCGATTCGGAGAATCGGATTGCAAAGAACGGTATCAAAGAGTTTTCGTGACCGGGTCAGACGGTAGGCCGATTCAGCTCTTCTCGCTGACGCCGTATCTGCAATGTTTGGGTCAGCATCGTAGAATTGATTTCGGGACTGAGGACGGATGGGGGAAGTCTGCCGATCGAAGGAGGAGTGATGGGAGGTTCAGAGAAAGCAATCAACAGGACGGACCTCGAGATATGCACGGACAAAGCCAGGCAATGCCGCCAGGACAAGGCTGGGTAGCAAGGCTGGTGAGGCTGTTCGGGGGTAAGCAGAAGATCAATTTCCCGGTCTTTGTATCGGGATGGTTGCAGTGGAAAAAGATCCCCAAATGGATGATGGAATGGAATTCTGGTTGAAATGTGAAGGAGTGAGGTGGTTCCCAGGAATGGAAGTGACGTACGGCCGACGTCGATGTCGACTGCTGATCACAGAGCTAAGCAGGCAACCCACTCGCACGACCCTGAATCGACTCGGAAAAAAAGAAATGCAGTGTCTAGTGGGAGGGAAGGAATAGGAATCCGTACCTGGGACGATCCTTGTGTGGTTTTTGAGGCTGAATCGCTGCACATAACATTGTCAGTACCAGGTTTGCAGGGGAGGGGCTGCGGTTGACTGGTTGAGTTTCTCACGACATCCCACTGATGCGCAGTCGGGATCGATCATAACGTACAACTCCAGGTCCGAATGTTTACCTCCCGCTACTCGTGCTGTCAAGGGGCACCTCACAAATCGGCTCAATCGGCTTCTCGAAATTGGGGGTTGTTGGTGGTGGTTTTGTGGACAACTCACCCCCAGTCCTCCCTTGGGTGGATGCAGATCAGTCACAATCGAAGACGGTTGAGAGACAGGCGGGGATTAGGCGATTCCCACGACGACATCAACGATCAGATGAGTACGACAACCAACGGAATGAGACCCCTGACGGACCAAGAAATCCCGCCTTGCCGTGTGAACACCTTGAAAAGATGGACTACGAGAGAAGAGAAGACGTGTCCAAGGCTGTGGGATAAGGTCGATGCTACTGGTAGCAACTAACAAAAGAAGGGATAAAAATTCTGCGACAGCGCTCGAGGGATGGAAGAGTTATGGAGCCACACTTGTCACGGCTATCTGATCCCTAAGACCGGCGAATGGCCTCGTTGGCGAGGTTCCCTAAACTCTACAAAAGCTGGGTCTGCGCCCGCCACGATTCCCCGTCTTCGCCGCCAGCCTGTTCCGGTAAGCGTACAGGTGGCTCGTTGCCTGCTCTCTGTGGGGTTGGCGTTGGCCCCGAATCGCGAAGCACGTTAATATACTCGGCTTGCTCATCATGGCTTTGCCCTTTCCAGCGAGACGGGGACCAACTGCTGGACGAAGCTTCAATGCTTGGGGAAAGGAAAAGGGCCAGCTTGCAGGCTGACCAGACCCAAGGCTATCCGTTTGGCGGACTTACTCTCCCTGCAAGCGTGCCCTTTAGACTCGGACGGAATCAAACACGACAAGCAGCCGCAATGCTGGGTCCAACCCCGATGTGCTCGACAAAACGGCGGCAAGCTAAGGAATACGGCAGATCGACGGTGATATCGCTGGAATCGGCAAGCTGACAGCATGCTTGTGCTACGAGTACAGAGCAACCATGCTTTTTGGGTGATGGTCAGTCCACTCGATGCGTGGTCGAGCATCGAAGTTCAAAGGCGACGGAAGGAGCTCGCCGTGCTAGGCTAAGAAAAACGCTGGGAGGGTCCCGAAGGAGGGAGGGAGGTGCCAGGAGCCCCTCGTTTCCGACACCGACCCAAGTCACCCAACTCTTGAGTCTGAAGTTTTGTCGTCGTCAAATTTTTACAGGATTGTGACCTGCAGGATGACGTCTTCGAGCAGCTCAGGGTCGCACGCGAGAATCCCAAACGAGCACGAGCCAATGTCATCATGGGAAATACCGAAGAACCGAATACATAAAACAGCCTCCAAAATGTGAAGTCTGTAGAAAGTGCTCAAACGGTGGGCTTCTGGCTTTCCTGCGAGTGCCTGTGACACTTATGCACCCTCCCACCGCGCTGAGACTGCAAGTGCAAGATGGGGACCAACAAACGCCCGCGAGTGCCTACAAAGAGGCCTGGGAGCAAATGATGTCAACGCGCAGATGGCGTCTACTCGGCTTCCCTCTTACCTGGGTCTAGCCTAGCGCCGACACACCTGAGATGTCGATTTGAGGCCTAGCACCCTTAGGGAAAGCCTGACAACCAGAGGTGAGATATTCTCCCGGGCCACTTTCGTCCACCCCACTCCCTCACCAATACGGCGTTCAGCAGGGGGTCATCGGATACCAATCACCCAATTTTCACCGACTCCTACAAAGGGGAGCAGAAACATATACGAGCAAAAGGTCATCACACCACCGGACTAAGCAGGATAACGAACACGAACAACAACAACAATCAACAGCAGGCCATGACAGTATCACAGTAGGATACCCGTATGGGATTGAGTATTCAGCGGCCCGCCACGACCCTGAGGATCGATGATCGATGATCGATGCGATGAGCTCGGATGTCATTCAACAAAGAGGAGATGCGCCGATGTACTCCTATCCTTGAGGCCGGCCACAACCGAATGGAACACAAGTCAAGGCTACTAATCAGGCTTTATTTTCGGATCTGCACACATCTTCTGGCTGCAGTGGTACGCTTGTATCTTGGAAACAGCACTTCAACTGGAACGTTGCACAAGGACCCGTGCCTCTTTCTTGCAGCCCCTCCTACATTATACCCGCAGCTCGACGTTGACTCCTGGTCGCCAAAATCACATCCAGGGCCACTTCAACATGTCAACCAAAATGCCAAAAAAGCAGGGACACGGCGCGTTATTGTTCAGATCTGGTACAGTACGAGTGGTTCAAGGGTCCAACCTCTGCCTGCAATCGGGGTATCCCACAATTCTGCTACTCACGGTGACCACGAAAGATGGGTGAGTAAAGGAGGACCGTGACTAATAAGCCACCATATGTTCTTTCCAGCACACTGCTCCAAGATCGCAAAATATGTACACAGTACTCCGTATCGTCATCACATTCGCAGAGTGAAGGAAAATCATCTCCGGATGCACAAGACTTTTCTGATTGTAGAATACAGTACCTCCCTAATCCAGTCTATGTGATGCTCATCTCTATGCAGTGCCATGTAGCTCGCTAAGCTTGTCATAGAGGAACAATCCAAATCTTGACGCCCTTCTTTCTCAGTAGTGGCTGCCACCATGCGCCCAAGGACATTTTGGCAGCAACTTGTAAACGAGTCCTTGTCCACATGGCAATTCCATGATCCACAAGGTAGCCTCCCGATCCACATCTCGTGTTGAAAATGCCAGCCTAGCTGTGCTTTCTGGCACAGTTGCACCTTTAGCCTCCTCCCGCTCTTTATGCATCCCACGTCGAACCTTTTATTTTTTGGATGATGTGATATCAAGTATGGCGTCCAGCTTTGCTGATGGATCGACATCCGCTCTATCCGGTGACTTTGAAGATGGACTCGGCTAGTCTCTTGACGTTGCCAGTGGTGATGCCAGCCACAGAGATACGGCCGTCCTTGGTGGCGTAGACGGAGTGTTCTTTGGCCAAAGTCTCCATCTGTTCAGGCTTGAGGCCGGTGTAGGCGAACATGCCGATCTAGTAACAACAGCAAGTCAGTATATATATGTAATGCATTTACCGCCAGATTGCGATCGTGATTCTTTAGGGGTGAAAGAGTGTCTGAACACCTAACTTACCTGGTTCGTGATGTGATCCCAGTTATGTTTCGATCCCAACTCTTCAAGGTTCTTCTTGAGCAGGGCCCTCATCTCGATGATCCGGTCCGCCATGCCCTTAACCTCGCCGAGCCACTGCTGATTGAGCTTGGAGTCGTTTAGGATCTCGCTGGCAATCCGAGCGCCGTGGACGGGTGGGTTCGAGTACAACGGACGCACGAGGATCTTGATCTGGGAGTCGACGCGCTTCTTCTCTTCGGCGGAGTCGCACACGACGCTGAACGCACCAACCCGCTCGCCGTACAGGCCCATGTTTTTGGCGAAGCTCTGCGCCAACACGAAGCCATGACCCTGCTCGACGAACAGGCGGATCGGGAAGGCGTCCTTGTCTGTATCGCCTGACGCGAAGCCCTGGTATGCCATGTCGAAGAAGGGGTAGTGCGACTTTTCCTTCATCGCATCGCTGATTTGCCGCCACTGCTCGGGCGTGGGGTCGATGCCCGTTGGGTTGTGGGCGCAGGCATGCAGGAGGATCAAGCTTCCCTCGGGCATGGACTTGAAGTCTTTGATCATTCCGTCAAAGTCTAGCCCTATCGTGTCCTTGTTGTAGTATGTGTAATTCTTAACTTCGAGGCCCGAGTCAGTGAAGACGGCCTTGTGGTTTGCCCAGGAAGGTGTGGGAATGTAGATCGTCTTCGCGCCGGGGTAGAAGCGTTGCAGGAAGGCACCGCCTATTCGCAGAGCGCCGGTTCCGGAGATGGATTGGGTGATGGCGACGCGGTCTTCTTTGATGGGTTTGCTGTCAGGACCGTAGGCGAGGAGGGCGGCGGCTTTGGTGAAGCTAGGCACGCCGGTGATGCCGGCATATTCCTTATCGAGTTTGCTAGAGACTACTTTTTCTTCGGCCGCGCGGACGGAAGGGAGCACGTAGGGCTTGCCTTGGTCGTCGCCTGAGAGAGAGCCAGTCAGTAAAGATGCCTGCGGTGGTGGTGACTCGACAGGAGTGTTTAGTTGCAAGTCAGGATGATAGCGTACGGTAAGCGCCAACACCAAGGTTGATCTTCTCTGGGAACGAGTCTTTCTTGAAAGCCTCGGTGATACCCAGAATAGCGTCAGGAGGGCCTTCCTTGACATTTGCCCATGTTGATGCGTTGACGACACGGACAGCCTGCGCCGTAGTGGAGCGTTGTCTCAGGGCCGAACGAGCGGCTGGTCTGAGAGTGGAGAGCATGATTGATGGTGGTACAGGAGCGTAGAGCACACGGAGAACGGAATTGGAGAGGGTGAGAGATGGATTGAGAGGAAGAGAGATCAATTGAAGCTTTTGTCTAAGGCAAAGGGGATGGAAAATGAAGCTCGTCTCTGAGATTGAGGGTTCGGTTCTCCAAAAAAATGTTTGTCCCTGACCACAGGTACCGACGGGCCTGGTCGGGGCAGCTCCGACTTCGCGCGGGATGGCCGTCGGGGTATTCCTCCAAAGGGCCATGAGGGACATTTAGCCATCCGAGCCACCTTTGCAAGGTGGTGCAAGGCCCAATCTCCCTTTGAGCGCCCGTGAGCGCCATAGAATTGTACCTAACACCTTTGGGCAATGGGCATGCTTGGGTGTTCCGTTCTACCGCCCACCGGCGCAGTGTAACCATCACTTTAGTGCATGTGCTACGTCCAATTAGCCTGACCTCACCTGATGACTTCTGTGGAAGGTTTGTTGCGTGTAGCAAACGGTAGTATGCAGCAGTAGCAATCGAGATTCGACCCTGATCCAAGACTGTTCAAGCCAACCGCACACCAGCTTGCTTGTTCTTCTTGCCCAATGCCCCCTGAGCATTGTGCATGCCCTTCGCCTCACTACTGTCCAAAATACTGGCAGCCTCGCGTTTCTTCTCTTCGGCTATCTTCTTCAAATGCTTCTCAGTTTTCAGCTTACCGCTACCCTTGCCATGGAACTGATGACTCAGGTGCTTGAAAGCCTCCTTCTGGTTCATCAACCTGCCATCATCATCCACGTACTTGATCTGCACATCTGGCTTGTATTCACGGTTGAACGCAGCTGCAGCCTGGATCGAGCTGTGGTGCTCCCGTTGTGTGTTTTGCCAACGAGCATGTTCCTCTCGCTCTTTGGTTGACATATTAGTCAGTTTGCCCGATTGACGATCCCGTTCACGCTGCATACGTGCCTTCTGCTCGTTCTCGTGCTCACGCAGACGTGCATCGATGATAAACTTCTGGCGATCTTTGTAGAGGGTATTCTTATCGTGAGCATCAGTCTGCTTGACGAGTCCTCGTTGTCGAAGAAGGCTGAGAGCAGCTCCAAGACCTTGGTCAAGGGTCTTCTCCTCATCAAGACCCGAGTGGGTGATGTCCGGAGTATGCGTTGACTGTTCGCGCCGTAGTCTGTCCAAGAGCTCTTCTTCGTTCTCTACCCCAGCATATGCCTCGCCCATGGCGTGATCACCATCTTGCTCCTTGACGCCTGTGGACTCTGGCGATTCCTCCTTCTCGACCGACTTGACCACTCTCGGCTGCGGTTGCTCATCCTTTGGACGGGACGACAAATTATCCAGGAACACAGTAGTGTCATCCAGCACCAGTCCTCCATCAGTCTCTCTTTCAGCCTCGTGCTCGTTCGTCTCTTCTTCCTGGAGCTGCTTGATGATGTCCTCAGGCTTGCGCTTCTGCTTCTTTAGCGCCGCTGCCCGACTTCTAGCAAGGGCATTTGCGAGATCATCATCGTCATTGAAGTTGTCCTCCGTCGTCCGGGGCCTAGGAGCCGGTTTAGCAAGATCAACATCCATGGCGTCCCCATTGGTCTCGGTTGGGACAGGTAAGATATCATCATCTTCCTCGACCATTTTCTGTCGTTTTGAGGACTTCTTGCTCTTCTTCGGCTTTTTGATCTTGATCTCCATATAGTCCGACACAGGCTCTGGCTTCAATATATCGAGACTGACGGTATTCTTCAACACATCTCCTAACTGTTGGCGTTTGGCATCACGCTCCTCCAAAGTACCCCGCGCGTCCAGCGTGAATGCCTTTCGCTTTTTCTCGTCATATTGCGAGAGCAGCCCCTTCTCGGAGTCATCGTTGACATCGTAGGCTTTCTTCTTCTTGAGCTCATTTTTGTCCTTGATTTTGTCTCTTGCAACGATATCCGCACTTTCTAGAATATCGTCCTCATCGCTTCCGTCGTCTTTGCCAATCTCGGTATCCTTCAGCGTCAGAACATGTTCGCCCAGGCCCTCATCGAAATCGCCAATCTCGTGGGCGACTTGGACGCCAGCAAGATCTTTTGCAGAATATCCGACGGCGGCTTCTTTTTCTCGCTCAGCCAATTCTCGTGCTAGACGTTCGGCACGTTCTCGCTCAATCTTTGCCTGTCGCTTCTTCTGGCCCTTCAACCAGGCTTTGGTATCATCGATGTCATCATCGACGTCTGCGAGACCTTTGCCCTCGAGTTTTCTGGTTCTAGCTTCGGCATCTCTTTTCTTCTGGATCTCTTGCTTCCGCTTTTCTCGCTCGATGCGTCTCTTTTCTTCTTCTCGAAGTTGGTTCCAATTCTCGTACCCAGCAGCCTCGCGGGTCTCTAGCGTAGACGCAGGTTCCGGATCACTATCGCCATCGTCGCTTGGAGAATGTTCTTTGAATGATGGTCCTTCAGAGGTTGGTGGAGGTTGTCCACTTACGCTGAGTAATGGTAGGCCCAGGCTCTTCCTGAGCTTGTTCATCTGCTCAATATCTGCAGACGCCATGTTGACGGGCGGCGAAGTGCAGGAACACGAGGTCAGATGGCGATCAATGTGTTGAACAGACAAATGTGAATGGTGAGAGGCAAGGGCGCAGACAAAACGTGAACGATCTTCGCGCCAGTCTGGTCTTATGGTCCACCGTATACGATAAATACTGCGAATCATTTTTAAAATATGCGCAATTATCTCGAGGACGGGCACGAGGGGGGTGAGAGTGTTTGTCTCACCGTTGTGCTCTTAATCAAGTAAGGCGGTTGGTTCTTTGCGCAGACTAATGCATGACTGCCGTGTCTACATAATAATGTATGCCGGTGCGAGTGATTCCGTGTCATCAAGAAGCTCTTCGCGACCTAATCAAGTAATGTGAACTCCTTTTTTTGGCTAGTCTACACTTTCTCCGATCATCCTGCAGAAATGAAAGGTGGTTTCGTGTCAATCAAACAGCCTTATGCCCTAATCAAGTAAGATGGCATGCTTGTTTGGGTAAGTTTTTTAATACCAACATCCTGGTCGTCTCTTGATCGACTCGTTATTGAACTTAATTGGTTGGACATTAATGGGTCGCACGCGGAAGAACGGAACCACATGCCTTCAGAGTGCTACTGGCAGCCAACGGGATGATATGATGACCATTCGACCTGGGAGTTTGAACTCGTTGCTATGGGGTGGAAATGAAGGAGTGACAGGCCCAAAACACAACGTATACTAGTACTTGCATTCAGCACATCAAGCTGAGCCATCCGCTGAGACCGAGTCGGAGACAAGGCCAGTTCAGGCCGTCACAGCCTCAAGCCGTCTCAACCCTCCGGTGGTCCTGATCTTGCACTGCAAATCCACCATCCGTTTCTGATCACCGGTCGGGTCCTGGCTCTCGCCTTCCAATTTCCAGCCGAGAAAGTCGTTGGTGTAGTTCGGGCGGAAATCCTTCTCCAAGACGCCCAGACGCTTGCCGTATGCCGTGACTTTGTCCCAGTCGCGGCGGACGTTCTTCAAATCCACGCTAAAGTACGGGAAACTGCGTTCATACATCTTCCGGTTCAACGGCGTGTTCATGACTGGCTTGAAGTCCGTGTACTCGCGCCATGCAGCCTCCGGGTCACGCAGCATGAAATCGGTTGCACGTTTGACCGCACTCATGAACGCGCTGACTTTCTTGGGGTTCTCGGCCAGGAAAGCTTCATTGCCGATGTACAAGATGGTACAGAAGCAGCAGCACCCTAGTTCGGCAAGCTCGTCGATGCGGAGCATTTGCACATCGGACTTGGGCCGGCCTTGGGATTCAAGCCAGTCTTCCAGCTCGACCATCTGGACGTTCTCGAGGCCGATGCCTGCATCGATGGTGCCTTCGATGATCGCCTTGGAGACGTTCATGCCGCAGCGGATGGCGGTGTAGTCGGTGGGAGACATGCCGTAGTGCGAGGTAAGTTCGTCGATTTGGATCTTGCCAAACTCGCCGACGTAGCCAATTCGTTTGCCCTTGAGGGTGCGGAAGTCGGTTGTGATGCCGCTGGATTTGAGATACACAACTCCGGTGAAGGGTTCGTCAAGAAGACTACCGATCGATTGGACAGGAAACCCACGGGCTTTGGCCTGTCATAGTCAGTCAAGAGGTCATAGACAGGAAAGAGGTAAAGAATGTACAGCTAGAGTGTGAATCATGGCCTTATAGCCAAGGTCGGCTTTTCCGGTGCCGATTATCTCGGTGACATCCTGCGCTGGTGAGAACCTCGCCTTTACATTGCAGAGGGGGGAAATCCTCACGCTCGGGTCGTTTGGCTCGAGAAGAGCAACTTGAACGCCTTCATCCTTGAAATAGCCTTTGGCTTGGGCAAGGTACAGAGGAGCGTGGTACGGGGTGGCGTGCCTGTCATGGTAAGCCAATCCGGGTCTGCTGCTGGACATGATATGCTTACCAGTTGGTCAAGAAGACAATCTTATCAGACGACATCTTGAACAATCAAGGTTGCGAATCTGTACAAGTCAGCCTCGCTTCCACCTCCGTGGACGCGGACGTCAAAGAAGGCATGTCCTTTCGCTGGTATTATCCAGATCAAGTTCTCCGGTATTTCTCAGATCAACCTCACCCTCTGAGCTCCCCTACACATACCAATCCCACAAGGGACCGTTGATATTGTGCGAGTGGAAGCAAAGAGAGGTGAAGTCAAACACCCGGCATGCAGTCTTCGCATAAGTACCTTGACCTCGATAACCGGACTATGTCCATCGCGAAAGCCTCCATGACTTTCAAGAACCATCGTACCAGGTTAAGTGTGCTTGACGATCTTTGATAAATTTGCTGTTGGACCAACTTCTAGGGCTGGGAGGAAAGGAAGAAGGAAGGAGAGGGGGATTTCACTGTATATGAGGATGTCATGGAGGGGTACATGCATACTAGCGAGTCGTATGACAGTGCTTTGTGGGTCAAAGAGGAGAGACAGATCCTTTACAACCAGTACGAGTATGCGCATGGATGCCAAGGTCCTGGGCAAATTGCCAGATATCAGAACGAGCGAAAGCATCTTCGTTATTGATAGCCCCCGGACAGCTGAGATTCACCTCTTCCGTATGAACCTCTCAATACGTCCGGATATGTGGTTCACCACATCTGGTGTACTTCATTTGGTACGAGGAGGACGTTGAAAAGACTCGGAGCGCTGGTGGGCGAGTGCACTCCACCGTGGCCGTGGAAATTTCCGTTGAGTGCCGACATTGGCTGCCAGAAAAAGACAAGTGAATAACCACAAAAGGATGAAGAATCCAGGGTTGATCTACTGAACCCTACCTCTATCCGCCTCACCACTAGTAATCCTTCAAAGCGAGTGTTGAACGTGTGAGCCTCCTGATATTGATAGCTGTTCTCTCATGGTGATGCATGACACGCTGCACACGAGTAAATATCATTTGGGATTTTGAGTCGAGACACGCTTGCTATTAGTGTTCCTGTTTCGTCGCTGGGGACGCCAGCAGGTTTGACATAGTCTGCATTCCCTTTCGCAGCCTTGTCCATGGGTTGAAGCGTTCGGCCGTACGTGACTAGCCTGGCCGAACGTCGTAGAAGTCGAAGTATGAACTTGGCATCTCAACCTGTGAGGAGGTACTCCGTATGCAGCACACGATCTGCCAAAAAGAGTCCAGGGAAATATCGGGTCTGGAACTGTCATGCAAGGCGCATTCCCAACTCGCGGACCGCGAGATAAAACTTGCGCCTACACAGCCTGGACGGTATGAGACTCGATTGACTGGCGTAACGAAGAGCCTTCCCCCATGCCGGACATGAGGCTCTGCGTAGAGTGATTCGACGTTGTCCCAACGAAATTGTCACTCACGCGTCAAGATAGTCTAAAACATTGCTTACCTCGGTGAAGCGAGCCTTTCTCGGTCGAGACGGATGGGAGTAAAGACCGAAATGATTTCAGCCTGGCGTTTTGAGGACATTGATAAAGGGGCGGCACATCTCCCTCAGATTTCTTGGTCTCGAACGTGATTCTGCCGGCTGGTCACTTTGTGCAAGTACATTCCCTGACACTCGAACCAGATCCCTTTGAAGGTGGCCGAGCAAGCCACAAAACAACCTCAACAAAGTCGGCCCGGTGTTCTGATTGATAATGATAAGATCGGTCTGCGGCACGCACCAATTCTCGTAGCACCAAGTCCAACCGACAGGCCCAATCACTTTTTCACTTTGCGCCTAAACCGCCCACTCACTCGGATATCGCCCCCTGTGCGCTCCCGGTGCGTCGCACGTCCAAAGCCAAAATTTCTCCAAATTCCACCCCCCCAGCGGGAAAGGTGATATAATTGATCACGCCCGGCGCAGTCTGTTTCATTTATGCCTACGCAACGCACTCGACATCTCCCTCCTCCTCCTCCTTCCTCCCGATTCTCCGGAATGTCTCTCCTACGTGGTGTCAAGTCGCTCTTGCACTCAAGCTCCTCCTCGCACCACGCTTCGGGATTCAAAACGGTGAAGACAGAAACGGACCTCTTCCCCGCTACACGGCCGGAGATTGACGGCGAAGAATGCCTACGTGATTGCGACAGTTGTACGACGCACTACCCAAATAAATTCTCCATCGACGAGAGCGACAAACTCTACGGGCACGTAAAGGGTTGGAGTACACATCTGGTTGTGGGTACGGGGAAGACGGACTGGGTAAGAGATGTCACGGACGAGAAGCATAGTGTCATGGAAGCGGTGGGCAAGGCAGGTCTGCAGAGGAGAAACGGGAAGATCATGCTGAGTGCGAGTAATATGCCCAGCGGCGACGAGTGTCACGGCGACGGTGTCGAGGAGGGCACGGCTGATTGTCTCTTGCTGCCGAGTTGGGTGGTCATTGAAAAGGTCGCGCCGAGTCAGGTCGAGAAGTTGTTGGTGGAGGTAGTGGAACGGAGTGCGACAAACGAGACGCCGCTTCGACAGACGCAGAACGGGCATGCGCACCCGCAAACCGCAGAAGGCAAAGTAGAGGCCAAAGGACAAGAGAACGGAGAAGAATCCGACAACAGACTTGATCCACTTCCTCTACCTGCGTCGATATCCTCCTCATTCAAAATCAAACCAATCCCCCATGACTACCTTATCCTCATGTGCAGTCACAGAACGCGAGATGCACGGTGTGGGCAGTCAGCACCTCTTCTGCGGAAAGAACTTGAGCGAATACTGCGGCCCATGGGTCTGTACCGGGACCTGCATGACGAGCGGCCCGGTGGAGTAGGGATATATTTTATCAACCATGTTGGCGGACACAAATACAGTGCCAATGTCATGATCTATCGACGGGAAGGGAGGAGGAAAGATGGGACGGACGAAGAAACTGATGGTGCGCCCTTAGCAAAAGAGGCGGTACAGTTGATCTGGTTGGCAAGGGTGCGGCCTGAGGATTGTGAGAACATTGTGAGGTATACGGTTCTGCAGGGAAAAGTGGTGAAGCCGCAGAGACAATTAAGAGGCGGGTTTGATCGGGAGAGAGGCTTGACGAGCTGGTAAGGCAAAAGAGGTTGAAGGCATAAAAGCCTCGTCCGGATTGTCGCATGCATAACCTCGCTGGTCGAGCGGTAACCTAGACGCATTAGACGAACATAAACACGACAGAATAATGACAAGACAGTATGAATTGCCAGTGCAGTAAGCGATTTCATTTTTTGTACACGCTTCGTATATGTCAGTTTCAAACAAGTTTTCAAACTTTAAGGAATGGGAGGTGGGAATGTAGACAATAGCCTTGGTTTCGCCCAATGGTCATTCCTCGACGAGGATCACACCAAGCTTGGGAATAAGACGTCTCCCTACACACCATTTTCAGCCCGTCGAGCTCAACCTCCCGAGAGAGAGGCGAGCTCAAGACGGACCTTGCCCCGAGGGGCGCGAAAAGGTCTCGGGTCAATCTCAGTTCTGTCGACTGGGTTCAGTCATTAATGGAAGTGCGATAATGGCTCCACAAAAATAGTCGAGACGTTCGCGAACAATCAACCTCACACATCCCAATGTCCCGAGAGGGAGCACGGGGAGGAAGGGATCGTTGCGACACAGAACTTGATGGTAAGAAGAAAAAGGAGAAAGAAACCGGGATGGGGAGAAACACTCTTTCAAGATTTATTTTTATGCCAAGACAACGAGAGCGGCGATCAGTCTTTTCCGTTTGCGGGCGAACGCTGGCTTACTAAGGTTGGCACCCAAGGTAGACCTCTCTCGACACTGTCACGACCTGCATCGTGCGTGCTGATAACTTTTCTTACAACGAGGACAAGTCCAAATTCGGGATTTCATAGGCGGGATCAGCAAGAGCAAAAGCCTCATCTTGATCTGCCTTTGGTGGATAGATCAAAGAGCTGTTGATCCATTGTTTGACCGCCTTGGCTTCCAGGCCCAACATGGTCGTCTCACGGGTCCAGCCTGCACCAATAACCGCACCCCATGGGCCCAAATCAAGACAAGTCCCGTAGCTGGGCTGCGAGTATGGTCGTGTGTCGATCTTTAGTAGATCAGCCGCTGCATTGTGTCCTGCTGAGCGGCCTAGAATCGTGGCGTGTTGGCAGGACATCATTGTATGGTTTCCTTGGTCATCGGTTATTGCAAAGGCTGTGTCGCCTGTGGCAAATATCTTCTCGTCGGACGGTACTCGCAAATCGCGGTCGACAATTAGCCGGCCCTGTAGGTTTCTTTGGCCACCGATCTGCCTTGTCAGCTCATCGGCTGCCATGCCACCAGTCCAAACGACAGTCAGAGCGCTTATTGTCTCGCCGCTGGAGGTGACCACACCGCTGGGCTCGACCGACTTCACCGCTGCTCCAAGCTTCATTTCCACTCCAAGTTCCGTGAGCGCCTGGATGATGGTTGGGCGCGGGCCGGGCCCAAGCTCAGGTCCAATATCGGCATTCCGCTCGACAATGACAATGCGGACCTTGGTATCTTTGCCGAGAATTGCGCGTAATCGCGCTGGGAGTTCGGCCCCGATCTCGATCCCTGTAAATCCGCCACCGACTACGACGACTGTGTTGCGCTTCGGAGTATCAGGAAGGGAGGCCAGGCTATTTAAGTGCTTGTCAAGCTCTGCTGCTTCGTCGATTTGGTCAATGCTAAAAGCATGCTCGCGGAGGCCGGGGATATTCGGACGCACCAAACGACTTCCGGTCGCCAAGATAAGCCTGGAATAGGAGAGTGTCGACCGTTTGCCGGCGGTGTCTACAGTTTCCACTTCCTGTTGTGTCGGCCGGATGAGGTCAACTTTTCCTTGAACATATTGGATGCCTGTTGCGCTGAAAAGATCGGTAAGGGGGGCGCTCATGTTTGCGGGATTTGCTTCGTAGAGCCTCGGTCGCACAACCAGTCTTGGTTCAGGTGCTACAACTGTCACGTCGATCGCACTGGCTGTCCCTTGGGTGAGATGAATCAGCCGCCTAGCAGCAAGGGCACTCCACATGCCAGCGAACCCCGAACCCACGACCAGTATTCTTTGCTGCATCTTGAAGAAGCTCTTGCTGTGCTTCTCGGATTGTTTGCTTGTTGATGAAATTGCAGACTTGGAATATACGTCAAGGTGAGTTGCAGAGGTTTTTTATATAGACCTCGATGGGCCATCGAAATGGATACTCAAGTATCACCGAGAGCCCGATAAAGCCAGGAGTACCTGATATGCCTTGAAGACAGCCGGTTGTTCTGTTGATGTTAAGGTCCGCATGAGCGAAAATATCCCTTCGTGTTAGGAACTCGCTCCAGCTGGCGGGTATTCGGGTATGGTCGAAAGACTCCCACTCGACGTCGTCTGCTTCCTGAAATCGAGCACTGCGATGTCGCATCAACTTCAATTGCCAAGATAACGCGCAACGACTGTCTCACTAGAATTGGCAGGCTTGGTGGACGACTCAACCATTTAGGAGATGGAGTATAACAGCGTAACGCTGCGCCTCATGCGATGGGTTCAATCCCCCTGGCCGGCGAGCCGCATAGAGAAATCTTTCCTGTTTCCGTCTAGTCCCCGCGGAAAAACTTGGCCGGCAGTAAGCATTTCAGGTTCCGCTTTTCTGACTCACCCGAGTACGAGTACCCGGATTGCCGGCCACGTTGTGGACTTGCAGGAAGGGAAAAGGCGGAATGCCAGGCTGGTGCATATGGACATAATACCGCATTCGTTGTCTGGGCTTCAAGGCCAGGAGCTTCAAGCCAGCTTCTATCAGGATGGATAATAGGCAATGCCCAACATCGCCTCTGCACGTTGGAGCCGTTCGAGTCTCCCTTGCGTGCATCCAGTGTCGGACTCGACATGTCAGATGTGATGCCAAAAAACCTCAGTGTGGTCGCTGCACATCCCGAGGTGAACAATGTCAATATGCGGAATCCCGGAGAGGTGGTCTTACCCGAACTGCCAAAGCTGCACGGCGTAGCCTTGCAGCAACTGAGTCGCGAACAGCCAGCCTTGAACGTATTTTCGAGTCTGCATTTCCGTTTCCGCAGAGAGAGCAGCCTCCGCAGGACGGAACACACAATCTTTTGCCACTCGACACCAATAGCATGTCACAAATACCGACCAGTCCGTCTACTCCCTGCGGCGCAAAGCCTTGGTCTGCCAAAGCTATCCCGCACTTCGTGCCGGCCGAGTCTCTAAATATTCCGGGAGATCCATGCATTGATCTCTATTACAAGCATTTCCATCGACATCATCCGTGCGTCCTCCCACAGACACATCTAGAGAGACTGTTAGAGGATTCTTCCAGGCAGGTCAGCCTGAAGCCTCTAATTTCGGTTATGCGCTTCGTCGGATCGTTGTACGCTCGATTAGAACAGGGTAAACCACTGGTTGAGGATACTATCAACGTTTGCGTGGCCACAGAACAATGTTCGCGGGATCCTTTCACAGTACAATATCGGCTCATCTACTCTATCACACTTTACTGGTGCGGCGAACATGTTCGTTCCCGGGAAGAGATGAATCGGGCGATAGAGCTAGCACTGGAGCTCGGAATGCACCGTCGGAGTTTTGCGACTCAGCATGGACATGGTGATTCGGTGCGGGAGGAAAGCTGGAGAAGAACGTGGTGGCAGCTGTACATCGTGGATTCGTGGTATGCAGCCATAAAGCACGTACGAATTTGCCCAACGTATTGCGTGGATGTTACTACCGAGCTGCCTTGCGAAGAAGAAGAATATGAGTCTGGGGTATTTATTCACCATTTCCCAGGCCATTGATATCAGCTTACAGTGAAACTATTTATAGGCAATACCTCCTCCAAAGACACTGGAAGAATTCGATTCTCGAGAATTTTCAGCCATCAACCAGGTCTACTCGTCGTTTGCCTATCTGATTGGTATTACTCACGACCTTTACACAGTAATGGCGGGTCTCGAGTGGGACACCTCGAACGACTCCGCTTCCAATGTTGCTGAGATGATAGATGTTGTGATTGAAGGATGGTTGCTCCTCCTTCCGGAGTCAAAACGCCAAATCCTCTCTAGGAATGGCGAATTCGATGAATTGATGTTCCAGGCCAACATGGCAATCCATGCGTAAGTCTACTCATCTAGCGACTCGTCTGCAATAGCCTTCCCCGAATGCAACATCTGGCTATCATAGTATTTGATTGAGCTTTTTGGGAATACATCAACTTACCTTTAGCTAGGTTGACACTGTCAAACCATAGACAATTCTCGGCGCTTGCACTCAATCCAGTCGAGCGGATATCAAGCTGTTTGTCAAACGCTCCAGACAACTGTTTCTGTACTAGTGTTGACTACGAGACAATCCACACGGCACGTTGCCTCCAAGCGATCGAGGCCCAGATCCGATTGATATCCCTACCAATACGACCGTACGCTCATACACCTTTCGTGATCTGTATGCTTGCCACTGGCACAATCTCACTTCTGTCGGCCTGCAAATACTTTCTGACTGGTCAGAAGTTGGCTGTCGCTCGACATCAGATCAAAATGAGCCTTGGGTATATCAAATCGCTCTCAAAGGTCTGGCCGCAGGCACAAACGACTGTGCAAGAGATCCAAACCATTGCACGAGAGGTACTGGAAAAATCCTCCCAGAATCACCCTTGTATTCCGTGTCTGGACACAATACCTCCCAATTGCAGCATACAACCATCCCTCAGTCCAGGCTTTGATGTCTCTCAAGACTCGAGTGCTTGCGGCCTAGCTATGCCTTTCTTGGAGATTCTCGACACTGAATTTCATCTAAGTGACACACAAGCGGATACGACGTGGTTTTTGGCTGATGACCACGAATCTTGAGTCTCTGGATCAATTCCATGATTTAGTTATTGAGGCAACGCCAACTCCATCATCGTCGGGGTGCACCTAGCTAGAAAGCTGATCGCAGGCTGTGAAACTCTTCTAGATTACGTGTGGGGTTTTCTGCTATGTTGAGGCACCAGAACAATTTTCCCTCGCTCTGTCGGTGCATTCGAGGAATACTTGTAAGCCTGCCTTGCATCCGCCAACGGCATCACGCGCGCCACAAAGGATTTCAGAAGGGCCGAGTCCAGGGCCTTTGCCAATTGTTCCAGACCCGTTCTCGAAGGAGCCACAATGAAAAAGAGAGCCTTGACGGTTTCCTTCCCACTGGCTAGTCCGGAATCGCGGTGGCGCCGCACAAAATCGTAGCTCGCGCTGTCGATAGATATCAGGGTGCCGGACTCGGCGACCAGAGACCAGCAGGTTTCAAGACCCTTTCCGCCAACTGTGTCAATGATAGTCTCATATTTCCATGAACCTTTGATCAGATCGCCATACTCGACCACCTTATCTGCACCAAGTCGTGTCAGAAACTCTTCATCTCGTATTCTTGACCGTGTCGCTGCGACGACATACAAGCCGGCCAAGCTGGCCAGTTGCACCGCATAGATGCCGACACAACCTGCACCTCCGTTCACCAACAGACGACCCTTCTTTTCTCCACCACTTCCCGGACGAGATCCGATTATTTCATGGGATTGAGTGTTGCTGAAATCAGGCGGCACAATGCCAGCTTTGTCAAAGAGTGCTTGATATGCAGTTAAGGCACTCAAAGGTACAGCTGCCGCTTCAGCCCATGTGAGAGACCGGGGCTTTTTGCAGGCTTCCTCTGCCGACACCACCGCATATTGGGCCCATGTTCCAGCTCGCGACGCCGCTGTCATGCCATAAACCTCGTCTCCCGGCTTGAACAGAGAAAGAGAACTTTGAGAGTCTTCTTCGCTGATAGAGACCACCGTTCCGGAAAAGTCGTTGCCCAAGATATTGTATTGTTGGCGATAGGTCTCTGGCCAGGTCAGAGCATCTCGAACGACGGTCGTCGCTTCGACCCGCACCAACATTTCCCCGGGTTGTTGTGGGCGAGGGACTGGAACTTCATGATCGAAGATGAGGGCTGTGGCGGGAGCAGGATTGACTTCGGAGTAGGGTGAGGATGGTTCACCATCGTTTGGGTGTAAGCGGATAGCATCCATTTCGTCACGTTTTGCTTTTGCCGTGATGCACGTTTCGACTTTGCACGCAGCCTCCGTCGTCTTCCTTTATGCTTTACAAGGGGAAGCCATGCGGCGACAATTCCGGCATCTTCTGGGAGAATACTACGTAGGTACGTGTTACAAACCAGTGACCATTTCAACGTCATGGACAAGTACGGAGCACTAATGAGCGGCGCCTAGTTGATTTTTGTTGCCTTGATGAAGTTACGACATCAGCTTTAGGCTAAAGGCCATAACTTGCCCGACGGAAAAGCAGACTTTGGACCATAGGGACCATTTACATAGTTAGTACTTCCTGCATCAGCTCGGACGCCAGACAAGGTCAACTGAGCTCTAATACCCTTTCTCCGTGGTGGCCAGTGAGGTATCAACAACCACGGGTATTCGGTAACCCATGTCGCCCGCTGATTGTTTCGGACTCGGGTATCCGCAACAGATCCTACGGTGTCAGGGCATACAAGCTCCTCTTCATTACGAGCCAGCAGTACGAGTTCCTCATCCATGTGGCTCTCTGAAAATGGAGCGCTTATTATAAATTGATCCAAAATTCACAACAGAGCCTTCTACTCTCACCATCACTCTCCCACCCTGCTAATACTAGTATCACACTGAAGCAGCATTGATTTTGAGAACGAAAAGATGCCTGTTGACATGAAGATGCGGTGGCAAGACCAGGAAGTCGTCAAAAAGGACGGCATGTGGACTGTTGCAGGGTTCGTTCTATATTGTCGCAGGTTGTCCGAGCTTATCTTCATATAGGAGACCAATGCCCACTGTTGCTCCCGCTTTCCAAGAGTCGCCGTCCAACATACCAGATCACTATTACCTGGGCCTGAAGGTGAACGCACCGGTCAACGCGGCAACACCACCGCATACCCATGGCGGCGCGGCAATCATAGCCACGATGACAAAGGGCAAAATGTTGAACCAAATGGTCTGTCCGCACCACGAGCCCGACTCGCAAGGCACAGGTCCGAAGATCTATTCGGTGGGAGAAAGTTGGTATGAGCCACCGGGCTGTCACCATGTGCGATCGGAAAACGTCGGAGACGACGAGGCCGAATTCCTTGCAGTGTTTGTCGTTAGTAAACAGAAGGTCGACAACGAAGGGCTGCAGAGCTTGGTTGTGATAGACGCTGAAGTCGAGGAGAGGAAGCAAGCTCAATAGCGCCATAGACTCGCACCAACTGCTTAGCCATGCATGACCAGGCTGAACCACCCTTATTCTTTAATAGTCAGTTGAGCGCGGATCAATCTCTTCCCTGTCGTACTCCGTACGGAGATCCCAATCCTTGTTTCGATGTGCTTGGATTGGCTTTGATTCATGTGAACCTCGCTTCTTGTCGTACCATTCAAGTCAGGCTAAAACGCCTTCCATCCTCAACTTCTTTATCGCGTCCTCTGCCCATTCACCGCACCTTATCAGTTTTTGCCCGGGGAACAACCTTTTAGGGCCATTAAACTGCTTAGGCGGGGCATCAACTAGGTTGCAGACTCGTCGAAAATCTCCGTCATCGTAGACCGCTCTCGATACTCTCCCGAGAAATCTTTTGCTGATGAACGCTGACTGCTCGTCCTCTTCGGGCTTCTTTCCAGGTCGATGATTAGGGTACATCCCCCCCTGGATACTGCCAGACACTTGAAATATATGTCCCGTATTAGGCCCAAGTTCGTGTGTCTCCACGAAGATCGCCACGTGGTTAATAGGCATTCCGGCAGACTCTACCCAAAAGACATCATAGTGTGGAGCTTGATCTGGTTTCCAGTTGGTCATAATTCTCGACAGAAGATCAGTTTCGTTGGCAAAAGCGTTCGTAGAGAATTGGTCTAGATGATCGCATGAGTTGATGGCACGCCGGAAACATCCCTCGGGCGTAGTTGATGATCGCGTGTGCTGGACAGTGGTGTGGAAGAGAGTAAGATTGTACAAGGTAAGAGGTTGTGTCTCATTTATTTTCCGACGTCTCTCCAGATCGGAAGATACCGCTGCTCCATCATGTCCATCTTGGTATCATGATATATTTTACTTCTTGATTCAAACTACGCCGTCAGAAGCAGATGGGGTTGGTAGCCACCTGGCAAAGACATCTGCATGTAGATAGATATCCCAAGATGCCCATACTCCAGACAGGCCGTAGCATACAATGATACAGAACAACGTCGCTGACCAGAACATGTATTTTGTCCATCTGGTACCTCCTCCTCCTTCTCGTATGATGCGGTCGTCACTCATCCAAAGAAGATGATCATCTCCTAAACAACCCTTGGACATCCTCCTTCCTCCACTCAATCTCCAGACTGCCTTCATACACTCTTTCTACCACGACCTTCATCCGATCCCATGCGTGTGCATATCTGACCGCACACTCGTCAAGAACCCGCCCGATCAATCCCCTACTCAGACTACTCGTACTCGCCCCGGGGTCGTCCGCATCCGTGAAATGCTTCTCGATTCTCTTCTTCAACGTCTCCACCCCCTTTCGGACTTCCTTCGCATCATACGCGCTAAGAATCTTCTTCGCTGAACTGCGCGAATGACTCGGCTTGTTCGCTATGCTCGTAAACTTGTCGGTGGCCTTCATCATTGCTTCCGTACTCTCCAGGAAATCAAGCCACTTGCCCAGCGGCCGCCGGATCACCGCGTCAGTGTACTGGTTCAAATGCGAGATCTGGTCCCTCGACGCCCGCTCCGTCCACTCCTCCAGGACGACATTGTGGTGCGTTTTGACCTCCTCAATGAAGTAGTTCATATTTTCAATCAGCAAGATATGATAGTTTAGCGCCTCTTTGTCCTCGGGGTCTCCGCCGGTGGTCGCAGCAGTCGAATGGACTCCGCCCGTCGCGCTTGCCGGGTTATCTTTTGCGATGAAATTGAGCGACTCCCACATCGCTTTGAGCAATCGAATGTAAGCGTCGTTGACGGTGAAGCGAACATCCAGGGTTTCCTGATGGGCGAATTCCCGGGGAATCATCTCCTCGACCGCAGCCGTGAATTCAGGGAACACCCGCATGAATGAGATCAGTCCCTTCCTCTTCTTGACTTTGACCTTGGTCTCTTCAATGGCCTTGACTTGTTCCTCAACAAATCGGTGGAAGACGCCAGTGAGCCGGTCATGTAGAGTCCTCACAGTTCGAGTGATGAACTCTTGGTTCGTCTCCTCATACTTCGCCAAACACTGCTCAAGGGATACAAGAACGCCGACGCCTTGCATCGAGTCGGTCTTCAGGACCCATTCAACCAAACTTTGCAAGTCCTCTAGCCAAAAAGAGTAAATCCCCTCCGTGGTGTTTTGCACAATTTTGGCCATGTTGCGGTCCGGATCGTAAGATTGTTTGGCATGCAGACTGGGCAGCTTGCGTTGATCTGGAGGTCGGGATTGTACAATTTCCGCAAAATCCGCGTTCGACTGCGAATCTAGGTGGAAGAAATGGACGATGAAGTTCTGCTCTTCTGAAATAGCGGTCGCCTGCTGTTCAAGCACGGTATCGAAGATCGTCCACGCCTCTGGCCTGCCGTCTCGCTTGTCGCCGATCGACTGGCGTAAAGCACTGGTCTTGACAGTCCTTCCACGCTTGACCGTCAGTTTACGGGCAGCTGTCGATGTGAGTGATTCTTCCGCCTTCTCTTTCTCCTGGTGAGTGAACAGAATTTCTTGCTCCTCTCCAGTCGGCTTCCGGGCAGTCTTCTTAAGACTCATCGAATAATCTCGAAATTGTGCTTGATAGATGCTCTTGACGTTGATCTCGTAGCTACTGATCAACGTCTGCCACTCGTACTGGTTCACTTCTCTTACGAAAAGCATCATGGCATTGTAAACCCACAACTCCTGCCTTGAAGCACTATACGCACGGAGATTGAGTGATGCAGACGTTCCTGATGATACGCTGGCAGTGGCGTTTTCTTCACTGGTGCGTTGTTCAGCCATCTGAAACATGGCCTTCATATGTTGATTTAGTCGGTTAAGGAAAGTCATGCTTTCCTCTTTGTATTGCTCCTTCTTCTGCTGCACCGCACGCATCTGACCAATCTCGGCGTCTGCAAAGTGGCCAACCCCGGCCCGGCCTGTAGATGCATCCGCTTGACGAAGTTTGTTCTGCCGGATCTCTGGGTCAATGGTCAACATTGCACGGTAGAGCAACGCCAGTGAGTTTTCGACAGCCTGCAAGCCATCATAGCTGTCGATTGGTGCCGCTCTCAAGGCTCGCAGATCCCCAGAGGATATCGTCAAGGTCTGCAGCAGGCTCTCTAATTCGCTTTGAAGCAGTTTCTGGTTGGCGGTCTGCACCTGTAGGCCTTGACCTTGAGCCTCGATGTACTCGATATCATCGTGAAGAGTGTCGAGCTCGTGGGCATACAGCGTGAGCAGCCCATCTAGCTCTTCGCATTCCGCAACTGCTTTGTCGAAAGCCTTTGCAAGTTCTTGCACTTTGCTTTCCTGCTGCTCAACATGACCAAGCCAACCACTCGCTTGAGCCCGACCAATTTCCCTACGTATGTCTGTTTCGAAGTCTTCCACCTTTTGTTGGTTTGCAAGCTTGCCTTCCCAACCAAACTCGGTAAGAAGCTCATTGAACTCTGCACCACGACCGTCCATGATCCGTGGATCGATGCCCAAACTCGCGCAATATTTTCCAACCTCTGCTTCCAGCTTCTGCCGCCGTCGTCTTTGCGGTGATCGGGACCGCGCCTTGTCTGGAGATTGTGCTCGTTCTGGCTCTTTAGGTGCCTCAGCGGTGGCAGCCGCGGGCTTCGGTACTGGCGTTTGAGGCCTGGCAACGCTGTCAGATGTCGCGGTCCGTTCAATCTGGACTTTCGGGATAACATCATTCGGTTTGGGCACAGGCTGGTGGCTGTTCTCTATGTCTGGGCTGGCCAAATCAGGAGTTCCAGTTCTAGCGCTGTCGCCACTCATACCTCGTTGCAAAGGTGCTGGAACGACTGAAGTGATACCATCAGGCTCATTTGACTGCTTCTCTCTATCTTGTAATGCTTTCAGACGTGCACCAGCACCGCCTTGACGTGGTTGAAAAGCCTGTGCAGCAAGAGCAGCTTTCCGGAACTGGTTCGCAATATCCTTGCCGGACTTCTTCTTGATCATAGGGCCCAAGCCAGGTCGATGTTCCTCTTCGATCTTTGGAGGCGGAGGTGGAGATATTGCGTCGTTTGGCTCTGCTGTCACTGGCTCGTCTGTAATCTGACTAGGGGTCTCATCCTGGCTATCAGGCCCATGTGTGGCACTGCTGAGTAGTATGGAATTATTTGCTTCTTTGTTGGCATCTTGTTGAGGCTGTTTGGCGCCAAAATAATCTGGCGCCTGCTTCTGCGGTTCTTCCCCTTTCAAATTTGTTGGTGTACCCATCGGAGTCACAAACGTGTCGCCATCCTGACTTGGAGGACCATGGTGGTCCGCCACGGGCTCCGGAGCAGCTGCAATTGGCCTCTTTCTTTCTGGCAAAGGTTCGACAAACGCTGGAACACCGGGCCGGGGTTCCGGGGTCCTCCGATCAGTAGTTGCTGTGCTCGGCCTCGAGCTACCCATGGCATCGCTTCCAGAGCCATTGCGAAATGAATCCTGACTAGGTCTCGGTCCCAATCTTTTGCCAGGTAAGTCCAGGCCTGCAGGCTTCACTGCCCCCAGGCCATTCGGTCTCAGAGGTTGAGGCTCCGGAACTGGTTCATTCCGAGGTAGGGATGATTTTGAGGGTTTGGGACTGAGCGAAGGCCGCCCCGGTGTTGGTTGATTGTCTGCCAATGACGGGGCACGGCCGTCGTCTCGCCGGTATTGAGTACCATATGGCTGATTCCGAGGGGTTTCTTGTACTGGAGTGCTACGGTCCGGCCTTGACGGGGCTCTGTTCTCGTGCTGAGAGGGTGGTCTTGGTCCGTCCCTTGCAATATGGTGCTGGTCCTGACGCGTGAAAGGCCGATCTTGCTCTTGCGACGCATACCTATTGCCATCTCTGCTCGGTGGAGGATGTTGGGCGGTGTACGGCGACTGCGGTCGATTGGCATTCAGGGCTGGTATCAATGGCGGCTGCATAGGAGGAGTCGAGCGGTCAGAAGTTGCAGGAGGAGAGAAGCTACCAGCGGACCTGGGTGCTGGAGCGCCTTGAACAGATGGCGTGCCTGTGAGTTGAGCTGCCTCCTGCGGCGAGAAGCCAATAAGATCCGGTACTTTCCCCCCAGTATATTTCCGGTATATCTTGACCAGACTAGCAATAAAGAAGTCCTTCTCTTTCGGGGTCGGTGCTGCCCAAAAGTATGGCTTCCCAAGAGTGACTGTAAACCCAGCGTTTGACGCCCACAGTTTCTCCATCTGCTGCTGCGGCGTTGTAGGGACCCAAGCAGAATATGACAATATTGCGTTCAGTTCGTCCAAATTCCATGTTTTACCAATCGAGAATGTGCCGTTAGGATTCTCTCTGGCTTTATGCACTCTGACCTTGCCTGACCTGCGCACGGCAACCAGGATAACTCTGCTCTTCTTGTTCGCCGCAGGAGAATCGGGAGGAGGGGGTGATGAAGGGTAGGAGCCATCTTCGAGGACTCTGACGTGCGTAATGTAGGATTCGACTTGCATTCCATCCTGGTCTCTTTTATTGAAGCAGCTCTCAATAATGCGCCTCTTCTCATCTTCAAAGCGCGCCGCACGGGATTGGTTGGTCTCGAGAGGATCGGGTTGCTTGACCCCGGGAGGGCCGCTGGCAGACCCATTGCGATTGCCGTTAGAGAGCGGCGGCGGTTGTCGAGATCCTTGATAGTACTGTTGTTGATTCATCGTGGCTGATGGTGGTTGAGGGCATCATCTTCTGACGGCTAGCAGTGTCCGGGTGATATTCGAATCATTTCAGGGAGGAACGGCGTGAAGTACCGAAGCACTGTGTCTCTCGGCGTGGCTATTGTTTGTGTTGGCGACCAAACCTGGGGTTCTCTCCTGTGAATCACACCTAGTTGTAATTCATCGACCTGCAGTCGGCGTGGCAGATCATGAAATTGGCCGGACACTGGATGTCCGAGTACCTGCGAAATAGTGCTAACTACCTTAGTACTGGCTGTGGGCCGATGCTTCCGTTTCATGTTAGGCGACTAGGCTCACCACGGCTCACCACGGCTCACTAAATCGCCTATAAGCTAATCCCAAACAGTCTTCTCCCCTTGCCTCCGCAATTGAGAGAGGGCACGCGTCACCAAGGATATATCAAAGGCGGCTATCTAGATTACTCGTGAAGGGAAAACCTAGTTGCCGAGTCCAATTTGATCCTAGGGAGAGACCAGAGGCCGCTTTCATATGAGGCCTAACTGAGCCTCACTGTAGCACGGTAGGTACAATACGGATCCCTCGGTTCAACTTGAATTCATTCCCTATCCAACTTCTCACGAATCTAACAGCAGTGTGACTTCAGGTCGGAGTATCAAGCTCAGCTCTTCCAGGCCGACAGTCTGGGCACAAAATATGTCGCAAAAGACCCCATCAAAAATGGTCTTCTCCTTCGACAGATCTTCCCTGATCACACCCTTCTGCTCCCCAAGACGCCAGGCTCAATAAATTGGTACAAACACTATCGTTGATCATGATGAAGGAAAGCTCCTTTTGGCGCCTTCTTCACTCCCAATCCAAAAACCCCTATCCAACGGTCCAAGTACCGACTTCGGTTCAATTCACAAACAGACTTTCGCAGTTCTCGACCATCCACATGACTGCTTCGTTCTTCATCTTAGTATCGCTCAACTCACGATTGAGACTCTCCGGTCGCATGATTGTAGGGGCAAAGACCACTGCAACGTTCATGGATGTCATGAGATTCTCCTTCTCTTGCAATACAACTCTGGCAAGGTGCTGAATCAGGTACTCCAGTGTGTCGTAATGAACACGTGGTAGGTCTTCCAGCGCCCGTTGCATAGCTTCAATCCTGATGTCCTTTTCCGCAATGCTCGTCGTGTCAAGCAGCTTGTCATAGACGTCATAAGTGATGAGCGGTGTCGGCAGTCGGCGGAAGTATTGCTTGAGACCAGAAGTCACAGCATGGATATCCAAGTCTTCGTCAGACAGATCGAAATCCTTGGAAGGATTTTCAAACCACTCTTTGACTTGTTGGACTTGGGAATTCCCGCCGGACTTTCGGTAGATGCCTTCGACGTCCATGCCTGTCCATGTCAGATACAATATTGTTAGAATTTAGGGCTTCGGCCTACCTCTGGACTCCACTTCTTCAACACAGCGCCTGACAATCATGGGGATGTCAGTCTTCTCAAATTCGGCTCGTTGCTCAAGATCAGAGCCAAAAAGTTCTACATGGAATTAGTACTAGGATGGTTCAACAAAGGGCCAGATACATACGTGTAGACGCATCGACCAGCAAAGAAGGCGTACTGGTGTTGTTTTGAGGAGCGTAGAGGCCGTTGGATCTCGGCGCAGCTTTCTGGTTGCCAAAGAAACCGAAGCCGCTCTGTTTGACTGGTTCTGGATTCGACTTGGGTAGACTTGAGTATTCTTGGCCGATTGGTTGCGCACCATACGAACCAGTTTCAGCAAATTGGAGGTCTCGGCTGTAACTCTGCTGTGTCGACGAGAAAGCGCCCTTCAAGCCTTTAGTGACTCCCTTGGCAACTTTCTGTCCCTTCCTCCAGTCGAATTTCCTGGGTTGGCCTTTTCTGATGTTAACCATCTGCGGGCCTTGTAATACAGTCACCGGCTCTGCTTCACCGGCTTGCAAAGTGGTGGCTGAGTCAATGTTTGTCAGGTCGGTTGATGGGTTGCGCATTGTCTCTCTCGAGTCGAAGGAGACATTCGACTTTTCTTTGTGGTGCGAATAAATTCCGAGGCCGTTCATGGCTGGTTTGTTGGGCTCAGGCTGGTTACCAGAATTGGCCTTATACAGACCCTGAATCTGATGGACCAATTGATTGTTGAGTTCCGCCAGCTGGGCATTCTTAGAAGAAAGCTGCTCAAACTCCATGAAACTCTTGTCCTTCATTTGGGTCAAGTTGGCGATCTCATCGACCAAGTCATTGCGCTTCTGTATCGACTCTTCGATTTGAGGGGCAAACGAGTTTTTCAATTTCTCCAACGCTTCCGCAAAGTCGCGAAGGACAGCGTTGCTCATCTTGGTCAGGTCAAATGGCTCGCCACTGCGCTTTGCGACCGCCAAATGCTCCGTCAGCAATTCGAGTTCTCGGACGACGATTTCTTTTTGAGTGTCAAGTACGACAATGGTCGACCTCTTTTCCTTGAGTTCCGAGTTCATCTGTCTGATGTTTGCGGTCGAGTCAAGGTGCGATTCAAGCTCAGCGATCCGCTTTTCTCGCTCGATGGTTTTTTGTCTTTCGCGCCGAAGCTCATTCTTGAACCAGGCAAGTTCGTCGCGGTGTTCAGGCGATGCAGAGCTGGGACTGCTAATCTCTTGGCCGATCGATGAAGGTCCTACTGCTGGTGACCTAGGCCACCGCTCACGAGAAAGACGACCGGTCTTGTCGCTATAGCTACGACCATGGCGGACCGAATTTGACACTCTCTTCAGGAATGATTCATGAGCGTTAGGTTCGTCGCCAGACATGATGCGAGCCATGTCCTCGTCCATGGTAAATTCTCCGCCTGTAGAGTATCTTGGCAATCCTGGTGACTTCTGTCCTTCCAGGTTCCGCTGGTTCTCAGAGTATAGCGTATTGAAAGACTCGTTCCGTGACCGTGAATGATCCGAAGGCGGTAGAGGTGGCGCTCGAGGGTCGATGAATGACTCGTTGCCTGCTTTGCCAGCACTTGGAAGGTCCGTTAGACCTACAGAATTATCGTCCGTATCAAAGATACTCTTGGAGCTGGGTGACCCAATAGGGCCAGAAATGACCTTCCCACCATTCGCCCTTGCTAAATCGGTAGGTTGCATGGTTGGTTTTGGTGTTGATGTCGTACCATTCACAGTTGCGCTGAGACTCGAGGGGATGTTAGCTGCAGAATTGAGCTCCTTTCTTGGTATTGTCTGGTTGCGCTTCGCACTATCTAGAGAATCGCCTCTCTTCGGCAGGTTCTGTAAGATTGAAGTGACGGGCAACTGCGCATGCCTAGGCGACTCATCGGTCGTAGCTGGACTGGGTTCATTCGAAAGACGTGGCGTTGAGAAGCCTCGATCGGATGGGGAGCCCAGGTCGGAGCCAACTAGGGTCCTTGAGGTTGTCAATTGCTCCATGGGATCAGCAGCAAGGTCTGCTCGAGGTGTGGATGCTTCGGAACGTGAATTGGGAGTCGATCCGGACAGCTTCTTAGTCTTTGGCGCATCTTGTAACTTGAATCTGTCACTTGATGCTGGATCGTTATTGCGAGCAAGTTGCTGCGACAAGCGAGGAGAATCTTCAGACCTTCGTGGCCGCTCCGCCAGAGCATATGGAGATGCTCTAGTTGAACCAGATCTGCTGACATTTCCGCCAGTCCGACTTCTCTCAGTAGCCTCGCGCGAGGACTGTCGTCCTTTCTCTTGGTAGGCAATGTGCGGACTCGAAGTGTTGGATTTTGCTACAGAAGGCTGTGACGTCGGCCCCGGTCTGCTGGAGAAGTAGTCTTTGGGCTTCTCTTCCACCACGCGGGGTGTGAGCTGATTTGACATCGCGGGTGATGCAGCGGCTGGCTGCGCTGTAGGGTCGAACGCAAGGGGAATCAAGAACTCCTCACCACCTCCTGAAAGATCTGAGCGCTGGGACATTACAGACTGCCTATTGTTGCGGAAGGTGGTCGAGGGAAGAGTGAGCAGATCTAGAATGCCCTATGCATTAGTACAAGAACAATCTGGCAGTGTAGATCGGTTTCTTACCTCGCGGAGGAGTCTGGTCACCTGTGGAAGGCCTGGAATCTACGTCTCTCAGCTCACTCATTGTCTTGGCCACAGACGGAGCCTCGCTGGGCGCTTCCACATAGCCCTCGAGGTAGGGAGACGACTCCTCTGGCGCATACGCAGTCTTTCCGGCTTCAGGAGGCGGAATTGCTGGTAGTGACTTGTCCAGATGCGAACTGTTCGAGAGCTTGGACCGCTGCGCTGCACCCTTTGCGCTCTTCTTGCGCCGCCTGGCCATCAACGCTTCATGGCAATCCATGCAAAAGATACCCTGTGATGTGCGCGCATACCGTAGATTCTCAATCTTCCTCTTGCAATTCCGGCACTTGAAACAATTGGCGCAAAAGGCTTGGTCTCCGGTCAAGATGGCCAGGTCCTCGATCTTGTTGCCGCAATTACTGCAGCTGTAGGTACAGTTGTTGCATATGAGAGAGCCGTCACCGAGGAGTAGAAGGTTTGCGTCGGAATCAAGGGCAGTGTTACAGGTGTTGCAGCGGAAGCAATCAATGTGCCATCTGTTACCAGCTATTCATTCGTCAGCGGAGAGTCCTGGATCGAGGAAGACGGGAGATAAGCGTACCTAGCTCGAATGCCTTGCCTTCTTCAAGGATCTTTCGGAAGTTGTCAGTCCTAATACCTCTCTACAGCGCAAGAATCTCACCTGTCCACAGCCTTTGCAGGGAAATGGAGCGTCATCTGGATCCAGAGGGGACTCTGGGAAAGCCATCGGAGACTCCAATGCCGTGGCCATTATGTCCTCTTTCCTCGATCTGTACTGCCCAGTGTGCCTGCACTGTTGAGAACATGTGGTAAATTTTGTCTCAGGACGAACTGAACCCCGTTTGAGATGATACAATGTAGTTCATTAATGATCCCTTCTCGCGGCGCAGGAAACGCAAACAAACGCAAAATGTGTACACCGAACGGCTTAAGCGACGACTAAGCGATATGTTCTTCTCTTTTGATAGCCAGTCTCTGCACTGACCCGCAGTTGAGACACGACTCGGACAATGTGGTAAACAGGCGTTTGTCGGGAGCCCCAAAATCGGCCGAAAATAGAACTTTTTGACAGGTACAAGAAACGTAGGCCAGCGTCGTCCGTTGAGGTATGTCAATTGCAAAAGAGGACCGTGAAGCAGGTAGTTATGGTGTACCAGGAGTAAGGATCGAAGGGCGTCAGCATGCGAACGGCTGGGGTTTTGAAGAGAGGTGATGGAGTTGCGCAGACAGTTGATGGGTGAGCGGTCGCGTCAAGTCAATGCGGGAGTAAGAAGTGAATGACGGCTGCAGCTGACGTTTGTGCATGCGGCGAATGGCCCAGCGTGGTCTTGTGGAGGACAACAGCACATGGAGCAAAGAAAGGACGTTCTATTGTTGTGTTCGTGCGTTCGCCTCGGAGAACAGTGATGGTGTATTGAAGAGCTGAGGCAATCTTGCAGTCGTCCAACTCATTCAGAGTAACGGTACGAAGAGGGTTGTGCCTGTGCCCACTAACGTAAGGTAGGCATAGTTTCTTCAGAGGATTGACGATTAGGAGGACGTGTTCACCGAATGGCGTTGAAAATCAAAGGCCCAAGTTGACTCGAGAGGGCATGATGGGGCCCTTCAATGATCATGGCCCATTTAGCCAGTGAACCCCCAGGGCCATTGGCTACCAGGCCGACTTTTCAAGGAGGGCTCCATTACGCAGTCAGTTTTAATGGGGGCTAGCCGTGCTGGAATCCATTAAGAAGCAGGCTGGTGCAGGCTGAGGAAGATGGCCTTGTCTAGCCTACAACAACCCCTTATTATTGTCGTGCTCTTTTTGGCTCACCAGGCTCAACTAGACTGCACTTCATCAACCCACCGGCACTAAAAGGCTCTTAGCCTGCGACCGCGTTGACAAGCCTCGTCTCTTGCTCATGGTTTCGGCTCCCTATTTCATGCAGCAGTTCCTTTCTCCAGAGTTCGGCGCAACTGAGAGATCTCCCCGCTTCTCTCTTCCCTCTTGCAACTCCCCTTATCTCGTGGCGGGCGACAGAAGACTCCTCTTGCCTGTCACAATATTGCTAGGACCATGTCAGCCCTTGACCTCCCAAGTTTCTGAGCCGTCTCTCCCGAACGTCAACATGTCGTGCCACCACATCACGGTCGTTCTTCGTTACACTCGCAAGCGACCCCCACGTGGTCTAACAAGGCAGCTAAGCTGAGCAGATTAACCCAGGCCACTTGCAGGATCTACCGTTTCACTGGACCTTCGATGAGCACACGTAGCACTGGGTACGCAATCCAGGCTAGAAATATGGCTTTGCTTCCTTGCTTTCCTCCATCATCATCCATGTCAAGGAACAATCTGAAACACCCATCTTCCGCACTCCGTTAACATCATCTACGGAGTACGATGTACACACTGGGAGTACTACGGGCATGGACCATGGAATACAGGAGCATCATAATTGTCAAACGCCTTCATTGAAGTTCTGTGTCTCCATCATTTGAGTCTGAACTCCTTCTCATAACCATAACCATAACCAATCCCATAACCAATAATAAGGATACCCATGCCCTTCATAATAATACTCGTAATAATACAATGTCGCTCCTTCATTCATCAGCAGTGACTCCCAGGATCTCCCAATTGGCTGAAGATTCCTCTGACGAAGCAAAACCAACCCTTGTAACATCAACAGTCCCTGGACCCATCTGTTGTCCATAGACTCCGTGCCTCAACGTAGTTCCAAGGAGCTTCCAATCGGCGGACACCTGCGAGCCAGGATCATATGTCGACGGCTCTGATTCCATATGCATGTCATCATAGTCCTCGTCCGGCATAACGACTCTTCCTGTGTTACCCAAGCTTCCACTGGGCATACCTGAAGCACCAGCCACATAGTAATGAATGAGGTTCTTGTCTGATTCCTTACTGAAGTAGTTGTAGAATCTTCTCTCTGGCTTGATGATGGAATGGAGTGCTTTGCAGAAGGTGATGATGTGTCGTCTCATGAGGGATGAGTAGGTTGAGAGCAGGTGTTCTGCATACGACGCCAAACGGTCCTCTTGAATGGTGTAGAGAGTCTGACCGCAGGCAGAGACTCGGGCCAGGAGGAAGTTGAGCAGATTCAACCCAAAGGCCAAAATAACAGGTAGTCTGGTGGAGAAGCGAGGTTTTTCAGGTCCAAAGTCTGTTGCAACGCTCTGAAGACTATTCCAAAGGAGAGTGGTAGTTGATTTAGGTGTAATAATAGGATCATTATCGTTAATGATATTTTCAATCGATTGTAGTGTGTCCAGGACTGCGTCGATAGTAGGCAGCGGATTTGGGGTGGTCATACAGAGGTTGCGAGCAGTAATGTCGATGGCTGTAAGAGCTGACGCAAAACCAGTAGTGTGATTGCATCTTGCAATAATAAGTGCACACAAGGTCATGCCTGGCTGTGGCTCGGGGTACTGAGGATATTGATCAAAGAGATCCATCAACATGATAACAATAGTGTGTCTGTTGTAGGCAGGATGGTTGAGGTTGCCGATCCTCTTATCTCTGCGTTCAGCGATCTCGTCCAAGGATGCCAGGTTGGTGATAAGGAGTTCAAATAGTTCGTTAAACTGTGACTGGCGAGTGATCAAGACACTCCGATGATTCTCGAGTAGCTTTCTAAGCCTGCGATAGCCGAGAGCATCAAGGGTTCCATGGCGGAGGAATTCCATGGCGGTGGCCAGAGACTTTCTGGCAGATGCGATGCTGTTACGTCGTTTTGGTGAACGACTTGGTGATCGATGTGATGATCGAGTTGGGGATTTGTAAGTGTGTTTTTGGATAATGTTGGTGTTCTCCTTGCCCTCCGGAGTGTATTCAATGGTTGTGAAGCTGTCAGTTGCAGGTCCTGGTAGAGGCATCTGGATCTCGGGTGCGAGCGCTTGAACTGGACGGAGCGGCAAGGTCGATGCAGCAGGTGGCTGCTCGCCAAGCACGTTTTCCTTGAGGATGTCTTTGTAGACAGCAGGAGCCGACATGTATTTCTCTTCGATAATGAGCGGAATTTGACGTTCTTCGTGTTTGACAGGCTCGGCAATGGGAGGAGCAATTGGCTCCTTGTCCTCCGCAATAACTGGTGTCTGCCGACCAGTCTTCCTGCCATGTGATTGGTTTGTAGAGGCCGAAAGCTCCTTTGCTTCAGCTTTCAGGGTCTCGTGACGACTCGCAGTCTTGCGGTGGTGGCTGGCAGTTGACGAGATGGAGTCTTTGTTGGAATGTGAGACTGGAGTTTGCCGACCAGATGCTTTTTCAGTAGCACCCTTGTCTCTGGAGTCAACAGATTTCTTGGTGGGTTCCCCACGAGACCCAGGACGCTGAGAGGTGTTTGAGACAGCAGAGATTGGTGTAGCAACAATGCGGCCTCTTCTGACCGGTGCCGACAACAATGGACGTGCCTCAGTCTGCGGACTCGCAGTCTTGAGATCTTTGGCATTGTCGAGTTTGGAGTCCTTGGAGGACTTTTGGGAGTTTGGACGTGAACCATGACGAGAGCCTCCTGCTGGCTCGCTCGGATGAGAGTTTTCTTGGACGTGTTTGTCTTGCTTGTCTTTGGCATGCTCGGAAGCAGCTTTGGGAGCAGGTTGTTTGTCATCTGCCGTGGGATTGATGCCCTCCAAAGAGCCGAAGATGAAGTCTTCCGGTTTGACTGATGCTGGTGTAAACCCACGATGTTGTTGCAACCGTTGCTTTGATTGTGCTTTGATCTGAGCAAGGGCAGAGTCTGGCCTTGGAGCTCTGGAGCCTTTGGTAGATTTGTCTGGATTGTGAGGATCGTCACGGAGGGCAGCTTGAGCGTGAGAATTGAGGCCACCCATAATCATACGAGCTCCCTGAACGTCATATTTGGCGAACTCCCAGTAGACTGCACGAGAGTTTTCTCTAACTTTGACTTGTCCATCGGTAAGGCCCTGGAAGATGGCCTTTTGTGCTGCGTGACCATCTTTCTCTGCATCCATCTGGGTGCGGTAGGTTTTGAGAAGGATGCGAAGCCATTCCGGTGCAAAAGTGCGAGGAGGAATTCTCTTGTCTCTGAAAGCAGAGCAAATGTGGTAGAAGAGACGTGGGCTGTAGCCGGCGTGCTGGCAGATGACGGTGATAGCATCGTTGGCATTCTTCTGGTTGACACCCTTGGTAGAGCCACAAAGGACTAGGAGTGCAGGAAGAAGGATGTCGAGTTGAGGTAGGATTTGATTCTCGAGATTCTTCGCAATGTGGCAGAGCGTACGACAGGCTGAAGCAGACAAGGTGGTCCGCTCAGAGGAGGCAGCTTCCACAATTTGGGGCAAGATGGCTTTGACTCTTTCGACAAAGTCTCGTGGAAGAACACTGTTCTCCTTGCGTTGTTCGAAGATGTCGGAGAGCGAAGAGAGAAGGTCTTGGCGCTTTTTCCAGGTCTCCTCGTTCTCAGGAAGAGTGAATTCGTATTGCAAAAGGTTGAGCACGTCAACATAGGTTTTTCCGAGCATCTTGGCTCTGGTGGCGACGAGGGAGAAATAGACAGTCTTTCCAGCAGTCGCAATGGAATTATCGATTTTCTTGACTGAGGAACGAGCAATGTCAGTAACCTATACCGACGGTGCACTGAGGAAACAAGGCATACAAAAATCCATCCTGGCAACGCCAGCCCTGTGTGACTCCATGTTGAACTGGAGGTCAACAAGGGCAAGGTTTGGACAGGTAGGATTTGAGTATGAGTTGTTTGAAAAGTATGAAGAGTATAGAGAGTAGCAGCGAAGCAACAGAGCTTTGCAGTGTAAAAGTGTTGTTGATGTTGATGGAGTGGGAACAATGTCACGTGATGCAAGTGTAGAATGTATGTGAAGAAAGAAAGAAAGAGGAAGATGGGATGGGCGGCCATATTTATGGGCGGACGGGACATACCAGTTCAATCGAAATCAACCCTCTCCGAAACCGCAATGTTGTTGATGACACTCAGCGACGGTCCTCATGGGTCTTGAGGCGTTCTGAAAGTTTGGTACAAAGCAAAAGAGAGAAGAAGAGGTCACGCTGGTAAGTGATCGCTGTTTGTTTTGGGAGGACCACGAGCCTCAGAGTGTTCTTGGCAATGAAGTTCACCATCGACCAATGACGGGGAGCGCTAGTGTGGCGCTCACTCGCGCTCCGTGGCGCCCCAAACTTCGGACTCGCGAGTCAAGTGGCTTGTTTCTTCCGACGCACCTCCACTTGTTGAACAGCCACGGCCAGCCTTCCCATGAACCACCCCATCAGCATCCGGGATTCGATCAGGATACCCAAGACCCGCGGTATTGCCATCGAATCCCGGTCAATGGGACGAGACTGTCCATAAGCTTGAACCGCATGTTTCAGCCTTTCCATTGTCAAATCCATTGCAACTGGACGTTAGGCGTCAAGTTGCGCACGCCGTCGATTGAGTCATCCATGCGGATACAATCCTCGAGGACCTCCAACATGCCTGTTCCAATCCCTCACTTGCACCACAAACCTACTCTCCGACTCCATCTGGACGATATCGGCCATCCAGCCAGTCAAGTCGCGTCTTCTTCTCTGGACAGCGGGCTCTACCTTGCACGTGCTGTTGAGCATGTTCTCGCCCACCTTTACGTGCCCTATGGCTTGAGTAATATTCCCAAAGTCAGATCTGTCACAGTGATACTCCGAGCGATGGGCGGAGTCGCGTACACCAGCGGTCTGCAGCTGGATGACCTTCACAAAGAGATCCACCTATCCCTTGACTACGTGCAAGGTGTCCTATCCAGGAACCCGACTGGAATACGCCACGAGGTTTCCGGTGTCATCACTCACGAAATGGTCCATTGCTTCCAGAACAATGCTCAGGGTACTGCTCCAGGAGGCCTCATCGAGGGCATTGCCGATTTCGTTCGCCTGAAAGCTGGACTTGCCCCACCGCATTGGAGCCGATCACCTGAAAACAGAGGGCAGAAATGGGATGAAGGCTACCAGAAGACTGCATGGTTCTTGGAGTGGCTTGAGAGCGAACAAGGACCGGGTACTGTGAGCAGGATGAACGAAACTCTGGGCCTGGAGAAGTACGACGAGAAGAGATTTTGGCACAATATGTTTGGTGAAGCGGTCGATCATCTATGGGCCAGATACAGAGACACTTGGGGGTCGACCGATCAGGATACGACGTCTGAGATATCACGAGAGCAGAGCGTTGAGTCGCAGATAGAATTGATCAATTGGGACGAGAAGGGAAAGCAAGAGGCAGCCAAGGAGGACAGGAAGCCTCGAGAATTCGTTGCCTAGAGAGTATGCATAAATGCTCGAGCGACAGAGTTGTTCTGCATCATGGACCACGACAATCGTACTAGAGATGGACTTCTGTCTCCAACGTATGTTTCATGTGCCTCCATACTCGCGTGCCCACTACGGGACTATCTGCTAGATCTGATAGACCGATAATATCGCCGTTACGAATCCTATTGAGATAGATCAGCCCTCCTCGACAAGGCCGACACTGTCGGAAAGGGCCCTGCAGAAGTACAGGGGACAAGTCGTTGTCACACGGTATCGCAGTGCACGCTATGCGGAGGGCCACCCGTCGGGGAAAGGGAGCTGGAAGAACACTCGTGAGATCAACTACTTTTAGAAGCAGTCAGTATGGATCGTACAATACACAAGGATTTCAACAGAGAGTATTGGTAGTCAGTAAAAAATTAGAGTGTTGTTGCGTAGTTTTGTTCATCATCGAACAAGTTCTCGGGGTTAAAAATGTATCATCACACCATTGGGGAATCAAAGGAAAGAGATCGTGCTTACCAAGGTATATGAGCTGTAAGATCGTACTACAGCGTGTCACGTCAGAAGCCATCAAAATCAATTGTGGTGGTGTGCAATTCATGTCTTTGCTCCTATGTCGCATGTCTATTGGACTAGCTGTATTTGGCATGACATTCCCTATTGCATCTCCCGACAACGCGCGATGTTCAAGGTATTTAGTCGAACAGTCCACCGAAGCCTGAGACACGTCAGCAAATAATAGCAGGGTAGACGAAGGGTCTGGAAACTCACCTTCGTCATCACTTTCTTCCTTCTCCTCTTCTTTTTCTTCCTCCTTGGCCGCAGCTGGTGCGGCAGCTTCCGTCGAAGCGGCGGCAGCTGCTGGCGCAGCGGAGGCATACTTGTCAGGGTTGGCAATGCGATCCTTGAGCTCATCGATCGCCTCCCAGCTATAGTCAATCTCAAGCGCAACTGAAATGACCTTCTTGTAGCCATTGATCAAGCTATGGATGACGGATGGCAGGGTAGGGTAGTTGGTGGCAAGGGAGATGGTGGTGATGGTTGCAATTGCAGACGACAATGCCTTGAGCAATTGACTCTCCTCGACATCCAAGACATCCGGGGAGAAAGACTGACCCTCCTCATAAACTTGTTGTACCTTCATGCCGTACGTGAAAGGCGAGATGTTCAACATGTTGAGCAGCGTAGCTTCTGAGGCACCGACTTTTGCGCCAGCCTCGACCAACTTGAGATCAGTGGTGATTTCAATGGTACCACGAGCAATCTTTGTGGGGACACCGAGAGCCTGGAAGAAGGATGTCTTGCCAGGTTCCATACCAGTGTTTCCGGCAGGGACGTAGACATCGCCAGGAGCGACAGCGCCAGCACGGGCAGGCGCCGCAACTCGGTTCGCAAGGATCTTGTCACGGGTGGCCTTGAGGTCGCCGTTGGTGAAGATGAAGCCAACGTTCCCTGCAAACGTCAGAAGTGTAATTTTCACGGTGTATCCCAGCGCCCGACGCACCTTTAACGTGAGGCAGGAGACGTTCGTACTCCGGGTTCTCATTGATGAATCCCTTGAGCGCACGTCGGACCATGGTGTTCTTGCCCATCAGAACCACTGCTTCGCCTCGGAGGGACTGGCGGATTTCGTGCATCTGTTGCGAGGAGACATTGTCAACGCTGACCTGCGATTTCTGTCAGTACGCCGCAATTCGAGGATTTCAAAGTCCACCGACGATGAAGATGGACTTGTACTCGTCGAGCAAGCCCTTCAGCTTGTCGAAGTACACAGCCTTGGTTCCAGTCTTGCCCCCCATGACTTCTTGAGGATGAAGTTAGGATGTTTAAGGGCAAAGAGTAATGCGATAGTGAGGTTGAAGTGGTCTTTATGCGATGAGACTGTGATTCCAATCAACCTGCGCTCAAAAATTCATGGGGTGTGTGAGGTGCAACTCTTGGCACTTTGGAGATGCTCACCTTACCTAAGCATTGCGGTATACGGCGCTAACCTAAATCGGATCGTTTCGCACTACTGACTCCTGGATTCACGTGTGCGCTCTTGCGGCTGAATAATCATGAGGGGAATGGAGAGCCTTTAGAGCTGATGCTGTTGGAGACTTGGGGATATCTCGTATATCTACAGGCGACGAGTGACGTTGTGTCAAGAGCCGTGATGTCTGTTCGTAAATCGGGGCGACGCCTGGGAATACTAGACCAGAGAGGGATTTAATTCGCGAAGGCACACGCCCATACTCCGGTACTAGTATCCTTGCTCAAACACTCGTTCATGTCGCACAGAATCCTCCTGACCGGAGCATCGGGCTACCTCGGCGGTACACTGCTGGCTCGCTGGAAGACGGCCAATCTGCCGCCGCATGAGAAATTGTATGCCCTCGTGCGGACAGATGATCAAGGCAAGGCGGTCAAGTCATATGGAGCTGAGCCCTTGAGCTTCGATGTCAAGGATGAAGCGTCAACGCGCGAAGCTATTGTTGAAAACAAGATCAACGTCGTGTTCTTCCTGATTGATGCGATGAATTCGGACTCGCAAGTGCTTTTGATCAAGGCCCTTGCCGAGGTGAAGAAGCTTACAGGCCTAGAGGTCCATTTTCTGCATGTAAGTTGTCGGAAAATCGCAAACAGCAATGCTATGCTGATTACTTGGAAAGACCAGTGGCGCCAAAATATTCTCGAGCCATGCTGGCGCACCTACAGACAGGCCGCTTTTCGACGATGAGCCGGGGCTTTACGAAATTCAGAAGTCTCAAAGATCTGAAATTCCTCTTCTGCAATCGGTAGGATCGGAATATCGAGAATCTTGTCGTCCAATGTCGATCTCTAACGACTGATTGCCAGGCTGTTGAAACCAATAACACGGTGATTGAGCAGGCCGAGTCCTTAGGAGTGCGCAGCTATATCTTTGTGCCTTGCATTGTTTGTAAGTTCTTTCCCACCGTAGACGCGATCGCCTCGGGCTAACTCACTGCGTGTGTAGATGGAAAGGGCGAAGGCTTCGGGAACCCTATCTCGATTCAGACCGTGGCTATTGTAAAGGCTGCAAAAGCAGTGGGACGTGTCCACAGCGTAGACTTCGGTCGACCGGTGAGTCCTCCTCCTTGGAGGTCTGAAGCTTTTGTTTCGTAGGTCATTGTGACTGACGATGGAGCGCAACAGACCTGGCCTGTGTGCCATGTTCTTGACAACACGAAACTCTACTTGGACCTACTCCGGCAGATATTCTCAGATAAGAGTCCAGGTTGTGGTAAGAATGGGTATTACTTGGCTTCGCCGGGCAGTGTTGCTTGGGAAGATTTATATGCTGGGATCGCTAAGGCTTTGGCCAAAAGAGGGGTCATCTCTGATGCAACAGTCGAGCCAGCTTCGGACAAAGCTATGAGCGACATGGGTGAGGCACTGGGTTGCCCCAAAGAACTTGTCCCTCTGCAGCTTGGGGGTTTATGTACATTCACAGCTCGTCATGGCGAAAAGGCCGGGTGGCAACCAGAATATCCGCCGAGCCATATACTCGATGCTGCCGACGAAGAGACGGCGCTGATACTTGAACACCTCAAGAAATAGCACGGAGCAGTGACAGAGAGTGATGCGGATTCTTCAAGACCGGAGGGGGCCATAACCCGTTACTGGAAAGCCTGTTGGACAAAACGAATGGCAAAGTCACTTGATCTAATCGAGGTGCACATTTCCCCTAACCTAGCTAGATGTTCAACGTAGGCTATATAGGTTTAAGATACCGTATATCTGATCAGATCCGATCTGGAACGACCCTATAGTCACGAGTGTTGTTTGAAACTTCAAGCATACCCCATCTGAACGACCAATTGTCGTATTTGCCTTGGCCTCTGAGCCTGCAGATAAAACCAATGGCATAGTTTAGACGGACTCAGCGTCTGAAAATTCTCAATCACGAGATTGAGTACGTCGGTTATTGTTCTCTGTAAGGGGCCACGGGGCCTGGGAGCTCAGCCAGATGGGTCACAACGAGGTCGGCAGTCCCGGCTATCAGTCGGCAGTAAAAAATAGTCTGGCACGCAGCTGGGAAGGCTGATGCCGGATGTCCTCCGCATCTCCAGATCAGCGCTGCCGCGCCATGCTCCGCGAAAGGTGAGGGGAATCGAAGAGTAAAGAATGAAGATCAAATAAATCTTCCAGGTATCAGTCATGAGTTGCTGTTTGCATTGAATGGAACACGCTTTCAAGTAGCTAGATCTCAATATGTCCGCACAAGCCTACTCATACAGCGGCCCCGTGGATTGCAGCGTTGCGCCAGACAAAAGTCAATGCAGAGCAAAGAGTGTTGTCGTTACTGGTGGTTAGTAAACCCTAGAGAACTTAGCCTTTTGCCGCCCTACCCGCTGCATAGACTCCTGCTTGAAAGGGCGAAATGCTGGCTGCTCGATGCGAGAGAGCACGACTGAAATTTCGTAGGTGCTGCTGGTATTGGGGAAGCCTACGTGAGGGGTTTTGTTGAGGCTGGGTAGGTTCTGCAGGAGGCAGAAGAGTGAATGGTCTTGTTGACGATTTGCAGAGCATTCGTGACGTTCTGCGACATCAACGAAGAAAAGGGTAGACAACTGGAAGACGAGTTATCTTCGTAAGGCAAGCTCCTGTTGACGGATTGGCCCATGTGATCCAAAGATGGTCAATTCTGCTTACCAGCAAAACAGGGAGAAAACAGTATTCGTCAAATGCGACACAAGGTCTTGGGAAGACCAAGTGCGCCTCTTCGAGACTGCCATCTTGATGTCTCCTCACAAGAGCGTTGACATCGTCATTGCAAACGCAGGAGTTGGAAGAGGGTCGGGAGATCCCCTGATGCCCTTGGAAGGTGCGGTATTCAAGATTGGCTCTCCGAAATGGTCACACTGATAAAATCTCCACCAGATCCTTTCGCAAAGCCAACGAAACCCAGTATGCACATTATCGACATAAATCTCATTGGTGTCATGTACACTTTCAAACTTGCAGTACATTACTTCCGCAGAAGTCCCCTACAAGCCCAAAGAGACCGTTGCTTCATTTTCGGTGGTAGCCTTGTTGGTTATGTCGATAATTTGGTAGAGCTCTGCCAGCCCCTGTTCTTGACAGTATATCTGACCCTGCAACAGAGTAGCTGGGAATACTCCGCTGCAAAATTCGGTCTCAGAGGTATGATGAGGTCGGTCAGACGCCAGTGTCACCACCAAGGTATCAGAGTAGCGTATATCGCACCAACGTACGTTTTCTGCCCTTGAATTCCAAAGAGAAGCTCCCTTAGCCCGATCAGCATAGACTGAAATTTCACTGGCAGGTATGTGCGCACAGTAATTCAATCAACGGCCATTTATGAAGCGATACGAAACAAAGGCATTGAGTTCGCGACTGTAGAGAGCTGCTTGGCAGCAGCAATGAGAGTATCATGCGACAAAACCATCAATGGTAAAGTCCCGGAAAAGCAGACGTGGGTCTCTCACTGAACCTACTACTAGGCCGTTCCTTCGCCATCGTTCCGTACTCTCAAGCCAAGGAGGGTTTCATAGACATCGATGAGGATGATTTTCAAGGAGGGAAAGAGTTCTTATCAAGTTTTCAAAGCGCCGTCATCAGATTGAGAGGAGATGAATGGAACTGACAGATACTCCGAAGCATTGACTCGGAGGGATGCCTGCATTATTGTATTCAAGGGTGATATATTTCGATCAGTCGTCGAGGATCGGAAGTGAAACGAGTAGTAGGTCGAGGCTCATGAAGGATCATGCTCCCGCTTCCTTATCTTGGCCGCGCTGGGCTGAGTCACAGCTCTTGGCAAGCCTCTACGGTGAAACACAGTGCGTGGATAATGCAACTCTTCAGAAATATTCTTTCGTGCATGGCCATGCGATCAGAACCGTAACCTGACTTTTAGCAAATGTAGATTGGGGAGTGAGATCTTCAGGAAGCTGGCCACAGAAAATGAGTCGAGGTCCCTTCCAAACGTTATGCTGTGTCCAACCAGTGGATGGACAGCAGCCATTTCTGCTTGCTGCCTGTGGTCCCGTCATTAGCTCGTTCAATCTCAAAGATGGCTCACTTTTGGATCAATGGCCACGTTCGAAGGGGGCAGACGCACAGGATGAAGACGCCGGCACGGCTGATGGCGACGAGGGTCCGCCGGCCAAACGGCGCCGAATGGAAGACGACGGCCCGGCCGAGCCAGCGCGGGAGGACATAGAGGAGTCGATTGAGATCATCTCTGACCGTAAGAGGGGAGAACGACGGAAGGCAAAGGTGGAGGACTCGAAGCTACCAAACGTGACGCATGTCATTGTGACCAGCAATGCGGCCACAGTCATTACTGTGACGGCCGAGGACAAGTCAATAAATGTGTTCAGTGTCGGTACTACCGGCGTTCTGAATCTGCAAGGCCAGAGGTAAGTCGGCAACTTGTATGTCGGCCAGTTATGAGGCTGACACGAAGCAGGTCCATGCCGAAACGCATATGTGCAATAGTCTTGACTCCAGATGAGAAGAACATTCTAGTTGGTGACAAGTTTGGAGATGTCTATTTGCTACCTCTACATCCAAGCGGTGACTGGGTACCTCGGAAGCTGGACAAAGACGGACAGGACACACTCTACACTCCTTCAGCCACCGAATTAACAGTTCATACTAAGGGCAATTTGGAAGCCCTGAAACAGCAACGTGAAAGGAAGATATCTCAACCTAAGAAGGAAGGCCCGAATTTTGAGTTGAAACTGCTGCTGGGCCATGTCTCGCTGTTGACAGACGTCGCCATTGCCGAAGTCCAGGACGGACTCAAACGCAAGCAGTATATCTTGACCGCCGACCGGGATGAGCATATCAGGATTTCCCGAGGTACTTCTCAAGCTCATGTCATCGAAGTTTATTGCTTGGGCCATCGCGAGTTCGTCACTAAGCTATGTATCCCACCTTGGAATGCCGAATTTCTTGTTGCGGGAAGCGGTGAACCTTCTTTGAAAGTATATCGTTGGCGAACGGGACACTTGATCGATGAAGAACTCTTCGCGGGAGATGTGCGGCAAGACATCAGCAGGCTGTTAGATGTCAACGGCGGCGAGCGTTCGTTAGATCGACTAGCTGTCTCCAATATCTGGCCTGTACATTATACTGTGGGTGGAAAGTCGCCATACTCCCGTCATCCGCCGCATCTGCTACTCGTGGCGATAGAAGGGTAAGTCTACTTTGGCACTCAATCTTTGGAATGACTGACATATAGTCAGCCTTCCGATTCTTCTAAGCTACAGTCTCAACGACGAAGGCCAGCTACGGCATCATCAGACAGTGGTATTAGGCGGAAATGCTTTGGACGTTGCGATTGGGCCGGCGTTGTGGGAGATCGTGGTCAGTATTGATACGGTGCATAAGCCTGGTTCAATTAAAGATGTCCGGCCCGAAGCAACACCTGAGTCAAGTTTCTTCGAGACGTTCGAACTATTTTCAGACGTGTCTGAGACCACCAATGGTGAAGCTCAGCCTGAAGAAGGACGGGAAGCAGCACTGCGATGGGAAAGGTCAAGCCTTGCCATGCTTTTGAACAATGCAGTGCCAGGTATCGAGAGCGTGGATTTGGTAGAGGGAGATTCATCACACAGCAAAAGTACAAACAGTGCATTAGGGGAACAGCTCTACAGCTTGGAGAATTTGAGGAAGAGGAAGGGTCAGTCGGCCGTGGACGCTGAAGACGAAGACGTTGAGGAGATCACACCTGCCCCTGCGTGAACTTCGAGCTGCTAGCAATATTACTGAAGAGGCCATTGTTCCTCAATGCAAATTGGTTTCGTCCACCACCGAGACACCTCACTTTGACAGCCTCGTGCCTACGAGGCTGTGATAGGTGGCGGTTAAACCTCGGCCAAGGTCGCAGTTTGCAGAGTCTCTGACAACGCCATTTCTCGCATTGAAGTTACGAGCACTCAGTCGTTCTCACTCCATTCGTTGCGTGACTCTTCGAGACGAACCAGTCTGAGTATTTGCCACGTTCAAAATGAAGAAAGAGTTTCCTCCGTTGAAAAATGACCGCTTGCTGCGGGCAGCGCGTGGTGCGTTCGTGCAAATGGAATGAAGGACATTGATCAGGACCTGACTTTACCAGGCGACAAGGTCGATAGGCCGCCCATGTGGGTGATGCGACAAGGTATGCGGCGGTCAGTGCCTTTTCTTCCCAGTCCTCAAGTCTCAAGCTGACAAGACTCAAGCTGGCCGCTATCTTCCTGAATACCACGAAGCAAAGGGAAATCGTGACTTCTTCGAATGCTGCCGCTCTCCAGAAATCGCCTCGACCCTGACCCTTCAACCTATCGACCGATACGATGGCCTCATCGACGCCGCAATCATCTTCTCCGACATCCTCGTCATTCCGCAGGCCATGGGCATGGAAGTGAAAATGGTCGATGGGGTTGGACCGAAATTCCCCAACCCGCTGCGCTCGCCTTCGGACGGACAGTACCAAGAGATTGTCAAGCGAGATGTGGATGTTGCGAAAGAGCTAGATTATGTCTACAAAGCTATCACAATGACACGGGAAAAGCTCGCTGGACGAGTACCACTCTATGGTTTTTGCGGCGCACCCTGGACCCTGCTGTGCTACATGGTCGAAGGCGGTGGTTCGAAAATTTTCAGAGAAGCAAAGACCTGGGTCTACAAATACCGTCAAGAAAGCAAGGTCTTGCTCAAGAAGATATCAGAAATATGCGTTGAGTACTTGGCGCTACAAGTTGCTGCCGGAGCACAGATCATACAAGTCTTCGACTCCTGGGCTGGTGAACTGTCGCCATCCTCCTTCAAAGAGCTCGCTCTTCCGTCACTCCGATACATTTCAGAGAATCTCCCTAAACGTCTCCGGGAGATGGGCGAGGACATCGTGCCCATGGTCGTCTTCGCCAAAGGGGCATGGTATGCTCTTGACGAACTCTGCGACTCCGGTTACGATGTTGTTGGCCTCGACTGGTTACATGACCCATCTGAAGCTGTAAAAGTAGCTCGAGGTCGAGTTACTCTGCAAGGCAATGCCGACCCGGGTGTACTCTACGGTGGACACGAGGCTATCACATCCGTCGTGGAGAATATGGTCCAAGGCTTTGGTGGGGGAAAAGAACGATGGATTGTCAACCTTGGACACGGAATCACACCAGGCGTCAATCCTGACGACTTGAAGTTCTTCTTTGAAGAAGTACATAGATGCGCAGGTGGAAAATAAAGAGTTTATTAGGGAAAAATCCAAATCATGGTCACTGTTCGCCAATGTCTTCGTTCCTGTCGAAAGTCTTAGGCACCGGTCTCTTACAATTGGCGAAAGGGCTGGAAACTCGAATGAAGGATGATTGCTGGATGAAAATGGACGTACCAGACATGAGGCTTCTCCTCGATAAACTTCTTCATCAAGCCAATGCACTCCTGATTCTCCAGCACCACGACCTCGATTCCTCGTTGTTTCAGGTATGACTCGCCGCCCACGAAGTTCTTGTTCTCTCCAATCACCACGCGTGCAATTTTGTACAGAATGCACGCGCCCGTACACATGTCGCAAGGGCTGAGCGTCGTGTACATCGTCGCACCGGCGTATGCGGACGCCGGAAGGCGTCCTGAGTTTTCGAGCGCGGAGGTCTCGCCCTACATATACAACTCTTCAGTCTCTGACGATATGTTGCCCTGCTAGTCTCTTCTACGAGGGGTTTCTTGTGGGACTCTATTCATTCGCGACTTACGTGTAATGTGGCACTCCCCTTCTGCACACGCATGTTATGTCCTCTGCCGAGGATGTTGCCGTCCTTGGAGACGAGGCATGCTCCTACCATCGGTTACATCTCTCATCAGCACCGAGGCTTCGTTCGCACTCAAAGATCGCAGCTCACGCTAGATCAAGCTTGCACACTTCAGTGGCTCAGACTCACCTATTGGCACACCACCCTCCCCGAAGCCCTGCTTAGCTTCCTCCACAGCAGCAAGGAAGCCTGGATCTGTCTCCGACATGCTATTCGAGTTTATAGGTCAGTACAAAAACGATGAGGCTGGCAAATGCTAATTTATCTGCACAGGACCTTGCCATGGCGATAGCAAACATAATTACACGAAATATCTTTATCTCGCACATCTCCGGCATGACAGTCGACAAGCTACGGGACTCGGGGTCTATCTTTGCTAAGGCGGCAAAGGCGGCGGATATTCTCGTTAACATCTGGTTAGAAATAGAACTTTCAGCCATTGCCATTTTAAGCCCTCCCGCTTCAACCTTCCTGTCTCCAGCTCGGGTACTCCGTACACCTTCTGTACTCACTTCCAAACCTCAAATGCTGGCCGTGAAAACGGCGCACACGCTTGGACCAGACTCCTTATGGAATGCTCTTTTTCTTGTCTATGTGAAAAGCCTCGCCGCATTGTCCCGAAACAATTTTGAGCAGAGTTCCGGTGTCAAGGCTTCAGTCAACAGTTTGACTTCATTCGACAAATCCACCACTTTGTTGGCTGCGAACTGCGTCCCATGAATCTTGTAATCCGTGTGCGGCCAGTCTGAGCCCCATATGACCAAATCCGGTACCGTTTGGATTATTGCTAGGACTGCCGAAGGAATCTTGGATATTCTTCCCGGAGTGTCACTGCTGCTTTCTAGTCGGTTGATGCCGCATATCTTGACAGCGAACTTGGATTGATGTCTTGACAAGAGGTCCAACAAAGTGTCGAGCTCGGGATAACTTGCTATATCCCTTGTCGGGTCGATTCTGCCGTTGTGCTCGACTATGATGGTGATATCTTGCATCTCAGGCGACGTGACCAGCCATTCACCGACGTCGTTCCAGATGTTCAATGGACACATGGCTGAGATGTACCACCCAGCTCTCCTTGCATACGATGCAAGGCGTCGAAATTCACCTTTGACCCCCTCGAGGATATCTCCAGACATGCCGATCTCTCCGTGAAGGCGAACCGCCCTTACCCCAAGGTCGCTCATATGCTTGAATTCTTCGTCCGTGAAGGTTGCCCCACCAGGTATCTCTATCTCTGCGCGGAACGCTTTGTCTGGAAATTGCTTGCTGGCATTTTGCAGATGTTGCAATGTCGCCTCCATCCCATTTTCGACCGACGCTTGAACGATCAAGAAGCAATCTGCCAGCGTTGATGTCATGAGATCTTCAAGAACGGCAGCTGCGGGCGTGTATGTCCTGTCAGGCTTATATGGAAATGTCTCCGGATCAAGAACATGTAAGTGCGTATCCCAGGTTCCTTTGGGAACTATGCTTGACGATTGGCCGTCCATCTTGAACAAGGAATGAGCCAGATTTCACCCTCCCCTGCCTCTTTGCTCCGGACAAGTAACAGTCAATCTTCCAATGATGCTTGGAGCGTTGTACTGGACTCTACAACAACCCACTTGCTGCACTAAGTTACCAGTACTTGACCATTTCTTCTCGGCTGTTTGGATACAATATTCAAACACTTGCCGGCATGCAGTACTGCAAGGGTCGCTCAAATCGGTCCCGCTTCGCTTCTGTCCAAGACCTTGCCAAGTCAGGCTGTGCTTTCCTCACTAGAGTGTGCCAGAGTCGCCTTGTTGGTGAGCGGTGCCCCTCCCGAGCCATTCGAGGCTTTGTCGGCCGTCTCCCCGAGGGTGCGACTCCGCGTTATTCTCCACAAAACACCTCCGCATCATGCTCGTCGTCTACACGGAGTGCGCCAACCTGATGGACAAATGATTGAGCGCTACTGTCCAGCCTATCCAGTATCTCCAATTCCTGCAGACGATCGTACACATAACTGGCCATTCCCTTCAGTCTCGTTGTTGCGCAGCAGCATGAAACTTGACTCTCTTTCACCCACGTGACAGAATCGAGACAAGAGAGCAATCCTCCTTGTTACCGTTGCGGAAAACATGACAGAGAAAATGATCCCCTTGCACGTTGAGAAAATGAAGGATGAGCCTGGTCATCTGGAAACCCAGTCGGCGGATGTTGGAATGGCTTTGGGCGTTGAGTCTGTGAACAAGTCCAGAGTTCTCAGAAAGATGGACCTGCGTATCATGCCGGTTTTGACGATACTCTATCTGTTTGCTTTCCTTGACCGAGGGTAAAGTCAACTTCTTCCAGGATACCTACATGTGAGCTGACACAATGCAGAAACATTGGCAATGCGAAGGTATTGGGCATGTCCAAAGACCTTGGCCTGGCAGGGAACGAGTACAACTTGTGCTTGACTGGTGCGTTCGATGGACCCCAACAGAGTTTGCCTGAGCTCACTTCATCGTGCAGTCTTCTTCTTCCCCTATATCGCTTTTGAGATCCCCTCCAATTTACTACTGAAGAGGCTCCGACCTTCTGTGAGACGATTTCGATCGTTTTTGACATCCTCTGACTGAATTTCAGGTCTGGTTACCGTCCATCGTGGCTGCTTGGGGCATAGTTACAATCTGCATGGGTCTTGTGCAAGGTTATCATGGTCTGCTGATTTGCCGGTGAGATAGCTAGTGCTGCCCAACTTCGATCTCATCTGACGAAACCAGCATCTTCTTGGGGCTGACCGAGGCGGGACTCTACCCTGGCGTAGCTTGTAAGTCTTTACCCTTCCAGAAGCCCCTGTGCCAATTACGGAAAAAAGCAATGCTTTTGCTCCTGTTCAGATCTGTACATCTTGCTGATTCATTGCAGATTATCTCACAATGTGGTATTGCCCATCGGACTTGGGCTATGTAAGTACCGACGTTGCTACAGCCTCAGCTCTTGGTATCAGTATTGACGTACACGCAGCGACAAGCCGTCTTCTTCAGCGCAGCGAGTGGCGCCGGAGCATTCTCAGGACTTCTCGCCTACGCCATCAACAAGATGGACGGGATTGGAAATTATGCAGGATGGCGATGGATGTATGAAGCTCTCCGGTCGTCGGCAAAGCATCACGAATACTGACTCGACCTAGTTTCATCATCGAAGGATTGGCCACCGTTGTTGTCGCCATACTCGCCTTCTTCACCATCTATGACTTCCCCGACACCGCCAAATTCTTGTCGGCCGAGGAGAGGACTTGGATTCTCCACCAGTTGAAATATCATGGCTCGAAGCAATCCAACAGATTGGTCGAAGAGAACGACAAATTCCAGTGGAAGTTCGTCCGCCGAGCGGTCACAGACTGGCAAATCTACTTGGCTATTTTGGTAAGTCCACTCACAGAAACACTTGCGTGTACCGACTAAGCCGATGTCTACAGTCCAACTGGGGAGCCTCCTGTGTCATTTATGGCATCTCCTTTTTCCTGCCGACCATCATCAACGAACTCGGCTATACATGTACGTGTCCTGCTCAGCTTTGCTCTGCTGTTGCAAGTTGCCAGTCTGACTTGAACCCCGAACAGCTACCGCGTCAAACATTTTGACGATTCCAATGTACGTTGCAGCGGCCATAGCCACTATCGTCACCTCATTCTTCTCCGACAATTATAAGAACCGGGGAAATTTCGTTCTGGGCCTTCAGTTGGCCACTTTGGCAGGGTTTGTCATGGCTGGTAAGTGGTCACTCTCACTCTCAGACCTACCTTAGGTATGGCGATGCCAGCATGTTTTCCTAACCTGGCATCTTTGAACAGTTATCGGATCCGGGGTAGGCGGCGTGCCGGGTGTCGTGTACGCAGGTGTTTTCCTCGCAACGTGCTCCTGTTATCCGGCCTACGTCCTCATCATCGTAAGTCCTACCTGCCGAATTAAGCACGTCCCATCCCCGTCCACGCCTCGCAAACTAATTTGGGACCTTTCCTGCAGACATGGATCGCAAACAACCTCGCCCCAACATACAAGAGAGGCGCAGGCGTTGCCTTCCTCATCGGTATGGGCAACTTCAGCGGTGCAATGGCCTCCAACTTTTACAGGTGAGTTTCTTGCTTTCTTTTTGCCCCATTCATGCTGGTACTAGTACTAGTACTATTATCGTCGAGAATATCGCAAATCTGACCTTGCACCGAATCATTTCCAGAAGCCAAGATAGTCCTCAATTCCTCCTCGGTCATGGCGTCGAGTTGGGATTCGTCGTGCTCGCGCTACTTGCGGACGTCGTCTTGATCATTGTGTACAAGCGCATCAACAAGAGACGCGAACTCGCTTGCCAGCAGGAGCTGGCGTATACCAATCAAGAGTTGAGCGACAAGGGCGACCGTGCGCTCACTTTCAGGTACCAGCTTTGAAGGACACGTAGATGGTGCGCGCCCTCGAAGGATAGAGCAAGTCAGCTTTGGTGGGGTGGAGCGTGAAGGTGAGGTCTGGCGGACACAGGCAGCTGGGGCTCACTGGGCATGCTGGGTCGTTGGCAATCTTGTATGTGGTTCTCTCGGCTTTACCGCTGCAAGCGAGAGGAGACGCATCCAGTATGCCCAAGTTCTTGGTTTAGTTCGAATGCTATATTGGCCATTTCCGGAGAAAATGATACTAGTTGATTCTGGATCTTTGCGCACGCTCTAACCAGCTTGCATGAAATATGTCCGTCCGGGTTTTACTTTAGACGAAGATGCTTGTTTTGCTAGTAGCTCCAGCCCTCCCTTGGTCCTCCGGCGTCGAGCGGATTGTGACTTGTAGACCTCTTTGAACCGAACCGCCAAAGACACTTTCAGACGTGGGAGATAGGAAATACTGTAGTTGCACACGCAATAACCAGAGGCGAGTAAAATACTTGATACTTGAACGACTGATTTGCTATCTTGCCACTATCCTCAACAGACTAAGACATTCCGACCATTGAGGTCTCCTTCATACTTGCTATACTCGTCGGATCTCTCCCTGCACATACATTGGCAATTCACCATTTGAAGCACGGACAACGTCCTCAAACGCCGACTGGAACATGATGTACACCATCTCATCGTTGTACAGATTCCGAGAGAACAATGCCTCCTCATGTCCGATCTTAATCGTCGAGGTCTTCCTGCCGGCAGCGGCGGCATCAGCGAGGAGCTGCGCCTGGATACATCGGTCCATGGCGCCAAACAAGAACGCCGCACCGTCAACAGTCTTTGCGACCGTCAAGTGGCCGTGGTTCTGTAGAATGACGCCTTTGGTATCTCCCAACGCAGCGGCAATGTGCTCGCCCTCGTCTGGGTCCCAGGCGATACCGCCGAAGCCCGCGTAGACGCCGTGATCCTGGTAGAATCGGCAGGCGTCTTGGTTGATCATTTCCAACTCACAGCCCAGCGACGAAAAGGCCTTACTCGCGACCGAGTGGCAGTGAACGGCAGCTACGACATCGGGACGGGCCTCATGCACGGCTGAGTGGATGACGAACCCGGCGGGATTGATTGAGTGCATGTTGCCGCCCTCCTTGACCTCACCGTCTTTACTGACGAGGACGAGGTCTTCAGGACGCATGTGGCTGAAGGATTTGCCGTGCGGGTTGATCCAGAAGTGGTCAGTCAAAATGGGGTCTCGCACCGTGACGTGGCCGCCCGCGCCTTCGTTGTTGTAGCCCTGAGCACCGAGCCAGCGGAGGGCAGCAGCTTGGTGTAGTTTACGGAAGGCTCTCTCGTCTTCCAGGCTGCGAAACTCAGGGATCCGGATCTGGTAGATGTCCTTCGAGTTGGGGCCGACTTGCTTGTAGCCACCGTATTTGAACTCCATTAGCGGGTCCTTCTCGGCCTTAAGAGTGGTTGTCCCATTTTGGGTTGCTGTTGTGGCTGTGGTTGTCGCTGATGGTGCCATGGTCACCGAAGAATGGAAGGAGCTGTGTGACTAGCTCGTCGGCAGAAGTGCTAACGGTAGGATGGCAGTGTTTACTTGAGGATTCCTATCTGCAGAGGTGTGAAGACGTACATCTACCAACCTAGCAATAAATATTAATGGTGTGTTGTCTGGCGCCATCGCCACGAGGAGGATCGTCGAAAACCAGACTCCGCACACCGGAGCGTGATGCTTCTGAAACTTCCATCGCCCAGGGCTGGCCACTCGTACGTCGCCAGGAACTGGGTATGGTGGGATGACAGCAGACAGCAACGTGGTTAGACCGGAGCAGATGCCGACAAGATCCAGGGGGCTTCTTTCGGAGCGCGGACCGCCATTTTTGGTGTAGAATATCAGTCTGGTTGTATGCGGCCCCACAGCCGACGGTAGTTCGGTACCAACTTCATCGACTCATTGCCGCCCAGACTATCTTTGATTTGCAGACCGAGCAAGACCGAGCAAGACCGGGCAGAGCTGAGTTTGGGCAGCGTCGGCAAGGATTTGGAATCATTTCCACTGAGGGAGTCGCAAGGATCAGAAGACTAGCCAATGCCCTGAGTTCTCTTCCAGACTGCAAACTTCGCTCGTGGATCTCCGTCCAGCGGTACCCGCAGGGCAGGAGGCATTCGTAAAGCCGATTGTTGGGTCTGGAATACGGCAGAGACGTTCACCAGTGTTCCACAGACTCATTGCCAGCTCATGCCATTGACGTCAATTCCAAACACAGTATTCAGTTGCATATCGGAAAGCCCGAAGCCTTCGACCTGTGGGAGGTCCAGGTTCGTGTTGAACAGGTCAAAGTCCCACTGAAAGTCTGCTCCAAAATCTGGAAGCGCGGTGTCTCCACGGGGCATGATTTCGCTGAGTAACTGCTGCCTTGATTGAGTGCTTTTCTGGATAATGCCTTTTACCTGCTCCGACAATTGCTCGAATGCAACTCGATGCGTGGTAACAGTCTTCCATCTGCGAGAGATTTCGAGCAGGATGTCTCTGGTGGTGTCGATCGCATTGACCATCGGAAGGATTTCTGAATCGATGGGACCAATATCCTCATCGGTGTGGGTGTGAAGGCCTCTCAGGATTTGAATGCCGCAGTAAAGAATGATAAACCCTGAGCGTAGGATATCTTGGACGAAGGTCCAATGTGTCACCAGAACATCTCTTCGTATAAGCTGTTGGTAGCACGTTACCACCTCAGATGCGGACTCAAGACAATACCGCAAGAAGTGAATATTCACAGCTGCGTTCGGTGTCTCCATACCAACCGGAATGACCAGCCCCAGGAAGATTCTCATCCTTTCTCTGTGGAAATTGATCTGGAAGTATTCATGGCTCTGGAAAGAATTCGTCGGGAAGGGAGTGAGTATACTTGAGTCTCGCCACTTCTCAAGTTCAGCATTCAAGTGCCTTGCAAGCGCTGCTTTTTCTTCATAAGAACGGTCGGCCGCTCCGATCCCATATAACTCCCGACGGGCTCTTTCAGCAAGCTTTCGAAGATGGCAATGCCTGATGAGGATGGTGACCTCACTGTAGCCGGATGGGCTCGATGCTAGACCAGCTTCGACCTCTTCATCATTGGCGTCAAGTGGGAGCTTTTTGGTAAGCCAACGTAAGGAGGCATGTATGCGGTTGACCTACCTCAACGGTGATGTCTTGTTCTGAAATTGCAGTTGGCCTGCCAATGCTGTGACTCTGATGTAGATCACTGATGAAGGAACACCAGAACAACCGTCTTCTCATCTGCTCGGAAATTGGATCGGCTGGCTTGACTGCAGCTCTGTGATATCCATGCTGTATGCACGTCCGCACGGCCTGCCGTGCGAGATCCCAGTGATTGCCAACTGGTGCCTATGCTCAGCGGAGTTCATCGATCACACAGAAAAGGGCACCACGACCTACTTCCGACGTCATGATGTGAAGCAAATAGCATGACAAGGTGCGTATTTTGAATCTGGGTCGGACCGGGAAAATCTGCTAGAATACTCGCGTCTTCCATGGCGGTCGTGTAGTAGTCGATAGGCGCATTTCGTAGCCCAGAGTCTCTCAGCTGCACAGCACCAGAAGCGAAAATCATGTAGAGTTGAAATCGATCCTTCCGCCGGTCGACGTCGCTGTAGAAGGGGCTCGAACTGTACACGCGGGATATTTGGCTGTAGATTCCTCTTCGGCTCATAAATGGCAAGACCGTATGAGGTCCATTCAGACTGGACACGAATGCGTTAGTGGTATATGACGCGCCACAAAAGGCACCAAGAACTTGCTAGGCAGCGACCAGACGACGTGCAACATCCAGAGAGGGGAGTTCAGCGTGCTCAGCTTCGTTTTTCTCGACGCTGTACTGCTCCCGTGCCATCAGGGAGCCCAACCGAAGCACGCCGGGACCTAAAGCTTGCCCAGATACAGCTGCAACTACTAGCTGCCCGACGCTTGTGGTGAACCCGTCAGCTGCAGATTGGAGACGTTGATGAAGAGACCTGCCTGAAGGCACTTCCCATACCAGTAAACTTTGATAATCGAGGGTGGTTTGAACGGGCTCCTCCTTCGGACGATAGGGCGGTTCGAGGACTCTCATTCACCAGTCCAGGTGCGTCGCTATTTGGCGTTGCCTGGGATCGTCGTAGCACATCGCGCAAATGCTGAAGGCGGCCGTGAAGTTCGTCAACATCCCTTTGCGAGACCTTAGGATTGAATCTCATATTCCATGTGCTGTACTCACCTCCGAGGCAATTTGCCACCAGTGTGAGGGTCTGTCACAATGCATATCCTTTTCGTTCTCTCACAGTTCCAGCATGCATAAAGTCTTCGATCGCACTGGTGCATGATGTGAGGGTGCAGCCCGCGGACGACCGGGGTTCACATACCCTTAACTTCTTCTCCTTGCAAAAGATACATGCTCCTTCTATCAAGGTTGAGAAATTCTCTGCATGCTCTTGGGTGAAGGTTGCCATTGACCGTTGACCGAGCCTTGATACCCAAGGGCTGAATTTGCGGTTTTGAGGAGCAGGTCGCAGCTTGGGGCTGCAGCAGCGCAAAGTCGTGAGGCGGAGAGAGAGAAAAGCGCTGCTTCAGGCACGGACCGTTTTGAGCGGGCTGTTACGTAGGTGGGTTATAGGCGTTGATTGCGCCTAAAGTGCCTAATTCAAGTTGTGCTCGCTTAGTCAAACCATCCTTTCTAGGTGATAGAAAGCCAAGGCCGGCATCATCTTTGGGGTCACTGGGCGGGGTATGTGGGAGCTGGCTACCTTTGCAATTCTTTCTCAGCAGGTCTTGGTTAACTTCATCAAACCCCATCAACCTCACCGATGCTGATGAATGGAAGTCAATGATCCATCACAATCCTCATCTCGTCAGGGTGTGGCATGCCTCCATTGTCGTCAAAGGAAGAAAAGAGTAAGTCTTTCGTAGGCGCCTCAGACAGGTCTCTAAGTTGACTCCCAGTGTGATCGCCGAGCGCCCAAGTGCTCCTTCTGTGAGAGAAGAGGCTACGAATGCATAATCCCAATCCCATCGGCGGAGAAGGAACGACCGACACAAGAGTAGGGCTCGAACTCGTCCTACACAACGTTAACTAAACCAAGACAGCATCTCTGAGCAGCTCAGAGACGAGATAGCGAGCCTAGAGCGACAGCTTCGAGAAAGGACGGCTGACGAAAGAACCAGCTCGCTTCAAAGCAACCTGCCACAGCCAAACATCCCGGCGACCACGGCTTTGCCAGTTGAGCGTAGCACTACTGCTCTCGGCTTCGAGACAGCCGTCGATCTAGGAGTCCTCGGTGAGCTGAATGCTGCAACAATCTACGACCGTGAAACATACCACCTTGGGCGGATGATCATTCGTGCTCTTTCCATGGACGACGACCAGACTCCCGACGTGCCGTCTTCGAGAGCGTTACTTGTATCGGCAACGTTCCTGCAGGATGCCGAGCTCCAACCTCGTCGAGTGCCGTTAGGCCTTTTGTCATTGTACTTGGATAACTACTTCCGGCACGTCCATCCAACCTTCCCAATGCTCAATGAGAGCACAGTACGCCAATGCCTACGAACGTTGTGCGCCGTCAGCAGTCTGACCAGCGCCGCAACAGACCGGGTTGTGCTCTACTTAGTCTTAGCTCTGGGTTCCTTATTGAGTGACAAGGAGTCGTCCTACGATTCTTGCTATTCTGCGCGGTTCTTCCACCGCGCCTTACAAGAGAAAATCACTTACCGCGAGACGATCGACACTGTGCATATCCTCGTCCTCTTCACGTTGTACTCGCTCTTCGACACGAGTGCAGGCAGCTCGTGGCATCTCGTGGATCTTGCGATGCGCACGTCCATCATTCTTGGTCTGCATCACTCAAGTTCTTCGAGCTCAGATGCCGTTGCCTCAAGTGACACTGATTCCACGAACGACGTCACCTTTTGGAGTGTATATCTCCTCGACCGGTAAGTCCTGCCTAGATCCAGCGGAGGACGTCGCTGATATCTTGCAATTCAGGTGGATCAGTCTTACCCTAGCGCAACCGGTCACACTTCCTAATTTTGAGATAAGAACCAGAGTAAGTCACTGTGCACACAAACCCCTGGTGTAAATCAGCTGACCTCTCAGTTTCCGTCGACGAGTCAAGCTCACAGTACTCCATTCCAGAGACTCTGCTACTGGGCGTTTAAATTTTCGGATCCTGATCAATTGGACCACAACGCAGAAGAGGAAGTGGAATTCTTGACATTCGAGAAAACCTTGCCGAACTCGGTATCCGAAGGGGACTACATGTCTAGTCTATACACACTCATCGGCCTACAACTATGCACCACGCATTACCAGAGGACGACGAACTCTGCGCGAAGTACTTTGCGATTGCCGAACGAGTCCGGGATTCCGCAGCAAGTCAACACAGTTGAGCAGCTCATACTCACTGGCATTCCCATGCCATGGCCAAGCGGATATACCACTTTCCAATTGACATTGACCGAGATAATCCTGTTCAACAACGCAAACAGGCTTTTCCTCCTAGACGGCACAAAAAGGCTTGTCGACACGCTGTCCACGGCGTACCGCTTGTTGATGCTCCTCGCTAGGAGATTTGAGCGATTTTCAAACCACGCCCGCTTGATAAATGATGCCCGAACCATTCTTTGCAATCCTACTATGGTGAGCATCTTCCCCCTTGGCGGACTGGCCTCCAGGCTAATACACTGTCTAGAATAACGAACTCAATGGCTTCGACTTCCTCGCCATATCGAGACTATATGATCTTTGTAATTGTGCTTTGGAACCCCTCGGCGTTGCGCATGGTGGAACCTAAGCAGTGATAGGATCCGACTTGCCATGCAGAGACATTATCTTGATATGTTCACGTGCTGTGCAACTCATACCTCAGCCTTCATATTCGGTATCTGTTGTCATGGCCCATTGACGTATTGTTCTCTCCCGGATAGTCATGATCATGCCGCAAACAGAACACAGAGCGAGGTGATGAAAAATCCTATAACCGTGATATTGTTACATCTGTACAGCTATGCTCTGCTAACTCCTGAATATCTTTGCGAAAATGCCTCTTTTGGCCTCGCTTGGTGCTGATGGTCCGTCCGTGCCAACTCCAACGCCACTCAGTCGACCCTGAATTCTTTCAGCCAATGGCTTCTTCGGAGGCCTTTTCTCGTATAATGCCTTGTGCTCTTCATGCACATCATGCATCGCCTCGTAGTCAACATGCACGAATGCCCTCTCCACATCGGCCAACCCTTCCAGCTTTCGCTGCAAGGTCTGGCTCACGTCATGCGTGACCTTGAGGCTCTGTTCTTCGTCCATGATGATGTCGACTTCGACGTAAAACTTGTCACCAGCATGGTACGCCCTGACCGTGTCGATCTTGCTGATTCTCTCGTCATGTGTAATGGACACGTAGACAACTTTGTTCAGGAAGTCCTGTGGTGCTGATTTGCCGACCAGGTACCACACGTGTTCGAAGGCCGTGGATGCCCAGGAGTAGAGAATCAGCACGGCGATGCAGATTGCTCCCGTGGGATCGAGGAACCAGACTTGCGTGAATCGAGTCCCGACAATAGACATGATCAAGCCAAAGAGATTGACCGCGATGTCGTTGCGGTGATCGATCATGAAGATCCGTGCTGCAGGGTACCGGCGGAGGATGAAGCAGTAGACAAAGAGAGCGCCTTTGGAGAAGATCGCCACGCCAACAAAGATAATGGGGATGATTTTCAACGCTTTCGAGTCATCAGGCTCTCCGTCACCAAGTCCTCGTGCAGACTCGAGGATCAGCTGCACGGCAACAGTGGTCATCAGAGCGCAGAACAGAATGATCCCGACGGTCTCGAGTCGTTTGCGTCCGACGGGATATTTGGCGATACTGGGACGTGAGGCCATGCGGGAGGTAATCAGCATCACGATCGAAACAACAAGATCCATCTGACGACCCAATATGTCAGCGTCTCATAACGTGTCTGAGGGGATGGATGCAATGCCTTACAAATGCGTCTGCAGCCGTGGCGAAGAGCGACAATGAGCCTGTCGAGATAGCAGCATAGAGCTGGATGACGAACAGGCAGAAGTTGCACACAAAGCTGGCGTTGACGGCAAAGCGGACTTTGCCTCCATTCTTGAGCATGTCCTGGACCTCATTGGCCTCTTCATCAGCACTGGATAGGTAGGCATCGATGAGTGCGTTTTGTCGGTTGTAGTACTTCTTGACTTTCCGTTGCTGTCTTTGCTTGATCAGGCTGGTGCGTTTGTTGTCAGCAGGACTATCCTGCTTCAAGGCTCGAAGTGAATAGGGGTCGGCTGGGTCGATCAAGTCTGTTTGGGCTGGGTGGGACGTTTGAGACTCGACCTCATGTTTGGGCTTAGGTACGGAGCTGTCACTGGGTACTTGCGAAGCCTCGTTCTCAACCACAGGCGATATCTTCTCGGTTGACAGGCGGGAGGAATTGTTGGAGGGAGGAACAGGGGTACATTCTGCGTTGACGCGTCCACGCAAGCTCTGGGAATTCATTGTCAGGTGGTTCAAGCGAAGCTCTCGATTAACCACCCAGCGGAAACAATAGCTGACTGGCCTGTCATTCGCTTCTGGATCTTGCCAACCAAGCCGAAGGTCGTTATGTTTCCACCGTAAGGCGCACAGATGTCGAGGAGACGCAAATCTTTGCCGAGAAGCGAAACAGGAGGGTAAGTAAACCTTGAAGACGAAAGCGCGGAAGAATCTGTGATGAGCGGAACTCAGAAAATCGGTAAACAGAACCCGGGCTCAACTCCTCGACAGCGCACTTATCTATAACAGACAAAACAGTAGTCAGCCAGTTCCCCTGGATCAACACGCATATGAGCACTTTTGTCCCAGCGTTGGCCGGGCTGTGTTGGTGACGTCCTGGAAGCTCCTGCCATCCGCTATTGATTTGCGGCAGTGTGGAGCAAGACTCTGTGATATGGAATCTTGAGGCAGCATTGCCTTGTTATTTTTCATGCCGAGATCTTGGCTGTTTGTCCCCATTGCGATATACGTTGCAGGTTGGTGAACATCCAACATTAGACTCCTTTGTTGTTACGGATCACCGATACTTGCCAAGACCAACTAGTCCATCTTAGGCGATTAATAAAGCGGCGTTCCATATTTCCAATCCCATTTACTTCGTACCGGTTTGACTTCCGATTCATTCTTCACGTCTACTCTTTATCATACCAGGTAGTATCGATCCGACAGAATTAAAAGTACCCAGGTAGGCATTTAGCTACTCGTACTCTTTGTTGATGTCCATCAACAACTCTTCACAATCTGTTGCGTCCCCTTGGGGTCTCCGTTATGGCTTGCCAAGGCGGAAGTCTCTGGACTTGTCACAGGTCTGCAAATCCTGCGGAGATGTCGATCGAAGGGGTTGCTTCTCCCGGCAGATCATGCTTCTTCTTTGAGCTTTGGACAGGTAAGCATGCGGATCGAAGTGCTTGTCGTTGCCTCATCCTCGTCCATCTCTGGGGTTAGTCTTGGGCAAAGACAACTAGAAGAGGCATTATCCACTCCAAGGGTGCCCGATTGGCAGCCAAGACTCGAATTCGTGAGGACTCTGTCTCGTTTGGCCTTGCAACAAGAAGAATCCTAGCTTCAGTTCACTAACGAGCCAATTAACACCCACGAAATCAGCATCAAACGTCGGCTCCTGGGTGGTATGCCAAGGCGACTTACGAAGCTCACTTTCAGGTACGCGCTCAGATCCAAGGTCCAGACGTCGCCACAAGCCGTAGTCTCTCGCGATCTGGACTGCATTCTAACTGGGTAATGCTAGTTGTCTTCTTGTGGACGCAGAAACACTGGTGCTGGTGTCTGGCAGCGTTAAGAGACGAGATATGCCGAAGGCCAGTAAATTCGGTGGATATCGCCAGAACTGGACCAGAAAGGGAGTCTAACAACGAGCGCCTTTTCAGGTTATCACCATGGGATGGCGTGCTGGCCCGACTATGTCTCAATGATTGCATTTCAGAGCAATTTCAGGGTACAAGCACAGCGCGGGATTTCAAAGATCCCGAAAGAAGATTCATCCCTCCAACCGGCCTTCCTCGTCACTGGAGCGGGTTGTCTACAAACCATGAGGCTGCAGATCAACCCCGGACCAGCTTCATCCAGACCGACAAGGCTCGCCTGATCTTTCCAAACGGACGTGGTCTCAAGGTGGGCTACATCAGATAAGATTATCCTTTCCGCTCTCGCCTTGCGAAGGCGACGGTCTCTTCGCGGAGTACGTGTGAGGATCAACAGTTGCCCTCTCAACTTGAGACGGTCGGGATTCCAGAAGATATGAAATCACGTTTCAAGTGTCGTGTGAACAGAAGCCAAGAGATACTATGGAATGATCTGATGATGCTTTATACAAGCTTGGGTTTCTTGAATTTGGAAATTCCCTTTCCTCAAGCTCTGGCAGCTGCGTCCCATCTTTCATTCGACTTACGAGGCTGTGCTTCGACCTTTTCGTTCGCTTGGACTACTTCACTTCTCCTTGTTTTCTGTAGGGACTGGTTCCCTTGACTTGGGCTTGCAGACATGTCTAAACCACAATGTGGCGGCGGAGCCGCGGACCTCGATGACTACGACCTTCCACTCCACGTTGCCGCTGTCTTTCTGGTGTTTGCATTCAGTATCGGAGGAGCTGGTCTCCCGGTCGTGGGAAAGAGAGTGCGATGGTGCAAATTGCCGCCTGGAGTTTTGTTCTTCTGCAAGCACTTCGGAACAGGTGTACTGGTCGCCACCGCTTTCGTCCATCTGATCCCTACTGCGTTTGATTCACTCAGCGATCCATGTCTCCCCTCGCTTCTCACGGACGATTACCCCGCCATGCCGGGCGTAATCATGATGGCCGCCTTGTTTGCGCTGTTCACCATCGAAATGTACCTCAAAGCCAAGACTGGCGGCCATTCTCACGGCGGACCTATGGGCCACGGCACGCCGGCCCTTGCATCACAAGGCGCGCTGGCAGCACAGGGAGCACGGCCTGGTGTTTCTACTCCTCTGTCACTCCCAGAGTACGCAGCACATCCAAGAGCCAACTCGGAGCACGACGGGTTTGAGAAGCCTCATGCCTACACTCACAGCTATGAGGTCAAGGCTGCTGTGCGTGAGGAAATGGAACAATACAACAATCTTTCCGACATGCCAACCTGGTTCCAAGTCTTCTATGCTCAATACGTCCGCCAGCGTGAAGAGCTCAAGGAAATGGTCATGGCCGTCACACCTCGAGCAATCCTTCCAGCAGAGCGTTCGGCATTCGATACCAGCTCCGCCGACCTGTCCGACACCGAGTCGGTCGCTGACGAAGGACTCCTCAAACGAATGAACCTCAACATCACTCTGCTCGAAGGCGGTATCTTGTTCCATTCCGTGTTTGTGGGCATGACCGTATCCATCACCACAGACGGCTTCGTGGTGCTCCTCATTGCCATTCTCTTCCACCAATTCTTCGAAGGCCTAGGTCTAGGAAGTCGTATCGCCGCCGTTCCTTACCCCAAATCATCGATCCGTCCTTGGGTCTTGGTCTGCGCATTCGGCACTACCTGTCCCATTGGTCAAGCCATCGGACTCTTGACACGAAATTCCTACGATCCTTCCAGCGCCTTCGCACTCATTCTCGTCGGTGCCTTCAATGCGTTGTAAGTGATGATCCTAGTACTGTCTCTACTTTGCAAAGCTGAAACTAATGCGTCTTTAAGCTCTTCCGGCCTCCTCATCTATGCCGCGCTGGTCGACTTACTCGCCGAGGATTTCCTCTCCGAAGAGGCGGCGCTTACTATGACGAAGAAGCTTAAGATCAAGGCTTTCATCTTCGTTCTCATGGGTGGTAAGTAGTAACAACGCTCAAAAACAGTGACTTGTCCCTGAACTATATGCTGATTCTACCTCAATAGCGGCTGGTATGTCCATCGTTGGAGCATTCGCTTGAAGCCCATCCATCCATCCGCCCAAAAGGCAGGGGGAAAACCAAGCAACCATCCGGACACCAATTGAGCAGAACACCACACAACGACCCGATCTCGCAAAGCTCAATAAAACGCTCTTTTCACATTCATTACGTGGACCCAAACGACAAAGCACGTCTCTAGATCACCACTGTCCTTGAATCAAACCCCTTGAAAAATCACAAAAACGCCAACGCAGACGCAAAGCGAACCTCGTGTCGCTGGACCGATCCTTTGGGATATAGACTTACCGTCTGCCACAATGCTATCCTCGTACATGGCAATATCCGCAATACGACTCTCTGGCTGTTGAGACGATCCGCGCGAGATGAGGCCGCAAATCAGCAAGGAACGGTGGAAACCAAGGGAGAAAAACTAGATAATCAGCACTGGATACATCTCAATGGGATACAGCTACCTTTTCATACTTGTATCTAGAAGCCTTCGCCAATTCATACACTATTCTCAATTTCGGGTGTCAATCCTGCCATCGGTGCCTTGAGGAAGATACAATCTGCAGCCCAGGTGCTTTGCCGGTTCAGGCTGCTCTTTGCGCCATGTGTCCGTCTTAGATGCTCCCTCGTCTTTCAGGAACGAACTCGATGGTAATACCATCACCGCCTGTCATGACGACTTCTGCGTCCTTGTTCGACATCTTCACGACCGTCTTGATCCAACTCAAAACCCAGCAACTCAAGTCTCCATAGCCGGGAGTCTTGGCCTGGGCCTCGCCGATCGTCGTAAGCGCCATGTTGTAGATTTGCAACATCTTGTCGGCGTCGACAACGGCTCGGCATCTCGGGCAAGCTCCATCATGATGCCTCGGACAGCCACATACGCTATGCGCGTACCATTCGGCCAGGCAACGGATGTGGAACGGTTTCTTGCAGCACGCTGCAACCTTCGACTCCACATTCGTTGCCTGCTCAGCCTTTCCGACTGGGTCATAGCAGATGGCGCAAACGTCTTCCTCGTCACTCATAGAGACGTCATTGCCATCCATATCTTGTTGATTGTGGTTGGCTGGGATTTCCGCCTCAATGTGCGTTTGGAACTCTGGCCAGAGATGAGCGTTGTGCAAGCCACCGACGCTCTTCCTCAGAGTGTTCATATTCTCGACTCCGAGGATACACATCTTCCCGAGGAAAAAGTCGACTGCGTCTTTACCATGATTGGTAGCACAGTCGGCGAACGCAGCCTTACACAGCACCCCGTCCAGCTTCGAAGCTTCCGCGAGGTATCCGGTCAACTCTGCTTGAATGCTAGCCAGAGAAGCCGATGCACCACGTCCAAAAAGCTTTTCCATGTTCCCGGCACACAAACCCTGTAGTAAAATGGTCCGAGCCTCAAGCTCCACTTCTGCCCTGCTTAGAAAGAAGTGGCACGACGTGCCATTCCACGACTCTTGAAACCGCCGTGAGCTCAGTTCCAAGATCTCTTTCAGACCGTTGTTGATTTGCTCACAACATCCTGTCAAGGTGGTAAGATCTTCGAGGAGTAGTGCTTTTGGGTTGCGGCCGGTTGCTTTAAACTGGATAGCATCTCCGTCAGTCATTCCTAGCATTTCTGGGGTTTGACGTGCGCGGATTTTCTGGCCTCGAAAGGTAAAGAGCGCGGGATGCGGTCTCTTACAAGATCCAACCCAGAACGCTGCCATAACTTTATTCATCTTCCAGGTCTTTTGCACCCATATAAAGTACTCCTGTTCGCCATCAACGACGCGAAGTTGCAGGGATGCCGCGCCAGCACGACTTTCAGGGGCCATCGGAGCCATTGTTGTACTTGTGGTTGGATGGGTGTCGATGGTGCAGCCGACGACCTTTTGGTATTGCTTGCAGGTGCTTGAAAGCTGGATGCGAAGATGCGAGGATGGAAAGAGAGATGCAGGATGGAACGAAGACACCTCTATATAGCTCCTGTATCCAATGCCTCAACAACAGCACCGCCTCCATGTTGCCGTTCATAACAATGACAGTCGACATTGAGGCAGTCGAGGCAGTGTTTGAGGCACAATATCGAGGCAGGCTTTGTCGAGCTGTACATTGTGTTTAGATATATATAACAAAGGAGGCTGAAGAGTCTTTGAAGAAAGAGGCGAATGTCGCCTAGACAATGAATGACAAAGAGGGACTCGACAGCGACGGACAACCCATAGATGCGTCCGTCGCAGCCGCGAAATGAGTCGTAAACGAGTTTATCGATTGTGTGGATCCTGAACGCTGATACTCGAAAAGTGCACGCAAATTAGACCTCTCTGTTTAGGTTCTCCTTCAACTCAAGGCCTTCGTCCTTGGGATTTGTATACTCCGCCTGGCACAAGGATCGAATTCCGAATACGCCTAGCCAGTAATTTCCTTGGGGGTATTCTGGCGCGATTTGATATAGCAAGTCGCTTTCCCAATTAATGTTGTTGTAGACACTATCGCTGCCGTTAGCAGTGAAAAGCGGTGTTGATACGGGCGGAAGCTTCAAAAGATAATTCAACAACACCATCCAGAGGTTTTCTCCGAGACTTACTTCATGATGCACATCACGGTTTCCGAAATCCACACGACCAGCCAGATAATCCAGTACGCTTGACTGGATGCTTTGTGGCGAAAGCGATATCCAACTGCCCAGGTGACCATGCCGATGAGGGCCGTTGGCTTAGGTAAGACAGTGAGCGGATGACGTCGAAGTGAGAAAGGTGGTGAGATGGTACTTACCGCGCAAAGTCTTTGAAATCGGCAGGCGAGGTTGAGGTAGGCTATACGGTCGGGAATCGTGGTTCGCGACGCAGTCGCCATTAACCAGCAGGTCTGGAGAAAAGCCATCCTGCAAGGCGACGAATCAGAGTTGGGGGCTGCGTCAACGGGGAAACCAAAGGGCGCGTGCGTACCAGTGAGTAGCGAGGAATGGTGAGACGGTAGCGATGAAATAATGACTCTGCGCTCCGTAGAGCGATCCCAAACATGCAGACGCGATTTCTAGGCCCACCGACGATATGGTCAGGAAGTAGAAGATCAGGTATTCTTGGTTCCGGCGAAGCGGGCCACCGGTTCGGAAGGGAAGGGCGGGTGGCTCGTCCTCTCCGGCGTTATCGATGGGTTTCGGCATGGCGATGGTGCTAGAAGGAAAATTGTAGAGGAATTGAAGGTGCACTCGGGGATGGAGGGTATGACAGGTGTGAGATGATGAACGAAAGAGTTGTGATGAAGTTGAAGTTGACGTGAAGACAATCAGCTGCTTTAGGCTAGCACGTCGTAGTCATCAATATTGGCGGATGATGGCGGTAAACCACGTGACTACAGAGAACCTCGCGGAATTACATATCTCCGGTACGCTCACACCTCACCAAGTACTATGCTCGGTATGTAAGCTGCGCGTGTCCGCTCTTTCAGGTCTTACCCGAATTCTTAGTAAGGACTCCAAGGAGTAAGCACCGTAGCCCGCCCTCGGCTTCAGCCTTGCCCTTAACAATGAGGGGTCAGCCCCGGAAGCACCACAGGATTATACAATTCTTGCCATATTGCGTGCTTGAGGAGATCTCAATGACCTTTGCAAACCTCATATTCGTATGCTTACCTATCTAACTAGGCACTGTAAACCATACCTACCTTAGGTTCACAATTCTGCTTGCCCCCTGCCAACCATGTCCCCCATCAACCCTCCCCCGCCCACATCCTTCGCCCAACTCTCCTTCCCAGCGCCCGGCGTGGTCCTCGTCACATATAACCGTCCCGAAAAGCTCAACTGCACCCGTGCCGCCGACGTCGTCGAGTTGACCAGGATCTTCCAGTGGATCGACGAGGAACCTACGCTGTCCGTCGCCATCATCACCGGCGCCGGCGACAGAGCCTTCTCGACGGGCGCCGACCTGACCGAATGGCAGTCCAAGATCTCCGGCCCCGGTGCACAAGCCCAACCGGGCGCTGGACCAGGCGACGTCCCCGGCGCGATCCCGCTCTCGAACAGAGTGGGCAAGAAACCCGTCATCGCCGCCGTCAATGGCCTCGCTCTGGGCGGCGGCTGCGAGACGATAGTTAACTGTGACATCGTCGTCGCAGCCGACACGGCCACTGTAAGTCAGCGTTGGCTTTCCAATCCAATCCAATCCCTTCTTCTCTTGAATGCTCTAAGAGTTGGGTCCCAAGTCTGCCTTCCCACTCCACTTCCACTCCCGTTCTCGCTCGTTTCACAGACTCAAGACTCTGCCCTTCCTCCGCAACTGACCACATTCCTTCCCACCCCCTGCTTGTGTCCACAAACTTCAACCACCTGCAAGAACATCACTGCATCTCGCTCACGGACCAACTGTGCCCTCCCCTCCACTGCCCCTTACGAGAACCCAAATCCCCACTCACAAACAAAATCACAGTTCGGCCTAGTCGAGGTCAAACGCGGCGTCGCACCCTACGCCGGCGTCCTCCCCCGACTCATCCGCACATTAGGTCTCCAACGCGCCTCCGAGCTCGCCCTGACCGGCACGACATTCACCGCCACACAAGCCCACACCTGGGGCCTGGTCAACAAAGTCGTGCCCCGCCAAACGCTCCTGGACGAGGCCGTCCGCTACGCCACGCTCATCGCTGAAAACAGTCCCGACAGCATAATCTGCACGCGCGCAGGCCTCCGGCAGGGCTGGGAGACGGCCAGCGTCGTCGAAGCCACCAGAATCACAGGCCAGAAGGAATGGGCGGACCTCCAGCGTGGTGAGAATATCGTAGAGGGTTTGCGCGCGTTCAAGGAGAGGCGTAAACCGAACTGGGTGCCGTCCAAGTTATAACTCAAATTCCGACATGATCACTGAAAAATGATACTTCCTCGTACTGGCCCACGACATTCATGATACGGCGTCCTTAGCACGGTCTGGATGCATCAACATTTGAACGCATTGCTTCGTCCAGTACATTAGCATGACCAAACACAAAGAATGTGAATAGAAAGAAACAGAAATCAATATCACCATGAGCATTGAGCATTATCTTAGCTATCTATCCTGGCATGATTTCATGCCCCATTCTCTTCTTGCTCCTGTTGACACCCGCTTCCGAAGTGAATTGCACAGCCCTCAATAAGACACTTGTTCCCATTTGCAAACTACTGTCGGCTCAATAGCTAAGGTAAGCAAGTGAAGTGAGAATATTGTAGTAAAAAAAACTAAGAGACAAGAAAGGAGGAAATAAGCCTTGTCGCACAATCGCCGGAGAAGCTGAAAATCGTAGAGCACATGTTTCCACCAGGTATAAAAAGCATTTGCACGTTCGTTTCGTGGTTGAGGAAAGGCGAGTACTTTATCCACATGAGATGGGTGCCGACACCAAAGGACATTTACAAAGCAGTTCCCGGTGCCGATGTACCAGGGCCGAGTTTCGATGGTCCGATGGGTGAGTTGCGCTTTTCTCGGACAACACTGGCAGAGTTGCTTCGTCGTCGAGTCACATCGGCCATTGGGGACGATCTGGACGGGCCAGGCGACATGCTGCGTTTTTGTTGAGGTCGAGGACCAGGGGAGAGTGGTCGAGGAGCTTGGTTGAAGTGTCCGGGACCTGGGCTCATCGCACGTGAAGGGCTCATCGATCTTCCTGCAGGAGACATTGGTCGTCGAGGACCTCCCGCCGGACTCATGGGCCGAGGAGGGCCAGCAGGGCTCATAGACCTGCTCGCAGGAGACATTGGACGTTGAGGAGGGACCATGCCAGATCGAGGAGAGCTGAAGTTTTGGCTGCGAGGAGTTCCAGCAGGGGACATAGGGCGAGACATGGGCCCTTGTCCTGGTGCCATTGGTCGAGCGTATTGGTTGAGATGAGATGGCTTTGGCTTGGATGGTTTGTTGGCGAGGCACGTTCGTGGAACCACACCTTGTTGAGAGCGGTCAAGTCTGATGCACAAAGCCTGTAGAACGGTGTTAGCATAATGCGTACCATGGTCAATTATGGGCTGCTTACCCATCCGTCATCATACTCGTGAAGCATTCGAACGAGTTGACCATTCTTCAGTTCGAGTTCATCGTCCATTGAAGGCGCGAAGTCCATGAGAACGCGATAGACATTTCCTTGAGATTGTTCATTGGCTGGAGAAGCATTCGCAGCTGCCGCGCCTGCGACCGCAGCAACTGGCGTAGATGGCGGAGCTTCTTTTGGAGCAGCCTGAGGACCGGGTACAGCTACAATGGCAGGCTCCGCCGCCAGGGCAGATGTGGCTTCAGGAGCTGGGGCGGGTGCCTGAATCTGAGCAGGCGTTGGGATAGGATCTGAGCCGGCTTGTGACGCAACAGCATCAGCAGTAGACGCGCCAGCAGCAGCAACAATTGGAGCCACAGGAGTAGGTCCAGCGGGAGGTGTAGAAACAGCAAAGTGTGTTGGTGCTGCGTGCACCGGAGCCGCGAGTGGCTTTTCGGGGTCAGCGAAAGGATTTTGTGGATCAGCGAAGGGATTCTCCCGTTGCGTTGGTCTAGGAGTAGGGCTTGGTCCGCGTGGTTGAGGCGAAGGACTGAGATTTCGAGCTGAAGCAGGGCCTGACTCTCCGACGGTTTTCAACAGGTTGCCGCCGCTGAGTCGTCCTCTAGACGGCTGAGTGAATTCGGGCAACATTCGAGAGACGGGTCGCAGGCTTAGGCGGGGAGCAATAGCGCTGGAAACAGTCGGACTTCGATTGACCATTTCAGTGGCAGGAGGAGCGCCAGCTGTGTAAGCTGATTTCTCATTGTCCTTGTTTGCTTGGGCTTCGCGCTCTTTCTTCTTCTTCCCGAGTAGCCAGAGTAGAAGGACTGCCAGGACGCCAATGACTGCGATAATGCCAATGGCAATACCTGCTTTCGCGCCGGTTGACATTCCGCTGCTGGAAGTGCTTGTCGAGTCTGACGAAGAAGAGCCGGCTGTAGTAGAAGCACCTGCAACGGTGCCTTCGGCGACATTATTTGGTGAGAAGGTGGTGCTCGGAGTTGCACTCAGAACCGAATCCGAAGCGGTGACTGAAGCAGCGGCGTTTGCGGCAGTTGACGCAACAAGAGTCTCTGTGGGAGCTGTACTGTACTCGATTGAGGCCGAAGAGGCTGCAGAAGCAGCTGCACTAGCTGTGGCCACAGCGGGTGCACTGGCAGAGCCATCCGTCAAAGTTGTATAGCCTCCAATGACACCAGTAAAAGTTGGCTGCGCAGTAACATAGACGACGGAGTAGACTGTGCCTCCTTCTGTGCTGAGAGCTTCTTGCCGCCTTGCCAGTTCTACCATCTTGTCGTGGAAATGCTGGTGAGAATGATCCATCATGGGATCCTTGTGTTATCTTTCAATGGTTCCCCGGACGCGCAATGGTATTTGAGTCGAATGGATGGGACTGAAGAAGAGGTAAGACCTGTGTTGCCGGCACTGGTTCTAGTTTATTGAAAACTAATGACAAGGTCAGGTATCAAGGACGGGCCAGTGCGATTGTCGATAAAGGAAGGGCGACAATCGACACCAAAGTCGTGAATAGGGACAATATGGTGAAGTGAAGAATGAAAGGTCGCGCAGTTGGCCTAGCTTGCAAGGTGCGGCAGCGAAGTCAACGCATGGAGAAGTGAAAGATCAAGCAATAGAAGAGGTAATCAACCTGAGAGTGGCAGTGACGCGGTGACAGAGAGCATCTCATGAGAAGAATAGACTGCGGTGGAGAATGAGTGGCATCAGTGGTCTGCGTGGGAAATAAAAATGTGGAATGAACAAGGGAGCGGAACACACTGGGGCTGGACTGCCGTGGGCTTTGACAGCAGCTATTGGTGTGCCTGGATTTAGTTGAAAGCCACAAGGGCGCCTAAACCTGGATTCAGTTTAGGCGCGGCGGACCTGCAGCTGTGGAGGGTGAGTTTGCGAGATTGCAGATTTGGCACGAGAGAGAGAGTTGACCAGCAAGTTGCACGAGCTCGTTTGCTCGGACAAGTCGAGTTACGACGAGCAATCAAGCACCCGATGAATGACAGCTCAATGACATTATTACTCTGTGCTTCCCGCTTAACAGACATCGTCGACTCACCAGTTATACATAGTACAGTACAAGAGTCGACCTAGGCCTTACCAAAACTTCTCCGTTGGCTGCACTGAAGCCTGGTGCGCCATCGGTTCAGGGGCCAGGGCACCGCCTGTCTCATGTTTGGCGTGCTCTCTTCAGGAATGCGTGCATGCGCTCAGTGTGGCCATCAGCGGACTGCCACCAACGCGTCGTCAATCATTGTTCTCTTTATCCCCTTTATCATGAGAAGCCGGCAGATAAATACACTCCTTTCCGTGATGATTGATGAAGTCCTCAATCGCAATTCAGCTATGCTTGAACTTCTTACCCGCGAGAAACAGCGCCGAGCCTGATCCATGTCATCAACGGCCGTCTTTCCTAGGTCCTGTCAGCCATGGAAATTGGGGTTGGACCATCTCATGATTAATGATTCCACTCGCTCTCACTAGCCCACAATTCATCATTCGCCAATCTAATGTGTATCGGAGTGTCCCAATCATCTCGCTCTCTTTTGTTTGCTATCGTCTGGAACTTCTGTTGCACGCCTACACGCATATGCGCCCCGGCAATACGCAAAATGACCCTCATCGTCGTCTTCTATATTCCAATCACGCCATTATGTGCCTATTCATGCGCTGGATAGCAGTACAGCACTCGTGAAAGCAGTAAATCAAGTAAGATCGACGGTATCACAAAGGGTGGCTGAATCAATCACTGTGAACAATGTCAACAAGATTGCGGTGAGCCCTTTTAGAGTGAACATTTCAACTCCTCGAAAGACATTATGGGAGCCTAAAGGCTGTCATATTTGGAAAGATTCTGTCACATACTTTTTTCATGATCAAGGCCTGTGGCCACAAAGCTCCTTTCTAATCGCGCCGTGGGTTAGAGGTGCAGTGCTATACCCTGTGGTTGTGAGACCTTCTACCTCGCTCTTTCATCAGTGTTTTATGGAACATTAGATACTGTAGCACCATTTGCAATCAGCTCATTTCTTCGACCTGGGAATACCCTTCCATTCTCATTCCCCACCAGTCAATCTCTCCTCGAGCTTGAGATCGAAGACATCATGTTCAACCGGCGTCCTGATCTTCCAATGCTGATGCGAGTTGACCGGCAGATGCGAAAGAACCCTGTACCAAGCAAGCCTCGATAATGTGACTTAACCACAAGTCGTGGATTGAAGGGAGACTATCTCGCCGTGGCCATGAGAATGGATCTCCAGGCTTTTTCCAGTCTTGCATCGGGTCAAATTTGCAGTGCTGGCCCGTTACAACTTCATACATCACTGCGCCAAATGCCCAATATCTGTCGTGACGGACTCTCCATCTGCATTCGAGTCTTCCATATTCCCTTCGAAAGATTGATTTCTCAAGGTGCATCTGATCGATTCTGAGTTGCCGCATGTCGAAGTCTCCCGGTTCAGGTGTGAGTCTTCCATCTGCGGGAAACGTCAACGCCTTGCCAAAGCCGCGGCATCTTGACTGCAAATTGCCCATTTCGAATGACCAAGCCTGAGCCGCCCATACCAAGTATTTCTTCGGTCACTAGGGTACCGTCCAAGTGAAGAAACCCCATATTTAGAAGGGCCCTTGCAAAGTGAAATAATCGTAAGCAGTGCCCGGAGTAGAGGAGACATGTCGCAAAGATTTAGTGAAGTAGGGACTACTATGATATGCTTGGTGTCTCGACGTTGTCAGCCCCTTGCCTCAGGTAGCACGCTAAACGCTTTCTTATCTGCTCGACATCCCCAGGCAGGAATGCTGGAGGAAGACAGACCGCATCTCGTGATTTGCTCAAATCCGTCTTTTTGAATGACTGCCGCAAGTGATCATGACCTTGCAAGGTCTGATCTTAGTCCATGCCCAAGAGCTTGCGTGGCAGTCAGCCTCTGGGTCGGTTCATAGCATACAGTCTTGCTGACAAAATCAATGCCCTGCTCACTCGCTCCAGGTAGGATGTCTTTCCAAGTTTTCGCTGGGAAGTCTTGAAACTTCATCTTTCCCCAGTCAGGATATGTGCTCGCAGAAGGCCATGTCTCATCATTTGGTGTGCCAAGCGTGGTGAATATCGACTTTATCAGTGCCAGTTCGCTTCCTAACGACCCAGCATCAAACAGTGGAACATGGCCAGTCTTAACAACTTCAGCAATCACACAACCGGCTGCCCACATGTCCAAGGAAGAGTCATATGACTGATGTCCGAACAACAGCTCAGGTGGTCGATAGCAGGTTGTACCGACATCGGTGATTTTGGAATCTGCCGATTCCGAGTCTTTGTCTTCGGGTGACCATGCGATGCCGAAGTCAATGAGGTAGACAGGCCCGTCCATGCTCTTGAGCATGATATTAGAGGGCTTAATGTCGCGGTGGATCATGCCTAGCGCGTGGATATGCTCTAGGGCTTGGAAAAGTCCTTCAAATACCATCCTTGCCTGTCGTCTGTCGAGTCTCCCTGACCGAAGGAGATTCTCGAGATCCTGCCTCAGAAACGGAAGTACAAGTATGAACTGACCTCCTGATTCGTGTACGGTGTCCAACAGAGGGACAACGTGCTCATGCCGGGCCCTGACCATGAGTCGAGCCTCTCTTTCAGAGTTGTGTGGAGGAATCATCATGGCCGGATGCGTGACCTTCAAAGCCACAATTTGTACTGGAGCGTGCTTGTCTTTGGTCTGCGCCTTGAAAATGGTCGACATTTGACCATCTGCATGAAATGTTGCATACTGGTAATTGCCAAAACTTGGTCCTTCGTAGTTCAATATCTCCACATCTGACGGAGGCTCTGCTTCCTCTGGTAAGGGATCTGCCGCTGGTTGCAGGGCAGCCAGTGCTTTTTGAAGATCATCTTGGTATTCCACCTGACGTTGTGAGCTACAACGTCAACATCTTTTGACCGTCAGTCGCTTACTTCTGAGATGGCTTTATAGCGAAACTCTTCTTCAAGTTCTCTAGCTTCTTTACGAGCGACATCGGCACCTTTGCCCAGTGCAACCAAAGCATTTGTCCTGCAACCAGTTGGTCAGAGTCATGGGGAGAATTGGCACAAGCTTACAATAAAACAATACTATTCAACCTCTCAGAGAAGGTGATATCGACAGGCATTTTGTTGAAGGTGTTTCAGAACACCCGCTTCCGTAGCCTGATGATCACCGCAGAACCTTAGAGCAGCAATTCTAGTCACGAAGTTTCAGGATCCAGATGATATTTCATCCTCAGAGACCTGGTGAATATGGTATGTTGCCTCACCAACGCCAGCATGCTTCAGGCACAGCAACTCTTCCAAGCGGTTGCTCGCACAATGCGTGCAGCAGGCATGACATGGTCATTCAGCTTAGAGTAAGCTTTCTGAAGCAAGGAGAGCAATGGTGGCAGCAAGGCTGAAAAATATCCCGTAGGATCGACCCGGCAACCTGGGGAGGAGCAATAGAGATTTTGGGGGAGGCGGGCGGCATGGCTACGTAATCAGGGCCCAAAGAGCTTTCATCACCCCAGTACTCAGTAGCGAGGCTCTCCCTCCACGTAACCTTCGATCTGTGGTGGCCTCGCAATGCCCTTGCGTTCCACCACCTTTCCCTTGTGCCAAATATCCCGATCCACTTGAATTTCCATGGCTGATTGACATCAGTGAGGCTGTCACCATGGAGTTCTCTAGGACCGAGTATCCAACTCTTCTGGTATGACCCATCTGCAATATGCCGCAGCCCTCCGGGTAGCAGGACTGACTCCATTGCGCCAGGCTTCGTTGCAACCGGAACAGGCCGTCAATATCCTCAATGATCGCGTAGACCTCATTCAGAAAATCAACAATGACATTGCCGATTGGCTTCAGGTTAGCAAGACCTGTGCGGCTTCAAGGAACGGAGGCTGAATGCATCGCAGGAACGCCGGAGAGTGGAGGAAGCCTACGTCGCAGGCTTGCGGAAGCTCGCGCGAAGACCGCAACAAGATGGAGCGGCAGCTCTAGGGTAATGATAACACTCACATTGACTCTCATGCCACTGACACAAGTAGCATCTTCCAAATGCCATGGCAACGCATTGTGTCTGGCGCCGAAAATCTAGCGGCCTCTCATGAGACCCTAGCCACCAAAATCGAGACCGACGTCGAAAATCCCCTCCGGCACTTTGCGAGTCGCAATCGGGAAATGCAAGCGCTGTCCACAACCCAAGGCAACCTTAATTCACTTGCGAAAGAGCTAGTCAATGCTCAGAGGAGAGCTGCGAAAGGTGGAAGAAAGGCCGAGAGTGCAAGCTCAACGGTTGAGGATTCGTCGCGTGAGTGGGAATCACAAGCACCCTATGTCTTTGAGCAGCTTCAGGCGCTCGATGAGACGAGGGTAAATCATTTAAGAGACGTCCTCACACAATATCAAACGCACGAGTTGGATGCTACCGAGAAGAACAGACTCAGCGCAGAATCGTGCCTGAACGCACTACTGAACATCGAAACTGCCGACGAGATCAAAACCTTTGCCGCAAGAGCAAGTGGTGGACGTGGCAGCGTCCCTAGAAGGCGCAGCTCTGCAGCAGCCGGCGCAACAGCAGCCAGTTCTCATCTCCGTCCTCCTACACCACCACCTCCACGAAACGCGGACGACAGACAAAGCCAGCGCACCAATTCTTTTGCTGCCCAGGACAGATTAGCCCCCTGTAAGTCGTTCCGGCGCATGCTTGTCTAGAATTCATTTAACATGAGGTAGTACCCGATAACACACCGCACAAAGAAAAAGGAAGACTTGGTGGTCTAAAGCGGCTTGGGACCGTGATAGGCAGAAGAAAAAGTGTTGTGCCTCCCATCCCTTCACATTCAAATGAAGAAAAGAGAAAGACACGATCCTTTGTTCCGTTTAGAAGAGGGGACTCATCGCGAAGTTTCCAGGATCTGGAAGAAACAGGGCAGGAGCTGACACCCAGCACCACTCGCGACGAGAGACCTACGTCCTCGATATCGCATGACAGACGCGATGAGTTACCTTCTGGAGTCACCCCTCAGCAATCATTGCCGCTCACAAATGGCGCCAGTGCCTCACCAGCTCCGTTGGAATCGACGCCCGAATTCGCACCAACTCAACCTGCTTTACTTGACAATGTCGGCACACCGCAGACTCCATACCGCTCACCCGAAAAGCCGCAGCCTCCAGCTCCAGCCATGGATCCGTGGGCGCAAGACTCACATGAGGTTCCAATTGCACCTCTTCCAAATGAGGACTCGTCACGCAATTTCATGATACGAGAGAAGCCCATTCAAGAGGACGAGAGTGAAGCCCAGCAAGCCTTGAGTACTATGGCCAATCAGCTCCGCAGTCAAGCACAGACTTCAGGGATCAACCGTGTGCAGGGAAGCGTAAGAGGTCGACGAGATGTTCGAAACACTATGTACGTTCCAAGCAATGCCGAGCCTTCTGGAACAAACACCTCTATGCAGCGAGCAGGCCCGCCGGTTACCATCCCTTCCGGAAACAACCCTGTCGAGAACATCGCATCTCCGATGCAGCGACCACCAGCGGCTGCAATGATACTTGAAGAGCACGGTGTGGCCTCGGACACCACTTCCATTCATTCCTCTCGGAGCCTAGCAGGTCCCAGTCAGCATGTTGATCTTCACGAACCGGGATTGAATGCATCCATTGTAGAGACTGTTCATGCCTGGTTCACTGAAAGTGGGATCAGCAAGTCACTAGTCTTAGGTGAAGTGGCGTTTGCATACAATGCGATGGCTTCAGGTGACTCCAGTTCAGAGACCGTTCGCGTGCAGCACTTCGAGCGCCTCGACAAAGTTGCTGCCAATCCGATATTCATGACCCAGATCAAATCGACAGGCCAAGCATTAGCTGAAGAGCACGCAGGCTCATACATTGTTGCCACCTCAGCTATTCGGAGACCGTCGCCAATGATTGGCTTGAAATATCAACTCCATATCGATGAGAGCAATCTCGGCCAATACAGTCCAGTTCTCATCACTCCTGCTTGGCAGGTCATTGAAGGACAAGTCAGCGTCATCATCTTGTACAGCCTCAACCCTGTTTTCGGAACCCAACCTTTGATCCTCAGAAACGCACAGATCAGCGTCAACCTCGATACCTCAGGAGAGGGAACGGGAAGGGCTAGTTCAGCAATGATGGCGCCTCCTCAAGGCGCTGTCTTCCGCCGCAAGACATCGGCTGTTGTATGGCGACATGCCGACTTCGCCGTCAAGCCAGAGCAGGAAAGACTGCTAGTCAGATTCATGACGGAAGGAGGCATGCCCAAAAAGGGCAGCATCGAACTTAAATTCGAGATCATTAGCCGAACCGCAAGTGGCATTGGCGTCGAAAAGTTGGTTCTAGGAGGAGAGGAGAAGGACAGCGATCCGTTCGCGGACGACACGGCTGGAAGCAGTGCAAGAGGGAGTGCGGAAGAGAGACGATGGGAATTAGTTCCCACGAATGCGAAGTTGGTCAGTGGCAGGTATACTGCTAGCTGAACTCTTCTTGCCGACACATGTCCAGATCTTAGAGGGAGGCTGTACAGAAATGTCGTGGTTGGATATTTCGAGCTCTATTGAAAGTCCTTAGCTGGATACCTGACCTTGGACATCGTCTAGTGTGCGAGTCCGCAATGGTTAGCGTAAAGTAGATAGCGACGTGAGAGCTCAATGGTCTTTGAGGGTGCTGAGAGAAAACCCGCAAATTGCAGAAATCGATTCAGTATTGAGTTACTTCGAGATTGACTGGATACAGCCATGGTAATGCTGAAGATGGGGGTATCCCCTTAGAGCTCGGCTGCCTTCCAAGCCTGGAGAGTAGGGCCCTCCGCAATAGCAATCGCAAGACCTGAACTCATCTCATCCAGAAACGCGACAAGAAACCGCGCAATATGCGCCTTTATATCGTTCAAAAGCTAATGAACATTTTCATGTGAGCATAATCGTAGTCCTCTTTGTGGGTGAACGGTAAGGTAGCGTAGCGCTGTTGCTATGTGTATCTGCGCCGCGAGATAGAGATTCTAACTCAAACCAGTTGGATTTCTTCAAGCTTTTCAACCCCATCCTTCTCGGCCTTCTAGTTAAGTTGCTCGAAATCTGCAGCCGTTGGGGGCGCCAATCATACATTACCCCGTTCGCACTCACTCCCGGCAGCAAAAGAAAGTGCTCGCCGGGCATGTCTATTTCAGCACAAGAACATTCCTCTCCTTGTCGATCCGGGCAACTTCCTTGACGAGATTGACAAACTCGGCCCTTCTCTCCTTGGGATGCGCCACGATCTTCATGAGGTCCTTGATCGCAATGCCCGACTCGGGGATCGCGCTCTTGATATCCTGCACGCTGGGGAACGCGGTTGGCGGCGGAGAAGCAGCGGCCAGCGGACTCCGTGCTCCTGGAGCGGGCGACGCCGTCCGACTAGGCGGACCCGTCCCCGGTGGTGACACGCTCATCTTCAACTTGATCTTCCTAGCACGGCTGCCGTCCGACATGACTCCGCCGTCGCGATCGCTCATGCCTGCATCGGTATCGGATCCAGCGCCGGCAACACGCTTGCGGATCTGGGTGGGCGCGGACGAGGGAACGTTTGCGGGCGACATAGGTCGCGAGACGCTGGGCGTAGGCTGAGTCGACGACAAGTGGTTCGATTTATGTTTCTTCTTCCGCGTCGAGGCATCTGTTCCGGACGCGTCGGACAAATTCGGCGACCCGGGACGCTTGAGACCCCTGGCCCGCTCGCGATCGCTGCCTGTTCCCTTCTTCTCTTTACGCCCGGATGGTGTACCGCCCCCAGGCGACGGAATGGCGGATTTCTTGCCGTCTTCGTCTTCCTTCTTGATGTTGTTGATACGTTCGCGCTCAAGGCGTTCTCGTTCTTCTTCGGAGTCCGTCTGTCATGGTCAGCGCTGCAGTTGGGGATCGGGAGTGAGAAGTGCGAAAGGGGGACTTACCGAAGACTCATACTCTGAATCAGTGCCATGATTGTAGTTATGCTCTCTGCGTTCTAGGGCTTTGCGGAGCTCTTTGAAGTTACGTTTTCGTGCTTCAGCTTCGCGTTTCTCGCGCTCCTCGGCCTCGTCGTACTCCTTGAGATCTTTGAAATCGAGGAAATTTGCTTGCAATTGGTCCTCCTTGATACGTTTCTCCGCGAGTTTCTCATCCTCGTCCTTATCGACAAACAGATCACCTTCCTCGTCATCCGCGAAGTCGTCTTCGAAGTCGAGATCAGCTTCTTCGCCATTCCGGCCTGCTATGCTTTGTGTCTGGGCGCCGGTAAAGACACCTTTCGAACGTCTGGCGGCTAGTTCTTTCGACGCTTCGGCGACTCGAGCTTCTCTTTGACGGATCAGCCACTCAGGATCGGTGCCTCGCTTTTTCATTGCAGCTTCGACTTCTTCTATGGTCATCTGCTGGGCGAGCTCACGCTTCGGCTTGAATTGGTAGGCTTTCTCAATTGGGATCAGGCGGAATCTCCCCGTCGACGCGTCTATCGCAGGTTCAAAGACAAAGGCCGCGTTGGAAGCCATCGAGCCAATCTGATGGTGGCCGATCAAGCAGTGCTTGTTATCGAAGTCTTCGAGATGCCATGGTAGTTTCTCCTCATAATTTGTCTGAATTCGGCGTTTCTCTTCTGCAGAAAATTCAGGCCTGAAAACCTGTTGCGTCTTCTTCTTGAACGCGTTCATCCTTCTGCCTGCGTTCTGAGATGGCGCGATCTGGGCGAGATTAGCCTCACGTTCCTTTTGTCGAATCTCTTTCCTCCGGGTCAGCTCTTCTCGTTCAGCCGCGTTGAGACCATCCTTTGGATCGACTTGACCCTCCTCTTCTTTGTGCTGGTGTTGTCCGGGTGGAGGGGCTCTTGGATCGCGTCTGTGCAGGCGAGCTGGCTTGGGGAACTCGGACTCATTGCGGATATCGACTGCTTTCTCTCCAGCTAGTTGGAGGATGTGGTATCTTAGTCCATTCAAAAGGTCTCTCTTTGTGGTGACAAGCTTGTAGTCTTTGTAAGGGATGCCTTCGGCAGTGATTCGCGGATCGCTGAAGCCGCTATATCTTTCATTCTCGGATATCGCGGATATCGCAGGAGAGGCTGCTCGCTGACTGTTTGGTGTCGAAGCTTGAAATGGCTGCGGCTTCACAGGGAGATGTCCGTTTACGGGCGGGGTAGGATGGCCATTCAACTGAGGTTTGACGGCCGGGTTCCTCTTCGGGCCTTTGAAGAAAGGATCAGACAGAGGCTTCTTGCGCCTCACCAGAGCAGGATTGCCTGGAGGCTGACTTGCAGGTCCACCAGTGGGGGCGGAGCCTGCGTTCATTCTGTGCTATGAAAACATGTAGTAGGATATTCGAGGCGGAGATTTTGACAGCGGATGTCAGAATATACGGGTCTGGACACGGCGACCGATACAGGAGAAGATTGGAAGCGATAGAACTGTTGGAATGCAAGTTACGATGTGGGTTGTGTTGTTGACACCAGTAGGCCTCAACTGGACTGCGGCAAGTTCATCTACAAGCAACCAAGAGAATGGCCGGAGTGAAGTCAGTGCCAAGACAGAGTCATTCGGGTGACGGATCAACAAAATTCCACCATCCCTGCCTAATGAATTCACTTGCAACTGACAATCCAACCAAACACATAACTACCAACCATCAACCATCAACCAAGCCACGAAGGACGGTCCTCGCAGGTCCTCACGCAATTGCCCATCGCCCGACTATTCATATTGTTCCCTTTATTCAATTCCTTTCGTCGATTCATTCACGCCTCTGTGCAAAACACGCTGTTGTTCTGGAGACCTGTTCTTAACGACGGGTCAAATATCACATGTATCCAGCCACCGAGGACAATATCACCAGCGATCCCAGCTTTTCCTGACTCCATCTGACTCGATCCCACCTTCTAATGAATCATGGACGGCTCCAATCCGACATCTGGCTTCGACAACCACGTCTGGAATCAACTTCAACAAATGTCTCACCAATCCTCGCACCGAGGACGAGGTGGACGAGGTAACTGGGGCGGCCGAGGCCGAGGCAGGAATCACCGTGGATATCCATCCTCTCATGGAAGTCAGACCTCCATCAGCAATCAGTCATCGGTCCAGCAGCCACCCAATACCGAAGACTTTCCACCACTCGGAAGCGCATTGCCACTTCCGCCACGGAATGCTCCTGCTCCTCATTATCAACAACACCAAGCGCCGGCCCAACCATTTGACCATATTCGTCATGGCACCCCAAGGGAGTATCAGGAGCGCGCGAGAGGTAATTACCGGGGACATGAAGGGCGCTTCGGTCATCAACCACACGTCCAACCGACACCACAGCCGGTCGCCATGCCCCAGTATCCTACTTATGGACGACCACCACCCCGTAATACTTATCTGTACCATCCAAATGCCGAATTGCACTATGGTACCGCTGAGCAACAACGAAATATGAGACATGTGATGATGAGGCAATCCGACTATCTCAATGCTGTTGGCCGGAGAGCCAACGAAGCGCATCGACTCACCCGCGAAGAGTCATTGACCAAGGAAAACTTCCGTCAAGACTTAGAAAATGTTGCAAAAGAGGCTCTTAGTGCGAAATATCCCGAGCTTGATGTGGAACAAGTCAAATTGAAGTGCTATGGTAGCCTTGCCAACGGCTTTGCTTTGGCAAATTGTGATATGGATCTTCTTCTTTCCTTGCCGAGCCATCAAGAGACCGTGAAAAAGACGAAGTCCTCAGAGGACCAGGCTGAAGCCGCCGAGGACCCAGATTCAGATGAGGACGAGGAACGCACCTTTAATGTCGAGGTTCGCCGTGTCTTGGAAAAGGCCTTCCTTGACAAGGCATATGGAGCACGCCTTCTCACCAATACTCGTGTTCCAATTCTGCGGATCTGCGAGCGTCCGTCCCCCGAGCTGCTGCACAATCTCCGAGACCACCGTGCCGCGTGGGAAAAGTCATTGTTCCAGTCTGTAGACGAGGCATCAACTGCGCCATGTTCGAATGACAACCCCAGTCAAGTGGTCGCTAAATCAAATGGTCAAACGCACGAAGATGCAAACTCCCGTGGAATGGACGCGCCCGACCAGGCGAATGTGGAATCCGCCAAAGGACTACCCTCTACCGACCTGGAGACAATAGACCAGTCAAGTGCTCGACAGCTGGATAAACAAGCCCTTGGAGGCGCGCTGGCGATCGACTCTTTCGGTCTCCAAGATACTGACGAACCAACCTCTACAGTTATGGAGGAAGTTGATCAGGCCATGGCTGATCTGACAGTGAAAGATTTATTCACTCCCAACCCAGCCACACGTGGCAATCCAAATCTAGACTTCGTGGGAGACTGCGGTATCCAATGCGACATCAACTTCACCAACTTTGTTGCCCTGCACAATTCGGCCTTGCTTCGACTATACCAAGGCTTCGATCCTCGCGTGGGAGAAGTGGGTACTTTCGTCAAGATCTGGGCTAAAGCGAGAGACATCAACACTCCGTACCGTGGCACACTGTCTAGCTACGGCTACATAATGATGGTGCTCCATTTCTTGATGAACATTGCTTCGCCACCAGTCATTCCGAATTTGCAGTACCTAGCGAAGATCGAGGATGGTTGGCATCCAGACAGGGAGATCCCGCTATTCGACGGATTCGACATCAGATTTGTCAGTCGGCCTGCGGAGATCCAGGAGTTGCAAAAAGACATGGCCAGAAACAAGAACAAAGAGACTACGGCCCAGCTCCTCCGAGGCTTCTTCCGTTATTACGCGACGCGTGAGGGCTTTTTCTGGACTCGCGACGCCATCTCTATCCGACAAAAAGGAGGCATCGTGCCCAAAGCCGAAAAGGGCTGGACTGAGGCAAAGTGGGCCGAATCGAAGAACAAAAACGTTCGACTGCGGTATCTGCTTGCCATCGAGGATCCCTTTGAGGTTGAGCATAATGTTGCACGAACAGTTGGCCATCATGGTCTTGTTTCGATTAGAGACGAGTTCCGTCGAGCATGGTCCCTGGTCGAGAGAGTCGGTGCCGGTGAGCAGATTCCAGTGGAAGCATTCCTCGAGCCTGTCATCGATCGCATCGACACCTTGAGAAAAGACCAAGACTTCCATAGGCAGAAGCAACTGCAGATGAAGCGGGAACTCGAGGCCAAGGAGAAGTTGTTAGTTCAGAAAAAGGACGATGAGGATTCAGAATCTCACACTGATGGTACGTTGGGGAATTCTATTCAGGGGAGAGCCCAAGCCCTTTCCTCTCTAAACAGCCAACACCTAAATTCGAATCCGAAACTGACCTCCGCGCACTCGCATCAGGGCAAGAACAAGTACAAGAACAATCGGCAGCCGTCGGAGAGCTGGAGACGCAGGAAGGTCTCAGCCGACAGTGACTGCGAGGATGAACCCGACAATAATCGACCAGAGGACAAAATCGACCACTCAGCAGAAGACCCAAATCCTTCGGCTGATGCCGACTCAGACAAGCCAGAGTCCAAAGGGAAGAATAAGCCCGATGCGTACTTGTGCTCGAGGACGGATGTACTGCTGGCCAATGGTCGCGATCAGTGGGGAAATCCGGTACCGTGGGATATCGACACTCAGGAAGGACGATGGCTGCATTGGAGGGACAAAAAAATCAAGAAGGGTACTATTCGCGAATTTTCCAACCCGACTCTGCGCGAATTAGACGAACAGTGCCCATTCGATGCTGAGCGACCGACGCCATACTCGAGTAAACCATACAATTCTCATGTCGAAAGAGCGAAAGCTGACAGACCACCCTGGCCTGCGAATCGCGATGACGATCACTCATCTCACTCCGCTGTCAAGGCCGACGATGGTGTCATCAAGAGTACACCGTCCATTCCACAATCAAGTGAGCGAGGCGAGCAGACTGTCACTGACGCAAACCCAAATCAAGGGCATCCTCTTGGGGTACCGCATAGTCGACAAGATGACGTTGTAGGCAAAGTGATACCGTGGGACAAAACCACTCGCGGTGGTCAATGGCTCCAATTTCGCGATCGCTGCGTTCGTAAAGGAGATTGGAAGTATCATCAGCATTCTCGCTTCACGCAGTTGAGCAATGAGTTCCCTTACGATGATCTCATGACGTGGGCGGAACTGGAAGAAAAGAACAAGGTGTTGCGCAAATACTACTGCCACTCCGTCTACCGCAACGAAGTACCTGAGAACTCCGTGTCGGGTGCGACGGAGAAGCCTACCGCAACTCAGACCAATCACGTATCTTTAGTCACTCCTGATTCGGCAACAGCACAATCTCAGGGTATCGATCACAATGTGGATTTGGTACCGGACAGCAAAACTAGCAGCCCCGATCAGGAAGCTCTTCGAGCCAGGCGACTGGCCTTTTTTGCAAAGCAGTTCACAGGCTCCGAGAGTGACGCTGGGTCAAACGCCAATACTCTATTCTCTGGACATGCAGCTCACAGTGCCTCGAATGAGGTGGAAAAAGAATCTATCGCGCCTGCTTATGGTTGTCCCATTGCTGTCCAACCAACCTCACGGGAAAGCGGCTTCGCGGACAGCACTCAATGGAATGGGGCCGTCACGGCTGTTAAGCTTGAAGAAGTGGTAGACGACGATTCCAAGTCGTTCCACTCTGCCAATGGTCTTCAAGAGGACGATTTTACAGAAGATCAAGGTTCTCGCGATGAGACACCTGACCTACAAGTTCCTGGGACCCTGTATCCGGACATGGACCGGAGCCAGCGACCAAGAGACGATGATCCTGACATTATGCCTATTCCGCGCACATACGGCTTTCAATTCGACCCGCGGCAACTGCAGGATCTTGCCATCATTGCTAAAGGAGGCAATGGGTGTGCCAGAGAAGGAGCACAGTTCAACATCGAAGACGAATATGAATGGGGTGGCGGAGGTGCGATGGGATGGCGGACGAGTACAGGGCCTCAATGTGTTCGCATCAGTAGCGGTACACCATATCTGCCTGGGCAAGGTGACGAGGAAGGACTGCTCAATGAGTTGCCAGGGGACCTCGACTGAATGCAGCTGACCTGGAATGTGGGTTCTCTGAGGGCTGCTGTTGTTTTGCGTGTGCTGGATAGACTCCAAGGATCGTATTATTCTGCATTGTCGACAGCTGGCTCTTTTTTGTCCACGACGCTTTCGACAGGCCCATTTCCTGGACACCCGCAGACTTTGCGTCTAGATACCTTAGACAGTATCCTCGCTCACTCACAGTCAGAAGTGATGACGAGCAAAATGCATCCTTAGCACTGATTATTACTCCGTAGCCAAACCTGGTTCCTGTTCCTGCGTTTGTGGCTGTTTCATCCTCGTCACAGATTTGAGACACTTGATTGGTTGTGGAGACGCTCCTTCAACTTCGTGACCTCGCATCATCTCCCCTGATCCTTGATACCATATGAAAGGCACCTCCCGTCTTGAGGTAGTTAATGATTTCGGTCACAAGACCTGTACTATAGTATATGTGTTCTTTGCCAACGTCAGTATAATCTTCTTAGATCAGCGAGGAACTGTGGTTGTGCATTTGGCTGGTACCAGTGCCATTTTCTCAAGCTTGATCATTTTGGCAACCAGACAATCTCTACTCTCTACGACTTCACGAACCCGACGCCAGCTTTCCTTCTCAAGACTTTACCGGGCCGGTTGCTAAGATACAAATTCAACGCAATGGTGTCGGCGCCGTCAACTTCAAAATCACCCACCCAGCCCAAACCATGGTACCGAGTCATCACGCTGGACCTCCTATTGCTGATCCTGGCCAACTCGGTCTTCCATCCGTACATCAGCTTCATATTCTACCTGTGTATTGCGGCGATGCATAAACACCGCGAGCCGATCGCTTATTATACGCTCTGGTACACAGCGTTCTTGGGCGTGGTGGAGGTGGCAGTCTGGGCGAATCAGCGATTCACGTACGGCCGTCACAGGAAAGTCGAATGGGAGAACGAGGTCGTTGTCATTACGGGCGGAGGATCCGGATTGGGCAGGGTGCTAGCGGAAATGCTTCTACGAAAAGGCGTGAGGGTCGCAGTGCTGGATGTCAGAGAACCTGACGAGGAGGCACGCGAGACCATGGAACGGTGGGATCTGGTCTGGGAGGTGGTTGATGTGAGTAAGATGGAGGATGTAAAGGCGGCCGTGGAGAGGATTGTCACTGAGGTTCGTATTGTCTTCTATTTACGTGCCTCCCTTGCGTGTCCAACCCATGGGTTTGCCAAAGCCACGGGGGAAGTATTTTGCAGGCAAGCTTGTCGTACGAGGGCTAACATTTGATACCACAGCTCGGCGCGCCATCGATCCTGATCAACAACGCAGCAACGGGCGTCGCAGGTCTGCCTCTACTGACGTCGTCTCAAAACCCAGCAGCAGCAACTCTCTCGCCGGATAAAGCCAGCAGGACCATGACGATCAACGCCCTATCGCACTTCAACACGCTCTCGATCCTGTTGCCCTACCTGACGTCCTCCAAAACAGGAGCGCACATCGTCACCATCTCCTCGATCCTGGCACATCTATCGCCAGCCTCGTTGGCAGACTACACGGCCTCCAAAGCCGCCGTGTCATCGCTCCATCAGACCCTCTGCCACGAACTCCGCTGTCATCCCGACCCGAGTGTTTTCGCCAAAGTCAAAACACTCCTCGTCGAGCCGGGCCAACTGGACACGCAGCTGTTCGCGGATATCACGTCCGTCCCGTTCTACGCGCATTTCTTCGGCCCTGTGCTGGCGGCGCAGGACGTGGCAAAGGAGATCATTCGGACGATTGAGCGGGGCGATGGAGGTGTCATTCGCATGCCGTTTTATGCAAAGTGTATGCCCTTTTTCAATGTGTTGCCCGGAACGGTGCAGTTGGGCATGCGGTGGTTCAGCGGGATTGATCGAGCGATTGTTTTGGAGAACAAGGAGGCGTAGATGGAAATGTAGGTGGTGGTGTCATGGGTATCTTGATAAAATCTAGTTGTACAAATATTGAAGAGTGCGCGGTGTAGCTCTCTCACTCTCTCAGAAGACGAAATTTCTGCTCATCCAGTTGGAGCGTTGGTCGATTTGCAGTAACATGGGGGTTGTTTCTGGCCCTTGGCTCGGCCTGCTTCAGCAAATGTGCCCATGTTGTACTCCGTACAGCGGGATTCGCCCGGCGCGTGAGACGATGAACAAAGGGTATTTCAATCGTCCTCGTGAATCGTGATGCCAATTTCTTGAACGACCTCGGCGACTCCGAAATCACTTCCTTGGTCTTGTTCATCCCTACTCCCCGGCCGCGGTATCTGCAATCCTCCAGACTGCTGCTGCTGCTGTTTCGAGCCGTCGGTAGTATCTTGCGGTTTATCCCTCTCTCCATCGACCTCCACCTTCGCATCACCACGTTTCTCCGTCGTGGCAGACTTCTTTCCCTTCTTTTTATTCCTCTTCTCGCGGTTCTTCCTCGTCTTCTCCTCGTCCCTTTCGCGCCGTTCTCTTTCTTCCCTCTCCCACTTCGCATTCTCCTCTTCCTTTTTGGCTTCCTCGTCCATCAGCCGTAGCCGCTCATACTCGCGCCGTCGACTGGCCTTGTAGACGTGGAATTCCCCGGATCCGGCACCGGCAGACGAACCCTGCACGTTCGCGACGATCTCGGGCGGTGCGGCGAGGGTTGTGCGCTTGTCGGTTTCGCTGGAAGGCGGAGGGATGCTGATCGGTCGTTCGGGGTCGAGGAATAGCGTCTCGACTTCGTGGGCTTGTGTAGCTCGCGCCGTGTTGGCGCCGCGGGCACGCTTGATGGGCCGCCGCGAGCGAGGGTCTGCGGAGGTGGGGATGGCTTCGGGGATTGGTTCGGACATTTCGTCTCACCCTCGATGGGTATGAAGCGGAGGAAATGCGCAAAACCCGTGTGTTTTCGGCTAAGTGTTGGATGGATCTTGCTGTAGATGCTGGCCAGGCTGCGATGTATGGAAACAGACAAAAAAGTGTAGAAAGACTGCGGGGAGAAACTTCGGATCGCGGAGTGATATAATCACGTGATACAAAGGGCACGTGAGACTTATACGGAGAACTGAGTAGACCGCGTTGACCAAAGAAGACTCCGAGGCTCCTCTCTACTTTCGTGCTCACACTGTGTATCTCTCCTCCTAATTATTCTTATTGTGCCCGCTGTTACGCAAGTAACTGATGCATATCTCTGGTCCTCAAATACTCCTCATAGCTCATTGCCTGAGGTGGAGGGTTCTTCAGCCCGCTCGGCTCAATCCAATCCTTCACCTCACACATGTAAGGAAACTCTGCCAGGAAAGCCGCGCCTTCGAGCACCTCTTCCCTAATGCCCGTCGTTTGGCAGAGTAGTTGCACGCTGACCTCCATGAAACGTGACTTACGTCCCGTAACCTTTTCCCACGTCCGCATGCCCTCTTCTAACCCAATCCACCAGTCGACCGCCAAAAGCTTCATCCCGGCTGGTTCATCCTCCACCAGGCAACGCACATAAGCACCCGTCGTAACGTCCGGAATGAAAACCGGAAGCTTCGTCGACATCCTCCCTGGAAGGGCCATGAGATACTCGCCACCGCGAGACACTTTCTTCTCTTTGGACTTCTCGTTGCTCGGAGGAGGAGGGCGGGGGAGAAACCGCACGAGGAACGGGACTTTCGACAGAAGCCAGAGGATCCATGACGTCCCCAAAGGAACTCTGCGCGGGTACAACAAAGGATTGTCGGAATAGGCGGACGCGTAGATGTAGCTTGTCTTGGCCGCCAGGTCAGGCAATTGCGTGGTGATGTGGGCGACGACGACGGCCTTGGCTTCGAAATGGTAGCAGCGGGCGTATTTGCCACCAGAAGCGACCTTCATCGAGCCAAAGGCCGAGTACACGAATTTCTCGAGCTCGGGGATCTGCGACGCTGCCGTCGCCGCATTTTTGCCCCAGCTGATCTCGGTATTGTAGGCCAGCTGCGAGGCTTCATCGTCGTTCTTCCCAGCCGCCAGGGCGCCTCGATACACCTCCCAGAAGTTGGTGTTGACGAAGATGGCATTGGCCGACGAGAATGCCGACACCAGGCTGGGTATGGAGGAGAGGTCGGCTTGGATGATCTCGGCGCCGAGGGCAGCAAGGCCTCTGCTATCAGTTAGCAGCCATGCATGTCCAAATTATGTAGGGGTGTTCGATATCGAGTGCTAAGCGGTGTTTCTTCAGAACTGCTGCGTCGCACATCATGATGATTGTTGGATATGGTGTTCGTATACGTACTTGGCAGCTTCGGACGAAGGATTGCGTGTGAGGCAATGTACCCGCCAGCGCGAGGACTGAGGAGCTGAGAGGAAAGTACGTGCAACGCTGCCGCCCTGTCTTCCGGTTGCGCCTACGATGGCGATGATTTTCTTGTTAGACTCTGGCATTTTGAGTGTAGGGTCGAAACTGGTGGCGCCGTCTTGGGATTGCCGGTGGACATGTCCTGTGCTCTAGACGTGGACATTGTGATCGCTGGAATTTATGCTTCCCAACTTGCTTACACCTTTGGGGGTGGACAGAGGTGAGTCCTCCCGACGATTCCTCTCCATTTCAGAGTCTGTGCTCTGATTGGGCAAAAACTGTAAGCAATGGAAAGAAAGGTGGTCGCTGCACGGATCCTGCAGAGGTATTTAGCAAAGGAGAGGAGGGTAACCGGAGGTAAGTTGCCCCGACCCCACCTCCGTTCCTTAACCACAGGCGACCGTGACCAGAACTCTTCACTTTTCTCCTCGTCTTCTGGTAAGCGAAGAGTCGGGCGGAGGCAGATGTCCCAGCACAAGCATGCGCTGTAAAAGCCGGGCCTCCGCACCAAATGAACATGCCGCCGGAGATAAGAACCCCTGCAAAACCACCGTCACAGAGGCGCGGCGGGAGCAGAATCGGCGGGCACAAAGAGCCTTCCGTGAGTTTCTTCTCCGCATGAATGAAGCTGGCCTTCGCTCTGACCTCTTCTTAGGAGAACGGCAAAGGGCAAAGAACCGAATACCGCCGAGCACTACGTCCAGGCAGCTTGCGCCGCGTCCCGCTGAAGTAGGACTCGATGTCAATGAGAGGTCTTCCGAGGCCGAGCCCGAAATCTTGGACAGGATCCAAGACGCCACCAACCAGGAGAACTCTAGAGCAAATACCTCAGATCAGGTGTCTATAGATGGACTGCAGGGCCAAGATAACTCAACCTACTGTACTACCAAAGAGGTGCCATTCACATTCCCCTCTCCGCAGACTTTACTCCCTGCCCACGAATCGCTCGTGCCAAAACGTCGCACACCCTCTTCACAGCTGTCGAACTTTCTGAGAGATTACCCCAGGCCTGCACTCTGGCCACATGGGGTCACCACCACCCTAGCCGCCTGCCTGTTCAACGCCCGCGCGCTGGGCATCGACATCGACCAAGTCATGGACCCGCAGTACATGTCGCCGTTCTACAGGCCCTCGTTGTCTCTGGTGCTTCCACCACCAGGTTCGGCATCGGCAGTACAATCGACGAACCTGGAGGCGGACGTTGCTTCGGATCCACAGTTGACTGGTCACGGTCCTCTGCGACCATGCTTGGCCCAAGTCATCTTTCCTCACCACGCCTGCATAGATTTACTACCGCTGCCGAGGCTGAGAGAGACGGCCGTGATGCTGAATGTCCGTGCTCAGCAAGCAGGAGGTGCTGGTGGCTCTATGTCACGGTCGGACTTTGATGGTGTCCAGGAGCTGAAGAAGGATGTCTACGTCAGGCAGGGGGTCAGGTTCCGGGGGACGGGCGAGCTGGCAGGAGACGAGTATATCATGAAGGACGAAAGACGTGTACGACACTGTGGCCATCCGTGGGAAAGTGGCAGTTGGGCTATAGCACCGTGGTTTGCGAGGAAATGGAAACACCTGGTGGACATTTCAGGATAGACCGCACAGCGGATAATGTCAAACACTGTGACCTTGAAATAAGACGTTACAGCGTGGCGGAGTTTTAAGGACCCCAAAAGCTCGCCTACCGACCTTCCTCAAGTGAGGACGCCCAGAAGGACTATAAGATGGATACGACCTTTAGAACGAGGGTACTACCTCTGCTGTAGATGCCGAGGCGTGGTGATGCCGGCAGGGACGGCTATGCATGATTTGTGGGGTAATCGTCTTACAACAACTACTTTCTCGATAGTTACAGGTAACCGAATACCCCCAGAGAAGCAGCAACCTGCGTCTGTTGTTGTTCATGGTCAATCATCACCGTTCCACATCTGGGCCTTTGTGGTCTTTCTTACGCCATTTCGGGGCGCAATTCGATCCGGTCGAAGACTACTCTCTGCCTGACGAGATCGTAGGCTCATTGCAACCACCAGCAGCGACTCCCACATTCCAAGAGCCCAGTATGGCGACGGGCAGCAAGTACAAGTATACGGACATCATCTTTGAAATCAAAGGGAAGATTGGCATCATCAAGGTCCGGTGACACGCAGTACTCCAGGGCTTGAGACAACCCGCCCGGCTGACAATTGTCCCCAGTTAAATCGGCCCAAATCTCTCAACGCTTTCGGCGGCAGATTATTGCTCGATTTAATCTCTGCGCTGAGGGAGTTGAATGAGCATCCAGACACAGTTTTCACGGTACTCACAGGGGAAGGCAGGTTCTTCTCGTCCGGGGCGGATGTCAAAGGTATGCAAGGCTTTTTCTCCGTCAACTCGACTATGCTTCGAATTGCAGAATCTATATCGTCTCGTCTCGCCCGCACACGCCCGATCAAGGCGCAATTGCTAATTGCACCTCCCCTTGTAGCATCGGTCTCTCAACAAGCAATCGAATATGCCACGCCCGCGGAGAAGAAGATCGCATTCATAGCGAATGTAGGAGCATCAGGTAAGCACGTCGAAGTTACTGCCTAGCACTCCTTCCCTCCCTTCCACTTGCAATATGTCAAGTTCCGAACCGCATTACTCATCTCACATATCGCCCGTTCTAGCCATCGAACTTCTCCGCTCCATGATCGACCACAAAAAGGTCCTGGTCCTCGCTCTCAACGGCCCAGCCGTCGGCGGCGGCGCGGCCTGGTTCGAAGGAGTCGCCGATATCGTCCTCGCCGCCGAGGGAGCATATCTACAAGTCCCCTTTTCAGCGCTTGGATTGGTCCCTGAATTCGGCTCGGCCACCGCATTTTCACAATCAATGGGCGTCCATCGGGCCAATGACATGCTCATGTTCGGACGCAAAATGAGCGTCGAGGAGCTCGAGAAGTGGGGCATGGTCAATCGCATCCTGCCCAAGGAGGACTTTCACCACAAAGTTGTCGAGTTTCTGGAGCAGCAGCTAGATGTCAATGATGGGAAGAGCATGATGGAGGCCAAGAGACTCCAGAATCTCCCGCTCAGACGGGACAGATTGTTGGCGGTGTACGATGCCGTGGATGCGTTGGCGGAGAGGATTACCGAAGACGCGCAGAAGAAGAGGTTCCTTGAGAAGAGCCGTTTGCTGAACTGTGAGTGCTCCCAACTTTATCTCCGCTAGATGGTAGAATATCATTCGAGCTAACCGCGACGATACAGCCAAGTCGAAGAGTCGGGCGAAGTTGTAAGCTGTTGGCCTGTTCCTACATGAAAGCCACTGGAAAGGTGGAAGTTTACTGCTTGAGTTAACGTTTTTATTTGGGGTCTCAGAGATAGGTCGTGGAAGAGCGAATGCTTCTGTCAATATGCTTCGCGCTTTCCTCTGGACGTGGTGGAATTATCGTCTCGTACCTGGCAAATCGTGTTACCTTCGGCGATTTCTTCCAAGATCCAACATCCGCGTAGCCTTGTTAGCGAGGCTGAGACGTGCCCTCAATGCCGAGGTCCAGTGTATGTTCAAAGACTACATCTCCAACCTGACCAAAGACGTCAGCTTATCAACGCTTCGCATATCATTTAGTCTCTGTCCGTCTGTTGCAGAACTCTGACATGCTTCTCATGCGTCTTGGAATGCATGCCATCGTAAAAGTCCCATCCTTAGTTTCCGATCGCTGACTACATAGCGGGTGAGGTCGAAGTCTGCCACATCCAAACCCAGGACTCGGACAGTCTCGCCCTGATATCAGAATGATGTCCACATCGCCAGCACCCTCGCCTACCAGGCTGAGACAGATTGCCCTGATCGCCGAAGACATCGAACGAGCAAAGTACTTACTGGTAAGCCTCTGACCTGATCCGACCCGACCCTTAACACTTGGCTTGCTTGCTTGCTGGCTTGCTCCCCAGCTCTCATCTTTCCATGCCCCCGTGTCCCCGACCCTCCGTAGCCCAACTCACTCACCACTACAATGGACCTTACAGACCACGATTCTCGGCACGGAAGTCGTCTACATAGATCCACAAGTCGCACAATGGGGCATCAAGAACTTCCTAGGTACGAGTAACCCACCCCGACTCCTAATTCCATCTACCCAACAAAGACGTCCGCATTACTATGTACGATACCACTGCCCTGACATACCGAGATTCCAGTCGCCATCGGCGGCGACATCATCGAAGTCTGCTCCCCCTTCCAACCCAACACCACAGTCGGTCGACTTCTCCAGAAACGAGGCGACGGCGGCTACATGATCATCATGCAGACTCTCGACGCCGCCGCCCGACGAACGCACATCGAGTCCCAAGCTCTGGCCAAGGTCATTTTCAGCCACTCGCATGATGGTGTGCAGTGTATCCAATATCACCCAAAGGGCATCGCAGGTACGGGTCCCACCCACTCCCGACCCACAACCCAAGTACAACTTCCCTGTACGCACAGTTACTAGTACTACGTATGGCGGCAACACGAAATCGACCAATGCTCTTCTTTGATGAAAGCATTTGGTGGCGGAATCTTGGTCATTTCACTAACCACTAAGTTGCTGTGCAGGAGGCATGATGCCGGAACTGGACTCGCATACGCCTTCGCCGAGCAATCCGACTCCACTAGAGAGCACATACAGCCCATGGCATGCATGTGGACCCGATTACGCCACCTATTCCGCCGGTATGAAGCGATGCTCACATCTGAGATTGATCGGTGCGTCGTGCCGTCTAGCGCCTGGACAAAGTGACACCGAAGCAGCCGCACTGCAGTGGCAGGAGTATTTCGGTGTCAAACGGGAAGGTAGTGACTTGGTCTTCACGAACGCACGATTGAAATTTGTCCCAGGAGTGCAAGGACAATCGGAGGGACTGGAGAGTATTACGATCGAAGTGGCAGGAAAAGATCGATTTGCGAAGATGCTGGACATTGTGAGCAAAGAGGGCCTCTGTGGTGACGGATGGACCAACATGCTGGGTGTCAAATGGTATTTCGTTCTCAGGCAGGAGAATGTGGCACAGCGAGGATCAATGAGCAGCAAGCTGTAAGGCATCATTCAAGCAAATCCAGATGACAGTCACGTGTGAACAACGAGCGCTTTATTCCTTTTGACAACCAACAGCCCATCGTTGCCACACATCATTGTGTGAGTTGGAAGTCCTGTGCCGGGCAATGTCGAAGCAATGAGATGAAGCCATGTTCTCACAAAAGCAACGAACTCTATGAAGATTACGATATGACATGATATGATACGAGAGGCATTGCAACAACGGCTGAGACAACTTGGGGAAGTCTTCCTGGCTGACAGGACGCTATTGCTAGAAGGTGCCTGCGATAAAATTGCTCAAATCCCTATCGTTCTAAAACATATTCCACTGTTTGATCGTCCCATCATTGTCATCATCAGCATCCTCTGTTTTCCCTGCTCTCTCCGATAAATCCGTATTCATTGATAGCATATTCCCACCAACTTGCTCCTCCGATCCATGTCCGACTTTTCTCTTTTTCGTCACTCCCGTAGATGATCACAAGTAAACATAGTATAACCTGTATGAATTTCCGGCCTGCTAAAGCTCACCCTACCGTCGCTTTCTGGAGACTGCACCGCAAAGCAGAAGGCTCAAGTCTCAGCAGCGAACCGGTTTGCATACTTGTCCTGGCGAGATCCTTTTCGTTGACCTTTTGGATTCCGCTGGTTTTTGCCAGGAGCCGGAGCATTGGTTCCAACGACACTGCTGCCATGCCGGAGGCTGCTTTTCAAGCGAGTAGATGGTGTTTGGTCGCCTGGCTGAGTCTTTGCAGAAGGAGTGCTGGGGACTTTGACTTCTAGATTCGCCGGTGTGCGTTTCGATCGTTTGGCAACCGATGCAGATCCAGCAGAAGTATCGTCACGTTCGATCCGGCGCTTGGCTGCCGAGTTCGGTTGATATCGCTCTCGAGGAACAATCGGTGTGGATTCGCGGCTGAGACGGGGGTTGGGGGTCGCTTCTGGGAACGGGGTCGATTCTCTTCCACGTGCCCGAGACTCGCTCCTCAACCTCCTGGCACCAAGCCCAGTATCCAAATTCCCACGGTTGCGAGGTAAGCTCTTGCTTGGGACCCCATGCGTAGCTGTCTCCTCTTGAACAGCGTCTAGGCCCAGATTGAAAGCTGGCGGCCGCATGAATGTCCCTGACACTGACTGGGCCTCATCCTGCCCGACCTGGTCTAGCAGCATTTGCTCGCTTTGTGAGCTGTACGCACTCGACGGTGCTCTTCGAAGGGTTTGACGATGTCCACCAAATTGTCCCTCCTCTGGTTGAGTCCTTGGGCTTTGTTGCGTCGATTGGGCTCCAAAGATCTCTCGATCGGGATCAAACTCGTCATCTTCGTGATCAGATTCTCCCGGGGGACTGGTCAAATCAGACGAGTCCTCATTCAACAGGTCCTCACCAAGCAGCAAGCTGTTATGGCCGCCCTGAGTTTCAAGTTGTGGGTCGAACTGGGTTTCCGGCACAATCGTTGTACTGCCCGTTGGCTGTGGAGTGGGATCTTTCTGAGTCCCAACAATCTCATCTTCCAGATACTCGGCGCCCTCCACGCGCTCGACTTGTTCATGAAAGGTGGAGTGCTTGGCAGCCAATGCTCCTTTTCCAGACCGATCCGCCACCCTTCTTTGCGGATTCGACTGGCGTGCTTCATGGTCCAGCAGAGCATTCGAGAGCTCACCCTCACACTTCATCAACTGTTGCTGCAGAGCCAACTTCTCCTGCTCTAGATTAACCTTCTCTTGCTGGAGAGCCGACTGCTCCTGCTCCAACTTCGATTTCTCTTGCTCCAGTGTGGCAATGTGCTCGTCTTTGTACTGCAACACCACCTTATTCTTCACATTTTCATTGACCTGGACTGTGGCATCCTCCAATTGCTTTCTGAGTATGGCGAGGCTTAGGTCCTTTTCTGCGATTGTCTGACATAGAGAAGGAAGCTGCACACTCTCTTTCCGAGCTTGTGTCAGATCTGTTGAGATTGAGGCTATGGTCTGATTGAGCTGTTCGTTCTCTTGCTGCAGCGAGTCTGCCTCCGAAGCCCGATTTCTGATGACGGCAAGCTCGGACTCGAGTTTTTCTTCCTCGGCCTCAAGGATGGCCTTTCTCGCAAGCTGCTTGCGCACGTCGAGCAAGTCAATCTCTAGCGAGTCTCTGTCTTTTGCTAGGTTCTGTGCATGCTCTACGTCTCCCTCCAATTTCGTGTTTGTTCGACGAAGTTCAGTGACCTGGTCTCGGAGGGTCGTGACCTCTACCGTTTTTGTGCTTATATGCTCTTGCTGGGTCTGCGAGGCCTGCTTGAGAGCGTCGAGCTGTGATTGTAGATTCTTCAGCCTCTCGGACTCGGCTTTAGTCGCCTCGAGTATGGCGGTTGTCTCGGCCAACTTGCGAGCATTTTCTGATGCATCCAGAACTTCGTTTTCAAGAGAAGTAACCCGAGACTGCACGGCGTCTTTCTCTAGAGCAATCGCCTTCTTCTCCATCTCAACTTTCTCCAGCTTATTCTCCAATTTCGACTTGTCTTTTCCCAGCTGTTCAATCGTTTCCTGGGATATTTTGTGATCCTGGTCCAGATTGGTCCGCAGATCACGGATCTCGATATCCATAGAGTCCAACTGTATTGGTTAGCAACGTCGCCACCAGCAAGTCCAAGAGGCCATACCCGCTTTGTTTGCTCGTCGATCTGCTTGTTGCAGTGCCGCAAATCCTCCTCGGCTTCCGCAGCTACCGTTCGAAGAGAGTCACGTTCCTGCTCAGCTTCTGCCAGCGTCACGCGAAGGACCTGGATTACCTGCTGTTGTTCGCCCACTTCCTGTTTCGATCGGTCTAATGTAGAACTCGTAGCAAGGTACCGGGTAGAGAGTTCGCCCACTTGATTCTGGAGATCCGTGATCTGCTTCTGCAGTTCTTTGGGCTCCCCTAAAGCTCTCAAATCTTCCAGAGTCTTCCTGTTTTCGGTACGTTCCTGTTTCTCACGTTCTTCTGCTGCATTCCTCGCTTGGCTGAGCAGTTCCAACATGGCATCGTATTGTAATGCTCTTTCCTGCAGTCGAGCCACCTGCATTTGGGCCTCGACAAGGTCTCCATTATCTGATTGAGCAACCGAGAGTAGACTGGAAGCTTCTGCTGAAGCCTTAGCTTGCCAATCGTTCTGCAGAATTGATATGTTCTCCTGAAAGCGATTTATGATGGCCTTTGGCGCTGCTTCGATCGTGCTGTTCACTGTGCCCAAAGCCTTCAGGATGGGCTGCAAGTCGGCATTCGTGGTAAGGTCTTTGTCAGCTATAGACTGTAACATGTTTAGACCAGTCCTGAATGACTCCTCATTCATGGTTTGTGACCCTTCTGTCACTCGAATTAGTTGCTGGAGCTTTTTACATGTCTCTTCGTATCTCCGATCGAGTGACCGAAGCTCATGGTGTGACCTGGCGGCTTGCGTCCTGTTCTCCTGCTCGAGGAACACTATGTGTGTATCCAACTTTCTGCATCTGTTCTTTTCATGTGTGAGATGATCACTTTGTTCCACATATTGACCGTAGAGCTGGCTCAAGGCGGCACTTTGCTTCAGAACTTCGCTTTTCACGCTCGCAACGTGGGAACGCAGAGTTCCCATCTGTTCCGTAGCTTTTGCAGAATTAGATTGAAGATGGCACAGTTGTGAGACAAGATCATCTCTGTCTCTGACAACCTCGGCAAGCGATCTCTTGATACCAGAGGTCTCGTTGGACAACCTCTCGCAATCTTTGTTAGCTTCTAAAGCCCACTTTTTCAGTTTGTAATATTTCTCCTTGAAAGCGGTCAGGTTCTGAGTAAGCGTGTTGTTTTGTGCTTCACTCTCTGCTTGGAGGCGCAATGCTTGTGTGAGATTGGCATTTGAACCCTCATTCTGCACTCGGAGCCGCTCGTTTTCTTCTTCCAACTGCCCAGCTCTGTGCAGTTCTTCATCCTTATGTCGAGTACGAGCCAGAAGCAGGTACAGAAGATCCTCTTCTGTTGGTTGTCGAGGCGCGTTGAAGACAGGAGACAGAAGCTGTGGATGCTGGTGATGTCGACGAGTGGGGTTCCGCATTGGTGTCTTCATGATTCTCGAACCGTGAATAGGAGGCCCACCAGCTCTTGTGGAACGTCTTCTATTGGAGTGGCCAGTCCGAGATGCTTGTCTGCGGCCCGTATATGTTGGTGTGGTGAGATCGACTGTAGGACCCCGAGGAGTAGCCGGCGGTGGCACCTGATTACAAGCCGTCGCCATCTGAGTAATGACACTAACATCCGTGGAATGCTCTTTCTCCTCCTCTCGGATTGACTCATGGTCATTGTCAGGTTCCAGGAGTTGTCTTGGGCCCTCCTCTTCTGAGAGCATTCCGCTGTGGCAATTTGAGTCCTGAGGTTGGCTAGAGATAGAGCGACGGTTGGGTTGACAAGAAACTTCCGCATGCACGGGTTCGGATACTGCAGAGGATGGTGACGTATCACGAGTCTCTTCGTATGCCTGTAATTCGTGGGAGATGACGGTCAAGACATTGGATTGAGTTGTACCATGCTGAAAGCTGGCAGTGGCATGTTCTCGTGTCGTGCTAGAGATATGTCATTAGCACACTTGAGCATTGTGGGTTTGCAAGTCAGCTACTACCTGATGGAAGGAAAGGACTGTGGGGGCGTGTGGCTATAGGCGTGATTTCCGTCTTGTTTCGGGGTCTCCACAGACAACGCCGTTTGCTTCTGTGGCGCTGTCGTGGGTATTTTCATATTTCTGGGGGCGAAATTGAATTGGTCCATAGGGTTACTGTTGTCGGTTTGACCATGCTGGTGGTCATCGACGGGACGAGAAAACTGTTTGGCGCCAGCAAGAATTGGTTGTGATGCGGTGCGTGTATGACTCCGATTAGCAAGACTCTTCGTCAAAGGGCTATCCTCCATATGATCCGAGGCCAAGGTTGTTTGAAGCACATCGGAATCCAGGGAAGCATCGTCGAAGTCACCATCATCCTCGATGATGTCGTTGACGTTCGAGTGATGGATTCCAGCAGGAGCAGGTTGGTGTTGCACTTGATCATTGTCTGCACTCGCAGGTTCAGTTGCAGCATCTTGCATGATTGCTCGATTCAAAGGTCCAGATGTGTGAAGCAATGAAGTGAAAATTGAGGTGAGAAAAGAGAGCAAATCAGTAGTAATCTTGACAAAGAAAGTGGGACACCTGCAACCTGGTAAGCGAGGATAGGAAAATCCAGATTGAGGATGAAATGAAGCAGACAAGAAGGAGTGAAAGATCGTAGAAGAGTAAGATGAAGAGTGAGAGAGGCAAAGGAACATCAACCGTCAGAGTGAGGAAGAAGGAAGTCATGCAAAGTAGGACTTTTTGGTGGCCATCTGCACCTTCCCATATGAACCGCCACCTTCCCACCTTGAGGAGTACTTATGAGCGACATCAATAGAGGTGTCCGTGGCAATGGACTGCATAAATACAGAAGGAGTCCCACGGCCAACCATTCTCAAAGTTGGCCGCCGGAGGATGCTGAGGTCTTTGGAAGCAGAAGCTTGACGAGCCATTCTAAGCAGGGGCAACTAATCATGGAATCGAGGTCCAACCTCAGAATATCACAAAGAGAATGGCCCCCGACGGTCCTCTTCTGATCATACAAGCCTCCTACGTCTTTGCGCTGTCACGAGAACCAAAGTCCTGCTGCAAGGAATATCGAATGAGTGAGAGAGGAAGATTGAGGAAACGCCTCGACGCGTCAGAAGGGGACAACATCTACGAATCACGGTCACATGACTCGCAAACGGCAGCAGATTTCTTGTTCTACCAGTCGAGGCAGTTCAAACATTTAGATTATTCTCATATACTCTGTACTGCGTTGCTCTTTATCATCCAAAGAATACTCGTTCCTCATTATCCGTTGTTGCCACCGTCGTAACCTCATACATAGTATGTGCTCCCCATCATGTTCACTTCATACCCCCTGAAACCCACCACGCCACCATTCAAGATTCGTGTAGCCCAACAGGACCCCAGAAGTGTATCTCGCATCTCGCATCTCGTCCTGCTCCCACCACTATCACCACTATCGTCCAAACACCTTCTTCCACATTGGCGTCTTCGGACTATCCATCTCGAACGCACTCGGCGGGATCTCCACCTTCGGCGGCCTCAGTTTGTCCTTCCCTTTACCGTCATTCTTGCTCCGTGGTTTCGGTCCTTCCTTTATCTTGGAGTCACGATCACCACCACCACCACCACCACCACTCACCACAGCTACCCCGGAAGACGGCACACCCTTCTCAAGATCACGATCACTCTCCCGCCCACTGACATCAGCTTTGATTCCCAAGCCCTCTGGAGCAGGGTGTTTCGTCATCTCTTGCCCGTGCCCCCTATTCCTCTTCTCAATCGGCGAGAACGTCATCCTTTTCGGTGTAATCGGCGTAGTCACAGCCTTTACCGCGCTCTTCACTTTACTAGCGGACCTTCTCAGCCCCTCCTTGATCTTCCACTGCCTCTTCTTCGCCAGGAAGAACAGGATCGCAGCGGTCCCTACACCATGGTCAGCCATCGACCGGGCTAAACAAAGCACTCACGATTTGCCCCAAAAGGAGGGAGGACTTACCACCAAGAAGCACAACCAGACTTACAACAACCGCAATCGCGACCGTGGCGCCAACACTCAACTTCACTGAGCCTGTGTCTGAGCCCTGCGCTCCTGCGTTTCCAGACCCCGTTCCCGGAGCACCACCGCCAATATCTCCCGGCTCCACGCCTGACGCACCTCCCCCATCACCAGACTGGGCGAAGGTTTGCCCTGCCAGCGAGATCACTAAACAGAGCAGCACTGCTGACCAGCTTGTGCTCGGTCGATGGAGGTGAGTAGCCATGGCCGTTCAGCGCCCTTCTGGTGGGGTGTAGTTGCCGCCCAGTCAGTTGGGGGTCCTCGAGTTCCGAGTCCCTGATTTACCGACGCGCAAACACAAGCGCAAGAGTCGTCGAGCCCTTGCACGATGGTGTAGTTCCACTCGTCTGTGAAAGTCGATGTCCGAAGGCAGATAGAGTTCTCCCACAACGACCCCGTTTTTGTTGCGTTCTGTTTTGGTCGTCAAAGCTGCAGCTTAACCACAATCGTATCACAGGCGTAGATTGGGACCAGATGAGAGACTGATCGATGGTATCACACCCGTGGGTTCGGCCCAGACGAGAGACTGATCGATCGTATCACACACGCGTAAGTTCAGCCCAGATGAGAGACTGTTCAACCGTTGTCCAACAGTGAAAGTCCCACTCCGCCGAGAGAAAAACAAAACAGAGGAAAAAATTGAGATTGTTCAACAGACTGCGCATGCGGCGCAACTCACCTTTAATGGCCTTGCACACCGGGCGGCTGCATCATTGCACAACGGCCTTGACCTTGACCTTTCCCACAAGGGCGCTCAACATGCAGACCACCAGACCACCAGACCACCAGACCACTGCCCTTGCACGCACAGCCTTCGACCGTTCGCCGGGGCCGACCTCGACCACGGCCAAATCTGGTCTCTCATCACCATGTGATATCCCCATTGGACACATCCACTGGCCATGAAACGCGGAGAGTCCATGTGAAACAAAAAGTGACGCCCAGTCTAGCCGCCGACTTCAACCAATCACGAACCCGTATCAAGTGAACGCCCAGCCTTGCCACCTCGCCCTTTGTCTGCTGGTCGTGTCTTCGCAGCCCGTAACGCGTGTCTCTTTACCGCTGGTCGTACTTCGTAGAGCCTCAACATTTTCCTAGCTATTGCGTTGGACTTTGCAGATCTTGTCGGAATGTTCAACTGATGGACATATGACTCGAAGACTCGACCATCAAAACCTGAGTGGTAAGTCTCACGATTTCGAGGCTAAGCCTAAGTATCTCGCTGTTTAAGTAGGCCTACGATACAATTACCATCAGGCGCCCGTCGTAATCATGTCTCATGCTCCGTAAGTCTATGGCCATTCATGCCTCGAACCGTCAGCCTCGCTGACCCATCATGAAGCAAAGTTACAGGTTAGCGATGAGGCACGTTGTTCTCGGAATGACTAGAGCGTCTCCCATCCACCAGCGTTGACTTCACTCTCCAGCTTTCTCGCAATAGTACTCCAAATGCTGCCATTGGTCATCAACCAAGTATCCCTCAACAGTTTGTCATATCGCTTTTGGTTCAGAATCAATTGATGTTTAGACCTCAACCCAGAATCCGTCTCCCCATGCTTTGTCAGGTACGGCGCCGAGAAGAACGACCCATGACTTAATGTCAGAGAACCCGGCGGCAGTGCTTGAATCCCCCGTCCGATTCTCTCGCGGTCATGCTCAAGCATCCTCGGATCCTTGACAACATGCAACAACGCAACATGGCATTTCCGGACGAACAGAAACATGCCAATGGGACTCGAGCATTTCTCCAGATGAGCATTGCACCCACCACGCATCTCTTTCGTGAGACAACAGACCGTCTGCGAGCAAAATATCTCACCACAAAACAGGCACAAAGCCGGGTCTGATACTTCTTTTCCAGTTGTTGGACACTTGCGTCGATGGGATTCTTCCATCAAGGTATCAAAGTATTTCGGAAGTCCAATCAGTTCAAGGGGCGCAGGATGAAGGAGTCTGATGCCGAAAGGTGAAGCTGTGCTCCATAATTGTTGCTCTGACTCCGCTGTAGCCATGTCGTACTTGCAACAATCGGTCAGCCAAATGCTCGCTCGTGCTTTCAGAGCTCCATGAACCGAGAATTCGTCAAATGACATGAGTATCTCTCGGATGTTTGGCAAGTGGAAGAAGTGCAAAAGTCGATCAAGCTCTGGCAGGCTGGCTTCCGAGCCTGCTGTGGTGGGGAAATCAATGCCGTGCGCGACATGGAAGAAGACCGCCGACTTCCGCAGGAAGACAAGAGCATAGGCCTTGCACAATCTGCACAATGCGCCATACTCGTTTGGAGACATTCGTCGAATGGCATCCCGGAGCACCTCGACTCTCCCGCCTCCAGTCACTCCAATCTGCTGAAGGTGGCGGTCTACCCAAGCAACGAAACCCTCCATACTCCGGACTTCGTCGGATTCTGGATGCAATGGCGCCGCGTGCCGAATATGACCTTGAACTAATTTGTCGCTCGCTCCAAAGAATGCTTTGGGATCGAGCATAAACGCTAACACGACGCGCATGAGTTCCAGAGTAAGCGAAAGCTGCAGGAAGTGGCGACGTTCAAGACGGCGGACAGGGCATAATACCATTGTCGACTGAACCAAGAACTGGAAAGCATCCGTCCGAAGAAGAGGCCAAGCGGGATCAGGACTATCCCTTTGTGTCTCCTGTCCTGTCACAACTCCGGCCAATTGACGTTCGATGTGATCACAGAGCCCCTTCAATTGAGACTCGGCCGAACCCCCGACGGTCAATGCTCCAGTAACAGTGTAAGCGCTCAATGTAGACGAAAGAATCTGTAGATGACTGAGGGTCTGTGGAGGAATGCTAGTTAGGAGAGACGTGCCGAACTCGGCTTCTCGTCCCCGATGTCCAATCTCGACAGCTGCAATAGTATTGGCAAGCGTGTCGACGAGCATGTGAGAGTGATTCACCGGCCAGTCCTTGACAGAACTCACGAGTTGATTCGTCTTTGCGGTAATAGCGAGCGATTCTCTTAGACGACCATAGATGCTGGAAAGCTCGGCAAACGCTGCCAACTCGGGTCTTTCCGCCCAAGCGGGACTCGTGGGACTGATTGTCAGATCTCCAGCCTGCCACAAAGCAATAGCTGGAGTCAATGAGCTGTTCGAAAACGTGTCCAATGTCTGTGAATACATTTGTGAAGCTAGAGTCTCAAATGTGCTACTGTCAGTTGGAACAGAGTCAGCCGTGAGCCGGGAGATGTCCCTGTCCATAAAGAAGTCGAACTCTTGAGATACGCTCAGGGAGCCGGGATATGACTGTTGTGAATGTTTCCATATGATCGGTAAAAATGTGTTTGCGAGAGCTTTGCACAAAGGACACACAAACTCCTTCAGAGCTATTCTTTCTGGATGATTGCGAGCAACTTGCTGAGAATGTCTTCTGGTGATCGACTGGTAGTAGTTCTCGAAACATCCATAATGCATGATGTGGCCACAGCTGGTGGATACTGGGCCCTTCATGGTACAGTTCTTGGGCCAGCCTTTACCAAGACCCTGAAAATCGACCGTGACCTCTTCCCCTTCCGTGTTCAGACGTCTGAGCTGGTCGTGGTTAGATCCGGCAACACCGAAAGGACGAATATTTTCGACGGAACGATCCAAGTGATCTGGAATGGCAAACAGTTCTCCTACAAAATCCTCGTCCGATGTATCGGTTTGTCGCAGGACATGTGCATCGGTAACCATGGCGAACGTGCCGTACAGCCTGGAGTCTGATGTATCCTCGCGACATTGTATGCATAGTCCTGTAGGATACTTCCAGTGACGTGTCTCTGTCGACTTTGGCAACTCCTCATCTACCGAGTCCAGGTCCTCATCTCCCCAATCGATCACCCCTTGCGTGTCCATGAAACTCTGTTGTTGTTGCTGAAATTGAGCCATGACCCTCGCTTTGCGTTCCATTGCTTGTTTCTTCTTGGCTTCAATCTCACTCTCGACATTGGCAGGAGAGCCGGTATCAAATCTGCCGGAGGGAAAATCAAGATGCTGAGTGGTGCTGTTAAATTGATGCGGTCGCTTCTGATTTAAGAGCCTCAACACATGCCTGACCTTGCTTCTACAGGGGACAAATTCTTCCATCAACCATATTTTGTGCAACTGATCGACGATGGTGGAGTGCGATTCACCGTGCGCTGGTAAGTGCAATGCGATCGCATTGCTGTTAAAGGACGGTTCATTGCTGTACTCGTCAGTATCGTCTTCCAGGGTAGCAATGAGCGCTAATTGTAGGACGATCTGGAGGAAAGCCTCCACGCGAGTCGCTGATACGCCGCTCTTGGTCTTATGTCCCTGCGCAACATAAAAGAGAGCTTTATGCATGACATCGGCGAAAATTGTTGTATGCACCACTCGGCAGAGGTTCCTGTATGCCTCGCACGGGATTGGATGCAATTTCGGCTCCAGAACGATGTCATCAGGTGACTTCTTCAGTTTCTTTGCCATCCACTTCTTGTAGATGTTCTCTGCCTCATCCCTCTGGTTTTTCGAAAAATGAGAGTTGTATGGGTCTAGCTCCTGCAAATACTCTTCTTTGAGCTCGAATAAGCCAGAATCGTGCAGACCCTCTGGCGGACGATATCTGGTCATTTGCTCCAGGACATCCTGTAGCTTCTCGTGGTCTTGCGCACGCTCGGTCAAACGAGCACAAAGATCTGAGTACGACAGCGGTTTGAAGCACAGCGTATGTGCAATATCTTTACGCACTGCCAGAAGCTGTGACTCAGGATTGTCTCGATCCGAAATCAACGCATCCCTGTCTGAAAGAAGGTTGATCAAGAGATACATAAAGTCTTCTGCCAGATCCAGCATCTGGCTGTCCTCGCAGATTTCCAGCGAAACGAATCCATACTTCATCCAGTCAGTAAGGCCGAATCGGTCAACCATTGAAGCCAGCACTCGGCTTGGATCGCACGTCACGAGTGCAGCCTGCAGTAGGAAGAGATCTCGGTGGTGGCCGACGTCGCGGTGGGCCACGCTTTTGTATTGCATCATCTGATGTCGCAGACTCATGCCATTACGGACCCATAGATTCGCTCTCATTTGAGCCAGCCAAGCACAGACACGGAGTGGGAAATCAAACATGGCCAGTAATGCATCGTCGGCGGAAGTAAGGGCAAGCTTTATGGCGTTGTCTCGGGCACCTAGCGCGGTGTCGTGAAGATGCGAAAGGAACGTCTGCGCGGCGTCACGGAGGGAATCGATTGAATTTTTGCTGTCTTTACCGCATTCCAGCAGCCATGACAGAGTGTAGTGGAGCGGATGGTGAAAGCTGAGCGAGCCCTTTTCAATGACAAAGTCGACCACGCTGAAAGTGGCTGCATCCCCGAATGGACCGACAGTATGAAACTTCACTGGTTCTTTGATCTCAGCCTGGTCGAATCGTCTCCGCTCGAGTCCAACCGAGTTGATGATTGCAATCCCTGCCGCATGTGTGATAGCTTCGCACGTGGCGCGGAGGGCTGCTGGGCTGCTGTTCTGATTGACATAGTATGCCTCTGCGAACTGGCGGCATAATTTATTGATATCTCGAGTTAGAAGCGACGCACTAATCCATGCATCGGTCTCGTACTCGACATGTTCACCAACAGCTCTGATGTTGGGACAGATCCCTTGGGATAGCTTGGCCAGATCGAGAAACTGGAAGAGATATTGTGGCTCACTCCGAGCCTTGGCCTGTACGAAAGGCGACGCTAGAAAATACCTCAAGTCAGAAAAGAAGTGATACAGCCGACGATTGGCCACTGATCCGGCGTCGAATCCCAGAGTTGCGCCCGGGTCTAGATCTTTTGGAAAGCCGACCTGTCTGGTTGTCAAGAAGGTATACAATATTGCCATTAAGTTGGTCAGGAAATTGCCTTTTTCGATCACTTCCTCTGTGATTGATGGCGTGGTGAGTAGCTGCAAAGACAGGTTGATGATTGAATGATCCGGCTCTCTGTCGGCTACTAGATAGAGTTGCGCAAGAGTCGTGTACAATCCGGAAAACCGCAATCCTAGTATGCGTTTGAATTGTGGTATGTTGACCAGCGTACTTATGAACAAGTCTCTCATGTTCGCCCGCGCAAGCTTCCATAGACGTAGATCGAACAAGATCATAGAATCGACCCTGATATTCTTGGTCAGATCTTCGTAGACTGGTAGGCTGGAATCTGATGCAGTTTGGCCAGGCGCTGAGGACTTCCAATGATTGGGTGGCGGAGACTGTGAATGGTTCGGACGTGCTGAGCCAGCTGGTGTTCTGGGAATGTTGAGGTAATTGGCGTTCGTGTCTACACCTGTTGGAGAAACTGCTCCACCTAGCTGAACAGCAATTCCAGGGCCGTTCGTAGCCTGCACGAGAGGAACTGCTGGTCGTGGAGGCACTGCTGTGTCCGTGTCCATTCTTTCTGCAACATCCAGAAAATCGCCATCGCCTTCACCATCTGTATCCATATCGTCGGCACCATCAGTCGTGTCAGGATCGCCCGACTGCTCATTGACACTGTCTGCATCCTCAAACACTGTTGCGCGAAGGATTAAGTCGTTCACTTCCCGATCGACCTCGGCATCACCGAGCTCATCCTCATCGTCGTCGTCATCATCAGCGTCCAATGGCTCGTTATCTTCGTCACTAAGCACATCGTCCTCATCTGCCACAATCCTCTGCATAGCAAACTGGATCGGATCAAGCGAGATCAGTCTCGCCCGCCGTCGAAATTCGCGATCGTCTTCTCCGCCATGGTCATCCAGATCCTCTTTTCCAACTTTAGCGTTCCAAGCCTCGCTGCCAATATGCCAGATCTGTAGCATCTCCTCGCATATTATGCGACGCAAAATGTGACTGTCTCCGGCAATGCTGCAGCCAGCGATGTCAGCCAGCCAGTCAATTATGGTTCCGCACATCTGTTCTCGAAAGGTGTCCCTGGCTGACCGTATGGTGACTGTGACCTTAATTTCTTCAATAATTTTGGCCATGATGGTCAGCTCATTCAGATCACGAGAAAACTTGATGACGCTTCTGCCGATGTCGTTGGCCTCCTCTGCCTTCGCAAGACCCCACAACTCGCGAGCATGACATGCTCGTGCTACCTGTGACTGGACTTCGCGCACTGTGTGCTTCTCATCGTTCCAAATGATCAAACAGAACTCCGGGTTGGCCTCGATCTCATCACCGTTGACATAATGGTCAGGTTGTAATCGACTTCGAACTTCATCTTGTGTTACGCTTTCTACCGTTTTTGGCATACGAAGGTTTTCTGGAGAACATGATATTACGTCGCAGAAATAGTCGAGGACCCTGGTGACAGTAATGCGGATCGATTCTTGTAAATCAGCTGGGAGAGGAGAGACGAGCTCATCGGTTGTCATCCAGTCATCTCTGGCTGTGTGAATGGCACATTTGACAGGCCTCTTCCACGCTTCATCGTCACCGCAATCACAACATCCACTATTTCCAGGGCTCATTGTTATTGTGTATTGATGTCCTTCATGATCACTGGACACAAAACATCTCGAACAAAGTACTGCCGTGCTGTCGTCGGTACAAGTACTGCAATGATAGCTCGCCTCTCCTGGTTTGAATATATGGCCACAAGGGTGCCCCTTAGCAGCCGCGGTGTATTCTGCATTCTCTTGCACTCCCTGCGCATCTTGTAGCTTGTAGGAAGAGGGGAAGCCATTCGGGAAGAGCTCGTGGAGGTAGTCTGGTCGATCGTTTGTGAGTGAACGGAAGAGGCCTTCTAACAGGCTGTCGCTCGCACTGTCTGTATAGCGGTAGCCATGTCGTCGGGGATGGTCACATAGAGCCTGGCGGAGTTGGCGGTCCAGGCCGGAGGTCTGTGAACTCATGGTCGATATGCGGATGGGACCGTGGTCTTCATTTGGATGTTGTGCGTCGGAATCTCACTGCGGCCCGCGTGAAGGGTCCGAAATAACAGCTGTTCGGGAAAATCCACGCAATATATCAGGCAGCCGATGCTCCTAAAAGATGTCGGAACGGATGACGCACAGATACGTTGGTAGGCAATACTGTTGCGCGGCACTCGATTGTCTCTTCAGGCAGTAGCCCTGTGACTGACGGCAGTGGCAATGGGAATGTATTGGTAGGAACGTTCGGTGCGGAGGATGAAAGGAAGATGCTTAGTGGAGTGTTTCTGTATGTGGCAATACCGCTCAGCTGCGGAAGTCTGAGAGAAATGAGAATAATGTACTCCGTAGTCCGCAAGGCTGGAGTGCATCTTCACATGGAATTCTATTTTCTCCCGCCGCTTTGACAACAGAACGATCCCCTCGACCTTGTCTAAATCGATATGCTACGGACAAGGCTGACAGCTTTTCTCGTAGCTAGAACTATGTTGCTTAGTGGTCAAGTAGCATCCTCTCTAGACCCACGAATACCTTCCAGTGCGACTGCCGTTGGACCCAGATTTGTCCGACAGCTCCCTGTGCATAAATCAAACCATCACAAGTCGAGCGAATGTTCCTGTAAATCAGTCCACGAGATCAGGAGAACAGAAGCCTTCGATGATGGACAATAGACTTTCCAATGTTTCAACGCCCGTTCATCCATCATCTGCTGGCATTATTCCGGAAAACGCTTCCCTCGATAGGACCAAGAGACGTACGCTCCGAGACATCTGTCTTGTCGGATTTGGACGAATGTGGATATAAGAGTCGACGAGGACCGATAATTGCCGACCTTGTACTTGCCTCGACCATGCCGGAGCTTGCGAGTATCAAATTCAAGGCTGGGCTGCACACTGGAAGCTTGCTGGAGTGCTTTCTTCACATTCACACGAAAAGGAAAGCAGCACCAGACCACCCAAAGCTTCATCATGAATCTCCGCCATGGAACACTTGCACTGGTATGACAGCATACAGAAAACCTGCGCTTCTCAATAATTTGGAAGTTGTATTCGTAGCCTTATGTACAATGGTTGTCGCAATCGATGCCCCGGGGATATCTTGGTCGTCACTTGTTCTCTTCCGCTCTTCGCAACCTCAGATCGTCTATACTCGCCCAGTATGCAGCTCGGATCATTCTTCTTCTTCGTCGCCCGCGGTGAGGTATTTATGCTTGATGTCCTTCCATTGCCGCTAGATTTGCCGGTTAGAGCTGCCTGAATAACACGAGAATACAGCGAGGCGCTTGAACATACTCCTTTGTTCCAAGAATCCCACATTGCGTTTGTACCGGACTCGAACGCGCTGCACACTCCATCAGTCCACATGTTCCTCTTCTATCTTGCCAGTTGCAAAGCTCACATTTCGAAAGCGAAGGCGCCGGCAAAGACGGTCGTTAGGAAAGCGGCATTTTTTCGAAAGACGGCGCTGCCTGGGTCAGTATGCAGGAAGGCGTTGTTCACATGGAATCGTACTTGAAAAGGCCCGAGGAGATCCGTGTCTATCAGAGTTAATAGAGCTTCAGGTGAGCCCTGAACGGTGTAGCTTACCACAAGCGACATTGTGAATGTGTCAGTGTCCACTCAATGGCGCGGGCGGACTCAGCGTGGCTAGGAGGACGTTCACAAGTTACTTATGGTCGGTCAATCAGACAATGTCGAAGCTGCAGTTTGGAAGCTTCAATTCAGCCGCCAAGGTTTTCATCCAATTTGGGAATAAGGCGATGCCGCCCTGTACTCACCCCAGCCCAAGCGAGTTGGGTGAGCGACTCGGCGATCACCCGCGACTCACCGTGGGACCGCACTTCTGATATGCTCTCTGGCTGGGACATCTTGGAAGTGTCGTGGACGTATTAATACCCAGTTCGCCCTCTCCGCAACCTGTAGCAGAATTCAGGCACCCCTGTTCTTAAGCTTTCAAGGGACTATGATGAAAAAAGGGCTCAAACAAAGTAACCCAGGCCTGCACCCGACCACTGGTGGATCTGGGAGCAGTGTACGGAGTAACCCGTGTGGTTTCGAGCCGATTTGATTTCTGAGTCCCATTGACTGAATTAGTCTACACAGTATCCGTATACTGAGCAGGTATCGGCGTGGCAATGATGATTATTAAAGCGGCTTATAGAGCGGACATATACTATGTAGAGTCTATTTCACTTTGCTTAAGCCATCAAGCGCGAACCAGAAGAGAAGGGCCTGTCGCCGCTCTAAACATTGTCGCCGGCTCCATCCGCCAATAGCAACTCTGCAATGATAATCTTCCCTGTATTCAGTAAACCCCAGCCTGTGAGCCGCAAATCAGTCACTATTTTGCATGCTTCCTCCTCTTTCCCAGAATCTTGGACGCCCTCACTCAGTCCTTATCTAATGATCAGCGCTTGTAGTCTATTCAAGTTCGAACGAAGACCCAACAAGCTCGAACATGTTGCACCATCCTTGACCAAGGTGACTTTGGCAGCCATTCCGCCTTAGTGACGGATTTAGTGGTTGCATAGCAATATGTCCAATATCAGCAAAGCCGGCATCGAAACCACCGCCGACGGTGCATCCTTTATTCCTTCTTCACAGCGCGCGGACGGCTCTACCCGAAAAGAGATCAGGGTGCGGCCAGGTTACCGACCACCCGAAGACATCGAGACCTATAAGAATCGCAGTGCCGAGGCATGGAAGAGCAGGGGCAAAGGCGGTGTACCCGGAGCCGAACCTGTCTTGCTCGCAATAGACGACAGTGTGGCGAAGAGCAAGAATGCCAAGCGAAGGGAGGCTGCCCGTAAGAAAGCCGCCGCAGACAATGCGGTGGGAGATGCAGTGGCGGATGATCTCACTTCAGCCATGCAGCAGGCGAACATCTCCGAAGCAGATAAGCTCAAAGAGAACTGGCGGGACCCTACTAAGCTACAAGTCAATGAGACCGCTTCGCATGAAGCCGAGCTGCAGAAGAAGATACGGAATCAACTGAAGAAATTAAAGGCTGTCCGAGAACTGAAAGAAAAGCGAGCGGCTGGAGAGAAACTGTCGCCGGAGCAGATCATGAAGATCGGTAAGGAACGTGAACTTCTACGTGACCTGAAGAAACTAGGATATGATGGGCCGGAAGTGCAAGCAGATTTCGTCAAACCTGCGAGTGATGAGTCGACATGATGGGCTACCACACGAATCTCAATTTCAAGACCTCTGGACATTTTGGGGACAAGTGGACCTGGGCGACAAGAGCTTCCAGCATCCTGCCAGGATTGACACCGAGCTGCGCTGTCTGGATGAAGCAACTTACGAAACAGAGCCTGTCAGCAGGAAGCATCTGGCCATGAACCCCAGCCTCCAACGGCATCTGCGAATAAAGGCGTGAATGGAAGAAGAGGTGAAGAGTGGACTCTATCGCCATCGACCGAATCTCTCGGCCACAGTCCACTTGGAAGCCGACAAAGGCTCCAAAGAGGGCGAAAGTACGGTCCATGCTTGTGGGTGTTGTATTAAAGATAGCCAGCTAGGTGCCAGCCCGTGCGAGCCTTGTCGGAAACAAGGCAAACGCGATCCCCGGGTGATCTTCAGGCGGCCAAGATCGGAGCTCGAGCGGAGGCAGGTGCGCCGAAGACACGCATCAAACAACTCCAATAAATTCACAAGACAAGCATAGCACATACTTTGTGTACTCGTAGAAGACGCTCCTTCCACAATCATTCTTAGGCCCTACGTACATGCACCACGTGGTGTAGCTCCTCTGGAGATGCGCTTAGGTGGTCACAATGCATTGTACAAGCACGCAGTGAAACGTGCAATATGGCCTCAAACGAGGCAATGCCAATTCCTCCGCTGCTTCACCTCTACCTCCAGAAACAATACCGTCGAGCTTGATCTGTCATTCAGAGACACCCCCAACCCTAATGCCAAATCCATTGCGGTTATAGGCGGCGGTATCACCGGGCTCGCTACAGCTTACAATCTGACCCAGCGAATACCAGATGCGAAAATCACAATATATGAGGAGAAAGACCGATTGGGGGGTTGGGTAGACTCTGAGGTCATTAAAGTCGACAATGGAGAGATATTGTTCGAATGGGGACCGAGGACATTACGTCCAGCATTGGGCGATTCCGGACTAGCCACTGTTGACCTGGTATTTGACAATTATGGCAACGGAGATACCTTGTGCTGATCATTCTTTCTTCAGCTGAAAGACCTCGACCTAGTCAAGGAGGTCCTTCCAATATCGAAACACAGCCCGGCGGCCTTGAACAGATTTATATATTATCCAGACCACCTTGTGCTCATGCCGGGTCCTGTTCGTGGATTCTTAGAACTGCTCCATCGGCTGTGGATGGCCTGGGACGAACCGATATACGAAGGGTTGATTTCGGCAGCCCTTGCAGAGCCCTGGGTTGCTCTGCGGGCTCCCGACATCAAGGATGAGTCAGTCGGACATTTCATGACGCGCAGATTTGGGAAGAACTTGACGGATAATCTAGCATCAGCTTTCTTCCATGGAATCTATGCTGGCGATTTATATCGGCTTAGCGTCCGCACCCTGCTGCCTAAGCTGTGGTATCTAGAAGGCAGAGACAGGGAGAACGAACCCGGACTGTTGTTGACCATGGTGGCTTTGATGAGGAGTCGCCAGGTACCCGTCCTGGAGAGACAAGTCAGATTCGCCGGAATTGATGTACGTGAACAGTATAACACCAATCCTCTGCGGAAAGCCTTGGTCGCGCTGCTGCAGAGGTCGAGTGTGTACACTTTTAGACGAGGCTTGGGTGAACTCACCACTTCACTCGAGACAGCGTTATCTTCGAATTCCAACGTCACGATACAGAAATCTGCTTACGTCGACCATATCAGTTTCAAGCGAGATGAGAAGACTATATCAGTCAGCACTAAATCTCCCACGATCGATAAGACGGCATCGAAGTTCAACTATGTGGTGTCGACTCTTGGGCCGTATGCGAAGGCAATGTACCTAACGAAGTCCAGGTCGATGCATGCGGACACCAGCGTTAAAGCAGCTCTCCGACGAAGCGGTTCCTCTGTCAGTGTTATGGTTGTAAATCTTTATTACAGCAATCCAGATCTGATACCACCGTCATACAGAGGATTTGGGTATCTCATTCCCCGTTCTATACCTGCCGAGCAGAACCCAGAGCGTGCACTGGGCGTTATTTTCAGTTCAGAGACTTCTGGACGCCCGGGTGGCTTTGAAGATAATATGTTAATGTATCTCAAGAAGATGGCGGTGGAGTTGGCACAGAAACAAGGCAACATGACACATACAGAAAAGCACAAGAATCAGAACGACCACGCAACTTCCGCTCCCGACAGCGAGCAGGGAGAACTAAATAAGTCACGACGTTTCATTCCAGAGGATGGGAAGGACGAAGGCCAAGATACTGCACCTGGTACGAAACTCACCGTGATGATGGGGGGTCACTGGTGGGATTACTGGGCTCCCGAAGACATTCCGAGTCCAGAGGAGGCTATTGACATGTCTAAAACACTGCTCAGGAGGCACCTGGGAATCGATGAAGAGCCCGAATTAGCGAAAGCACGACTGAACCGCGATTGCATCCCTCAATATCAGGTGGGGTACCGAGATGATATGGCCAAGATCCACCAAGCTCTTCTGGGTGAATATGAAGGACGCTTGAAAGTCGCTGGCCCATGGTGGCAAGGTGCCGTGGGTGTCAACGACTGCATCCAGAAGGCTCGTGAAACGGCTTGGGCAATTGAACACCAGTGGGATGATCACACAGGACTAGAGGATTACACAAAAGACGAGGTCTGGTATTTTAACGATGTCGGGAAAAGGGAGCTCACTCGAGACAACCCGCGATAGGAGCCTGTTGCTGCAAGCGCAAAAGATTTGTCAGAGCAACCGAACCACCGGATATTTCACAAGGTGTCAAGCCAAATCACAATCGCAAAACATGCCTCATTGCGAATTCATACTCAGCACAAGGAAGGACGCATGTCGCGAAGTGCAAGAGAGGCTTCACCACCGTCGACTGCTTGAGAAAGAGGGGGAAACGAGAAAAGCTGAGTCAGTTTCAGCAAGTCCCTAGCTGGCACCTCGACGGAAATATTATGTCGAACATGGTCGAGGCAAGTTTGACAACTTGCACGCCCTTCACTAACAGAATCAAAATCTCGACCAATCATAACGCATGAGGCTGACTGCTCTCTCCGCGTCCAGAGTAAAGCCTATCTGCATCCTGCATCCCGCGTTCCAGACAGTATCACGAAGAAAGGGATTGGATGCTGCGTGTTCGTCGCCATCTGAGCACCGTAGGAACATAGCCAACGGGTCTGGTTGTCAAAGAGCACGTGGCTTGACCATCAACGCCGATATCGCCTGGTCACTTTCAGCTTTTAGCTTCCCTTACCTCATTTCTTTCCGTCTAATTTTGTCTACCCATTCAATGGCCCTGGCTCCGAACTGCCGGACGCCTGGCGGATTGTCTCGCTTGCGTATTCGACATTCCTCTCGATCTTCGGTCTGGACTTATGAATCACGACTTCTCAAGCTCTGCCAGCCAGGCACAATGTACTCCGTACAGGCATTCCTGTTCCCATCCCACTACTTCCCTCGAACTTCTTCCATTCATGTATGGGTATGCTGATCCATCCTGCACCTCTCGATCCATATATATATATACAGGCAGGTACGGAGACGCAATACCTGAACATCGCGGTTTACTAATCCTCTACCGCGTATATCCCGCGCACCACGCCCTACACTGACAACATCCTCCACACAGTATCCACCAAGCCACGAGGCTAGGCTTCGGCAAGATCCTGATTTGATCGTTTCATTTTGTTTCGCTTAGCGCAAAAGGAGTTGTGCAATTCAATTGGATGCAGTCTGTGTGGGAAGCATAGGACCAGCGACAGGTCCAGAGCTTATGTGATTCGTACTCGGACCTAGGCATTGCTTCTCCCTCTGACTCTTTCCTGTCCTTCTTCTCTTTCCCTTTCTCCTTGCTTTACGAGCACCTCGCGGAAGTGGGCAGATGTCATTTGGGTCGACAGCTGTTCTTCAGGAGGTTTCATGTCCTCAGTTGGATCCATCAACCCGGCGCAGGCGTCGACATGTGTAGCTCAGCTCCGAACATCAACCCTTTGACCTCACGGGGCCCGGCGGTGACCTCGTCGACATAATGAACGCTTCGATGCCTCAAATCTTCGAATTTTGAGTCGAGAACCGAACGAGAGCTGAGAACACTCGAGTTCAAGAGACCTCAACAACAGTGGCAAGACAATCAACCCAAACCAACCAACCCAACTTGGCAAAGAACCATACCGACCGACCGGCCGGGACAAGTTAACTGTGCTTTGGCTTTGTTACTGGGAAGATGTTTATCTCCCTTCTCCCGGCCAGGCCCTCGGCGGGCTCGACTGTCCCGTTATTGTCGTCGTGTCGCGAAGACATCGCAGATGCCTCAGATCGTATCGACAAAGTATTTCCCCATTCGCGACCAAGACACCACAAAAAGCCGACCCCCTTTGGTCGGGCTTCGCCTTGACCTGACGCGACAGGACGCGACACATCACACGACACGACGCAACGCGGCTTGTTCATGAAAGCGAGCAGGAAGCAAGACAAGAGCATCGAAAACGAACTGTACTCAGTAAAGCAGTCCAGTCCAGATAACGCAAAAAGACGAGCAGAGCAGCCTGAAGAAGGGCGTGCACAGCCTGTCTGTCTCCCTACCTCGTCAGGGAATGTTTTCTTTCCCTTCTCACGGTGTACGTTCTCGTTCTGCGCTGTGCCTATCTATCTCATTTCACCACAGAACCACACAACCAACGAACCAACGAGATCGAGGCTATGTACGTTAGAAGGCCAGAACGACTCGGCGTATAGAATTGCCCAAAAAAGGAGCAAGAGTAAAAACATCCGTCTTTCCTGCGGAGAACTCGGCATGGCATGTCATAATACCAGACCAACGAAGAAAAGGGGAGCAAGACGCCTTTCAGCCATAGACATGGATATGGCCTCTACAATAACCGAATCTGGTTTGATCGCGATACTCCTGACACGAAATGAAAAACGAAAACGAAGACGAAAATGAAAACGAAGACGAAAATGAAAACGAAGACGAAAATGAAAACGAAGACGAAAATGAAAACGAAGACGAAAATGAAAACGAAAGGCAAACAAGAAGACAAGCGTTCGACGTCAGCGCCCAATTCATGAAGATCCCATACACTAACCAATGAAGAGGCGACCCGGCGGAATCAATGTTGGGCTGTGTGGCTGGCTTCGGTGCGAGTACGGAGTAAGCAACATGGAAAACACTGTAAGCTCAGCGCAAAAAAAAGAAACAAACGACGACTGCAATCGAATGCTGACAATCCCGATCATCCAGCAAACCTCACAATGATATTTAAGCACACAGCACAAGTACGAAATACTCGGGAATGCCTCCTCAATCATATATCACATTAAAGGACAATGAAGCTACGAACATGATAGAGGATGAATGTTTCAGGTACGTCACATTAATTCGTAGCCCGTCTTACGACGAACATATCTGGAGCTCTGCTTTTTTATGTCCATCTGACTAACACAATAAGCGAAGAACAGCAACGCATGCACACCTGGGTATGATATGTATGAATCATTTTTGACAAGGAGAGAGTCTGTCCTCCATCGATCCGCTTCATTACAACTCTATGCGATCCAGAACCACACTCTCTCGACCCAGTTACGAGGAACACGCTCTGGCCAAACAATGGCGTCAAGCGCAGCCTTTCCAGTATGCAGATCGGCCTCGGACGAAGGGATAAAGCGGGTGCGCTTGAAGATTCTCCAGAAGAGGTACAGGCCAAAATAGATGGGTACCCCGATGTAATCGGTGATGAAGGCCTGGTAGTCCCAACTTCCAGCAATCGAGTCGAAGCCGTTGAAGAAGATGATCAAGCTGAAGAAGATCAATGCCGCCCAGCCGAGGTACGGTTGGAACGGAGCGCGGAAGGGGAGATCGCTGCGACTAATGCCCTGGGCTTGGCAGGCCTTGTGGAACCGGATATACGCAATGTTAATGCTAACCCAGGTGAAGAGAGTTGAGATCGTCGTCAAATTCTGAAACCACGTGAAGACGGTGTTGGAGCCAGAAGAGCACGACATGTAGGTCAAGAGAGCGATCGAGCAGGTGATCAAGACGCACCAGATGGGGACACCGGTCTTTGAGCACTTGAGCAGGAATCTTGGTGCTTGTCGGTTCTGAGCGATGGCGTACAAGTATCGGGATCCGGTGTACAAAAAGGCATTGGCGGAGGAGGAAGCTGATGTCAGGATGACGGCGTTGATGATTGACGGAAGCACCTTGATACCAGCGCGAGCAATAGCAATAACCCAAGGAGATGAGGCGGCACCTGGGGCGCCACTTTCCTGAGCGCTGAGCAGGTGCGGGTCGTTGTAAGGGACGAGAACGCCGATGGCCAAAGAACCCAAGACGTAGAAGAAGAGAATACGCCAGAAGACACGTTTCACGGCCTTGGGTATGTTTCGACGCGGGTCTTCAGCCTCACCAGCAGCGACAGCGACCATTTCGACGCCACCATAGGAGAAGGCAGCATTGACAAGGGTTGACCACAGACCGAGAAAGCGACCAGTGCTGCCGCTAGCAATGTACTCCTTCATGGCGCCGGGGTTGTTCCAGTACTGGAAACCCAGGCGGTGCTGTCCGGGAACACCGCCGCAATCGATGATGAGGGCCAGGATCAAGAGACCGACAATCGTGACGATTTTGATGGAGGCGAAGATGAACTCGGCCTCTCCATAGATGGAGACAGCGAAGATGTTCAGACAGAGGACCAAGACGATGATGATAGAGATCCAAGCGGCTACGTTGATGTCTCGAGCACCGGACCAGTATTGGATGACCGACGAAGCAGCTGAGATTTCGGCACAGAGTGTGATGGCGCAGGAGTACCAGTTGTTCCAACCAACGGCAAAACCCATGGCATCGTCGACGTATCGGGCGCAAAATTGAGGGATCGCACCGGGAAGAGGGAGCCAAGTCGCCATCTCACCAAGAGACATCATCATAGCAAAGACTGCGAGACCAGTGAAGGTGTAACCGAGCAAGACTGAGAGAGGACCGGCTTGGGTGAAGGCACGACCGATACCCAAGAACAGACCGGTACCGATGGTGCCACCGAGAGCAATGAACTGGATATGGCGGGACTTCAGACCTCGCGAGACGTAACCGTATTCTTCGGCTGTCGCAATGTCACCGTACATGTCGGTGGCCTCGTTGATCTTGGAACCTCGGCGAGCCTGCAGAAGATGGGTCAATTCGGGGAGAGGATCTCGTAATCGCGACGGGTGAGACATACCTCCATCTTATTGACCTCACTCTGGTTGACAGGGAGGTGGTCTGGCGACTCGGAGCCAGAGCCAATGCGGAAGTCATGGTTCTTCTCCATGATGAAGGAGCGTGTATGGATGACGGTTGGTTGTGGACAGGAGGCTCGACAGCTTCTTGTCGAGGTTGGTCACGAATGCGCAGGAAGACCTGTTGACCAAGGAGTATTGGAGACAGAAAGGAAGCGCCGCAGGTGGACGAGGGTGGTATATGTAGGACCACGAGCTGCGTGTGGATGGTGGTGTGCAGGAGCAAGGTATGCTGGCCTGGGCTATCGCATGATCGCTCGCGCCGAAAGCCACACAAGATGAGCCTGGTCGAGGTGACCGGGAGAGTGCTACGCTGCGGTCCACCGTTGGAGCGGAGAATGGAGGATGTGAGAGGATGGGCGTCCAAAGGCAGCTAGCTTGTGAGATGTTCAGGGATCAACAGGATGGTCTTCGCCGATGGTTGGTGAGGCGTCGATCTAAAGAGGACAAGGGTTTGCGAAAGGCTAGAAGCTCGAGACAAGTCGCTGTCGCAGAAAGGTGAGTGGCAGTTGGAAGGAAGGGGAGTGATCTCCGTTGATTCGAGGCAATCGACGAGTGAGAGTCAAGGGCCGCGGTGGCAAGATGGAAGTTGCAGTGACTGACTTCGCAAAGCCCAACAAGTCATCACGAACAGTCATTAGGTCGCTAACTGGGAGGATTGGTGAATGATCATTCATTGGTGAAGTCCGATGCAGCTGTCCCTTCAACCCTTGTCTAGTGTCACCGGGGAACGAGTTCCACTCACAACGCAACTCTCTTATCTTTCAACGGCGTCGAAGCCAAATCCAGGAGCTTGATCGGGGAGGCAGCCTTGCAGGAATCGCCATAGGATCAGTCGTTCACACCATTTGGAACAGACGGGGATGCCGACGACAGACGCGGGTTTGGTGATGGCTCGAAACGTATCACAATTTTCAAGAGAAGAGAGATGAATTATAAGGGAGCAAGTGATGAACGTGACCAACACGAGCGCCGAGGACCAGCTGGCAGCATGAGAGGAGAGTTTGTGGGGTAAGAACTAAGAAGCACTGGTACAACTGGGCAGAGGTTGCGTTGCAATCTCGCACTGGATGAGGAAGGTTGCCAATTGCCAATTGCCAATTAAGCTTGACTGCCCATTCAAGGCTTCTCTAAGCTCAACAAGGCCCGGAGCAACAGGCTTGACCACTGCTTGACCAAACAACATGACAACATGACAACATGGACGCCGTGGACGCCTTATCAAATCTCGAGTCTAATAATACACCCTCGCACTCGTTGTCAATTATTATTGTGTGCATGCAGTGTCACCAAGTACTCACCAGCTACAATGTGTACCATAGTACATACATTGTGTACCCCTTCACTCCGGCAACTCATGCGACCAGCCTGCAAACGGATCACGACCCTAATGCGGACCCCGCTCCCGAGCTGGGTCTGGGCTTAGGATGCCTAAGACAGATGTCTGGTGCGGCTAAGACAGATGCACAGAGAGGCTACGAGCTATTAGGCCAAAGACCTTCTGGAAGGTGGCAAAGAAGAAAAGAAGAAAGCAAATCACCTGAAGTTGGGTGTCACTCAAGATCCACGGGCCGCACTAATGCAACTTTCATCGCCTCGTCGCCGAGGTTCACACTCAGTGGCACTCCAACGTCCAGACTTCCTTCATCTGCCTCTTTCTGCCTCTTACAAGCGAATAAACGACAGGACACGTTCGTGTGTCGCTACGAGTATCGAAAGAACCCCCTACCAATGTTCATCTGCATTTCTACGAGTATATAGTCGAAGGTCGGTGTCCTCCGTCTCGCCACTACGCACTTCCGCTGGCTGTGGCTTTATGCCCAGCACGCCATCAGACCCTCTCGTGATGTTATCTGCTGGCTGTAACCTTCTCGCTTAAGCTCTCCTATACAAGGCAAGACACCTGTGACTAAGGTACAAGAACAATCATAATAAGAAAGTACAAGTTGCGATGGGCCGGCGGTAAGCGTCACGCTTATATCGGTATTATTGTAGACACAATTCCATCTCGAACATTGTTTCATCCCCGGAGCCTGCTGCTGCTCGTGTGCCACCTCAAAGTCAGCCTCGCCCCCTCGGAGGCAAATATTGCTTATCTCTGTCCAACCGAAGTCTCGAGACAAATGGCAAGCTCATTCGATCCACACTACTGGTGTCCGTACAAAGATGTCAAACTCCATCTGACCGACCATGCCTCATCCTTGCTTTCAGCCTCGAGGTCTCCGAAAACCCTTTTTCTTGATGGACAGGCTAACCACTCTGGCAGCGTCAAGCGATGTGAGGCAGAAGGTAAAGCTTTCCGAAAGGAAATCAATACTCGACGTCATGACCACGCACACCAGTTTCCATCATGATCGAGCATCGCCTAGATAAGCCACAAACTCTCCCTTGATCTCACGATGCCACAATCTGTTCGACCACAAGAGAAAGATCGACCTGCCAAGGCTGCATCGTGTCGAGATGTCTCATCACTGTCGTTGTCGGTCATCTCAACCTTTTCTTGCTCGATCACCAGCACAATATACTCGTGAGGTCAGAGCGGGCGTCCTTGTCGTCATACTGGTGTCCAAGCACCCCTTAGACCACGGCCTCGTCTTCGGAAGGCCTGCGGCAAGGCTCACTAGACTCATCTATACACCAGCCAGCCACACTGTATGCCGACGACGCCTGCATGGGCTTCTGTCACCGATCTTGGGCCGCTGGTCGCTGATCGCTGACGCTGAATGCTTCCTCGCCAATATCTAGATTTGAGTTGTGGAAGTTGAATTCAATTTCTCGCTTGTGGAAGCCATGTCGATTTCTATCGGTAGGTAGACGCGGTCAGATTGTCTCAATAACAGGCGAACAACGTCACTTCTTCCAAGACATCAAAACCACTTCTACGACAAAGATGCCTTGGCTTCGACATGACGTATCCATCAGCGATATTACTGTACGTTTCCTATCCCTGGAACGTACAGCATCGCAATTCCATGTCTGTCTGTCTCTCTTACACGACTCTCAGGGGAGACCGACTGGCTTTGGATAACCATTGGTTGACAGCGCAACCCACCTATCGACCACAAGATCGATCTGGGTCAAAAATAGGACAACAATACTAAAACCAAATGACCTGAAAACCCCAAAAGTATATCAAGAACAATTACCGTGCAGCAGCAAAAAAGCAAAAGGCAACAATCAACAACGAGGATTCGCAAATTGTCACCATCTTTGCTACTAACTCGTCGGCATGTGGCTTAAGTATGACTGAGCGAACGGGAAGTCCTGTTTTCCACAAAATCCTATGGTCGATTGCGAAAGCAAATCTGACGAGTGTGTATTTGATACACATTAAAAAAGGGTGGTGGGAATTGATCGGTTCTGCCACCCACTGATATCGTTTTCAAGAACCTGTTCCAACTTTCAATCAGCTTCTTGTTACCGAAACACTTCCCCAAGGGGTCCCTGTTGATGTACATGGGCCGGCCGAGCAGGTCGACCTCGGATAGTATACTGGTTCGCTTAGACTGGGCTTCCCAAAAGTATCAGGACGAAGTACCAAAGTTACTAAATACCTCCTACATAGCAAGGAGCAACAGCTAAAACTCGATAACGTATACGCGGAAACAGCCTGGTAATGAGCATGGTGCTTTTGAAGCATTCACAAGAGGTCTATCTACCTTTCATATCCCTCACCAAACTGCCAAAATGCTCCTTTTGCTCATCTGCCAGTTTTCCTTTCGTATCGCTTATGATAGTCAATACGAGACTATAATTATTATACAAGAACCTCGCCCGCTTGCTTGCATCGCCGGCGCCTTTGGCCAATTTACCCATCAGCGTCTCAAATTCAGAGCGCAATCGCCCGAGACTATTGGAGACCGGCTCATCATCGCCTGCCTCTGCGCTGAGCATCAGTATCCCCTGCAAAAACACGCCGAACCGCTGGGTGATTGCGTGCGGAGCGACCGAAGACCTCGACGCGTCGGATCCGCCGCCAACAAGTGAGAATGCTGCTGCAGCGCCGCGGTTTGTGGCTGTTGGGACCTTCTTCAGAGATTCGAGGTGTAGATCCATGACCTTTTGAAATCGTGGCCATAGCAGAATGTTAGTATAGTTGATATACGAGTCAGCAACTGGGACTTTGCGCCGCTGGAGCTGAAATGCGAAATGCTGATTCAGTCGCACACAGAGTAATATGCCTAGGCAATCATTTGTGTCTTCGACGAGCTGCTTGGTGAGATTGTGACCCATGGTGAAGGTGGGCTCGAAAATCTCCGATACCCGACGAGAGATCTGCTGGAAGGTGCTAGTGGAGAAGAGCTCTGTGAGGACGGAGTACTCAGCAGATACGTTATCAATCAGTGCTTGGTTGAAATTACGGAACGGGATTTCTAGGTAATGTGCCGACTTGCTTTCCTCGACCAGGTATGCTGGTAATGCTGAGTCGTTCTTTGATTTGAGCACGTCTTCTCGCCGGCCCAAGCGGAAGGCATCGTGCTGTGGAGGGGCAGATTTAGAGGCACCGAGCACGTTTCGTCTTGAGGGAGCAGGTTCTGATCCGAGCAGGTCGTACTGATCGAAGGTATGAAGTTGAAGAGAGGCAAGTGCCTGCTGGTATCGGGTGAAGTGACTGCTGTAGTACCATCTCATTGTATTGACATAAGCTTGTCCAATCTCTTCTGCCAGGACAGCATGATTGCGAGCAAGGAAAGCGTATAGGTCCTTGTAGCGCAAGAAGGTCTGCTGCTGTATCACCTGGGCATTGATGTTGGGTGACCGGAGAGCTTTGATCTGAGCTACAATGTAATCTCGTATTCGCTCTATTGCTTTGGCTTTGAGGTCATCAAGTAATGGCTTCATATCCTGCAGAGCCTTGACTTGCTCCGATTTCTGCTCCTTAGCCTCGACCACAGCAGCCCTCGCTTCGACCTCATTAAGAGCCCTGAGGAATGTTTCGTCAATTGGGCCATCGGCGATGGCCTTCACAGTGTAGGGTGAAAGGCTGACATCTTCGACAGCAGGACCGAGTAGCTTCTCAACATTGCGACGATTGTCGAGCATAGCGTTCAGCTGGACTGAACGAGCTTGTAGGTTTTCGATCTCAGCAGAGACTTGGCCTAGCTCTGCCTTGAAATTGGTCAAATAGGTCTCGACAGTCTTGAGAACTTCGTCACATTCCGCGATGGATGCGTGAAAGTCTTTGTATTTCTGCCTGTTCTCTTTCGCCGACACGACAGTTGTATGTTCAGCGCTCGTAGGCTGCACTGATGGCCCTGAATTCACGAACTCTTGCAGGCTGAGACCTCCAAAGTCGATCGTCGACCCGAGTGCGCCTTCCTGGCGAGTCCGTGTCGACGCATCCGGCTCATCCTTCGTCTGCCCAAGTATTTCGCGCAGGACCTGTACTGGGTCGGGAACATCAGGCGGCGGCTTTTGCTCGAAACGTAGTGCAGATCCATTAGCCGGTTTTTGGGGCAAGGCAAGTGAAGACGTAGAGGTGTTTGCGCTCAAGTCAAGCGAGGAAGAAGATCTGGTCGCGGACAGACCAAGACCCGCTCGTTGGGTGGGAGCGAGATGGGAGCTCCTGCGAGGAGCGGGAGAGTAGGGTCTGGAAGGGGTGAGAGCGCCGCTCGGAGTTGCAGCACCAGTGGAAAAGCGGTCAAGCCACATATCGTGCTTTCGACCCGTTAGCACTTGGAATCTTCATATCGTGTCATCTAAATATTGTCGAGGCGAAACGATCGTGACCGAAAGTGTCCTGTTGTGCCTGTGTCTGTCCCTTCGCATCTCAATGACTGCAGAATGACCGCAGGGGACTCACCGCGAGTCAGGGAGGCGTTGCCAAGCATGATGCCCAACATGGTTAGCCTTATGTTGTTCGATTAGCGGACCTTTGCAATGGTTTTTGTAGGTGATATTTTCTTATCGATCATTGGGCACATTTCGGGCGACCCCCGCCTCTCGCCTCGATCCCACTCACAAACTGCACTTTGATATTTTCTTGGGCTCTGGCCTGGATCTGTCTCCAACCAACAATTCACCCTCCCTCCCCTCTCTCTTGAAGTTGGTCGCACACCAGCTCATTTCATTCGGCTCATCTTCTTATCCTTGTTTCCTTTCGAACAGCATCTTTCCATCTTCACAATGGCCGACGACGCGCAGGTAAGCTGTCTCTCTTGACAACTTCCCCTCCTCTTCTAGTGTGTTCGGCGCACTTGAGCCTCAACGACCGTGGTTCACATTAGTTCCCAATCGTCATTGAACCACCAGTACTGACAAGATTCCTTTCAGCATGAGCACACCTTCGAGTCCGCCGATGCCGGTGCCTCGGCCACCTACCCTATGCAATGTTCCGCCTTGAGAAAGAACGGTTTCGTTGTCATCAAGGGTCGCCCATGCAAGATTGTCGACATGTCCACTTCCAAGACTGGCAAGCACGGTCACGCGAAGGTCCATTTGGTTGCTCTCGACATCTTTACTGGCAAGAAGTTGGAAGATCTCTCCCCATCCACCCACAACATGGAGGTTCCTAACGTCGTTCGTCGTGAATACCAATTGGTAAGAAGACTTGGCACCAATATGCGGGAAAGAGCAAGGTCTAACGCGCTGTAGCTCGATATCACCGATGATGGTTTCTTGTCCCTCATGTCTGATGATGGTACCACCAAGGATGACGTCAAGATGCCAGAAGGTGAAGTCGGTGACAAGATTGAGAAACTCTTCCGTACCGAAGAGAAGGACACCAGTAAGCGCCCTCCCATGCTGAGTCCTTTGGCAGATACTAATTGATTCAGATGTTATCGTGTTGACTGCTATGGGCGAAGAGCTCGCCATGGATGCTAAGGAAGCTCCCAAATAAATTGGTTGAAGCCGACGGCAATCCTGCGACTCGTTCCCCACGCCAACCACGCACGACGAGAGACACTTATGAGAACACGATCGGTACCAGGACAATTCTCTACTGTGGACATCTAGCCGGCAAGTCCCTCCCGAATTTGCAAAGAGCTAGGACCTAGATCTGCGACTTTGCCTGCAAAAGCAATTTCCGATCAGTGACGAATCCATTAGCCCTCAGCATTGCGTTTTTGATCCTTGGTAGTTAGACAAATTCAAGCAATTACCAACATATAGTTTGTCGTATCTCTCCATTTCTTATAAAATCTCTAGCCTTGAAAATCGTGAATGCTCGGTATTTGATTGGCGCAAGGCTACTACCCTTCAGCCTTGGTCCGTGCCGTGCCCTCGACAATAGAACGGCATTTATGGGTAGAAGAAAAGAAGATATCTCTTGAATCCTTTTAGTACCGCAACAAATATACCGCCACGATTCTCCAAGAACCCAAATCCCGCTGTTGCTCTTTACCTTTCTTTTACGGGCCATCCATAATGTCCGGATCTTTGCTGATATCGATGTCTCGACAATATGGACGATGATGATCGCTGCGAGCAATGTGGCTCGACTGATTTTGAGGTCGACGAGGATGGAAGAACATACTGTACCAACGGGCACGAGCAAGCTAGGGGCCACATCATCGCGGAAGACGACGCAGATTTCGCCCAGCGAGGGAACATTGTGAGGAAGAAAAGTTCCAGACAGAAGCAGAAATTTTCCAGAGGTACGCATTGAACATTCACCTCTATCCAGTACTTTATGATCAACCTTCGCTTCCGGGGTGCGGTTGCGGTTGCGGTTGAGTGTGAGACCTCGGACAAGATATGGAACCATTACTGAATTACCGCAATCGCAAACAGTTCTTCGAGGTGCAAAAGCGTATCAGTTGTTCCTTCAGTGTTGGCAGTTTATCCTATGGAAACAATGCCATGCTCTCGTCTACCAGAAAGGTCTCCCGGCTGAACTTTGGGTAAGTACTAGAACTAGACGACTCCTCTAATCCTCTACACGTCGAAGCGGCTTCTGGTTCCTTGCTAACAACTTCGCTCAGACGATCGTTCGTGACTTGTGGACATTGTGGCTTTCAAGACTGGATCATCGCCTCCGAGATCCGACCAAGCCTGTCGGACTCGCTGCTGACACCGGAGACGAAGACGAACCGGCTACTACTTCTGCGGAGGAGGCAGACACCGAACGTGAAACTGCCGGCGACCTAGATAACCACAAAAAGGGGAAACGGACTCACGAAAGTCCGCAGCTGGTTGATACTATTGCCCTCAACTTTATAGGTATCATCCTTCTCCGCCGACCGGTCAGCCTGGCGAGGATCTTCAAGTACGTGTCTCCCAGTCTTCTTGCCTTGTTTCTCTGTCTTTCTGACAAGATCTCTCCAGATGGATACAACTCGAAGATATCCCATTCATCCGCGCCATCAGGCATGTCCCTCAGGAGATGAAGGACCGATTGCCGTCCGAGTACCACCTCTCGCTCGACACGATCCGTATCCTTGAACAGGACGATCTCCAAATCGCAATCTACCGGCTCGCCCAGATGTACAATGCCACGTATGGCATGATCATGCCACCGCTCAATCACAACCTTCTCCTTCTCCATTATGTCCGATCCCTCGCTCTTCCGATCGAGGTGTACAGTATGGCGCGTCGGTTGAATCTCATCACAAAGTACAACTTCTGCTACGCTGATGGAACGTCAACAGAGACTACAAGACGCCAGGCGACCACATTTCCTGAAGCACAATTGATCTCGCTCGTCGTAGTTACGACCAAACTTCTCTTCCCCTTTGACTCGGACACAGTCAAGCGCTACCCAAAAGAAGCAAACGAATCGACGACCTTGCGAATGAAGTGGCCTACTTGGCTGGCCGCAAAGGAGAAGTTCGACAAACCGTTCCCCAACGACACGACCGATCCCGACGCTCTCCAACCCGGAGCTGAAATCCATGTGACGGACAGCGACATCTTCCGAATGTCCGACAAGCAACTCGACCAGTATATGGACTGGTACCAACGAACTTGGATCAAGACTTCCGACTCCGACTCTCAAACTCAACATTCTCAACAACAAGAGAGTGCGCTGGACAGAGAGATTCTGGATATGTTCCCCTTGCATGACGTCCAGGAACCCGTCAAGACCCGCGAGCATGATCAACAAGCCCGACTCGACGAGCAATCTCGTCTTGATACCCGGATCCGAGAGGTCCAAGCCTCGCTGTTGCCACGTAGGGCGATCAGCTCGGAAGAGGAAGCCGAGCGTGGTCTTGAGCTTCTCAGACCGGGAGCGATGTATCCGCGCTATCGCCACGTCGAGGATCTAGACAAGGCTGCCGACTCGGTTGTGCGAATCTTCCACGAAGAAGCGGCGCAGACCGCGTGTTTGAGCCTGAAGGCGCTTGTGAAGGCGGTCAATAAGTCCGAGCAGAGGATCGAGCATTGGCTCAGAGAGAAACGGAGGCGCGAGGTCTTCAGTGAGGAAAGCACGGACGAAGAGATGGAACAGGAGGAGGAGGAGGAGGAGGAGGAGGAGTATGATGATGATGATCTGCTCGCGACGAGTCCCCCGGGAAAGCTGGCTAGCGACTTGAAAGGTCTAGAATTGGGACGGTCGTCTGGGATCCACGACGGTTCGGATATTGATGTGGACATGGATATGGAGATGCTGCCGGAGTTGGAACTGCAAGCTGGGCCTTCTACATAGCAGCCTCAGCCATCTCAGCCATCTCAGCCAGATCTAAAGTGCTCCTGTCTTTTCGTCGTACTTACACCACTGCATTTTGACATCAGCCGTGCCCGTCAGCACATCCCAGCCATGTCCTCTCACGTTGTCTCAGAATGACTCAACCCATCATCCGATCCTCCCCAGGACACCGAACAGTTCCAACCACACAAGGTATACAACATATCCCCATCAACGTGCGTTGTAACTTCCGACCATATGACCATATGTTGGCCTTTTATTTCTCCCTCTCCACCGCTCCCCCATTCCCTTCCCACTCGACCCAACTCCCGGGAAACTCGCCAATCTTCCCACCAAACCCAGCCTGGCTCGCGAGCTGTGCCGCCGCTCTACTCCTCACGCCCGCCTTGCAATAGAATATCACCTCGTCGTTCTGGCCAGGCTTCTGCCATCCGAACCGTTCCTCAAACTCCTCCGCCGGCAGGAAAAAGGCGTCCGGCGCCGATTTGATCGGCAGGTTCTGGCTGCCGGGGATTTTGCCCGTCGATTGTAGCTCTGAAGGCTCGCGCACGTCGATTAGGATCCGGTGAGGGTCCGGGCTGGTCGTGAGGGACTGGATGTCGGACATGGCGTAGATGCGGCTCGACTGCGACGACGACGACGACACGGAGTTGGAGTCAGAAGAGGAGTCGTCTTTCCGACGGACGAAGGTCGTGGTGAAATGCCGTTTTGGCTGGCGGAGCGGCATGCAGGTTGACCGCGGAGACCGCCAAGGACGCGAAGGAAGTAGTCTCACTCTCTGGACAGGGAGGGAGAGGCGACTTGGGGCTGCTCGGGATACTGCGAGACGTTCGAGGGAGGTGGACAGGGTGGAAAGAGCTCGTTTGGGCGCCATTATGATCGATGGGCTGGGCTGGAGTAGTTAGGGCTTTTGGTCTGAAGGGAGAACAGGAAGTCGGGACGAAGCCGTCTTCCAGAGTGTGAACGACGGGGTAGTAGACGAGGTGCACCTAAGTGAAGTTGTAGGGTGTGGAATTATTGATGTTCCTCCGCCTGTCTCGATTCTCAATTGTCAATACCTGTGGTGGTTTGCCCGATGACGTGCCTCGGCAGAAATCCGATTATGTAAACATATCTATCGACGGCATCATACGGAAAGAGATTGTACTCGTGTTCTTCACCAGGTTTACATTTACTGTAGGTCACACTTGGCTCTTCAGCCAACACATACAAGTGGAAAAATTGAGGAGCACGAAAAAAGCTGGCCAAAGTGTAGGTTTATCGCTCCTTGCTTGTATTGAATGCCTCAGACTTCGACATAGATATATTTCGATTAAATGCTAGACGTGTCAGCAACATCCAACTCGTATACAAAACCCTCTTATATAATACATCGGCCGGTATCTCGTCGTTTGCGAGCAATATGTTCCGCCCTCGCCGTACGGTTATTCACCATAGTAGCCTCCGTACGGCATAATTCTTACGGCACAATCCTTACGAGCTTCCGCCCACAAACAGTGTCCACACGTTCGGGTTCCCATTCGCCACAGCACCACTCGCATCCGGCGCGCCATCAGGGTTGACATCGTCGAAGGGAAAAGCATATCCTCTCCCATCCAGTTCCACCGAGTGCACAGCCTGGCTGTACCAGTTGGTCGGACTCTGGGTGTAATACTGGCTAGCCGGCAGACTAGGCTGGACGTTCCCTCCCGAGAGTAGCAGCGTCGTCCGTTGTAGCGCGGCGCAGATTCTCGGCACTATGGCCAACGTCACGTCGTTGTCACCGGCCTGCGTGCCAAACACACCCTGGCAGCCGAAGATATCCAACGCACTGGGCTGGGGAATCGAGCGCGATGCGCCTTGACACACCAACTGGCCCGACGCTGTGCTACAGGGTATGTCACCCAGGGTGTTCTGCGAATGGACGGTCAGTGTCTCCGAGGCGTAGAGCGTCCATACGGATTGCACGTAGGAAGTGTAGTAGTTGCTGAACGCGTCGCCGTGGACCGAGATATACTTTCCAGGGGCGTTGGCGCGGAGTGGGCTGCCGCTCGAGGAGTACTGGCAGAGCTGGTCCCACGGCTGGCCGTCTTGGGAGGCGTGAGGAGTGAGGTCGTTGCACACGGTCGACACGGCACCCTGGGCGACGCCGCGGACGGTCTGAGTGCCACTTCCGTCGTTGACGGTGAGTTGCATACCCACAGGCATACCCACAAAGTCGACGAACGTCATGTCTGCATAGATGCCGCCAGCCTCGGTATATGTCATTTCGGCGAACCCCCAAAAGATGCCGGCGGAGGGATCCGAGGGGTTTTGAGGATCCGGGCTGACCAATGTAACGCCCCCGTCGGCGGTCTCGAGGGTGTAGAATTGTAAATCACCGGCCGCGAAATATACGCGGCCAGAGATGAAGAATCCTGGGAGGGTCAGACTGGTAGTCTGTCCTTGGTTGCCCAGTGGGATGGTGATGTCTTGAGTGATGGCTTGGGGGACGGTGGTAGAGCTAGAGGTCGGGTAGTACCATTGGCCGGAGGGAGTGAGGATAATGACACGGTTCGAGGTGTCCAGAGCGGTGATATATACATTTGTGCCTGAGCCGTAGTTGTTCACCAAGTCGAGGCGCAGGCCAGCATTGGCCTGCGGTTGTGGTGGTCCATGGAAGGTAGCATTTGGGTTAGTGCCGTTGAGTGTGTTGAACTGGGTGATTGTCAGCTCATCAACACCGCCAGGAGAGACGACGACTCCTCCGGACTGGCGTTTGGTGAGTGGTGCTCCGAGTGTGGACGTGAACAGGGCAGCTGATGCAAGCCAACACAGCTTCGACAAGAAATACATGGCAGTGAAAGAGTGACTGGAACAAAACAGAAAGAACGAAGGACTGGGGTCAGATGCTGAAAGGAATGACTGTGATGGTTGAAAGGCTTGCTGAAGGGGCGACAAGGAACCGTTTTATATACCAGTACCTACCATGATGGACAGGATGGTAAACCCGTGTTCTCGTCGGATACTCCATCCCAATCGTAAAATTGCATTTGGGATGTCTTGAACTCCAGAGGCGCTAACAAGAGGGCGTTTTCCCTAGGATAGACCATCATCCGGGCGGAGGTCATATGTCGGCCGGAGATGAAGATGCATAATGAACGATAGTGTACGTAGTATGCATTGCAGGAATGAGTTTGAAGCTGAAGTCTGTTTCTCAAGATTCTTCGAAGAGTCCGGTAAGACAAGAACCTACCAAAACTCGGGGCTGTGCACGCGAAGGCCACATCCTGATGCTGGAAGCTGGGAGTGGAAGCTGGCGAATCCAAGGGACGAAGACACAGAGTGTTGAGCTTGGCTTAGACAGTCGAAAAGAGTTGTGCGTCCGATGCTGGTCTGCTTAAACGACGCGAGCGCAATCTCAGATGCAGGAACAATCGTTGAAGGGTGAGGCTGCAAGGTAGCATCCGACAGAGGGACAGTATGTTCGAAGTAGGAGTCTGTACAATACCACCTGCAGGGAGTCCAGGGTGAAGTTGGAAGTAGGTTTGTTTGGGTCTATCGACTTGGAATCTTAGCCCAGCATCACGCAGGTAGCTCCATCACGCCCTGCCGCGTGGGGGCTGAAGAATACATACCTCGATACCGACGTGGAGACTCAATTGCTCTTCGAAGGTCATACTTACCGTAATGGTCTCATCGGACGAAGCACCAGCAGCTTTGATCGCCCTCGGCGAAAATGCGTCTTGAGGTAAAAGGACAAAACTCCGGGGTCAAGGTGGGTTGGAACTTGGGTGACCCGGTCAACTCAGGGGCCCACAGCGAGAAGGTTACATTGTGATAGACTGTCAATGTTCGACCAGACTCCCCCTGACTGCTCCACCTCTGCTATATCTGATCTTGATGCGCGCGGCACAGTAAGGCATACCATCGCACGATATGCTTTGAAGCCTGTCACATTACACTCTCTGCGCTCGAGTATGCGAACAAGAGCAGGTTTCCAGTCAAGCAAGCACGTTTTTGCATTTCCGACGCCATGTCCAGTTCTATCCAAGTCCGATCATTCCCAATTATCATTTCTTGATCGCTAGCCCGGACGTTCCTCTTGCGGAAATCATCCAATATCCCTCAACTCCTGTCTCATGTGCATATCAAGTCCCACAGTATGGCCCTTCATCTTCAAATTTTGATGTCGTCGTGACCATTACAACCCTTTGAATCTTGCCCAACCAGCAGCACCATTTTTGGGAGGACTCGCACGGCCTTCTTCTGCCATTTTGCCGCTGACATCACGTCTTCTACCCATACCCTGGCCGAAGTCTGAGCCGAGACCAGCATAGCCGCTGCCCAGATCATGTCCAGTGGAGTTGGAGGTTTGTCGAACACCATTCCACTGACTCTGGGGCATATGACCAGCGTTCGCCGAGAGCTTTTCATCGTCACTGTCGGAAGCATAGACCTCGAAGTTTGTACTGTAATCGCTTTCCGTCTGCATGGTTCTGGTACGTTCGTACAGATCCTCGACCTCCCGCATGGAGACCCTGGCCTCTTTCTTGTCGTCCTGCGAGCTGACTGAGCCAGCAGAAGATCTCAAGCTGCCATAGAACCGAGCCTTACCACCGCTTCCAATGAAGCTTGATGGTCGTGATCCAGCATTAGGTCGTGCTTGGCCATTAGCGTTTGCGTCATGTAGCACGAGTCTGTTGGTATAGTCCGCAGCTTGAGCCTGTCGTGGAGGCGTCGAGTACATGTTCTCATTGTTGAATTGAGGGCGGCTAGGTGTTGGAGGGTTCATGGCAAGTGGCTCGCGGCTTCTCTTTGGCTGTGGCTCTGGAGAAGGGACTTGCAACTGCTGGTGCAAACTCATCCTGCTCGCGTGCTTCGGGTTCGAAAAGATTTGACTGCCATTAGGTGGTAGCTGTGCCTGACTGTTTCGGACCGTGCCTTGATACCAGTTCCCTCGTTCAGTTTGCATCTTGGCTGGCGAGGTATCTCGTGCCGAGAGCGCTGACACAGGAGAGACAGGTCGGACCTCGTGATCTAGTTCACCTGTAGCCTCGTCACTCATAAGACTCGGGACACCTTCATAGTCCAGATATGACAACCAGGAAGAGGGTCGAGAAGTTTGTTTGGCAAGTCCAGAAGAACGCTCCGGGCGGTAATCAAGTCCAGCACCAGCGGTACGCGAACTAGGCGACGGGTTGACGACAGAGCTGGGCCGTTCAGGCGATGAAGACCTCGACCATCGCCATGGATCTTTCTCACTGTCCTCTAAGTCTTTTCGAAATTCCAGTCTTGAGTTGCGAGCATTCTCACTACCGTACAGCGTGACGCTATCAGCTGAGTCGGTACGTGTGTGGATGAATGGCACTCTCTTGAAGCCTGCTCCTTGTGAACCCCTCTTAGCAGCCAATTCAGAAGCCTTCATGTTTTTCTCAGTGATGCCTTCGGATTTGTTCCGCTTGTGTCGAGATGTAAGATTGGGTTCCAAAGGGTTCAGGTCTGGCGGAAGTCTGGCAATCTGCTTAAACTTCAACCCGAGGTAGATGTCCAACAGCAACGACGCCAATATGATACCACCTTCGGTGCATGACAGTATAAAGAGAGCGTAGATAATCTTGTATGACAACTCCGAGTCATTGAACAATGTGCTCCATCCGTATTTATTCTCGCTATAGTCCGCATGAGCCAGCCATGCCGAAAAGACAAAGAACGGGATCAATCCGGAGTCGACCACGCCCGCGAAGACCATGTAGCTTGCAGTCGAGCCAGGAGTCCGACCAGTCGCAGCTTTACACAGATGATAGATTCCGTAGATTGTGTGCACAATGGCAACGGCAGGTGCAATTCGAATGATCCAGCCCACTGTCGAAGAGACCTTGTTGATTGCGATGACGCAGAAGAGTAAGCCTACAGCTCCGATCAAACCACATACTCGAAGGAGGAGTTGCAATCGACGGGCTCTCGTAACTCGGCGTTCGGTGTGAGGAGGAATGGGCTTCGCATTGAGGTTGCCGTAAGGCACGACCACATACTGCAGACTGGTTCAGTCTCTTATCAGAGGTTATCACTGACTGGGATACATACCGTGTCAGGGTGTTTGTTGAAGTCAATCAATGGTCCGTCTGGCTTCGGGTTCGCAGGTCTTGGAGCCCATGATGCTTCCGTCACGGCTTTAGGATTGAATCCACGCTGCGTTGGACCTCCAAAGGTGTAGGTGCTGGGTCGGTCATAAATGAATGGAGGCTCGACACCCATCCTTGGCCTGTGGAATGCTGCTGATTCAAGATATCAGCAAGAGACTGGAATGTTCCGCAGTTCAATGGAGGAATGGAGGGATGGTCATAGCGAGAGGAGCAATTCATGTGGGTGTAGGCCCGTGCCGCTCGTCAAGGCGTTGCGGATGTGTACACGACTGGTTGCCGAGCAACGGTATCGATAAGGGGATACCAGGACGTAGCGGTCCATGCTCCAAAGGCTGAGGGCCTTGCCCTTCAGTGCCCATCTTGGTTATTGGCAGGGTACATGCTGTGAGGTTACTGTCTGCTATCATACAGCGATATGATGGGCTAGATAGGTTGGGGTGGCCATCATTCTTATACAGCACAGAGACGCGATTGCGACGACAGATAGATGCCCTCCGCAGGGAGCCTCTTTGCTACTCACCGCAGAGGCGAAAGGATCAAGACCGGTGGACTCAATTGTCGTATCCAACGGGCAATGCTCCGGGTATCATACTACTCTGTCAACATAGCTGATCAACTTCTCTCCTTTAACTCATGATGTCGATTCAGGGCCTACTCCCAGCAGATCCAGCATATCCACCAGTTCCCCTACTGCCATTTCCACCTGGAATTTGCTTTCGGCGTCGGTGGCCTCATGTGGCTCAATCTCGACAAGCCCACCACCTGGGTGCTTGAAACGAAATCTTGTGACTCCATTGGCATCTATCTTTAGCGGATGCCAGTTGGCTTTGCAGGAGTTTTCGAGGTCGTTAGTGGCGCATTCTTTGAGACGATTCACCTCTTCTTGGTCAGAGAACTCGGGTTCTATCAGGTAAAACCCAAAGTCCTTCGCTGCTCGCATTGGGCCGTCCCGATACTTGTTCCAGAACTTCGGATCCGAGGGTTTGCACTGGAGATCCACGGCCGAGCAAGCATACTCATAGGTATACATCCCATATGTCTGGATGTAAGGCTGCAAGGCGAGAATACGTTCAGAAGTCGGGAAGAGCTGGTGCAAGTGCGCCCAGCGACTGCAGACCTTCGCACAAAGAAGAACGAGGTCTGCGAGCAGTTCTAGTTTGCTTGTGGGGTGGCGAAATTCGCAACGAGTGCACCGCAATGCTTTGCCGACGGCGATGAGCAGGGCCACAACCATGTCGGCAAATTGCTCCATCTGAACCTGGTCCTCCAGATCTACCCGCTGTTCCAGTCTGTCGAGGACAGTTATGGCAATTGCTACCACAGGTCTGACTATAATCAGACCAGGGATCAGGACTGGGGTGAAGGCCCGCTCAATCCACACTGGAAAGACCGCCTTGATGAAAAGGAACTGTGCTTGGATATCCAAGCGGAATTGACCATCGTCGTCAATGTAAGCGACATCATCGGCAGAAAACGTTGTGCCGAGGAGCTCAACAAGCTCCTTCTCTTGTTGACTGGCGCATGCAAGGTCGCAAGCACTGCGGAAGAAGTGAACAGCATACTCATCATTCAGCTGATCAGGACTTTCTCCTTTGCGAATGAAAAGACCTGCAAGCTGAACCACCCTGTCCTGGAAAGTCATAGCATGATCGATGTACCAGGAATCGACCTTGAAGTTCAAAGAAGGGTATCTGTTGAGCTCGAACGCAAACCCGTGCATCAAGAGTGCCAATGCACTCCTTTTCTCTGCTGGCGTTTGTTCCCATGTATTCCTCATGCCTGTATGGATGACTGGCAGTAATAGCAGCGCCTTCATCTTGGTCAGGCCCTGCTCACTACGCCCATCCTCTGCTTCCTGCAGAAGATAGATCTGATGGACAACGTGACGGATGATGGCAAGACGTTGCTGGATCAGGTCCTCGCGTGTGAACAGGGACTCCGGCGTACCGTTTGGAATCCCTGAGCGTAGAGCAGCCAGTGCAAGCAGGTTTGGCGCATTTCGTATCAACTCATTTGTCAAGGTATGCTCGAACTTGATTTCGTGGACAGGCTTCAGAATGGAGGACAACCATAGTTCGAGGAACTCATAAGCACTCGAGTTCAAGTATTTCTTGTCAGCAGCCACTTTGCTCATAAAGAGGATGTGACAATGTTTCCCTGTTTCATTCCCAGCAAGTCTTGCAAAGGAGTGGGGGCCCCAGTTAGACAAGTACTGATCCCAGTCCTCATTGCCTCTGTGAATCATCAGTTCGGCAATGGCGAACCACACCTCTACAAGGGAGACTAGCAAATTGTCATCCAGAGACAGATCACGGCCGAGTTGCGCAACAATAACTTTTCGCAATTGCTGGTGAAGCTCGGCAACAAGACCGCTGATAGTGCGACATTTTCTAAGGTAGGATGTGACAACATCGAGTATGGTGCTTGTTGTGCCATCGTCCAGCTTCAGGGAGACATCACAGAGATTGATCAAGTCCGTCATCCGGTCTCCAGTAAGGAGCTTATGCGCTTGGGTTTCGTTCACGCAGAGGTCAATCGCGTCGGCGTAAACTCTCGCAATTCTGCAGATCATTGCATTTGCGCTATGGCGATTTTGTCGGCATCTTTCGACGTCGTCGAAGAAATTCGGGGTGGCTGGGACAAGCTCGATTTTGTCGTGGATCTGGAATACCATGTCTTGAACCCACGACCCAAGCTGCTGTAACTCCGACGTATACATCGATTGTGAGACGACCGATTTGGCAATCCTGAACCAACAATCTAGGACGACGCCACAAACCGCGGAGTGCGCGTTTCCAAACTCCACAAGACTGCTGATGTGAGAGAGCTCAGGCTTGAGTCCCACGGGAGAATAGTGGTACAATGTCACAAACAACAAATAGCGGTTTGCCATTGCATGATAATCCACAGTATGCAACGGCTTGTCAGCTTCGACGTCCGGACCGTTGTTCGGCAATAGGCTGAAGATCAAGGATCGCTTGCGCATAAGAATTCTTCGTTCTCTTGCATCATCGTCGTAGTCGGTGGTCGCAGCAAAACCTAGGGTAAAGGCCAGTAGTTTCAGAAACACGTCGAAATCCGTATCATGAAATTCAGGGACCAACTCAGAGCTATGGAGCTGGCGGTCTAGAAATAGCGGAGTTCCGAAGCGACTTTGGCCGAAGAAATTGAGCATGTTGTTTGTCTTGTTAGAATAATGCTTGAACATTTTTCTTAGTAGATTGTCGGCAACACCTGTGTTTACTGTACGTGCAAGGAAGAGGCACCACTGGAATGCCAGAACACCAAAGCGTTGGAGGCTGGACACATAGGGTCGCTCCTTTCTTCTCAGGCGTTGCTCATTGAGAGAGAATGGAACGAACATGTTGACCGCATTTGAAAGAGCTGAAAATCCCAATCCGATAAGAGAGTTGCTGGCATCATCATCGTCGTCGCACTGTGAGAGCTCATCTTCACCAAGGACAGTGTAGAAGCAAGCCAGGATCAAAATGGTACACCCAAGCGTGTCTGCTGGATTCTTCTCGAGCGAGCCGTGAATGGAGCGGCCAGTTACAATCCCATTCAGACCAGCTATGCATGCTTGGCTGAGGTCAAGCTTGTGAATGAGTGCGATCGTCTCAATTTCTGCCGCGGCGCATTCCGTAAGTGCTGTACCCAGCGCAAACTCGTTCTCAGAATGATAGTTGATGCTGAGATTTAGCGCCCTGAGGCGCTCTTTGCGGAATGCAAGAGAAAATGAAAGCACGGCGAACTTCCGCAGAATGTCGGTACTCTTGATGACATCAACGCCCCCTTCGATTGTGGCAAGCCTGGAGATTTGATACCCGACTACCACCAAGCCGTTGAGGATGGAAAGAAGTCCCACACCGTCCGACGCTGCTTTGGTGTGCTCATAAGAGCTGACGGAAAGTTGAAATGTGTCCAGCTCTTTCAGAGTGTACGTAATGAAGTCCTCTAAATCGGTGTGATCCTGGAAATAGAGGCTGTCGCTGATATAGGCGACCACAGACTGGACTGAATGCGTAGCCTTTCGCAGCAAAGTAGTGCTGTGTTGGGAATTAGTCTCATCGAGGATGATGGATAGGATTTCGGTGAAAGCTTGATGCATAATTGCTTTCGCGGCTGGACACCAGTGACTGCAGCGGACGGCATGCTCCGTTCTCGGTGCCACGACCAATACGTATGCGTCCGTGGCTTGAAACATCCGGTTTAGATCAGTCATAGCTGCCATTGTCTTTGGAAGCAGTCCGACCTGTGCAAATTTCAATGCTGGCGAAAGCATCTTCTTTTGAAGTGACGTGGTTTTTGGAGGGCTCTGGAGGTCACTGTAAATTGTGAAAGGGTCGTAGAACGGGCGCGTGTGTCGACTACCATCAGGATTCGAACCTCGTACAAGATCGCTTCCAGCATTCTCATCGTGCAGAACATCATCATCGACGCTGCGAGACTTCTCTGGGGAATGTTTTCTGGCATTGGTCAGCATCATTGGGATCCGAAATTTCTGGTGGAGGAGAGCAACTGCACCTTTGAGGCTGCGTCTTGCGCCTACGGGCTTGTGTAGGACGCGGAAAACAAGCTTCGGGTGCTAGAGCTGTCGTATGAATGTCGACTCTTTTCTTTGCAGGCCTTGGTACGCGTCTCAAAGTCGAGACCGGGTGGGGCAGACTGCCAGCATCGTCAGTCTGGTTTTGGCCCAGAAAGTATGGCCGTTGTCCACCGACTAAGAGCCCATTGCGATGTCGCGTTCGAGGTGCGAAGTAGTCAAGGACGGAAGCAGGGGGATTGGGTCGATCCGAGGGAACAGCTGGCTGCGAGTATCGGCTTTGATGGCTTTTGCGGATCCGCTGAAGAGTCGACCTGGTAGCCAGCTTGAGAGAATCAAGCTCAGATGCAGTTTCGCCAACGTGTTCCTCGCTTCTGTTGTTGATGGATCGCGCTTCAGGGCGTGCCTGAGTGTGAGAGGGACTGCAGCTTGTGCTCTGAGCAACAGAATCGAATCTCCTGTTGCCTCTTCTTCTCCAAAGGTCTAACTCTTTGTTCACATCTGTGCTATCCTGCATCGTGGCCAATTTGAAGAACTTCCTTGACGGCTCTTGTGCAATGCTTTCAGCACATTTTGTTTTGCGTCTTCCTGCAATCCTGAGAAATTGGGGCACCTCCTTCTCTTTGAATCCGGGAGCATCCAGAATAGTCATTTGCGGCATTTTGTGTTTCTTCTTGACACGCTTGCGCGTGCGTGGATTGTGCTTCGAAGTGGCGTTAATGCTCGATCTGACACTTTGACGAGCATGTATAACAGGCTCATGCCTTCTAGTACTAGGCGCAGAAGTCGGATTTGCCCAAGCTTCCTGTAATCTTTGCTGTTTCTTCCGACCAGATAAGCGGTTTCGAGCTCTTGGAACAAGCATAGCATCAATAGAGTTGTCCTCGATCACGTCGTCGACCAAACCGTCTCTCCCGTCGCCATAGAGCTCAGTGACATCAGCTATTACAGGTTCATCCGACTCACTCTCAGCCGAAACATCGAGCATGTCAGTCATTGGTTGCAAATATCTCCCTGCTTCGCTTTGCTGTTTGGATCTGGGAACGCGCTTCGCAAGTCCTTTGTCCAAGGCATTTTTGACTGGTGATCGCCCATGCCTCTTCTCAACATCTTTGACCTGCTGTTTTTTGAGGTCCAGCTTCAGCCAAGAAGCAGGCAGTACGCCTTTGATTCTGCGTCGAAGCCCTTGGGCACCTTGACGATCATCATCGGAGCTTTCAGAAGAAAGACCGGAGCCGTCAATGCCATCACTTTCGGCGGCCGCCTCCGAGTCAGACGAACTTGGAGGGTCAATGAACCTTTTCAACCCCTGCTTGTCTGAGGAGAATAACGGAGTTGGAAGAAGCGCAGGCGTAGTGCTGCCTGGTAACGGTGCATGGTTGCTTGATCTCGAAGTGTCTTGAGACGAAAGAGTACTGCGAGATCCAGGGGGCGAAGGTGGAATGATAAACCCTGGTTTACGTTGTCTCGGGTTCTTGCTAATGGTCTCTTCATCCCCGGGAAGATCATAGACTCGGAATTCGTCGTTGACATCTGTTAAGGACGGTTTTGGGTCAGGCTTGGCAACCTTCAATCCCTTGGTGGATTTTACAAGACGTTGGGCCATACGGCCTCTCAAGAGATCCGACAACTCCGGAAGATCGTCGTCGAACAACGCGTCAAAGGTGTGTAATCGACCTCGTGCGACACGTACAGGGCTCTGAGACTCCTCATCCGTCCTTTCTTGCAATGGGCTGGAAGGATTCAGAGCTTCGTCCGACTTCTGCGCTTGACTGCTTTCATATACATCCATGCCTTGAGAATCGTCATCAGTGGCATTTGATGGTTTCGGGGCCTCGTTTGGCACTCGAACAGGTTGCAGGCCCCTTTCCTTCAAGCTCTGGCGATATTTGGCATCCTCGAGCGCGTACGGATGCAGTTGAATCGGATTTCGCGGTCTAAAAGATCTCCTCACCAGATGTTCTACCAGGCTCTGGTTGAGCGGAGCATCGGATGATCCCACAATGCTGGAAGGTGCAGTGCCACGTTGAGAAAAGGATTGGCGAGGAGAACGTTCTGGTGAGGAATGGAGAGATGAAAGAGGGCTGTCGGTGTCGTCTTCTACTCCATCATACACATTCGCCAGCAAATCCTGAACGGTTTGCAAACCTCTCTGCAGTTCGACCTCGAGACGAACAGCGGTTGACTGAGCAGCGTGTGCCGGAAATGATATTGGCTCATCCGCTACAGACCGAGGATTTTGGATATTGTGGTCGTTAGCCGGTACTCCAATGTGTACATCGATCTGGTGTTGAGGTGAAACAACAGTTCCGGTGCTGGGATTATGCCTCTTTTGTGACTTGCTGGCGATATTGTCGTCGGTTATCGCTGACTCGTTGTCGAACCTGGCGGCAGAAGCATTTGGCGACTGGACGGCAACGGCGTCGATCCTGGGCTCCGTGACATTGCCCACCGGCTCGACTCCCAGCCCAACATTGATGCTTTCGGCCTCTTCCTCATCATCGGAGTCTGGCACGTAGCCACGCTCTCTCCAATCGGTCATCGCTGTGGCAGTCCATGTTAGGATGGTGGTGCATGGATTGTGGTAGACTGTGTCTCTTGCCGCCTCGCATGTCGCGTGTCTAGACGCGTTGGATCCATCCACGCCAAGGAATGGAAAGGCTGCTCGTGACTCGCGACCAACTAGGCGACTACTCAACCCCTCCAAGAAGACAAACAAACAGACCACCCTTCATTAAAACATTAACACAACTTGCTATAACATCGATATGCCAATCGAGTTACTTGACTATGGCTGACCATACTCCTCTCGGTCCACAGCCCAGTCCTGAGCGTATCCAAGAACATTTCCAGGGCCTCACTACGGAATTCGCCAGGCTACCAAACATACCTGCGTTGGCTTCTGGCGATGCAATTCTACGTGCCCTAGCAGAACTCACTGAAAAAGTTGATTGAAACATTGCTCAGATCAATGAAAAGTTCGATCGAAGCTTCGCTCAGATCAATCAGGTAATTGTTCAGCTCGAGCCTCGAATATTTGACTAAATTCCATCAGAGATTCAACCAAGTCGACCGGAGATTTGACCAGACCGACAGAAAAATCGACTCTCTCGCCGATCGGATTGTGGCAAGGTAAGTTATATCAATCTACAGTGATAAATACTAATTCTACAGTGACTACAATAGCACAGCTCGAGTTCAAAACTCACTCCTTGTGACGCCCAGTAGCCCACTATCCCCGCTGGTCAATCCAGCAAACAATGCCCCTGTCGAAGGGTTTCCTGCCAGACCTCAAGATATCTCGGCTATGGGGGCTGGGCAACTTGATTCTGTCATGCTAGATCTAGGACTACGTACAAATGGAACGAGATCGGCAAAGGAAAAGAGGTTGAGGCAATATATTGGCCTTCGACCTGTCTCAGGTGCATAAATGCCTAGGATTGTCTGCAAGGGGAGGAGAAAAGTCAAGGAAAAGAGCGATCGACCTGAGCGAGAAACTGTATCATCAGAGCCGTGTACAACATACTAATGAGAGACGAACTTTGTTACCATCCCCGTGCATGCTTTCAGCTGCCAAGCTGTTGTAATGACAACGACCTTGTCGATTAATGGCACGTGACCTAGAACCTTTTTCGTGAACGTAACTGCGACTCTCCGTGGCTTGTGAATCTTGGAGAAATGAAGAGTCAGGACGTCCGATTTATGAAGGCGGGCGAGAATGAGTCGTCGACTGATCGGCTGGGCTCTAGTGATTGGCTTCGGAGTTCTCAATGGTCTGTTCTCCCTTTGGTCACCATGGATAGAAGTCGCTAACCTTTTCCAAAGGCTACACAACTTTCAAACCAGCTTTCGAAGAACTAGAACTGGAAAAGCTCAGGAAAGCGTATGTGGAGATCTCGGATAAGAGTATGTGAATGGACACTGATAATGCTATGATCAGGGAACGTGATGCTGCCGACCTTGGACCCAATATGATCGAGATACCCGCGCAGAATAAGGAACTCGGAGTGGTGGCGCAAGCAGTCAAATCGGACAGGAGTCAGAGAATCGACGGCTGAAACCGGGGACTCATGTGCAGGGCATATAAAGAGTATGCTATGGACACGGTGCAAGGCGGAAGGCGAGCACAGAAGAAATATGGACATACGTGAAAGCGCAGCGATGCCAGGCTTCACGAAACCCTGTATTGGCTGCCTCCGCGGCAAACATCAGCGTGATCGGACGGCATCCCTTCATCTGTCCTCAGTCCAGTCCACATGCTGCACCAGCATACAACTTCTGTCAGCGCTTCAAGAACTAGCCCGCTAGTCTAGCGAACAAGAGCAATACCTCGCAACGAGGCCAGATACGCACGACGTTCTCAACCAGCCTGAGAGAGGGCCGAAACCCCTCCCACTCGTACGAGGGTTGTCTATTTTGACTTTCCATACTTCGTTCGACTCACCGCCACTGATAAACACCAGAATCCAGAGCGTTCACGGGAGTCGTCAAGTCTGTCGGGAAGCTTGAAGATATGAATGTGTTCGGATCTGAGCCGTTGGATTTGTGAACCGGAAGGCATATCGACGTCCGACAGCTGAGTAGCAACAGCGTTCACAGCTCGAAGGCAACCACCGTTCGGATCACCCATGCTCAACCTCAGCCACACATCAGTAGCCTCGGAGTGGCCTATCGCAAAGCTGAGTACAAGCTACGCTGGCTGGGCATGATCCCAGAGGACGATAGTCGATGATATATTCCAGATGACGTGCCACTGTCAAAACGAGTATCTTTGCTCGGTTTTACATTATAGGAACATAGGGTACATGATGGTGGCACCTAAGTGGGTGCTTCCAATATCAACGTTGCAAAATCGATATACCAGGTGACTTAAACATGTGAGGTTGCTTGCATACCAGCTATTGCATATTTCGCTATGCCAGCCTCTCCCAACTTCTACTTTATGCCATCTACTCGCTTCAATGATACTCCATCAACCACTCAATGACTATTAACGCCTGCCCACAGCTTACATACGTCACTCGACCTGCTGCACAAGAGCGCCTTTGCTCGATTGCAGCGATGCCTCGAAGTACCGGCCGACGTTCTTGCCTAGCCACTCCTCTGGAACTCCAAGCTTGAGGCCATCCCTCGTGCTAACCCATCTGGTGTAGAGCGGGTGGGCTCTCGGCGCAACTTCTTCCTCTTCGTAAGGTGATCCAATTGCCGCAGCCGCCGCAGCGAGAGTCTCTGGCTTTGGAGCTGCGCCTCTTGTCTTGGAAACTTGGGGTTTGAGCTGGGCGATATTAGCAAGTCATTCAACGTTTTCGCGGGCGAGTATAGCATACCAAACGATTCAACGCGGCCGTCTTTTCCTCCTGCACCTTTCGTTTTGTCAACTCTTTTCGTTTTCTGGCATGCTCGTCCTTCTTCATGGCCTTTTCCTCATCGGTGAAGAACTAGATGTCATCAGTCAAGCTTCGGCCGATGGGCTGCGAAAGGGTGCTCACCTTTCTCTGCTGTGGCGCCATATCCAATGCCATCAATGTATTTTGATCTTCGGCTCTACCTCGTTGCCTCTTCGTCATTTTACTCAGATCCGGCGTGGCACTACCCGAGGCTGGTGTCCCATCGCTGTCGTCCAGACTGTCGTCATCTTCTTCGTCCTCGTCAAGCTCTTCGTCTTCGACCGCGAGGGTTGTCTCTTCGACCTCGACCTCGACCTCATCTTCTTCGCCTTCAGCATCTTCATCATCGATATTTGCATTTGTCTCGTCGTCTTCATCGGACAGGTCTGACGAGGTTTCGACCTCCTCATCACCCGGGTCGTCCGCCATTTCTTGATCCTCCACAGACTTGACTGGTCCAACCTTGGCAGGGGTGACAACGAGTTTGGGCTTCGAAGTCTGCTTGCCATCTGACTTCCTCGCCGGTGGCTTCAGCGTGATCTTAGGCGCTTTCGGCGGAGCGTGTCGCTTTGGTGGGGGAAGCGGCGCATCTTCCATGTCAACGTCTTCATCGTCTTCGTCGTCTTCGTCGTCTTCGTCGTCTGTGCCTCCTTCGGCTTCTGCGCCGAGTGCATCGAAATCGTTCATCGCATCTTCCTCCTCCACCCCTTCTTCCTCGCCCTCCTCCTCGTCGTCGTCTTCTTCAGCGTCAAGTTCACTTTCGTCTAGTTCTGCATAGGTGGGTCTTTGATTGCTGCGAGTGCTGGACCTGGCGGCTAGAGCTGTTCTACGGCTGGATCGTGGACCATCCAACACCTGACCACCACCGAGAGTATCTTTTAGTGTGTCAACCTCATTGGCACGCATGACTTCGCGGAGTCTGCTTGGAGGTGCCTTTACTGTCAGCTTGAGACTGTGACGCCGGTCATCAGGCCAGGTTGGTCCACGCTGGACCGATGCAGAGGAGGTGGTGGTGGTGGTGATGGCCGAAGCTCCAAATCGACGAGGCCGGGATGAGGCCGGGCTTGAAGCCGTTGATGAGCTAGAATCGAGATCAGCCTTCCTTCTTCGAGCATCCTGAGTGTAGTAGAGCGTAATGAACGCCATGATGACAGAGTTGGTGAGAGTGTGATGATGCTTGGTTGGAAAGCACGATGGAACAATTAGAATTGGAATGGGGGATTTTGGTGGGCGTCATCTTGTAGAGTGACTGTCAACTGGAGTCTCTAGGTCCAAGGCGGTGATAGCTTCAGTCGCTGGTGCAATATTTCCTTTGTGCGCTAGGGCTTCCAGTCGTGGTCATTCACGGTGTTTTCATCACTAGCTGGCGACAACAAACCAGGCGGATTGCAATGCGCGTGCCCGCCATCGCCTCTCCTCTGGCAGCCTCCCATCATGTTTACTGACATGGAAAAGACAAGGGATACAAGAACGGTTTACTCACTCATTTCTGCCTGCTCTGCGCATCGAGTCTGCTATCCGAGGATCGTAATCTTCACCACTGCCTGTATCTGACTCTTCGGAAATGTCTTCAGTCAAGTCGCTGACCTGACGTCGTACACGCCGGCCTCGATCTGTCATTTTGGAGGCTCGGCTAGGCTTTGCTTCGTTTAGCTCGGCAGCCACTATCCTGCACCGTGGCGGTTGATCCTTGTTGAGGTTTTTGCGGTTAATCGTGTCTCTTCTTCCGGCTCCGGTCGTTATGCAAGGACAATACCTCAAGACTGTACACTAAGTCGTCCAAAATGTCTCAGAAATACGAAGATCTCTTCAATCTAAACAACCCAAATATATCGCAATATTGGCGTTAAGGAGCAATATGAGAACGAAGACACGAGAGGCAAGGGGGCGTATTTCGATGTGCTTGGCCACTTGTGGCTGTGACTCCAGCCCCAACCTTCTTGAGCCGAGGCTGCTGTTCGATGTGGTCATCCAGCATCATTCTGCCAGACAGTACCTCCTCATCCATCGCAGACAATCTTTCTTACTTGCGCCTCAGTAACCTCCTCAGCGTGCACTATGGCAGATCAAGGCCCAAAGAAAGTCCCCTCAATCCCTGTATGGCAGCAAAAGTCCTCTCAAGACCTGCCGCAACCCAGCGCAGACGATGAACCTTCATCTGACACAACCTCGACAACCTCTTCGTCTCCAGAACTCTCTGTCCTCGAACAAGCCCGCAAATTCCTCGAGGATGAATCAATACGAGACGTCTCTCGAGAGCGCAAAGCCGCCCTCCTCGAGAAGAAAGGTCTAAGTTCAGACGAAATCCACCAACTTCTCGATTCAGAACACCCGTCCTCCGACGACACACCCTCAGACCTCAAGACTGTCCACGACAGCACACAAACACTCAACAACAAGGCACCTGAATCCTCATCTCCCTCGGCCTCACCTTCTTCTACACAGACACCAGAGTCAACCACATCTCCCAGACGCGACATCCCCCCTATAATCACATACCCGGAGTTCCTCGTCAAACCCACCAAACCACCACCGCTCGTCACCTTCTCCCGCCTCGTGAACGCCGCCTACGCTTTCGCCGGCCTCGCGACCCTCACATACGCCGCATCTAACTACATAGTCGAGCCCATGCTCGAAACCTTAACTTCCGCTCGCCATGACCTCTCCTCAACCGCGCTCTCCGACCTCGACCAGCTCAATTCAAAACTCGAATCCGTCGTCTCCCACGTCCCCTACATAGCCAGCACCCAGCATCCCAAACCCTCTGACGAAACCCTCTCCGACACGTCCTCCGACTCGGACCCAACAGAGCTTTTCCACCGCGACATCGCGACGCAAACATCACCTCACCCCTCACCCTCTCCGTCCGAGTCGTCCCCATACGGATTCGCCGCTTCAGACCCGACAGCCCGCCAATCCACGCGCCTGCGCTCTCTGCACGGCACGCTCTCATCCCTCCTCACGTCCACGGACACGCACTTCGCCCAGGACAAGCTGAAGGAGAGTGTGACCGACTTCCAGACCGTTCTCGACAAGCTTTCCAATACCTACAACCCCTTCCAGACAAGTTATAGCGGGTCATCATTCACGAGTTATACTTCCACTGGCGTTGGTGCCAATGCCGAAGATAAAAGCAGGACAAAGAAATCCTCCACGTCGGATAATGAAGCCGCAAGGTTCAGAGCAGAGATCCGCGCGCTGAAGGGCGCCTTCTTGAGTTCAAGGAATTTTCCGACGGCGAGGCCCGCGGCGCCTTTTACTTTGCCTGGCAGTGCGAGATGAGGATTCCGGGTTGAGTCTGAAATCGAATGTGGAATTGCTGATTAGCGTAGCGGAGCCTCAGAATCGTTCTGCACTATCTGCAAAAATGAAGCAAATCAAGTGCTGTTGTTTGGCTCATGCAGCATAATGGTGCTGTATATAGGACCACTTCTCGACGAACAACTCGGTTGTCTGCCGTGGAGTCGTTATCGTACTCCCAACGTGACAATACCTCAGTTCTCAACGGCGCCTTGTTAAGTAGAGAGGGTAGCCTTCCTCCTACAAGTAGTATAGGATAGCAACACTCAAACATGTCAGCATCCAGAGTCCAAAACAAATCACAAAGCACACTTTATCGTTTTCTACATCAGTGAGCATATGAATCATAGCGTTCACCACCCCCATACCCTTCATCCTGGCTCCTCATGGCAGCATCATAACCTTTCCTCACCTCACGAAGGCCACCCGACGATTTACACGCTCCACACACTCAAGGCGTCGCTCTACACATGCCGACCAATCTCTTCACGCCAACCATCCAATTCCCACATTCTTCAACCTTGTTCGTATGCACATCCATCTGGATGTCACTTGCCGTCTGGAAATCGCGGTTCTGTAGAGCGGTCGCCAGCTGCGCAATTTGCGCCACCGTGTCCGGCTTCAGAAGATCCTCGTTGTTAAGGTGGTCGAACAAAATATCCAGGCGTTTCTCGGTGTCGCGGACCTGTGGCTCGAAACTAGCAGGCGCCCGGCCCTTCACGCGTGCCATTTCTGATGAGAGAATCTCGAAGACTGGCTGTGCGGATGGCGGGATGTGACTACGATCGCCTTTGGCTACAAATTGGTTAGCTGGGTCTAGAAACGTGAGGTGCGACCAAGTCACAACTTACGATGCTTGCGTGGCGGAGGGGCAGCGGCACGCTTCTCTGAACCTGCAGTACTAGCTGGTGGTGGTGTTTGTTGTGGCGGACCGCTGGGCTGTGGCGGGCCAGAGATGAATTGCTGTGATGGCGTAGGTAGCGGAGGTGCTGAAGTCTGCTGAGGGGTTTGTGATGTCGGTGCAGGGCCGTATGGACTAGGCCGAGACTGTTGTATGGGTTGGGAAGGTGCATAAGGGTTCGTGGGTTGTTGCGGAGTATGGAAAGACGATCCCTGCGGCGGTGGCGCAATTGTAGGCCGTGCAGATGGTGCAGTTGTAGGTTGCGAACCCGGAGCGGGAGCGTAGCGATTGGGAGCGGATGGACCATGTGATGGCGGAGCGTTGTACGGTGATGGGCCTCGGGGGATGGGAGGAGACATGATGTTCTGCCCTAACGGGGGCGAGGTCACCGATGGTGGTGCGTATGCATTGCCGGTTGATGAGCTAGGTCGCTCAAAGGGAGCTTGCGGTGGTCCACCAGCCAAAGGGGAAGTCACGCGGGGTGGAGGAGCTGAGCCTTTGGGAGGGGGCGGAAGAGGTGACGCTCGCTGTCTGGAACCGAATGGAGGCGCAACAGGAGGAGACGGCTGCTGAGCCGGGGCCGGGCTATAGGGGTTGGAGACAGGCTGGGCCGGAACACTAGGCGTGGCTCTTCTCGAAGCAGGTTTGACGAATCCTTCTGGGATATCGTTCCAGTTAGACATGTTCCTGTCTTGTGATGGAGGTGGGACTGCAGGAGATTGAGTAAATCGCGGAGGAGGTTGTATCGGTGGCGCTTGTGGCGCTTGTGGCATACCATACTGAGCAGGCCCTGGCGGCATCCTCATCTGTTGGGGAGCTTGATAGCTACCAGCCGGAGCATATGGGTTGACAGGTGCTCCAGGAGCCGTCGGAGGTGCATAGGGGTTTGCAGGTTGAGAAGGAGTGCCACCATAGGGCGTGGGGACCTGAGGCGCCGCAGGAGTGAAAGCAGTCGTTGGCGGCTGGAAGGCTGACATCGTGGGTAGTGGTTTGTTCCTCGTCGATGTTGAGGTTGCTTGAGTAACGGCAGGAGCTAGTGGCTTCTTCCTAGCTTTCTCAAGTCGAGTCCTTGCAACATCTGCTCCAGGGTATGTGGCAGGAAGCAGGTCCAAATATCTCTGAGCAACCTCTAGCTGGCCCGAGCCAGCCACGATATCAGCATATTCCAGGTATTTGCTGTAGAGGGACTCCAGTTTCCAGTCTCCGTCTTTGGACAATTCACTGTCTTGGAAGTGGACCACCTTTCTGAATATGGTGACCTTCTCGATAAAATCTTGCAGGCCATGAGCATGCAAGGAGAAGGCTGATGTTGCGTCTGCCTCTGCTGCTCCGGCTTCTTCATGCTCTTTAAGCTCTTTGATCCAAATAGCAACCACCTTCTCCAGTTTGGAACCCGCCAGGAAGCAGAAAGATGCATCCTTTCGAGCGACTGAAGACAAGTCATCTGCCTGCTCTTCAATTCTGTCACCGAGAGCTTCGCAAAGATCAGGAAACTCCTGCTCATCGGCAAACGTGCACAGAGTTGCCATGACCTCCTTCCAGCTGGACAAATCGGCATTGTGAACAGTATCCCACAAATTCTTGCCCACCACAGAAGCGAGGAGCCGGAGATAATTAGGGCCACCAGATTGCTTCGCAAAGTAGGCTTCTTGAGCTTTCTTGATACATGCTTCGCCTCCACATATTGCGATCATGAATGCATCCGACATCCTATCCTCCTGCAGACATACATCCAAAGCCTTGTCAAAGTGGCCGAGAATGAGAGCTCGTGTTATCTTTCGATCGGCTTCCGATTCCGAACCAGTGTAAATCTGGAAGGGATTGTTCGTTTTGGTGCCCTTCGTTGCTGCAAGTTCAGACAGAAAATCGCCATCAGCAGAGCTTGCAAAGATGGATTGGAACCGCTTGTGGGACTTTGACGTGCCGTTCACAGGGGCGCTCGCAGACCCAGGCTCCTGTTCGTCGAGGCTTGGCTGTTCAACACCGTTGGTTGCGTCTTCTGTGGTACCCTCGATTTCCAGATATTTGACCAGTCCCGCTCTGGGATTCTTGGACACCAGTGTCTCGATAACCTTCCAGTCAGCCTTTTCTTCATCCGACTTGGCGGCCGCCGCTCTCTGCTCGCATAAAGAAGTGAGATCTCCGGATTGGAGTGCGTTCTCAAACGTCTCAGTCGCACTTCCTACGCTCGAATCAACCTCGAATTTGCTGATGCAGACTTTTGAGGCTCTGGATTTGCCAGGGTCCGCTTGCCGAACACTTATGATCCTCCCGCCAAAGCCGAAAGAAACAGAGACCGGTCGCTCAAGCCATTTTGGCGCCTTTAGCAGGGAAAAGGAAGACGTCTGAGGCTGTGTCTGGGCCCTTGAGAAGAAGTCTTCACCATCAGCAACCTGGCCCTGATCGGTTTCCGTGCTGCTAGGGTTTGTGTTTTGAAGGGTCTGAATCTGAATTTTGCCATCGAAGGACGCTGTTGCGAACATGTTCGGGTTGTGTGGGTTCCACCTCGTTTGGAATGTCCAGTTCGTCACAACGGGATAGTCGCCATATGGCTGTCCTGTCTGCGGGTTCCACAGAATTGTCCTGTTGTCTTTGCCGCAGGATAGCAGCAGGTCATGATCTTGAGGGCACCAGGAAAGAGACAACACTCCAGAATCATGCCCGCGTAAGACCTTCTCTGGGGCATTCGAGTTTCTCAGATCCCAGACCAAAATTACTGGCTCTTGGTCCAATGAAACAGCTGTGATCAACCGTGTAGGTTTTTCAGGATCCCAAGCGACGGCACTGGCTGGTTTCCGTTGGTAATTGTTGAGCGTTAGGCTCTCTTTCCTCGTCTTCATGTCCCATACTGTCACGAAGCCTCCGTTGCTTCCCGTAGCAAGAATATTTGACACTCTCTTGTTCCAGTCTAGGCAATCGATATCGTCTCCACGCGCCGACGGGTTTCCGAGTCGTATGGGGGCGTCGAGGTGGTTTAGATCTGAAATGAACAGTTCACCTTTGGCTCCGCCGGTTGCGAGGAAGTTTGGGATCTTCGGATTGAACTGCAGAGCTTTGATGGAACCGGTGTGGATCGCTTTGTCGAAGAGAGAAGCATCAGCTGCATTGTTTATGATCTTATCCGCATCCCAAAGGCCCAATGAGCCGCTGTCGAAGGCTCCCGCAATAATCCCTCGCTTATGAGCTTCTTGCGCCGGCGTCCAGGCGAGATCGTGGAATCTAGAGTACATTAGATTGGGTAATCTCCCTAAATCGAAAGTACATACCCAGATTCCGTGGGCAGGGTGACAGTTGGCTGTAGTTCCTGGCCCTGTTGAGCGTTGTCGAGGGCGAGGTCCCAAAGCTCAAGACAAGTTTTAGTGCTGAAGTCCGCTGTCACAGCACCGGATTTGGTGCCGGTTGCTATCCAAGGGGCTGTGGCATCTGCAGACCAAGCGAAAGCCGCAGTGCGTGGTATCTCTCTGAGGCGCACCATGACGGAGGTGGACGTGAGACAGGGAGAGGAGGAGGAAGTGAGAGGAATGAAACTACTGAATCATGCAGCAATCGAAGTCGAAGCACGCCCGAGAGACCAAACTCAATGCAAGCAAACAGCTGTCCTCTAATCAATTCATGGTACAGTGTATGCAACTTTTTGAATTGGACACCGTCGTTTCTCCAGATTCATTCTCAAATGTCCTTGGCCCAAGCGTCATCCCTGAGCCTGAACATAATGCGGGCCGTTGCGCGCTAACCATTATCTTGTCTACGAGGAAAGTTAACCGGGTCTGACAGTGTCCGCAGTTGATTCCACGAGACGAACAGGCTGGTGAATACTACTTCCCAGCTCTTTACTAAGTTATGAAAGGCTCTACATCTTCGAGGAAGGCTTGAATTCGCTCTAACAGGTTTCCCAACTACTTCAGCACCGGGCTGCTGACTCCTCTCCCGAAGGAGCCTGGAAAAAGACGAACGAAAGTGGCTCGGTAGGAAGTGCATTTCGTTGTCAGACAGCTTCGAATTCTCAAGACTCCTTCACCACGTGATATCAATTTTTCCTGTGCTCGACTTCCATTTTCATCTGGCGGTGTTCCTCTTTCAAGCGGGAAGTGAAGTGTTTGCAAGATGGCCGAGGCCCCAAGTCGGCCAAATAGTACAATCTATGTGGGCGGACTCGACACAAGTCTCGTAACGGCTGCCACGCTGTCCGAGGCTTTCATTCCATTTGGCGAAATAGTCGACATTACGCTGCCCAAGCCGGAGGCGCCTTCTTCCACCGATCTACACCGTGGCTTCGGATACGTCGAGTTCGAAGACGCAGCTGATGCCAAAGAAGCCATCGACAACATGGATCAAAGCGAACTCTACGGAAGGGTAATCAAGGTAGCAATGGCAAAGCCTGATAGAAAGGAAACCGGAGAAGTTGGGCTAGGAAGCACAACCGCTATTTGGGAGCAGGTATGTCTGAATTGCTGCCTTCGTGCTCCAAATATTCGGAAGTGCGGCTCAGGAACTAATGTTTGTTATAGGAAGGCTATCTGGCCAAATATGCAGCAGCGGCCAACGAGGACAGGGAAGCCGTGGAGCATTCAAGGAACGAGAAGCCAGAAGATCCGATGCAGGGACTTGAAGGCCTTGATGTTGCTGGACCGAGAACGGAGTGAGATCAGGGTCATGTTGGTCAAGCCCTTCAGAAACGAATATCCAACCGTCCGAAACGCAATGTCTTTTGCGCCAGTCGGATGGTTACGTCACCACCTGTCTCCCGGCTACATTCCAGCCGTTATGAGGGACTCGGCGTCTCCAGAAGGTCACCAGGAAAGCCGTCATATCATCAAGGCAGTCCTATAGACCGCTGGAAGTCAGGAGAAGAGGGCGTCCCAACCGCTTCGCTGGGGACTTCTGGGGTGACTGGCGGCTTTGGAATGGCGAACGAAGAAAGCTTCGAACTGAAAACAAGCATGAGAGGAAACACCAGGGACCGGATTGAGCAAATACATGTCTCAAGGAGATCACCGTTGGCATTCTGATTCGATATATACACTTCCATACGGTATGGACCTCGTCATATTCGGCAATGTTGATGCTCTTGTCTCTCTCTTCACTTAGTACAGGACTCGTCGTTCTCGCTTTTGGCTTGTCTTCCTCAATGTTGTTTGGGAGAAGACTTGTGCAACCGCAGGGTTTTGTCTGTCATGAGCTTTCTGGTCATGGCGAAGACAGCAGCGAAGACAGCGAAGCTGGAAAAAGTGAGCAGCTGTACCAGGCTGAAAGGGTCGCGATTTCGGGACATACAGGATGACAACACCAAGAGGGATCAATTCCGGAGGAATCCTCTTGAGACTGCGAAGTCTTTGGGTGATGGTGTGTGCTGCAGGACCTCAGTCAATTGCTCATTAGTGATTTTCGCGTTGACAGGCTCACCGCTTTGGTCATCCTCCTGAACGCAAGAGTCAGTCAAGCTTCTTCAAAATTATGCCCACAGTAACTTACCTTTGTTCTAAACATCGCCCTGGAGTTGTGGAAGGGTCTGGCTTGTCTGAGAGGGGTCTGGCGCAGAGCTGGCTGTCGGAAAGCCGGCTGCTTGAAGGCAGCTGCCCGAAGAGGCTGTAGCCTCATGAGTCTTGCCGTGTTCATCGTGTTGGCGTCGAAGGAGTGGAGAGTTGGCAAAAGTGCTCAATTGATATCTGCAGAGGTTCAATGATGTAGAAGTCGCAGCCGCTCAAAGAAGCTCTGGCTCGCGGGCAGGCGACGAACCAATCAAGATCCCGCAATTCTGGGCTTGGCGGGAAACTGCAACCTCCGAATTGAAGCTCCCTCAGGTGACACTTCGACTACCATACAATCGAGCTACAGGACTTTGACTGTAGCCTCCTCCTACTTCGACACCTTCGTCAATCCGCCCCTAACTTACACATCTCCTTCACTACCGTCAAAATGGTCGAAATCGAGACGCCTGACGCCGAAGAGCTCGGAGGAAACGTTACCAAGCCATTTAAGTTCGTTACCGGTATGAATCCCTCTGTTGTTCGCTACCAATTTACTCTCCTGATATTGCTCTGACACACAAACAGTTGGCTATGATGCTCGATTCCCCAACACGAACCAGTACGTTCCTTTGACCGATCACCTCATCCCACGGCCCAGCTAACGGTACCCTAGGACGAAACACTGCTGGCAAAACTATGTCGATTACCACAAATGTATCCTAGCAAAAGGCGAAGATTTCAAACCATGCAGACAGGTATACCACGCTTTCATTGTTGAACAGACAGAGGAGAGCGCTGACAAAGCGGTAACAGTTCTACCTGGCATACCGATCACTTTGCCCGAGTTCCTGGGTCGCCAGATGGGATGACCAACGCGAAGCCGGAAACTTCCCAGTTGACTTGCAACATTAGACCAAATCGAAGAGCTGTGGAAAGAAAAGGGACTCGCCTCAGGAGTGGAGAACGAGCGTGCACTGTATATAGAGATGAATGACAGCTCCTATCGTCCCTCACACAAGTCCGCTCTGTTTCCTGGAGAGCTCAATATTTTCTGGGACACGCGACTCATTCACAGTATGCCGGCCGAACCGACATTTGCGATGGTTGTTGTTCCCATCAAGGCGATGGACGTCGTCCAACCAGATACAAGGACGATCGTGCAAGCTCGAAATCACCGATCTGGATTCTGCTCATCAGGACACCTGAATTTTGCAAGAGTGTTCCAGGTTGCATGCTGAGTCGAGAATACAACTCATGTCGATTGCGCCCTTGTACGAAATACGGTCGATCAATGTCCCAGACGCAAAAATGAACCTTTCTCAAGTACGTCAGATTGCAAGCACGTATCCCGTCCGAACGAACCGATTTGTGATGCTCGCTACACGTGCAAGGCAACTACCTTCGTGACATCACCTTACTGTATTGACGTATAAACCTCGTAGCATGTGCGTATTCTTAGAAGAGGTTAATCTAATATCTTTCGTAGTAGAACGGTCTGAGAACAAGGAACAATAACACAACATGGCTGATGTATGCTATCTCCCTCGAACTTGACTAAGCCTCCCACGGTTGGGTTCATGCGCTGAAAGGAACTCGACTAACATGACATTTACACATGTAGAAATACGAACACCTCAGCGACGAGGACAAGAAGATCTTGGAAGAGCACCATCGGAAGTCCAAGAATCCTGAAAATCCGGAGCACCCAAGGTAAGTTACATCATGGCATACCATGACGCCCGCGGTCATTAGATCGAGAGACTGGAGAGCTAGCTAATACCAAATCCAACCTAGTCATCCAAAGGTAAGATAGAGAAGGGCACAGGCAAAACATACCAAAGCACATACCATCCTGCTTTTGTTGTTGTCCAGCGAGTGGCAGAATGGACGCTGACAGATACGAAATGCAGCACCATGAGTTCCTGAAAGGTCTTGTGCAGCGATTTGGCAACGCTGCTGTCTTCGGGGCCGGTGCAACGGCGGGGAGTGATGTGATTAATGGTTTGTTCAAGTAGGAATGAATTTCCGGGAAAAGGAATACGTGAATATGCAAAGCAATATTGATGCAGGATATCTCATGCATGACGCTGGATAGATCATTCGAGTCCAGTCCACCTCGGTTGCAATTCCCCAGGACCTACCGTCATAAGTCACCCACGGTCACCTACCTAGGTAATTAGTGTGCCTGCCTACAAGGGCTTCCTACTCGACATCCAGTACTGGGCCGGCTCGCTGTCCTTACTCAGTCTGCCGTCCTGAGCGCTCGTGGTTTGCATCAGTAAGAACATCCTTCACTTGCGACTGACAAGGAAGTGCTTAATGGGCCACACTGTGAGTGTGTACCAACAATACAAACGCAATCGCTCGAGGACCGTCTCTCGACACAATCTCCGTATCAGACTGAAATGGAAGTTGAGTCCAGAAGCCTTGCATCACAAGAAATGGTGCAATGGGAGACAACACAGAATTCCACGTGATTGTGGCTGGTCGGTTTGGGTCTGATTGGCCTGCATTCGCGAGCACATATGTATTCGCTGGCAGATTGGCATTCAGCGGTATAAGAATGGGGATTGACCACTTTGCATGTCAGTTGGAATATACCATAGCATTAATATCGTGCTGCTTGGTGAGAATGTCATTGGTCCATGTGTCGCATTGGATCGGCTCTTTTTGCAGCTCTTGACACTCAGAAGACAGGGGATGGTACATGCAGGCATACCAGCAGGCACTCTCCCACTGTGCAGCAGTGAGAAAAAGCCGACTACCTCATGAAGCCGCTCCGAATGAGTCGCGAATGGTCTATTGGATATCTGAGGTAAGGCTCGAAGATCAACCACCGCCGTCACCACGGATTTCAGCGTTGCACTGAGGGCTCTTGTCGTACCACAAAGCCAGAGCAATGTAAAACGAGCAAAATAATCTTGCGCTCCCCGATATCAATGCACATGCTTTTACTTTTTCACCGAACTTCTTCTCAAGGCTTCCAACAACTCCGGACGTGCTTGCAAAAGTTGGACGGCTTGAGCGTAGGCGTACCACTGTCTGGACCTCTTGTGTTTCTCGGGCCAATTTGATCTTTCTTCGGTAACGGTTGCTTCGAAAAAGTGATAGCTCGCTTTGGGAGCATTTTTGGAGACGGCACTTGTAGGTCTTGTATCAGGAATATGTCCGAGGTCTTTGTCGACCCTGCAAATGATACCGGCTTCTTCCCAAGCTTCTCGTTGGGCGGCCGCAGATGCTGTAGCCTCGTCTAGTTCCCATCCGCCTTTAGGGAGAACCCAGCCATTGCGGTGTGTAGACTGTATCAGGAGGACTCGTGTCTTGTCTGAGGAAAGAGGCACAACGCCAGCCACCAGTCGCTCGCCTTTCGGACCGTAACCTGAAACACAATGAGTCTCCGTGTACAGCAACAGCCGAGTACCCTTGCTTACGTTGATTGTTACTGCCGGTGCGCGACGTCATAGACAGGTCTTTGGCCATGATGGTGAAGACGACAAGCCCGGACACCAGCCACGCTTCCAGGAGAAAGGAAGGACTTTTATTTCTTCTTGCTTGGCTCTGGTCCCAAAGGAGTGAAAGCGAATGTGCAAAGAGACGGTGAAGACAGCACGTGGAACACTGTCGAGCTGTTCCGGTGTGTGGGTGGGCGTGGCTCGGTCGGTCGGTCTTCAAGAAGAGAAATCAGGGCAGAATCACAGAGGAGCCATGGTTGCGTTGGGGCAAAGGAGGTTTTGCGAAGCAGCGCAAGTTGAGACGAGAGGCCTTCAGTCCCGTGTAGAACGGGGCTGAGGGAAGAGGGTTGACGTGCACCGCAGTCTGAGATCGGGAGCAGCCATAATTTGTAGATTTCTGGCAAGTGGTTAGTTTCTGGGGTGGACACGAACTGAAAGAAAAGAGTAGCGGTGGTAACGTTAAAACTAGAGCCATCAGAGCGCATCCACAGCTTTTTTCCATGCACCCAGAGAGCCATTGTGGGCTAACGAAACCTGGCAACTAATCTGGTTCGCTGCATGACCTGCAGTGGTTCCTTGCCCGTACATCGCATGCAGCAACGCTGTCCTTCGAGGAGCACACGACAAACACACACGTGCCGCTCTTCGACTTCATACTGGTCTAAAAGTGACCTGCTCTGCTGCTGCCCTTCCCCATTCCTCCCACCATCCCTTCACCGTCTGTGCTGCTCACGCGAGCGCCTGCTCCTGCTCGTGGGGGTCCCAGCAAGGGTCTTGAGCCTCCCAAAACTGCCTTAATTGGCCCTCCGGACGACGCCCTGTCATATCCCACCTTCGACATGTCCGTATGTTGTCCGGTTCATGTCTGATTCGAAAGCCGCCATTTCTTGTCGACCAGTCAGGTGACATCATAATTCATTGCCTGGAACACGTCTCCTTTCCAACCGGACAGAGCCATTCCGAAGAAGCGTTCGACAGATGAGATTTGCGGATCTTTGATGGTCACTTTGAATTCCTTCTGCACCCGAGCTTTCTTTTAAGCACCCCGCGGGCAAGATGACAAACGAAATCTCCCTATTAAAGCCACTAGGTGAGTCGACATTAATAACCACATTATTCATGGCGGCAGCAAGCTTTGTCTGGGCCGAGACCTGGGCCTGGGGTTTGGCGGCATCAGCCCAGCCCGCCAACTCGGGTCTTATCATTTGACATGCTACTGACTCCAATAACGCAGGCTATCAGAGAAAGAATTCTTGTGGCTACTGCAAGAATGCGACAGGCAGTAGGTCAGCCCTGTTCAGATATCCTGACCGGGTTACTTGACGCGTCCCATGCTCTGGCTCAAAGCTTACGAATCTCAAGGTTCATCGTATTACATGTCGTGTGACAATATGCGAGTTGATCACTATCAAGAGTTGATGGACCGCGGCTGGAGAAGGTCAGGTACTCTGTACTACAAACCAGACCTGCTGCGGTCGTGCTGTCCCCATTATACCATACGGTATATTAGCTTCATCCCAGTCATTTGAAGTTGCAAGCTCATGGTGGTAGGCTCAAGGCGTCTGAATTCAAGGCGAAGAAAGACCAACGTCAGCCCGTGAATCGTTTCAATGACTTCGTCCTCGGAGCAGGGTACAGGCAGCAAGCAGCAAGGTTATGCCCTCAGAGCAGAGAGTACGTCTCAGACATGGTCAATGCTGGATTACTCTGACTTCTTCAGAGAGAAGCGCAGAAACCGAGGCACATTTGACCTGCTAACGGCTGTCCACAAGGCCGAATATGATAATGTGAAGCGACCTGTGAATAAGAAGACTAGCAAGCTCATCGAACCGGCTCACAAATTCGAAATCAATCTGGAAGGCGACAGCTGCACAAAGGAAAAGTAAGCCGGAGAAGGGGCTCAATTGACACAGCTGACCGTCACCAGGTATGATGTTTTCCTCAAATACCAAATGCAAATACACAAAGACCCTGCTTCAAGATGGAAAGAAAAGGACTTTAAGCGATTTTTATGCAGTGGTCTTGACCGCAAGATCCTCAAAATTGGTGGCAAGACGATGAAACTGGGCTCTTACCATCAGTGCTACCGACTGGACGGTAAGCTCGTTGCAGTAGCTGTTCTAGACCTTCTGCCTCATGCTGTCAGCTCCGTCTACCTGTTGTAAGTATCAGAACATTCTTGTCCTCCGCTCCGAGAGTAACATCCTAGCTATGATCCTGAGTATCGGCAGTGGGACTTTGGTAAGATGAGTGCCCTCCGGGAAATAGCGCTTGCGTTGGAGGCGAAGTACGAATTCTATTACATGGGTATGCTTTATATTCCTCACGCCCGTACCCGGCTTATCATTGAGCAGGGTATTACATCCATTCCTGCGTCAAAATGCGCTATAAGGGCACCTTTTCTCCAAGCTATTTGCTGGGTAAGCCTCATCGATTGGAATCTGATTATCCGCTGAAGTTTCCAGATCCTGAAAGTCTCGAATGGTGCCTATTTGATGAGACCTACAAGCGCGAACTGGACAAGACACCGTACGTCTCACTGTCTCGTGATCGTAAACAGGGGCCTGTAGCAACGGACGAAAACAGTCAGTCACAGATTACGGCAACTTCGGCCTCAGAAACCACCAAAGAAAGGTCAACAATCTTTGACGACGAACAAGACCTTGAGTTTGATGAAGCACCAAGCGACGAAGAAGACGCAGAGATACCGGAAGGATCCATGTTCGACTACCACATCCCTGGTGTGCTCACCAAGGACGAGGTGAAAAGCCTCGATCTGGACCACTGGCGTCTTGTCGTTAGAAATAATTTGGTTGAGCTAGAGGTGAGCATGAGCCTAAGTTCGCTTGTTAAAGCCGTTCATTAACCGATGTACAGGACATCCGAGGTTGGGAAGACTGGAAGATTGATGATCCCGACACGATCAAAGGCATAGCCGCAGAATTGATCGCCGCAACTGGACCGAAATTGCTCCAAAATTCAGCACTTGTGCTTTTCTGAGCGGACACCTATCGTCCAGATGGCAGAAGCCCTCACATGGTTTTCCACTCTGGTATTCAACACAGGAGTACCCAAGAACAAATGTGCCGTGTAAAAGGCGTATGGTGCCGCCACTTTCGAGACTCAGTCCTCGAAACGACCAAGGACGTTTGGGTTACAGGCTATCTGTCTCACAAGGTTGGGCTGCATTGATGAGTCGAGGCCGTATGCGCCGTTCTTGCAGCCATATGGCCAATGGATGAGCGAGATGGTGCGGAGCTATCTATTCGGCGAAGTGCTCACATCTGATACAGATGTTCTCTGTAGTCGAGGGTGTCGTGGGAGGATGCTGCCGGCACTATGTGCTCTTCCGGCCGAGCTCAAGCTATCATATCGGAAACACTAGCCACAGACTCATTCGCCTTCGAACGGGCCTTCAATCACGCAGAACATGTCGATTCGGTGCTGAAAGATACAAAAACCAAGCCGTATAGCTTCGCTGGTACAACGATCAGGCTTGATCCCGGGCACTATCAGATCTGACTAGCTAAGGACTGGGCAGTCATCGTCCTTTGACTCTCATTGAACGACCTCGATTTCCACGGTGCTCTACAGCATTACCTTTGAGCATGGCATGGTTTCACTGTGCAGTCCCTGACACAGTGAGTTCACCAGCTTGCTGCGTGATTTTCACATGCTTGCCGTTTGTACCCGCCAAATTCACGACAAACCACAGCTGTATGGCTTCAAACGGCAGGTGAAGGTGGACGGCAGGCCAACTGCAATGTACTTAAGGATTCACTACCACGAGAGTAACAATCACCATTGTTCACCTCATGGCACAGTGACCCAAGAGAGGCAGTGACAAACCATTTGGTATATAAATGTGCTCATCTTGCAACCCAGCCTTCCTTGTTCCTTCATCATTCTCATCCTCAGCCGAGCTATCATTGTCCGAAAAAGATACCGACAAGATGAAGACTCTTATATTTCTCCTGCTCCTTACGACTATCGCGGCTGTCGTCCTCGGACACGTCAACCCCAATCACCAGAGTCATTCCCTCCCATCTCGTTCTCATGGCCAGCACACGGAATCACAACTCCATGGATCTCACGCCAGTTATAGATCGGTCGATGGTGCCCGCGCTCCGACATCGTTCGAGAAGCATCTGACCCCGGTCCCAACCAGCGGGATCGCGGACCACCAGCCAGCAACTCGACTTCCTTCGCACCCTCACGCTCATCCACAAGCGTTTATGCCGACTTCGCAGCCCTTGAGCTCAACAGCAGCTCCACTCATTACCCATGCGGTTGCAACCCACTTCGAGCGCGGCGGATGCCCCCCAGGCATCACACTATGTCCTGGCGACGGTGTTATCTGCTGTCCCTTCGATAGCTACTGCACGACTGACGGACTTGGAAACGAAGGCTGCTGTTATAACGGCGCGGTCTGTTCTGGTCTTGCTACAACCCCCCGAGGCTCTGTGATCACGGTTGCCGCAACACCAGTGCATGGCGCAGCGGCTGCGCACCGTCCTCTCAAGGTTTTCGCCTTTTTCGCTCACATCTTGCGACTTGTGACGGCAATGCCGGCCATCGAGAGAAAAGCGGAAGATCCAAGCAATGAAGGACCCAAAATCGTCTCCGAGGCACTGCCCCCAGATACTTGTGGTGCTCCCTTTTGCTCGGCTTCTTCGGGTATGCCTCGACCATGGAGGATATTTAGCGTCCTTGTTTGGTTTGCGAGGCGACTGGCTGCGGCGGTTCTTCCAATTGAAGAACGTGGCTCTGAGGCATTACCTCCAGATACTTGTGGAGCTCCATTCTGTTCGGCCGCAACACGCTCTCAACCCCGCCTCATGAGAGTTTTCACCATGCCGGTGCTATTTGCCAAAGGTCTGGTGGCACTTGCCCTCCCGGCCAACCAACAACAAGACAGTTCTGAAGTACTTGCCCCAGATACTTGTGGCGCTCCCTTCTGCTCAGCCGCCACACGGTCCGCAACAAATCCTCTCAAGTTCCCTGTCTGGTTCGTTGCTAAGGCCTCGGGCCTTTTCTCAGCCAAGGTTGTGGGATCGCCAGTCACCTCGGATGCTGCGGACAGCGGCCCGACTAGCAAGGCATCTGAAACGTTGAGCGAACAGCATGATTGTGGAGATACCGTTCCCGGCGTCGATAAGAACGCTCGAGAGGGCCTAGGGGTTGGAAGTGCTTTGGTGAGCACATGGGGCATGGCCCGTGAGAAGACTGCTATGGTTGTGGGTGGTTTTCGACAGCATATGCGAGGCATGAGGAGTGAGTTGCTTGGTTGGTATTAGCCCGGACCAGCCCTAGGCACTTGAGAGATGAGAGATTTCGACTGAGCAGCGAGCTCCAACACATGTATATTTCGACTTGATTTAGCAGCGCAGAACGAGACAATGGTATTTGATACAAGAATTCTTTTATTTGTGCCTTCATTCCACGAGCCTAGACCACCCTGCCGTCGGCCAGGGTGTCAGGGTCTTCGAGCCTCGTCATCGCAGCCTTGTCGGACGTTTAGCCGAAAAGGTATGTCAAGCGAGCCACAAAATTTCTAACAAGTGCCATCGGAGCTCCAGTCCAGTCGTGTGGTTCATACATCGTCCAACTCTCTGTTACTCTTCGCCTTCGCCGTCTCCTCCTGTGCTATTACTGCTACCTCCTTCCAAATTCTCGATACCGTGCACAATGCTTCGAAGACAGGTCCTGCGGCAGTCCCGCGCCATCTCAGAATCCCTCGCAGCATCACCGCAAATACGGCGGCGTTCGCCATTCTCTTCTGCAACCTTCATCTCTCCCCGGTCATCTGTGCCCGCCTCATACTCCTCCAGATTAGGCCGGAGATGGCAGTCCACAGAGGCTGATAAAGCTGCAAACGCCGACGAAAACATAGCTCCCCAGACAGAACAGACGAAAGCACCAGAGGCGAAGGAAGATCCTACAAAGCAGGAACTCGAGAAGGCAAAGAAGGAAATCATTGACCTAAAGGTACCTGCCACTTCACCCGGACTCCTCTATATCAAGTCTAACAAGAGGCGCAGGACAAATACCTCCGCTCGGTTGCTGACTACCGCAACCTGCAGGAGCGAACGAAACGAGAAACCGAGTCTGCACGACAATTCGCCCTGCAACGCTTCGCCACCGACCTGCTCGATTCCATAGATAACCTTGACCGAGCACTCACTGCTGTACCCAAAGAAGTCCTTGGAAATGCCACAACGTCAAACACCTCGTCCTCAGACCCCAACGCCGCTGCTGCATCGGAGTCTATGTCCGATGCGAACAAGCATCTCATCGACCTACACGGGGGCCTCATGATGACGGAAGGCATCCTGATGTCCACGCTGAAAAAGCACGGCATCGAGAGGTTCGATCCGCTGGAGGGCGAGGGGCGAAAGTTCGACCCCAACACCGACGAGGCGACCTTCTTCGCAAAGGTTGATGGCAAGCAGGATGGGGAGGTCTTCTTCACTCAGAGCAAGGGATACAAACTGAATGGCAGAGTCCTGAGGGCAGCCAAGGTTGGCGTTGTTAAGAATTCATAAGCTGCTCAGCTGCCCAAGAACGACAGAAAGAACGCCTTGTTTGCTGGTCAAATGGCTTTCCAGCATCCGGCCATCGACTTTTGACGATGACTGCATCTACTCTTGTACACTATTTAATTGACATCACTCTCCTGTCCTATGAGGCGCTTCCGAGAAGGGAGCAGCAGGAGAATATCCAACAAAAGCGATGATTTTGCAGATCTGGTGTTCGAGACTCCAATCACTGGGAAATGGACACGAGATAATAGACGGCTAACATGTTCCGTCAGGATAAAGGGTTGGTATAGCTTGTATATGGCATGATGATTGAGTAGGAAGGGTATATTATGACATGGACATGATAGTGCGTGATACACTACAACTACAACAACATCCTCCCAAAGATTTCACCCTCTATCTTGCACTCTTCTTCAACTCACTCACATTACCACAATAATCACAATAAGCCAATGGTTCGCCAGGAATACCAACGCCCATCTGTGGGTTAGAGACGGCGAAAACGCAAAGCTTTTGTAAATTGACCGACTAACTCGCTCGTCCGCAGTGAAGGAGAGACCGCTTGCTTTGCTTGCCTCTGCTGGACCCTGTTTTTCCCAGCAAATAAAATCAGTTAGCATCCGATACGCAACACATCCAGGCGTGAGCCAGTAAGTGAAATGGGGTTCCATGAACCCTGCTGGGAGATAGAAAATCATTCATTCTATCGCAGGGTTTCTTTTTCTTCTCTCAGACAAAGGTAAAGAGGTAAAGAGGTTTGTGCACAATAGAATCAACCCGCCCCGAAGGATGGTCATATGGGGTTGAAACAATGTGGAAATTTTGGCAATTCATCACTTGAAACCCGCACATTCGGGGGGGGAAGGTAGAGAGGAAGGGGCGGAAAAGAGAGGAGAAGTGTTGGCTTACCAGGAAAGCAAAACAAAACAAGCGCTCCCAACGAACGTCAAGTAGGCCGCCTAGAATTAAACCCAGATGATATACAAAAGCTCATTCCTCGCCCATACCCGTTGTAAAGGACAAGATGCCGGCGACACCTGCGGCACGGAAGCCAGCCCAGATGGAAGTTGGGCGAGAAAGCCAGCTTATCTCAATTCGACGCCAAACTGGCTGGCCATCCGTCTCGCGACCTCATCATGCAACCCGTTCACCTCTTCATTCGTCAAAGTCCTCTCCAAACTGCGATAGTTGATCCTATAACACAAGCTCTTCCGCCCACTAGTCGGGTGCACAAACTCATCCACGAGCTTGACATCCTCGGCGAGACTACCGGCGATATCACGCACGACCTCCATGATATCATTCTCGTGGAACGCTGCAGGCTGCGTCTCACTAGGCGAGGCTTTCGTTGCGTCTCCTCCAGCCGCAGCAGCAACGCCAGAAGTACTCGGCGCCTCTGCACCGATTGGACTCGCAACCCCGGGGCTGGGGTTGATCCAGAATGCGATATCCTTATAGCAAGGCGGGAATTTGCTGAACGGCTCGAATTTCGTGACTTTGCCGCGCGAAAATTGCCGCAGGAAGCGCCGATCATCCGACCAGAATAAGCGAATATCTGGGATTCCGAATAACAACATGGCAAAGCGCTCGATACCCAACCCCCAGGCCCAGCCGATACTGTACTTCAGACCAGCGTTGTTGAGAATAGGCTGCTGGACGACGCCACAGCCGAGCAGTTCCAGCCACTCGCCATTCCAGAGGACCTCGAGTTCGAAACTGGGGCTTGTGAATGGGAAGTATGCCTCGACCCAGCGCACCTTCAGCGGACCCGAGGCCTGGCGTGCAGAAGGGTCGAGCGATTCCTGCGAAGCTTTGTGGATTTGTTCCATCAGGTACTCGAGGCTGCGTTTCAGGTGGGACACGACGAGTTGGAGTTCGACGGGGTCATGCTCGGATTGCATTGGGTTAGTGTCGCGGGAGAAACTCGTGGCATTGTCTTCGACTTCTATACTGGTCTTGGGCAGGGCGTCCAGTTGTTTGGCCATTTTCGCGGTACGAATAGTTTGGGCGTGATAGCGGCTCTCAGCATTGGGAGGAAGGCCCCAGACACGAGCACCTTCCATTTGGTGAAAGACTGGGAAGTGTGAACGGTCGATGCTATCGCGGCGGTAGACATCGGCGCAGATGGTATAGCCGGATGTGCGTTTCTCTGTGGCCAGGGTCTGGAAGGCCGCGTGCTGGTGTGCGGAGGTGTGTGTGCGCAGAAGATGTGTTGAGTTCACGTAATATGTATCGGTTCGTGAACGGCCGGGGTGGTCGGCGGGGAAGCCCAGGACGTCGAAGTTGTCTTTGACCGTGACGACCGGGTCGGACATGGTGAAGTGGTTGTACTCGGGGTGAGGAAAGCATGATTCGATCAGCTTGCGGGTGATGCAGATAGGGTGGTCGGGGTGGTCATAGAGATTGCGGCCAACCAGGCCTAGGATAGAACTGGTTACATTGGTGGTCTGGTCGACGATGTAAGGTGTTCCAGCGATGGTCGCCTGTTGTTTGTACGATATTGTGTTTGTGTCCGACTTTTGCACTCCATCATTCTTGAACTCGGCAGTTTTTGCGGGGTCGACTTCCCGAGAGGCATTGACGGACTGTTCAGGAAAGGGATGATGCTCTTCGGTAGCAACCTGGGAGCTCGACCATCGTGAGGGAGTATAGGTTGTAGCCGGAGGAGCTCTTCGGTTAGGAATGGAGAGTCTGGCGGAACGAGCTGCCCTTAGAAAAGCCCCTGTTTTGAGGAGCTGCATTGGAGGTGAGCGATTCAGGCCGGTAGGTTCATGGTCTAGTAGGGAAATATCGACAATTCTTCGTTGAAGAAGCTTCATATTGCGGATGGATGCGGAGGTCGGTCCGACAGGCGAAAAGACGTGCGAAATAAGCGTCCATCTCGAAAGCGATATCGCATCTCGAAATCAGAATATTATGTGTCTGACAGAGGACTCCGCACCCCTACACGTGCCACGTATAATAATTCCTGCGCACTTCCTCGAGATATTCTGCGCCAGACAACTCCTCTTTTAGTCTGCGCCGGCCGTCTTTATATAGCCGAACCAAAAGATTTCGTCACCAAGCATTTCCAGCTGCTCTTACTCCGTACTTGTATCTGCTTTCTCTCCTCTAGTCATTCTCTTGTGCACGCCTGTCGCTCATTTTGACTCTCCTCTCCTCTCGTTTCGTTCGCCCTGACACCCGCCTCCCCGGATCGTGGATGTCCAATGGAGCCATGTCGACAAGCGCACCCCCAGCCCCAATCACCCGGCACGATGTCAACGAGACAACACCGTCCCCGAAGCCGAAGAAGCAGCAGGTCAAGACTGCGACGATACGCTACCCATTCTGGTTTGGCGGCAGCGCAGCATCCATGGCTGCGGTAGTCACACATCCTCTGGATCTAGGTACGCAGTGCCTTTCCCATCATCGCTCTCGGCTCTGCTCCCTCTCTCTCTCTCTATCTATCTGTCTCTCCACCACTCCGCGCCCTTCTTACTTCGACCTACAGCACTCCATTTTCCCATTCTCCCCGCGTTCTAACGGAATGAACAGTGAAAGTCCGACTCCAAACCCGCCCGCCCTCCGCCCCTACCAACACCCTCGGCACATTCACCTACATCCTCAAGCACGACGGACCAGTGGGGCTGTACGCAGGACTCTCCGGCGCCCTGCTGCGCCAACTCACATACTCGACCGTGCGCTTCGGCGTGTATGAAGACCTCAAGACCCGCTTTGCTCCCGTTCCCACGGCTGACAATCCCGCTCCACGCCCATCGCTCTTGAACCTCGTCCTCATGTCCTCCGTGGCCGGATTTTTGGGTGGCATTGCCGGCAATCCGGGCGACGTTCTAAACGTGCGCATGCAGTCCGACGGATCTAAACCGCCTGAGGCCCGACGCAATTACAAACACGCGCTTGACGGCATCGTCCGTATGGTCCGTGAAGAAGGCGTCGTTTCCCTATTCCGCGGCGTCGAAGCGAACAGCACCCGCGCGCTGCTCATGACAGCATGTCAGCTTGCCAGTTACGATGTGTTCAAACAAATGTGTTTGAAAAATCTGGGCATGGCGGACAATTTCAGCACCCACTTCACGGCTAGTCTTGCAGCTGGCTTCGTTGCGACAACGCTATGCAGCCCCGTCGACGTGATCAAGACGCGTGTGATGAGCGCCGGGGCGAAGACGAGCGTCTTGCACCTGCTGGGCGAGGCAAGTCGCAAAGAAGGTCTGCTGTGGATATTCCGTGGGTGGGTGCCGAGTTTTGTAAGGCTAGGTCCGCAGACCATATGCACCATGGTCTTCTTCGAGCAGCATAAGAAATTGTACAGGAGGTGGAAGGGGATTGAGGAGCCTGCTGTTTAAAGAATTTGCATTGGGAGTTTGGTTACCCCGAACCATTGGGATGGAGTATCATCATTTGGCGTTATGAGAAATGAGGTGCATTGTTATAGATTTTGGACACAGAGAACAGCTTGTGTTCTTGTCGATCCTGGATTTGCCAGGTCTGAACATTCCCGTCAACCTCATGGATTGTCCGCATTTGAGATGTATATACAAGTTGGATTAGTTTTGTCATATACCCGAATGATCTCACGGATAATTATCATCTTCCCAAACTCCTGTCCATGCAATGCAATTCGAGTGCATATGAAGCTTTCGAAGCCCACAACGCCTTGAAAACAAACAAGCGCCAATTACCATGCAACATGCTGAGCATTAGATCAGTGTTCCTTCAGTTCCATCAGTTCCACCGGCGGTCGAGTAGTATGAGCCATGATCTTCTTCTGTGATGCCTCCAACTCGATATCCGAGTCATCCTCAGTCTCGAGCATCACAGCCGGGAGGGCAGGACTGTCCCCATGCGCTTTGGGATCGTATATCAACGTCGAGCTTCGACTTCGATGCTTCCCGGGCGACGAAGTACTGGGAGAATTATCCGCAGATACACCCGAGAACGCGCGTGCTCTGGTCTCCTTCATCTTCTGCAGCGCCTCAGCCGAGTACTGCATCTTCGACTCATCCTCTCCAGACTCGACGATGGACGTGTTAAGTTTGCCGCTGAGCTTATTCAACTTCGACGCGAGATCTCCCGCGTGGACCTCTTTGTTAGGAGCGTCTTCATGCTTCATTTCCCAACCTACCGGCGGACTGGGTGGCGGACTGATGAAGAATAGCCGTCCCGCATCGGGGCGTTCGAGGTACTTCTTCTCATCGCCGATCGGAGTGGGTTCGCCGAAGTAGCATTTTGCGACACTGGTGCCGAGAATAGGGGTGCCGTCAATGGCCTGGCGCACGCGGATCGCCGAGTCGGTGTCGTAGAAACTGCAGATAATGCGGCAGAGGGACTTAAGTGGGGAAAAGGAGTTGAGTGTGGCAAGCTCGTTGATGTGCTGTCTTATCGTGGCGAGGGAGGCAGGATGGAATATCTTAGGGTTTTCGAGGCGAGTGATTAGAAGGGTATTGGAGGGTGGTGCGGGTTGTGAGAGAGGTGGGAGGGAGGACAAGTCGAGCGATAGAGGCGAGCGGGAGCGTTTCGCTGATAATGAGCCTGGGGAGGAGGCTGTTGAGACGGGAGGGGAATCATGAGGGAGATCTTTAGTCTGGATAGGGGAAGGTGTTTGTCGTTGGACTTCCGCCATAATGAATATGTGTGGAGATGATATGGATAGAGATAGACGTTGTACTTGTAGCAACGGTCAGAGTTGTGATGTTGGAGAAGAAGTTGTTGGGGTCGTGGAGGTGAAGTCGAGGGAAGGAGGATGAAAGAATGCAGTTTTGTATGTGGTTGGAGGCGAGGTGAGCACTCAGAGCACCAGTTCTGGGTGATGAGGCGCAGTGAATAGGTACGTATGTCGAATGGCTTGTTTTCAAAGGAGGATGATTCCAGAACGTCAAGACATGGAAGTGGCCAGGGCAAAAAGAGGCTGCGCCCATATGTCATCCACAAGCAAGCAGATGGCGGAGTCGGAAAATCAATATTCCAGAGCTTGGCATGGGTCTAGCGAACGAGGCTGAGGCATCCCCGCACGAAGCAGCCTTGCCACTAACTTGACCCCCATCAACCCCCTATTTCTCACCTTTTGGCAACCTCGCGAAATTCACTTGATGTCTGTCGGCCTCGGATCCGACACCTCATATGAGTTTCCGTTGAGGATCCGGTAATTCCTACAAAACAAGCTCGAATTGAGGGCGATGATTCCTCAGGATCAGCCGTATTGGGCAATTCAGCCTCGGCTTCTCCAAAGATATGCGGAGAATATCCGGTCGCCTTCCTCCACAGCAGCAGGCCCGGCTGCAATATGCTTTAGAAGGTCGGCTGAGAAACATGATTGGCGACGATGAAGCCTCGGTTACTTCCATGCAAACGTATAGGAAGTTCTAGTTCCTCGCTGAGTGCCATTGAGCATCGCTTCCCTTTGCTCAGTCTTATTGTCTGATGCATCATGGCTCCCGAGGCAATCACCAATGGATATGGCGGAATGTATCTCCCAGCGGACGGGAGTACTGACCCCGACCTTGCTAATCACGAAGAACGACCTGAGGTTATCAACAACCCGTCGCCAGAGGATGTCGCTATACTGGAACAACTATACGGCACTCGCAAGAAGATGAGAATCATCATGTTGGGCGCCGGCATGAGGTATGTCCCCTTTGGAAACCTGTAACAGCGTTGCAGGAGTTTTGAGGCTGCCATCCTTCGCGAGACAGCTCGTCGGTTCTAACAACGTGATAGTGGTCTGAACTTCTTCAAGTTCGCCGAAGAAAAGCTGAAGAATGTGGAAATCATCTGTTACGAGAAGAACCCTGATATCGGTGGTACATGGTACGAGAATAGGTGCGTCATTATCTTTGAAGATTCAATTCATACCACCATGTACTAACTATTCCCAGATATCCAGGCTGTGCTTGCGATATACCTAGTGTGGTCTATCAGTTCCCCTGGCGGACAGCGCCTTGGTCAAAGTACTACTCACACTCACCGGAGATTTGGAAGTACTTGAAGATGGTCGAGCAAGAGAACAACTTTGTTGAAAAGTACGTCAAACTCAGGCACAGGATCATCTCCCTTTCTTGGGATGAAGGAACTGCGCAATGGACGGCTCGAGTTCAGGACCTCGCGACCGGTCGAGAGTTTGAGGATCATGCAGATTTTGTTGTTGATGGGGGTGGTGTCCTGAACAAGTGGAAGTGGCCTGACATTCCAGGTCTCAAGGATTTCAAAGGCACACTGCTACACTCGGCACAATACGATGAGCGAACGGATCTGACGGGCAAACGAGTCGCACTGGTAGGTGCTGGTAGCAGCGCTGTTCAGATATTACCAAATATCTACGACAAGGTTGAGAAAGTGTACACTTGGATTCGGAACAAGATATGGATCACTGCTGGATTCGCTCAAAACTTTGCTGGAAAAGACGGCGCCAACTTCGAATACAACGAAGAGCAGCAGAAGCTATTCCAGGATCCTGATGAATATCTGGCTTACCGCAAAATGATCGAAGGCGAGCTGAATCAGCGCTTTAGCTTCATCATCAACGGATCTGCTGCTCAAAAGGCAGCCCGCGAGTTTTCTGAGAGCGAGATGAAAACAAAGCTAAGAGGTCGAGCAGACCTCCTTGAAAAGATAATGCCAGAAGACTTCTACGTTGGCTGTAGGCGGCCGACTCCAGGCAACGGATATCTCGAGTGTCTAACCGGAGACAAGACGGTGCCCTATACAACACAGCTCAAACAACTCACTGAGAAAGGCTTCATCGACCCCGAAGGCAACGAACAGGAAGTGGACGTCATCATCTGCGCGACTGGTTTCGACACTTCATACAAGCCACGTTTCCCATTGATCGTCAATGGTGTCAACAAAGCCGAAGAATGGAAAGACAATCCTCATCCGCACGTACCTTCATATTTGAGTCTGGCTTATGGTGGAGTGCCCAACTATTTTCTATATGGAGGTGCCTACTGTCCCTCAGCCCATGGATCATTCTTCCCACTTATCTCAGCGTACGTCGACTATACGATCCAAGTCATTGAGAAGATGCAAATCGAGAATATCCGCTCAATACGGCCGAAAGAAAAGGTGGTGGAACAATTTCTTCGACATGCTGACACATACATGAAGAGGACAGCTTGTAAGTTGCAATCCCAGACGTTCTCGAGCTGGCATACTGACGAAATTCCTAGGGACCGGACCATGCAGTTCGTGGTTTAAAGGCGGAAAAAAAGATGGCAAGCCGGCTGTTTGGCCAGGATCTCGTTTACATTTCCTGCGCTTATTAGAGAAGCCACGGTTTGAAGACTTTGACATCGAGTATGATGAATCAGAGGATATGTTCAGTTTCTTAGGCAATGGCTTCCATGTCTGTGAGCGCGACGGTAGTGATATCACTTGGTATATGGGTCAGCCAAAGAAGAACGTTGATACGGACAAAGTTCTACGGGTCATGGACGGGTCGAAAGGCACTGAAGTTGGGATACATCGGTGATCCTGAATGTTCGTCTTAGTCTGTTTTTTTGATATATAGAAATACAGCCCTTTGAGGTCGCAGGCCAATACACGAAAACTTTTTGACCCTTTGGCCTCGACGCTTGGAACGGCAGAGGGCGGAAGAGGCAGCCAGATGTGACCCAGGGCGCTGGTCAGGGACGAATGGCGATGCATTTTTGGCCCGAAAACTTGACCTGCAGAGGCCGATGCGCCCAATCGTCCAGATTGCCCCGCTTCAAAACAAAAAAATTTGGTCAAGAGAAATGTAGCGGAGGCTTTTCCCTACTCCGAGCTACTGTCAGGTCATTGCCATTCCCTTTCAGCCACACAAGACGATTCTCTACTGTGTACAAGGAGTAAAGGATCCCTAGCTGCCCAACACGGTTCACTTCTCTTCAATTTACCAACCTGCTTTTTTCCAATCTGCGTCTTTTTCCCACCCTCCGGTTCTGTTGTCGATCTCCATTGACAACCCCGCGCACCCTCACTCGTTTCACCTTGCAAGAAAGCCGCTGCAGCCTCGCTTCCCACGCTTTAAAAATGTCTGAAATCACGCATCCTACCATCAAAGGTGAGAGAGTGCCCGAATGCTGGGAGAAGGCCCTCGCTGATTGACGGCTAGATGGCTGGTTCAGGGAAATCTCCGACATGTGGCCTGGCCAGGCAATGATCCTCAAGGTCAATCAAGTCCTCCACCACGAAAAGTCCAAATATCAGGATGTCCTGGTCTTCGAGAGTAGCGACCACGGCACAGTCCTCGTCCTTGACAATGTCATCCAATGTACCGAACGAGACGAGTTTTCCTACCAAGAGATGATCACACATTTGGCTATGAACTCGCACCCCAACCCCAAGTCCGTCCTGGTCATTGGTGGTGGTGACGGCGGTGTCCTGCGTGAGGTCGTCAAGCATGAATCAGTGGAGAAGGCCATCCTCTGTGACATTGACGAGGCTGTCCCTCGTGTCAGCAAGAAATACCTGCCGGGCATGTCCATCGGCTTCCAACATCCGGCTGTCGAAGTGCACATTGGAGATGGCTTCAAATTCCTGGCTGACCGCAAGAACGAATTCGATGTCATCATCACCGACAGCAGTGATCCAGAGGGTCCAGCAGAGTCGTTGTTCCAAAAGCCATACTTTGAGCTTCTCTACGGAGCCTTGAAGGATGGTGGTGTTATTACTACCCAAGGTTGTGCGCACCCAATCCTTCCGAGCACCAAACTCCCTTGGGCTCAAATGCTCTCCCCTGACGCATCCTTCTGGACGTGAACTTGCTAACACAAACCTTTCCTCTAGCTGAAAACCAATGGCTCCATCTACCCCTCATTACCAAGCTCAAGAAAGAATGCAAGGAAGTCTTCCCAGTGGTTGAATATGCCTACACTACCATTCCCACATATCCTTCTGGTCAGATCGGTTTCATGGTTTGCTGCAAAGATCCCAACCGAGACGTCAAGAACCCCTTGCGAGTCTGGAGCCCAGAGGAGGAGGACAAATTGTGCAGATACTACAACAAAGAGATCCACAAGGCCAGCTTCATTCTGCCAACATTTGCACGCAAGGCCTTGAGATAGGTGGCATGTGGTGGGATGTCTTTTTGATATTACGTCTTCAAGCATGATACCAGGTTAACTGTTTACTTGTGTTATTCCAGCCGGAGCATTGAGGACGATGCAATGCATGATATCTCGCCTTGTAAGTTACCGGTACGAACGAGGCTGCAAGCCGCTCTATGATTAGAAGCCGGGACCGGAAAGGGATAGATAATGAGATCAGGTACCTGTACCACGAATAATCAATGATACGGAGCCGATGAGAGTAGTTGCAACGATCCTCACGCGATCAGATTCCGTCATTGGCTGGTACGTGTCGGAAGATGGCTGCATGCTCGTTGAGATACAGAATTCCAACATGACTTCATCGTGGAGCCTTGTGCATGATGTCATGTTCAAACATCATCATTGAATACTTCTTGTGACCACCCAATAGAACATATATTTGACAAACGCTCAGCTGAACCTGTCGGTTTCATTCTCCCTCTACTTATAACAAGACTCTTTTTCTGCCCGTCGTTCATCACACAAACCTCAAAACGACTCCAGAATCACTTGAAGATACACTCACAGCCAATAACTTACAACTACCAACACATCTATCAACCACAATGTCTTTCACAGCTAACTCGCGTGCTCCTCAAATTCACCCCTCCAACGCTCCTCAAGAACCCACCGGTCAAGTCGCGTCCGACTCCCTGGCCGCGGAATCGCTCAAGAACCAAGGCGGCTTCGCCGAGAATGCCCACGCCGCGGCATCCAGCGTGTCAGGCTCTTCCTCGACACTCAACAACACCGACACATCCGGCGCCAAAGTTCTCCAGCCGGCCGAGGACGGCACCGCGCGAGAGAAGCAGAATGCCTTAGGTCTAGGCCCCGACGAAAAGGGCGTGACGGGCGTCAAACTCGACGCTGCAGGCAAGCCGGCCTTTGATGGCGTGCACAACAAGGACGGCTACTACGGCGGTCCAGGCGACGGCGGTTCTGCTGCGCAGACTTCGGGCGGCTCCAACGCCAGACCAGCTGGAGCGTCCGACTTTGGTGCTTCGACCGTCGGCGGCGGAAGTGCCACTTCAGCCGACCCCAACATCAAATCAGGCTCCACTGCTACTGGCGGCAACAGCACAGGAAGCGGAAGTGGAGGACCGACAGCAGGCGCGGGCGTGCGGCCTCACGTCGATGCCGCTCCAGGCTATACCAGCACCGTCACCGGAGCGGCCGCACCTCCCGGCACGTACCAGCCCAAGGGTGCGAACCTCGAGGATGCAGACGCCACGGAATCCATGCCCAAGCCCAAGGTGTTCATTGGAGATGTTGGCGGCTCGCATGACCCCGGCCGACTGGCGGAACAGAACTTCGAGGCGAGAAATACCGGCCCCGCCGAGCAGGTCAGTTCGAGCGGCAATGAGGGTGGAGCGCAACGACAAGCTGGTAGTGGTGGACGAGAGGCCGTCGGTGAGCAGGGTGGGAGCTTCGGCGTGCTGGACAGTGAGCGGGCCTAAGTTACAGGACCTCATGCATGTCTCATAGCCACAATCTCAAAAGGGGGGCCATCTGGGGCCTCGACAAGAGCAGCAGGACTGAAAGGGGCGTCTGCACCATGCATGACAAAACGATGGGACGGTGGGAAAAAGGGGACAAACTGTATGATATGAAGAACCGAGGATGAAATGATTGAATGACAAAATGGGGGAAAGGGAGAAAAAGTATGTCTTGCACACTCATGGCTCGAGACTGGATTGCATCGTTAGGCGGAGCTGAATATCATGAATGGTCGGCGTTCACGCATATGCATGTACTTTAGTCGACACAAACAAGAAAATTGAGCGAGAGCAGCCTCTTGCTATTTGCAAAAATATCAACAAAATTGTGCCACCGGATTGCAATACCTCTTGCCGTCCTCCTGCTACAGGTGCTTCATTTACGTCCGTGTCATGAGTTGACAACTTTCGCCGCCTGAAGTGGCTGTCCATCTGAGTGAAATAACTTCCTGCTCGCCGTAGTCTCAGTGTCAGCTTAGATGCTGCTCAAGGCTGGCATCTTCAGAGCATGGCGCTGCGGAGCGGTAGTTGTCGACATCATTCCGCCTTATGGACTCGGGGACTGGTCGGTGGTGCTTCGTGGAACTTGAATGTAGTTAAGATCTTTCTTGCCAGTTTTCTTCCAGCTTCGATCTCCTATGCAGGCTTGCCTTCCCATCAAGAAGGGCTGCAACCGCTTGATCCAGACCTCATAGACAATCCAGAAGTGACGGTCCAGTGTATCCTGTATCCCATTGAACAACCACTTGGTGGTCCTCGTTGGGGGGACTTATCCTAGCTTTGCCTGTATTCCTTTCGGTACCCAGTCCAGACATTCCTTTTTTTGGTGCACTTCAAGCGGCATGACCTATCCTATGAAAGACAGTCGGGACGACAACAAGCCGTTGATGTTTCTGTTTGTAGCCGTCTATAGTGACAATATGCCATGGGCCACCCGCAAGCCATCCTGGATAGCATCTGGCCCCGTACCGTTCCGTGACCGTGGACGCGTGATACTGCTGGGCAGACTGTCGACATCTCACAAGACCGGAGATTTCCGCGCCCCTGTCTACTTTCCTGAGGTGGTGATGATCCACGCACAGTTTGTGAGGATGGCTTGATCTTGCTCCCTTACGCTCCCATGCCAGCTCGGCGTAACAGACCGTTTCGCAGGTTCAAAATAGTAAGCTTGTAGATGGCTGACTGCGTTGTCTTGTACTCATTCGACACAGCGAGCAGCTTGATGAGACTAGAAATGCAATCGTTGCCAGATCGTTGTGTGGCCGTTGCCATCCAATGTCAATGATGGAGACCATTCGTGTCGAATCGCCTGGAAAAGTAGTCGTACATGTCACGGGGCCGTTCCCAGAGCATCTCCCTTATGAAGTCGCACCATTTGTTTCGACATCAAGGAAGCCATCGAGGCCGGCCATAACGTCCCTCGCCACACCACCTTGAATCACAATTTTGGCCACAGTCTTCAGCACACCTCTCTTGATCCCACCGACCCTCGGTTTCCATACTCCAGGAACATCCACGCCCTCCCCTCCCTCGTTAGACATTGGCACTCCTCTCATCGTATCTCTCGCGGGCGTATCGATCATCCGGACTGCCAAGATCTTGTACTCCTCTTCTTCTTCGTTCTCCTTTGCACTCTTTTCCTTTGTCTCTTCTCCTGAGGCCGCTGTACTTCCCACACTAACAGCAACAACCCCATCCGCAACCGCCAACTCCTCCCTGCTCGGATCGAAAATCGCGTTCTCACCCACTACCACCACAAGCAGCGTTACAGGCGGTCTCTTGGCAGCTGGGCCGTACAGAAACGCACTCGCCATCCAATCATCGTCTGCCACGGGATCCTCTTCGCCCTCGCTCTTCAGTCGGGGCACCCTCGCATCCCTGAGTGCAAGGTGCACCGCCATGCTCAGCAAGGGTAACGGATAACTCGCCAGTCCAAGCGGTGAAACAAGCAGGACGTCGACGTACACATGCCAGTGCCACCGATGGTTGATGACCAGTTGGTCCTGAAGACCCGAGATGGCCAGTGGTTCGCGGAGCATTTCTTCCAGAAAGACAAGATTTGGATCATCGTCCCTCAGGCCTGGAAGAGTGAGGGTCAGGGTGAGCCATTCCGATCGACCTCCTTCGCGTTTGCCGTGCTCTTTTTCTTGAACTCCGTTCGTGCCCTCCAGTTTAAGTGACTGCTCATTGTCGTCCATGTCCATGGCACCATCTTCAGTCCCACTCTTCGACACGACTAGCTTGCTTGTAACGGTCTTCTCGACCTCCAACTTCACACCAACAATCGCCTCGCGCCCATCGCTGAACCCGACATGTGCAGAGCCGTTGACGGCAGGTAAAACACCTGTTTCGGCGCGGAGGGGCCGGAAGTCGGTCGCCAATGGTCTCGCATCGGGCCGGAGTGGTGGAATCGAGGAGAGCGAGGTATGCAGGTAGGCGAGTTCCGCCGGTGAGAAGGGAAGGGAAGTTGTTAGGGAGGGCATCTTGCTGGTCTAACAGAGTGCTAAGTCCGACGATTGTTTTGGGATGTTGGTCGCAGGCTTAGAAAATTCAGGCTTTGACGCAAACCACGAAAGGCCAAAAAAGAGCGGATGAGGCGCCAGGCCTCGAAGTCGAGGACAGAATGTATGAAGTTAACCTGAGGCAAGAAACCGAATGTGGTTGTTATCGAGGACTGTTCGCAGAAAATAATTGAAGAATTTCCCCGCAGAACGAAAAGCCGGAGATATTGAGAATCGCAAAGTCCGCTTAAAGATCAAAAATCATTTTCACAAAGTGTCGATATTGATAGTTTATCAGCTACAGAACTGCTCGCTCGAAGACATTGGCTCACACGTCCATAATAGTCATCATGTCCTCATGATACTGGTTTTTGCATCAGAAGCCCAAATTCGCCTGTACCTCTCAATGCCTCAGCTTTCCAACCCGATACCTTCCAATCCACCACTGACTCCCACAAGCCTCGGTCTTCCAGCTTTGGCACCGTAGACCATTTCCATGAGTTTGCTCTTCTGCTTCTCCCTGACGGCTCGTAGATAATCGTACGTCCCTTCCAGCCCTCTGATCTGCTGGTCAAGGACGCTGGCATTGTCGATGCTGACTGAGTCATTCCTCCTGACCAGTGGACTAACCAATTTTCTCCGCAGTGTTTCCAGGTTGACTTTGAGTGTTTGCAGTCTACCATGATGTTCCATGATCAGGTGCTTGTTGTTGACGGTCCTGGCTCGCACGCTTGATAGAAGCTGCTTGTTCTTTTCGAACTTTCTGAGCATCGCCGCATTGGGTCCAATCACTCTAGTCCACAATGACGACAGAAGATCACTTTCAAGTCTCTCCTGCGTATCTGTCTCTCTCACAACTGTCCGTTGCAGGTTCAAAAACTGGCGGTCGATAGACTCAAACAGTGCAAACAGTGCGGCTGAATGAGTCAACTCGCTGTTGATCGATTCCTCCAGGACATTCACAAATTCGTGGAATGTCCTCGTAAGCGTTGCTCTCGTCCTCTGCGGCGAGCTCGAACCGAAGATGTCGGTCAGTATCTTCCCCAACGCGGTCGGTCCCTTGGACGTCTCAAGCAAACCACCCCTATTGAATAAGCCGTGGAGGTGGTCCAATATGACTCCCGTGATGGGGGCGCCCTGCCCTGATGTCACGCCTTCTAATTCTCGCTTCGCCCAGTCCATTACGATGAGGATACTGTCCACATCAGAATCGACATCGGAGAAGAACCGTGTCAATTCGAGGCCCAGGGTTTTCAGGCTCTCAGATAGCTCGTCGAGAGAGCGGACAATAATTGGCGCCGAAGTCATGTTAGCACTTCTGACAGACTCTCCAAGATCCCATACAGCCACACTTGTCTCCTGCAGTGCCGTGATTTGGGTATAGCCATTCTCGGAATAGAAGATTAAGGGCTCGAAAGACTTCGCAAGGGTCGACACTTTCACCAGGTCCGGGACCGGTGGAGGGACTGGTGGAACAACGATAATGCGCAGTAGCGAAGCAAATACGATAGTGGTCACCACCGATAGAAGCGTCGTCGATGCGTTCTTCGTCATGGCATCGAACTTTCTCTGGATAAAGTTGAGGATCGGCACAAATGGCTCACGATGTTGTACCTCTGCTCGAAATTGCAAACGAACGTCTGTAACTCTGTATCAGCGACTCACTCCAATATCATCCAGGGACCAATTACAATTGTTTGGGCTTTCTGAAGGTCTCGTGTCTTCTTGCTCTGGACTTCCATTCCTCGAACTGCGTTGCGCTTCGATCTCGGGAGATTGCCCTCTTCTAGGCGAATCCGCACCAGCAGGTAGAGGCGTATTTACTGCTATAGTGATATCCGGATCTCCGTCTCCATCCGTCGCATCCTGGTATATTTCGGGGCTCGTTTGTCGTGATCTCGAAGGACTTATTGAAGGTTTCAAGTCATAATTCCTATACGGATCTTGTCTGAACCACCCACTCGCATTCGAATTTCTGCTCTTGAACCCTGGAGGAGACCAAGGCATTCCTTCGCTTGACCTGTCATCGATGTCGCTTTCTCCACGATCCGACCTCAAGTCGGGAAATATGGGCGAGCGGCGCTCCTGTTCTTCAAAATCCTCGATGGATGCTTGCAGCGAGTGGGCGTCGTCGTTCATCCCCGCGGCATAAAATTCGTCAAAAGGTGGTGCAGGCATCATGGCGGCCATAACAGACGAGGTCAGGAAGAAGGATATAGCATGCAAGGCTGCAAACGAGGTCAAGGAGGGGTAGGTGGTCGATCAAACGGCCAGCCGTCACTGTAGCCTTTTGTACAGAAAGTATCACTAGGCAACGATCGGAAGGAAATAGTCAGGTCAAAGAAAGCGCCTTGACTGCTCCAATTCAAACGAAGACCGCAGATGTGCTAAGTCATGATGTTTGAAAAGGCCAAAGAAAAAGGCCCATGTCTGGAAAATGCGGGACACTTGACAGCCCAGCCATCTCAAACGCGGTCATTGATTGTCGATGATGAATATGCAATCCGCCGGCGACAGGCGCAGCACGCCAAAAGGCATTGCAAGAGAGATGTGAGACCAAGCAGGAAATGTTGGAGGCTGGGACAGCTGGCATGTCTTTGAGGGGGGAAGTGTGCTGCCAATCAAAGCACAGAACCGGGTTAGAACAGGGATTCCTGATGCAAGGGCGGCCGGAAGGTCGCGTCTCTAGATTCTCTAAACGCAGTCATTGGAGGTACCGGCAGACCAGAGGGCCATCTCTCGCTTATCAGCCTTTTTGTCCGAGAGTGTTCCAAACGGGACTGGCAGTTGGGGATGAAGATGGTACCTGCGCAAGTGAAATGACGGAAGTATGCTTTGAGCAGAGAGGTAGTTGCTTGATAGTGTGTCCTTCGCAGCTATTCTGCCTTGTCGCATGCGAGAACGCAGGTACGCCTAGAAGGAAACAAGGGAGGTTATGTACAGTAGAGCTTCTTCTACCCGGCTTCTCCGGGGTTCCTCATCGAAGTCTCGGTATGCAAGTGCAAATTCCGAATCCAATGATCTGATTAGGTAAATGTGCGCCTTCGCCGTCTTTGATGATACAGCAGCCGACCTTTCCGCCGCAAAAACAAAGAGATTGAGCCACAACCGGGTTCGCCTGGTGATTGGCAGAGGACAGGGAGGATTGCGTTTATTTCTTGGTCTCCTCGCGCAACCAGCTAGTAGAAAGTTAGCAAAGGATGCCGTTGAACAATGCGGATGGACTAACGTGATCAGATCATTTCGGTCCTTGCCCTTCTTGAGACCACCGAAGGCCATCTTGGTGCCCGGAATGTATTTCTTTGGGTTTTCCAGGTATTCATACTGCGGCGAGTCAATATTTCCACTTAGGGAGACAACAGAACGGGACAAACTTACCAAAGTGTTCTCGTTCCATTCGATGCCCTTTTGCTTGTTGGCATCTGTGTAGGAGAAACCTTCGACTGAGCCAGTGTGGCGACCGAAAAGACCGTGTAGGTTAGGACCGATCTTGTTGCCTTCTGACTCGACAACGGTGTGGCATTGAGCGCATCTCGTTTTGAAGAGGTTGGCACCCTTCTTAGCGTCACCTGGGGGGTATTGTAAGCCCTTGTCCTGACCATCTCGCTCTGTAGTGTCCTTCGCAGCAGCTTCTCGTCTCGGCGGCACCCAGGTTGCATCTGCAAGCTCTTGCGGAGCGAATGCGGACTCCCAGATAGGCATGTTATCAATACGGCAAGCTGGCTTGGCTTGATGTTCGCGTGCTCATGCTTTGAGGAAGGTGTTTATGTGGCCAGGCAAAGGTCCGGCAGAAGGAGGTCGACCGGTAGTCGGACGAGGTGCGCCATGCCAGGTTGGACCCCGAAGGCATTGTTAACGATGAGCCTAGTGAAGCCGCAGTGATTGAGGTTTCAACCGAGGGTAGTGAAGCTGCTGCGAAGCTAGGATGGCACAGTGAATTGAGAAGCACTTACCGTCCTTGAATCCGTCGTCTCCCTTGGCCATTTTGTGTGATTAAAAGGTCTGTGTCAAGAAGACTAGCAATAACAATGGATACGAAAGGTGTTTGGAGTATGATAAAGCTCCGATGTAGGTGCAATGGTAGATGGCAAGAGAAGAACCGAAAGCAAAAAAGTCGAGAAAGGACAGGAAAATTGTATGTATGACGGAGTCGACGGCGCATGGATCGAATGCCGGTTGTTTGAGTGCTTTTGCCTGCGACTTGTGGCGCCCATGACACCGAAAAGTGGCTCATTTAATCCTGTTAATCCACGCATCCCGTCCAATTACCGCCCCTGCATTGTCATTCTGAGGCTCTTCGGGCATTCTCGGGCTCTGGATTAATCTGGCACTTCTGGGATGATGGGCCTTTTCAAACTCACCTGCCATACGGTGGATGCTCAGCGCAGAGGTTCAATATCCGCTTTACCGAGATGGTTTTGTTATGGTCTTTTGTCTTCTGTGCCTACTGTATAAGTGTTCACTGTTCTTCGGTCAGCCACTGATGCTATCTACCAAGAGATGCTTAGCTCGGGCTTCTCCTCAGCAATCAAGCAATCCCCGGATCACTATGACGTTGGCTGGACTCTCCGGAAGAACGGGAGCGACGCAGATAGTCGGGTATGATGACCACGCACACGCACCAACTTGCAGTATCTATCGTCACTCAGCTAGCAGAAGCTCAGGCTCATGTCAACATCATGTAACATCATGCATGCCTTTCCCAGGCGGAGAAGCCGGCTCGCCTGGTGCCTCAGACCACCGGATCTTTCCAAAGGTTCTTGCTTGTCGTCTAGCCCTGTTTGGCCGAACCTTTTCCTTTCACATTCACGCGAGTACGAGTACACTCGCTAGTTACTGTGTGAAGCTCGCCCAGAACTCGTCGATCAACTCGTGCCTTTCCACAGCAAGATCAAAATCTCCGTAAGGCTGGCCCTCGGCATATGCTTCATATAATCGACCGATATTCTGGCCTTGTGTCGGCATCTTTGTCCATTCTTCACCACCCTCGTCGACCTCGATATCCTCGATTTCCCCTTTCTCGGAGTTGGAAAACCGGATACTGACAGCCTTGGCCATTTGTGGTCCGGCGCTGGCAAATTCGACCGCCAATTCTCCCTTCGTTCCATATATTTTCCATGTCGACCCTGGACACCCGATGAACCTGTCTCCAGCTCTGAGATGAAAGCTGAACACTGCCGGAGGGTTTCTGTCAAACCGCCCTTGCAGAAGGATCTGATCCGGTGTGTTCTTCTCGTAGAGTTCCTCCGACAGCGACCCATCGGATTCCATTACATGCATTCTTGGCCTCAAGTTCACTGCCATCGGCGTGTAGCTGCCCGGCTTCAGTTCCCCTACAGCATAAAAGATGGAGTCGAGGACATGACCTCCATATATTGTCAGCAGGTTGCCACCGATTTTCCGGTTCATGAAGTAGTAGTATCGGTCACTTGCTGCATTATTCTGCCAGACGTGGATGGCTCCGTGATAGTTGACGCTGTGGATTTCGCCCAAGGCTCCCGAGTCGATCAATTCCTTGACTTTCCTTACGCTTGGTGACATTCGACCTTGGAGGCCAATGATCGTTTTGAGGTTCTTTTGTTTTGCCAAAGCGGCCATCTCCTTTGCCTGCTCGGTGGTTGCAGCCAGTGGCCATTCCACAAAGACGTTGCGTCCTGCTTTCAGGGCTGGCATTGCGACAGCATAGTGAGTGTCGGCTCGAGTGGAGACGACATACAGGTCAACATCAGGATCACCGGCCAGCGCTTCATAGCTGTCATAAGCCTTGGTCGTCGCAGGCAGATTATGTGCTTTGATGGCGGCTTTTGTTGATTCCAAGGATGAGTTGCATAATGCTACAATCTCATAATTTGGCGATGAGGCGAGTCGAGGCAGATGAGCAAGTGTTGCCCAGGCACCTGGCTTGCTGGACAGCCCAACAATTCCTACTCGTATTGGGGTCATATCTGTGAGGCGGTGAAGTGCGATGCAGATAGATGTACGGCTCGACGGCTGCTTTTGCACCTGAATGGTACCTCGATGAGATATCCCTCTGCGGCTTCTTACTGCAGAAACGGGTCGAGCCAGCGGCATCAAACGCTTGATACGAAGTGATGATGATATATGGCGGCCCAAGTAGTAGTTGCCTTGCCCGTTGTCTCACTGTTGGCATTACAAATCAGGAATCCCCAACCGGTTCGGTTTGACAAACCGTGACATCTTCCGCCATCTTTAGTTCCTTCAAACATCGACACTTCTATCCGCTCCAATCGTCTATCCGACGTCTGACCTTTACGGCCATCTTCCTCATAAGATTCAGACTTTACCGAAATGCTGGGCTGAAGAGCTCAAACATATGGCGAAAGGAGAGGACAGCCACCTTCGGACGCCTTATGCAGTGCATGCCGGTTATGATTGCTTACATCCGGTCCCAATCAGGTTCTAAATGGCGTTTGTCTTATTGATTTCACGCTGAATCCATTAACCCTTACAGATCTGTCCTGTACATGACTGACTGACCGGAGCTTACATGCTGAGCCTCTCGTCGTGTGGCTTTGATATAAGAGCTGATCTCCTTCCTCGCGACGTTCAGATCCGGAAAGCTGAAAGGTTCTTCACAATGCTGACCTTCCACTACCGAACATCTCTCGTCGCCGCAATTTTGCTGTCGTTTGTCGCATGGGCTGTCATTCTCGGTAAAATGGCGCCGACATCGATCACATTATGCATATCTCCCCTGTCCCCCTCATCACTTCTGGTGGGGTCATCTCAAGATTGTCGGTATGGCTCGAAGAGAACTGCCTCGAGGCTTCCATCCTCAGCAGCTGATGTGCTACATCGGACACAAATACGACATGCCGAGTGTATTCTATCTTGATCTCTGGCCCATCAGCACTCCTTTCATGATGGTCCATGATCCGGGCGTAGCACACCAGATGACCCAAGCAAAAGTCTTACCTAAACACCCTATCAACGGCAGAGTACTAGGACCACTCACAGGACCTCGCTCAATCATAACAGCAGAAGGAGGAGAGTGGAAATTCATACGGACAATCATCAACCCTGCCTTTTCCACTCAATATCTGTATACCATTCCTTCCTGTTGTACTCAAACATGTCGGTGTCTTCAAGGACCGCATCTGTCACTACGCCTCCACTGGGCGAAGTCTTTCCCATTCAAGAGACTGCAACTGGCTTGACAATCGATATCATCGGCGAAGTCGTGATGGGCATCAACTTCGACTCCCAGCACAAGCCAACAGAACTGACAACGCGATTTCAGAAGACAGTCCTTGGCACTGCTTCCAGCATGGATGGTATTACCTTGCACCTCAACCGCATCACCAGATGGTGGCATTGCAGACAGCAAGACCGCGTAATCGAGAAAATGGTTCGTGAAAGGTATGCTGAAACGAGGTCCACAAAACCACCCTGTCAAAGCAGCGATCGACTTGTTCTTGCAAGCATACCTCGATGAAAAATTCGGCGCCACAAACACCGCCTCATCAGAGCTCGTCCCTGATTTCATGTCGTTAGCAGTCGACAACGTCAAGTCGCTCCTTCTAGGTGGTCATGACACGACGGCCAGCGCGATAGCGTATATAATTGCCTTGCTCAGCGAGCCAGAAAACAAAGACGCATTCGAACGTGTTCGAATGAAACATGACAGCGTCTTTGGCCCCAATCCACAAGAGGCGGCGGAGAAGCTCATGACCGATCATCCCAAACTCCGCAACACCCTCCCCCTGACAACTGCCGCGATCAAAGAAGCAATGCGCTTGTTCCCACCGGCATTGTCAAGTCGGACGACCACGCCCGGCCATCCTCTTCGGTTTGTGACTTTCAACGGCCGGACCCTCCCAATCGCCGGTCAGCAGATCTTAATCTCGCACTACGATATGGGACAGCGAGAAGATCTGTGGCCGGAGCCTCCGAAGTTCAATCTCGATCGATACTCGCCTGGCGTTCCACAGGTTAAGCATGCGTGGCGGTCATTTGAGAAAGGGCCGAGAGGATGTGCCGGGTTGGAATTGGCCAAGATGGAGATGAGGATCGTGCATGTCCTGCTGGCCAGGGAGCTTGACGTCGAACTTGCCTTCCCGGATGACGCCCCGAGGGCACCGTCTGGGCATGGTGTCGCCGGAGGGAGGGGTTATCAGATCATTGAGTTTGCGGCGAAGCCGGTTGGACATATGCCTATGCCGGTGAGGCGGAGGGAGAAGGCGAACATATAATTCTGGAGATTTCAGGAAAAGGTCTCAATCCTTTGCATTAGGGAGGTATCTTGTCGTAGCGTTTCCGCGTATGCGGCGTGCCCCGATTGATTTAATATCATTTCCTATGGTCGTTGCAATCTATGCTACGACATTCTCGTGATATCCGTTTTCCTTTCTACCTTTTTCATCACCCATACGAACATTCTGCCCCGTGATCTGCCTGTACTCACATCATAGTCTCCCCATTTGATGGGCCTGGTGTAGTCAATGCCCATTCTGCTTGGGACTGTCGTCGATCTCGCAAAACGCGCGGAACGTGACCATGTCCTCGCTGTCACTCTCAAGCACAACCTCCGCGGTCGCACCCACAAAATAGACCCATCCCTCCTTGATCTCCTCGGTCTTCGGCCCCACACTGATATTCCCTGATCCGCTAGTGCAGATGATGATACTGGGGCCGGCGATACCCTCGAACGTGGCTTTCGCTCCGTCTTTCTTCAGTACGGTCCGGACGACACTGAATTCCTCGATGGGCGGATCGTACAGCAGACTGTCACTGCCGGAAGAGTACGCGGTCTGGTTGAGCGTGACGTAGGGATAATCCACGGGCTTGAGTAGTTGCTGCTCGGGAGGGTCGTGGTCGTACGTGAGAATGTCGGTCAGCGTGTTGACGTCCTGGAACTTGGGCGTGAAGCCTGCGCGGATGACGTTGTCGCTGGACGCCATGCACTCAATGATGTCGCCGGCAATGTATGCGTGGATGTCGTCGGCCTTGAGATACATGGCCTGGCCCGGGCTGAGCTTGACGTAGTTGAGGAAGAAAAGCACGAAGAGGCCGATGTCCTGTGGGAATTGGGAATTGCAGCGGGTCACGAGTTCGCAGAGTTCGTCGGACGTGTTGACGCTGGGGCCTGGAGTGATGTTGCCGGACTCGGCAAGCGAGAGGAGGTCATTGGATTTTTCCGCGACAAGAGACCGGTCGGACTTCATGAGCGTGCTGAAGGCGGTTTTCAAGGCTTGTTTGGACTCGTCTACGGATGCCGAGGAGGATGAGGAGACTTTCTCAAGAGATGAAGCAGCTTCATCGCCAACGAGGGAGCGTAAGGGTGGGATGGTGGACAGGAAGTGTGCGATCTCCTTGAGCGGGCGGAAGCCGCAGAGGCCTTCGAATGGGGTGATGGCGAGGGTCATTTCGGGCTTGTGGTTGTCGTCTGGGTAGTTCTTGGGGTCTTTTGCGTGGAGCTGCTCGGCGAGCTTCTTGTTTGGGTGGGCCTGGATGGAGAGTGCTTTGTTGATGGAGAGCACCTTGAAGAGGAAGGGGAGTTTGTTGTGGTATTTGGAAGAGATGTCGCTGCCCATGAGGGCTTGGTTATCTGCCACGAGGTCGACCAACGACCGGCCTGTGGTGAGATCCTTGGACGGCAGCGATGGGTGGGTACCCATCCATAGCTAGAGATGTGAGTTGATGTTATAGAGTACAGGATGATAGACCGTACCTCTGCGTATGGCTTGTCTTCTTGAATCGAGAAGGTATCGGATGGAGTTGCCGCTGCGTAGCGGGCGGCGGCAGAGTCTTTTCCTTTCTTACCTTGGAAAATTGTCAGTTGAAGGCCAGTATCGATGGCATTGTCTTCTCCTCACCCCAGTCGTAGCTGTTGCAGCCTGCTTGTCATTAGCCGGCATTCCAGGTTGATCGTGACACTTCACACTTACCGCATTGGAGACGAATCAATGGAACCTGCATGGTGACGGGTAGGCAATTGTGCTTGGGGACTGAACAATTAAGGGCAACGATGGCTTGTTCTGGGAGGGCACGCTGAAGATGTCAGGTCAAAGATGTCTTGACTTTAAGCGAACAGCTCCTTTAGCGGTGAAGGAGATCTTTGTGGCTTGAAGTCATTCTCCTTTTTTGACAGATAGGACAACGTGGGCGGTCAATTGGCCAGACCAGCCGATACTGAATACTGGTAGAAAGAGTCCACCGTAGATGCATCTCAGAGTCAAAAGTTCTGCCGTAGAAGCCATCTAAGCGTGCTGAACCAATCACACACTGTGTCCAGCCTTCTTTCCAAGCCGACCTTACGGGGGAAAGGCCCGACTAGCTTTCTGGTAGGTTGTCTTGTCCATAGGCATCTATTATACCTTGGGATATGAATAGAGTACACTTTGAAATTTGGTCTGTTCCAGTTGCGTCCTACTGATTGCTCGAATGGGGACATAAAGGAAGCGTCTCATCGAAGAGTGCCCGCACCAAAACGCCCGATCCGCTGACATATTCTGGACTCCCTCTCATATTTACTCGACACATACTGTGTGGTTTGGAGTTGCATTCACCAACGATCAACATCCAGCAGACAGCCTATACGACGCACAATATGAGTGGTCGACCGCGAGGTGGCCGGGGTGTCAGTGGTCGAGATGGCAAAGAAACGGACCTTGAAAACGACCTGCTAAGCCGAGCAATCGAAAGCCTAAGAAAAGCACAGAGCTACAACGACCAGTCCAAACAGATAGGACTGGAGATTATTACACTGGAGGAAGATATCAAGGCAAACGGTCGTATGTGAGACCCTCGCCGCTTTCAAGTCCACGTTCATACAAGCTCTTTGGAGCAGCCCTTGCCACCTGCAAGAAGATGCCGTTATCTCTTTGCGATACTTGTTACTGCATTATGGAATTCTGTCGGCTTCTTTTTGCTTGTTTTCTGGAGTGTTCTGTCAAGCTGTTGAGTAACATTGGTCTAGATTCTACCCCTGACAACCACCGGAGACTCGATGCTCTCTATCGGGAAAATCTCAAATGCGCCGAGAACGAAAAGAAGGTCCATGACGATGAGGACATTATTAACAATCTTGCCATTCTTGCGACCATGAAGTCCACAGATGACCTTGCTCCTAGAAATGGCCAAGGCAAGTCTCGCAAAAATCAAAGGCCTATCGTCGAGTCAGACATTGTGGTTGAGTCGCCCGGACCCAGCCCTGGAGATGGTCGGCTGGAAATGATGAAGCGCGTCAAGGGTGCCACACAACGCAGTTCCAGCACAGCTAGCCAAAACCGAGCCACCTCTAGCACCAAGGATGACGGTGTGGAGCCGCACAAAGGTCTTCAAGCAGAGAAAGCTGGCCAGCTTGTTGCTGGCACAGAGGTGTTTTACAAATACCCCAGAGATCTACAAGAACAAGAAGAGGGAGTTGGTATTCATGGTATCATTAAGAAGGTATGGCTGGAGAAGAAGCCGTAAGTAAAGTCGCTAATGGTGCTTCGTCCAACTGATCGTGTCCAGCATCCAGTACGACGTCAGAGATCCTGAGGACGACCCTTCAGGAAAGCAGACCGTGCGAAAGACGACGGCGAGGGATCTTGTCCCAATCCCTCAGACAAACGCAACAAGTTTTCAGTTCCCCACTGGCGCAAACGTGTATGCAAAGTATCCCGACACCGATACGTTCTATCGAGCCAAGGTGAAAAGCTTCCAAAAGACCATGTATAGTTTGAAGTTCGACGAGGATGATAAGGAGATGCTCGTTGACGTGCGATTTGTGCTGGATCCGAGAATGAGATGATGCTGGGAGTGATGATACATGTCTGGTAGTCAACGCCTTGACCAGCCTTCCTTGAACACGATTATGAGTACAGAAATTACCTCGAAGACCTTCGCTTTCATTGCTCGAGCTGGCCTTTGCTAGCCAGATATGCAGCGCCCGAATCCGCCCAAATTTCGTACACCTTGACCTTGTTGTCCGGATCGAATTCCAAGACATACGTAAAGACTTCATCCCACCCCTGTCCGGTACTTGTCCATGTGAACCTTGCTTGTCCGCGACATGATACTTTGGAGACCTCGGCGTCAACGACGAAGTTGCCGAAATGCATATTCTCGTACTTCAAGTTCGACGACAACAATTGAAAATACTCTCGAATGCCATCTTGTCCCCGGAACTCGCGGCCTAAGAACGGGGCGAGCTGTGGCAAGCCATGTTCAACAGCGAGAACGTCTTTTGCCGAGGAGAAATGGCTGAATATTTCCTCGGGAGGTTTCTGTTCTGCAAACGTGTTGCAGAAGGCTTCAGCGGCCGACAACAGATCCTGGCGGCTTGTGGAGGGCATTGAGGGCACGTCGGCGATATATTGAGATAGAGGATGATGGAGGCACTTGGGTGTGGCTTACTCAATACCAGTAGCGAAATGACCAAGCAAAGGTACCTAATAATCACCTAATTTATTAATTGAGAATCAAAGTGCGGAGTGACGACGGAGGCTCCGATTTCGCCGGAAGCCGTCAATCAAAGATACTCATATTATTCCCTCCACTTCCATCGCCGTCGTCCCCTCTTTCTCAGTATCAACAACCTGAAGTTATATTGCTTGTATATTGCTTGTTTGTTGTGGTGCGCTCCTCTGTACATATATTCATCATGCGATCGTCTTAAGTTGTCGTCTACTACAACGGTCATTATCGCCAACCATGGCCCATTCCGCCGAAGAACTCCCCTCTCATGCCTCTCCTATGATCTCTCCAGTTGCACGTCCTTCAGCAGGCTATCTGAGCAACTGGAACGACCTCCAGGAAGATGGTCCTCCCACACCAGGTCTTCCCAACAATCTGATATCGCCCGCTTTCACTCCGCCCGCGACTCCAGGTGCTGGCACACCCTCCCGCCACCTCCATGCAGAACCGAAATCTATTCCAGTCGATACCTCTCTCGATGAGCCTTCCACCAAACAGCCTCGGCTCGTCCAAAAGTTACCAAATGTAGAATGTCTCGTACGCGCAAGAATACCGACCACATCCGGAGCGGAAATGTTTCTACACCTATATCAGAATGATTCAGACAACAAGGAACACTTGGCGATCGTCTTTGGGAATAGCATTCGAAGTCGGAGTCTAGACGCAGAACGCCCAGGAGAGACAGAGATGGATCGCATGATACGAGGCGCATACGTTGGAAGACTACGACCAGGTCGGACAAGTTCAAGGATTGACCCAGAGTCGAGTAGGAGGCCACTCAACAAGCGCGCAAGAAGTGGTTCTGCGCTTAAGAATGTCACAACAGTCCCTGAAGATGGTGTTTTAGATACTGAGCCAGAGACTCGGGTTCAGGTACCTGCGGCTACGCAGGATGAGCAGAATTCCGAAAAGCCCCAGGACCACGAAACTGGACTCGAACCGCTGCTCGAAAGTGTACAATTGACAGTGTCCGGGAAGGCTCCTCTTGTGCGAATACACTCTGAATGCTACACCGGCGAAACAGCCTGGTCCGCTCGATGCGACTGCGGAGAACAACTTGATGAGGCAGCCCGGTTAATGTCCCTACCGAACTCTCCCGGCGGTGTGATCGTCTACTTGCGCCAGGAAGGCCGAGGTATTGGCTTGGCTTCAAAACTCAAAGCGTACAATCTACAAGATCTGGGTAATGACACCGTGGAAGCAAACCTCCTCCTTCGACATCCCGCCGACGCAAGAACGTATGGTTTGGCCACGGCCATCCTGCAAGATCTTGGACTGGGCACGGATAGCGATGGCCAAAAGGCGCCTGAAGAGAGAGGCATAAGGCTCCTCACGAACAACCCCGACAAGGTCAGAGCCGTCGAAGGCCCGAATAAAGAAGTTCGTGTTCGTGAAAGAGTTGCCATGATTCCTGTCGCATGGCGGACGTCGGGAGCCAAGGGAGTTAGAGGTGCTGAAATCGAGAAGTATCTCGAGACCAAGATTGGTCGCATGGGACATATGATTCGAGAGGAGTAGACATTGACTTCTTGACATCTACTCCTCATCAATCTATTGTTCCGTCCCAGTGGAGCACAGCGCCTCTTGATCTTGACAAGACGAAGTCCCGCTTTGCTACATATTTCCCAGCACTGCAAGGCTTCAGGGTGAGGGGAAATTAGGGACCATTCACGATGAGACGTTGCGCATCTTCATGGGAAAGTTCGACCGAAGCATAAAACGGCCATAAGGGTCAAGCCTGTTGTTCTTGGATCGACAAGGTGCAAGATCTCGTCCAAGTACATGGAGTTCCACTGCTGTGATCAACACTAGCTACCTCCCAGAAGACGCCAAATGCAAGCACACCCCAGAATACTTCATGGAGCCTGCCGACCATCCAGTATTACCTCCGACTAAGTCTTCTTTGGTTTCAGCGTCCGATCTCCGACGATTTGACGCGTCGCTGGGACGGAACCAGCTCAAGAGTCAACTCATTCAGACGTATGCTCCAAAAACGACGAAACTGTCGAGAAATATTGGCGAGTTGTGCGTTTCCAGACTGTCTCATTCCACCCAGTGGTCTCGAATATACGATATAGTGGGGAGCTGCACTGTGTCTCTCTGGTCTGATATTTGAGAGGCATGTCTGTCGAAGGGGTGGAAGACGTCAAGCAGCATGGAAGAACAAGTCCGGCATCCTAATATTAACCTAGGGCTACGAAGCGGATGGGCCGCGATTTGGTGGATATACACATTATCTGACATATATTGATATCAAGATGTAGATGCTCACAGCCCGAAAAGAGACTAAAATAGGCGAGCTTGAGCTGAGAGCATATCGTGCCGATGACAATATACATACTTCCTCTGCCCATTGCTCTGTCGCCATATTCGACCAGGTCCTGAATCATGGCAGTTCTTCCGTAGATCCTGCGATGGCAACCCAACGGCTCTGCGTATCCCCTTTCACCAAATCCCCAGCCACAGTTTCCGTTTCTTCGGCGGCTCTCTTTGCACTTGTTCGATTTCTTCCCCTTCTTCGCCCTTCTCCCTCCTCTCCTTCAACCGCCTCGCAAACTCATTAACATCGTCGCCCACCTGCCCGCCCATCGCCACCACATCCCGTCCCGTCAAAACCTCCTCTCTCCCTCCTCTCTCGCGCTCCGCATTCGTCAGCCCGTCGTCCCAAGGTACCAAACCCCGAACATCGATCCCTTGCTCCTCCGCGGCATTGAGATCTTCCATGCCATGTGCTCGCCTGTACAGTCTCCTCTTCTGCGCATCGAGAATCTTTTGCTGACGGCTCTCGTTCGCTTGTGCGGTCGTATAGTCGATATGTAATTTGATCACGGAGAGGGATTCGCGGACGTAGCTGATGGGATGGAAGGGGAGTGACGAGACGGGCGGGAGAAGGTGCGCGTAAGGAGAGGTCTTGAGGAACGTTTGCGTCAAGGTGATCACCGCGAGGAGCGTTAAGGTGCCCTGCAACGAATCACAGTCAGTCCGAATACATTAGAAAGAAGACAGCGGGAGGAAGCACGACGCGACCGTCGTTGTGGGACAAATGTTCAGTGCGGGTTGCACCGTAGCCTCCACGACCGGTAGACTCCAGCCAGCGCCATCCATAACCCTTTACCCCCAGAGAGTCTGCAGCGCAACAAGCGCCCCATGTCATCTGCATGCTGTACGTACGTACCATTGTAATCCAGATATGAATCCACCGATCTGTCAGGAACCAATGCATAAAACTCCCCTTCTGAGGAAACATGTGCGGATATGTCCTCGTCTTTTGCGACTCTTTCTCCTCGGCCGTCGTGCCCTGGTTATACGCTGCTGGGGCTCTTCTTCGACTCGTCAGCCGTGCAGGATGTGACGGCGGGCGGAATTTATCTGGTTGTTCCAGCACTATCGGCTTATTGGGATTTTGTGACGTCGACGTCGAAGAGGCTGCGCGGATGAGCGTTCTAGACGACCGTGACAGAGGCGCGAAAGCGACTTGTCTGCTGCGGAGAGCATTGCGCAAACACGAGTGGCATATCGACAATGTCTTGCCGCGAGTAGCCATAGCCGAGGACGATGGGATTTCGGAGGAAGCGCAGGCTGTGCAGGGCTGTTTCGTATGTACAGGATGCGCATCGGAAGCTCAATGCTTCTATCTGTAAAAGTGACTTGCAGGGATCTGCCGAGCGAGGTCTTGGCCTGTCGGCGACTGCTGAAGAGGAGGTCCTTCAACAGAGTGGTCACGTGCATGACTCATCCCGACCGTACCACGGCGGACCATCAACTATCACCAAAAAAAATACTGCCGCCGTCTTGCCTGATACGGCTTACCGCTTTTATTTTGATCAACACCACGGTCAGCCACGATGGACATCCTAGTACGGAGTATATACTATGTAACTTCTTTTCCTAATCACGTGAGGTCTCGATTTCTCCCTTGTATTGTATCTTCCGTTCTCCCCTCGACTTCGCCCATCCGCTGGGGCAATCGTGTCACGCTCTCGACGTCGCTATTAGCTACCACTTCCCAGCATTATCTGGCTCATAAAGCAAACCGGTCGTCGCGAGGAAAATCTGCAGTCCGAGATGTCATATTTATTCACCTACAGTCTACGGAGTACATCTATGTCTAAATTGGCCGCAAACTGCCTCTTGGTCAGACCTCTAACCGAAGCCATGTCTGCATGGACGCAATTGATTCTGAGATGAGAGTCTCGTCCGCTCCCGAAGATTCTAATATCATACGTAGGTAGCTGGGAGGAGATAAGTAGACTGTCAGAGACACCTTGGGCTCGCTTGCACAAGCCGTACCTTAGTGGACACTGTCTTTTCATACGTCTTAGGTTTAATTGTTGTTTGTTGCGACTTTCATATAACTCCACCAACTCCGACTTTCCAGAAGGTGTGATTGAGAGGCGATATGATACCAGAGCGATCCATCCATGCGCCGTGCATGCCGATATTCCTGTACAAAAATGTTGCGCCGTTTCAAGGCATCAAACGTCTGACCTGCTTGACGACACCCCTCCAGGATCGTTGTCCAGCTGTGCTCCGATCCTCGAACTCCCTCGCCCTTGAAGCGCCCTGGGTGACCCTCTTACGAACGGCAGCAAGGCACATCCCGTGCAGAAGTTTCACCGTGCCACCTTTGCTTCCTCAGCCTCATCAACCTCCAAATCAAATGTGGGATGATGATCCTCTTGCTGCCGATCTGGAAACATCTTCGATATCTTCGTCCACGAAATGAAACGGACGGTCCATGAAAGAAGACACAGGATTGCCCGAAGCAGCCAGATGCCGCAAGTCGTCTGCGGCACGAAAAGGTATGGGGCGCGACCGCCAAGTGGTATCTTCTGAGCATTTTCCACATACGAGCGCAGTCTCTTCTCGTACATCTCAAATGCCACCGGACTTCGATTTCTCGACATTTCCTGAGCCAGTACCCAAGCGCCGATGATCGCCAACTGATTTCCTTCACCAGTGAACGGAGACGGCGCCCAAGCCGCATCACCAACGAGCGCGACACGGTGCTGAGACCACTTCTGCAGTTTGACCTGCACAAGCTCGTCCGAATAAAAATTGTCGGATTTCATCATCTGCTCAACGACCCGTGGTGTCTCCCAGCCCAAGCCACTGTACACTTCAGCGAAGGCTTCCTTTTGCTTCTGTCTGTCACCAGCAGCGTTTGCTCGTCCTAGCGCGGGTACGTCATCATGAACGTAAATGAGGTATACCGATGTCGTCTCAGATTCCTTCCCGACTGGACGCAACCATACGACTCGCCGGTCTGTGAAATGGCATAGTCGGGAATTGGGCCAATCCTGCTTTTCTTTCGGGATCGAGAAGTATGCAGTGAACGCGCCGACAGGCTTGAAACAATCGAGCTGCTCAGGCGAGCCCATGACAAGTTGCCTCGTACGGGATTTGACTCCATCGGCGCCTATCACGAAGTCGAATTCCTCGGTCTTGGTGGTTTTGCTGTTTCTGTTTTCTAGCTCGACGATGACTTTGCCTTGTGTTTGTCTTAGACTCTGAATGGTGGTCTCAAATTGATAGGTGACGTTGGCGAATGCGTCGGCAGCTTTGCAGAGAACTTCCGTCAGGTCACCTCGCATAAGCTCGAGGGCACCCGTAGGACTAATACCACCGACCTCGAAAATGCCGTATGAACGAGATTGCTGGTCGACAAGGTCGAATCCCATTTCGCCCGTTCTCTTTTCATTGAGCTTGTCCATGATGCCCATCAGCTTGACCACTTTCAATGCTGGTTCTTCGATTTCGATTCCTTGTCCGGCTTTCTGTTCGGCCTTCGATCGTTCGACGACCACCACTTGAAAATCATGTCTGGCAAGCCAAAAAGCTAGTATCGAACCTGATACGCCTGCTCCGCATATGAGCACTCTTTCGAATGGCATGGTGCGTGTTGATGGTTCTCCGCTGCAGGATTTCGAGCAACAACTCGACCTTGGACTTGGGGGAGACTGTGTTTTGTACCTTAAGCCTTAAAGGGGTTCGGATGGCACCCTTATGCGCACATCTAGAAAACAGGCTGGAGCCATACCTGACGTACCAAATCAGAGCCAACGAGGGACAGTGAATGTTATGGAGTACATAGGAAAGAATACGAGTACGTTTGCTCGTTTCCCCGGGATGCGCGCTACCCGGCGTTGCAATCTGCCAGCCCTTCACAGCCACGGCCTATGGACGAGCGTATGATGGCGTTATCGATCTTAGACGTCACCATATGTGGCACCGCATGTTATCTCGGCACCGAGTCAAGGTCCAACCCGATTTCGGTTCAGCCCAACGTCAGCCCGCATGTACTATTAGACCGACCACAGGAAGGTGATCGAGCCTGATTGTAGGCAGCAACACAACACCCACTCTTGGACGAGCATAACCTAGCTGTAAATCCTAGCTGGCCGAATTATGTTGTCCGAGATAGAATAAAATAGGCACCCGAGTATCATTTTCTAACACCTACGGAAGAGTACAATAGTCAAGGTGAGAAGGGGAAGGGAAGGATTTGGGGTTACGGGAACCGGCAGAGCTTCGCCGAGTACATCTGTCAGTTCACCCTTCGTAGAGCGCATCTAGCGCAAAATTGTAGCAAGCTGGGATATCTTCCCGTAGGCAGAATGGTAATGCATACTCCGTACCAAGCACTATCATATATATTACGATACGACAAGGTCAAGAAGTAAGAAGGTTCCGTTGGTTCATGCATCAATTGTCTCTTTCCTGAGTCATTTACCCAGACCTAACGAGCATTCCCTATGTCACCAGGAGTCCTTTCCATACATATGATAACATATGATATACCTAGCTGTACAACTTTGTTTTCTGAGGAGGAATAACAAATGAAAGATCCTTGTCGCTGTTCAAGCTGACAATGCCAATTATCACCACTGGCAAAACCCAAAATGCAGTCCATACAAAAACCTGTTCTTCCGGTAACTCTCGGATCGTGCCCAAAGACCCCAAAATCGAATGCAATAACCAGACATGGTGGATTTCCCATCCATTGGACAGTAAGAAATGAAGAAACAAAAAGTAAGTGGCAACTCCGCTTGCCAGGAAAAGCCGTCACAGGCTACCAACGCCAAAGACTCAAAAACACCTACTTCGCAGGTGGCACACACTTGGTCTTTTCGTACAGGATATCAAGGAACACAATATTGTGTTTTCAGAATGGGAACTTTTGGGGTCGAAACGAGTGTGATGTGTTCGGCGTCTATCGATAGATGGAAGATCCAGCTGCAAAAATACTGGTGGCAGCAGTTGCTGCCCATTCGTTTTCTTCATAAGGCGGCGTAGGCCAAAGCGCAGGTACATGCTCCTGTTCATTGCGTTTCTTGGTGATATTCAAAGGCTGAGCAGGGGCCGAACTGAACTGTACACCATTCCTTTTGGCAGATGGTGACGGCGTCAGATAAGCACCTTGCAGTGCTGGGTTGCTGGGTAGTTGTGGTAACGATTGTCGGTTGTAATCTTTTTGTGTAAGAGCAGCTCGTTGGGACTGCTCCTTGCTAAGGGTGCTTTGGTCGAGGCGTCTGACTACTCGACTAGCGGATCTCAGCGCTTCATCCAACAGCTCGTCAGCTTCTTCGGGTGTCTCGTATTGGTTGACTTGGATAGGAGGACGCCGAGTCCGTGTTGTGTTAGTCGTTGAGCTCTGAGCGAGATTCTCACTTGACCGACGTCCTTCAGATCGAGGAATGGAATGTGTCCTTTTCAGTGAACCTTGGTTGCTCTTCGCTCCTGTAGGATTTCTCATCGCTGCTTCTGATTCTTCAGGATCAAGACTGTATCTCACGTTCTGTAGTATTTTGTCGAGGTCTGAAAAGTCGTGGTTGGTCTCAGGAATGACGCTGTCGACCATGAGCGATGACCTGTTCGACCAAGGGACGTTGGCGGCATTCGCTTCGACATCGTCACCACTAGGTGATGCCAATCCGTGTCTACCAGAGAATCGTCGTGCCCTTTTGCGCAGATGTGAGAAGAAACTCTCCTTCTGCCCACCGGGAGGAGATACAAGGCCACTGTTCGCGTTCAAGGCACGCTCAGCCTCTTGGCGATGGATGTCGCCATAGTGGTTACCGTGCGAGTTGATCGACAGTTGCCGGCCAACCTTCTTGGACTTCTCTTCCGTGGGCTTGGAGTTTGGCTTCGACTCTGTTTGAGATGTGAATGCCGAACTGGCTTGCGCCGTGACAGCGTTTGGTAACGGTGAGATGGGCCGGATTGAAGGTAGTATCGGCATTGGTGCGGCCCCAATTGGGTTGGTGCCATGGGTCCACGTTGCACGTTTGTTAGCTTGGGGTCGAAGTCTGCTGGCTAGACTCTCCGTTTCTTGATGTTGCACAGCCTTGGAATCAGGGTTATGTTGTGGAACAGCAGGCGCACTCTCTCGTGCAATTAGTGATCTCCGGAACCAAGATGGCTTGGATGTGATTGTTGGAGTCTCGGCTGTATCCTTGGACCTAAAGCTCAGATCCGAATGTTTGCGTCCGAGTAATCTTGATGACGACTTGGGCCTGAGAGGGTCAACAGCATCTGTAAAGAATTCATGCTCCATGGCTTGTTTTGATGTCGGACGGCTTTTAGGATCCCACATCAGGCACCATGTCACAAAATTGCTGAACGCCAATGGCCACTGAGGAGGTTGCAAGATGGTTTCCATTGCATGAGGAGCCATCTGTCATGGTTAGCACAATGGTTCGTTCGGTGGCCGCTTGGCTTACCTTGGGAAACGAGAAGCCTAATTTTTGAGCCAACTTGGTTCCCTCTCTCCATTCACCACCTCCCACACGGGTGCCTGACTTGGTGTACCAATTGCCAGGGCTTCCCATGATCTCACACACCCGCCAAACTTGGTCGACTTCGTTTCCTCCAGGAAAGAGGGGTTTCAGCGTGGCCACTTCGACAGCCATAGCGCCAATGGCCCAGATGTCCACAGGTGCGGAATACTCGCCAGCGCGAAGAAGGACTTCTGGGGCTCTGTACCATCTCGTAGAAACGTAGGTAGTATATGGCAGCCTGGAGTGGGTCTCTCGTGCCAGCCCAAAATCGGCGATTTTGATGGAATATGCCGGAGGTGTAGACGGAGGTGTGACCAGGGAGGAGTATCTGCTGAATGCGGAATGAGAGTCATGAGGCGCTGATGTAGAGACGAGGATATTTTCGGGTTTGATATCGCGGTGGAAGAAGTTGTGAACATGGATATGATCGAGACCAGAAAGAATCTGGAACAGTATGCTCTTGACACTTCTTGCATCCAAACATTTGTGATCCCGGGCTTTCATCAGCTGGTAGAGGTTTCCGTCCATGTATTCCATACAGATATGGAGTTTCTTGCTGAACGGATCCAAGAAGATATCGAGGGCAGGGACAAGGTGAGCGTGTGTTGGCAGATTTCGGAGGAATATGACTTCTCGGAGTTCCATGCAGGGAGAGAAAGAGTCGAACGTCTTCTTCATCGTCTTGATAGCGACCTACAGACAAGTTTAGTAGGACTCCCAGGCGGGCGACACTCTTCACTTACCATTGTGTTACGCCGAGCAACACTGGCGCCATTTGCTCTCACTCGTGCAAGATGTACACTGCCAAAACTGCCATCTCCAATCTCCTTGATCACTTCGAACCGGTCCTCTAAAGCGACCATGGTGTAGGAGGCAGGTCTTTGGTTATAGTCGGTGACTGCCATGGTGCCACTGGGGTATTCTTCTCCCAAACCTTGCTGTCGTTGAGTTCGGTATCTAGGGGGTATATAGGCGGATCCTTCTTGTTGGGGCTGCCCAGCGCCCTATTAGAGGGTCGTGTGAAACCTCAGCACGTCATTTCCTTGTTCATCTGTATCAGTTGCTTTGTATGTCTCAGCAAGGCTGCGTGAAGGAAGGCAACGTTGGTGTCTGTTTGCTGTTTTCGGGTGTTTGTCAAGGTCGACTGGTCTGTAGCGGACGCGCGAGGTAGCGAACAGGAAGGGTAAATGACGATCCAGGTCGAGCTTCAGCAAAATGATGCAGGATGCAGGACCCGGTTCGAAAACGCTCGAGGGCAACTAGGGGAGCTAGCTCGGGATGGCTGCTCTTCGGAAGCAGACCCGCAAGGGGTGGTGCTAGGAAAGTGGATAGACGAATTCTCCCTTTTCTTGATTGACACGGAGAGATCTAGGTTAAGGCTGCGGCGTCCGAGGACAGTCGTGTAGGGGGTTAAAGTGACAGACGTTCTCGGTTGTGTTGACGATGTGCTCGGACAATTTGCTGGGAAATGGGAGGCGCGTTCCTGCTTGTATCGGATTGGCAAGGGGTTGAATGGCAGATGTGTGAGAGCGTAGCGGAAGTGGAAGGCCCGGCGTGCCACAAAGGGCTTAATCACACACCGTGCTGGAATTGCGCTGACGAAGCCCTCCAGGCTGCTGGTGTTGATGTTTCCGGCTAAGAGAGATAAAAATGAGAGGCAAGAGAAAGAGACACACAGATGCCTGATGTGCGAAATGAGCGAGAAAGGGTCAAGAAGTCAAAGCCAGCGAAACAAAAGGTGATGTTGGCTGTCAGCAAGCAACAAGCAGCAGCACCTTGCGTTGCCTGAGGTCGACGCGAGGTCCAAGAGTACAACGAGGGAACGCCAACTGGACAGGGCAGAGGCCGAATGTGGCAAGCCTCGGACTGAGTCAAAATGCAAGTCCCCTGCCATGGCTCGTTAGCCTGTTGGGCTGCCCAAGGTCTGGCAATCCCGACCCAAACAGCCAGGTCAGCTAGGCCTACTAGCCCTCCTAGCCCTGGATGGCCTGCACCAGCCCCATCACGCACGCCAGAACGACTTAACAACCACGCCAGAAGCAGCGGGAGCTGGGGCCTGTTGTCCGTAGGTACACTAGGCTCTAGAGTCTAAAAGGTGTTTTGGTCAGTCTCGTTCCGGGAAATGCAGCCCAAGCATTAAAAATACTTGTCAATAACATTTCGCATCGCAACTCCGTGCTGGTGGATATTATTACAAAGTAATTTGCTAGCATCAGGACTCCGTATTCCATCATCTCACCGCTCGTCTATCGCTGTTGTGGTGACTCGAGCGCCCGGAAATCTGTTGTTGTCGTTATGGTTCATCGGTAACAATGACAGATCCCGGCTATGCAATCTCGCAAAAGATCCTGAGCAGTGAAGGGCCAGAGACATTCTGGTTCAAAGCCATCAAGAAGGAACAGTCTTGTCTCATTCGTGGGACCATCATGGACCGTTGTCCAATGTTGTCATCGCCGGCTGTCACATTACAGTAGACGGACACTCTCACTGGTTCGACACGTCGAAAGACCCAAAGAAACACTCTTTTCACGGGGGGAACGGGTATGATGGCTAGAAAGTCACACTCGGAACGAATGACAATCGCCGAAGCAAGCCAGCCACGAGTTCGTTCCTGAAGGGAACCCTGTCCGGCCCTGTCCATTCGGGGTTGTGTTTCTTGTGACCACTTCAAATTGCGAGGGTGGTGATGATCACTGTATCATTGCCTTTTAATTGCCAGCTGGCACCAGGACACATTGGCTCTTCTCGATCAAACCCAGCAGTAGAGCAGTGAGCCGATATGACGATATACTTTTCTGTGGCTCTCATCAGGCCGGCAAACCGAGTATCTCCATGGATCTCCCAAAGGGCCTCCATATTATTGTTTCCCACTAGACCGGTCTGCGATGATCAAACACTGGGCAACTGGGATGAAGCTAGGCACGCCGGCTTACGCCCCTTGGGCTAGTGATGAGCCCATGGTGATTCTTGTTCCTGATTCAAAGCTCAGAGCGCGATGCCAAAAGCAGGTTTAGCCTGGTACTTGTCCCTGGTCTATTCTTGTCGCGGCAACCAAGAGGATGGATCGGGGCGTTGCTGGTGCCGGTCAACGGTGCTGTTGGTGCTGTTGGTGCTGTTGGTGCTGATCAAATCTCCAATCCACCTTCGAGTGGCTTTGGACCTGTTCGATCACAACCTGTACTGGAGCCGTGTGGAGTGGCTGCCCACCGTCCCGCCTTACTTTCATGCCTCCCGCGGTAGCCGGCTTTCGCAAAGCTCAAACGCAGTGGGACCAAGCTTCTGGAAGTTTGAGATGTCTTGAGACTTGTCTCGAAGCCATGACTTCTGTCACTGGAGAAATTGTAAAGGATCAGGACTTCGTTCGAAGGGATAAGTTGAGAGTTTCGGGCAATAATAAATCGCTGGTCCATTTGGAATGTTCTTCAGGGATGCGGTTGTCACCGGGCTGTACGGATACATTTCTGGCATGATATCTGGCAGTCGTAGATGCTGTGCCCACATCTTCTTGTCGCGGCTTGCCACGTTGCAGGGACACAAATGTAGCTGAATGTGGCTAGGAGTAGCTTTCCTGACGGCGCAGATGGCCTAAATATCAATCAATATATGGGCACATTGCACACCACCAGCTCTTGCTTCGAGGTATTATGGAGAATACTGTCAACTGCCAACTGCCAAGCTAGACTGGACCTCAAGATGCGCAAGAAGTTGAATTTATTGTGCGACGATCTGGCAAACAATGTCGCTGCCAGATCGCTGCCCAACTGTACCCTCAACTGCATCTATCCTTCCAGGCAGCAGCCTGTAGCAGAAGTTGTAAATCGCGCCAAGAAAGATTAAAACGCCTCAGTCGACCACAACTCTTCTAACAAAACCTACAAAAGCACCAGGTCCTCAGTCACAGGCATCAGAGCAGTACCCTTGATAGATCCTTTTTTGGACTGAAATTTAGCAGCACTTGCATTGTAAATTTATCACAGGCTATTTGAAGAGACATATTGTTGAAAGCACGCCATTCTTTTGGAAATTGAATGGAGTTTGAATAACCTGCATAGTGAAAGACTTGCTCGGCCCATCAGTATTGCAATCCTTTGCAGGACAAGGAGCATCGAAGACGACACAGACACAGACATCAAGACAGCGGGTGTCATACCGGTTGTGAGGTGTGAGTGCACCACGGTTCTATGATGATGACTGCAGAAAAAGAATTCTTGAAGGTCCAAAGTTGACAGATGGATTTTAGCGACTATGTTGGATGTCCCTGACCTCGCTGTCACTTTACATACCGGGTGAATCCAGCGTGCGCGCAACGTGCAGGTGAAGTTCAATACGACAGCTTCAAGTACCTTCCGACCTCACTGCAAGATATCTTAGGCTTGGCGGAACTGCGACCTGGTTCCTGCCTGCAACTCACTCTCACCCCGATTCAATTACTCTCTTACTCATGTCTCAGAAAAAGCACAAGCCACACTGGCAAAGAAAGCAAGAGTCGTAAGCCCCTCTTCAACATCTCGTCCCGTCTCATTCTTCTTCGTTTCTGTCCCTTTATCATTCGTTTCATCAAGCCAACCTGGCAATGGCGTCCACCATGTCAGCCAGCACCATGGTCAGCGGCACTAGGTACGGAGTCACTGATTACGGAGCCGACAGATACGCCAACGTCGACGTGGGTATTAGGTGAGTAGCATTCACTATCTAGTCGGGCCATCACTGACTGTTCTTCCAGCATCGAATGTGCCAACTGCTCCAGAAAGCTTTTCCGTTCTCGATACTCCAACAACCAAATCCAAAAGTTTCAGGAGAAAGTCTACCATGCACGCCGTGGTGGTGAAGCGGCGGAACTCCCAAGATGCAGAGACTGCACTGCCGACAACAGAGTCGAACTCAAGTGCACTGGTTGTATGTTCACCAAGGGGATTGACTGCTTCGCCAAAGCACAACGCAAGGACCCAGACAACGCAGTAAGCACTGTCGTACCCAGGGCGAGGATACACTGACACTTTCAGAAATGCTTCCCCTGTCAACAAGAAATCCAGGACCGCCTTCCGGATCTCAAAGAGTCGGTCGAAGAGGAGCAAATCCGTGAAGACTACCGAGCAGGTCGGCTCGGACCATTCCCAGGAATGTCGAGCGTTGGGTCCGCTCTTCCGAGCATTGATGGGTCGATCACTGACTCTCGAAACAAATCTCACGTCCAGTCTGTCACCAGTGATGGCCGTGTAAGAATCGTTCAAGATGGCGAGTCGGCTTGGGGAGATAATCGATCGACTGCCCGTTCAACTTCGCCAACCATGTCGACCGTGTCCGGATACAAAGCCCACCCAGTCTCCGATCTCTCTGCCCCACGAGTTGCTTCTGCCTATTCGACCGGTACTAATCGACGAGGCTTCCACAAGACCGCAGCTTACAAGGCGTCTACTCAAGAACGCGTCTTCAGCCAGATCCAACGCGAGGATGTGCACAAGAACCAGACGCAGGTCTCCAATAGGGATATCTCTGATGATGAAGAAGAGTGGGAGCTCTAAAGAGACAAGACTTTCAACATGGGCAGGAAAATTAGTGACTAGCCCGGTTTCAGGCATGGCATCTCCTCCATCTGTGATACACCCCATCGCTGCACCAAGGTGCCCCAAGGCTGACACTCATATGTTGTGATTCGAAGAGGATGGGCGGATGTGCTCAGTAGCCATGAAAATCAAGATCATGCGCATACTACTTTTGGGCTAGACATCGGGTTCAAAGCAAGCTGCAGCTGCGAACAAACCCAAGCTAGACATCAGAGAACAAGAGACAAAAGTACTTCAATAGCATCATTGGACCTCAATGTCTTCACTTGGCCTGCTAGGCTGTCACTCTGTTGCGCCTTCCCTACAATCTACGACTGACCGTACATAACAGGCGACTGGAGGACAGGGCGTATGAGAAGCATGCAGCGTCGTGCAGAGAGGTGGCTTTCAGGCTAGTGAGGCCATTCCTGCAATATATTTAGGCCGAGGCTTCCGAGGCCGCCTCTGGCGCATGAACGCCTTCTCCTCGTGCGAAGAGGTCAGAATTAGACCATCAGCGAACGAACCGTGACCGGTCTACATATCTATGACGAATGGGAGTGGTATCGGAGCGAAGCCCAGGCAAGCAAAACAAGGCGCCAGAAATCGAAAGGGAGGGTCAAGTCAGCCGATAAACGTCGGAAGACTGCAAGTGCCGCGCTCGGCAGGGGAAAGGTGATGGTAAGAGTTCGTCGCGGACCAAGGTATATCCTGGTTGATGTGGTCGATATGGGAAAAGTCAAATACTCCGGATCGAAAGGTCAGAGGCTATCTTCGAACTTGGCTCACAGCAGTACATGACGCGTGTGCAGTCCAGCAGCTAGCGGGCGAGGGGTTCAGGCAGTGGCCTATGGTGTGGAAATCTTAGGCATTCTGCGGCTCTCTCGCCAGTTTCATGCATCGACGCAAGTCATGGGGCGCAAAGAGGTCGTGAAGGTTACATGGCGAATCCTGATGTGGCTGAAGACGTGCATTTGAATACGTCGAGAATAGCAGTGGCATGTCCAATCTAGTGGTTGTAGATGGTGTACAGTATTGTGTTACTCCGTACTCTAGCAACGAAACTAACGCATATGTCAGTGTTGCAAATGACGTCGGTCTGTGTGTTGCTCTTATCGACAAAGATTTGTGTCTGTGTCGCCGGTGTTTGTAAACCAAGCGTGACTTCGATTCAGTTAGATGCAAGATCTGGCTGCAGTCGAGAATCATCATCACGATAGACTCGGCCCCCATCACTTTTGCCTAGTGAGCCCGGCATCCAGGCGAAGGTGGACTTCGGAAGTTGGAACGGGACGCCAGACGTCTGCTATTCATGGCACTCGGTCCTAGCTGGCTACGGGCAAAAACGTGGTGAGAGAGTCAGACCAAGATTTTGAAAGATGTTCGACTGGCTGGAGGAATGGACCATGATGGGCTCACCAGGCTCACCACCTTAACTGAGGTAGGCCAGTGTTGGTGGCTTTTTTGAGGGCTAGTAGGCTGTCCGTCGCGTGAACTGCGCCCATCGGTGCCCAGGTTGATCGCTCACTATCCTTACCCATCTACCAATTCCAGTCACCGGTCGAGACCCTAGACACGCCCATGACGAAACTCACCCTGTAGTTGTCCTGCTGCCATTCCACCGGTCGCTTTTGCCCCAGACGCCTCGACGGCTCGTCTCAGTCCATCCTGCAACTTGTTGATCTCTACAACTAAACTCCTATTTTCGAGAATCCACGGCATCCCATCTCTTGCTCAACGAAGAATCCACTGGAGCCTCCTGTCTAAACCTCCTCGAAGTTTGACCTGTATCTTTGGCGTATACTCTACACAGCTCGTCTCACCAGCTCTCAGCGTGCGCAACAGCTGTGACGCATCTACGACAACTGTACATCACCTAGCCTCCAGACACTTGACGTCTTTGATGTCCTACCTTCTCCTCCTATCGGCTGTTCTCCTGCCCAGATCTGGAACCGTACTATCCTCATCTATTTCACAGCAAGAAACAGGCTTAGCCGTGAGGCTGTTGTCCACGCGGCAACTCGTGCATACTCTTGTTAGCTGCAAGCCAGCGTAAACCGGCCTGGTCGGCGCTGTCAAAAGATATCAGACACCACATCCAGGATCCGCTGGGAGTCATCTGGATGCTCTGAGGACAAATCTTGTCCTCAGCGGGACTGTCGGCTTCCCGAACAATGGCCTCCAACGATGAACGCGTTCCGTTCCTGTCGGAAAGCTGCAGCTTGAGCGACAATGGTGACTCGAAACGCCTCCATCCAACAATGAACAATTCCATATCCAGTGACGGTCGAAGCGCAAGGCCACGAGGATCTTCCAACACTTCGCTCGACTCACATCAATTCGACTCTTCCAGATATCACCAAGCTCGACAGCCGATAAATGATGCTGTCACCTCCGCCTTCAACAATGCCGATGCAACCTCTGCCGCTTCCATTCCCCCGGAATTGCTCCAGCAGATTACTTCACAGATCACTGCCAACGTCCTCCAACAACTAAAGGGAGTCAACTTGCCAACACCTGCCCAACCACCACCACTATCCGGTTCTCAAGTAGACGCGGCCTCGTCGACGACAGGATCTCCTCCTTTGAATCGAGCTACAGTCTACACACCTCCAACACCCCATCGTACCTCAGAAGACGCTGGGATGGGCCACCCGTCCCCTCAATTTCCTCCGGCCCCACAGTCAAAGGAGCCATCCTTTCGAGGTAGTCCGCCCCCTGTCGAAAACAGAGCTGTGTCTCCTTTCAGTCAGGCTAGTCATCAGTCCGAGGACGACACCCATCAAGATCGACCAGTTCGGCCTAAAGGCCCGAAGAGAGTTGATACCGGTGGAGATGCCACCACTTTGGAACGGGTATGGGGAACCTTGTTCGACGAGCAAGGTCAGGCCACTGTTCGACTGGGACAATTCTTACGGGGCATTGCTGTTCATCTGATTGAAGACTACGAGCCAAGGCACAGCTTGGTCATTACACCAGCTAAGATGCAGAAATACTACGAAGAAACCAAACTTTCGGCTGAAGTCTACCCATGGAAGATCGTTTTCGATGATAGGACATCCTCGATTTCTCGAATGTTCAGGGACATTGAAGCCGAACATCACCTGGTGCAGGAGAAGCTGCACGAGAGACCCGACCTTCCTGGTTTGACACCCAGAGGCTTTGAAACATGGGCGACTTTACTCCTCAAGGCACACCCGGATCAAGAGTTCGAGAGGCTGGCCAAGACTGCGCTGGACATGCCGATCAGCAACCCCGATGACAAGAAAGAACGTTTCCCAAAAGAGATTTCACGGCGACTCTTTCCCACCCGCTCTGACACCGAGATAGCCTACAAGCTGCAGAAGGCTATGTCGACTCACTGCAACGTCAACTTTGCTTCGCGCCAAGGCAGCACGGCTAGCGCAGCAGAGTCAGGGCCTCGAGCTTCACAACCAAACCAGGCAAGTGAAGAGACGCACAAGACGACTATGAGGCCTGCGCCGGATAAGCAAGACCCGATCAATAGCACATCTCAGCCTAGTCCATCCTTGTCGCAGACCAGCCAGGATCGTCAGCGACAACCATATTCGAGTGCCCCATCGGATGCCGAAGAAAATACTGTCGAGAACACCGAAGACACGCCTACTCCACAACCAATCGAGCGTGAGCGTAAGCCATACGTTGCCGCCCCGGGCGGTGGAAAGACCTACGACGTTCTTGATAAGCCCGCTGAAGCAACAGAAATGAAAGCAGCGCCTGCACCTCCGCCTCACGAATCCAGACTAGGGCGCTCAAACTCCGTCCATGCCACCAGCGGATACAATGATAACTCGAGATCTGGCGCGCCAGCAGTGGCCGTTCATCAGAAACCACCACCTCCGCCTATGGATGCGGAAGCGCCCCGACATCATCGTTCCAACAGCACCTATCACCGAGAACAGCCTAAGAATGGTCGGAATCGGTCTCCATCCATGAGCAAGGAGAACGGATCCGCTTTTTATGGGCGCAAACCAGAGACGGAAGTACCCTATGCTTCGTCACGCCATTCGTACAACGGCAATGATCCTTACGAAGAAGCTAGACGATACAAAGAATATGAACTGCAACGGGAACGCCTGGCTAATGACCGGTATGACGCCGCCAGGATGGCAGCATATGACCCACGAGAAAGAGAGCGCGAGCGAGCCAGGGACAACAGACCACGAATGCAATCTGTCTCCGGGCATGATGGACGTGCTCCACCTCCATACTCAAGTTCAGTTCCCGATGAGGAGTACTATCGGGATCCACGACGCGGAGGCAGTGCGACGTCATACGGCACTCCTGCCGCAATTAGTACTGGGTTTCAGCCTCCTCCGCCTCCCCCAGGAGTAAGGGACTCTGCTTCGATCCCTAGAGATACTACATATGGATCCTATCCATCCTCGGCGGGGTACCCTCCTACCAGTTACCGAGACATGCGATAAGTCTCGATCAGAATGGCACCGACGCCCATTTGAGATCCACCAAGTGGGAGGCAAATGGGCATCGATGTATATGACCAACACCAGCTATGAACAGACAAGAATGACTTTCCTTTTCACCGTGCCACACCAAATGCATTGGTGTGGTGCTACGACTTCTGGCGCATGGTTGAGCGTTCTTTGGTAACTTTCGTTTGTTGATATCCCCTTTGCAGGCTGTTTCATTTGTCGATCGCATATGTTGAAGCATGAGGAGATTACCTTGTATGATATATCAGGATGATATTCTATCACAATGCTGCATATTAAAGAGGACGATAGGTTGCTGGCGAGCTGGACTCGATGGTCTACGCATGACAATCATGTATATTTATTCTTGATTTGGACCTCGGATAGCCCTGTATTACTACTATTTATGACCTATGCATGACAATTTAACCGGTAAAGAACTCCTAGAAAGTGTTCGTAGTACTAGGCGTCGGCGAGAGTCCTATGTTATCTTATAGAAGCAGTAAGAGAGTGCTGCATATTCGACTGTCCCAATAGCCTTACCATTGACTATGTCGATGTCTGTGATCGAGATCAGCGGAGACTGCTCGTGGCGCTGACATTCACACTTGCGTAGTCGCTAACCGAACGTGCAGCGGAGGTAAACCTGGAGGATCATCTGCCTTGGGGCCACCCTTGAGTAGCGAGAAGTCCTGCGAGGTTATCTGAGGCCCTTGAATATACCCAATAAGACAGCAAGATGGTGGAGAGACCCCGGAATCGGGATCGGTGCATGTAGGTAGGTACTCGTACGATCGTAGGATGTAGTACTTCAAGTTGTGGGTACTGTAGGATGGCCACGATGACATGTGCTGGTGGAGATGATCATATCAGCGAGAATGGTGCCACCAAGTGCCTAGCGATTGGATGTTGGTAGCCCAGAATGGCACGGATGGGAACTTTGTAGCCACTGATTCCAGGCATGCCGCTGCGCATTCTTTCGGTTCATCACAGTCAAGAATACGAGCCATTCGCCCACCATCGTTGAGCCTGAAGGCTTTGTTATTCTTGGTCTCAGGCTACCCTTTCACCATGTCCAGGGCGACCATCAGTCCGCCTCATCTTCACTCACTGTACAACCTTCAGTACAGACACCGTCCGCGATTAGTCACAACACCTTTTCCCTCTTGGGAACTGAGCGGATTCGATCGAACTGCGACATAACAAGCATACCACAGCCCTCCATGAAGCCCAGCGACTGCTTATGACAGCTCCTACCACCCCATTATGGGCTACGACCATGCTGAGCAAAGAGAGGTGCACCCTCCGGATACCGGCTCCAGCTCCAGCTCTGGTGCGACGGCGAGCGCAAGTGACAATGGTGCGATAAAAGAGTGGGAGGAACCAAGAGAAAGCAATCAGTCGATAAATACAGATACTGATCCGGAGGCCAAGCCAGAGCATAGGCACCACCACAAGAGACGGCACGATGGGCCCATACTCAGGTTACGTGGAACCGAAGATGACCTGCCCACGGATTGGTGGTTTGCTTCTACTGCCATCCCGCTGCTCGCTGCGACATTTGCGCCCATGGCAAATATGATTTCAATAGAAGCTCTGGTTGTACCCTGGAGGAACAATGTCGTCCTGCCAGAAGTTCCCGTATACTATCAAGCCACCTCTATCGGCTACCCGGACCCAGACTGGTGCATCAAGCTCAATATCGTCTCGCTCGTCTGCGGATTTGTTGGCAATCTGTTTCTGCTCTTCAATTTCACGAAGCGAGTACGTTATATCGTTGCTCTTCCAGCGACCATTGTCCTCTTCTATCTTGCCTCGGGCATCTTAATTGGCATAACCGTCTCCATGCACGTCCATGCTCCACCAGGCCAGAACCAAGTCTATTCTCAAGGATTCTGGAATGCCGTTATTGCAGCATGTCTCTACATGTTCAACTCGATGATCCTCATGGTCAATATGGCCGGTTACTTCCTTGGTCATTATCCTCAACATTTCACCCTGACCGACGAACAGCGCAACCTGATTCTGCAAGCCATGATGTTCTTTATCTGGCTCGCAGGTGGAGGAGGTGTCTTCGCACGGATTGAAGGCTGGACCTACCCGGACGCCGTCTACTTCTGCGACGTCACAATCTTGACCGTTGGTTTTGGAGACTTCTACCCAACAACTGACCTCTCACGAGGTCTCGTCTTCCCATTCTCGGTCGGTGGCATTATCATCTTAGGTCTCATGGTCAGCTCCATTCACAAATTTGCTGGGGAGCTCAGCACTCTCAACGTGCTCCGAAAACATGTGGAAAATAGGCGCATCAACACTCTGTCCAGGGTCGTCACTGTTGAAGCCGGTGAAGAGGCGCAGGAGGAAACTCGACGAGAAGACCTAGAGAAAGAGATCCAGATTGAACGGCTTCAAGGTCGAAAGATCCCAATCTCTGCTCCCTTGCCCAATCCCCAGATTGAGCGTGATCTGGATGTGGCTGCTCATGTCGGCCTACAGGAGGACTCAACAAGTCAAGATAGCACTCAGGACCGACAGACTGGTCATCAGATCGGGTTTGAGGGTCCAACGGCCACGGAACAGATTCAAAAAGCAGAAGAGAGCGAACCTCATCCCCGGCAGTTCTTGAATCAAAACTTCCGGCCCATCCATGCCACTCTGAGAATGCTAGCAAAGCCGGTCCAAGGTTTGGTAAGGTCGAGAACCAGAAGTTCAAAAGTACTTCTTATGAGGGAGGAGAAAGACCGATTCGACGCTATGCGAGAAATTCAGGAAGATGCCAAGAAGTTCAAGAAGTGGTTTGCCCTCTTCGTATCGGGTCTCGCCTTCGGTGCCCTTTGGTGCTTGGGCGCCATCGTGTTCTGGCAGGCAGAGAAGAACACCCAAGGTCTGTCCTACTTCGAGGCGCTCTATTTCTGCTACGTGAGCTTGTTAACCATCGGATACGGCGACTTGAGCCCCAAGAGTAACGCCGGCAAACCATTCTTTGTGGTGTGGTCCCTGATCGCTGTCCCAACCATGACAATTCTAGTCTCGGACATGGGCGACACTGTCATTTCGAGTTTCAAGCGGGGCACTTTCGTTCTGGGTGACATGACCGTCCTGCCTAAGAAGGGCCTCTGGCACGATCTGCTCAAAGCCAATCGCTGGCTATACAACTGGGCGAACAGAAGAATGGAGAAGCGTAGGCGTAAAAGGGGACTTCCCGTGGGTCCTCCGGCTAACGACTTGGCGTCGCCCTTGAGCATCGAGGAGCTTGCCAGAGAAGAACCGACTGAAGCAGAATTGACGCAGCGTCTGGCCTGGGCGATTCGTAAAACAGCCGATGATCTGCAGCACGCGCCGCGCAAGCGCTACAGCTACGAAGAATGGGCGGAGTTCACCCGCCTGATCCGATTTACAAAGTATGGCCTGAAGCAACTCGAGTACGACGAGGAGACCGACGGTGTGGTTGATTGGGATTGGCTCGAGGAGAGCAGTCCCATGCTGAGCGGCCAGACTGAGTCCGAGTGGATTCTGGACCGGCTGTGTGAGAGTCTGTTGCGGCTGTTGAAGAAAAATATGCAGGGGACAGACACGGCGCTCGGGTCGTCTACCACGAATCTTTCGACGTACCCACTGTCACGCCAGGTCACCAGCGAGGACACGGCAACCACTGCGAACGACAAGCTGGACAAGGGCAAATCCGCCGAGCCTGCATCCCCAACGGAAAGGCAGGGACTCCGGCGCCGAGCTTCGGGTGCTGATGCAGTCCTTACTTTTTTCACCGGCGAACGCAAGGGTGAACGTGCGTACGAGATAGACGTGCCGCACTGGAGTCAACGAGCGAAGAACAGGGCGATAGAACGGCGTAGAAGCGACAGCGGAGCGCATAAGAAGCGCCGAGGCCCGTTCAGCAGGCTTGAAGCCAGGGTGACCGGGACAGTTGGTGGCGGGCGCGGCGGCGCGGGCATGCGCACGCTGAAGATGAGGCATATGACCGGCAACACGAAGCCAGAAGACTGATTTTGGGATGTTTTGGATGCACTTGTAGCATCTTGTTGGTGTTCTTGGAATTTCTGGATGTACCTACTTGTACTTGGTGATTAAATGTATATGACGAGCCGGGAACGCTTGTGATGGAACGGAGAACAGGACAGGACAGGACGGGACAGAACAGAATAGGTATGGGAAGAGGGATAGATGTCCACCTTATGGTGACCTGCAATACGGGCATGGCTACTCGTATCAAGGAGTGACCCAAGGCTCGATGTTATACCCCATGATGCTTGCAAATGTCGTACTAGACTGAATAGACAATGAAGGACCAAGTCTATTGTAGTCGCATTAGTCCATCTACGTTGCATTGCGTCCGCTGCAGGATGATGCTCCCTCAAGGTGTCCGCTCATGCTACAGCATGGCCATGCCGTGTTGCTTATTGAAGAGCCATGTTCTCCTGTATGGAGTAGTGCATGCCCAGTACACGTCCAGGAATAGGCGAGAGGTTCGCCTGGCTGACTCAGGCTAGTGCTCCTTTTTGGAAGCGTCTTAGCACCTACTGTACTGCCTACATATACCACTCTCGTGTCTCTGATGGAAGAGAAGCCTGGTCGAGTTACACAAGGTCCTCAAGATTCTGCGATGGGTACGACATAGCTGAGCTCGATCTTTTCAGCTGATCGTGTCCCCCCGCACGCAAGCGAAGCCACGCTGAAACGAAACGAGGTGCATACTCAGCAGAGCCTGACCGCACAACGCCAAACCTCCACGACAGCAACCTGGCGGGCTCAGTGTTCGGCTTAGTGCAAGCCATGAAGCTTTCCGCGTAGGTGTGAGGGAGGCGTGGCTGACATTTGTTGGTGCTGAGCTACTACCACTATCGTGCCTTCCCCTACATATCCAAGGCCCTATAATCCGATCTGTCCTTCACCTGGCAGCCCATCCTTCGCTTCCTCAACTTCACGCAACACTGCCAGAAATATCTGCATATTGACAGGATGCCTTCGCCCAGGAGTGTCGCCGATCCAGAGGTGAAGTCAGTGCTCGCCAGAGCTCCACCGAAGCACACATTCCACCCTTCTCCGTTGGCCTGGGACGACCAAGTCCTTTACTTTCTGCTTCCTGACCGCTTCTCTAATGGTGCAGAGAAAGGTTACAAGGATACTGCTGGCAACCCCGTTGCCGGTGGTTCGACACCCGAGTACAATCCAGGGGATTACGAGAATGCTATCGGCACGGATGCCAACGCCTCCAACTGGAGAAACGCAGGCACAGTCTTCGTTGGTGGCACTCTGAAAGGCCTCATGACCAAGCTTGGATATCTCAGCCGCCTCGGTGTTACTGCTCTATGGGTAGGTCCCATCTTCAAGCAAGTGTCGAAACTAGAAACGTACCACGGTTATGGCGTCCAAAATTTTCTGGATATCGACCCGAGATTCGGAACTCGTGAAGAGTTGAAAGAGCTGGTGACGGCTGCCCATAAGCAGGGTATCTATGTTGTTCTTGACATCATACTCAATCATAGTGGCAACGTCTTTGAATACGTGGCTGACAATCCGCACTACACCGGAGACACGTTTGACGTCAAAGGATTCTACGACAAGGACAGGCATCCCAATATTCCGCTGGGCAAAATCGACGAGGGACGCCACCCAAATGCCTTTCCTGATGCTGCCATTTGGCCCGTCGAGTTGCAAGACAAAGGTTGCTTCACCAGAAAGGGCCAGATCAATGGAGACGGCTGGGACCGCTTTCCTGAGTATCTCGACGGCGACTTCTTCGATCTCAAAGACGTCGCCTTAGGTGATTCAAATCCAGACAACTTCAATGCAACCCCTGCTTTGAGGGCCTTGTGCCAGTGCTATAAGTACTGGATCGCGTATGCTGATATCGATGGGTATCGCATCGACACAGTCAAGCATATGGGAGATGGGCCGACGAGATATTTCGCCAGTGTCATACGCGAGTATGCACAGTTCCTGGGCAAGGAGAAGTTTCTCCTTATGGGGGAGATCACTGGGCCACGTGCATTCGAAACCGTCGAGGCCACTGGTCTGGATGCCGCCCTCGGTATTGGCAATGTTCAGGAGAAGCTGTGGCGAGTACCCAAGGGTCAAGCCACGCCTAGCGAATACTTTGACCTTTTCCGGAACGCACTCTATCTCAATAAAGGGAGCCATACATGGTTCCGAGATAAGGTCGTGACGATGATCGACGACCATGATCAAGTCTGGCGTGGCAGTTACAAGGGTCGCTTCTGCTCCGAAGGCGAGGGCTCCAAGCTCGTCACCGCAGCGGTGGCACTCAACTTTTACACCCTTGGCATTCCGTGCATTTACTACGGGACTGAGCAGGCTTTCGATGGTCAAGGCGGCGGCGACGAATACATCCGGGAGGCAATGTTTGGAGGTGAATTTGGTGCCTTTCGCAGTAGGGACCGGCATTTCTTCGACGAGGGCAAGCCGGTTTGGAAGGATATTGCAAAGCTCGCCCAGATTCGCAAGCAGGAGATCACGCTTCGAAGAGGCAGACAGTATCTTCGCGAGATATCGGGAGACGGCGTACATTTTGGACTTCCAGATATAATTGGCAAGCCACCAATGCACTCTGTGATTGCATGGTCTAGGCTTTTCGCGAGCGAGGAGGTGCTGTGTGTTATCAACACGGACCCGGAAGCTGAGTTGTCAGCTTGGGTGACTCTTGACAGCGACATTCGTCCTCAAGGGAGCACAATGGATCTGCTTTTTGAGACGGGGACTGGAGGTCATCCAACACCTCTGAGGGTTCAGGTGGTCAACGGCAGATCTGTTGTCGAGGTAACAGTGTCTTCTGGTGGCGTAGCGATCTACAAGTGATTGGAGAGCTTGTGGCAAGGTGGGCGTTGGGCTGGTCATGGCAACAGGGCGACAATAGGCAATGGGCCGAGTACAAAGTCCCAAAAATGGTAATAAGGTACATCAAGATCGTCCGCTGAGCGATGGTCTCGTCCATGAATAGTAATCATAGCATTAGGACTGTTAACGCGCTTCATTTTGAAGCTTTTGTCTCTGGAAGGCCCTCAGATGGGCTTCGGCTGATTTACCGCCTTGTCCTCTGCTCTGTCTTCGACGTCATGAGGTTTCTCTCCTTGAGTTGCAACGGCAAGTCCTTCATCTGGACCTACATCACTAAAAACTGGTGGGCCCGTGAAGCTTTTTCTCGCGCTGATGAAGTACCAGAAAATGGCAATGGACGAAAAGCCGGCAAAGACAACCGATGCATAATTCATGCTCGTGGCTGTTACCGGAATGGCGACTGGCATGCAGAAAAGAACGACGGCAAGAGCAATCCAGCAAACTGTGGCGATATTGACAAAAAAGCCGAATTTGCCGAGACTGAAGGTGGCATGTTTTGTCGCTTTTCGTCCACGAATGACGTTGACCAAAATGGGGATGCCATAACTCGTGCTCAGACATATGGTGGCGACACCAGTGAAGGCATTGAAGGCGGCGGTCGAACCAAAATATATCAGGCCGAGAAGACAGTCGACGACGGTCGAGAGGACCAGACCCCAGAGAGGGATATCGAATCTCTGGTTGACGCGCGACCAGATCCGGGAGCCGGGAATAGCGCCATCTCGGGCAAAGGCATATGTGCAGCGGGATGCGGCGGTAAGGGCGCCGGTGCCAGCAAAGAACAAGATACCCAAGATCAAGAACAACAGACCGAAGCCGCCGCCAGCTGAGCCGGTGACGGTCTTGAAGAGCAGTCCGATTGGTTGGCCGTTGGCGACACCCAGCAAGGTCTGCACGTTAGGCAAGACAAATAGGATGGGGATCAAGTATATAACTCCGGTGATGCCGGCAGCTGCGACAGATAGCACCATGGCCTTTGGGACTTCTCGGTGCGGCTGTTGGACTTCCTCGCACATAGAAGCCACCATGCCATAGCCTGTGAGGGTATAAGCGGCCTGAAGAAGGCCGACGAAAAAGGCCCACCCGCTCGGCCAGCCGCTTGCCGAGGCATCGAAGTGCGAAAAGACGAAGGCACCGCTTCGTTTGTTGTCGGCCATGGCCAGCAAGGTGATCATGATGATGACTACCGATGCGGCTGTCCAGTAGATGCATATTTTGTTGATCAGGTCCAGGTACTGGGCCGCGAAGATGTTGACGAGCATACAGAGGAGCATGACGGCCCAGAACATCAAGACCGTCTGATACGCGTTGGGGACGAAGTCTTCCTTCCACAGCGTGATCGCGGACAGGACCAGTTGGCCTCCGCTGAAATTGATGCTCAAGGTCACGGTCCAGTTGCCGATCAGGGTCAGCCAGCCGTCGATGTAGGAGACCAGGGGCGCCCATTTCTTGGTGCTCAGCATGGCGGACCAGTAGTAGACTCCGCCCGCGGTAGGGTAGACGGAGCAGATCTCGGCCAGGGAGGCGGCGATGGCAAGCGAGATTAGAGACACGAAGAGCCAGCCGTATAGGATGGTCACGGATTGGCCGTCGGTCAGCGTGATGTAGAAGGTCGTGCTTAGGCCGAAGGGCACGGCCATGATGGCGAACGATAGGCCCAGGATGGACATCATGGAGAGGTTCCGCGGGAGTTCGCTGACGTAGCCGAGTTTGGCGAGGGCTGCTGCGCTGTCGGCATTTTGGTGGTGCGTGGAGCTCCTGCGTTGTTGTTGTTGTTGTTGTTGGGAGGTGAGCGAGGCTCGCCGCGAGGTCACAGTAGTGGCCCTGTGAGTCGACATCTTCAGTCGATCCTCAGTCGATCCTCTGAGTGCACCAGTTGTGGGTTAAACACAGTAGGGTGCGGTTTAGATGAAGCACTGGTGTTGGTAACACATCACCATCTACCAGGATCAACGTTGAGGTCAAGTTGTGTGAGTGTGTGGACAGGGGATGTTTTGAAAAAGGCCTGGCGAGCTGGAAGGGTTGCTTTGGAGCTTTGGAGCTCTGAAGTCTGGAGAGAGGCCTGCATTGACCTGTGACCTTTGACCGTTACCTAATACCGAGGTGTTGGTGCTGGCAATAATTGCTGTGGCTGCCATTTGACGTCATTTATTGAGCGTGGCCTCTCGAGTCGTGAGAGTCTCGACCTCGGCGGATACAGTACGAGCTAGGAAGTTCGAGTTCGAGCACTTCGAGTGATAGATGTCCACTGTCCAGCCTGGTTCATGGACGCCACATTTCGATTCTGGGGGTGACTCGGGGGGAGGTAGGACACTTACTCGTTGTATCGGGAAATGAGCTGTACATACCTACCTTAGGTATCTAGCAGTTGTTATTTCTCGTTGACGGTCTGAGCTTGTTCTCGCAGTGAAGGATTACGAAATAGGCCAGCCAACTGGCTGACAAGGGAGCGTAGATCTGGCACGATCTCGGTCGCCGGTAGAGAGTTAAGCTGGGTGATGATGACATAGGTCTGCGGTCGGGTTTGATACAGGCCTGAGATGTCTTCGCGATGCCATCCACATCGTACAGACCGTGGATAATATGTCTTTCTGATTAATGAGGCCGCGTCTAGCCCGAAAAATTGTTTAGAAGATTGTGAGTCGCTCCCAGCGAGCCACAACGAGCCGACTCGCCCAGCTCGCCAGGTGGCCGTCATTACAAATCTTGGCGGCTGCCACAAATCTCAAGCTTCTTGTTATTCCTCTCCGTGTTACTCCCTTCACAACAGTATCCTTCCTCCAAGATCGTCGGAGAAGATGTCCATGATGCAGCTCAGCAAGATCTAGGTCTCGTTATGACCCGGTTCTCATCGTCATAGGATAAACCTTTGTCGAGCTCATTTCGATTCGGACGGAAAATTGCCATATCGTCGGGATGGGTAAGCCACCAGCAAAGAATCGCCATTCTAGATGACGACGCCCGTGTCACAGCCAGCTCCTATCAGAAGGTTCGTACCCTTTTCACAGTCCGTCGAAGTCCTCTCCAAAATACCATGATGAACAAACCCAACAAAGCATAGTTCAACTGAGACACTCTGTCATTGAACGAAAAAATTACCATCATCAAACTTCTGAACATCCCCCACCCTAAGTTCTCTTTGCACTCTCTGGAAACATTGGAGAGTGACTTCTGCTGACCTTCGTCTGCGCAGGTACGTCGCTTGTGGTCCCTGAGAGAATTCCGTCATAGCCTTCAAACTTGGGCCAGCGTTTGTGACTTTTCTCGCTTCAGCCACGTAGCCGTCGATCGTGGTAAGAGTAAGCCGGATCGACTGTCACTGTAGCGATCACACCGACTTCTGAGGGATCTAGCACGGAATCCTCTAGCTCTGGCGTTGGTCAATTGCCCAGACACCGGCCCAGAAGGCCAGGAGGGCTAGCCTTGCGGGTCACCCCTTACAGTAGTCACGGGGAAGCCATTCCGATTTCCATGATTTAGTGGTCATGATGATTACTTGGTCTGCTTCTAGAGATTTCATTCTCGGATTCTGCAACATGACAGGTGTAGATCGGACCCGATTGTGAGTATTAGTCCTTGAGCGACTTGTATCGAGTCCCTGCGCCTTTACCTTGGTGTTGAAGAAGAAGGGTTCGATCTTCGACATGGGACAAGTTGGCATTACACCTCACGACCTTTGCGGCCGAGTAACACAACGTCTGTCCTTTGTTCGCTTGTGGGCCTATAGGGAGCTACGTCACGAGCAGACAACGAGGAAAGGATGGTTGCCTTCTCTGACCTTGCTCACGTCCGCATCGCCAAGGTCGGCAAACGTGGTTTTAGAAGTTGCCGTGCCGTGCCATGCCAGGTCAGAGCCAGAATGCGCACTGCTTCTCATTTTCATGTGTGCACAGTACTTTTTGCCGAGCTGCGAGTGTGTGTGCAGTTGCCTGATGCTGACTGCACGCTCGCCATTCCATTCAATGTGAGGCCATCAGTCGATGCGCGACACGAACCGAGGCCGAGTCACGAGGGAGAAATGCTGCCACGAGAAGCTGCCACGTCAATCATTTCCATTATGCATGAGGCGTGCATTGACCACAGTCACGGCAATTTGAGTGGTTGAACATGCAGCAAAGAGTCGCAGAAATGGAAGCGAGCGTGGGCGGCATGTCAGAGCCAGACGAATGGATTACCCCTGGTGATCCTCAGCCTGGGTTGCTGACGTCCATCCAAATCAAAGCATGCCTCAAGCAGCGTATCATATATTAGTGGAGCGTGGGGAAGGCGATCCTGACTCGTCGTCATAGCCCTGTATAGGGCGGAACTAAGGTGAGCTGTGGCAGTCGGGGCGGGCCTGTCGGGCGTGACGGCCCAGTGACTTGTGCCTCTCAACAGGGCCTTGTGCATTGAGTTGCTGCAAGCCGACGGGGCACTCTGCAACCGACATGAGCAAGTGATCCTGTTTTCTTCATCAAGAGCTGCTGTGCAACTCAAAAAAAGGAAAGCTTGTGAGTCAAGTCGAGCCAAAGTCGAATCAACGTGTCTCGAACTCTGTGTGATCTCGCTCCTGCACTGGTCACCAGCCCACTCTTTCCTACTCCTCCTACCCACCGCCTTTTCCTCCCTCCTCGAATCCTCCCTCCTCAAATCCTCTCTCGTTTAAATAAATCTCACCACCCACCCTTCTCGTCTCCCTCCTCCCTCAACCTTTCTCTCTCCTCTATGCTTGCTCCCATACGTGAAAAAGCATCTCGCTGCCATTATCATTACCCCTGGAAAGGTTTTTTTTCTTTAGCAACAACAACAACTCTCAACACCCCACTCTACAAAGGCCACCAAATTCATATCCAGGACTATTATCCACAGGACTATCCATCAGGATCCGGGAATATTCCACAGGCTGCAGTGCTTTGATTTATTTTCTTCTGTCATCAAGCCACTTTCCAAGGAAATAACATCCCGGCGCTGATTGTTTCGACAAACAAGCCGACTGCAGAACTCAACTCACCGAGGCCCTAGCGTTCCAGGTACTACCTCTTTTCTTTTCTACTATCATTTGCCTTGCATTCCAGAGGACCCGTCCCCCCAGCTTCCAGAGAGTGTCTTCGACCTCTCGTCTGCCACCTGCGCGTTCGAGCGTTTTGAGTCGGCTTGGCTCCATGAGTTGAAGACCTTGTCGCATGACATCGTCGTCCTCAGAGCAACTGAAATGATGAATGAAAGTCAAACTCCCCCAAGGCCACCTATCTATCCATGGAATCCACGGAAAGGAAACCCTTTGAAACCCGGACATATTTATCCCAGGACTATCTACCCATGGACTTTCCCTGGTTGGCCATGTTCATTATCCATGGATCGAACTCTTCAATGACTTGTTATGCTCCGAAGAATGTCTGATCCGGTATCAGCACGATTCCTTCGGTTCGACATTTGTAGTTTGGCGACAACGACCTTTGTTCAACATCTTACGAATCGAATATCCATGGGAACTCACGACGCGCTATTTAGCCACCAGGATTTTCCATTATTGATGTTCCCAGGATTTGGCCCATATTTCCACGTTTCAAGACTCCCTAGGAAATTGGCCCTGAATTCCACTTTGGATTCCTGTCACCGGAGCCCTATGTTCGCGCAGCAATCCCCGGGACATTCTTCGGACAGACCACTTGCGCCCTTATCGTTACGCAAACCCCGACACTCACTTCCAAGGCCCTCATGTCATCACACCTGAGCAATGTACCAACCTGCCGCAGTGCGATAACGCCACACCCATCTCGACTTCGCCACAAACACATCCAGGGATCTATCGAGGCCTTTGTACCGAACTCGAAATGACAGGACAGGACGACAACCTTTGGACTCTCGTCACCCTCTTTGGCTCCATCTGCTTCTGACGCTCATCACATTGCCCACACTTCCCAACCTCGGCGCATCAACCATCGTTCATGTGGTGGTATCCGTACTGACCAATCTCGTGCCGAACAGATTCATGTCCGCTAGGAGGCCTCAATCAAACCATGCATTCAAGGACCAGACAGTCTGTTTCTCAGCTGTCGCCGACCCAAGGATCATCAAGCCGGACACCTAGGACTATCCCAGTGACTTATCCGGACAGTATGGCCTTCAGATCTGCACCCATGGATGATTTGATCAATCCCAATTTCTGCTTGACCTCAATCAATGGCTCGCGCCGATATCCAGGATCAAGCACCGGCTCTCTCTCCACTGGATACTACCCTGACAGTGATGATTTCATGATGTCGGCATCTTCAGCGATGAACTACCCTTCATTGACTGCCCCGGACAACTCATTTGCTCTTGCCGTGACTTCCACCCATGGTGGCTTTGATACCGACCCGGTATATGAGTTCTTGACAGATGATGTCCTGTCAGAGAACTCCTTCACGGAAATGAATCTTGTTTCGTCACATTATCCCGGACAAATCCAGACCCAGGATATGATGAATTCCGGATATATGCCAGCGGATCTGTCCCCTTATGACTCCGGAATGATGAACAATGCCTATTCCATGGACATACCCCTTGCGAATCCGCCTTTGACGCCACCGCCCGAGGAACAAGTCCACCAGGAACTATTTCAACAACGATGTCTGTCAGGCCAGAATTTCCTGGATGACTCGTACCACGTGGACCATGACATGTCCTACTACGAGGCCAACACTATGTCGAAAACCTATTCATACAGGTCAGATCGCCTTATATCATGTGCTCTCCGCTTGCTAACCCGCATTCGAGCAGCCCTCCACGACGTAATGTGATCCAACCAAGGCCAATTCGATCTGCATCCGAACGTGATGGTGCCATTGGTGAATCTAACACCCGCGGCCATGATACCCGGACTCCCCAGGATGAGCCATCTGGAGACAAAGTCAAGGCCAGAAATGATCCCTTGTATGATGCCAGGCCGGATTCGAATGGATTCTACCACTGCCCCATGTCTGAAGAGCACAAGTGTACCTCCCACAAACCGACAAGGCAAAAATGCATCTACAAGTAAGTTGCCCACAATCGCCACGTGGGGTCCCTCCTAACACGACTCGCGCAGCAAATATCTGGATTCCCATTTAAGGCCGTATAGGTGCAAGTTCGCCGACAGACCAGAGTGCGAGGACGCCAGATTTTCTTCCAACGCCTGCCTTTTCAGGCATGAAAGGGAAGCCCATGGACTCCACAACCACGGATTGAATCCCTTCTTGTGCAATTTCCGGGAGTGCGAGAGATCCAAAGCAGGAAACGGATTCCCTCGCCGTTGGAACCAACGTGATCACATGAAACGCGTGCATGACTACGACGAGAAAGACTGTCCCAAAGATCGAAATACCACTGCGGATCAGGCCAAACGGCGAAAGATTCAAACATCCCCCGGCTCGGCCCCAATGAAAAGATCTGGATCTTCGGCATACGCCAAAGTGCAAGTGATCGCAGGTGCTGCCTTCAACTCCCGTCATGGCCGTGTTGTCAACCAGGCACGATACAATGCTCCAGCCATGTACTCCGATCAGTTGAAGGGATGCAACATGATGACAACCCCACTGGGCAATGTCCAGTACTCGAACATTCCCAACGTGTCACGGTGCTTGCCGTCTCGATCCAAGGGTTATCCTGGTTGAATTTTCTTTTCCCCTCTCTGTTAGTCCATCATTCAATCTATGAATACCTTGCCAGTCCATGTTGAGAAGTTTGTAACGTTGTGCCATTGCAATTATCTGGATAGTACGGGAGTGGACCCAGCCCACCCTGTATGAGTTATCCCAATACCCAGGACGCAACAGAACACATTTCACTATCCATGGCAAGAACAATCATGGCGACAGCAGTCGCACCAGGCCACAAGTGGACCAGTCATTCGGGTACTTTTTCCTTGACAGGACTCACCCCTCCGGACAAGGGTGCATATTATATCTCCCTGGAAAGGCCAATATATCTCCCGAGGATTCCCGAGGACACCCAAGGATGCTGAACGATACCCGGACATGGTCCGCAGAAGAATGGCGGACATGGAAGTGGACGCATGTGTTGATTCGGTTGTTGAGGTACTTTGATGACTTTGGTTGTACGCAGACATGTTTTGATTGAAGTGAATAAAAGGCTGGAATATTGACAACATGCAGTACGTGTGGTAGTGCTTGGTCGATTAAGTGTCATGCCTTAAGACAACTCTTATGGCGTCCAGGCAGGCTCATTGAGCTTGCTAGTATGTGGAGGACCGTGTTTTGCATCGTCTCTATTGGTGTCTCATTGATTTAGTTAGGTGTACTATGCAGTTATTCTCTTCGTCCCTTGGTGCTGGTTTTCCCATCCCCTGTGGGTTTTCCCAGCACCGTGACGCGAATGCGAAGGGACATTGTACATGGTTTGTGTATTAAACTTGGTGGCTTAGCATAGCTGGTTGTCTCCGATCCATAACCTGGTCATGCCGCATGAGCCACATTCAAACACTCATGGTACTGATGGTACTTTGACTGTCACCCTCGTATCCTCGTATCCCCCGCACTTTCGAGTGACCAGATTGCGTTGCGGACAAGTTCGTCTCCAACTAATTTTCTAATCTCTATCCCAGACTCACTCGGGCCTCTGGGGGTTGCGACTTTTTAATGCCGGTGAGTTGTGACTCCATATGGTTTTTATCAGGCTCTGACTGACCTTTGTCCACAGCTCCTAATAATCACGGGCCTTCCTTGCTCAGGCAAGACTCACCGAGCCCAGCAAATCGCGGCCGACCTCAGAGCCTACATTTCCTCCGACCCGGCATCGTCCAAGAGAACCGTACAGATAATCCCTTCTCATCACGCTTCTGCCGACGAACCGTATGATGCGGATAAGCCTCCAACCGCAGAGTCTCTGAGAGACCAGACATACAACACCGCCGCGCAAGAAAAGACTGCCCGCGCGGCAGAGTTCTCTGCGATCAAAAGAGCCGTTTCAAAGGACAACATCGTGATTGCAGATGGACTGAACTACATCAAGGGTTACAGATACCAGTTGTGGTGCGAGGCCAAGGCCGTAGGTACCCGCTGCTGCGTTGTGCATGTAGCCTCACAGGAGGATGAGTGTAAGCAGTGGAATCGAGAGCGGCTGAGGGCTTGGGGCCGCGCAGAAGACACATTCTGTGAGACGAGTGCCGGGACCGAGACCGAGCAGAATGGCTCAGTGAGACAGGGAGAAAGTGTGATGGGTGACCTTATGCCAGAGAGCCACACAGCCATCTACGGCGACAGGGTTGTCGTGAACAAACCGAGCCGGTCCCGCTCGTCGTCGATGGACGGGTTTGATGGGAATGGCGAACAAGGAGGACAACGACCGCAGCAAACACAAGTGGAAGATACCATGACCCTGAAGAGCTTGTACATCGGCGACAGAAGGCCAGACACCACCGCGTTTCCGTCCCGGTCCTCTACGAGCAGCACGCCTCATCCTCGAGACCAGGAACTGCCATCAAAGACGCCAGCACCACCAAGCGCCCTTCTCGAACCACCTGCTCCGACATCCTCACCACCGTATTCCGTCTCCACACTGACCTCGCTCGCCATGCGGTACGAACCGCCCTCGCCATTCTCGCGCTGGGATACACCGCTCTTCACAATCCCCTCTACCGACACTAGCCCACCGAGTCGGGACATCTGGGCAGCGCTCTTCCCTCCCCCCGCAAAGCCGACGAGCAAAAAAGCCCTCTCACAGCTAAAGTCGTCCAACCACACCGTCCCGACAGAAGTGACTGCTGCAAAGACAGGAGGAGGGGAAGAAGTGAAACCGCACGCAGCCACCGTCCTGCCCAGAGCCACAGACTCGGACGCACTGCAAACCCTCGAGAGCGCGACGATGGATGTCGTCAAGCTTTTGCTCATCCGTGCGAGGGAATGTGGTGTCGCCGACGCCGATAATGCGGGGGAGGTCGATCTTTCGGTGCCGATACCCGCGCCTGCTGCGTCTGCTGCGTCTGCTCCTGCTGCGTCTGCCGTGTCCGGGCCGGCCGAAAGTGAGCGTGAGACGACTTACGAATTAAGTATGAGTATATACATCCCGGCCAGCGTGGCCCTGTCGCAGCCCATGCTTCAGCGCTTGAGGCGGAAGTATACACAGATCCAGCGCGCAGGGATCGCGCATGGCCAGGGATACGTCAAGGGCCGCAGGCCCGTGGTGAAAGGTTTCGTCGAGTTTCTGGAGCATGAGTGGAATGACGACGACGAATAAAACGGATCGGTCGGAATCGGAGTGGGCATGGGCATGAGCACGACCATGAGGAGGCATGTACAGGGTGGGGAGAGACAAATGTCCAAGTAAATGAGCCACGTATGAGAAGACTGCAAAATGTTGCTTCGGTTCACCAGCCCCGATCACAGATCAGGGAGGTTCTTGTATTCAGATCACTATGCCCGCTATATATGCAACTTGCGTCGATTGTCCTTCATCCCACAAAATTCAGATGAGTAGAGCCCAGAGGAAAATCCGTTCTTTAACCGGAAGCAAACCAAATCAACAAGCAGAGCTAGCTCCAAGGCCGCTGATACGCCATGCACCAAATGCAATGCATCGCCCCAGATCATTTGCCAACGAAACAGTGTCGTGAAAATTTCCAAACAGTCAAAAAAAAGAAAGCAACGTCTTCTGTGATCCATTGAAGTCGGAGAGGATGGTCCGTCTAAACATTGTCTAGATGCCCGATTTGAATTAGAGTTGCTTCATCATGAGCGACGGCAACATCGGTCAAAACAGATGCCGGTAGGCTGGGTATCGACGCCAGAATCGAGAATTGAAAAGTGTAAGAAACAAGTCCAAGGAGATGGTCGTGGAAGTCGAGAATACTCTGAGTTGAGAGAATGTCCGAGATGATCCTTGTCGCGAATCGCGAAAAGGTGTTTTATGTGGAGCAAGCCGGTATGTTCTGCAGAGATGCATGACATTCAGTCCACTGCTCGGAAGACTGGAGGTCGTCGGAAAAGAAGCCGAAATGCATAATAATGGAGGTCAAAAGGCCCGGAGCGGGAAGCAACCACTTTGGTAGAGGCATCATGCTGAAAAGCTTCGTTGTGTCAATCACATGTCAGATGCCCGCCTCGGCAAATTGAGCCGTGTGTCAAGGGTAGCAGCGGCTTTTCGAGAGGGCCAGGTAGAGGGCTGTCGCCTACTCCGTACATGCCTTGCCAATAAGCCCTCACGCGAGTAAGTGTAGTGGGACAGTGATGGTTGTTTACAGTGAGACGTCTCCAAGGTCTCTCATGAGGCAGGCAATTTGAGCGCGTTTAGCTGCCTCGGCAAGAAAATCAGGCGGCATTTGGCCTGGATTTAGTGGCTGGGTATGGGCAGGATGTTCCTGCGACATGGAATTTGTATGTGGATGTAACTGATGATGTGGATTCGGTTGTTCAATCTGTTGTGATTGTCCTTGATAGGGTTGTTGTCGTTGTTGAGCTTGATAGCTGAGATGCATTTGCTGCGCTGCGTACGGGTTTGGCTGCGAATGCGGCCGACCGAAGAAAGGCTCCAACTCTGCCGTAGAAGGCGATGGTAAGGGAGCGTGGGAATGAGGCTGCTGCTGCTGTTGAAGAGGCATGAAGAGCGATTGCATCTGGTGTTGAGGCTGAGGCTGGGGTGTGTGCTGCGGCTGGGCAGGTTGAAGACCGTCACTGATGGGGCTCGGATGCGAACTCGTCGATGTACTTGAAGACTGTGAGAAGCTGTTTGCAAAAGGAGGAGCGGACAGATTGTTTCTGCGTTCTTGCTGTAGATGTGATATGCGAGCGCTCCTTCTGGGATAATCGCTCATTTTGGAAGGTAGGCTCGGAGTGGTAGAATGGATGTTTCAGAGAGAGCCGCTGAGCAGGCGGCTTCCCTGTTGTCCAAGGTGTTTTTCTTGTTTGAACGAGCGCGCGGCTAGAGAGCGTATTCGATATGGAGGAACGCGGGCAGCAGTGGTGAGGGCGTCAAAAGGTAGGTCTATCGTTGGCTGCGAAGAGAATTGCGCAGGAGGGTAAAGGATACGAAAGGAGGACAAGAAGTTGGTGTAACGTCCCGAGAGAAAGGCCGGGGGCGGCGAATGGCAGGCGCTTTGGAGAGAGATGAGAAGAGGTATCAGCAGCGTCCAGACTGGGGGTTTCTCCAAATTTCGTTGCCTTATTAGATCTGGAGGACTGGGGCTGGCTGACCACCGAGGCCGACGGGATGGTGTCAGAAAAGCGATAGATCGAAAAGAGGTTCGGAAGGAGAGTGGGCAGTCGAGTCGGATGATTACTGCAGATATTCGTGGGGGAGGAAATGTGGAAGCGGATGGTCCTGCCCTGGAGAGCGTGCGGGGCTGCTTCGATTGGATCGACTTGTCGGAGGAAATCTCCCAGTGTGCTGACGTGCAAGAGAGATTTCTGGATCGGTAGATAGGGAGGAGGGAGAGGTACAGTGACAAGGCTTTGAGATGGGTGAAGATGTGATGGAGGGACCAAAAGGAATGAGGTTTTACTGTTTGCGGCTCATTATTATGGAATTTCACGGCAGTTGCAGGAACGAAAAGTACCAGGCACCGAGCCACCGACTAGTAAGTTAGTCACCTCACTCACCTATAGTAAGGCCAGTATAGGCTAAACGCTTCAACTTCTCAGAGTCACGGGCGGATGCGGGAGGGGCAAGAAAAAGCGAGAAGCTGGGCCTCCGACAATTTCCCGCTGTACGGAGTACACTTTCATCTTCTGCGAGATTGATTTCGGTCTCAGGTACTCCGTTCCCCGAGGCATTACATCCTACCTTACTAGATCAGCATCACGGTCCTTGACGATGCATTTCTCAGGCAGGTTATATCATGGCGGCAATGATATCAGGCCACCTCCAATACCAGCAGTATACCAGGTATCTTCGGGCTTCTCATAGGTGATATAACATCATGCCGCGGCTTCTCTCCGTGTCCATCTCCACATGCATCACGATCCCAATGTTACTACCTACGTACAACCCCCAATTTTCGTGCGCTTGGACTCGCGGACTGCTGGTACCTACGTCGATCACTAAGTACTTTGCAGATATGTACAGATATGTACTGGTACTGCTATAGGCGAGGACTAACGGACCTGTCAGCATGACGCATCGTGAGCGGCCATCCCGAGGTACGGCAATATCGGATTGTAACCCGAGTCCTGGTCCGGTGCGATTGACGGCTGGCCAAATACTCGTATTCATTTCACGATGATAAGAACCCGGGAGGCAGAAGACGGCGAGACTGGCAATACCTACCTTAGGTAAGCACGTGCGAAGGTAATTTCGAAGCCGCATGCATGTGGATGTGACTGTCACGTGACCATATTCTCATTCGACATGCCAAGCCACAACACCCAACACCGAGTCTCATCAGTCAAGGTGACCACTGGTGACTCGACCGAGCATAAAATCACTTCGTTGTAAACACGCTACTCAGAAATCTGCCAGCGACTGGTTCCTTGGAAAAGGCTCTCCCAGAAATGACCCAGAGTGATGACGAAGATGGTGTTCACTCGCTAGACCTATTCCAAGAGCCCGCAGATTTTTACCAGCCAGAAAAGCCAGCCACCTTCACCACTTATACTCTGAAAAATGGTCAAGACCTCAGTCTCCGACTCGTGGGCCATAGTCCTTTATGGGTGTGGAATCATCACCTGCATGTAAGATCCTAGATCCAGCTAACTCATCCCCAGGGTCACCTGCTATGGAATGCGGGTCAAGTCATTTCCCGATACTTGGAAGACAACTCTGAGCTGATCGTGAAGGGAAAATCAATTCTAGAACTAGGTGCTGGCGCTGGTCTGCCAAGTCTTGTTTCGACTATTTTGGGAGCCGAGAAGGTCGTTGTGACGGACTATCCAGATCCAGATCTGATCGAGAACTTGCGTTACAATATTGAGCATTGCACAGCAATCCCAGACAAGTCCCAAATTGTAGCAGAAGGCTTTCTCTGGGGAAGTTCCGCAGAACCACTCAAAGCTCACCTTCAACCTGGCCGTGACGGGTTTGACGTGCTGATTCTTGCCGACATCCTCTTCAATCACTCGGAGCATGCGAAACTGCTGACCACGCTTCGTGATTGCCTGAGAAAAGCCCATGACTCTGTAGCTTTGGTCTTCTTTACTCCATACCGTCCATGGTTGTTGGAGAAAGATCTACACTTCTTTGAGCTGGCCCGAGTCGCTGGATTCCAGGTCAACAAGATACTGCAGCACGCTATGGACAGAGTCATGTTCGAGAACGATCCTGGGGATGAAATTCTACGGAGGACAGTGTTCGGCTACGAGGTGAAGTGGCAGGTGTGAGATTGGGTTCGGCATGACACAGATTAGATATTTTCAACTTTGACTGTAGCCCTGCGGCTGCCATTCAATGGCCCAGCCGAAACCAACCTCTTGCCGGCTCCGAACAGTCTGCCTGGAAGGAGTCACAAGGAATCTCGCTGGGAATGAGGTGAAACTCATGCTTCACTACATGTCTTTACTTGTTGACCTTTCGGAACCTCCTTCATCCCCTCGCTCTCATCGACCACGCTTTTATCAGACATCCTTACATCTCAATTCCCGCACCATCGCTTCAACCACTAACCAGCGGACACGAGGCCCCTGACTGTAGTGAGTCCTCACTTGGTATACCTCACATCTTCACCGCCGACCAACATTTACTTACAACTTGGCAGAATCATCTTTCGTCTCCTCACCACCCAACCCCTACGATGCCTCTAGGAGAACAGCTGAAAGAGTTCTGTAGCCGCTGCTTGGGAAAACGAAAGACCGATGAGCTTCCAGAAAAGCCGCAAACATATATCGGTAAGCTGCAGCATTCTCTTCATACCTTCAGAAGTTTCCTCTGCCTGGCACCAACTAGACTCATTCTGCTGGCCATCTCGAACATCCTTGCTGTCACGCGGTTAGCGCTGCCCATGCCGTACAAATCGAAGCCGTGTCTTCAGCTAACGTCTCTGAAAGAACATAGTGCGCCCGAAAATCCGGAGCCAGACAGCCCTCATCGTGGTCGTCAGACCGTTAGTCCTCCCTGGCATTGGCCCCCCAACTGTTGCTTCAACTACTAACGCGTCTATCGCGAGCAAGTCACCGGCCCCCACGTCGACAGACAACTCAGATGTCACACAAATCGGCAACGCTTGGTCAGTTGACGGAGTCGGTATCTTCGACCATCGAGCCGTGTACACCTTCCATCACGGATTCCCTGAAGGGCTGCAGAAGAGCAACTACACCCTCCATCAAAGAGGACGGGGTGCGTCGCCTGTTGTTGCATTCAACCCTCAATATGACCCTCGCAATGTTCATATCGTCAACGGAATGCTTGCCTTGACCGTCCCTGGGCGTCAAAAACCCAGTCAAAATTCCGGTTGGCGATTGGGCTGCGCCCAAGTCGAGACAGTGGCGGACAACATCCAGTACGGTAGTGTTCGGACGAAAGCTATATTTAGTCAGGTTCCTGGGACCTGCCATGGTGAGCAGCTCTGTGATTCTTCAGTCACTGGGAGATCTTCTAACGTTCCAAGGCCTGTTCTTCTACCAATCGGATACCCAAGAGGTCGATATCGAGTACTTGACCGATCCATCGTCTTTGTCGAACAATGGACCACGCAATCCCATTCCCATGTGGTACACGAATCAAGCAGTAAATCCCGCCGATGCGCCAGCAACCCAGGCGACAGGGCCCGCGCCTTCTGATTGCACGGCTGCAGTGCATGAATACCGAATTGATTGGACGCCGTACTACACCGCATTCTACCTTGACGGCAAGCTCCAGCGGAAGTTCACAACCAACGTTCCGAGGGAGCCAGGATCATGGATCTGGAACAATTGGGCAAACGGGAATAAGGGTATTTGACCTGACATGTTGTTGACTCTTGCCTTTTACCGAAGCTAACAGTGATGATTCAGGTTGGACGTGTGGCCCTCCCAAAAGTGAGAACGCCCTTCTGATCAAGAGCATTGAAATGTACTACAACACATGGCCGCGCAGTGGAAGCGCTTAGCATGATTGTCGATCGGCAAAGGTGATGGATTGTTGTACCTAAAGTCGAGGAGAGTGAAGAGAAAATCACGAGACCTTTTGCATTAGGCAGTTCACCGCGCATGAACGTTTCTGTGGCCTGCAGCTGAATACCAGCGGCATTCCTTATCAACAGATAGGTGCAAAAAGCTCATCGTTATCTGTCCGAGTTCCGAAGTCTCTTGTTGGCTTCCCATATTGTCGTCTGCTCTGATAAGAGATTGATTTTCTAGCCACCGTTTCAGCGCTTAGAGTGTGCAGGGCACCACGCCGTTAGGACCACGCCGTTGGGACCATGACTGCAGCACGGGAATTTGCCGCATTCGATCTGCACCATCGGGACTTTCAGCTAAACAAACGACTCTGCAGAGATTCCGTCATTTTTATGGGTCATGTCGTGCAAAGTGCGAGCTACCTCAAATTAGCCGTTCGACTTATTACTGTGCACACCTCATAGCATGTGGCAAACTTTGAAACTTGGAGATGGACGTCTCTCACTCCGGGCTCGCCCGTGGACAAAGACTGTCTGCTGTCTGCCTCGAGCCGAGTTACCCTTTACGCCGCCGCCATTCTGCCTCTTTTCGAGGTGGCCGGTGGACTGACGAAACTGCAGACGACGCTAACACTCCGTTATGTCCAAGCAAGATTCAGCCATCGTGGGATACCGGGCATGGCATTTCTGGGGTTGGGGCTTGGTTGCCCGACATTGGCGGGGGTTGACTGGAGCAACGATCAGACTCGTGGGCTTCTAGAACCCAAAGACACGATCTTTTGAACGAGACGAGTATAGTATAGGTCAACACTGTTCATCCACTAAGGGCAAATTCAACAGTTGGTGGCCAGCAAGACCGAAACTTGTTCGCGACAGCGCTATCAGGCAGAAACAAGGTGAGATTCAGAGAGCAACAGGAGCCGTAGCAGTTCCGAAAGTCGTTCCTGAGCGGCGAAGGAGGGCATAAGGACCAATTTTCTCTCACCCTTTTAGCCGTGGTGATTTTCAGAGTTGCAATCTGAAGCATGAGAGTGGAACTTGCGGGCCTTTATTGTGTAAGGTCTGACAGGTCACCGCACAAGGTTCCAGTAGCAGCTTTACTGTGTGCATAGCAGGAAATGAAGCAGCAGCCTTGACAACAACGTAAGGATGGTGATTATTATGATGTTGTTTTCATTCGTGAATTCGTGAAGCATCGGGTCCTGGCATATTGACCATCAACTGACATGAACTAGGGTTCGTTGGATTGCGCGGCGCCTCAACAGAAGCCATGGGAGCCATGCCGTGTGTGGTCTTGCCATGCGCAATTTAGTTTGGGGGTTGGAAGCGGCTAATGACGAGTTGCAGGAGAAGGTGGATGATGATGGGCTCGTCGTTGGCTCTCGTGTGGGCTGCAAGTGCGATTTCGGGCTGCATGGATCCCACTCCCCCTCTCTTTCTCTCTGTCTCTCGAGTCTCTACCCTGGTCACTCCCGTTGTCTCTGTCTCTCTCGGACCCTCACACCCCACCCTCGCTAAACAAACATCTTCTGCCTCATCCAACGAGTACGAGCATCGAGGGGAAAATCTCGGTCCTGGCGCAAAACGTTCGTTCGTTACGAGCACAATGGACGACTGCTTCTCCCAACCGTGTTGCTTCTTCTCTATCTGATCCTCGCCCTCCTACGCTACTCGTGAGTTGGAGATTTCCATTTTCTTTGACCATATAGTACTCGGCCGTTCGCTCGTTGCCGCACTTAAAACCTCGCCGACTTTCGAGACCCATTTTTCCGACCCGGTTGAGCCGTTCATTTCGATACATAAACATAACCACTGACTGGTTCCCTTCGTTTTACTCTATCTTGAACCAACAGTCTACAGCTGGTGTCTCCACGACCTCCTTATCCACGGGTCCACCGAGCTACTCTCCGTCACGGCCATATCTCCCCTCCCGGTCGCACAACGTCCTCCTCGGCCGATATTCTCATGGCACAGTGACCTTCATCACTCACCTTCCAACCCACGACGGTCGCCGCAGCTTCATAACACAAACGAACAAGCGAAACCTGCCTCACTTGCTACCTCAGACGGCGTCTTGACTGGCTGCTGCTGGGTACGGGCGAAATCCTGCGCCAGGCACATTCACAGACAGACTGTGCCGCTGAAGGACGCTGCGCGTTCAAGTCCACCGTCCAGGGTTTCTCGACCGACGCCTTCCTCATTGAGAATGTCGCTATAATCGCCTGAAAACGAGACCCTCCTCGTTACAGAATCTCCACTCTACATAATCGCTGCGGTACCACAACACACGACAAACAATCTATATATACACCATGTGCAAGGCACATATTTTACGTTTCTGCTGTGGGCATGGGATCCTCATGGGCTTTGAGGTTTGCAGCTGTCCGTGTCCGGTGCTCAAGACGACGGGGTTCAAGCTCCCACAACAGCCATATAAATGCTACAACTGTCAGAACCGGACATCGAACTTGGCACTACGGCCAATATCGTCGCGGGACGGCTGCTCTTCGTCTGTTGGAAGTTTAGAGTCGAACTCATCTGAGTTCTCGAACATCTCTCCACCAAGTTCTCCTATTTCACGAGTCAATACCAAAGTCATGGCTCCTCTGCCTGGCGTTGCTCGTCAGCCAGCTGAGTGTGCCCCTTTAGGTCGGAGATTTACCCGTACAGACTCATTCTCATCGAAGGGGTTCTCCTTCTCCTGCACGTCGTCAGGGCACTACCCAACGCCTCATTATATGGGACTACCGAATCATCTGCCGCATCAGAGCCATCCTTGTCCTCCTTGCCAGCTAGAGGACCTGCGCATGAAATCCGACAGGGAAGCTGTTGCACGAGCCAAGGCTGAATACCCCCATCTAACATGCGAGATGTTGGTTCACGATGGGAGGGTCTGGGAAGAGTGGCAGACTAAGCCCACACTTGAAGCGTACATTGACGAGAAACGATCGGATGAAAGGCAGATGTGGTTACATGTCACGCGGAAATGGACACAGGACTTGAAGAGGTTACGAGTTTTGGTTGCTGAGGAAGACGGGCTGGGCCTGCTGGGGTAAGGCTGTCGCTTTGATTCAGCAGCATTCATGAGATACGAGGCGTTCGAAATTAAAATGGGAGGCTGTCGTCCTTAGAAGCGATACCCAGGGGGGCCCGGCGCTGCTGGCACAATCAATGCCTGTAGGAGGTTTTGCAATATCGGCATCGAGCCACAATAATACACATGCGTTTCGGAACATGTCCTTAAAATCCTTATCTGACTGTGCTGTGAATAAGAGCATCTGTAGACGGCGTTGCCTACTTACCATAGTACCTATGGCAATGTGTAACCATCATGCATCATGACGAAGCCAAGATCCGTATTGATGTTGTGCCTGCCAAGATCTGGGGAAGCGTGGGAAGACTTGAAGCTTTTGGTGACACTGCAGCTGGCGATCTTTGTTAATCATCCATTACATCCATTGTCACGCTTTTGCGCGAATATCAATGTCTGATATGACACTCTTGATGTCTGCAAGCTGAGGCAACCCTTGCGTTATTTCTGTCCCGGGCAGCCGTGAGAAACAACCTTTCACACAGTTCGTGTCTCATCCCTGGGCACTCAGACAAGGGAGCCACAGAGGCTGGTCACAGCTGGTGCAGATAACTGACATGCATCTTTGCACAGCCTTTAAGCGCTCGGGGAGCAACATGGCCGATATTATGCACTTTGCTGGGTCGAGAAACGGTCGACCGCTGGCCGTCATATCCGGCTTTCCGACGTCGAGTTTCCTGCAATGACAGTAGCCGCAAGGTACCTTTCCAAGAATGTGAGTGAGATACCTTCGCTTGTGGCAATACAAATCAACACTTCTTTTTGGAATTGCACAGAAGCATCATGCGAATCCAGTGGGAGACTACTATGTATGGTACTGAGGGAAATATATGCCGATTCGGCCGCATGCATCCCTCGAACGACCTAGCGGTTCTTCTCATACATGTCACGTCGGAGGATGCCACGATGGCTGCTAGCTTAGCCATGAATCCTACCACAAGCTTTGGATGGAAGGCAGTGCGGTGCTGCTCGTCTGCCCCCAGGTTGCAGGCCGAAGCCACCCGGAGAAACCAGTCAAAACACCAAAAAGAGGTTCTGATGAGCACATGCCTTGCGTCTGCATGGTCCGCCCTCGCCTGTTGAGGTTACATGTCCAAGCCACGAGAGAATGGGCCACTCAGATGGTAGAGAAGGTGTCCTTTACCAGCCAAGGTCTGGGGCCTGCACACCCTCGATGGCCTCTGGCTAGGACGCTCCTGCTACCAGCGAGTGGTCTTGCAGACTGGTTACGCAACGAGGCGGAGCTTGCATGAACAGGACGGATGGTCCGTCGCTACTGTGCCTGCAAGAGGTACTTGCATGGCCGGAAAACTATTGTGGCTATGTTTGCCTGACCTCTCAGGCAGCGCTTCGACTGACTTCTACTGGCCCTGGTCCTCTGAGGCTGTGACCATGTTGCTCAATGATACGGTCTTGGACGGGTTCACTGCTGGCTGACCATGAAGAGTACAAAATGGCATGAAGATCCTGCGATTCCCTGGCGTTTCCTTGTCAGAACAGTACCCAGCAAACCATTGATCTTCCTGTTATTTACTCCTACATCTCATCTGGTGACCGTGTCCAGTCATGATTACAGTCGAGAGCCTCTGCCGAGACCTCCGCATCAAGCATCCTCTTGACTGGCCTACCTGCATCGGCTATGGACAGAAACAGCCCACCTGCGGGAACCTAGCTGCTAAACGTAATCGCGAAGAAGCAGCTCACCTGTTGGAAGGGATTGCCGAAAACTTAACAAATGGAGACAGTCCACGTAGTGTGATGGATGACTTGTTTCGCGTGGCCAAGTTGCTTCACTGTGTTAGAAATCACCAGTCCCAGGCCGAAGACAAAGCCAAAGAATGGAAGAGGAAACTTGATCGGGTTGTTGCGAGAGGGGATGGAGCACGACAGCAGCGACAATCCGGTTCTCGAAGAGAGACTGACTTCGACACTTCCAACAGTCGCCGCGAACGTCGGTCGGTCGATACCCTCGCTTCAGCACGGGACGAAGACCTCGTTAACGAATTGGCTCAACGATATTCATCGGCAAGGCGGCTGATAGAAGCAGTCGTGGCCCTCACTGATGATGAACACCGTGCCAGGACATCAACAATAGCTGACTTGTCCTTCTTATATGGGCTGACCCTCCAGCGGCACCATGATGCAGAGGGCGACAGCGACAGCGACAGCGAGGACAGCGACAGCGACAGCGAGGACAGCGACTCTGGATTCTTCGGATCCGATGCCGAGAGCGAAGAAGACGACGATCCTATAGCCACCTCGACCAGGGTCTCGTATCAGCGGCGGCAACAGAGACGATCACCTGCCCCATCACCTCCATCTGTCTCGTCGACATCCTCCTCTAATGCTTCAAGCAGCAGCCGTAGATCTGCCGCATCTGAAAGCAAGTGTGGTATCTGCTTGAATCGACTCAGGAGCCGGGATGACAAATGGCGCTGTACGACATGCCACAATGCAACTCACGCCGATTGCTTCGATGAGTGGATGGCAAACTCCCGGGAGGATAATGTGAGGTGTATTTACTGGTGAGCACGCCCATGTCTTTTGTTGAAAGGTAATGCTGATGCTATCTTGCTCTTGCAGTCGCTCCTCTATTCGTGCGAGACGATGAGTAATGCTTCTCGAGCCCAGGCCATATCATAGCGAACCTGAAAGGACGACGAAGAGAGGCCAATCAGGAGAATGAGATCGTGGTGTTGTTGTCTCTGGCTCATGACCGTGGAGCGAGAAAAACAGCAAGATCTGATAGTGGAAGCCGCCTGTGGATGAGACAGGAGATTCTTTCGTCGTGGGGGTCAGCCATATTGTTGATGAAGGCCGAACAGGGGCTGAAGGCTGGAGTAATTGAGAATTCTTTTAATGAGTCGGTGTTGATGAGTCCATAGGTTCTACTTCGCAGGCGTTCTTGGGCATATTGATCGGCTTAGGCCGGGCACGCAAGGAGACGTTTGCATACCGAGGGCCATGTAGTTGAGTTGTTACAGTGCGAACTATCACGAGCTATTTGTTGGCCATGATTCCCACTAGTAACAGCATACTATAGGAATACAGGAAGATCCTCTAGTCGAAACCTTTGGAAAGCAGTGTATCTGTGACATCTACTAGGCTTAGCAAAGGTTCCGGGCATTCCTCTCTAAGGCTTCCCCTCTCTAGGCGCGTTTACCGCCAAGAATCCGGGGTTTGGATGTGATGATTTACAGATCACCTTCGCAGGCATCTATCATTCTTTCGACCATCCTCCCAGGTGCCATCCTCTCGTTCTATAATCCTTGCCCCTTACGAAGCCGGTCTTCAACAGAGAGCGTTGCTTCTGCCTGTACCACTGATATAATCACTACGGCCGCGACCGCGCCCGCGACAATGCGCCTCAGCCCAGTATCCGTCCTCTTATCCCTTCCCGCCCTCATCTACTCCTTCGTGATCTTTCCGGAAGCCGAGGTCTTTCAGATTCCAAATGAGAGACACACTGGCACTCTCGCGCCGAAGGTCGCAATCACTCCCGAAAACATCCCAGAAACCATCTCGGAACCACTCGTCGAGATCACAAGACTGTCCCCCAAATATACCAGACTGGCCAAGCAAGCACTTGATGCTCCCGACGATAATCCCCTCCCTGTGGTGATCTGGCATGGTCTGGGCGACTCGGCCGATGCAAAAGGATTGAAAGAGATTGCAAGCCTGGTTGACGAAATCCATCCTGGTACATACACATATCTCATCTCCGCAGTTGGCGCAGCCGGTTCTGCGGACAGACAAGCGTCGTTCTTCGGCAACGTCACCCAGCAACTTGACTACGTCTGTCATGCGCTTGCAAAAGACAACATCCTCAGGACAGCACCGGCCATTGACGCCATTGGGTTCAGCCAAGGTGGGCAGTTCTTGCGTGGCTACGTCGAACGATGTGGCAGCTGGGCACCCAAGGTTCGGTCACTGGTCACTTTCGGCAGCCAGCATAACGGCATCGTGGAGTTTCAGAAGTGTGCCAGCACCACCGACTGGATCTGTCAGGGCGCCAATGCTCTGTTGAAGAGTAGCACAGTGTGGTCGGATTTCGTGCAGTCCCGGCTCGTGCCTGCGCAGTATTACAGGGACACGAACGACTACGAGAATTACCTCGAGCATTCGAATTTCCTGGCGGATATCAACAATGAGCGGAAGGAGAAGAATGCCACGTATGCAAAGAACTTGGCGGCTTTGGAGAAGTTTGTCATGGTCGTGTTTGACGAGGACAAAACGGTCATCCCCAAGGAGAGCGGGTGGTTCGCGGAGGTCAATGTGACCAGTAATTCGGTGACCAAGCTCAGGGACAGGCCGATTTACCAGGAAGACTGGATTGGCCTGAAGAAGCTGGACGAGAAGGGCGGGTTGGACTTTTTGGGTGTGCACGGGGAGCATATGCATTTGCTGGATAGCGATTTGAAGGCTCTGTTTGAAAAGTACTTTGGTCCTGCCGGCAAGAAGTTTGTGCCTCAACAATGGAAGCTGGAGTTGTAGCGGGTTGTTCTTGTGCAGGCCATAATAGGTAGACGGTGAACTGTCGAGGTTACTAGTATCATGACAATCCCGCGGCGTTGAGAGCGGATGTCTGGTGTTTTCTAGATTTACTTATGTCTTTTCGCTCAAGGAGATATCGTCCTCGTCCTCGTCCTCATTCTCGTTCTCATTCTCTTTCCGGGCTATCATGGTCCCGGAACATTGAGGGCGTTTTTGTTCCTGATTTATGCCTCCTGTACGAATAGTAAGTCTTTAACGGCGATGCCCGCTGTCAGGGGCGGCGATCCGATGCACGAGTGACGTAAGTTGGTCGAGGCTGTCATACTAGTATTCAAGCAATCTTTAGTTGCAGATTCAAGAGTCATAATTGCTGCTTGTTAACATCCGATGTCGAGTAAGTATAAGGTAGTACTTACAAGCTGGTTACCAAGCCTGTAAGGACATGTCAGGCTAGGCATCAGTTCCAGCATCACAATACCCTTGTAGCTGTCACCGGCGAATTGGCTCACAAGTACTCGGTACACGGTGTGGTCAGGACGTCCCGGGTTGGGGGCTCTCTACGAGTTCGACACCTCGACAGTCTCTGCGTCAGTACTCCGTATTCCGAAGACGTCTGAGACGGCCTCGCGGCTGACCAAGTCAAACCCCCCCCTAGCTAAGGGTAACGATTCAATCGTCCAACTCCTGTCGGCGAAAATGTCCCACGCGGCCGAACACGGACGAACGTGGACGCGCGACGGCTTCCTCATCTCGACGGACCCTTCGCTCGTCCCGATCCCTGCACTCCAGCAAGCCTTCGACTCGGACGAAGTCTACTGGGCGCGGTCGATACCGGAGCCGGCGATGCGCGCCATGCTCGACAATTCGCTCGTGTTCGGCGTGTACTCGCCGACGCCGTCGCCGCCGCCTGCGGCCGACCTGGACCTGGACATGGACCTGCACTTGGAGACCACTTCGGGAGGGTCTAGTGCACGCGCTCACACTCACGCTGCGGACCCGGCGACGACGTTGCATGAGATTGCCGAGAGCGTGCATAAGCCTACGTCCGTAGGGGCTCAGGCTCAGGCTCAGGCTCGACAGAGTCAGTCAGGTGGTGCCGATGCCTCCGCAGATAGTAGTGATGGTGGTGGTGATGGTGGTGGTGATGGTGGCCCTGGTGAGTCTGGTGAGCCCTCGTTGATCGGCTTCGCCAGAGCTATCACGGATAGAGTCACATTCTTCTACCTGACGGACGTGTATATGCTGCCGGAGTGGCAGGGCCAGGGGCTGGGGAAGTGGTTAATCCAGTGTGTGCAGGAGGTGGTCGAGGACATGCCGTATCTGAGGAGGAGTATGTGTGTCGTCGGCCATGGGAGGGAGGATGCGCAGGCGTTTTATGGAAAACTGATGAAGATGGAGAAGTTGGGCGAGGATACGGTGCCGTTGCACTGGAGGGGGCCGGGCTGTACGTTCTAGAAAGTGACCACTCCACAAACCAGACCATGTTTTCAGGGCAACTGTGTTCACACTGTGGCATTTTCTATCCGGTTCATACTAGGACTATCCAACAAGAACTCCTTGATCCTCTGGAGTCCTTCTAGATCCCCCTTCTTGGTCTCCATGTCCTCCTGTTCGACCCAGCCCTCAGTGTATCCACCACCGAAATCAATGATCCAGACATTTTCATCCTCGTCAATCATCATATTGTTCGGTGAAACATCGCCCCAGATGAAGCCTTTATTGTGCAAGACATGTATCATGTTCTCGACGTCATGATACCAGCGTTCACACAAGGTAATGGAGGGTGATAGTCCTTCGGGTCTATTGACTCGATCCGCTATAGTCCCATGATTAGGATAGATGGCGGAGAGAATAAGACCATTGATACATCCCATATCGCCATTCTTGTCATCGAGTACAATGGCCTCTAGCCGCGGGCAGCGTAGTAACTTATGGCTGGGATTTTCCCGAGAGAGTTTGAAGAGTATATCGATTTCTCGAATGTACGGAAGATTATCGACCCCGGTCAAAACAGGCTTAAACCAGCTAATCCGATCGTTGAACATCACAAGGTTGAGGTTGGTATTTGAGGAAGTTTGAGAAGTTTGAGCCAATCGAATCTCTTTTGCATTTACCCTGGGGTATTCAAGCCAATGCTCGGATTTGCAGATAGCTGCCCAGGGTGGATCCATGGTTTTCTTTGGCTCTGGACACCGGTGGATCGGTACTAGACTTCCGTCTACTATACCTAGAGTGAACGATAGAAGTGGAGGGCGAAGGACGTCCTGTAAGGTATAGAGACAAGGCGTTGATGATTCCGGGGCGAAAGTTTCGAAGGTCCCATGTGTCAAAAACGGTTCCACGGCAAAGGTTAGGACGGGATCCTCTTCGTAACCACATTCGCTCGAAACTGGAGAGGCGGCCGTATCGAAGTGGCCTTTCAGTTCAGAGAATCCAGTCGTTTCATCAACTTCGTCGGCTTTGGTACTAGTGGTAACTTCCACAGATCCATCATCGCCGAATGCATGTTGAAGCGCATCGAAGGTACTGTTGCTCCAAGTGCTGTGAGTCGGTCGGATTCACTGGATCATGGAGGTCCTCCGGCCCAAATTCGATGTCGAATACCCTTCCATTAAAGCGAAGTCTGATCAAGGTTTTGCCATCGTCCAGTTTGATCATGTATTCGACCGTGTATTTGCTACTAGTACTAGTATTGTGCATTTCGGGGGAATCAGCAGAGAATATATCATCTGTTGAAGCCTGATACTAGTACTAGTAATTGATGGAATGAATGATGGAAGGAGACTAGTGCTAGTGCTAGTGCTAGTCGAGCATCACCGCTTAATTCTCAACCCTGTATCATGACTTTTCATTGCGACTTAGAAGGTATTCCACGGCTCTTTCTCTTCCTGAGTTACTAGTAAGTATACTTTGCTTCTTTGTCTTCGTTTCTGTCTTTCGTTTTAGGCTTCGCTTCTCTCCTTACCTTTTAGGGCGTTACCTATTTCTTGTCGGCGTTTCTACTATCAGAACATCCCTTCTCGAATTATACGCAATGGTCTCGTTCGTTCGGCGCTCTTCTCCAATCTACGGAACGAAATCCTGAATGCTTTTGCAGCCCCTGCGACCCCTACTGCCACCCCCACCCCAGCGCACACCACCGCCTGCCCCCACGACCGCCCGACAAGCAAAGCTAGGCGCTTCCGAGGAATTCTGCTGGCTCTCTTTCGCTGTCATTAGAAGCCGAAATCGATCTCTCTGTTCTTTAAGAATTTCTGTGGAGATCCCGTCGTAGGACCGCTCAACCGCTCGGGGCTCGACTCTGGTTCGACTCTGGCATGATCTTGGCCAAATCCTGGCTCAGTACAAGCATCCCTTGAACTCGATATGGTCCGCTTTGACTCGGCTCAAAGTCAATCGTTAGATTTATTAACTATACGGTAGTACGTGCCGACCCCTAGTGTTTTAAATCGGTTTTCTAATATATCCAATAAATATATACGAAGCTTCTAAGGGTCCTCTACTAAATTAGCTAAGACGTCTCGAATATATCGTAGATAATTATCAAGTCCTTAAGTCGCTGAAATTCTCCTTTGGTTTCGATAATTCTCTAATAGTTCTCTAATATATATACTTATACTAAAAAGGATTTTATAGTAATTTTTAATAGTAATTCTATTATCACACAGTGCCTGACACCATTCGTTGCGTACCTAGCAGGATCTGGCTGAGAATTGAGCCCCTCGCACTACCAATCCTTTATTAATATACATTGAATTTGGTATATTAATAGGACATAAGCTCTATAATACTCTTATATCTATTAGATATTAAAATGTTAACTTTTGTAGAGCCAGAAAGCGAGTGAATATACTTGATAGGTGCTTATAAGCGCCAAAATTTGTTCGAAAGACGGACTTTCGCCGCCTATTTATAAGATCCTAAAACAAGCACTTCGTCGTCGCTTAAAAAAATCGTAATACCTGATCGATATCTAATCGATACTTAATTTAACGAATAATAATATTTAGGAAATAAGTATAAAGATTAAAAGAGATATATAATACTAGTACTTTTATATATTTTTACCAATCGTCTTAATTTATTATCGGAGATATTTTAGATACTAGATATAGTAATTCTAGCGTTAGGCTTTAGAATATTTATAATTCTTAATCTACGATTCTTGATTTACGATTCGACGTATAATAGAATAAATATTCGAAGCGAAAAGAAATTCTGAATAAGGTCTTCACTGAAAAATAACTTAAATTTCTTAAGAGTTTATTTAATATTTCTATCCTTTTTACTAAATCTTTCTAGTTAGTAAATACTAGTATAAATTAACGTTTAGAAGTTAAATTATTTATTTTATTAATTATTACTTTGTAATAGTACGAATAAGTACTTTTAGAATAGTAGTATACTTATATTATTTTGAATACAAAGATAAAAAACTATCCGTACTATTACAATTTTATAAATTAACATTGACCGAAACTAACTATTCTCGATAGAAAAACTATAACTAAATATCGATATTTTTACCTACTATAAATATTATAACTTTTAGGGATAATTAAATCAAAATCTAATAGATAAGTAAAGAATTATCTAGAGATATATCTTCGAGAGATTTTAGAAGAAAAAAGTCCTAATAACTATATAGTAATAGTCTAAAGTAATAAGAAACACTACTAGTATTATCGAGCTTCTTAACTTTTTCGATGAGAAAATCATAGAATTTCGAAAGATTTCGAACTTTTAGGTTAAGTTTCTCTAGAAGAGTTTAACTATATAGAGACATAATTCTAGGTAATTCTTTATTTGTCTATAAAATTTAAGATACAATTATCGCTATGAACTTATTATATTTCATATAGTTGAAAACATTAAGATTTGGCCGGAGTTTTACAGTTAGGACCACTTTTTCTGCCAAGGATGTGACTGATCTAGGTTTAGGGTTAGGAATATATCTATGGTAATACCATCAAAGATTGGTAGTGTCCTTCTCTGTCTTAAGTTCGGCATTGTGCTTGCATCTCGCGCATTTAGTTTAGTGGGAGGTAAGCGCGGTGGTCTTATTTAATGAGCTATCTAAGTGACTGGCCTAGAGTTAGTCGTCTCCTGCGGCGGTACTACTAGTACTGTTGGTGAAACTCGTCAATATCCTCTTGGGATACGGCACCTACGAGGCTTCAGGACGTTATGCTCCATCTGCCGGAGCTATGCCCACTGATTCTGCTGATAACTGAAGTACGTACTCGATCACGGATAGGACGGTGTATACGTAAAAACACCCCTTGATTTCGATGCCTTTACTATCCCATCGTGTAGGAGTGACTGACATTAGTAATCAAAGCTACTTTACCGCATCTATAGGGAATGTTAGGGTGCGATCCGAGGATCGCGCCACAACAAGCATAAATACTGAAGAGCCTAGCAATCTGCTTCCTCAGTCTTTTTGGGCAATCCCCAAGGAGTCGAGGCTCGTCTCTGACAGGGAAAATGTCGAAGACAATTCCCTAGTGTCTCACTAATGTCCAAGCCTCCAGCTCGGAATCTAAGGACGTGAAAGTTCAAGGAGGCATGATTCCTAACGCAAGTTGACTCAACCTCACAGCCATATTAGTAGTTAACTACTTAGGCGACGACGTGTCGTACTATATGCCCGGGATAGGTGCACGTGTTGACTGTGAGCGGACAAGCAGATAGTAACATCTTTGCAACAACCAATTACTACTAGTTATGACCTAAAAGCTTCCTTCATTATACACCGCGTCAAGAAATGAACATTGGGAAAGCCAAACATAGAACTAATCCTACCCCGTGGTACGTCAAGGAATGAGTATCGAACTCTTATGGTCCAGCACGGTACCAGTTGCCTGCCGGGTCCCCCAAGCATTCTCCCACAGTGACGGGCCGATATCCATTAGCTCTGGCTTTGTCAATCTCAAATTGAGCCAGAGTGTGTACCGTTTGTTCGTGGATGTCATGGTTCAGAACGATGAAGCTGGAGGACGACGGACTGTTCTGGGTGACGGTGTCGTTGTATGTGTTCTCGGAATTTACAATCAACGTCGGCGAGTCATTCTCGTAATCCTTCGTGTCTAGGTTGGTCGAGATGACGTGGTAGCCAAGATCCGACATATCTTGCTGGCATGCACCATCGAATGCAAGATACGGTGGGCGCATATATGTTGGAAACTTGCCGAGGATATTCACGAAGGCCTGTTCGTTTTGGTACATTTGATCTTTCCTCTGGCCGGAAGAAAGAGTGGTCAGATCTGGGTGAGTCCATGTGTGTGAGGCGATGTGGTGGCCCTCGCTGTTCATGCGCTGAATGACGGAGGTCCATTCTGGGGTTTGGTCGATGGCACCATGGAGGTTGCCAACTATGAAAAACGTTGCCTTCACACCATTACTTGACAGCAGGTCCAGAAGATCGGAAGTATATATGTAAGGCCCATCATCGAAGGTAATTGCAATGTCTCCAGGTACTGCGCAACCGTAGATTACCGATCCATATGGGACAGAGCCAATCTGGGGACGAGGAACGTTGACCACAGCGGCTGTAGTCGTAGGCTGTGGACCTCCTGTGCTGGTTGTGCAGTTGCCGAACTCTGTTTGGCATCCGTTGGTGCAATACTCGTCTGTAACACCGCACCATCCATACCTCGAGCAGCACTGGAGATTTGACGGGCAGATATAGCCGTTGACCCCACCACAGGTATTATCTGGGCTTACTGTACCGCTTGGCTGTGGTTGGGATGTGCTACTTGTGGAAGAGGTTGTCGTGGAAGAGGTTGTCCTGGAAGAGGTTGTCGTGGAAGAGGTTGTCGTGGAAGAGGTTGTCCTGGAAGAGGT